CCGTAGTGGGAGTGGTGGTCCGAGGAGATACACTTACCCTGTACACCGTACCTTGCCCGGTTCATGCAGGTGGTTGTGGTTGGGGGATTACGGGTTGGATGGTTTTGGATTTGAAATCCGGTTTGAATTAAGGGATCAGGGATTGGGGATCGTGGAGCGATACTATTGATAGAATCGGGTAGATGCCGAGATGATGCATGTTTACGGTAGGTATGTGTATGCGATTTGATGCGATGCATGAATGGATGAAACTCACATGTTGTACTCTGTCCACCCTAGTTCGTTGGGTTGGGTGGCGGGCTTAGAGGATAAGCATATTCTGCAGGACTGCGGGTATTACTGTCGGTTTCTAGTAGGTAGTACATAGTGCCATGTGAGGGGAGAGAAAATATAGAAAGTAATCCATGGTGGTGGTGATGCTGATTCTGATGCTGCAGTGGTCTTATTCGGTTAAAGAACATGTAGGTACGGCGCAGTGCAGCGCTCAGGTTCCTCGGTAGTCGGTACCTTGAATGCAAGTAAGGTACAGTCAGGATCTGACAGGATGCTATGCAGGCGCAGGGGGGCAACGGTATGTACCAGTAATGTAGGTGAGGACGCAAGTACCAAGTACCTATCTATCATCTCTTCTCTATCTACTCCGTATGGCCTCGGGAGACAGTAGCTGAGACATACCGCGCAGGAATCGTGCAGTGGGGAGGCCCCCAAACTAAGCGTCGGTTGGCGGGGAGGTGCCACACTTGGTAAGGCTATGCCAGGAAACTAGTCATCGCGGACGAGGATTACCTCAGTAGCATATACTATCTTAAGTCTCCAGGATGCTGCTTACCGGTGGATCATGGATTCGCGTAGTGCTTACGGGAGTGCCTTGTTGAAGCCATGGAACGTGGCCGCCAGGGTATTGGTTGCTTGGCGGGGTAGCGGTGGCTTGACTGGGCGGCTAGATATATATATCTTTCTCTCGGGACGAGGAATGGTGATCAATCAGCCTTGAGGAAGGATGAGGATTCGAGGTGGAGTGGCCGGGATGATGGGTGGTGGGACAGGACATCTAAGCCAGATGGAGAGGTGCAGCAAACCCAGCTCTCTGGATTAAGAATAGCACTCGAGTCTGGTGTTCAGTCGCCATGCGAGAGCATCTCCTACCGGATCGGGCGATTTTTGAGGTTGTACAGAACGGCGGAGCAAAGCAGATGGGACAAAGAAGTTTGAGACAACTTAAAAATAACCCTCGAGAAAAAGCAATCCTGTCAGGATTCAATAGATCACAAAAAGGCCGGAAGCGAAAAGGAACGTTAAGCGTATTCCGACCAAGGTCATGCCATGTGGCCTGGCATACGGGGGGGGACTGCGGCCGTTTCACCTTTCGCCGGTCGCACTGTCAACTACTCCCGTACTAGTGTGGCAGACGGGCGGATGGCAGTCAGATCAACGGGCCTCCATGTGTGGCCCCAGTTTCGCAGCTGCCAGGGAGCTGAACGGCGGGGTTCGCGGTCAGAAACCACCAATAAGCCCCCCCATCGTGAACAACGGTCGGTAGGTGTCAAGGCACTATCTTCGCATTTCGAATCCTGCCGAGAACATGTCGAGCTGAAAAGATCGGAGTCACTTTCCTATCCGGCGGGGGAAAGAAAACCACACGGTTGCACTGCCCTTCTGGAAGGAAATCACCATGTCCCTGACGCCCGTATCCAAAGTCCCTCGGACGCAGCCAGTCATCCGAGCTGAGCGCCCGGTTTCAAAATGACAGTCGGACAAGTCGGCGACCGCCAGTTCCCCTCAGTACATAGGGTTAAACGCATACAGACACCAAGCGAAAGGGCGGTGGATTCCACCCCCAGTTGCCAGGTGTGGCTGCATGATCTGCATGACACTGGCTGACCCCCCCGGCCAGTCAGTGCAGGCCCAACGACAACCAAGACTTGCGGCTCGGAGGGAAATGGGCCGCTCGTCGACAGGCTGACTGGTGGTTGGCAGTTGACATGGGCCTTTCGAACGGCCGTGGATGACGATGGAAGGGGCGCAATACGGGGTTCGCCATGGACACGTATGGTGGCCGTCCGTGTTCCCCTTTCCTGGCTCCCCATCCATCGCTATACTATCGCTATTATTGCATCCCGAGAAACTGGTAGAATCCAGGCTTTGGCAGGAACGACCGTTGTACTCCGTAGTAATTGTCCTCATCTCGAGTACGAGATTTGATCCGTCAGCGATCATGCCGTCATGCAGGATTTGGCTCCGGTAGGGTTGTTGTTCCTTTCGCATCCTCCATTACTATGACTGCGGTCTATTACGAGTGGTAATTTACGGGGAGAGTGATGGTAGTGAAGATGCTTGTACATTGATGAACCCAACCGAAATCTAGTCTAACAGGTAGTTAAAAAACGAGTCTCAATCATAAAACCACAGTGGAAATGACCGCGCGGAAAGAAGCAGAGATTCTAAGAGTCCAAAAAGGTCCCCCACGGCCCACCAACCAACTCCAAGGCGTTCTTCGCGGCTGCTCCCCCGAGCGAGTCCGGCTCGCTAGAGGGGCAGCCGCCCCATCTCTAAGGCGTATCTTTAGTACAGGTATCCCGGAACAATCTTGAAACAAAACAATAAGCCGACAATGTCTCGCAAGAAATATGCAAACCGCTCATGCAAAAACCATCATGTGGAGAACAACAGAACAAAAGTGAATTAAAAAAATGAAATGAAAAAAGTGAAAAGGGGAAAGAAATCCAGGACTCCTGGTCATGTCTGTTTCATGTTCCATGCCGCTCATAACGTAAACGCTCAAGTATACCCGCAGGTGAGAACAAGATGATCGTAGATTAAACAACGCTTCGTCAGAGGCTCGATGTCTGTCATGAAACTGTTAGTCTGGATCTTCAACTAACCAAAATGGTGTTTATCTTACCCTCAATACCATCAATCTCATTAATTATTTCGCCGGCTTGCAGCTCTGGCAGACAGCATGATTGCAAATCACACACTTCGGTTGGTTCTGGTACAATTTTGGCCCGTCCCCACACTGGCAGCAGAAGTATAGGTTGGAGTGTCCGACGGTGCCCTGGAGTTGCTGGCTGTTGACACTAGGCATGTAGTGTTGCCGTACATCGGCGTGATACAATGTAGGCCGCTGGAGGGTGTTACATCCTCTGAGAGAGGCCATGTTTGCGGCAAGGTTCATTGAGGGAGAAGAGGGTCGGGGAGCTGGTGCTTGCGGGTATGGTGATGTCTCGTGGCAGTGGTGTAGTGAAGTTGCTGGATGTTGAGTATCCATGGAGCAGTCCTCGCAGCGTGGTTCGCCGCACTGGGTGCAGGCAGTATCAAGGCCAATTTGGTGAGGTCCGCAAGAGCACTCGCAGCAGTACCAAAGAGCAGACATGGTGATAGATGGTGTTGGAAAAATAGCTGAAATTGATAGAGACTGTATAGCGGAGCCTTTGAGAGAAGCAGGCGAGAGACAGTGGACAATGGAAGACTGAACGCTTTGGATGGATGTGGTTGAAGTAGATGAGAGTGAGTGAATCCATAGTGAATGCCGGGTCTCGAAGGATATTTAAGCATCAGGATGTAGAGTGAGCGACGAAGAGACACATAGGAACGAAACCGCTAGTATGAATCAGAGGCAGGCGACAAGGCGCCCTCTGAGGATTGTGGCTGATCTCACAGACAGCGCCCACAGTCTTCATCGCAGTCATCAAGTAGGTGCAATACCTGATCCACGCCGGGGCCATTCTAGGGTCGATCACCCAAAGTGGCTTGGCAACAACCCCATTGCCCTTTGGGACCCCGAAGTTCGTACCTGAGCAATCAGCAGTCCAAATCCGGACTGAATCATTTTGCGACCTGGTCTTACTAGCGGACATCGTAAGATATGCGGCCGGGTTGAGTCAACCCATGGCTAGGGTCCACCGAATACTTCGCGAAAGGCGGAATCCGCGAGGCTTGGAGGCTCCGAGTCGTTTTTTTGCCCGGGAGCCCGCCCACTCACTCCGCCCAGGTTTCCCCCCTATGGCTGGTCCTTAATTGCTCGCGCGATGAAATTAATTATTACTATTATGGATTTTTTTTTTGATTATGTCGCACAATTTCCTCCTTCTGCTTATGATGATTTTTCCCCCTTCATGCTTGGCTTCTAGGAGAGGGACACTCTGCGCGATGTTGCCTGGTTGTGGCCTTGAATGGGCTCCACTTGGTCAGGAGTGCGATCCAGGCAACATCGCCCTGTGCCTCAAACATTCTAGATGCGCGCATTCGAGAGTCTCTGACTCCGACGTTGACCGTTCGTTCCTCCTAGTTGACGGGGCCCCGATAAGCCCGGTCGTGATGGTCCTGTCGGTCAAGCGTTCGCGACTCCTGTTGCTCCAGGTGTAAGCAGGCACCCATGCTAGTTCTGCCTAAGCCATCAAGCCCATCGATCACCCGGGCACATGCCTCCCCAAATGACGTCTTGCCAACGGGAACGATGACTCGAGAATTAGGTTTGGTCATCGTTCTCTGTCTGTCTCGCGGTGTCTCCGTCTTTCTCTCCCTCTCGTTCTGCCACTGTCGTTCTCTGCTGCTTTCCGTTCCGTTCTGATCTCCGTCACGTATCTATTTTCGGGTAATCCGATGTTCCGCGTGAGGCTCCAGGTCAGGTGCGGCCGCCGGCCGATGCTGACTTCCTTTCTTCATCGCAACCCACTAACATCATCGTCCATCACTAGTGACTGGCACTAGCTTGGTCTCGTCGGTCTATTCTGAGCTGAATCCTGCTGTCACTGAGGAGGCCTTATCCGAAGTTCAGCTCGACACTGCACCTCCTACCCTCCGGTCACCCACAATGGCACAGCGATGGTGCAGCACGTGCAGGGAAACTAGCCATGGCCCGTTCTAGCTCTTTATGACATGTTCCAGCCTGATGCCTTATCCAGCAAAGTACCCCTTGGGGCATCCGAGCTGTGGTCTTCCTTCGATGATCCCCAGCTGGACTGTTTCACTGGGAGCTCGTTTTTGATGTCACCGCGCATCAAACCATCCTCAAGACTCATGGATGCCTTGAGAAACGGTGATCTACAGGCTACAAGATTGGTGCCTCTTTCTAACCGACAAGAATATAGACCCGCCCAGACTTTCCAGTGTTCAAATCGTACCATACACGTGTTGATGCCTACATCGGTGACAGAGTCGAGATCGTTCCGATCGAACGAGTTCGTCATACCTTGACGAATGTGCCAGATTAAGGTTAAAGTTCCAGGTAGACACATAACACCGACTCCAGTGCAACCCGTGACGATATTGGAACATGTAATCTCCGAGATAGTCCGGGGGAAAAGGGGGTTGCCTCTTAGTATGGTCGGTGTTAACGGGAAATGTCCCGCATCTTCGTAGGCGGCGTAGGCATCGTCGGATAACCAGCTCCTTATCATCACGTGCACTAGCACATGACATCATGACGGCCGTTTGCCCTGTTTGCACCCCGTGCCTGTCACGTTCCTGGAAGCCTAACACTCGCAACCTCTGCCAACTTCAGTCAATCTCCATCGTCAAATCTCGCTTCCCCCGGACACTTGTCCCGTCTTTATATCTTCTTGTGGAATTTGTACATATTCTATGCTAACATGAATATACATGAGGGTTGGCTTCTCTGAACCTGGTTAGTCTACTGTTCTCCGATGCGGAGGCGTTTGTAAGCCTTCCACGTTCCGTTTCAAATGGCGCGCCCCGACAAGCGCATCAATCTTGCGGTTGCCAGGGCCATTCCGCCATTTCTACTGTGTGTATCGGTCTATGCATGCTATATCGTCACCAAGCCGTTATGCAGTAAGTACTTCCGCGACCCATGGTTTGCTCCTCGCTAATCATTCCGAATCAGTTGACTATCTAATTCACCCTCTCCCGAAATACCACCGCAGCAGTCGAGTTGGCGCTGGTGCAGCCATTCTCGCTGTGTTTTACATACTCCTCATAGTCGTTATCATCACTTATCTCCGGCTGTTGTATAATGTCATCCGCAACCCTGGCTACCTGACCCGCGCCCCTCCGCCGATAAAGGGACAAGATACGGAACCATCGGACCGGAACCATCACAAGAAGCGAAGAAGCCGAAAGGGAAGGACCGCCGAAAAACCGGATAATACAGAGATAGACGTTGAAAGGAGCCCTGATGGCAATGCTAATGGCGACGCATACCTATTGGATACGACTTCGTTGGAAAATTTCTATACAAAAGATGTTTTTGTTTGCCAAGAGGATGGAAGACCTCTGTATTGCTCAACCTGTTGTCACTACAAGCCTGATAGAGCACACCACTGTCGGGAGGTAGACCGATGCGTGCTCAAGATGGACCACTTTTGCCCTTGGTGAGTGCCCCTTTTTGTGGTGGCTGGTCATGACTGACAGTCGAGCAGGGTAGGAGGCGTGGTCTCTGAAACCTCATTCAAATTCTTCATTCAATTCGTCTTTTATACTATGGTATTCTGCGTATTTAGTTTAATCGTTTGCGCGACCTTCACGGCAGAAATCAAGCGAGATGTAAGCACCGGTCCGTCCATCATTCAGTCTATAACTAACTCTCTGTCATACAGACTGGTGGAGCCAATGTTCACCTGGCCATTGGTATTGGATTGTACGTATTCCGCTTAGCAGTAGGCTTCTTGGCCCTCTCTGACAATCAGCAGGAGCACTCTTTTCGGCCTTTTCACGTTTGGGATGACACTAAGTTCCTTACAACTTGCGATGTTGAACTTGTCCACGATCGAAAATCTCAACCGTCGGTCCGCAGTATGGACTTTGGCTATACGCGTGCCAGACCGGATGCTGGCCAGACTCAACCCGGAATCACGGTGGGCTCCGACTTTCCGAACCATAACTTATCCCCTGCCACCCACACCCCTCGACCCTGAGGCTGCGAGAGACTATCAACCAGCAGGAAAACAACATGTATTCGCCATTCTCCAGACTCTCCCTGGTGAGAACCCTTTCGACCTCGGCAGCCCTTTCAAGAACCTCCAGCAGGTCTTGGGTTATTCCATCATCGACTGGTTTCTGCCGCTCAAGCAAAGCCCATGCGCAGACCGCACTGGGGAAAGCTTCTACGAGCTTGGACCAGTTGTGTCCAGGCTGAAAAAGGAGGCCGGACTGGAACCTCCACGTGAGCCTGCGTCCACATAATCCGATACACACCAAAGACATAAACGAAGACACAGCACACATAGACCGTCGCAAGAGTGTTCTTGGTTGATCCATAGACTCCTTTATTATATACATTGAACCCATTAATCATTACAGTCTGGTCATTCAGCAGGTTGCCTATTTTTGGTTTTGCTTGGTCCAGCTCAAACCTACTTGGCTTTGTTTTTGTGCCATTCCAGGAGGCACAAATAAGAATATCAAGATAGCGCAGACTTCAAATTAATACGGAATAATTATTTCACCATACCGGGCCAGGCTGCTCCCCACCGGTGTTTAGAGCAGATCTTTCCGATTAGCCCGGAGAATACACCCGCACGTGGCGATAGCCTCATCTCGTGGCGTAGGGATTCCAAGGTACCAACCACCACCAATAGTGCTCGGGAGATACCACCTCCGAACTTTATCTCGACGACTGGAGATGGCATTCTTGATCGGTATTCTCGATCTAGCCCATTCTCCACCAACCTTGCGCTACTACTCCGTAGTGAAATCCACACTTCCGAGGTATCCGTATCCACGGTTTATAAAGTCCCACCCTGGTAAGAGACCATAATGCATAACAACACAATTGATGTACATATCCATAGTAGTAACCGGAACGCTACTGTACTATATCCAGCCCTTCCATACTCTCTCCGTTATTCTGGTCATAGTAACTATGAGCCCCACCCAATCGAATCTACTAACAAAACCCAGCATACACCGTTCGTATGTATATTACCAGGCAGTAGTCAGATAAGTCAGGCAACAACACACCCAAGTACCGATCAGTATCCCATATGCTCAGGACTCAGGAATCCACCAAAAAAAAAAAAAAAAAAAAAAAAAATGGAGATCTAGACTATCGTAAGAGCTAGCTAAATGCTAAATACCAAGGCTTGGGATTCTTGACCCTTCTTCTACAGATGAAGATGCGTACCGCCTTACGAAGTCCGTTTCCGAGCTATAAGCGATAGATTTCATGGGGTTTTTATCGAGTTCGTTGATTTTGGTAGGGGTACTGCTAGGGGCTGGATTGGACGTATCACTGATAGGTCATGTTTGGTCTCTTATCATTGGTTCTTCGGGGGGAGGATAAGATATTACGAACTTGGTAATATATGTATGTATGTGCTGCCTGGGCGGATAGGCAGCAATGAGACCCAGGCACCAATTCTACCAGTGTCACGTATGAATAGGTAAGACAACGTCAATTGAACGTACATGTAGTGATACACGGTAATCTACTCTAAAATCCAGTATACAAACATATAGCAAAACAAAAGCAAAATCCCGAAATCTAATGTACATGTAACGAAACACCAAAACCCAAAATAGAAAGATCTATCATGTTGGAACGCTGAGGTCATCACGCATCAGGAGGTATTAAAGTCGGATATAAGTGCCACAAGAGAAACAACAAAAGAGAGGGAGAAAAAGAAAGTAGAAAAAAGAGGATAAGAAAGAAAGCGAGAACCGAAAAGTCGTTGTAAGCAAACTTAAGGTGCTGACGGTCGTGACTCATGGGGTGTGAGACATGACAGCAATCATGTCTATGCAGCCTTGCAATACGCGCAACGGGTGTGACCGCAGACGGTGCAGCGGCCGGAGCTTAGGGCCGGGTTGTTCATTTGGCCACATTCAGAGCACGTCCACCAGCCGGCCATGGAGACGGCACTAGCAATGATGGAGATGATGGAGGAGGTGGCACTGGTCTTGTGGATGTGGTAGGACATCGCTGATAGGCTGAATGGGATAGAGTAGGATCTCTAAGGTTGAGGCTAGCTAAAGGTGATAGAGGCGGACGGGACGGTGTGGGGAGTGATGGGCCGGCGCAGTGGTTATTTGGAGTGGAGAGGTTCCTTGGAAGATGAGGGATCGATGTATATCTGTGGACTGTACAAGATATGCGATGTGATGGGGCCCTTTGAAGAGGATTGATATTGATAGGTATTTAGTTGTGCAGACAATGAAATGGAAGAAGAAGCAGCCGTGGACATCGATTCTCTGCTTATATGCGATTGCTACCAGTCTCGAGGGCAGACGCGTGGAACGAATTTCACCCCCTTGGACAATGTTGATGAGTTGTACAGGCGCTGCGGGCGATACACCGGGGCAGACGATACCCTGCAATTGAGGTGCCCTGGCCTGCACGACCAGAATGAAGCAGCAATGTAGGGCTTGTGAGGGGAAAACAAACCCGCGCACTCCGAATGGACCCGTCATGGGGAGTCGCCCAGAGTGTCGGTTCGACCTAGGCACCCGCAGGCAGAATCGAACCAACATAGGTCAAACGGGTGGCCCGTCCATAGCAACCTCCGTCCCGGTGGAGATGGGTCCAGGGCTGTGCGTGACTAGCAGGTGCTTGTACCCAGTAGCACTGGCCCGAAGGATTGAGTTCAGGTATCTGGGCAACGAGCCCTCAGGGCAAGGGGTGGCTTAGCTGGGTGGCTAGTAGGTTCAATAGTCCCCATCGAGTATGACTCTAGACGGGGAAGTCCGGGGCAAGGTCCTGCAGAAGAAGTCATGAGCATATCCTCACACCAGGGATAAACAGAACAAGAGAACTAGACGGCGGACTACGAAGGGAGTTGAACGCACAGGAAAATACATGTCAAACAGCATACTATGGCATTGTTGATAGAGCTTGGTCGTCCTATAGAGGGGCGAGCGCAGTGAGACCACTGCGATGCTCAACTGTCTAGAGCGTTCCACTATACTCTGTGCTTCCGTGTCAAGAATGTTTTGGGTTGCTTCCCAGCGATGTATTTGAGAGCCCACAGAGAGCATCAACTTGTCTCCCATCATTGTGTAGGACATTGTCAGGGTGCCGAAGGGGTTCAAATAAATCGCGCACTTCCTTTCTCTTGTCCGGTGAAGCAAGTCATGAAGCACTGGAGTGGATAATGGCGGCCGCAAGGACCTGCCACTGACCAGAGCACGCCCCATCCATTGTTTCAAGGAGTCTAATTGATGCCCGAGGGTATCGCATCCCTTGGCTTGAGGAAGCGGGCGAAGGTGCCCTAATTATTGCTCCACGAGAGTATAAGACGACCCGGACGACAACGGCACACAAGTATCCGGATTCCACGGGCAACCAAGGCTGCAATTGCCCGGGTGCTACGTGGCCCTCAGCAGCGGAGTGGCAGATGTCACACTCACCCGAGGAATGTGTGCCGGATTCCCGTTATACAGCTTCATCGGAAGGCTGGCACCGTCCTGGGATCGACAGTAACCGGTGGTGGGAGTGATCAATCTTCTAGAAATTCCGCCCGACTCCACTGACATGGCCATTCACAGCCCTTAATCTTAGTCGTGGAGCCCCAGAGGGAAGCCGAGTGCCTCAGAGTCGTCCGGGATGACATCATCCGCTCCCAGCTTGGCGAGGCGCAACTGAAGACGGTGGATACGAGGCCACGGATGATTTGCCCGGGCACCGGGCAGTGGAGGGCTCCGGTATTGGGCGCTGGGTCAGCAGTTGAGTCCGGACTAGCGAGAGGGCCAGGAATCTTAGTACACTGTCGAGATTCCGCATCGAGGCTCATTCGACTTTCACAGCAGACGGAAGAAAGAGGGGCAGTGGAGACTGACATGGTTTTGGGTGTGTTTCCGTGACTGCCGTCATCTCAGCTGTGAAGGGAATAGTATAATTGCTGCATGAGGGAATCAGATAAAATGGGCGCTCGTCATGTGGGAGCCCAATGACAGGGAGACACAAAGAGATGGGCGGCCAGTCAGTAATAAAGATGCCGTGAAGCGAGTGAAATGAAGGGAAAGTGATGATGAAGTGCCGATACATACACAAAACACACAGAATCCAACGGGGAGGCAAGAGTGGATGAGATAATCGCGGGCGGCAGCCAATCCGCAGCCGTGATGGCGCGTGTGCGGCTCCCGCCCGGCGAAACCAGCAATTCAGGATCCGTGGTTGGACATGCGCTTTCTTTACTCTTTGCTCTTCATTCTCCATACTTCACTTCCTCTGCTCCATCCTCCACCCTCGGCTCAGCACTCATCTCCATCATCCGATAAGAATATTCCTCTAGGACAGCACTGCTCCGGTCTCCAAGTGGAGATTCTCTACTATTAATCATTGTGCGGGAGTGTTTCGGGCCCCCGTTGATTGGGATCTCCCCGACGCTGATTTGTTTCTGCTGCTTCCCCTCGCGCATCTTGCGTCACACCCTCTCCGCCTCAAATTATTGAAGATCGCTTCAGGCCTCTGCTTCATCTTCACTCCAATCTCATTCTTCCCCCCCAACTAGCTGATACTCTTACACTTGCTCCTGTTAATCTACCCCTTTCCCTTGCTCCACTGTGCATTTCTTGGTTCCATCAATCAGTGTGTGCCATCCTTCAAATATCACCATCGGTTCCTCTGCGGTTGGCCTGTCACTTTGGGCATCGCCCTGTCAATCGCTGTCAAAAATTTCTTTTTTTCCTCCATCGTCCCCTCCCTTGCCTATCACGGGTTCATTTGACCCCTCAGGCATTACCCTTATTGTCTAGTCTTTTTCTGGCCTGGTGCCTGAACGGCTTTTCTCCCAATCCCCCGGCTGGGTTTTCTTTCTCTTGGTTTGACTATCCATCAAGCCTTTTCGTACTTTATCGCGAGCGATCGCAGAACCTTCTACGGCGCTTCGTCGCAGGCCTTGCGTGTTCTGAACCCCACATTTTCTCGGTCGGAGATAGTGCTTTGCAGCTCATCTGCCTGCAAGGGTGCAAGATGGGTCCCGCTGCGCGTTACCGGCCCATTTCTCCCAGCGGCTCGCGTGTGATCGATCCTATGCGGGCCTCCACCGGCACTGTGCAACTCAGTGCCTCCTACGACCCATACAATCTCTCCACGAGTCGGCCGGCATATCCCACCTACCATCCCGATGTTAACTATGCCTCCTCCTACGACCCACGGCTGGTCCGGGAACCACGACTGGAAGCGCAACAAATTTCTTCCACGACCTATCGAGATCCTGGCCAATCGACCAAGCTACGGACCGAGTACGCCATCCGCCCGCGAGTGCGGAGCAGCACCATGTCCGCTGTGGATCCTCGTTATGCCTCCGGCCGTTATGATACCCCCGCATCGCCCTTGTCCAGAGCGTCGCCCGTGATTGTCTCGGGCCACCAGCGAACCCCCAGCCCGCGTCGGGACCACGAGCGCTATGTTGTACCTGCATCCTCCTCGCACCGACACCATCGGCGACACCACCTCTCCCACACGGATTACGCCAGTGATACTGGGCGATTAGACCCCAATGATCGGGCGTCGCGGGCACGGATACTGCATGGGGGATACCCGGCGTATGAGCACAGCCCTCGTTTGCGGTATCCTCCCACCGGTGGTCTTCGGAAGGGCGAGGATATCGATGACTATGATGCGTACTCCTATACCAACGCGTCAGAGCAGTTCGAGAAGGATTCAGTAGCCAGGTTGCGCTATGGACGGGGCGGCGCCTATCCCAGAGACAGACCACTCAGTTTGACCGGCCTTGATGACCCTCACTTGTTGCCGCGAAAGGAGTCCCGACCATTGGGACCTCCGCCGTCGCAGAGGGGGTTTGATAAACTGGACCAAGGGGGGCGCGTGCGGCGCTCGACCCACGGCTCCGCTGACAGCGACCTAGATCTTGCGAGTGCCCGGCGGCGATCATGGCAGAGAGCTCCCGTGTCCCTCCATCAAGATATCGATGAAGGCTATTCATCCTATCGGGATGACCACGATCATGGTCACCATCGCCAGCATCGCCCCCGGCGGCACGATGATGACGTGAGTAGCCGATACTCCTACGATGATCGTGCTTCAAGATCTTCTACCGCCCACCGTGCCACAGCTTCACCCAGCACCGGGCTGGGGACCGCAGGTCTCGCCAGCGGCTACTCTGATAACCTGGACTATGACCTCTCCCCGCGGCCGGACCGCCATCGCTCCCGGGATCGGGGGACTCGTGACCATGAGTACCGAAAGCATCGCAGTCGGTCGCGGAGACACTCCAGACGACGCGCAGGAAGCGATTCGGATTGGCATAGCTCGGATGAGGATTTGAAGAAATACCGACGCGAACCGTCGGCGCACCGGATGCCTGCTGGCTCCGATGGATCCGCCAGCGGCAGCGACCGGCCGTCTCGGTACCTGACCATCGACCAGGCCCATCGCCATCGGTCCCGGTCCCGGCATCCGACGGAGGATGCACCTCGCCCCAAGGAGGCGAGTCAACCAGAGGTCGGTCGCCCGGACGAGGTCAAAAAGCCGGAGCCGGCCACGTCCAAAGAGCAGGAACCACCGGTGCCTAAAGGGATCCTGAAGCCTCCTCGTGAGAAGTTCCCCGAGGAGCCCAATCCGGTTCGAGAAGGCGTGGCGCCATTGAAGGACGCGCACAAGAAGGGGATTCCTCCTGGAGCGAGATGGACCAAGATTGACCGACGGCTGGTGAATCCCGCGGCCTTGGATGCCGGTCGTGAGCGGTTTGAGGAGCGCGCTGACTACGTGATCGTGTTGCGGGTCTTGACCAAGGAAGAAATCCAAGCGTATGCGGTCAAGACTCAGGAGATCAGAGGTATGTAGGCCCAATGAACCGACGGATCACAAGTATACTAACGAACATCTAGATGCCCGCTACCAAGAACTGGTCAAGGAGCGCCGTCGACGTCGGGATGAGGACCGTCGCCGCGGGCGTGCGGTGGACACCTCCAGCGACGATGAAGACGATGACGACGAGGACCGGTCACCTCTTGCCATCGAGGGACCGCCCGACGCGAAATCAGGACCTAAACCCAGCGAGCCTGGTAAACCAGCCGCCTGATCTACGGTGCTCTGTGTGATGTTTTTTCTTGATTGATTCTCTTTGTTTTGCGTTTTCCAGATTGAGATGCCCTTATTGTTCACGTGATGTCATGCTGGTCCAGATCACGAGCCGAAAGGCATAGAATGAGTGTACAACAGCGGACCGGCGTTGGTCGGGAAGATGGGAAGGGTGTATGGTTAATGAAATGCCTATTAGATGCAATGACCTTTCCGCACGGGCAATCCAACTATTCAAGCAATTGGAAGACTTGCAATTTCAGCGGGTTCTACGGCAGAGGGCAGATGTGCTACTCGGGGGCGCTGGAAGGGCTCACGAGGGTCGCGTTGGCAACGCGAGGCCCCCAAAGGGTCACCACAAGTAAAGCCGTCAACGGTCTTCTGACAGCGTCCCAGCCGCGGTTCCACCGTCCCACCCGAGCCTCCCTGTTAGTGGCTGATCTCCTGCGCGTGTTGAAGGAGACAAACTTCAGCAGTTGTCCGTGTCCGAAGCCTTGTGTGACGTCGGACGGATTGGGTATCCAAGTGCCCAGTTGGCTTTCTTTTTCTGCTTCGAGTCAGCCGGCCGTATTGCCATCAGCCTCTGACGGATCCGGCGGGAGATTGGATTCTGCATCGTGGCGATGTGCATGACTGGACTTGCCACAGATGGAACTATGCCTATGCCTGGGTAGATGACATAGGCCGAGTAGAGATGAATCAGTAGCATATTCTATACCACATTGCCAACTAAAACAGAGAACCAGATAGAATAAAGGAATAATGAAGTATACATACCTACCTACCTACCTACCTTCTTTCACATCCAACCCCCACCAATCCAATCACCATCCAAGAATCCCATCCATCCATCCATCCTCAGAACCAAGAACCCGCATCAAACAATATGATCTCAGTGGCGTCGTCGCCGTAGCGCATTACGCCGAGTAATTCCAGAACCAGGAGAGGACTTATTCGCCGCCCAGCAAGTTTCCGTGGACTGGACCTTATCTCACTGGACATCTGACGAGTGCAAGTCCCATGATCAAACCAAGGAACTGTAGCAAACTCAAGCAAACTCGGTATGGAATTAGTCAATCAGTTACGAAAGGGGATAATGCTCTGTGCAGTTTGGAAGGGGGGCGTGGATTTGAGTGAATGTGTGTGAGTGTGTGTGAAGCAAACATGTTTGTGTTTGTGTTGATTGGGTTCTTGGGGGGGTATAGGAGGGCTATAGGGGGCGTATTGGGAGTAGGTAGGAGGGGAGGGACTTGGGTTCGGGTGGGATGGTGAAAGCGGTACACTGGAAGTAGTGATTAGTGGTTTATTACCTGTAGGTGGCCAGTTGAGAAGAGGAGAAGGGAGAGGAGAAGGAGTGTCATAGGCTGGGTAGTGTTGGTCGAGAATGGAATGTTATAGGTTGGTTGTCATGTCACTGATATGATTAGTACTCCTACGCACCTATCAGTTTACGCTGTACGGAGTGAAGGTACCTATCATACATAGGTAACATACCTATATCCCTACGTATACATCCTACGCAGTACAGATAGCTCAGATTCAAATATGATGTGATAGCCCGACAATCTGCATCGTGCTGGTGCTGGTCTATGCTAATGCGTAGGGCTGTCTTCCGAAAAAATAACAACTAGGTATAAGATTACGATTACGATTAATCTTACTACGTGGATATTGATAATACTATGTAAAGGGATGATCATCCTTGTCTGTATGACACCTAGTACCTACTCCCTAGGTACTCCGTAGGGAGGTGTACTAGGATACCCAGGTCAATCCTAACGTTTCTGCATTATTGTTCTGACGGTTGGTGATGACTGACTGTTAGATGTTAAGGTTTGCTGGTGAGATTGAGTTTGGGTGATTTTTTTTTCTTCGTTTCTCTTTGTTGTGTAGATATGTGTATATCTTGCTTGGATATGAGGTATGGATGGGATGGGAATGTCAGGTATTGCTGGATAGCCATTTCGTATTCTTATCCAGTACCTACGGAGTACACAAACACCTATCTGCCCTTTCAGCTATGTATCTAGCTAGCTAAGTACGAGTACTGATGCCTAGACAGTAGGCACACCTCATCCCGTAGACCACCCCAATCAATACCACCCCCTAAAACCCCAAATCCACCCCCGACGAAACAAACAAACCAAAAAAAAAAAGAACAAAACCAAAAAGGAAAAGAATTCGGGAAAATCCAAGTAGCCGAAAATCACCCGTTATTAGCTTGCCGTCCGAGCGAAACCCCAACGAAAAAAGAACAAAGAAAGTCAGTATTATGTACGGAGGAGGAAGTATCTAGCTGATCCCGAAAAGAGGAGGGGAGGGAAAGAGGAGTAAGAACGCGACTAACGAATCATCCCGAGTCAGTTAAATTAAGACCGACACGCCTTATGTACCTAGTCATGCAGGCGCTGTGTCGTTGTTGCTGTCAGTTGTTTTTATCTATCTATCAAGCCATCCGTGCTGTGTATCTATCGAGGTAGCTACGTAGCTACTTGGGTGAGTATTGTGTCTGGTTTCTGAGCTGAACTCGGTTATTCTTGGTTTTGGGAACTGGTATTAGTTAGCTAAAAATATACCTACTACCTATTTTCTAACTGCCTACTATCGACTAAGTACTCGTAGTATCCATACTAACCAAAGACCAATTTCCACTTTCCACTCAAAAGTAACGAGAAACAAAATAATTCTCGGCGTCGGATGGTGGGGCCGGTCCTCTGTTTTACTTTGCACTTTAGCAGTTAGGAGTTAGACCTACGGAGTAAGTATCGAGTAGTGTAGTCTAGTTAGCGGGTTATTGTTGGGCCACACTGGTCTGGCTCTACGAGTGCTCTGCCCTTAGGGCTCAGATCACATGTTTTGGTCAGTGTTGGGGTTTGCGTTGTTTGTTGTTTGTTTGGTTGGTTGTTTTACCGGGCTAAAATCTGACTGGTATTTATCATTGGTATGTGTATTTCGTTACAGAGGGGAGGTATCTAGTGGGAATAGGAAAGGAGTACGTACGTAGGGAGTAGTGCTATTATTATTATAGGTACATGTCTTTGTTACCTTCGGATGCTAAGTTGAGGTGAGTTGAGGTGAGTGGTGGTGGTGGCAGTGGTGGTGGTGTGCTAAGTCTTAATAGGTAACTAGATAGAGAGTACTGCGTAAGGAACTGACTATACAAGATCAAATATGATAATACTTACTGGTTTAATTTACGCGAGATTGGATCAACCACATACACATCGATTACTTACATCTTGATCTGATGGCGTTCTGGAGATTGGGTGGTGGTGAAATTCGGAAGCCTAGTGGAAGCAAACATCCATCTTTCAGCTCAGCTTTCTGGTCTCAGTTTCAGTTTCCAACTTGCCGGTTGACGCACATGGGATACTGGCTTACACACATGATACTGTGAACACACCAAATGAATAGGCAAAACACGGCACTATACCTTCACTTCAACAGTATGATAGACCAAGTCAATTCCGTAAGCGGCTCTGGTCATGTTTCACTCACCCGCTCCGGGCGGAGACTGCGGACTGCGGAGAAAATACTCCGTAAAAGAGGGGTGTTTTGTGTGGTCATTGGTCCAGGATGGTATTATCAGTGCATTTTGCCGCCCGGGGGTTGGTTCAACTTATATAAGCTGCGTATGTACGGTGTACTATGTATGTAGAAGGGCTGTAAGACGGAGGAGAGAATGTTGATGTGGTAGGGATCGGCGGTGGTTTGGGCCTGGAGTCTGGTAGATGATTGGATGGTGTTTGTATTCTGGTGTATTGTTACTGTATCGATTGCTGTGCAGTTGAACTGCTGTGGTTATTGGATGGGATATAGGAGGATCAGTGACAATATTAGATAACTTAGGTCATGGTATGAATATCGTCAGTGCTATACGATTTTGAAGGCATGTGCAAGTACGGAGTACCAGTACATGTGGAATGCCGATCGGCCGAAGTCTCAATCCGTACCTATACTAGAGCGATAGTGCAGGTGTATAACTCTGCGTAAAGATGTACTAGACGTATGCAGTCTGTACTCACGGTCGAATATCGGACATTTAAGCTTCGCTCCTGAACTCAAAGAGGGTTAAGTATAGAACCGTCCGATCCATGGTTGTTCTTCACCTGATTTCAAATCAGCGTTCCGTGGGCGGAATGAACCTTTCGTTGTCTGGCTAATTAGTGACGCAGGGTTTGGTCGCATCTCCTGCCAAGAAGGGCCAAGCCGATTGATCAGATTCTCCATGGGGGGTGCATGTCTCTGGGGATGAGGTTCGTAGGGATGTCGAGGTGCTATGTAAGCTGGATGGTTGTCCCTGCTCGGGACGGTGATGTCGGCGGAGACATTCGATCAGGTACCGTCCAGGTCGCAATCGATACATCCCACGCCCCATTCCCCTCCCGCACTAAAGTAGACAGGAGCTTAGTGTCAAGCCAATGCCCTACGTATCAGACCCACTCGCACAGAATAAAATTACACTCACGAGTCACCAGTCACCCACGCCCCAAGGGCCACAGAATATCGTACGTTCGTCACTTCGTCTAGCACACTGCATCGAGCTAAGCCAGCTGGTTCGCGACGTTGCAGGATGATGTTATGATTACTTTTGGCGACGTCCGCCTGGAATCCCTAGGTCGCTGGTAGGCTGTCACGGTGGAGTCCACGGCGGGGCAAACAGGCTGCTGGCTGGCCGGCGAGACACCGTCGGTCCGGAGATCTCAGCTGCGATATTATTCGGGCCTGCTATGACTATAACATGGCCTGATATATGATGAGGGTATGACATCGACATTACATAAGTAACCGAAAGGCAAACCCACGGCCTACTGACGAGGCATCGCACTCGGAGTTTTGATTTGGTTCATCAGATGCTGCAAGCTCTGGCCAGGCCCCGTACATCAAGTGGAGGTCGCGATGACAGACACTTATGCATGCTAGATGGCATCCTTGTAGCAGCTACTTTGACAAGCTCGCTTTCCGTAGATGGTTGATCGGTCGGACCGGGATTGTCCTTAGTACGGTCGTTAAAAGCAGCGGCCAAGCTGATGTGCATCTGCCCCCAGCTGCCGATCACCACCTGAAGCATGCTAGCCATGAGATGATTACGGAGTACTCGGTGGGAAGAAACGAGACACGGCTAGTCCCACCCCAGCTGGATGCGCCTTTTTTGCGGATGTCGTGAATGATGGAGATCGGGCGGATGGCACGCTAGGCTTCGAATCGGAGGTTCGAGAACGCCAGCGATGGGGAGGGAGGGTGGTAGACACCAGGCAGGCTTCGCATAACCTGCCTCGAATTGGCCATGTCGTGTTGCTCCACGCCCGCTGCCATTGGCAGGCCGTAAGTACTTGCGGTAGCGCAAGCGCCGGAGTTGTGCTCCGTCTCAAGCGAGCAGCGAGCAGCGAGTGCAGCTCGACGGCTTTCACCACTGGTTCGATGCCGTAGAACCAACCGGTGCCCTTGTCGACGTTTCCTTTCAGTCGATCCGATGATATCAAAGCCAAAGGGACTGGCTGATCCACCCAGGGGTAACACTTAGCAATTAGCTGTCCTGGCCGGAGTCGGAAACGGAGCCCCCCGTGAATCGGCCAGAGAGTGGCTCCCCTAGCCTCCAGTGATCCAGTCTGCTAGTTCCTGTTTTGCGATCGGGATGGCTCCGCTTTTTCCCTGGCACCAGACTGCCTTCCTAATTCCTTGGTTCGCTATCGGTTTCAGCTGGAAGCCTTGAAGCATCGGGCCCGACGACTGATCCGATGTCATGCGCTTCTAGATGTGTCTACGGCCAAGAGACGAGTTCACCGCCCTGGACACTCCCGTGCTGTGTAGTCGTGGACCAGGACAGACAAGTCCTCCCCTCCGACTATCAAGTTAGCCCGCGCACTGGGCCGACCGCAGCTAATCTATCAGAGTTCCCACAATCTAATCGACACGCCTGAATTTTCCGAGCACGGCCTCCCGGCAGACCCATCCAGGGAAAGCCGCTGGAGGTGGCGGCCGCGAGTCTGGTGACAGCAGAGGCCATGTGTAGATCGGTCAATTGCTTGACAACATGATAAAAGGGCAAAAGCCATCAAAAGATAGCAACCGCCATCATCATCATTATCGTCAGACCAGCACGGAGCATCACCGCCCGTCAGGTCTGGATTCGTAACCCTCCGTCCGGTCCATAGTCCGGCTCCGGTCCCCGTGGTTCGTCAAAGCTTCGCCCGCCCTTCCCCTCTTTCGTCCAGAGTACCTGTCTAGGTGTCATCGCAAGCTCGGTGCAACTTGCTTCGGCTCGAGTCTCGAGTCTCGACAATGGTCGTTCGGATGGATCGACTGTCGCAGGACTCCATCGTTCTGGAACTGGCCGTCCACGACAACTACCACAAGGAAAACCAATCGGACGGCGCGTTCGGTTTTCAAGGGAGGAACAAAAGAGGGGCTAAGACTCGAAAGGATAATAAAAAGTGAAAACTCCATTGCAGCCAGACGGGAAAGCAGCACGAAAGAAACCGAGCCAAAGAAGAAGGGCCGGTGGGCGGCAAGCGACCGGGGGCACACGGAACTATGGGCGGACTTTAGCACCCTGCATCGATCACAATGAGTATGCCAATGGTAGGAGAGGTAGTCTGACACCGTTGCTTGCGTTCAGCCCAAAGGCTCCACCAGGCCGACGCTAAAGGCAGCTAAGGTGGTGAGCATGCCACACACATGGCCTCCTGGAGGGTGAGATTGGCGGCGTTGCTCTCAGCAGTTGGCGAACTCGCTTTAAACCAACTAAAGAGAGCTCCGATTACGACGACCCCCACTAGCCCGGTTCGGGAAAGTGCCAGTGTCCTCTTCCGGTCTTCCCAGTTCCCACGATGACTTGGAGTCGATGACGGGGCATGATGACTGATGCTGATGCTGATGTTGATTGCTGAGGTTGGGGACCGGTCCTCAGTCTGGAGCTCCCCACAACGCCCCCCCTCCTTAGGCTTCTTGGTCGGTCTCGGCCTCGACGGCTACATAGTACTAGATACTACTCCGTACGCCGCACAGAAGTAGCGGTAGTAGTTCGCAATTGTAGCCATCGGACAAAAGGCGTCCTAGGTTCCCAACTGCTGCAGTCTGCCCGCAGCAAAGTACACGGCATGCCTACTTAGCTCCTGCATGGGGCGAGGAGGTGGAAAACCTTCCCATTGTTAGTGAGCCGGACACAGCATCGGCTGGTCCCCCTTTCAACATATCATCCGAGACAATCCAGACGGCCTCGTCGGTGCCGTCCGATCCAGCTTCACATGGGAGTGGTGCACGAGGCCATTCTTATGCTTTTCTCGAACGGGAAAAGAACAGCGGTAACCGCAATCGGGCCATGGTTCAGCAGCGTTGCTGTAAATGTGTGGCTGGAATGGCTGGCAGCCTCTTATCACGGGCGCCTATGATTTCGGTCCACTGTCCAGTTTGCTTGCTGCCAGAGGCTAGAATCGTCCAAACACCTGCCGCCTTCTTTGATTTCCCAAGTCCAGGTGCCAAGGTCCACTACCGGTGGAGCCGGCCCGTGACTTCTGACAGGCTAGGCTGACTGAGGGAGCGTCCGGTTGACGCCTCGAGCAATGATCAAGTGGGATAATTAGAGTGCTGTTGTGGCCACAGCCCCGTCGGCCCATCCGGGGCGCACCGGCGCCTCCTAGCCAACGACACTACTCTGGGCGGCCAGGGTGACTCGATCGTCCACGGGTAGGTTCATCATGCCTCGAGTTAAGAAAGGTGTTGAAGCATGCCTGGATGCAGGAAGCTAGTCGCCGGGAAGCGGCAGGATCAGGAGTCCACCGACCTGCCAATGATGGATCGCCCGCTTTCCAGCCCAAGGGCTGGGGTTACACCGTCATTACTCTTCCTTTCAACAACAACAGCAACATCCTCATCATCCGCATGGCCAGAGTGATTGAATCATTCGACCGGCCACCGTTAGGCTGTCTCAAGTTTATTTGATCGGGGCCAAGGAGGGGTGGCTTGGATTGGATGACAATTCCCAGCATCAGCTTGCACAAATCCTCAAACTCTCGCATCGTTGAAACTTGAAAGAGCAAACAAACTTGGGGCGTACATGATACCCCATGCGCCGCTGACCCTTGTGTATAGTAAGTGCTACTAGCTAATCGTGCTTGATGGAGGGCCCGGGAGGGGTGCAATTTGTCGTGTGGCGCTCTGGGATGTGGGAACAAGGCTGACAGCAACAAGTTAGATCGGCTGTTCTCATACCGGAGTGTAACCAGATCGAGTCGCGTATTCAGTATTATTGACCGGGTGTCCCGCGAACGAGCAAACAGGCAGACAGATGGGGCTAAAATCATGAAATGACAATTTCAGAATAATAGACAAAGGGACTGAGGAGGAGAAAAAAAAAAGAAAAAAAAGAAAAGGCCGCATTCTAGCCGAATAGGAATGCTAGAGCAAAGAGTTACCAAACAAACTGTCTGGAATTATTTGAGTCCAGATCAGCAAACCCCGACAACGGCAACAACGAAAATAACGTCTCCAACGACCTGATCGCCATCACTATCATTAAATGGATGGTTAAAGTAGTGGTAACTCCGACGATCGAGACAGCGTCACAGGCCATGTCCACCAAGTGGAGGCGGCCTGTCAGGGCATCGCGGTTTTGGTTTGTCACCCGCCCATCCGCTATGATCACCATGCTGAGCTTTCACCATGACCCTTTTTAATGACGGGGGTACGGAGTCCTTTGGATTGGGATGTCCTAGGCTGTTCATGTGGAACAAAGACCTCATGGGTGGTACCTGAAATGGGTCGCTGCGAGATCCAACTCCGATGCTGAACTGGGACCGGGATGCCAGATCCAAAAGCTCCCTCCATTCTCTGTGAAATGAAGGGGTATAGTTCCTTGGTTGAATAAAAGGTTTGAACTCTGATGGGTGCCGTTCAACCCGGCGACCTACCCATCAAACTAACAACGGCTACTGTACTGTGCCTAATCCTCCCGGCGCCAATCTTCATTATTCCAGACCATCCAATTCCTACCCTCCCTCCCAAACCTAAAAAAAAGTGGGTGGTGGGTACTCCGTATCGGAGCCCAAAATGCCAATGGGGAATTTTGGATTTTTCTCATCCAGTCCGGACTCCTCATTCTTATTCTCGCTTCCGTCTATTTCGATTTTCCCCTCCCTCATTTGCGTTCATTTTAATTTGATTTGGTGCTCCTTGTGGGTGGGAGTCTAGAAGACCCATTGGAAGCAGCATTCACTAAGAGAGGCTAATGCAAAAATAGAAGACAAATAGTCATGATTAATGAACCTGCCCAACACGATCTGTCACAGCCATAGGGACACTCACCCCTCCACAGGCACACACCCACCCACACGCCCACTTGGTTTGAGGATGGATGGCAGCTGTTAGTTACCTAGCTGCATGCGCTCTTACAGAGCTCCTGGGTGGTAGGATGATGGACACAAAAATGATCTTAATATTTTCGGGGCTGTTATAATTATTCCCCTGCAGCATGATAGGCGGGGGAGAACTATGAGGATTATCAGTGACCATCCTCTCTCCTGTTCACCCATGCGATCCCAGTATAACTTAGGGCGTGCGATACATGGAGCTCTACCCGCCATCCAACAAGCAGTTGATCCATAACGTCCTTCTCTAAAACCACCAATTTCTTTTCACTTGTCCCCTGTCTTTGTTTGGCCTTCAGAGTTCATCTCCGAGGAGGTATTCAAGCACATAACCACCGGCGAAACAACGGATCCGCATCTGCTCATCATCGACATAGTTTCGAGATCTCGACGCTTGGCGGTTTCTTCCGATTCTTTGTCTTTGGTCTTTGTCTGCCTTTTCATTTCCTGCTCTTTTAACTTTTGCCATCGTCTCTTGTACACCCCGTTCCATTACCGCTTTTGCTGGCCGGTTTTACCTACAAGTTCAAAGGGCTCAAGGTACGGAGTACGCCTGTTTTCCTTGCCAATCACCCCTACCAGCCAACGTTCTTATCGTCAAACAATTCCCGAGTCCGCAGCCATGTCAGTGGTGGGATCCAGGTAAACTGTCACCCGCCGCATCCAACATTGCTTTTTGCAGACAATGTCCCCTACTGTATGCCTTACTCTGCGTGTCTTCCTTGGAAATCTGACTCTGATATTTTTTACTTTTTTTTTATTTTGGCATTTTTTATTTTTTAAAATTATTTTTTTCTATTTTTTCTTCTTCTCCCATCTTTGCCCCGTCACCGCGTTGTGAGCATCGGCCACTGCACGCTGCAAATCATCTTGTCAGCGGAGCTATTCCCTCAATTGCACCGTGTCGGTGGCCAGGATTCATTCTGGTCGAGTCAATCATCTTCATACTCCCAAGTGTCGCATTCGGGTTCTACTCCTGCGTCCTGCATCCATCCTGGTCAATATTACACCACCTTCCCGCTAGTTACAAGCTCATCCTGATATCCCCACTAGTCAGTGCATCCTTCTGACGCTGTCCTGCCCTCCCTCACTGTCTGCTCTCCTCTTCCCTTTTTGAATTTTCCTTTTCCCTTTTGAATCCTGAATTTCTCGAATTTTAATTTGATTTTCCCAATCTCTCTCCCTGCTTTAATTTCGCCCTTCCAAAGCTCCTCCACTGCCCCATTCCTGTTCTGGCATAGCTACCACTCGGACGACTCGTCTGGCTGAAGGATGGGTCGCCGGCGCAGCTAAATAACGACCCTGGACCCTCCACATTACACTTGCACTCGCATTGCACCGTTTAACCAGGTCCATCACCAGCAGTTCCCCCCCCTCCCCCTTCGTCCCCTCCCCCAGTCCAGAGCCACACGGACCAACGAGCCACTACCGTTACCTTCAGCCTCTCATTAGCTTTTCTCCTCACAAGCTCCCCTACTAGTCTAGTCCAGATATCCTTCCCGCAGCCGTTTCTGGCCCCCTCCCCCCCCATCCCCTCCCCCCGTCGCCCCGAACTATCTTCTCACGCGCATCCTTTCTTACCTCCCGGACCCAAGCTGAACTTTGTTTTATCTCTCTTCCCAGATCCCTTATATGAGCTCAAGCCATTGAGGGAAGAGTGCGCAACCGTCAAACAGAAAAAGAAATTCCATCCCCGGCCATTCGAGGTCAGTCATGACCGGCATGGTTCAGACTGACCTAGCTCATCCCACTGCACCCAAGTACAAGGACGAGCCCGTCGACGATCCGGTGAGTGTCTTCTTGCTAACTGCTTAACCCATGTCTCCTGCTTGTCATGCTGTTTTTCTTCTCAAGGTTTTCTTTTTTCCCTACGCTTGCCTATCTTTGTCTTTTTTTACCTACGTTGCCTGCGTCAGCCCATGCCTTTGTCTGCATCCAAGGACTACCCCGTCCACGCCGCATGAGCGCTACCAGGAGAAACCCGGGAGTATATGAGCATACGGATAGAGTCCTCGCTCAATGAACCCGTATACGAAAAGCCTTGCCGTCTCACGTTCCTATCGCCATGACGTTTCCCGCAGTGGGCCAGTGATCGATGCACGGACTCCTGGTCTTCCGCTGCGTGGCGAATCTGCGACGTGCCATACTCAAAGTTCGCATAATCTTCATCATCTTATGACTGAAACCTGCCAATGAGGCTGGGAGTTCTTCCGCAACCGGTCTTGCCCCAACTTTGTCTTGGTCTCTAGACGCGTCTGCAGAAAGTCATTGCTGACTCGGCCTTGACTGCTTCGCCAATTCGGGCACTCTATCCAGACCTCACGTGTTCTCTTTCCTACGCTTTTCATTTCCCCTGGAGGGGAGATTACCCGCTGGCTATTTGCAAATGTCTCGAATTTACATTGCGGTTGGGGACAAATTGGCCGGGTTGGCAGAAACCACAATTGGGTCACCAGTTGCCAACTACTGCCAAAAAGGCTTGCCGGTTGCAGTGACTTCCCTTGTGGCTTGTATGCATTCACGGGCGCAGCGGTCTCTTCATAATCAACTACCTTTAACTACGGAGGACCTACACGGCTTTGGCCGGAGATTGGATTTCCTAGTGACTACCGGATAACCTTGCCCCAATTTCGGCTTCCCTTGGGACATCTATTCCTGAACACTTGGCTCTTTGTCTTCTTTCCTGATGCGTTTAACTTCCTGGAACAAACCCTGCCCGCAAATCTTCCGGCGTTGAGGTCTCGATTTTTGCTCTTGGATTTGCTACAGATAACTGCGCTAACGGTGGTTTGATCTCAGCATCGGCATCCAGGCCCGCAACCTCCTCATCTTCAGCATCCCAGGCCAACAACACTTGTCCAACCACAGAAGCAACCAGGCTCGCCACACCAGCCACCCACTACATTACCCCCCGGTTCATACGCACCTCACGCGCTAGGTAACGGAGTCTTACATCACCAGCATCCTTACGGCCCGCCATCTGAGCCATCGTATTATTCATCTCATTCTTCTTACAGTACCGCCAGTGCACCAAGCCAGTACTCGTCGAGTGGTAAGTGTGAAGCAGCGCTCATCTAGTGAATCCTTTGCATAGTCATGAACTTCGTCATGAATGGTTACTCCAGTTTTTTTCAACCAAGTCGACTAATGCATTGCGCAGGTCCGCCTGAGATAATGGCTACCGCCACGCAAATGCAACGGCCATACCCTCCGATATATCATACCCCTCAGTCCAGCTCTCCTGCCTCGGTAGCCTCTCAGACACATGAACAGCATAATCGAAGTCTATATACTCAATCGCCTCAAATGACATCGCAAATGTATGGCTATCAGCCATACTCGCCTATCAACCCGGTGCAGCCACCGCCATATGGCTCGAATACATCCCCCCAACAACATCCCCTCACGTCACAGTCGTTGATGATGCCTCATCCCACAAGCTCCGCGCAGTTGCCACATCACTCTGCACAGGCTTCAACCGGAAACATGTCGAGCAGCCCGAATACTGCGACGGCGCAACAGCCAACGCCGCCCCAGAGGACCATGCTGAACCCACCCCATCCTACCTCCACAGGCGCACCTATATCGGCTAGTGCTGTTCACCATCAAAGCTCCAATGTCGGGGCCAGTTCCAGCGCGGCACCCGGTCCAATTCCCGCTACGACGCCCCTGGTGGTACGACAAGATAGCAATGGAGTACAGTGGATTGCTTTTGAGTACTCCCGGGACCGTGTGAAAATGGAGTATACTATCCGGTGCGACGTTGAATCGGTTAATGTGGATAATCTTAGCCAGGAGTTCAAGACCGAGAACTGCGTGTACCCTCGAGCCTGCTGCAGCAAGGACCAATACCGCGGCAACCGGTTGGTCTACGAGACAGAGTGTAATGCCGTCGGATGGGCTTTGGCGGAGCTCAATCCCGCATTGAGAGGCAAACGGGGTCTGATTCAACGTGCGGTTGATAGTTGGAGGAACAGCAACCAAGACCCTCGGCTTCGGAGCCGGCGCGTGAGAAGGATGGCTAAAATGAACAAGCGGCAGGGAATCCCAGTGCAACCCCCTCATATGGCCCCCTCTACTCCTGTTGCCCCGGGGGTTCCGAGTGCCAGCATGCCCGCTCCTGCTTCCCGCCCCAGCCTGGGACCACTGCCCATGGGCCCGCCACAGCTCCACCACCACCACGCTCAACCCGAAGGAAGTACAGGCCATGAAGAAGTTAGCGGTATGTTCCACCACACATGATGTGCTTATCTCTAACACTGCCTCCAAACTACCAACGGTGCTCTTGATTGACTTGCCCTGTATCATTTGATCTGTTTCCCAACTTCGTGTCGGCGGGTTCCCCCCCCCCCCCCCCGGTCGATGGACGTGGAATCGATGTGTTTCTCTCTGAATGATGGATACTGTATCCCCTGTATTTCTATTGGGTCTGGAGAGGCTTTCTGTCGCTTTTCTTTCGTTTTACTCATACCCGCTTCATGTTTCCCGTGTTATGCTACATTGATGCTGTACCCTGTTGTGCTTCCAGACATGACGTGCCACCTGCATTTTTGCGTAGGCTAATTTATATATTGTCCTATCATATATAATAGGTACCACTGACTTTACGAACGGTACCAGTCGTCCACCGGCCCCGGATGGCCTTCCTCAACCCGGCCCGTCACCAACGGACATCCGCACGGCGCAGGTGTTCCATGGCTATCCGTCCTACCCGACTCCCGCGAGTGCTTCGGGGGGACCGCGAGGACCGTCGATACCACCACTGCTTCGAGATAGTGGGATCGGATCTCTTGGACGTCACCCGACCATCGCAACATCCTCGAACCGAATCGAGGAAGTGGACGACGACGATGATGAGCGCAACCCAAGCAACGATGCCCTGTTCGGAACCCTTCCCGAGGGTAAACGCCGCAAGTTTATCCTGGTGGACGACAACCAGCGGGGCTGTCGCGTCCGTGTCAAGGTGATGTTGGACCAGGTTGATATGGACGAAATTCCGGACTCCTACCGCCTGTCCAACTCGGTATATCCTCGGACGTACTTCCCTGTTCAGATGAGAGACCCCCCAGGGCGAGTCTTACCCGGCAATCGGTACATCAAGGACCACGTCGGGGCTGCTGATGATGATGACAATGATGAGAGCTCGACGATTGGGAAGATCATGGTCCCGGCACCCCAGATGGACGGGAATGGTGAGATTGCGGTTCCTAGGCTGTCGCGAGGCCGACGGAAGAGAGAAGTAATTTTGAACGACCTGGGTTACCGAATGAGCTGGAGCCAAAGTCGAGTATTTGCGGGGCGGATGTTGTTCCTGCAGCGATCTCGTGCGTGATCTTCCCCATCCCTATCCCCCTTGCGTCGCCTGCATATCCACTTGATGGCGTCGATGCAGTCCCCACCTCGGAGACGGAAAACCGTGACTAATCGTTGTCCCCGTTTCGGGAATGTAGTTGACGCGTACCGGAACAAAATGCGCAGTACGATGCTGGCGGCGGGCCAGGAGCCGGCCTCCATCCCCCGGCACTACGAGACCCGCGCGGGAAAACGACGATTCCTCGAGCGTCGGCGGCGGGCGGCGGGGGCGCCGGTTCGGGGTGCCGGACTGTCTGCCTCGCAGCGCAGTGCTGAAGAAGTCGAGGCCTAAATACCATACCACCCGGGTGCCCGTGGCTGCCCTGGAATTGGCGCTCACGGTAGTTTCATTGACTTTGTTTGGTTGTCTGTGTTTGTGCCTGATCCTTCTGCCGGGTTGTCCCCGACGATATGACGGTGGGGTGACAGTGACTATGGGCCGCTATGTAAAGTAATAGAAACTGTGGGGGGGCAGGAGGAATATGGCATATGGCGGTCTGATGGATCGGGCGTTGGACTTTTTGGATATCTTCTATGTTGTTGACATGATTGTGATGATTTAACGGCAGATTCCACCTTGAAAATACAATGAGCGATGATGACTTATGATACGGTATAGTGGCTGAATGCAATGTCGCCAATTCCCCCGATGCCTTTCTTTGATATCTGAACGCCACTTGCGTGGCAGGGATGAGGCCAAGATGACCATGGCGCCTGCGACCGAGCGCAGGCCCGAGGTCGTGGCATCCTCAGGCCGCCTGGTATGTGGCATGGCGGCGTTACGTACGGAGTATTGTACCAGAATCCGTCGAGCTGCCGCATCCAGGATGCTCGGGGCGTTTTTCCCACTCCGAGCATCTCTGGGGGGATCGAGGAGGGGCACGTGCAGCCCCCGATTCCGATTAGTCCGACCGCCCGGGGACCGACTCGGGGAAGGCACTAAACCCGGTGGGGCCTAGTGGCAGCTGGACCCTGGGTTTTAGTACGACGCTGCGACAGGGCAGAGTTACATACATCCATACATAGTACAGCTAGTCCCGATGGTTGTCGGGGCCACCGCCGCCCACGAGGGAAAAGTAACTCGCCATCCTTTTAACCTTTGCTTCGTCACCATGGATTCTTTCCTCACCTTCCTCATCTCCGCATGCAGTCACTTACTTCCCTCTGGCTCAGTCTGTCCTTTATTCCGGGTTGACTGGTCTCTCACATCCCGATATCCCCCCATTCACCCGCCTTTCCTCCCCCTCACGTCCCGGATCCAAGACATCCCCGAAACCTAGTTTGCATCCAGTCTGGTTGAGTGTCTGCCTGGCCTGCCCTTCCCTTGTGCCGCTGGTATGCTGACACTGCCGGTGAGTCGCAGTTCCCTTTGCAAGATCCGGCCGTCCCTTGGGTGACTTCCGCGGGATCACCTACGAAGCAGACCCGTGGTTCCGGCCTGCTGTCAGACTGTTCTTGTTTTAGTAACACCCAGTCAGGTTCCGGTCCTCACTACTAAGCAACACTACGACTGCTGCTGTTGCTGCTGCTGCCGTCGTCGTCGTCGCTGCTGTTACCTTCCCAGAGACCGCTTTTCTGCCCTTGCCTCGTTCTACGTGCTGTCTTAGTTGGGTCTTTCACCATCTCTCTCCCTCTTGCCCTCCTTCATCTCCTTTTTCCGCCACCAGCTTTCTACCCATCTTATTCTTACTTACCTACTGTCTCGATCTTCCCTAAGTCGTCTAGGTTATCTCAGTAGCGCCGTTCGTTACAGCTTCCAGCATGGCCGGTGCCAACCGGCCCTTTAGTTACAGTCGCGGCGATGATGGGTTGGTGCGACCAGACACGAAAGTGATTCCGCCCATGCGATCGGCAGATGAAGGCCTCTACAGCACATCATACGGAGAGACGTCGCCCATTTCTGCTCGGGATCAGGCGCAGAGTCGGCTGTTCGATCGCGGTCTGCCCTCAGTTCCGGAGGGTCAGCGTCTAGAGCGGCACTTCACTGCCACACCGGGTATGGACAATCTCGGCCCAGCTGCTGTGGGCGGCGGAATCAGTGGTATCGCGCTTGGCGTGGCCAATTCTCATAATCGCCGGAGTGGGGTTGACGCTTTCAGGGAAACAGATGGTCCGCTTCACAATGTCCCCGCAGAACGGGATTTCAACACCACAGGCTCCGATAATCCCTATGTCCCCGCACCGCCGGATGGAGCGGTATACTCCAGTTCGGAGACGTCGCGACTTCGCGATTCCTACGGTTCTTATGTCGGACCTGGAACTGGGTCGGGTTCAGCAGATCATGGAACACCAGGGACCACTCCATCTCAACGTAGCTTCTTTGATAGTCCGTATCAAGGTGTCGATGCGGGACCATATCAACGGCACTCGGCCTACAGTTCTCACGACTATCCGCTCGTCATTAATCCGGACGATATTGCTGACGACGGGGATGATGGTTTTGCTGTTGTTCCGAAGGGAGCGGGGAACTACAGATCTAACGGTGGTATACCTGCTGCAGGGGCTGGCGGTGCCGCGGCTACCGGGGGGTTTTTTGGTTGGCTTCGAACCCTTTTCAAAGGGAAACCTGACCCTAACCGCCCTTACGGCGCAGTCTCCGGTGATGGTCTGGAAATCGTCGAAAAGGGTCAAGGGGGTACACACATAATCGGCGGAGGCAGCCGCAAGCGCGGTTGGATTGTTGGGCTCGTTCTGGCGTCGATAATCATCGGGGCTATTGTTGGGGGTGCTATTGGGGGTACACTCGGCCATCAAGAACATGACGGGGATCCATCGTCGGTGGGAGGATCCAGTGGCTCGGATGGTACGAAAGACAGCGATGGATTGCTCGACAAGAATTCCGACGAGATCAAGGCCCTCATGAATAACCCAAACCTCCACAAGGTGTTTCCTGGTATGGACTACACCCCTTGGGGGGTGCAATATCCGCTGTGCCTCCAATACCCTCCGTCGCAGAATAATGTTACCCGCGATCTAGCGGTTCTGACCCAGTTGACAAATACCATCCGGCTGTACGGCACCGACTGCAATCAGACGGAGATGGTCCTTAATGCCATTGATCGGTTGCAGTTGACGAACATGAAGGTCTGGCTGGGCGTCTGGATTGACACCAACCAGACGACGACGGATCGACAGATCAGCCAACTGTATAAGATCGTTGAGGACGCGAACGACACCTCCATCTTCAAAGGGGCAATTGTCGGCAATGAGGCCCTATATCGAGCAGGCTCCGATGTGGCTAGCGCCGAAACGAACCTGATCGGCTACATCAACGATGTGAAGGACCACTTCAGGCAGAAGAACATCAATCTCCCGGTGGGCACGTCGGACCTGGGCGATAATTGGAACGCGCAACTCGTCAGTGCCGCCGACTTTGTCATGTCGAACATCCATCCGTTCTTTGGGGGCGTCGAGATTGACGACGCTGCCAGCTGGACGTGGACGTTCTGGCAGACGCACGACGCCCCGCTGACTACGGGAACGAATAAACAGCAGATCATCTCCGAGGTGGGGTGGCCGAGTGGTGGAGGGAATGACTGCGGAGCCGGCAACAAGTGCCAAAATGACCAGGAGGGCGCCGTGGCCGGCATCGACGAGATGAACCGATTCCTGTCGGATTGGGTGTGTCAAGCGTTGGACAATGGTACAGAGTATTTCTGGTAAGCATAGCCCGTTATCGCCGTGGCGAGACCTGTCTGACAATATGCAGGTTTGAGGCATTCGATGAGCCGTGGAAGGTTCAATACAACACGGAGGGCCAGGAGTGGGAAGACAAATGGGGCCTGATGGACTCGGCTCGCAAGCTGAAGCCGGGGCTCAAGATTCCCGACTGTGGCGGCAAAACGGTTACGTGAACGCACTCGATGGTTCGCGACTTTACGTCCTCTACCTAACGACCCGTGTGATGATGGAATCGATGTATACAAGATATCCGAGATACACCATGTGTTATGATGCATTACGGCTTGATCAATTTAGCTCTGTGGGTTGCTTGCGGTGTTTGAGCTTTCTGTCCTGGATTGTATTCTACTGGGCTGGTGCATGGGTCGGCTGCACTCATTCCTTTGCGGAGCATGCCGACGGTGTATCCGGCCGCGCGTGCTACGCGCGCTGATTATTTGATGGCGTGCCTGTATATAGCGTGCTGAACACTTGATGTCGATGGTCTGTACCATCTAGGGCTGACGAATACCACCCCTACTTGGTTGCAGCTGGCCGTCCCGCGCATGGCGTAGGTGTTTCGTAGATGACGGTAGGTCATTGTCCGCTGTGGACATAGCGATAGGTGCCAGGCGCAAGGCGCCAACTGCCTCTACCATGCTCAATCCCTCTCCTCCTGGGGATAGTAGACGCGCATGTTCCAGAAGGCATGTTCCTGCTCCTCAAACTGCGGCAACCGCACCGAGCCCCTAGACGCCACGAACCGACTCACCTCCTGGGATTCAACATCCTCCAACGGGCCCCCAAACACAAACGAGGGATTCACCGCCAGCACCTGCTCCAGATGCGCGCGCTCGGCGCCCGGGCAAAACAGAAAGGTGCGCGAGGAGATCTTCTCGAATGCGAGGGGGGTCTCGAGGACGGTGATGTCGAGGGAGGCCAGGAGGGATTTGTCGAGTTCGTTGAAGACGGGGTCTTGGGCGTAGGTCTTGATGGGGTGGGTTTGTTGGGTGGTTGTTTCTATGATAGGATTGTTAATTAGTAGTGCAATAATAGGTGTCGGAGGTAATAGTAGTAAAACAAGCAACCAAGAACAAAGTACATATAGTCATAAGAAAAGTAGCAGAACAGATAAGAAAGACGAGAAACACAAGAAAGGATAGGCCACTCACTCAAACAATCCACCACACTGACCAACGCAGCCAATTGATACAGGGAGACGGTTCGACGATCGACCCAACCGCCGCGCAGGAACCCGCTTAGACTACCGAGTCCGATGCAAATTATAGAATCGATTTCGTTGTCTGGTTGTGATCCTGGGTGTTGAACGGTCTGTTGGAGTAAAGTCTTTTCCACGACAGACCAAGTCGGCGACTCTTTCCAGACGCGCAGGGATTGTTGGAATTGGGTGTGCAGGTCGTCTAGGGTGAGTTTGGGAGGGGCTTCGGCGGGGGTGAGATGCGATGGGATGTCTTGGGGGTGGGTGGAATCGGTGGTGGTGCGCACACAGCGACGGGCATTGCCGCTGGTGGTGACATGCGTCCAGCCGGCGGCGTCGGTGATTTCCAGGCGTTTTTGGGCGGTGGTCTGGGATCGGGAGGGCTTTTTGCGGGAGCTGTGGGGCATGATGATCTGGCTTGGGAGTTTGAGTGGTTGATGGTGGGCTGGATGTTGGAGTTGGGAATTGAGAAGTGGTGTTGGTTGGAGGGAACTTGGAAGATGCACGAGAGGAAAGGAAAGGAAAGCAGCGTGACGGCGGAGATCGAGTGGGCGGTAAGTCGGGGGGTCTGATTGGTTGCTGAGGGCACCCGAACAGACAGCCGGATAAAGCTTCAGTCCCAAGAGAAGAATTGCATCGCTCGCTGAATGGCAGAATGCGGGCTGGATGCAGCGGGAGGGAGGAGCAGCAGCAGCAGCAGCAGAGCAGTCACTCCCACCCATGCAGGACGATCGTCCCATCACACTGCGATCACCTCCCCTTCAGCCCCTCTCAGTCGATCTCTAAGCGCCGTGCCCGGATAGCGCCCGTCGTTCCCCTCATTCTAGTCTTCCAGGGCCCCGACCCGGCGCTACCACCAGCCTCGTCTCCGCGAATGACCGGCCAGAATCGCCCTGGTCAACGTGATGGCTCTTGCAGCCCGCGTCTTGGTCTCTTCCACCGTCCAATCCCCGGCGAGGAATGTCCCTCGCTCGTCTCCTCACGGGTGCAACCCTGGTCCGGACTGGCTGCCGCTATCACCATCCATCCTCCACTGCCCGTTGAACCGTCGTCCCTCGACGACGCTGTGCCTGCGGGAGTTGTCACATTGCGCTTTGCTCTGTGACTCGTCCAGACCGTCTGCTTTCCCCGCTGCACGGCGAACGTGAGCGCCATGGCAGGAACCGGCCATGTCTCTGTCTCGACTCAAAAAGTCCCGTCAGCCCTCCTGGCGCTGGAGGCTTGGTTTCATGATGATCATTCCTGCAGTGCTGGATCGCTCGCCGTGACTGTGAACTCTTGATGGGATTCTAGTCGAGGATATTCAAAGCTTTTACCTCCTGTGGCGCTTCTGTTCGAGACTTGCTCTGTGCTCTGTCCCTTTCCTCCTTCCTGTACTCCTCCCTCCCACCCTCACAATGAGAACCTTCACAGAGTCGATACCTCGGTGGACAGCAGCCCTCACGCTGCTTTGTCTGAGCCTGGTCCATGCCCACTCCATCATCACCTACCCAGGATACCGCGGCAACAACCTCCACACCAACGGCACAGTCGAGCAGACGAACGGTCTCGGAGTCGCCTATGACAATGGCTCCTACGTCTACCCCTATGGAATGCAATGGATCTACCCTTGTATGCTCCATCCCAGCTTCCTCCTCGAAGCCCTAAGCCGAATGACTGACACTGACTGTTCCAGGCGGCGGTATGCCCACCTCCCGCAATCGCACCAAGTGGCCCGTCACCGGCGGTGCCGTCGCCCTCCAACCAGGCTGGTTCCGCGGCCACTCGACGGCCTTCATCTACATCAACATCGGCTGGGGCACCATCCCTCCCAACATGAGCAACCCCATGGTCTCCGTCTTCGAGATCACCGGTCCCACCAACGACCCCTACCCCGGCACCATCTGTCTCCCGCAGGTGCCCCTGCCCGCCAACATGACCGTCAGCCCGGGTGACAATGCCACCATCCAGATTGTCGAGGCCGCCAAGCACGGCGCTGCACTCTTTGACGTACGTTTCCCCCAACCCTACACCAAGTGGACTATGATACTAACCCACGACAGTGCGTGGACATCACCTTCGCCGAACCCGAAGACGTCGAAGAAGTCACCAAAGAAAACTGCTTCAACTCCACCGACATCGGCTTCCGATACGTCTTCGCCTCGCAGTCCCTGACCTCCGGGGCTATGGCGCGCATGGCCAGCCCGGGTGTGATGGCTGTGGCGCCGATTCTGTTGATTGTCGTGTTGGGATCTCTTATGATGTAGATGCCTGTTTTTCTGTTATTGTTATATCCAAGTACATACCCTGTCTCTCCTTGGTTATCATACCCCATGGCTGTGAGTCGAGCCGATAATGACTCGTTGTGAGCATGTAATGCTGAATGAATGAATTATGTTTTTGATTGAGAGTGGCGTTTTGGTTGAATGATTGGGTAATGGGTTACGTATATATGTGAATGGCATTCCTACTCCGACTTACTTCTATATGGTTCGTTATGTATAAGAGATCTATCTCTACAACCCCTTGACCAACCCCAGAATCACCTCCACCACCACCTCCGGACTCTCCTGCGGCGCCCAATGGCCCACCCCATCCACCAGCCTCAACTCCCGGAAATTCGAACACACCGTCCCATCCCGCATCTTCTCCAACGCCCCGGGCTCCTGATAAATGCCCCAATCCTGCCTCCCCGACACAAACGCACACGGGATATCAATCTTCCTCCCCGCATACACCTCCCAATCCCAGGTATATTTGCCCCCCTCGGCCGTCCGCACGCGATACCAATTCAACGCCCCCTGGAACCCCGTCCGTGCATACTCGGCCACATACACCCCCAGTTCCTCCTCACTCAACCACTCCCGACATCGCTCCACCCCGGACTCGCTCGCCCCCCGCATCAACATCTCCACCGCCTCGGGCATACTCGCCTCCGCCGGCATGATATAGTAATACGGCATCCGCGCCAACTCCTCCGCCGTCCATCCGCTCAACATCTCCGGCTGATTCCCCTCCCACGCTCCGCTCTTCACATGGAAATACCCCCGTAGGAACGCATGCATCCCACCCGCCGGATTCTCCATCTCCCGACTAGCAGCCTCCGTCGAGTAATACCATTTATAATGTTTTCGGCCCAGTGCGAGGAGATCTTCATGCACGGTATCCCTCCCACTTCCTCCTCCTTCCTTTTCCTCCTCCTTCTCTGGCCCTTTCCCCTCATCCACCGACAAAGAACCCGACTCAACATCAAACGGCACCTTCGGCACCCCCCCAAACGGATGACTCAACAACACGACCCCCCGAAACAAATCCGGTCTCGACACCGCACACATCGCCGCCGTGACCGCCCCCGCATCATGCCCCACCACACATGCCACGGACGTATACCCCAGCGCGTACACGAGCCGGACCACGTCCCGTACGAGCGACGTGCCCGTGAACGTGTTCAGGTCGACGGTGTCGTAGGGGCGGGTGTCCCAGCCCGTCGTGCGGCCGAAGCCCCGTGCGTCCGGGGCTACGACGTGGTAGCCGGCGGAGGCGAGTTGGGGGAGCACTTTGCGCCAGGAGTAGGCGAGTTCGGGGAAGCCGTGGAGGAGGAGGATGAGGGGTTTGCGGGGGGTGGTGGGGGAGTTTTGGGAGGGAGCGCCGGATTCGAGGATGTGGGTTGTTAAAGGGGGGGTTGGGATGAGGCGGGTGGTGATGGTGGGGGGGAGAGGGAGGGAGGTCATGATGTAGTGATTGTTTTTATATACTGATATACTTTTGAGGGTGGGTGTGGTGTGATGGGAGATGAGATGGGGGAAATGGGATGGGGAGGGTAGGAAGAGTATTATGTAGATGGTACAGGCAGCATATGATCGCTGCTGGAACCCGAGGCAGATATGAATGTATGTATGGATGTACCTTTGGACAGCTCTACACCCAAATTACGTGCAGTCTGGTCGATGATGTACCAACTGCCCGTCCCGGCTTAGCGGACGGCTTGGCTTGGCTCATGACGCAAGAGCCCAACCGGGAAACTGCGCTGAACTGAACTTTGATTTCATGTTCGGCTTTCCTTTTTTCTCCTGTTCGTCCCTCCGACGTTCCCTTCGCTTCATCTCCTGCTTCTCGCTGCATCCTTATTTCCCTGCCTGCATCTCCTACCCTCCTTACACTCACCCCCTCCCTCTCTTTCGCTCCGCTCTCCTTTCCTTCTCCCTTCCTCTCTCGTTGCCCCCGTCTGTTTGCTTGCTTGCCATCCCTCCGTTCTCCGTCAACAAACACTCATCCCCGATCCCGCACCAACTGCCCATTCTTTGCCATCCCCATTTCCCATCTATCTCGATATAACGCCGTTCACGACCCAAAATCCAAAAGCAATTGCAGACCTTCACTTACCCCCCTTCGCGGCACACCGCCTGAGCCATGTTCCGCAGAAAGAGGAGCTCCTCGCAACATCAGGTGAGTCTCCTATTCAACCATGCCCCGATCTTCATCTCCCCCGGCTGACCGATCCAGCATCCACTCTCTGCCTCCTCGTCGCAATCAGCTCAATCCGCCGCCAGTCATGCCTTTCTTAAATCCCAACCCTCCTCCAGCAGCCTGTCCTCCGCCGCCGCAGCCGCCGCCCTGCGCAGTCTCACTCCGACCCCGACCTCCGTTGAAAATGTCCAGACAAAGCGCATGATGCAGCGCAGGGCCTCCGTCTCGTCCCAGGCAAGCGGGGTGCCCAGTCTGCGTCCGACAAGCCGGAATGGCCTCCGCCGCGCCAACAGTTCCGCCTCCATGTCCACCCGCACGTTCCGGGACCAGTCGCCGCGACGCCCGGCATCCAGTTCCGGCCCAGTCGATGTCGCCCCGCCGCTCCCTTCCATCCCCCGAGAGTACACCGCGCGCAACACTAAGGGTCAGCGTTCGACCAGCGTCGGACCGGCCCAGCGACCCAGTCCCCGTGCGAAGCCCGCGGCGGGGCGAGGAATGAGCGTCGACCGCGGCTCTGCCACCCGGCCTGCCCCTCGTGCCACGCCTTCGCCAGACCTTCGACGACCAGGGAGCCGGAACTCCGTCAATTTCTCATACCCGATGAACTCACGGCCAAATTCCCCCGATGGGCCCGCCAATGCGCTGGATAGACGGGACGCGTCCGCCAGCATGTCGCTGGCCGGCCAGTTGTCCTCCCCGGATTCTCCCAAGTCCAACAACGCCAGTCCTCGGTCAGTCAGGATGGCAAAGCCCATGGGTGTGTCCCCAGGAAGTCCTGGCCGCGGCGCACAGTCGGTGGGCACCGCCGTCGCCGCAGCCCAGGCCGCTATTGTCCCGCGGATGCAAGACATCACTCAAATCCATACTCCACCCGCAGCCCCTCGCATTCCGGTCCCTCGCGAGCAGACGATTCCCGACCAGGTTCATAGCCAGCCAGCCGCACCGCCCGAACAAAAACAGCCTGCTCGCCCGCATCTAGTGAAACGGCCTTCCACGGTTCCCGAAGACGCGCAGGGCGAGAAACGCGCGGAGTCTGATGCCCCTGGACAGCGAACCGTTCCACCTCGGGTTGGCAGTGTGACGCCAGATGCTCCAGTGGCGATCAAATTCCCACCCACTCCCGACACAGGCAAGGATCAATTGTTGAGTCCGCCGGTAAGTCCCCCCGAGCCGACTCCATCCACTGATGTTGGCCGGGACAACAAGCCGTCGAACGTCCCCCAGTCGGGTAGTCCCGGGCGATCAGCGCACTTCTCGCGTCACTTGCTGGTGGCGGCTTTTGCAGGCGAGCATCTGCACCAACCGCCCCCTCGGTCCCTGTCACCAGCCAAGTCAGCGATGAAGAATTCGCGAAAGAGCTCCCTTTCTCCGGAGGGCCGAACGGAATCTGTTCTGCGGCCAGGACCGCCGTTGAGCGAACTTTCCGATGGGACCTCCGTTGCCTCCGATGAAGGGACCAAGCAAGGGATCCGGAGGAAGCCCATCAAGGTCAGTTTTGATGACGAGGCGGAAGTGGTCGGGATTGCTGCGAGTCCGCCCACTTCGCCCGATGAAGTGATTCCTGAGTCACTTCCGGAGTTGCCCAAGTCCAAGTCCAGTTGGTTCAGTGGGAAGAGGAAACCCACTCCGCTGAATACCGAGTTTGACGAAGTGCTGAAGCCCCGGCGGGCTCTTCCATCGTTTGGTAGCATCCGAGCTGGTAGGGATGGGGACGTCCAAGAGAAAGCCGTCCCTGAACTGAGCGACAACGAGTCGACGACGTCGTCCGACTCGCCTGCGGAAGCACTCCGGTGGTCGTTCTCCAATGATCACGCCATCGGGGGCCTTCTCTCCGATAATCAATCGAAGGAATCCGAGCAGCGCGTGGCACCGCTGATGCTTGCGAACGCAGCCGAAAGCGAGTCCGAGGCCGAGAAGTCGCCGCAGCAGAGTCATTTCACTGGGCGATCAGATCTGGCCGAAGCGCCAGGAGGACCGGCCGCTGCCTTGGAGGTCTCCTCCCATGCCGAGCAGGGGCGCACAGCGGAGACGACTCTGGCCGTGCCCAACATTATGGTCCAGCCGGCATCCCCCGATCCATCCAAGGCCCGGTCGAGTCTCGAGTGGTATGAAGTTCCCGGCGGCTTTCCACGATCGTCGCTGGAGTTTGACCGCAAGGCTCATGGTAAGATGAAGGCAAAGGAGAAGTCCACCCGCCACGCAGCCGGCGATGCTGCCTTGGGCCCTGTCGACGACGAGGCGAGTGGTGATGAGTCAGGCGACAGTATCTACAGTGATGCTGAAGAGGGGGTCGAAGGGAACGGTTACGGCTCTATCAATGCCATTGTCGACGATGAAACCGCAGCCGATCCAGGAGCTCATACAGCTGCAGTTCCGGCTCCGCCTGCAGAGACCGGGGGTATTGAAGAAAAACCCCCGCCATCATCTACCGACTGGCCGAGCATCCCCGACACTTGTCAGATTGCCCGGGCAGGGTCAGCCTTGCCAGATAAGGGTATGGCGCCCATACCCGAGTCACCAGGGTCTTCCCATGAACCTCTTTCGTTCTCATCGCCATACCCCCCATTTCCCACCCAGTCACAGAGCCGGAGGAGCTCTTCTCAAGGGGATCTCTCTCGCTCCTCGTCTGTGACCGTGAGACCAGCTAGACACTCCATGCTAGTCGGGGCCAGTAACAGCCCCAGCCTGGGCGACCAGGACCTGCGCGGTGTGGACGGTGTAAATGGTTCCTTGTCGCCACAGCCCGAGGCAAATAACCTACGCCAACGGCCCCCTCAGGACAGTATACGAAAGAGGCCGGTCTCATGGAGCCCAGCCGCCATGAAAGGACCCTCTTCTGACGTGAATCGGGTGTCGTATGTCAACGGCAAGAACGCGCCGGCTTCCCCGAGGCCCCTATCCAGCGGCAGCGACTCCTCCAGCAGCTTCAAACGGGCTAGTCGCCCCGCCCGAGCGGACTCGAGCTATACCATGCGACGAACCATGCGTGGAAACACCCCGAGCCGCCTGGCTCCGAACAGAGCGACGTCCCCGCCGGTTGAGACTCGCCCGGTGTCTTCTGAAGCTGGACCTAGTACCATGCGCACGACGCTCCGAGGCAATAGTTCCAAGCGGGAAAAGCCTTCGTTCTTCTCCAACAGCAAAGCCCCAAAATCCAAGTTGACGAAAGCACCCGGCGGGGTCTTCGCGTCGCGCTTTCCAGACTCGGACTCGGACGATGAGGGGTATGAGGCCTGGAGGTCACGACATCGTTACGAGGATTCGAGCGATGATGACACACGGGGTCCGAACACCATGCGACCCGTCCGGGGCATTCCCCGTCGACAGGGGGCACGCGACGGTGACTCGACCGAGCTGGAAGACAGTTCCGACGACGAGCACCGTGCACCCCCGCGAGCCATGCCACAGTCCCCCGGCAAGTCGAACCCATCGCGGGACCCTGCACTAGCGGCCGTCGCTAAAAATCGCGGCATGACGGAGGATGAGCTTGACGAATTCCTCCGCCAGCCTGACCGGGGTCGGAAGCCTGGGCTGTTGCATCGATTTAGTCTTCGAAAGTCGAGGTCGCCCGTCAATCGTGTCCAAGCCAAAGCCAGCCTAGATGGATCCGTGCGAAACGGGGCCCTTCCAGAGCGCGCGCGGCTGGACCAGGAACCAGCACGAGGGGACCCTGCATTGCCGGGCCCTCAATCGAATATTGTCACGACCATCACGGCGACGAATCCGCCCCCACCTCCCTCCAAGCTTCTACGACGGCCTTCGCAGAGGTCTTCCCGAGGCGACAGCTGGCCACTGCGCTCTGATCGCAAAGAGTCTCGGGCAGACTCACCCGCTCCCGCGAGTGGTCCATCTGAGCGACTGGCCACGGTCGAGGAGGCCAGTCTGAACGGCAGTACGGTTGTACCCCCTGCGCCGGAACCCGCCGCTAAAGAGAACGAGAACCCTTCGACTGGAGTGTCGGGGGTGAAGTTTGAGGGGCGACCGGCGAACGTGGCCGATGTGGCGATATCGTCGTCCGGCCGCAAGAAACGATTCCCTCGACTCCGCAAGGCCTTTGGGCTGCGGAGCTGAAGGGCTGCATTTGCTTCTCATATATATACGATCTAGTGCTTGTGATCTTTGATTTTCTTCTTTCTCTTCGATGTTTGTGTTGGAAATACTTGTTGTAATATTCGGTTTCGCATTGTTACGCGTTGCGACTAATCATAATCATAGTGGACAGGCGAAAAAGGAGGCAGAAAAATGGGATGCAGAGGGCGCAACGCCAGCCTTACGAGATACAGACAGCACGGTGGTTTGGGGACTGGCGCTGGGATACACTATCTTTTAACATTTGGGATTTCATTTTGGACTTGACTCGATACCCTCGTTTTGTTGCCATTCTGGCCGGCCTGTGGCCCAGGATGGGCCATGGCCTTCTTATTACTTATTTCTTGGATATAATGCCATAATTGCTATTTCGCCGGCGATCTGAATTGACGGCCGTTCTCTACGCTTCTCGTTCTTGGGGCCTCTGTGGTGTATACTGTAGGTTGGTGATGCTTCTTGTCCGGGCTGGACGCCGGTTGTGCGGGGCCCGCTGCGTGGACGAGCTGGTGGAGTCAGCATGTGAGAGGTCATCTCTGGGGTTTATCGCCCGGCTGCCGCGATTGCGATCCATGTGCTCCCTGATCTTTGAAGAGTGATGAGATCATGAGAGACTGATCCCTCGGCTAGTCGCGATGGCTGGGAAACGGCCCCGACCCAGGGAGCCGACCGAGGAAAGCAACCGAGCAGCAGGCAGCCATGGTGCCCTGGCGACCGGAGATTGGTTTCCTGCTGGGGGACGTCTAGACTCTGGCGCGAGCCGAGGGAGCTCTGGAGCTTAGGACACTGGGGCCAGCAGGGACAGGAAAACCGGCGGGCTGGGGAAAGACCAAGCGGCGCCAGCAGTGAGGCTGGTCAGCCGCGACGAATGGCCGATGGGCAGGGCAGTGGCAATCGTCGAGGGCGGGTGGAGAGTGGCCGGGCGGATGAGACCGGCTGGGGGCCAGGCGGCGTGATTCGCCAATGGCCGGACAACACGGAGGCGCACGGCGCACCAGCTGCAGCGATCCAGGCTGGGCGCGACCAAGAGCTCAAGCTGGCCGGCCGATGGGGAAGCTCAGGGCGAGTCAGCTCCACGGATCGGATCCGTCCATTGGGGGCGAGCGACGAGACCCTCGTGGAGGAGGGGGGGGGTTGGTTTCGCTGGGAAACGCACGAGAGCGTACTCCGTAGGTACGGAGGATTGATTACCTCCCAAACATCGGCAAGGACGGCGGACGCATTGGGCGACGATCGGTTGGAGCTTGCGGGATCCAGATCCATTGGGATCCAGATTTCCCGATGTGACCCGGAGGATCAAGGGCAGTTGCCATGGGGACTCGGTTGGGGGGGGAGGGGGGCTGGCCAGCCTCGTGGTGATGAGTGGTAAGATCGCCTGCCGCATTAGCATGTGAATTGCGTGAAGAGTGAAGAGGTGGAGCTTGCGCCGATGCGTTGTGAGGAGCTATCGAAGCGATGGCGTCAGGGAGGAGATGCGTTCGGGTATCTACAAATAGCGGGCGCCGTGCAATGGGATCGAACGGCCGGGAACCGTGGATGGGATGAAGGCCGACCGTGGAAGCCAGCAGGAACCTCGGGCCAGGAGGTGGGTTGTAATTGATTGTTAATTGACGATAGAGGAGATAGTCGATATTGCGTAGAATCCCTACAAACCTACGATAGTGAGGAATCCCGGGGCTGATCCGGCAGCTGAAGAGCGCCCGATTGGGCGAAGGGCAGGTAAACAAACGTACGCGTGAGTGAAACCGAACGGCGGTATTTCCCAGCCAGAACAGCCTGGGAGCTCCGGCTACTTCAACTCCCTCTCCTCCATCCATCCTCGCTCTTCTTCTCTATCCCCATCCATCCATCCTATCCATTCCATTCCACCCTCTTTGCCCCTCTTCCCCTCCCCCCTCTCCTCTTAAGCTTAAGCTTATCTCACATTCCTCTGCCCCAGGAATTCTCCGCTGATTGAGAGTGATCGATCTCACCAGCCTCACTTCCCCTTCCCTCTCAACCCCCCCGAGAAAGACTTCTCCCCCATAAAGTCTTTTCTTGTCTCGCCTTTCGAGTTGTTGCCCAACAGTTCGAAAGGGATTCGAGAAGAGACGCCCACAGGACAGCCAATCTGGACTTTGACGCCCGCGTCCCCATCCCCTTCAGTGTCTTCCCGTCGTCGTACCGGAGTGACGCTGTTCCTGGACCTACTCTTGCCACTGCTCGAGTAGAGGAAGAAGTCAATCTCGATCGCACTTCGCACGTCGAACGGGAAGATACTCGAACCTCTGCTCCTCTCCCTGACCCACGTGTCTACGGAAAGGAAGAAGTCGACCTTCGCTTCGAGCAGGATCGTTATAGTGCCGCCGCTGGCCGTGGTTCGCATCAGGACGTGAACGTCACCTTTGACGAGCGCATCCAGACTACTACTACCACTACCAGTCCGACATTTGTTCCTGGTCCCAGTGCTGGTGCCGGTGCTGGTTCTGCCTTTGTTCCCTCTGCAGCGCCCACCTCCCGGTATCCCGAAGTTGATCTAGCGCGTGAACGGTGAGTCGGACTATTTTTTTTTTTTTTTGTTGTTGTCTTGGATTGGTTTTATTGTTTTGTTTTGTTTTGTTTTTGTATTGGGATTATTACGAGGAGGCAGTGGCTGCCTGGGATTGGCACGGGCATCTCCGCCCCGCGCCAATCTGCGCCCAAGTGGAGAGACAAGAAGCGGTGTCACGGCCGGGCTTCAGCTAGTCGCGTCCTCCACTAAATTACGTGGCACCAAAACAAACAACTCGCCCGGCTTTTCTATTCGCATTTCCCTCTTTTTCCCTTCGATCTCTCCATTCTTCATTCCCACCCCCCCTCCCAACCTTGGTCCCAGCTTAGCTACCTACCTCCCCTCCTCCCCCATCCCTCCTCCCCAAAAAGTATTAAGTCCTTCCACCCAATCATACCTCACCCCAACCCTGTCTCAACCTTCCTGTCTCCTTGCCTTGCTTGCCCCTACCTGGTCGGACCTCCACCGGCTCCAATCATCCTTGCCAGTGCCTTTTTCTCTGACACACTTGCAGCTTCCGTGAACCCAAGGTCCGCTTTCAAGACCGTCAGCCCACCTACGATCAAGCTCTCCAGAACCAGCTTGATCTTACTGAGCGCGAGTATCGTCGTCGGGTCAACCCTACCTACGACGTCACTTCCTCGTACGACCGCCGCTCCCAGGCTCCTGTAGACTCTTACGCCGGCGCTCGCCAGCAGTCCCGGGACGTCTCGTACGACCGCACTCTTCAGACCGAGCTCGACGTCTCGTACGACCGTGCTTACCAGGCTAAGCCCGTCGACTCGTACCGTCGTGACCCCTACCAGAACCGTCAACAGAGCGTTGAGCCGGTTCCCCCGCCTCCCAGCAACGAGACCTCTGTCAAGGTCCTGAAGACCAAGACTGTGATTGATTCCCCTCCTTCTCGCAAGATGGGCTATTACGACGACGACGGTAACTATCACTCCTTCCGTCGTGGTGTGGAGCGCGCTGCCGACCGCATCATGCACCCTTTCCACCACAATCATGGTCAGCAGAACCGCCAGGAACTTGTCGTCGCTGACGAAGGCGGTCCAGTTCGTTTCCGTGAAGGCGTCCGTGAGGATGTCCGCATCGTTGAACCCCGTGCCGGTGGCAACTCATCCACCACGGAGAGTGTGCCGATCCCCTGCCACTTCATCCGCATCGGCGACATCCTGATCCTGCAGGGTCGTCCCTGCCAGGTGATTCGCATCTCCGTCTCCCCCCAGACCGGCCAGCACCGCTACCTCGGTGTCGACCTCTTCACCCGGGAGCTGCAGGAGGAGTCCAGCTTTGTCTCCAACCCCTCTCCCTCCGTCGTGGTCCAGACCATGCTCGGCCCCGTCTACAAGACCTACCGCATCCTGGACCTCCGTGATGACGGTAGCTTGGTCGCCATGACCGAGACCGGTGACGTCAAGCAGGGTCTGCCCGTCGTGACCCAGGGCCACCTGTTCCGCCGCATCCGCGAGGCCTTCGAGGATGGACGGGGCAGCGTGCGCGCTCTGGTCATCAACGATGGCGGTCGCGAGCTGGTCGTTGACTACAAGGTGGTCCACGCTTCCCGCCTGTAAGCCCACTCCCCTGCCGGGTTGGGTTTAGCCCCCGTCGGTGACCCGCTGGCGCTGTGCCGTGGCACCCACCCGCGCTGCACGAACCACGGGTGTGCCCCGGGGGTTGCCGCGCAACTTCCGTGTGTTTTCTTTTTCTGCGCCAGTGTGAACGATCTTTATGACCTGACCTGACCTTTTTTGTATCTGATGGATTATGCAACGATGGGAATGGCCTCTTTGAAAATGATGTATCTGGCATGGCCGTCTTGTATTTAGGATAATGGAATGTAGATTTACTACAGCCTGTGTTCCGTAGATTGGGACCTCGAATACTATGCCTGGGTGTTCCCGTTCCATACGTCCTTCCACGTTTCTCACATTCCATGGATCTTCGATCCGCTGCCCACCCACATTCCAACCATAACCTTAACCCCGACACACATCCAGACTTTCCAAAAGTCAGATCACATTCCCATGATCCTAAATCAACCTCACGTACGGAAATATATCCCCAACAACCATCCAGATAGAAATACCCCAGATCCTCATACGCACTTACCAGACCCAAAACCTACTTCTTCCCATCTCCGCACCCGATTCATCTAGTTAGCACGTACCAAAGCCCCCTCTCCCATATCTCATCCCAGATCATCCCCTAAAACCCACCAACGATATCCTCCACCATCTCCTCCCTGAAACCCCACCCCAACGCAAATGTAACCCCGGGACCAAGTGCTATTGTGCTGAGCAATAGTGCTCCAAGTACTTTCCACCAGCATACTGGTGCCCCGAGGGTTTTGAGTTCACGGAAGCGGAGAATTAGCCAGACGAGGCTGGTTGTTTGGCTGAGGATGTGGTTGGATTGGAGGAGGTGGGTTGCGATGGTTTGGAAGGGAGTCGTGAGGGTTGACGTGGGGCTGGGAGAGAGGAATGGACTGGAAAAGGCGACGGGGGTGGAGAGGAGGAGGTATGAGAGGGGGTGGCTGCTGAGGAGGGTCATGCGGGCGTAAGTGGCTGTGAGGGTTGAGATTAGGGCGAGGGAGAGGTAGATGAGTCGGAGGGAGGGAAGGTGGGTTGCTTTCTGTTTCTTTGTTGGGTTTGCGGGATGGTCTGTGGAGGTGGATAACTGGTACTTTGCTGGGGGTTGGAGGAAAGCGTGCAGTAGTGGCACGATGATGGGGAAGAGTTGCCATAGGGCATTGTAGGACCGTCGGGAGGTTATGCCGGATGCGCAGAAGCTGATTATTATTGGGCAGTAGTAGCCGAGTATCATGGCCAGGAGGAGAGTGAGAGATGTGGATGGGTCTATCCTGCGATTGTTTCCTAATAAGAGGCGGGATAGAGGCGTCCGAATAGATGCGTAGAGATAGTACCAGGGTGCGATTCGGGCGAAGCCTTCTAACTGCGCAGATATGGCGAGGATTGTGGTGCTGTTAAAGAATCATTATAGTGTTGATGTGGATTGCGAGGTTATTATACTCACATTATCACATCGATATACGACTGTGCCTGGCGATTACTCTCCAGCAGCCAAATGCCATACATTGAGCCCATGTCCATGAGGAAAGCGAGCCCTTGTGCATGGGTGTCGGGGTCACTGCCGCTGATTGCTGGCAACAGACAGGAAACCAAGGGATTGATGATCCGATCAAGAAATGGTATATGATAAAGAGGTGCTCTCAAGTGAACAATTTCCCCGTTACCGGCAGTCCATGTGCCTTGTCCGAGTATGTGTCGAAGCATCGGACGCAATGTTTCGGTAATCGGATCTATAGTGAGCCTGCTTAGGCTGTAACAACCAACCAGCGGAGCGATGCCCAGAAGAATGTATTTCCACATTGGCTCCAGCCTGATACGGTCAAAGTTGGGGACGAATGGTATGGCACCTCCGTCCCCTCGTGGGATAACCGGTACCGAGTCCAGCTTTTCTGCTCCAACAAGGGCCATCGTTGCTATTTCCACGGTAAAGTCTTTCATAAGTGGCAGGAGAAAGACTGCCGCAAGCTTGTGCTTCCATGTTTTGATAGTATCGACTCTCGTCAGGTGGGCAGATGCTGCAACCATGTCTGCCGCTCGAGGCCACCGCAGAGTCTGCCATTCTTGGAGACAATCCTCCAGTTGCCGTAGGGAGATCTTACCATCACACGATTTCATGAATCGCGTTAGATGGTTTGCGAGACATGCAGCACTTTCCATGGCGCTGTTACTGCCTTGGCCCATGTTGGGTGTCATCTGTTTCCGTCAGTGGAATTGCAGAAGGACTAGGCCCAACGATACGTACTTTGTGCACCGAGTCGCCAATGCAGACAAACCTGCCTTTAGACCAATACTTGAAGCAGGCCTCTTCCAAGGGCAGATATGACTTGTGCTCTGCTCTTTCATAGATAGCAGAGAATGGGACCTTTCCTGCAGCAGGCTTGTCCAGGTATCGAGCAGCATGGGCGTCCATGTCTTCCGCTGTGAATCTTACTCGCTGCGAACCTGTGTAGTGCTTATCCATCTTAGCAAAAAGAAACCAGTACAACCGACCCTTCCTGCCCGACATGATCACGAACGCATAGTCCTGGGCCATGGTTCGATGGCCGTGCCCAACTTCGATACCGGGAGGTGTGGCGGAGATGCCAAAGACACAGGAATATTCCTTGATCATTGCTATTCAAGGATAACGTCAGTCTAGTAAAAGGGTAGGGAAAGCCTTTATCCAACAAGGGTGACGTAGAACATACTGCTTCGATCCTGAGCAACCTCATCCTGCAAAGAGTGGGTCTCCAGATAGCGCCACAGCTCTTGTCGAATCCTGCTATGTACCCCATCGGCTCCAACAACCAGATCTCCCTCATAAATTGAGCCGTCCGCACAGTGAACAGAGACATGTGTAGGGTGATGATCGACGCAGACGGCTTGCTTGTTGACATGTATCTGGTTTTGATGGGGTCCTAGGTGTTTGAACAGAGTGTGAAGTAAAGCTTGTCGGTCAAGAAAAATGACAGGGTAGCCATGTCTAGTCCCGGTTATCTCATTTCCGAGTAGAGACCCAGATGAAACATACTTACCTCCTTTCGATTGTCTCGAAGGAATCGTCCTCGAATATCAGTGCCCCGCTCTCAGACCAGATGAAAGAGTGCTTCAGCGGGGCAGTCAATTCGATACAGTCATCCAACATGCCCAGTTGATCCAGGATGCGAGACCCATTTGGCAAAATCCCAATGGAGGCGCCTTCCTGCGGTGCAATATCACCACGAGCCTCAAGGACCACAAACTCGATGTCACTTTTGATCAAGCAGTGCGCCAATGTCAAGCCGGCGATGGAGCCGCCCACAATGATGACGCGAAACTTTTGCTTTCCATTCGCAGCCATCGTTCGCTATTCACTGAGGTAGAGACCCATTAAACTGATATGTCCGTCCTTTCACTAGACCGGAATTGGTGGGGGTGACATGATTATAAGACCCTGGCCCTGACCTAAAGCTCGTCGGGAACATCTCTAGATGCCAAATAAGGCCCGAACAGCTAGGGTCATCAGAGACGAAGGATACAACGTCGCTAAACTTACACAACGCTCGGCACCAATGCCCCTGGTCCCGGAACGAACACTTGGACAATCTCATCCATGAGAGTCGAGAGACAGCCTCAATTTAGAGGGCGAGGATGCCAAGCAAGTGCGAGGGTCCGATAGCTAGTTAAAACCAAATCCGGAAGCCAAGGAGTTACCGTTGATAGACCTCGACGAGGCTTGCCAATGCTGCGTCTTTTTTCCCCACCGGACATGGACATGTCTCACAACCTAGATGAGGAGAGGGAAGTTGACTTGTAGGCACACCCGTCCATCCTCCGATTAATCAGGCTCGATAGCAGGCAAAAGCGGGATGGAAAACTATGTTTCACATCCAAGGGGGTTAGGTATAGTGACCCAGCGCTTGGGGCGCCTCATGTGTACCACTCGGTGGCTATCTCGTCATCGTGCCAAAAACGCAACGCTGCATATAGCACCTGTTGAGAACTCGTAAAACTCACCGATATTCAGCTCGTAATCTATACTACTGGACGGCCCCTGTATCATGCAAGTCAGCATTTGAGGCCAAACGACGAGGAAGATTCTCGTATATAGGAATTGCGAAGGTTACTATTTCTTTTTGCCCCGACAAAGGAATCGACGCCATCGTATCTCGGCATTCGATAGCTCGGACCGCTTCATCTCCACTAAAGTTACAAGTCAGCTAGCTTTGGGTCTTGGACATAGTTGTGCGGAGAATAACTGGTTTGGCTGTATTGAAGCAAGGCTTTCAGCTGGCTTGGTTTGAAGAGGTGTGGTGGGATTGGTAAAATGACCAGTTTTCGATTTGAACAGATACTTTTGCGATGACAACGTAGCAGAATGCCTTCGAGGTTACATTCGCTTTGACCTGGATCCAGAACTGTCGTATCTGAGACTAAGTAGTCAGACACAGCATAAACTCGTTAACGGCCAGTTACCTGGGGATTGTACCTCACCTCCCGAAAGAACGGCCTTGCATAGTAGAATCGTTAAGGTGCGGTTCTACCAATAGAGTCAATGTTTTCCAATGGAGGTATTTGTTGGGGACTAGTGAGTAGCCAGATGATTCTATGTTTTGAATATGAGTAGACCGCAGTTATTCTTTGAAGATGGGCAGCATGAAGGGGAAGCGAAAGGAGGGGAAGGGCGAGTCGAGACGGATAGGGGGTGGGGGGGGGGGGGGGGTTCTCCGCATACGGTCTCAGAGCAACCACCATCCTCATCGACCATCTACCAGCTTAAGAAGCGACCTCTAACACGCGCTTTTCTCTCAAGTTTTGTATATTCACAGATACTCCATAAATATCACCTACTTGACTCTATACAACAAACTATAACCGCACAATCCTATATGAACATGCCTCTCTACCCAACCCTCTCTACTATCCCTTGTATGGCTTAATCGCCTTGGTCGGCTGAACATAATCGAAATGGCCCATACCCGCCGAGAATCCGACATCCTGCGGTCCTCCAGTCGCATGTCCACGCGGACAGAGGAAGCTGTGCGGGAAGCCCAAGTCGAAGTCATACCCGGTCTCGATCTCCTTCACATCCTCCGGGGTGAGCTCCAGGCTGAGGGCCCCCACATTGGCCTTGAGGTGCTCAACCTTGCGACCACCAACAACAGGGAAGATGTAGGGCGCTTTTTGCATGGCGTAAGCGAGGGCCACGCTTGTGAGGGGCACACCGTGGCGCTTCGCAACGTTGTCCAGGACAGCGGAGACCTTTTCTTCGTGCCCGGAGAGAAGGTGTGGTGAGTTGCGGACGCGATCGTTGGCGTCGGCAGTGGGGGACCGGATGTAGCCTGTCATCATTGATTTAGTCAACGACTATATCCAAACTGGGTTACGGTTGGGTTCGAACATACCATTACCAAGCACGCCCCACGCATGAATCGCCATACCCTCATCACGACACATGGGGATCACATCCCGCTCCAGATCCCGACACACCGCCGAGTACCTGCCCTGGTAGACAGAGAAGGGTCGCAGGCCATGGGCACAGGCGTACGTGTTGGCCTTGGACACGACCCAGGCCGGCGTGTCACTGATACCCAGATAGAGGACCTTGCCCTGGGCGACGAGGTGATTGAGCGACTGCATCAGCTCGGGGATGTCGGTGGAGTAGTCCCATGCGTGGACGAAGTAGATGTCGACATAGTCAGTGCGCAGGCTCTTGAGGCTGTTGCTGATGGAAACGTGCATGCTTTTCGTGCCGTTGCCGCCGTAGTTGCTTTCCTGAAGGGGCTGGCCGGTCACTGGGGAGAGCGTGTACTTGGTTGCGATGACCATCTCGGAGCGACGACCGTGTAGCTCCATCCATTCGCCGATCCACTCCTCTGACTGTCCGCCTTGGTATGCGTTTGCGGTGTCGATGAAGTTTCCGCCCAGCTCATAGAAGGTGTCCAGAAGTTCGAAGGCGGTTTCTTTGGTGACGAGACCGAGTCCGCCGGCCCATTTCTCGCCTAGGCTCATGCCTCCGAGAGAGAGAGGGCTCACTCGCACAGCAGCAGTGGGAGAGAGAAGACGATGGCGCCCAAGGAGGCTTTTGGGTTCGGGAGCGGAGGTTGCAGCCATTGTGAAGCTGATTTATGAAAGAGGCTTTAAAGATGTTGTAGGTGGTAGACTATGAATCAGATAGGAATGAGTACACGAACAATGCCATCCTGCTTCTTTCACGGCCTTTTATAGCCTGGACTTGGATTGTCTAGCGGAGCGGCAAAACAATGTAACTCTTGTTTGTTAGTTGATATGGTGCGGTGATAACTTGTGCTCGTGTTGCGGATCTAGAAGCCGAGTCGGATTTAGGGTTTTGGAGGCCGCCCTTAAAAGCCTTAACTCCACCATTGCTGATCAATCCGGAATCCATCATGAGGGCCCGCCCATGGTAATTCACAGTGTCCCTATAAATCGATGGGTTCCTCAGCTTCAAAACTAGGATACGCTCATGACAAGATGCGTCTAAGCTAAAATCGCCTTCCCAGCCCCGTCCGGCAACTCAACTCGGAAGAGAGCAAACGGCCTCTCCTGATCTTGTCTCCAGAGCTGATTCTCCGTGAAATACAAATAGCCCTTCTCAACCCCGGTCGCATTCTCCTTCAAGGTAACCACGCTCATTGTATCCGTCCAGCCCATCCTTGGATCCCGCACAAAGGTCTCCACGCTTACATTGCCAGGGTAGAACACGTTGATCGCATTCGACTCGAAGCTCCCCATATAGATCCTTCCATCGGAGTCAACCTCGTACCCGTCGCTCACCCCCTTCTGGGTCAGCTTGCTCACGCTGTTCTTGGCAAGCGCCCGTCCTGCTGAGGACGAATCCCGCAGGATGGCAGTCGGGATAGAGTAAATATCGCGACCACTCACAACACCGAAGTAGAGCGTCTCTCCATCAGCCGAAAGAGAGATCCCATCTGTTCCCGTTGAAACGTCTACAGTATCGCCCCAAATGAATGCCCGGAAATCTGATTCTGCTTTCGTCAGCGCAAGGCCGTCAAGTTGGCGCCAGGATTTTCCCGTTCCAAGATCTACCACGATAAGGCCGTTGCGGCCTTCCGGGCTGGAATCAGTAAGGTAAGCGACACCCTCGCCGGAGGTACCGTTGAGATCCGGTCGGAGGTCAAAGCGGACGTCGTTGGGGTACTGTTATTCTATGTTAGAGATGGACAAGGGGCTAGCACAAAGAACAATTGGCGTACAGAGTCTGCATAAGCAACATCCCGCGGGAATAGGATCGTCCTGAAGACTTGGTTCGTAGTCAAGTCTACTCCGACTAGCTTCGGGCCACCGTAGGAGGACAAGAGGAGAGTCTTGTTGGCTGTCTTTGCACGGCCAGTGTCGAGAATCCAGAGGCGATCTTTAGAGTCGACGACAACACTTTGGACACTGATCAGATAGTTGGGGTAGTTAACTGTTGTCTAAATCCAAACAACGGCGGTTAGACATGGAGTGGGTTCGCGAGTAGGGTCTAAAGTACTGACTGCTGGACTAGTTGAATGATTGACGGCCCCTCCTGGGGGATAATTGATTTCTGCAGAAGGATATGGGACTTCAGTCGTGGGGTTAGTCAGTTCGGCCACTTGGTATCGGGTGTTGTTGGCATCCAGCCCGAGCGGGTAGCACGAGAACATGCGGCCGGCGGAGGATACGGCGACGCCTGTGATATGTTAGACTAGGATAATTAGCAGCTGAGTTGGGAGTGTACCTGTGGGGAATTGGTCATAGTATCTATGAACGAGCTCCAACGCGGGCCCGTATACCCCCGAGTCATGGGCCAGAGAGTTGACACGCCCCGCAAGAAGGAGAGGCAGCAGCCGGGGGATGGAGAAACGCATTTTGTCTTCGATTTGAGTTGGATGCTAACCGCAGTGTCTTCTGTAGTGAAATGGCCTCATTAAATACTGTGGTGAAGAAGCTAAATCACTGGGACGGTTATGACGATATCTTAACCCAGACAGGTTTAAGCTCCGCACGGGTGGTTGCAGATGCCATGGAGTAGCTAATTTAGATTGGGATTATTCAGGAACGAAGCTTCTTAGCCATTCAAAGCTGTCTGCATCCCCACAGAATCGGATGACAGTTACTATCTTTCTTCAATGGAGCAATTTGGGTTGACTTCTCTAGTATTATCGAGGCTGATTGCGATATCATGTCGTGGCTGCGTATGATCCTGCGTGATCAGCTTCACCATACTGTTAAATATCAATTAAAGAGAAGACTGAAAGGCGCTCACATTAAATGGGTCGCGACATCAACATTCGGGGAAATATAAACAGGCGAATTAGATATATTAGGAGAGAAGCGATCGTACTGAATGTTCTCGGCCGGAACTCGAGCCCGATCCATATAGTTCGATTAAACAGTACCAGCAGAAAGGCACTCATCTTGTCATTAGAGTCAAACCTCAGAAGCCGAGGGTACCCTGGATGATGCAATACTTGTAGCATGCTGGCGGAGTGTTATCTCATACCACAGTGTGATCCATCGTTGAGTAAGAAAATGGAGGGCGTTTGGAAAAGAACATCGGCTGAGATATATATTCCGCTCCCGACTCCGTGCTATTCTGCACATGGATCAATAGTAATATGAACTTGTATCTTCAGACATCCTCGTTATGACGCGACACCATCATCTCCGACTCTGAAAAGATGAAGCCCATATGGGGAGCTCATTGTGATAGTTTATGCTGACCAGAAGCATCCTAGGTGGCGGCACACCTTAACGCCGGTCGATCTCCGGTCGATCTCCGGCTTCGTCCGCGAGCCAGATTGATCTATATAAAGGAGCTGACTGCGACCATGAGTGACGATCAATAGTTATTAAAATCATTCAATTCCACAAAAATGCCTCTCTCAGACCGCATTATCCTCATCACCGGCGCTTCCAAGGGCATCGGAAAAGCCATCGCCCAACGTCTCGCCGCCGCCGGGGCGACCATCATAATCAACTATCTCAGCGACGCCAACGGCGCCAACGATCTCGTAAACGAGATTGGGTCATCCCGCGCCCTAGCCGTCCAAGCTGATGTCTCCAAGCCCTCTGAAATTCGTCGCTTAGTGGATACCGCCGTGTCACGTTTTGGCCGCATAGACACTATAATCCCCAATGCGGGAATACTACCAATGAAAGACCTAGCCGCTACCACAGAGAGTGACTTCGACGCTGCATTCGCGCTGAATGTCAAGGGCCCATACTTTCTAGCTCAGGAAGCTGTGAAACATATGCCTCCGGGTGGAAGGGTGGTCTTCATCTCGTCGACCGTGGCGGCGTTCTCGGGGGTGGCGCCAGCATACTTGCTTTATGCGTCGACCAAGGGCGCCATTGAGCAGATGACAAGATTGATGGCGAAGGACCTGGCGAAGAAGAACATCACAGTCAATGCAGTCGCGCCGGGACCAACGAAAACAGAGATGTTCATGAAGGGAAAGTCGGAGCAGCTGATAAAGGGAATTGCAGCCTCAAATCCGTTTGGTAGAATTGCGGAGCCTGAGGAAATGACCGGGATCATTGCATTTTTGTGTGGAGGGGAAAGTGGATGGATGACGGGACAGGTGGTGAGAGTGAATGGAGGGATGCATGTATAAAGAAGCGTTGTGATATTTTGCTTGGAAGCTGTGTGGAAGTAATCAGCATATACCCCTTGGGGATCAGACAGTGGTAGGGAAAGAACCCAGAAACAGATCCTGTATAGAGATGGCCATGTGAAATGAGGATATGGAACAAGTAGTGGTCGGATAGAGGAAGTGTAGGAACTCTCCACGATCAGGTGATCCGGTCACGCTTCTTTCCCTATATCAAGGTTGCCTGTAGCCTGCTTTCATCATCTTCTGGTTTTAGTCTATCACAACAGACCTGATCTCATTAATCTCATCAACTCTCATCGAATTCCCATGAAATTTCCGACCTGAGCGTGCATATACATCTTCAGCGATTAACGTGTTACATCTATTGATCAGTTGTCACTCTGAAGGAGAATCATTGGTATTATACTATCCACAGGAAGTCGAGCATTAGTCTTCATACCACATCCCAGGAGATATGGGGAAGGAAAGCTGAGGAGAAAGGAAGTTGCCGGGCAGAAGCAAGCCAGGACCACGTTGAGTCAACCGATCTATCATGGCAGACAAATCGAAGTGGAGTGCCCGTCATTTGCTGGTCATGCAAATCCCAAAGCCGAACGAACAAAGCCACATAAAGGTACAGCACCACGCCAGGAAACTCCACCAAAGTATACCGATAAACATTCGAAGCACTATCCAATTTGCGCCTGAACGACCAAGCAAATCATACTATATGAGCAGGGTACCTATCCCGCAAGACACGTAACGCCGACTTGATCCGTCAAGATGCACCAGAAGCTATATTATACATGTCCACACATTGAGAAGAGACGAACCGGGTATCGTGCGTATCAAAAACTCCCTGACGAGGGGATTTGCCAAAGAAGGAATGGGGCTGGGAGGAATAGGTCGGTTATCTTTCACCGAACTTGCCGTACTCCTGTTGCCACTTGAGGAGATGACGGGTCAACACATCCATCATCTCCACACTGCTAAGGTCTTTGAAGTCTTTCTCCGCAGCCACTTGCCCGGCAGAAGCACTCTCCAGGCCCGCGCTTTCAATGGCAGCGGAGAGGAGGGGATGCTCGCTCATGAACCTAGCTGGGATACCGTTCGCCCGGTCACCATTGCTGGGAGGAGTGGTGCTCTCCCCCGCCACAGCCATCTCAACCTGCATGCGTGAAATAAACTCCAATATCGCGGTCACTCGTCGCTTCATCTCATTCATAGTGGTTCTCTGGTTCACATAGCGGGGTCGACTAGGCTTGCCCGACTCGGTGCTGTTGATGTGTGTCCCATTAACACCCACTCGAGGTGAATCCCCACAAATCTCATGCGATTGCCCACGCCGGGGAGATCTCGTAGTGGAGTCGGTGCCATTAGCGTCCCGGTCTCGAGTGTACTGATTTCGCCCGATGCGACCGCCACGACGAGCGGGCGGACGGCCCGATTTGCGAGTGGACGGCCGCAAAGGCGCCGGCTCTTGGGCAGGGGCAGGTGTTTCCTCAGGACTCGGTTGCTTCGGTTCAGGTTCGTTCGCAGAGGGTTTGATAGGAGATCCTGCTTCATGATCGGACTCGGCGTCTTCCAAAATTAGTTTCATGGCCAACAAACATCAAGACAAGGGCTTCATTGCGACTCACCATCACCTTTCTGCCTTTCAGATCTTCCCTTCCTACGATTTGCAGCCTCCGGTAACTCAACCTCGGGTTCTTCCGGATCCTTTGTTTCCTTATCACGCTGACCGCGCGAAGCAGCTCGCTGTCGTCTAACCCCGTTGGTGGCTGGCTTTGTTTTCGACTCATCTTCTGAGACAGGCTGGGATGCAGGGTTGCTCTTCGAAACGGCACCTGGAGAGGGAGAGCTCGTGCGCTGTCGCTTGGTTGCTTGTTTATGTCTTAAGTCATTCGTGTTAGCTTGGCAACCAGCATCAATAATTGAGACAGATAAGGCTTCGAACATACGCTTCACTATCGCTTCGACTTCTCTTAGGCCTGCGGGCCACAATATCATCCGCCGCTGGCTTAGTCTCTTCTTTGCTCTCTTCGATGGCCCGCCGAAGTTGTTCTTCTTCGTCATAAGCCGCATCGCGGCTATTCATCGTTGACCGGCGCTTGGGATTGACAGAGTCATTCTGTCGTGATTTGGGATCCTTTGCACGTCTGGAAGTTTCCCGCGACGACTCTCGCGAGGATGGTGCACTGGACGGTGGAGGAGCGACAGGAAGGTATTGGGACGAGTATTGTCTGCGAGACCGTAAGCGAACGTGCCACATGCCGAGAGGGTGATTATCCCAAAGTGGAGATCAGGTCGTCGAAGTGTGCTTGCAAGCGCTCCGGGCGCTGATCCGAGCGAAGGGAAAATTGACGGTAGCAGCAAGAAGCGGGAGAGCTACACGAGAAGTACAAAATCCGACCCATAGAAAAAGGCGAATGAAAGAAAAATCGATCATGCTTACCCGTTTGTTTCGCTGGTGATCTTATGGAGGTCCTTGCGACACTCTTCGCAAAAGTACTCGTCGGGGCTCATAGCCTCGTCCATAATGCCAACACAGCCACCATGCTGCCAGACTTTGCACGAATCACATTGGATAAACATGCTCCCAATCTCGTCTGACATCAGGTCTGCTGCGTCTGCGGAGAGATTAAAAGTCTCATCCTTGATACCGGTACGAAAACCATTGCGACCGCCTAAGTCACGACGTGAGGGAGGCAGACCCGGGTATTCCTGCTGTCCACAGAGACACCGGGTGATCTCCTCCTCCTCGTCTTCCTCTTCTTCTCCGTCTTCGTCATCGCCCTCACCTAGCCTAAGATGATGGTCGTTATCCTCCTCCCCTCGAGCACGCTGGCGCTGCCGTGTCTCTCGAAACTCATTTTTCGAGGCTGTGTCGGCATCGTCGATAGACTGGGACCGATTGGTGGAGGATCGTTGAGGGGAGGAGATCTTGTGGTTCGACCGGGTACTTCTTTCTCGAGTCATTGAATTGGAGGAACTGGAGGAGTTCGTATGCTGGAGGATAGCTGGTAACGGTTGGGAGTTGCGGGCACGAGAGGAGCGACGAGGCGTCATGTTGGAGGAGGTTATCAGCGGGGGGGAAGGGAAGAGCGACGAACTCTGACAAGACAACGGCCGTAAAAATGAAGTAGTCCCGGGGGAAATATAATTATAATCAGAATGCCAGCACACTGTCGAAGAGAAGCAGCCTGCCCGTGAGCGAGCTGTCGCACACGGGTGGAGAGCTGGGAGTCGACAGCGACTCGTACAATGGTAAGGATGACAAGAGACGCAGAGAAGGGAAAAAAGCCGACAAGTCAAGGACTGGCGAATGACAATTGAGGCCAGAGGGGGGGAGAAAACATCCAAGAACAGCGCCTGTGAGCTTCAACGAAGACCGAGGACTACATAGTCTGTGGATTTGCACGAAAGGTTGGTGGGGAGGAGAAAAAAGGAAGAGGAGGAGCGAGAGGAGGGAAACGGACCCAGAATGAGAGCGTGAGTGACGGCCGGCCGCCGGAACGGGTTTGAGCTGCGCGCCTTTGCGGTCAACGCGCATTGGCCTTTCCCCGCTCCTCTCTCTTCTCTTTCTTCTTCTCTGCGCGCGAGTCCCTCCCCCTCGCTATCCAACTTCGTCGCCAGAGGATGGATAGACATGCGGGCGTGCGTGCTCTTCGCTGACTGATGCTTTAGGGAAAGGCCTCCGTTTCCCACCCGGTTGTCTAAGCCGGTCCCTGGTGATAAGGTCTGCAGGAATGCTATGATGCCATCCATGCCACCGTCCTTCAAACCCCGCTTACCTCCCAGCGCTGGCTAGCAATACTCGGGATCGCCCTCAGACGTCCTCGGGAAAGCAGAGCTATCCTGCCCCTCTTTTCTTCTACTACAGTCCTTGGCCTTACGTCTACTGGACGATGATCTATGCGATTGCTCCCGGCGGGCTACGCAGACCCCTGGGGCAAACCAGAAATTTGAGATTCTGCTGACTAACCCGCATCGTTCGCAGCGCCGTGACTCTACCATGGCACCCAGAGTTCGTTCAGATTCATCAGCTACGATGGTGTACCGGCTGATCCTGTCCAGCGGCCAGCATTTTCTTTGTTCCACCCCACCATTGCCCCGAGCATTTTCCCGAGCAACAGGGCCTGTCGGATGACCTCGGGTTGTGGGGTGTCAATCGGAAGATAACTGGAGGTTCAAACACAGGTTCTCTTCACACGAGTCAGGTCGTATGGGAATTTGGTAACTGGTCTGTTGGATACGATCAAGTTTGGCGGGTTGGCTCGGCTTCAGACGATGAGAGCGACAGGCAAAATCCCTACAACACTGGGTAATGGAATGCGCGTGGGACAATGGGCACAAGTGACGCAAGGTATAGGAGCAATGGTTTTGATGTATGTTTGCAGGGAATTTGAATACTACTAGCCAGACAAGATGTAGCTTGGGTGGGGGATTCCGGTCCTTGCAGGGAGGGAAGAAAGGATGGAGAATCAATGCAGGACAAGCCAGCAGGACCGGAGACCATATCCGGGAAGGCGATGATGGCGCCTGGGGGATGAGCTGAACTATACACGGTAACTTCTCGAGCGTTAGTCGCGATCAATGTCGCGCGCATCGGCGCGAGTGGATGGCGATCGGGGAGGAAGACAATCAGTACTCCGTAGATAGCCCTGATAATCGATAGTTGAGGCTTTGGGGCACCCTGGTCCAAAAGAGGCTAGCGGCACACCCAGCCTCAGGCACCCGCAGGTATCCGCCGGACCAGAGAGGAAAGCGGATTAGTTAACTAGTTATGGCAGTGACTTATTCATCATAATAATTATCGACGAGCCATTCGATTCCCACCCCTCCGCCATCTTCGTCCCCTATTCCCTTTCCCCTCCCCGCATTGTTTGCTGCTTGTCGTATGCCACGGGATCTGCTCTCACCGGTCGTATATCTTTCCCTCCTTTCTGCCCTTCCTCCGCTGTCCCTCTTTTGCGTGGTCCGGGGTTGAACCGGTGTCATTTCTCGGTCCTTCCTCCCGACACCTCGGGTTGAGTCGTCAAAAAGTCTGCATAGGCAGGATCGGTGCATGGTCTGCTACGTAAGTCCCTTACTCTCTTCCGGGATGCCTCAGAAGCGTATCCTGGCCGTTGAGACCGGAGGGGAAGCTTGGATGCCCGCGTGGGCAGCGCTCCCTCCAAACTCTGTGTGGTAGCCGGTGCCGGCGTTGGGAACATGACAACTGACTGTGGGTGCCAATCCAGTGCGGTCAAGGGTCTTCTCTGTATTGCTCCCTCCCCTTCCCCTCCGTATCCACGCCGAACCAGCGTTAGAGTACCGTGTGGGGGACAGGTGGCCATCGATAAATCAATATAACCGAGGGAGTGTGTTTAATTAAACAAGGAACCATCCACGGACATCGCCGGGCTGGGCTATTTACCAGGAGGCATACCGCCGCTCGGCTGTGGTTCTCGTTGTGGAGGCTGTAACAGCCGATGATCACCTTGCAGAATGACCGCTACACTGAGTATGTCTTTTACCAAGGATGTCTGCTCCTCCGGGGAAGTAGCGTCTGGCCTTGTTGGTGCGTACAATTGACGGGTTGTCCCCCGATGCCGTGGGCGGATCGAAATCAGGGTCTGCTGGCTGCTCAGTTGCTGATACTGCTCACCCGCAGATGGGATGTTTAACTCGGCCCCAGATACACCGTCTCCTGTCTACCCGGATCGGCTGATCCGTCCTCTACCAAAGCGTACCCTCCGCTCTCGCCTGTCCTCTGAAGCGGCCGAGTCGATCCTCTTCCCGCCAGCTCCTCCTGCTACTCAGCTGTTCTACGGCACCTCTGTGGACAGCGGAGACCTTGTAAATGACACCAAAGTATATGTGCAACAGAGCGACGGTCGCGACCCGAGCCCTGAGCGGGACCATCTGCCGTATGAGAACGGGGTCGAGTTGGAGAGCGGTGATGAGGACGGGCCCGTAGTTGTTCGTCGGAGTGCGGGTTTCCGTGGGTCGTCCTTGTCACCGTCAACCCCCAGCGCTGCCCCTCAGGCCGTCCCCTGCAACAGTGAAGGGCCGCCAGTGAAGTCCTCTTCGGCCGGTCCCGATGGGTACGATGCGTTTGAAAACACTAACAACAAAAAGAAACGCAAAATCCCCACGCCAGGCAACCTGGGCAGCCACCACTCCACCCTCTCCCCCGAATTCTCCAGCATGGGTTTGGCCTCCTCCGCGCAGTCGTCTTCGACCACCGGCGAAGGCAGCCATGTGAGCACCTTCTACGGCACTGGCAGCCCCGCGTCTCCTATCTCCAACGGCATGTCCGGTGCGGGCAGAGGTCGGCTTGGGCGCCATCCCCACCGCAACAGCACTGGCAGGAACTCCTTGTCGCTTCATTCCCCGATCAGTTGGCCGCGGACCCCTACCCGGCGCGAGGGCCTGTTGTCCTCTCCCGGACCAAACGGTATGTGATTATTTGTGCCTGCGGAGATTCGGACTTTGCTGACTGGGCGTTTAGGTGACCCCGCCGCGAAACCAGACCAGGGTATAATCTCTGCCGCCATCGCCAACGCCGCTGCCTCCGCTTTCTCCTCGCCCCCTCCGGGCCCCGGCATCGTCAGTATGCTCGAGCGACAGACCCCTACACCGACCAAGACACAATTCACTTTCACGTGTGAATCGGACTCCTCGAAGGGCATGGCTCTGCAGGCACAAAACCCGTACCCCGCACATCATCGGTCGCCCAGCGCGCTTACGGCGGCTGTCCAGAGTCAACGGGGTTACTCACAGGGTACTCAGACCAGCCCCAACATTGCCTCGCAAGTCAACCAGGCAGGACCGTCTCAAAATCCATCACAACCGGCACAGCAGCAATCGCCAAATGCGGGACCCGAGCCGACTACCACGGGGAGGAAGAAGAAGCGGTCTCCGGGTAGCATTTACGCCCTGGCCGCGCGGCAACGCAAGATCCAGCAGCAGTACGCCAATCTGCACCACCCGCCCAGCATCGAGGACATCTGGATCTGTGAGTTCTGCGAATACGAGAGCATCTTTGGCCGGCCGCCCGAAGCGCTCATTCGCCAGTACGAGATCAAGGACCGCAAGGAGCGGAAGCGATTGGCGGAGAAGAAGCGATTGCTGGAGAAGGCCAAGATGAAGGGCAGGAAGGGCAAGAAAGCGACCAAGAACGCCAGCAAGCAGGCGGCGGCTCAGCAGGCGGCCTATGACCAGGGATATAACCGGGCATCGGCGGACCACTCTTCGGTGGGAGGAGGGCCAGGGGTGCATGATGACGAGTATTTAGGCAACGAGTATGAGGACGAGGGGATCCCAACCCCACCTCCTGGACCGCCGAGTTCCGTCAAGGCCGCACCGCCGCCGGGCCATCCGCCCAAACCGGGGGCTGCAGCGTCGGGCGCTAAGAGTGCCGCCGACGGAGGGACGAGGCCGCCCTGACAATGGCGCAACGGCTATCGGGCGAGCGAGCGGTGATAGGCCGTTGCATGAGCATCCGTTGGTTTCCCTTCTTTATCTGTTTTACTGCGTGTCTTTCCGTTGCATGGAGTTAGCCTTGTTCTGTTTTACTCTTGCCAATCATTGCATGAATGAATCCCCGCTCCGGTCGATGAATGTCACGTCAGCGTCACACATGATTTCTGGTCTGGTTGGAACTTGTTGAGCATCTGCATAATGGGACTGTCATTGGGGGAGGATATGGGATTATCCAGACGGGGGATGTCTGGGATGCAGAAGGAGCATGGGTCGGGACTATTCTAGTGGTTATCCTAGTAGCGCTAATGTAGATCTTGGATGAGAATCCGTGTTCAGCCCATGTCCATCATCCCGGCCGGCGCTTCGCCGCGCATCCTCCACCAACCATCCCCGACGAGCCTGTCACCACAACCGCTCGTCCTGCAGCCCTGAAACCATCATTGCACGATTTCGCGCGCGCAAGTCCATCACCACCACGATCCCGTTTCAGCCCAGACACAGCACCCGACCCCCAAGTCATCGATTGGATGATTGTGATTGCTGAAGATGATAAAAATAGCTCGCGACATGCAATCCATCGACAGCAACCCGCATAAGAGGACAAAGTCCATTGTCGGGGTTATATAAAGAGGACCTTTGAATCAACAATTCTCCTTCAGCAGCAACAGCAACGGCAACAGCAACAGTCTTTGTTTCATTCTCTCTCTACTACCGATTTCATAGAATCTTTCTTTATTATCCTATCGCTTTTGTTCATGTTGGGGTTTTATACCTGGTACCTTGTCTGAAGCACGTCTTTTGAACTTTACTTTGATAGTGAAGGATACCTTCCAAGACTTAGTGCTTTGATTATTTATTGATTTGCGCTGGCGCATCACCAACACACATCTACAACACACTCGTGTAACCAACCAACCAACCGGATGATCTTTTTACTGTGAACGATACATACAACATCTAATTCATCAACACTACCAACGCCACCAACAACACAACTACAAAAAACCCACCAACAACCACACCCTCCAGACCAACACACCAACACCAACCTCAAAACCAAAATGTCCATCTTCCTCGCCCTCCGCCTCCTCAAACGCATCTTCCTGAAATCCAAATCCAAAGACCCAGCGAACGACCCCAACGCCATCAACCTAACCTACCCCCCACCCCCTCACACTCCCCCTCAACGCCCAAAACTCAAACACTGGACGGAACTCACCCTGCACTTCACGCAACTCATCTTCGGGCTGACCACCCTCATCCTCTACGGCAAGGACATCCACGCCGCGCATGCGGAAAATAAACATGCCGATTCACGATGGGTGTATGCTATCGTGACGGGGATGATGGGGTGCGGGACGGCGCTGTTTTATTTGGTCTTGATGCATTGGGTGTTGAAGAAACGGACGCCGTTGGCGGCGAGGGTCCGGTGGAATTTACCGTTGTTTGTGTGGGAGGCGGTGTTGTGTGTGTTTTGGTTGACGCTGTTTGGGATCTTTGGGGAGATGTATATTGGGGATTATGAGGATAGTAGTAAGGTGACGAGGATGAGGCATGCCGTGTGGGTGGATTTGGTCAATTTGGGGCTGTGGGTGGGGAGTGCGCTGTGGAAGGGGATGAGGTGGTGGAGGGGACAGAGGGGGGTCGTGGGGGTGGATGGGGTGGAGAAGGGTGAGGGGGAGGGGGTGTAGACTGGTGGATGGTTAATGGGGTGGGGAGGGTGATGGTACCCGTGTGATGAGGGGAAGGTGGTGAGAGAGGGACAAGGAGGAGACATCAGAGGAAGTTGTAGTATTAGGCTGCAGTTACATGTATGGATGCTGATTAATGTCTTTATATTGAACCATGGTGTTTGCATGCATATTGTTCACCCCGCTAGTTCACTCTCGGATCTCTTCAATCTCTTCAATCTCTGCGATTTCATTGATTCCGGTCTTAATCTCTTCAGGCTGGTGCCGGACTTGCTCATTCTCTTCTGTCCCTGGCTGTCGACTCCGCTCGATCATCACGCTCAGCTGGCTTCGACTAGGCGGCATGGAGAACGGCGTCAGCAGAGAAGGCACATCCTCGTCCGTGCTGTCCTGGCTGTCAGTCGAAAACGCAGAGCTATCATCGTGGGATGGTGTCCGGAAAGGCACGGTGGAGCTCGGAGCCGTAGATGCATTCCCGTGCGAGTCTCCAAACCGTGAAGGTGAGAGAGTGGCGTTGGTAATGGTGCTACTAGATTCGGCTCGAGTCGGCTTGGGAGGTACTGCCTTTGGCTCTTTCTCAGGTTCGGGCGCCCCTAGGGAAGAAACTAGAACATGCTCCTGGTGCACTCGATCCGAGAACCGCTGTCGGAAGTTCTTATCCACGAGTTTCATGGATGACGGTTGTTCGTAGTTCTCTGTCGACAGATACCGAGCATCGTAGCGACGACATGCACTGGATGAGAAGAAGTTCGGTTTAGGAGGGGATGACTTGACCGCATAGAACGCTCTTCGACGTGGTGGTGGAAGTTTGACATGTACTTCCGCTGGGCGGTCCGTGTCGAGAAGTTCCCTCAAATCAGACAGAAATAAGGCTGGGAGCTCGGGCGGTCGTTCCTCTTGGGCTTCCCCCGCGCCGACTGCTTCCTCAAACACATCGGCTGCAAAGCGACCTTTGTCGGGTCCAGATTTGTTGCCTTTCGGAGACACAGCAATGTCTGAACTAGGTAAACGATGGCCTTCAGACGAGGTTTCAGAGTCCACGGGGTGGCTAACACCAGCAGCATCAGGCACACTGCCGCTTTCCTGCCGGAGTGGATTTTCATGATAATCCAAAGTCAGCTGGGGTGGGCTTGGTTGTGGGCTTTGAACACGGGTAGAACTGGTACCAGACGACTGCTGTGAAGACTTGCGCCGCATGATGACAGGCCGACGCTTGATATTCTTGGCTTTGCTGGCAACAACAAACGCCTTTTTCTGCGTTGGCCGGGGTGTAATATCGCCCATTGTGGGCGCTGCTGGGGGAACAGGAGTAGGGGGGTTTGATGGTTTCCGAGTCGTGCTTTGACCGTCAATGTCCGTCAGAAGCAGACGAGTCGTTTTATGTGGTTCACCGCTGGAACTTCCGTTTCTGGGCTTCTTCAGAATGGGATGAAGTGGCGCCTTGCTGCTGCCACCCGGCTTTTCCGGGACTTTCTTCTCGTTGTGTTCCTTGGACAATCGAGCTGCTTTCGCCGCCTATTATAATTAGTAGGATCCTTTTGATAATCTGCAGACCGCGTGCCTGCCAGTGTCGCGGGATCCTCACCTTGCTTAACTGCACTAGACTGAACGGGTTGGGTTCGGAGATACGTAAAAACAAGTCTGCTAGCGTCGATCCCTGAAGACGATGATTCAGGCACTGGCTACCCCATATCCTCCAGAAGAAGTTTTCCAGTCTGTATCCCACGTCGTCATCGTGTGCTGAGGGATTGGCACTGTAGACTGCGGCACAATGAGACATGTTACATTCACAACAAGGAAGGCGCGGACAAGCCCACCTCTCCATAGATGCACGACATCTCCAATATCCACCGGGCCCATGCCATCCAGCTCCGTCGATACCTTGGTCGCCGTGGTCAGCAAACCTTTGGGGAGACTCTCCATGCTGCAAAGTGCCAAGGCTGTGATCTAGCTCAGAAGTAAGTAGGAGCTTGAACTCAAATCGCGTCCCAGCCCGCTACATGGTCAACAAAGGGGAGAGACCGGGGGTTTGCATGTGAATGAAGGTGAGGTCAGAGTCCACCCTGGCCGGGCGATGCTGTCAGTGTTGCGTCTGGCGGTGAATTGAGGGGCAGGGTTGCCCGCCAAACGCAGGGGGGGTTGAGGGAAAGGGGGTCCTGAGGGAATCGATCGCGATAAATGGCGGGAAAACGAAGCCGGGCGAGCCAGGGGAAATTCTTTGTATTTGAAGACAGCGGTGGTTGGTAGGCGGGCCTGGCGGAGGGATCAGCTGCAAGGGCAGGAACGAAGACAGGCCGGAGATCTCCAGCCTGCAGCCTTAATGGTCGATGAGGCAAAAGCTGCCCGCGTCCAGGTGACCCTCGACCCTCCACTCTTCCTGCGATTTACTCGCGCGCTGCACGCTGACTGCAGCCTGCACCTCTGCATTCCCCAAAGGAGATCGAGTTGACCTGTCGATTTTGCTACCTTACCCCGGAACTTGCCGATACTGCCGGTGCTGCCCAGTGAAAGGGGACAAAAGAAACCATCCGAGCAAGCACTTGGAGCACAGGCCATGGCTCCCTACTGCCTATAGTGCCCAAACCAGGTGGAGCCCACACTTCCAAGCCAAACAACGAGCAGTGATGATGGTGGTGGTACTGACCCCGAGCACAGAGGGTCGGCACGAAAACAATGGATCACACCGTCGTGAACCATGGTTACCAGCAGCGGCCAACGGAGAGGGATAGCCAGTGCCTCCGTCAACGTCGTCGGCTTCCCAACAGCGATCACGACACCCGCCGTTAGCGCCCCCCGTGACCTCCGGCATCCAGAAGAACCTCCCATCAGTTGTCCCTGATTGGTCACGGCCCCGATCCTCCCTTTCATACTCCGGATGGCCTTCGTCCAGGGGCTGACAAGGCAGGGGTCCAGGAAGATGTGTTTGACCCCTATATATGACTAAGCTCTGCGCATGGAGGACAAACATTGCAGGGGGCACGGTAGCCAACTCGAGGACAGGACAGGACACCGCGTGGCCCGAAATCCTGCAGACACTGGCTCACGGTTGACAACGTCCGTTTCTACACGAGGTGAGGTCAGCTTACCTCGCACCATTTGGGATGTCCCACCACCAGGGAGCCAACGCCCTCGCACTGGGCCGCGTCACTTGCCCTCCAGCGAGGTACTGCCCCTACGATTTCGAGGGATATGGGGCCATTCCCAAAGGAATGGAACGATTCCTCCCTCGCTGTAAGCTGACGTTGACCCCGTGTAGATCCGCAGATGAATCATTTGCATTTATTCTCCGCTGATAATACTTCCAGGAAATGCACGCCATCCCTAGCATTCGTGGGCAGGCCATGCTGGTTGGACAATACTCTTCTGATATGTTCACAGGATCGACAAATTCCTCCGAGCCTTGATATTTGTTTATGCCATCAGGCAGATTGGTCTATGGCATCTAATAAGGCATCCTGAGCCATCGTTTCTCTGGCTTATCCGAAAGCTCCAGTTCAGCATGGACTCCAACCCAGCAGATTTCTCAACAAAAAGATTGACATATTCGCATTCCTGCGCAGGCTTCGAGATAAGAATAGCTTATTACTTGTGCCAGCCCCTGGCATCGCACAAAATACACGCTGCAAGGTCTGATAGATTAGAATCGCCTATCTCCAACGCCGTGCGACCACATCATATCAATACACCACAAATCCGTAAGGCATATAATAGCTTTTCAATGGCTTGTACCGTCATGTCGCGAAGAAGGACGCACAGTCCTGCTGTCATCCCCAGATTGGCTCTGCGTCTGCAGTAGGCTCGGGCCGAAAGAATTCAATTCTTCGAGCTTGACGGATATCTTTTCCACCCACTGGTGCAATGATTTCAGGTGCTATATCTCAATGTGAGCTCGGGACAAGAATTCAGATACACTCTCTTCTATTGAACAGATCAACCCACAAGCCTTTACCGGAGACAGGACAAAATTGATATTGACCTGGCCCTGCTATTGATACAATGCGGGACTCAGACAATGAAGAAGATATGACTCGATCACCTGATCAGTATTATCTTGAGATCTCGGCGTCTTTTCAGGAGTTGAGTTCTAAATAATTCGTTTCTACGCGGACTTATGGATAGTCACAGACTGGAGATTTATTGACTGCGCGACCCCCTTCTTCAGTTCCTGATATCCGCCCATAGTGGACAAGATATCGTCCTGGTCGCCGGACTCGCCTTACAAAGAATCATTTCTCTTTTTCCCCCTCTCTTACTACTGGCTCACCCCAGTTCATAATATTCCAGTCGGGACAGATGATCTACATGGCCATCTGCCAGCGAAACATACTGCCATATGTCAGGATACATCTCCACTCTGTCAGAGATTTGTAGACTCTGTGACGCAAACGTAAAGAGCACTTTCAGCCGCAGTGAACTGGCCTCGTTCAGATCTCCAATGAGTCGCTGAAACAAGGCGGCTACATAATCAATCTCCTCGCCCCATGTTGGCTCCAGTTCATACACCGCAGTTCCGTCGAGAATACAAAGTATTTGCAAATCTGGGGGAACTTGCAAGACCAGCCGTCTGAATAGTTCACAGAGTGCTTTGATGTTGTTGCTCTCACAGGCGTGAAGGAAACCTTTATGCAGAAAACGAAGGTTTGGCGACGCAAGCTTATCGCTGAAAAGGAGCTGTGTGATGAGGCTTCGCATCAGTCCGGTGGGACCGCTGAGTTCAGGGTCTGCATCCTTGTCATCATGTAGCGATGCAAAGAAGAACAGTGGTAGGCAGTCAGGGCTGCTGATCAGGCTGGAGATGAATGTCGAGACGAACACGGACATCGGGCTGACCATCGTTGCTGGGCTGGTATCCAGGCGACCATCCACTAAGAGAAGGGATGACTGCGCAGCGCGAAGCCACTCAGTAAACTCATCAGTCCTAGCAAGCCATCGCACTTGCCCAAGAGACCGCGCTCTGAATTTGCTGGCTTCTTGGAGGACAATATCAAGATCTTGGGGTGCAGAATGCGGCGAGACTCCAAGTATCCCAAGCAATTCAATTGGTGACACCATCGTTGCAGGTTCGGTATCACGAGAACTCGTACTGCAAAGTGAAATGGACGAACGGAGTGCTTCATTTTCATGAGTCAGATCTGAGTAGGCTGGTAGGCGTCAGTAGGGTCTGCTTGCTGGCCAGAAACAACCTAAAGAGAAGCTTACCACGCTCCAAGCGGAATATTTGGCTCTGTTGAGTCTCGTACTCCTCTCGAGATTCTTTCCATAGAGCCCTGAACTCGTACAGGAGTCCTGTCATTGCTTGCGCACCAGACTGTTCCTTGTGAAAGGCAAAGATCTCCCGGTACTCAGCCCCAATCTGCTTCTTGACCTCAGCGACTAGGTCCTTTATGTCGCTGCGTGCTCCGTGGAGCTCATCATGAAGGACCTTTATGTTCTCATTCGCTTCCAACCCCAGTCGATGCGACTCGGTGCTGTGATAGGCAGTGGCTGCCGAAATCTTGAGTTTCATGCGCTCCAATCGCTCCTTGATGGTCGCGAGGTAGCGATTCCAGTCAGATAGGACTTGATCGACCGTTAGAGTCTCCCGAATCCTTAACGTCAGGGCTTCCTTGACCTTTCGGTACCCTGATGATTGGCATTAATTGGTGACCACATCCTGAGAGTAATACATGAACTTACATGGCTGCCTCTTTAGCAGGACATCCAGCAACCCGGGCAATGTCATGACAAGGGTCCTGCAGAAATCCCTACAGAGCGTCTCGTCATCTTCCGTGGGATTCAAGTAGTTGTAGGCCGTCTGGATTGTCAAGATAGTCTCCGGGACAGTCTCGAAGGCCTCCAGGATCTTGGCTCTGTTCTCAATTCCTCGCTTCGTCGTCTAAGCCTTAAACCATCAGTGAAATTGAGTATGTCAGTCGGATGGCAGGGTCGCATCACCTCGAATACCAGACCCAAAACGCCTTTGACAACATTCAGCCCATATTCATCGGGTATGACATCCTTCAGCGGGGACAAAAGCTCCAGGCCCTGGATAGCAGCGGAAGCACACCCATTGCGCGAAGAGCCGGCTTCCTTCGCCTCCTCTAGGGTCTTGAGGACCATCTGCCATGAGTATTGGTAGAACTTTGGCTCATCGGGTGACGCGGTGGCGTCATGTTCTTTGAGCAGATTTTCCAGTTCCCTGTGAGCCCGTTAGATTGTGATAGATCACTTAACGGACAGAACGCGTACCTAATTGTTGCGAGCTCAGCGGGGATGTATTTCTCCTGGTGCTCGTCATAGTGGCTTTCGACGGCGAAGGCGGGGTGAAAGTCGCGGCCCCGCTCCTCGATCCACGCCCGGCTCTTCGTATTCCCAGCCTTGTCCGCGGCGCCTGCCTTCGGCTTTCGCAGACCGTGGAAGAAATGCGTCATCCTGGCGGTAGGATCTCAAAATTTGAGATCCTGATCAGCTTGACGCTTGCTGCTATTTGCAGGGGTCCTGGTCGATTCTGCACCCCCCGTCCGTCCCACTCCCCGAATAAAAATAGTGAGTTGCTGTCTATACCTTCTGGGTTGCCTTCTTCTGATACGAGTTGCATAAGCGCTAGCGAGGCTGACCTTCTCCCCCACCCAATGGATGCCTGACAGGTGTAAGCACCTAACCACCAATTTCCTCAGGTCCTGAATCCTGCAAACTATGCGGTTTTTTCATTGGTTAGTTAGATGGCTAGCAACACTTGGCCCCTGACGGATCGCATGGCCATGAGCACTAGCCTAGATCCCGAGTCCGGTGACACGGCGCATTACGAGGCACCGGACCGTGCCATGAGGCTGTGATGGACTTATCTCGAGTCTCGACTGTCTCCAGCCAAGGTGGGGAATTGGCCCCCACTCCTCTTGCCCGACCGAGTACCTGAAGATGTCCGATAACGATCATATATAGCTGCACAACGGCTGCACCCGGAGGGATCGCGTGGGATAATTTCTGCCCAAAGAAGCTTTCCGGGTAAAATCAATTGAACAGACCCGACGCAGGGTCCGAGTTACTACCGCAATGGAGGCTGTGGATCGGCCAGAAAGCCCTGGACACCCTCCGGCAAAACAAAATAACGACGCAGACGCACCACATGAGAGCAAGCAGGCGGAGGATGCGAACTCCAAGCAGGAAGCTGGCTCTCAAATTATCCCAGGACATGCTGAGCAACCGAAAGCTCACCGTGATGACACTGATAATACCGATGACGATGACCACACTGACGATGAATCGGAACACAGAGACAATGAAGAAAGCTGGAATGCAGAGGACGCATTCAAGGATAGGACGCTGAATCAGAATGTGGGAGTCAAATATTATGATTTCCAAGGGTTCACGAACCGTTTGGTGGACGACAACGGAGACTACACTATTGAAGCTCTGGTCGGTATGTCGGCATGGTGGAAGGACATGGAACGGGAAAAGAAACGACGCTCGGCGAATATTGGACCTCCAGCTGAAATACATGAGATGGCAGCGCCATCAGAAGGAGTCGCCGAAACCTTGCAGCTTCAGCGTGTACGGATTCGTTCCCCGGAGATTCTCCGTCGGCTCTCCGAACTTGGAGAGTGGCATGAAAGTAGCATGCCCCCTCCAAAATCAGTCTGTGTGTTCTGCCGGCCGTTTCATGCCCTGGCCTACTTTCATGAAGGGATGAAGCAGAAGCTAGAGCAATTGGAGTCGGAGCAGAAGGAATCGCATGCGACCAACTCTGCCACCATCGACGAAATGCGATGCTATGTCACCTTTGTGGAGGAGAGGATTCTGCCGCTGTGGAAAAGATTCGAGCAAGTGACTAAGAATACCCCGAACAAAGTTCGCTACGATGAACTTTCCCTCCTTTTCCGCCCGGGAGACTTGGTGTTTGTGCCATCGGTGGCTACCAGCACCAAGGCACGCCACCAGTCTGCTATTCAGAATGTCTTTCGCCTAGCATCCCTCCGGCCGGAGGACCACATGTGGCAAACAGACCCCGGAGGCTGGTTTGTCCCAAACTCTCTAGCGAGATGGAGTATCTACTGCTTCGACCACGATGGAGAGGACCTGCGAGTGATATGGCAGTCGCTGGAGATTCCACATTTCTCTGGCGAGCAAGATGTGACTGCCTTGCCATGTTACCCCCTGCGTTTCCACCCCGACCATGCAGCAATCCTTAAGTCCCAGGCTGAGACCGGTAAACTCTTCAAAGAGTTGATAAAACCGCAGAACAAACATCAGTACTATTCCGGGTGGAGCCTGTCAACAGGTATCTTCAAGGAGAGCATCGAGACCGATGAGCCCGAGCATATAGAGAGCGAGGTGATCATTGACATCAAAGAGGCTTCGCGACACGTCCCCGAGACCTATCCCAGTGACACGAAACGATACGAAGAAACATTCCACGATTCCTGGGCCACGGTCGTTGATGAAAATGTCCCTTTCCGGCTGTGGGGCAAAGACCAATACCCCAAGTTTCACGAGAAAACCGAAGATATGCTAGCTCGAGAGGACTATACATATGCAAAGGAAGCACAAGCCTACAAGAAGAAGAACCCCTATATAGACAACAACGACACCTTCACGAAAGAAACATGGTCCGATGAGGATTATGCTCTTCTTCCTCGGAGAGTACTTGGATATGTTTTACGCGAGAGGAGATTTACGCGACTGGATGTTCACAGTTTTGATTTGCGTCGCGTACTGGACGAGAAGATTACGCTGGACCATGTGCAGATAAAGCCTGGCCACAGAAGAATCATCCGATCAACCGTCTCGTCACACTTTGCTAAAGTCCAGCGAGAGCGCATTCGGGATACTATTCTGTATACTCCGGATATGATCCGAGGCAAGGGACGAGGACTGGTGATCCTTCTGCACGGAGCCCCTGGAGTAGGCAAGACAGCAACAGCAGAAGCAGTGGCGCTGGAATTTGAGAAGCCTCTATTCCCCATCACCTGTGGAGATTTGGGGACCACACCGGAGGCTGTTGAAAAGTCCCTGAAGGATATATTCCGCTATGCTCATCTCTGGGATTGCATTCTGCTATTGGATGAAGCCGACGTCTTCCTCACACAAAGAGATCGAACTGACGTTGAGCGAAATGCTTTGGTTTCTGGTGATTACCAACGTCCACCTCGAATTAAACCCAGCTAACCGCGCGCAGTGTTTCTAAGAGTGCTAGAATACTACAGTGGCATTCTCTTCCTTACGACCAACCGAGTGGGCGCTCTGGATGAAGCCTTCCGTTCACGAGTGCATCTCAGTCTCTACTACCCTCACCTCAACTGCGACGATACCATCTCCATCCTATCTAGCAATCTGGCGCGGCTTCCCCGAACGGACAAAGTTCCCAAAGGAACCACTATCGGGAATGGACACATCCACGTCATGGACAAGGAAATCATCGAATTCGTCAAAGGCGAATATGAGAAAACATACAGAACCCACCGACGAGGCCCCTGGAACGGTCGACAGATTCGCAACGCCGTACAAATAGCATCTTGCCTCGCCTTCTTTGACCAAAAGGACAAACCCCCCGGCAATGACCTTCCCGTCGTCCTCACCGCAGAACACTTCCGCACAGTAAACGATACAATCGAAGAATTCGACCGATACCTCGTCAAGGCCCGACGCGCCGACGATCGCAAACTAGCCCACATGGAAGGCATCCGATACGATGCATACGAGGCCGGCCTCTCACGGGAACCAGCCGCATACGATGGCTTCAGCGGCTACGAGTCCGACCACCACCCCGTGGAACGCACCCCCCGCCGCAACATGGGCGCCCGCACCCCTCAACGCCAGACCCCATACGCAAACTCCGCAGGTGGACGTGTCACAGCCGGACGATATTCCTCCGGCCGAAAACGCGGCGCCATATACGAATCCCAGCATTATGCCGAAGAGGACTTCCTCGAGGATGACACGTACGCCCCGAGTCCCGTCCCCGGACGTAGATTCGAAGGCGCGGGCGCCTCTGAACCGCCCCGCTCCCGGGCTCAACCGAGACCACTACCCAGACAGGAGGAGATTTATGAGGAGGATATCTACCCCGATGTCGAAGATCATGCCGATGGGGACTACCATCTTGCGAAAGATCTGGATGGTCCGCGCTCGACTCCTCGCAATCTAGGTAGGAGTCCGAGATATGTGGGGGATTACTCCCCTGCGCCGGGCCGTAGGACGAGGGGGGCTTATATGGAGGAGGCTGCGGGTACACCGAGGTCTCCTCATCTGGAGGTGGAATAGAGTTCGGGAGATGTTGATGAGTGATGGTTGAGCTTAGATCGAGATTGTATACCCTGCGTGCTAGGCTTAGAAGTCTATATTCTTGCTCGTGCCTTGACGTCACTTTTGTGAATTGTAGAGAGGAATAGCCGTTGAGTTCAACGGTTCCTTTGAAGGGCCGAGTCTCTAGGAGGGAATAGTATCATAGTGATAGAATTATACACTCTAAATCCTATCTTGCTTCCTTGGAACAGATATATACAATTACCACACTATAAGGTACTATCAGAGACCAGTACAATAATCATCAATCCTCTCCGACCCAACCAGCTGCATGAGTGTATCCCCCTCGGCGAAAAGCAACATATTTGACGATCCTTGCTCAAACGCCGGCCAGGAGAAATAACTACTATTATTTGGGTTCGGCGCAGCATCTCCGATGGCAAGTCGGACTGGGCCGCGCGAAGGGTCCTCAGCGAACGAAAGCCACAATGCTTCCATAGCATAGCTGACGTCCCATTCATACTGGGTCGATGGACCGCCGTACTCGTAGTGAGTACCGAATAAAAGAGGGAGTTCGGAGCTATGGTAGGCGCCGAACCAGGATAGTGGTGAGATGTTGGAGAAGTTGCCGGCGTATTGGTATCGGTATGTGGTGAGGCCGCCGAGATTGCGGTTCTTGACTTCTTCGGCGACCGGACAGGCGATGATGGACTCGGTGAGGTTAAAAAGGGTGGCTTCGCCGGGTCCGTTTGGGGTGAATGAGACGAAGCCGGCGCCTTCGTTGGCGTTGCTGCCGGTTAGTAGGGGCTGCGGGTTGTCAGTAAGGCTGGTATGGTGGGGTTTGGGGGGGAGTCGCTTACGATTCTGGCGACCTTGCCTTCGATTGCACGCTCCGTCCAGTTGGCGAAGGCGGTTATGTTGTCAACAGCGGGCTTGAATGAGATGGAGGGTGAACCTGAGTAAGTTGAGAGAGCAGTTTGCAGTGTTCGCGCAGATACATTCCGCACGCAGCTGATTTCTTCAGTAGAGTCGAGTCCACTGCAGCCGACCAGCCCGGCCAAGAAAGTGAAATTCGTATGGGCATAGTCTTCGTTGTCAATGATACCCGGAGCACCTGAGTCAGCTATGAGAGCAGCGACAATCGGGTTCTCGGGATATCCGTAAGAGTAGGCTGTGACACTGCCTGCTCCAGCGGACTGGCCCCAGAGGGTGATACGCGCGGGATCACCGCCAAAGTTTGCAATGTTGTCCTCCACCCATTCGACGCTTTAAGACAGTCTGTTAGCATGCAATTACATCTGAATATTGGGTCATGACTCACGCCAATCTTTGGTCCAGGAAGCCGACATTCTGCTCAGTCAGCCCTGCGGCGTTTGGAAAGCCAAAGACATTCACCCGATAACTAATACGCTGTCAGATACGACCATAAGATGCGTAAGGAGAGCAATTGCTCACTTCATGACCACCACGATGTGGGACTGTGTTCTCTGTACCCATTTGTCGGGGATCTTGTACAGTGAAGCTTCCCCTCCACTGGTGAAACCTCCTCCAGGGATGTAGAGCAACACTGGGAGTGGACGCTGTTGCGATTGAATGCTCTCAACACGAGGAGCCCAGATCGACAAGTAAAGGCAGTCCTCTGAGTCTCCTCCGCTGATGAGAAAGCCAGTCTCATAGGTGGTGTATATTGAGGAGCTATTGCTGGTCTGCTGGATACAAGATGGAGGAAGTGCCAACGCATTGACCGTCCCATTGGGCTGCTTCTTTACGGGACTACTGAAGCGGAGATCATCCACTGGCGGCTCTGCAAAAGGGACACCAAGAAACTGTCGAACATTGGGGGCTGTTTGGTTGAAGAAGCCTTGTATAGGGCCGCTGGAAGTCTGGACAAGGAGTCCTTCCCCATTCGTATCTCTTGTGGCTGGGGATGTGGGAGCGGCCAAAGTCCTAGAGGCAAATAGAGCCGTGAGTACACAGGCACGTAAGGAAAACATCTTGAACATGGATATGAATGATGAATCACTTGCAGTAATGGGCAGAGAGGGGGCTGTTTATATACCTTTTCGTAGCTTGGCAGTAGACCCGCAACCTGCCAGAACGCTGTAACGGACTGCCAAAACATTCAATCTCTTCTGAGGGGGATAAAGGATATAAAGCTCCCCTCTTTGAGGAAAAGGGATCAGCCGTCAAGCACTTTTCCTTCCCCAGACTACTTCAGGTCTGTGGGGATCAAAGGTGCCGAACCTGACTCCACTTCGTCGGGCAGGCTGCAATTATTCCCTCGGGAAATCACATACGACAGTCTCTGCAGCCTCGCTGGGTAACCACAACCATTGATGCCTTCATGGGTGTTCATGGCTTATAGCGTCAGGAAAGGTTGATGAGGGCATTGTGGATGTGCTATCCTAGGCTCAGCAACCATTCGCTTCAAGCTCCACAATCGGGTCATCTGGGCGCTTTGCACGAAATTGAAGACTGACCACAGTAGGAATACAAAGCGTCATTAACGGCAATTTCTTCAGATTATCCGTGGGAAACCCTGGTTAAACCCTTGCGCATGGATCTGGAGATGGTGGAGGAACAGAGATGCAGGGTCATGGTTGCGGGGTAAATCCGGGGTAAATTCTCCCCCAACCGAGGCGGGGCACTTGGGGAACGACCTCTTCTTCATCACGGCTGAGCCTTTTCCCTGCGGGAGAATGGCATTCTCTCGTCACGTATCCCATAAGCAACCTGCAGTGTCTTAGTATAAATTGAACTCAGCCGGCATCTTGTGCTAGTCCGACTCATTCTGTCATCAGGGGGTGCGCAGCTTACGCGACCTGCCAAAACAAATGTTTACCCGTGTCCCTTCCTGCTGACAAATATGCAGCCTTGTGTAACTAACTATCAGGAAGGACTCAAGCTATGCCTGACTCCTGAGATACTTGCAGGTAGCTTTTGCGGACACAACGATGTCATGAACCGGGACTCGACTCCGTTCCCAAACTGAATGCTGCTATTCATGATCTTGTGCGGGTCTCAGGATAATGAAGAATCCGGAAACTAAATCTTGACCTTTTCAATTCAAAAAGATTGCAGATAATTTGCATGGGTTCTGAGGGGAGCGATAGATTCATTAGTCGTCCACGTTGGTGGACAGCAAAAGACTTCAACCGAGGCAACCTTCGCACCTGCCTTAGGGCGTATACCTGCCTGATTGGGTAAAGCTCGTAATACTCCGCTGAGCGTCATCCGGGTTGCCTGATCGGGAAGACCGGTTCTTACTTCGCACGAGAATCCCACACGCTCCTGAGAACACGCATCTGTTCAGCATATTCGCTTATTGCAGTGTCAAGGCACAATTTCATGTCTGTATTTTGCAGCAAGATCACGGTCTTGCTCTTCTGGCCTGGCAATCCCTGAGTCCCGACCGGCTGCAGCCCCTGAGGTCCCCTTCAAACAATGTGCGAAACAGCCACAACGCAAAAATGGGCATTCTCATCATGAAACTGGTTCTGGAGTTTTCAGTAGTATGATGCGACTCTCTATTCCTACAAACTGGTATCGCCTAAACTCGGGTCAATTCACCAGGAGGACGACTGCATCGTGACACCGAGAGTTTCAAATGTGCTCTGATAATGCATCCACCACTGGATGTTCCAATTATGAGAACATTGTGCTCCATGGAGCGGGCTCGGTTGTGCAGCACTCAATGAAGTAGGGCATCGAATATTCGCACTCGGGCCGCCGTTTGACACAATACAGCGCGTTCCCGGCATGTTACTCGTTCTTGGAGCTGATAGCCATGGTTTGTATCCTTCAACTCCCAACTAGTGGCATCTGGTATAGAATCCAGGGCCCTCTAGTGATTATTTCCTATTGGTTTATTGAACTGATAGAAGTCATGTGGTGATATCCTTGGGCCCATCTCTTCATTAAATTTACGATGAAACAGTCCTCCTGGCTTGCTGCTCTGGGGATGGCTGTACTGTGACAATGGGCACTTCTTGGGTGAGTCATCAGCTTCTCTGGGTCGGCTGTAGGACTGTATTTAGTTATTTCAAGTAACCGAGGCATAATACTGCATGGCAACATTAGTCTTCGACTAACATTTGGGATCAGGAGAAAGGAGTTAAGCATAAACAATTCCCGAGAGGTTATACTAACAGGAAGAAGGGTTACTGGGAGAATGAAATCACTAGACCAGAAGCAGGCACCCGACTCTCACGCCGCGCTGCCCACCGCGACGGCGCCAAGTGTTATTCTTGCAGGGATTGTCAGTGCCAGATACTTTTTCCTCCAACAGAAGGATCCTCTGGGCCGGCGCCAAGTCTAACATCCTATGGTGGACAGGAAGTGTAGGGGTAGGACGGCACAGTCGACTTGGGGCATCCAGCATCTGTTGGAGATTAGCCATTACGGCAGATGGTATTGGATGCCTGAATGGGGCAAGGGGTGATATTGGCAGCGTTGGACACAGATTGTGTGTAAATCTTTATCCGTGGAAGACCCTGTGGATGTAACCTTTCACTATCGACTGCGATCAATTTTAGACGCAGGATATCCTGACCTGTGTACCCGTACTCCGGCACGGGGGGTATGTGACTTGTATTGCACCCAACTGTTTTGTGTACTTTTTGACCCCTTTGTCTGAAGGAGCTCGGTTCGGTGGATGTAAGTTGGTTGACTGGAACATAAAATACCGCCATCCCACGCATAAGCCTCAACATTAAGCTTAGTGGGTATTGGCGAGACCGGGTAAACGGCCTCGGCAGTGGATGCACCCGCGCTGACTTTTCAGTCCAGCTGACTGGCCCCTCCTATTGTCCCCCGGGAATAGGCAGCAGAATCACCGACCAGAAGTAAACATCCTAGTAGCGCACGGCTGATCTGGGGTTACACGAGAGGATATGCTGCTTATGAAAAAGCATAGGGCGTACAGCAGCCCGCAAAGACTGGCAGTTCCATCACTCCATCACTGGACGTGTCTCTGCCCTGTGGGATAAGCATTTGTCCAAGAGCGCGGAATTAATAAATGCCTCAGCGGCGTTGGACCATTGGGCGGCTGGAGACCGCCACAACAACACAAGCAGGCTAAGCATTGGGGACTCCATGGGAAAACCTCCGAGACAGCGAGACGATCAGAATCTGACCTCCCGATCGGACCACTCGACTGCTTGGCCAGATCCAGCGATGGTGGGGAAATCCCGTGGTGTCACGCGGCCCCCCAACATTGGCGCGCCATGACATCTTCCTTCCCATGGCCTGACCGCTCAGGCGCCTTGCCTGCTCTCCCGCTGCTTTGTTTTCCGGTCTCCCTCCTCGCTCGAATCTGGAGGGCCCTGGAATGCACTGATGACCTGTTCTGACTCGGTGAGCCGCTGCCACACCCTCGTTGTGACTTCATCCCGCGTATGATGTACTAACCTTAGTATAGCCGCCTCCCAATCAGTCGCTCGAGATGGAATTCCATTCAGGACTGCCGACCGGTTGATGGACCTGAGTATCGGACAACATCCGTTTCTCACGCCCTCGGATAAAGGCACTCGGTTTTTAAGACACGATACCGTCCGTAACGTGGGTCTGGTCTGTATCGGAGTGCCTGGACGCGGGGCTAAAGCCTGGGGTGCTTGCTTATTGCGGAGATAGAAAGAACCACGGTTGGAATGCCCCAGAGAATCCCAGCCCTTTGATTGGTGGACGGCGGCAACGGAACCCGACTAACCAGGACCCCCGGCCGTCGGAGAGTCGCCGCTAGTTCGACAACAGTTAACCAGTGCTATGCATAAGATCCAACCATGTGGCGTCGGCTGGAATATCAGAGACATTACGGCCACCGTACGCCGTACGGCTGAGGCCCGAGGATCCATCCCTCCGGTGAGAGGGTGAGGTATCGCCTCCCCTCTCTACCCCGTACGGAGTCTTCGGTTCTGACTCAAGTCGCACATCGGTCTCCGTCTCTCCCTTGCATGCGGGGCCATGTTAGCCATGGCAAGCGTATGGACGTCATCTCGGCCAGGTCGGTCGGCAGCAGTCCGGTGCTTAGAGGGGGTGGAGGTTCATCAGCCCACATACAGAACCCCCACGGTTGATTGCCCCTAGGACTAGTGCTCTGTCTGTTGATTTTTCTATGCGCCGGTCCCCCAGGAAAGACAATGGCCAGTCTCTTTTCCTTTCTATCTTCTGCCTCTTTCCTCCTCCAGAGCTCTCTCTAAACTCCTGAGAAGCCCGGTGCTACGGAAATCAGGCACAATGCAAGGTCAAGCGCTTCGTTACGCCCAAATTTTGTTGGTCGCCTGCCCCTCCTTCATCTTATTCGGTTACAACCAGTCGGGCGTCGGAGGACTCGATGCCTTTCCCTCCTGGGTCAAAGTCTTTCCAGAAATCGATACCATCCATACCACAGGAGCCCAGAAATCCCACAATGCCACTGTTCAAGGCGCCGTGGTCGCGTCGTACACGATTGGGGCACTTTTTGGGTCTTTGATCTGTACGATTATCGGTGACATGCTTGGTCGTCGCCGCACAATCTTCTCTGGCGCATTGATTGCATTGATCGGTCAGGCGCTGGAGTGCACCGCATACTCCCTGGCTCAATTCGTGGTGGGCAGAGTGGTTCTGGGATGGGGTGTCGGCATGCTGAGTGCAACTGTACCGGTCTGGCAATCGGAGTGCGCCCCTGCTGCTCAACGAGGTCGAAACGTGGTGTTGACAGGCATGTTCATTGCGTTCGGTTTTGCTTTGACGCAATGGGTCAATTTCGGTTTCTATCAGATCGAGAATTCCCCTGCGTCCTGGAGGGGTTCTCTTGCCATCCCATCGTTGTTTTCCTTTGTCATCATGGGCAGCATCTTCTTCCTTCCAGAGTCCCCTCGCTGGCTGGTCATGAAGAATCGGTCTGACGCGGCGCAATCCACTCTGGCGTCCCTGAGAGGCCAGGATGCGGACTCGTTGGAGGTTGTTGGGGAACTACGAGCCTACGAGATTTCCCTAGAAGAATCATCAAACAACACACTTAAGCTCAGCGACATCTTCACAATGGGAGAGGAGAAGCTCTTGTATCGGTTCCTTTTGTGTGTCACTCTCCAGTTCTTCCAGCAGATGACTGGTGGGACCCTCATTTCAGTCTACATTCCTCTCATCTTCCAAACCGATCTCGGCCTCGGGGCCAGTCTGTCCAAGATCCTGGCCGCATGTGCATTGACGTGGAAATTCCTCTGCTGCTTTGTGGGCTTTGCCATTATTGACCGCATGGGACGGCGGACGGCGTTCATGGTCAGCGGCGGCGGCATGGCCCTGTGCATGCTGGCGTTGGCGGTCTCGAACTCTTTCACTAACAACCATACGGCTTCGATTATCTCCGCCCTGTTCATCTTCATTTACAACTTCTTCCTGCCGATCGGCTTTTTGGGCGCCAACTTCCTTTACCCCGCCGAGGTTGCCCCTGCTCGTCTTCGTGTCGCCATGCAGGCTATCTCCATTGCCAACCAATGGCTATGGTATGAGCTCGTTCCCTTCCTTCCAACCCCGCTAACCTATTCTCTTCTAGGATGTTTGTCGTTGCGATGATTACCCCGGTCGCCATTGACGATATCGGATACCGTTACTATATCGTGTACGCCGTCATCGGTGGCATCATCCCTCCTACAATCTATCTATTCTATCCCGAGACCAAGGGCCGGTCCCTTGAAGAGGTGGACGAGATTTTCCGCGACGCTCCCTCCATCTTCGCTGCCGTGTCAATGTCGAAACACTTGCCGGTCGGAGACAGAATCCTGGAGCGTGTCATTGAAGAAAAGGCAACGGTCGAGGAAATAGAGTGAAGGAATACAGCCTAGACGAAAGTTACGACATCATGTGTGCCAGATAGACATAGATCTGCACTAGAAATGCTACAGACATCTGCGATGTTATTGAAGATATCCATACCTTGCTGTTGAGAAGTAGCTGTTTGGCTGGAGATAAGAAGGCGCAATAATCAGGCGACAACCATTCACTCAGCCGGTCGATGTCCCAAATTTGTGATCATCTTCTTTCCGCCCACGGTTTTTACCGGGTTCTCCCATCTCAGCCACGGCGGCCGTGTTTGACTCGTCGACTGGCAAGTTTCAGCTCAATTACGGTCAGTGTGTTCTGCATCTTGCTTGTACTATGTATCTTCTCACCAGTCATTTGACTTTCTTCCAGATCCACCACGAATACCAGATATCAGACTATTACCGTGTCAGACCCCACTTCAGCAAAAATGCAGTTTTTTCCATTTTAGAGATGCAAAAACTTCCTTATCCATAGTGGATGCCTGGTCACCGAAATGACTGGTCCGATATGCTTTCTGGCATTTGCAGGACGGTACTTCGCCGACAGCTGATATCATAGCCTCTTATGCAGTCCTCCTGCAATGCTATATGCTATTTCCTGTGCACGCATTGGTGATTATAGGAGATACTGCAATCCAATGTGGGTGGTATGATCTGGACAGTGGTCTGTTTGAGGGATTTTGGAGACACTCCATCGGCTATTCATTCCGTTGTGCAGATGCTCTTCCAGCTGATTATACTGATTTATGGTAGTCTACATCTAGCCAGGATGTGAGCTACATTCTTGTTAATGGTGTTAAAATGTCTCCATTTATCTGATTCATCCGATCATCTCTCAGAGTAACCCAAGCTCAACGAGATCAAATCATACCACAACAGTAAGCAACCAAAGCAAGTCACAACGATCGGCAAAGTCCCCTCATAACATCTCAAACTAATCCTCTCACAAACCCCAAACATACGCTTTGATAAGCGCTTTACCACGACTATTGCCCTTCACCAGAGTCTGATGCGTATGGCCAATATCCATGGCCTCATAATTCTCCACCTCATACCCTCTCGCCTCCTCACAACACGCACAGGCAAAGGTACAATGACCCACGAACCCCGGCCTCGCCTGACTCCTCTGCTTCTTGCAGCACCCACAACCTCTCGCACAACAGCCACCCCGCGCCGCACACTCATCCTTGAGCCATTTTGACAGCTGCCACTTCTTCCTCTTCCAGTGCGCCTTGATCGCCCTTTCAAACGGCTTATCACCCTCCGTCCTCAGCACAGAGTGGTACGTCTTGTCCACCGCCTTCATATACTTCTCCAGTTCCTTCAAATTCAGCTCCACCACATTAAGCTCATCATCTAAATCGCATACCACTTTCTTCTTCATGGCGCAGTCCAGCTCGGCGAGAATGGCCGATCGTCTCTGGAGAAACATGCCCTCGTATTGAATGTTCATGCGACGACTGAAGTCGTTGGCGAGGAGGATGCTGATGGTTTCGAGTTCCTGGGCGTCCAGCCCGCCCTGTCGAGTTTGCTGGAGTCGACGGAGCTTCTGGGCTTGTTTCCATGCTCCCGTGGTGTCGAGACCGGACTCGAGGACGCGGAGGATCCGATCGAAGAGGGAGTGCTTGGAAGACATGGCTTGAGATGGGGACGAATCCACAGCAGTAATAGGTAGATAGGTAGGACGGGGTCGTGGAGTGGAGGGAATGAGGAAGAGGGGACTGAAGATATTTCCCAACAAGATGTGCTTTTATCGGAACTTACTGCCATGTTTGATGTCATGATGGCTAACTGTCGGGAATTGATTCTCGCTCGGCTTGTGACGATTGCATCCGTGGAAGGGCCCGCTGCTGTTCATTTGACGGGAGTTTGAACCCATCCCAACGCCATAGAATACCCATCCCCAACCATTTGGTGTTATCTGAACGAGGTAGTATTGCTGATGTTCTATGTGATCATAATCGGAGAACCATGTGCTGTAAGCGCAGTCCACCCAGTGTCTACTACTTTCACAAGAAACATTCCAGCTATCAATCTCTTCCTATCCTTTTTGACCCAAAACAATAATCTCCAATAGCGATGGAAGCAGATTCCCGTCCACGCGAAGAAACCTACCGCTGCAGTAGCTTCTCATCCCTTCACCCAGTATATATCAAGACCCTACGTATCCATCTAATCCATGTGTTCTTCGTTCCCTTACATGTTACTCCTTTCCAGCTCCATCATAATTGACCATAATGTTCTAGAAAAGCACGTACCAGGCATCAACCCTGCGAAGAAACGACCCACCATTTCGGTCCTTCACGAACCCCCAAATCCCCAATCCAATCCATCGCGATCATCCAAGCCACGCAACGACAAGAACAATTGACAGCCAGACAACCCAGACAAAAATCAATTTGATTCCCCGCACCACCAGCAGTCACTCACTCCATCAAACCAATCCCGCCCTGTCTTGGTCCGTGTTACGTGCGGGTTTGTTGGTATTGTTGGTCACCGTTGGGTGCTTTCTTGTTGGGGTGGAGGAGTTGGGGAGTCGTTGATGGGTGTGAGGTGGATGTGAGATGGATGTATGGAGAGAAGAGAGAAGACACAGTAATTTAGTTCTTCCAGTCCTCCTGTTTTGGAATAATCCTCTCCTGAACCAAAAGATCAAACACCCGGAAATACCCATACGCCACCGGATACTCCTCCGTGAACCCCACACTGCGGATCTTATCCAGACACAGATCGCGATCACGACCCAGGAAGCTGAATCCAGCGGCAAGGAAAATCCACGTCGCCTCGGAGATCTCGCGCGGACGGAGACCATACTCCTCGCACATCTTTTGGTAGTCGTCCTGGTGGGCGATCCACCACTTGTCGATGCCCTTCCAGCCCTTGTCTTCGGGACTAGCACCTTCAGCTACAAGACCAAAGAATTCGCACATTTTGGGCCAGACGAGGGACCATGGGGCGGGGGTGGTGCTGTCGGCCGTGTTGAATGCCTCGCCGTGTGCTTGGTCGGGTTTTTCGAGGGACAGGTAGAGCTCGGAACGGGCGATGATATCTTGTGAAGATGGGGTATGGGTGTGGATATAGTTGGTGTAGGGTCCGGGGAAGACGACTGTGGCACCGGGGCCGTTGACATAGCGGTATAGCATCAAGTAGAGCGCGAGGGGTTCGACGTATGTCATGCTGGTGGGGACTGGAACGTGGCCTAGATACCGATGGTATCAGTATGGTCAAACCAAGACAAGCGATAGGGAGGGGGGCAAGGATACGCACCGACAATCTGATCCGGTCGAACCTCGCACCATTTCCAGGTTTTCCCCTTATTGGCTTCCTTGATCAAATCCACCTGTCCATAGTAGAAGATCTCGTCTCCCCACGGGGAAGGAATGCGCGGATTGTCCTCGCGCAAGGGAGGCTTGATCTCGATGTGTTCTTGGTATCGAAACACCGCGACGCCATAGTTCTGTGGCAATCAGCCAGAGTCCGTTGACGGGTACTGAATAGGTACCTACGTTGGTTCCAGTTTGAAGCACAAAGAACTTCAGGTTCTTGCACAACCGGTCGACCGCGTGCACGGCGTTATATGTCATTCCCACATTGATTTCCCGAATAGCCATCACATCCATGGAGTATGCGGTGGCATTGGAGTAGGCTGTATCGTCAGACAATGACCGTTGCCGGTAATTCTCTTACGTACCAAGGTAATACACGTGGGTGACTTCCTCCAGGTTGGGAACCTTCTCTTGCAGCTGGGACATCACCTCCTCCAAGCTTCCCCGCAGATTCACGCCGCAATGCAGCTCCAGTCGAGGGTCATGCGGCAAACCACTTTTCTCTATGGGCAACGGCCGATTCGTCAAGCCGATCACTCGGTCAAAGGTGGTGGGTGTGGGGTAGGAAAGAGCACATTTGGTGACGGCCCAGCCGGAGATTCCGCTGGCCCCAAAGACCAAAGCAACCTTTTTCGATTCAGCCATAGCGATTGTTGTGTTGTTTGGGTTGCTGCGACAAGAGATCAATGGGTGCGGGTCTTGTCAGGCTTTATTGACAGGGAGGGCATATAAAGAGTACTCCGTACGACAGGGGAAATTGCGATTGGTGTCATGATTCAGAATTCACACTACTGGATTCGGCGGCCCCACTTCCCTGGCCCCGCCAAGAGGCCACTTAGCTGCATTCAGGGTTCGGGGCCGCCCGAACCCTGACAGGATGGAACGCCATTCGTGGAATCGCAGCCAGTGGATTCAACGGCCGAGGTCCGCGGCACTGCCATTGAATCATTCAACTACGAACTAGTTATCTCTCTATCTATTATTGACTAAAATCATCGGTTATGCGCCTAGTGGTGCCGGTGGAAATTTGGGGGCCGAAGGATCATGCCACTCGGCCAGCAACCGAGAGACAGCGGCAGCGCATTGATGGCACACTCCAGGGCTTGTTTCCCACCGATCTTCGATTTTCCGCATTGGACCAGGAGCAATGGCCACGATCCTACCGATCATCATCACAGAACAAACTTGTCGCTGCGTCTAAGCTCTGTAGCTCCAGGCGGTTGGGAGTGAATGTGCCTGTGGCAAACCCACTCCTCAGTCGATGCGCCGGTGTCATCATTCGATGCTAGTCGAATCCTTAGGCCCATACCTCGACAAGGATGCTGGTTGCTTCTGCCGCCTGCGAGGCATTTGGGTCGCATACTTAGCGTGCTGATTCCCCCTGGGGTCATGCTCGCCCCTGGTCAGTTGTCACTCCCCACGCGTCGAAGATGGATGTGTCCGAGAATCGACATGCAGCGATCTTTGGCGTGGGCATTGGGTTCATCGTGTTTGACTCCATCATTATCGCGCTACGCATCTATGCCCGCGCGTTTATGCTGCGCGCTCTGGGGACGGATGACAGTAAGTCCACTGAACCTACTTCGAGGGCCAGACTAACGGGATATCTAGTTCTGATGATAATCGGCGCAGTAAGCGACTTTCTACTATACACCCGATGGCCTCGACTCACTTGAAATTCCACCAGATTCTCAATTTCGGATTATCCATCACAATCATGATCGGATCCCAGTACGGAATTGGAAAACCCGCGCTTGCCATTTCGGAAAGCGACACCGTGCCCATGTTGAAGGTATGCCCCTTATTTCCGACCGTCCACTCTCTCTGACCCTGACCAGTGTATTTGGGTCACCCGGTTTCTCTACACGCTTTCCATGGGGCTGGTCAAAATGTCCTTGTTGTGGTTCTATCTCCGTCTCGATCCCCGCAAATACATGCGCTGGGCCGTCTTCTTCGTCATGTTCTTCAACATTGGATTATCCCTTGCGAGCTTCATCGGCGCGTTGGCGAGCTGCAGGCCTCCCTCTTTGTTCTGGACCAATCCAACATCGAGCCACTGTATGCCCCTGGCACAACAGCAACGCTTTTATGAGGTGAACGGCGTCTTGAATATCGTGACGGATATCTTGACATATCTGCTCCCGGTTCCCATGCTCGTGGGGCTACAGTTGTCTTGGCGCAAGAAAGGGGCAATTCTGGGGATCTTTGGGCTGGGGACTTTGTCCATTGCGGGTGCGTATCAACTGGGATTCGTCCAGTGAATCGTTGCTGATCGATTGATATTAGCGGCCTGCGTTCGGTATGATGTTGTCATGAAGCTGTCGACGGCCAAAGACGATTATTACATGATTTTGGCGGACTCCCTCAACTGGTGCACGATTGAGGCCTACGTCGGTATGTATCCCCTCCCCACCCCCTCCAGAGACAAGCGCCCTCTAATTGTCCGTCTACAGCCATTTTCTGCGGCTGCGCTCCCTCCCTCTCCGTCCTAATCAAGGCGCGCCTTCCTGCTATATTAGGTTCCAGGACTACCAAACCTCAAGATAGCGCGCCAACGCCTGGGGCCAGCTATCTGCAGCGACGGAACCCTCTGAAAAGTAATCGGCGTCGGGGACTGGGCGATACGACGCTGGGCAGTCAGGATGCCATTGTTACGGTCAGCAATCCTGACCTCAATCAGGAGGGGATTATGATGAAGACGGACATACAGATGAGAGTTACAACCCGAAAGTCGACAGATGATATAAGTTATTAAGGCCGTATGATGACGGCGAGGCCAATATGACTTTCTCTTACTAGATAGAGCAGGAAATTTATTTCGTCTATCATCTCTAAAATCCCCCATCCCACCACCGCCGGGTGGTCTGCTGGCCCTGGTGATGACCGACCGTCGCATCGAACTGGACATCGCACTCTCCACTAGTACTGTTGCACCATCTGGCGCTCATCCGCACAGCGTTCAGCCCATCAGAAGTGGCATTTCACCACTATCCACCGCTTATAACGGGTCACTACGAGTGGCTCCTCAACGAAGATCATCTCATCCAGGTCGGGGGATCGACCGATCAGATTGAGATTGAACGGCGCGGGGATTGTATCACGTAGCTTGCAGAACACTTTGCAATGTTCCCAAATCAGCACTGGAACCAAACACCCTACGCAGACGCGTATCCATGTAACCTGGGCCAGACCTAACAGGCTGCCCTATGTCCTGGGCTTGGCGAGAAGGGTTAGTAGACCGGCATTACTATAGCACCTGTAAAAGTCTAACATATATTGTGCTTGGATTAGAACAACCTACTCGCGCTGAAACGTGAGAAGTAGTAGCTTCCAATGCCATCAGGCCCTCACTGAAAACAACTTGAATATGCAAGAAAGGTAGGGCAAAGAGAACTGGTACGAATTGTTTCATCTCAAAGTAACAAAAAACCTATCAACTATCGACAGTAAGATATAGATGTGACCCTTTTATACTCCGTGTATCGAACATTAGCGAGAGACATCATTATCTTGCGGTTATTGTTGGCAGGATACCCTCTTCCTACACCTTCTCAATCCGGCAGGTCATATCTCCGCCTTCAACTGTTGTAAGCTTCTTCACTCATGGCTCACCCTGTTCTGTAGAATACATGTCCCTAGAACTGAATCTCAAGCCAAGGACAAATATCGTTGTCTTCCCTCTATTTCAGACAGTCAATGCATCGGGAATCCACAACTCGAACACATGAACGATCTACAAGGAATGAGAGATACATCATATGATGAATGCCTCCCTGTACACCTTGCTCTAGATCACAACTTAAGCTCTATTCTATCGAGTTAGCGGCATGCTTAGCCGGTATGCAACTATTTTTCGTTTCATGTGTCCGTTAATATCTAGTTAGAGAGGCGAGAGCTGAGGGGTGAGTGAATGTGCCGGGAGGTGAGACGTTCAGGCAGTGCATCCCTAGAAAGTAATCTCCCCTATTTTTCTTTCTCTTTCTCTCCCCTGCATTTCGTTTCCTCCTCTATACATTTCTCTGGAGTGTCTTTGAGCACCGAGCCTGGTTTCGGTTCTTAGTAGTTTTTTGAGCTTCTGGCAATCTAGAGACTTCGTTTTGGCTATTCTCAGATTTCCGCTTTGAATCATTTGAGAGCTCTGGAGGTTCTGAACAGAGTCATTCTTCTCGATCCGTGCAATGCCTGTTCCGGGGCATTCTTACTGCAATGATGAACTCCACCACAATCAAGCAGGAGAGACAGGACGCCGGCTGGCCAGACGAATGCCATATCGCCGTGGTGGGAGCAACTGGGGCGGGCAAAAGCTCCTTCGTGAATGCCTTGAGGGGAATTCGAAACGGGCACCCCGGTGCTGCTCCAGTAGGTACATCCGGGACAACTCGGGAGGTGCACCGATACCTAGGGTATAATAGCGACGACTTTTGGATCCATGATGTCCATGGGGTTGGTACCGAATCGGTGGAGGCGGCAGGATACTTCAGCGCTTACAATCTACGCTTATATGATTGCGTTTTGGTGGTCTATTCGGACCAGCGTCGAGCGGTAGGTTATTGCTCCCTGTCATGCTGCTTCAGGCTTTTTGGTGCGGATGGAGTCTCACTAATGAGTGTGCGTTGCAAGGTCGATTTGCGAATTCTCGAGGCCTGTGACTATCGCCACGTGCCGGTCTGTCTGGTTCGAACCCAGTCCGACCAGAGCATTCGCAACATTGTGTATAATTACGGCATGGCCTTGGCCGATGCAATGGAGATTCTCATCGAAGACATCCTTGGAGACATTAATAGTGCTTTCCATGCAGCCGAACTTCCCGACAAATTGCAACAATCTGTGTTTCTGGTCAAGAAGAATGGACTGTACAGCTCTGTCACTGGTTGTGGGGGTGGGAAATATGGCATCAACGAGCAATATCTTGTGAAAAAGCTGAGTTCTGTAAATCGCTGAGGAGGACGGACGGCTCTCTGAATGAGCCTAGATGAAGTTTGGAAGGTCGTGATTTCACATCGTCATTTCTTCGAAGTTGTTCCCACTGCCTCCCCATTCGGATGTACTCTCACACGAGTGATTATCATTCAGCTTCTTGTGTTCCTATCGTCTATCAGCTCGTTCTTGAGGCAACAGCTCTCCCGGTCCTATGAGATTGTATCCTCTTTTCCAAGCAGCAATCTTGTCCTCCGTGGATCCCTGTATCTTGGTAATAGCAATGATGAGATGCGCCTGACTTGACCATTTCGATATCCTCGAGGTGGCGAACGAGCAAAAGGTCCAGAAAGTGCATTGCAGACGTCCTTAGTAGTCCTTCCATAGAATATAAACTGACACATTACATAATGACATACATTAAAGGAACATTTCCCACACCAAGCCAGGGCGACTTCATTCTAGTACTATATTAACCTACTATTGCGCAGTACATATTGGCAACATGATAGGGAATAGCGTCCGGCATAGACATATCTTGTCTGAGGGGGTTACTTACATTATATGCATATACTAAGAAAGGGTGAGATTGGTATACAATGTGTCTTGACTCAAGGTGACGCTAGTCAAGATCAGGAATGGAAGTACCATGTCATGTTATGGAGGAGTTGGTGCCTGGGGTCTGTCTAGGCGAATCGAATCTCAACCGAATGGGTTCGTTGCTACCAGTGGGGTCGGTGAATGTCATTAGTAAGATCGTCGACTATGACATACCACTCATATATACAGTACTCGGTCAAGTGATGAAGGATGATAGTGGCAAAACCGACATTATATTATGATGATATGTTGATCATATCGATGATTATGTATTCCACAGCAACAAAACCAAATGCTTTTCATGTCCTGGTATGCTCCGACAAGGGCCCAAATCAGATTTCGTTAGAACATATGCAATCCGTAAATCATCCCAGAGGTCAACAAGACAATTATTAAACACGGCGCTAGAATAAAGCCGGTATTATAACGGACCGATCTCCGGGTAATCCTGTACATCATGTCACGTAAAAGAGATGATTCACAATGGTTCAGGTGAGAGTGTAGCCACCGTCAACACGGAGGTCAGCTCCCGTAACGTAGCGAGACGCATCACTGAGCAGGAACGTCACAGCGCCCATCAGGTCCTCGGGGGTACCCATCTTGCCGGTGGGGATGAGGGAAATCCACTTGTCGCGGAGCTCGGGGTTCTCTTCCAAGATCTTGCGGGTCCTGGGCCATGTTAGTAGTTTTCATCATGGCAATTGGCACAGATACTTACAGCGCAGTCAGCATGTATCCAGGGCTTATGCAGTTGACGCGAATGTCGTGGCCAGCCCACTCAACGGCAAGCGAGGATGCAAGGTGACGGACCGCCGCCTTGGCCGCGTTGTAAGGAGCCTGGGGCTGGGGCACGTTGACAATCGCACCAGACATGCTACCAATCATGACAATGCTACCAGGGGCTTTCCGCTCCATCAGGTGCTTAGCGACCCCGGTAGCGAATAGGTAGGTACCATCCACGTTGACACCCCACAGCTTCTGGATTCGGTCATAAGGGTAGGAGATGGCGTCAAAGTTCTCGGTGAAACCAGCCGATGTCACAAGGTGATCGATCTTTTTGTGCTTCTCGAGTACCTCGGCGATGGCGGCGTTCACGGAGTCGGGCTTGGACACATCGGCATAATGAGCGGTGACAGTTGGCATCCTGTCATATCAATTAGTACTGGGCTTCATTAGGAGACAATTGACATACTGATCAGCTTCCAATCCCGGGTTCTCCTTCTGGAACTGCTCCACGAGCTTCTTAGCCTGGTCCTCAGCTTCCTCCTCTGTAGTGCGTTAGTAATTGCACAATCATCCCGATATACTCAGCACGTACTGTTCAGGTCGACAATGGCCAGGTCAGATCCCGAAGCCACAATAGCCTGAGACATGGTCAAGCCCAGACCACGAGCACCTCCAGTCACAAGGGTAACCCTGTTCTCGAGAGAGAACTGGGCTAGGGTGCGCTTGAAGTGCATTCCACCACGGCCCTGGACGATCGGAGACCGGGGCATGTTCTCATCATCCGGGTACTCAATCTTGACATTTTCATCAGTACGAGCAAAGCGACCTTCTGTCTCGCCTAATGTGCCTTCGGGGGCCTTCGTCGTGGCTGTCAAGAATGGGTCCTTCTTAATATCGTCATCGTCTTTGTTGAAACGCGAAGCGCTCGAGGAGAGGGGGCGAACGAATGTGTTTAGCGATGGCCGTGCTGTAGAAACCAACGCAGCTAGGCGCGAGGACTGGAAGACAGCCTTTGCGGCTTGACGAGCGACCGCGGGTCTGAACATTGTGTATAGCAAAAGAGAGACTAGGGGATAACTATATGATTGACGTCAGTGGGCAACAGTGATCACCTAACGAAGGTATCGGTGAATGAAAGACAAACAGGAATCAGGAAAGATAAAAAATCGAGAAGATGTAGAGCTACTTACCTTTATATGCAGTCGACAGGGTGGATGAAAGTGTGAGGAAGCTCCTCTACATCAGGAAAAGAGAGTCGCAGTGCTGAAGGCGAAACACCTGGATCAATCGGGACAGTGTGACCACCAGGCGGCGAACCAGTGGAATCAAAAAGAAGATCCTGGGGAGCTCTCCAGGCGATGAATGGTCACAGCAGCCTAATTCCAGCAGAATAAGGAGCAGGGAATGTGAGAGGTAAGACAAGGAGCATCGAGGAGCACCGCCAATTGCGGTGAATCTGGGGTACTGCCAAGGTAGCGAGAACATGTCAGGCCAGCGCAACTGCCAGCGTGATTCAGCTGACTGGCTGGCAGAGAATTTCTCCTCCATTTTGTTTTGTGTTTTGTTTTCCTTATTGTCTGAGGCCAGCCAAGTGATGTCAGGCGGTGATGGAACCTTGGGCCAGGCCTCAACCGCCCTGCAACGATCGGAGGATCTGCCCCTCGCCTCCCGCGTGACTCGGCCACGCCTCAGCATACTCCGTCGATAACCTTGACACCAGGAAACCTCATTCAGTCGTGCTTTTCTGTCTGACGAATCTCGTATCGCGTTACCAACCTACTCCGTATCTACTTAACACTTTATCTGCTGACCGACCATCCCCGCAGACTGCCCGGTGCCCCGATCTCGGGCCTCGATTATTCAGGATGCCGTGGCTGGCAGCCCGAAGCAATGCGAAACCCAATGCATCGGATCCCCCAGGCTAAGTACCGGCATGAAAGTTGCTTCTTAGCTCCCGTCTTCACTTCAATGGTTCCCTGTCCGTCTGTTCACCTGACCACGATCCATCAAACTATCAGCAAGCACCTAAATATATCTCCTATCATATCCACCGAGGCCACCTCGCGTGGAATCAATTACCTGATGCAATTGGAACAAAGCCACCCTTATCAACCACGCCAGAAAAGTCTACCCCGGCCTGGAACCATGGTTGGGTGGCACGCCTGCGGCCTGCACGTACTTTCTAACTGCAGATGGCCATTGCCGCACAAGCAGGAGATCTTCCTCTTGGGCGGCGAAATCAAATCTGAGTGGCAAACACAAACGGACATGAGTAATGTTTGACCCCGGACCTAGCTCAATTTCCCCCTCCCAGCTGTCAAGTGTCAACAATTAAACGTAATTTCCCCGTGGTTCTGGCCGGGACCCATATATTGATGGGTCTGGAGGTGGTGACTCCGGGCATCCGTGCGCTCCCCGGTGGGTGCGATGTGGAGACGCCGATGGGTCGCGGTGCAGTTAGCTCCGTCGGGATCCATTCAAATACTCAGTACAACAAGGGTGAGAGATGTTTGCTTTGGAACGATACTCCAGTGTTTAGAGTGATACTGTACCCTGTGCAGAGCACAAGTCTGAGATAAGATCAGTGGCTGCATGGGTGAGCAATTTTGGGAATGTAGGAGTCAGATTGCTACACATGTCAGATTGTTTCCCCCAAAGACTGGTCATGCACAAAAGCAATATCGATGCCTAGGTGTCCACATGACATCCAGCAGCTTTCACTCCTGCCGTGTCGGGGCACCCGGGATCGGCCTTCCGTTGATTGATTGTCCATTGTCACCGGAGATGAATCGTCTACCGTGTATTCTGCAGTAACTCCATACATGCATTCCATATCCAGCGCATTATTTCAGAGACCCCGGATTCTGTCTCCACACCCCTCAAGTGCTTCGCCGCTGCCGATGCAGCCGGTGACTACGTATCCCTCACTCACCGCTCTCTTCTTCAAATTCAACCAGCGGCGTCCCACTCTTGCATTGGTCCTGCGAGGTACCTGTTAGTCATCGCCAGCAATGGGTTGGGATGGGGGAGATTTTCGAAACTCCAAGGAAAGCTGTGGAAGGTCGATGACATGGTCCGTGCACAGCCCGTGGCCTTACCAAGGTCTGGCCGGGCCAGAACCCGACCCTGGTCGACTCCGGACTCGGGCCAGGCAGTCCTCATCATGCCACTAAGCGCATACGGAGCATGTAATCTGGTGGCTGGGCAACAATACGACAGGGGAGGGCCGCGTGACTTACTCCTTGTTGATGTACCACTTTGGCAATGGTCCCCCTTTGCGGGCTGCGGATGACCGTTTCCATCTTCATACTCTCGATCACCACTAGGGGCTGATCCTTCTCCACCACATCGCCCGCCTGGACTTCGACTCGCAGCACCTTGCATGGCATCGGTGCAAGAACGCTGTTCGTCACGTCCTTCATTCCCAATGCCTTCTCCATCCACTTCGCTCGGGGTATCGTCAACCGGTACTGCGTCCCTCGTTGGAAAGCGATGATGGTATCTCCGTCGCGGATCACCGTGGTGTCCAGGCGGGTGTGGGGGAAGAAGGAGGCGACAACCCGGGAGGCTGGGTCCCGCTGGCTCACCACTTGCTCAAATGAATGGCCTCCAACATCGATATCGAACGTGTTGTCACCCGTTTGTTGGACCCGAATGTCAAACCTCGTGACATTCTTTGTCCCGGGGCTTAGCTCAGCCAATGATATCTGGCGTGCCTGATACCCCGAGCCAAAGCCTACGGCAGAACCCTCAAAGCTGGCTTGCGTCCCCGAAACGGGGGCAGAATCATGGTGGAGACAGGCCAAGGCCACTTGAGCCAACACCTCGGGCGCAATCGCCTCCCTGGTGAATAGCTCTTCGCGGTGCTTCTCAATATACCCGGTTTCCACATCTCCGCTGATGAAATCAGGACTCCGACAGATGGTCTTCAAGAACTCAATGTTGGTGATGGGACCCGCGATCTCGTACTCCTCCAGCGCAGTCGCAAGTTTCCGGATCGCGTCTTCCCGCGTGTTGCCTCTCACGATCAGTTTGGCGATCATGGGATCATAATGCGCCGAGACATCGTCGCCCGCGACGAACCCCGCATCGATCCTAACATCATCGGTAGTGGCGGGAGTGCGAACATGGAGCAGAGTTCCAGAGTCCGGGATAAACCCCTGGTCAGGGTTCTCTGCGTAAATCCTAGCTTCGATAGCATGCCCGCGGCTAGCCATAAATGCCTCCACATCTTCCTGAAGCAATGGAAGTGGGGCGCCTTCTGCGATCTTCAGCTGCCAGTGCACGAGATCCTGTCCGGTAACCATTTCAGTGACGGGATGCTCCACCTGGAGTCTGGTATTCATCTCCATGAAGAAGAACTCGCCAGTGTCATTGTCAAAGATGAACTCCACGGTGCCGGCACCTTCGTAGCCGACAGCCAAAGCGGCCGATCGGGCCTTTGCCCAGATGTCCTTCCTCGTGGCATCGGGTAGATGGGGAGCCGGGGACTCTTCCAGGATCTTCTGATGTCTTCGTTGTATGCTGCAATCACGCTCACCCAGGGCAACAGCGTTCCCGTGCTTGTCGGCGAACACTTGGACCTCGATGTGACGGGGGGTGGTGATGTACTTCTCCACCAGTACCTGATCATCTCCAAATGAATTCAGAGCTTCCGATTTCGCGGACTGCAGCTGTGCTTGAAATTCAGCTTTGGTGTGAGCGATACGCATTCCCTTGCCGCCACCTCCCTTGATCGCTTTAATTAGCACGGGGTATTTGATCTTGTCGGCCTCAGCTTCGAGAAAGTTGACATCCTGGTTGTCGCCATGATAGCCCGGTACACAAGGTACACCAGCTGCCGTCATGATCTTTTTGGATTGGCTGCACAGGCGTTAGCACTTGGCTCACGTGTATACGCCGGATCGGGTTACCTCTTGTCTCCCATGTCTTCGATGGCCTTCCAAGGAGGGCCAATGAAGACCAAGCCCGCTTCCGTACATTTTCGCGCAAAGGCCGCATTCTCACTCAGCTGGAATGGTCCGAGCGATTAGTACCATCGCAGCCCATGTGTAACGGGCACACTCACAAAGCCGTAACCAGGGTGTATCCCTTGGCAGCCCTCCTTCTTGGCAATCTCAATAATTCGATCTCCATCGAGATAAGCGGAGACCGACCCCAAGTTGAAGGCGAAGGGTGAGCTCAGCGCGTGTTGCGCCTTGCTATCTGGATCAGTGTAGAGCGTCGTTACTCGAATTCCGTGTTGAGCAGCGGTCCGACCAACACGTCTGTAACAGGTAACGCAGTGTCAGTACCAGCAAATCACCAGGATCGTCAGACGAACAGTGCAATCTCTCCTCGATTCGCAATGAGGATGGAATCCAATGATTTCGGGGACTTGGGAGCCGTGGAGGACACGGTGGAGGCCGCTCTTCTGAACCTCCGAGCTACCGGCGGCCCCAGGCGGGACGAAGTGCGGAGAAGAGAGGAGAGCGGCATGGTCAGGATAACAGACGCCGCAGATCAGTGCCACGAGAATAGGTCAACACCAAACAGAGAGCGGGTTCATAAAACAACTGGCATATTCAAAGCGCAGGATACCAGGTTCTGGAGAACACCAAACCCGACGGCGACCGCAGCCGAGCTTCTTGTACGGCCTGCAGCGCACCCCTTGAGCCGACGCAAAGCGCGGCTGCGGGGAAGCCCGGCACGTGATGGGTGCGATCCACCCGCCGGTTTTTTCAAGACTCCAGCCAGCCCATTGCATCACTCCCAGCCTACGCCCGTCGCATAGATCTGCGCTTCTGTGTTTACCCCAGTCTGACCTTGACGGAATAGTCGCTTGGTTGCAGCGCTTACTCATTTCTCATCCAATTTGTCCGCGCGCGTTGCGTTACACGTCTGATCTTGCCTATTTGCCAATCGACTACCAAGAACCCCCGAATTCTCTCTGCTTACGCCTTCCTCACCACCACATCCATACCACATCCATACACATACATCTCGCGACCATGTCCGACGACGAAGAGTTTTACGACGAATACGACGAAGACATCTTCTGGGTGGAAGAACCCGACCCGACCGTCGCCGTAAGTGCCAGAACAGATTCTTCCCCAAATACACTCTAACATAACCATCCCCCCAGGACGACCTTGCCGCAACAGCCACTGCCACCAATGACTTCATCTTCTATGACGACCCCGCTCTCGAAGCCGAAGACTTCTTCAGCGACTGGGACGATCTCTCCGACGACTACTATGACCAAGACCCCACCGTAGTCCGCCGCCAGCGCGCCCTTAATGCCCTGTCCCAAACCCCAGCAGCGGGTATCCCGCCTACAAAACGCACCCGAAAGCCCACCACCAAGACCCCGCAGTTCGATATGGCAGCATTCCAGGGCGTCGTGTGGAAAAGCCCCAGTGATGAGGTCAAGATCGCGCTGCATGAGCCGGGCGCGGGCGAAAAGGTGGCCCTGCTGAAGAATTGGAGGGAGGTGTTTCGGAATTCGCATCCCGCGATTGGGCGCGTCAGGGTACGAAAAGATGGGAGGGAGTGGGTGGCTGGTGCTGGAGTGGTGGCTGCAGAGGATCTGTATAGTGATGAGGATGAGGATGCAGATGTGGAGGACGGGGATGAAGATGATGTGGAAGTGGACGTGGAGGAGACAAATGGAGAAAGCAATGGGGTGGGTATTGAGGAGCCCGCTGATCTAGAGATTGTTGAGCAGGAGGAAGAGGCGGAGGTCAACGGCGATCACCCCGATGCGGTCGAGCCGGCTGATTCCCTCGAGGTCAAGAAGTCGAAACCGAACGGGGTTGTCGCGATCGCGGGCAAACCAGCGACAAGAGGTCGGAAGCGCAAGGCTGGAGACGAAACTTACCCCGTCCCGGAACCGACCAACAGGCCAAGATCGAAACGCATCGCGACTCAGAAAGTTGGGGAGACGAAAGAGTCTCACTCCGCACCACCGTCGGGCCCGGTGAGGCGGTCGGCCAGAAATAAAAAGTAGTGTTGAACTGTGTATAGAAATGATAATGAGACATGAACATACAACTTGACATATGGTATGAACCCTAGATAATCCGAGCATGCAAGTCTGGTGGTATATGTGACATGGGAGCAAACGAACAGGGCCGGACAAGATAAATGCAAAGGGCCAATAATGTCTATGCAAACTCCTTGTTAAACGCACGCCCGATCACCATTCGTCGGATCTCGCTCGTCCCAGCCCCAATCTCGTACAGCTTCGCATCCCGCAGTAACCGTCCCGCGGAGATCTCGTTGATGTACCCGTTTCCGCCCATCAGCTGGATCGCGTCGAGGGCACATTCCGTCGCCCTCTCCGCAGCATAGAGGATCGCGCCGGCGCAGTCCTGCGTCCGGATCAATGCACCGGATGGCTCGACAGCCGAGTTGTCGATCTGTCGCGCAGTGGCGTATGTGTAGGCCCGAGAAGCCGCAAGCTTGGTGTACATGTCCGCCAACTTACCCTGGATTAGCTGGTTGTGGGCGATAGGTATACCGAACTGCTTGCGGACGTGTGTGTAGGGGAGGACAAGATCGAGAGCGGCTTGCATGAGACTGTGGTATGGCTATGTTAGTATCATGGCCGATCAATGAGGAAAGGTGGAACCTACCCCAGCGGGCCAGCGCTGAGCACAAGGCGCTCCAGATCCAGGCCCTCCATTAGAACCTTTACACCGCGGTTCACCTCCCCAAGGACATTTTCCTTCGGCACGAAGACGTCCTCAAAGATGAGCTCGCCGGTGTTGGAGCCGCGCATGCCCAGCTTATCCAGCTTGCGGGCGCAGGAGAATCCCTTGAAGGTCTTTTCCACGACGAAGGCCGTGATACCCTTGGAGGCCTTTTCAGGTTCGGTCTTTGCGTAGACGACAATGTAATCTGCGTCGGGGCCCTGTGGGTTTTAGGCATTGCCTGGTTAGTACTTGGATTCTCGTCTGGGAATGAGGCATGAGAAGCTCACATTGGTAATCCACATCTTCGTCCCGTTCAATAGCCACCCACCGTCGACGGCTTTGGCCGTTGTCTTCATGCTGACCACGTCGGATCCGGCAGAATGCTCAGACATTGCAAGGGCGCCGACTTTATCGCCTGATAGAAGACCAGGAAGGAAACGTTCTTTTTGTTCGGCTGTTCCGTTCAGGGAGAGCTGATTAACGCAGAGCTGGGAGTGTGCGGCGTAGGAGAGGGCGATGCTTCCTGGTACCAAGAGTGAGAGGGTTATCAGTAGCAGTTATATCAGAGTATTTACCAGATGACCGACTGATCTCCTCCATGACTATGCAGTGAGCCTGATACCCCAGCCCCAGCCCACCGTACTCTTCATTGGCCGTGATGCCGAGGAACCTGAGATGATGTTAGCTTGACGACCCTAAGATTAATGCATAGAGCTCTTAAAGCACACACCCAGCTTCACCCAGCTTCTTCCACATCTCCGCCGGAAACTCATTCTGGGCGTCGGTTTGCGCGGCCACTTCCTCAGGAATTTCGCGCCCTTGATTCGCAAACAGCGGTCAGTATAGCCCAGTAGAACATGTTGAGGGTCATTACTCACGGGTAAACTCTTGCACGCGCTCACGAAGCTCCACCAGATCCTCTTCCGTGGGAGGGATAAAGTCCTTGGGGTGCTTGGTGACGAGGGTGCGTAGTGCGGGGGGCTGAATGAGGGGCTTCCTCCAACGGGACAGCGTCCGGGAGGAATTGCGGATGAAGAAAGGGAGTTTTGGGAGAGCGGCCATGACGCTGGGTATACAACAGAAGAGGAACGCTGAAGCTTCGAGATTGAATTGAGAAGAGGAAAGAAAAGGTTTGGCTAGGAAGGGAGGGAATTATGCCGCCTCGGATGACGGCGTGGAGGATAGTTGATAAACCCGGGGGTGGGCACGGTTACCCGCGGCAATCATCGCCGCCCTTCTCCGCAATGTCACCTGCCTGTCCGCCGCGTCGAGTCGGCGTCTGCACCATCTTCCTCCATTGCCAACTACAAAAGTCCCTCGTGTGGCTCCTCCAACTTAGATAGGTCATGCTATAGTTCGCACGCAAGATATCATTCTCAGAGACCCTCTTGTCGGACCCTGAGTATCGCCAAATCATCCTCATCCAGCATCCCCGCAATGCGCGCTCCGTCTCCGCTCCTGCGGAGCCTGCGATCCAAACCATCCGCCCTTCCCTCACGTTGTCTCCTCGCGCGACAACGCCCAACCAGGTCACCCTTTCTATCAACCTCCAGATACATTGCTAGCTACACGCATCCTCACCATGCATCCGCTATTTCGGTCCTTCCCACAACAGTGGACACCTCGTCTGCAGACTTCAAGGACAATGCCCAGCAAATGCAGGAGCTCCTCGACCGAATGAACAATCTCCACAGTACCATCTCCCAAGGAGGTCCGCAAAAAGCAAGAGACAAGCATCTCGCCCGAGGAAAGATGCTTCCCCGCGATCGAGTCACGGCCTTGATCGACCCAGGAACGTCCTTCCTGGAACTCTCCCCCCTCGCAGGCCATGAAGTCTACTCCGACGACGTCCCCGCAGGAGGCATCATCACAGGGATCGGAACAGTCGAAGGAGTCAACTGTATGATTGTGGCCAATGACAGCACTGTCAAGGGAGGCACATACTACCCCATCACTGTCAAAAAGCATCTCCGCGCACAGGCAATTGCTCAAGAGAACAAACTCCCTTGCCTCTACCTCGTCGATTCCGGCGGTGCGAATCTCCCCCACCAAGCAGACGTCTTCCCAGATAAAGAACACTTTGGCCGCATCTTCTTTAACCAGGCTCGCATGAGCTCTCTGGGCATTCCCCAGATATCCGTGGTTATGGGTCCCTGCACCGCCGGAGGAGCATACGTTCCCGCTATGAGCGACGAGACTATCATCGTTGAGAACCAGGGCACCATCTTCCTGGCTGGCCCTCCTCTCGTCAAAGCTGCCACAGGCGAGGAAGTCTCCGCCGAAGACCTCGGCGGGGGTCACCTTCACAGCACAATCTCAGGCGTAACAGACTATCTTGCCGTCGACGACGCGCACGCCATCATCCTCGCCCGCAGATCCATTTCCAACCTCAACTATCCCAAAACGAATCTTCCACTTCAAAATCTCCCCAGCGATGCCATTAAAGAGCCTCTGTATGACCCAGCAGAACTGAACGGAATCGTGGGTACTAACCTTCGTCGCCAAATCCCCGTCCACGAAGTCATCGCCCGTATTGTCGACGGCAGTGAGTTTGCCGAATTCAAGCGTGACTATGGCACCACCCTCGTCACCGGTTTTGCTCGTATCTTTGGGCATCAGGTCGGCATTGTTGCCAACAACGGGATCCTATTCTCGGAATCCTCTCTGAAAGGCGCACACTTCATCGAGCTCTGCGCACAGCGCAAGATCCCCCTGGTCTTCCTTCAGAACATCTCCGGCTTCATGGTCGGCGCGGATGCGGAGAAGGGCGGAATCGCAAAGAACGGTGCGAAGCTCGTCACAGCTGTGGCGTGCGCAGACGTCCCTAAATTCACAGTCGTCTTTGGTTCCAGCGCCGGCGCAGGCAACTATGGAATGTGGTAAGTCTGAACCAATAGGTGCATCCGACATGTGTCCCCCCTAAGCTAATCATATTTTTTCTCCAGTGGCCGCGCCTACTCTCCTCGGTTCTTGTTTATGTGGCCCAACGCCAAAATCGGCGTCATGGGCTCCGAGCAACTCTCCGCTGTCATGGAAGCTGTAGGCCGGACGGCGGATCCGGACCTGAAGGCTCGGATCGATCGCGAGTCGGAGGCGGTCTTTTCGTCTGCTAGACTGTGGGATGATGGGGTTATTCCTCCTGCGCAGACGAGACGGTTCCTGGGTCTGGGGTTGGCGGCTGCTGTGGGCGGAAAGGTAGATGATGTGCAGACTCGGTTTGGAGTGTTCCGGATGTGAGGTATTTTATACAAGTGATGGCATAGCCACAGGAACACTTGGTGGAGTGGTTTGCATTTTGAACTTTTATTAGCTAGTGAGTTATTAGCACCTACGGTTCCCATGGATGAGAAACATACTCGCGAGATGTGGTTCGCTCTAGCCAATCATGTGCGCTTCTAACCACGTTGATTGAAAAGAACTCCTTCCACGGTTCAACTTGATAATCGACAGCATCGGATACAATAAAAATTGTTTCCAGTATTATATCTGGCCAACATGTCTGTCCACAGGTGCCTTTGTATGGGTTCTGCTGTATTGATGATCTCTCTGCATCCCCTCTATCGACCTGACAGGAAATGTGGAGACCAAACCTGCTTATCCTCAATCCTAATGATACTAAGATTTACAAGAGCATTTGGCCAATCTGTTTGGCCTCCGCAAAGTGTACACAATGTCATTCTATAGTGATCTTCTACCCTCTGTTGCCTACGTTTTGCAGTGTGAAGACAACATACATGCCGGCTAAAGCTACAATGCCAGGTCTAAAGAAGTGCCTGAAACAGCCTACCTCCTGCCAAAGAGTAGCATTTTCTGTCACCTGTGGGGTGCCTGATGTTGTCCGTGGCGGGCACCCTCAGTCACGCCTGGGATGGAGATGCACCGAATGAAAGATGCCGCAACAGGAATCTCCTTTCATCCTATCTCACTCAGACCAAAATAGACTGGCTTGCAGATGGTGGGTCTCACTAAGTGATCCTCCCCGTCATAGCCCCGATTCTCGCTGGGAATCATGTCAGGCTGAAGCCATCCAGGATCTGATATACGCCGTACTCTCCATCCTATGTTCTGGACACCGAGGAACTGCACCCAACGAGCAGCCTCAACGCTGCTCTCGCACCCCGCTCATAATCTCACAGTCGATCTAGCTCCCATTCAGTGGTCTGACCGTCTGTTGCTTGCTTGTTCCGAGTGTCGGCGGCCCTACCAGTCCGACAATAGGAGGATTCCCTAGCTCACGGCCACCTGTTCCACCTATCCAAGTCCTCAAAACATACTGAATGGGCATTAGGCAGCAGCGGTAGTGTGCTATAAATTGGAGAGGTCTGTCTGGTTCAGTTCAGGTCCTCAGTCTTCATCACACGCTCCACTGTTTGACTATTCCTCCGAGGTATCACTTGCACCATGGCACACTACCCCGAGAATGTTGGCATCAAAGCCATGGAAATCTACGTCCCGGCACAAGTAGAACATTTTCTTATAGGTCACATTGAAATCATCTCTGACTAGAACAGTGCCTGGATCAAACCCTGTTTGAGAAACACCAAGGTGTCTCAGCCGGCAAGTACACCATTGGACTCGGCCTCCAGTACATGAACTTCTGCACCGATAGAGAAGGTACGCCCTCCATATCCTAGCCATAGCTCTTTTGAGATCGAATAAGTTAACCGTCCCATGCAGATGTCTGCACTCTAGCTCTAACAGCCGTTTCCTCCCTCCTCCGCAAATACAACATCGATCCCAACTCCATCGGCCGTCTCGAAGTAGGCACCGAATCTCTCATCGACAAAGCCAAATCCATCAAATCGGTCCTCACAACCCTCTTCGAACCCTCCGGCAACACAAGCATCGAGGGCATTGACACCATTCACGCCTGCTACGGCGGGACCAACGCCCTCTTCAACGCTGTGAACTGGGTTGAGTCTCGTTCCTGGGACGGCCGAGATGCCATCGTCGTGGCCTCGGACATTGCCCTCTACAACGAACCCTCCACCCGTCCCACCGGCGGCGCAGGCTGCGTCGCCATGCTCATCGGCCCCAACGCAGCGCTCTCCCTCGACCCCAGTCTCCGCGGCGTCTACATGTCACACACCTACGACTTCTACAAACCCGACCTCAAGGCCGAATTTCCCCTCGTCAACGGCCACGAATCCATCACCTGCTACCTCCGCGCTATCGACGAATGCCACAAGGACCTACTCCGTCGCAGATCCAGTAACGAACCCATCCTCTCCCTCTTCGACTACATGGCCTTCCACACCCCAAACTGCAAACTCGTCAGCAAATCCTACGGCCGCCTCAAATACAACGACATCCTGACCTCCAAAACACCCTGCGCCGAAATTCCACAAGACCTCCTAACCCTTCCCTACGAATCCTCCCTCAAAGACAAACCCCTCGAAAAAGCCCTCATCTCTTTAACAAAAGACGACTTCAAATCCCGCGTCGAGCCATGCATCCTCGCCCCGTCCCTCTGCGGAAACATGTACACGGCCAGTCTCTACTGTTCCCTCATCAGTCTAATCAGTAATATCGACCTCACGTCCGCAAAGGAAAAAACTATCGGCATGTTCAGCGTACGCTTTCCCCAACCCTTCCTTACCCCTCCCACCACCAACCGAGCTAACCAAACCCATCTGCCCAATGAATAAAACAGTACGGCAGTGGCCTCTCCAGCACGCTCTTCGCTCTAAAAGTCACCGGGGATCTAGCACCCATGGTACAGAAAATCAATCTCATGGCGCGCTTGAAAGAGAGAATTATTGCTACGCCGGAAGAATATGAAGCGGTTAGTGAAGCCATTCAACCATCCAAATACTATCTTCTCCTAGTCTGTTCATGAAGCAGATACTGACCAGTTTTGATGGTGATAGGCCTGCGCCCTCCGAATCAAAGCCTACGGAAGTAAGAACTATATCCCCGTTGGGGATGTAGAGTCTCTTGCGCCAAGGACTTATTATCTAGAGGGGATTGATGAGGTGTTTCGGAGGAGGTATGTTGTGAAGGGCTAAGAGTACTCTTTCATTGTTGATGTTGGGGTTGATGCTGGGTTTGGGGTTGAAGCTGGTGGATTCTACTTGGTCTAGGCTGGGGTTCCCCATGGGCTGAAGGTCAATTTAACTATGAACCAAGAAGGGCATATCGAGAGCATAATAGTGATCAGAATAGAGAAAGTCGGCTTTATACAACTGTGTGGGACTTTATAAGGTTATCCGAGATCTTGCTCGGATTTTTGTTCTGGGTCTTCACTTACGAGATTCTTTACGTGAAACTTACGAAGAGCATCATTATAGACCCGAAGAGGGGTGCAAACTATTCTATAGACCTTCATTCTATACAATACGAAACAGATACACTCCACACCCAAAAAAAAAAAAAACAATCAGTCCTGCGACATATTTCTATCTAGGCCTCTAGAAAGCACATAAGCACATACAAGCACAAGAACAAGAAACAAGCATATAACATAACATAAATACTCGAAGAGAATAAAACCTAAACCAGTCGTCAGGAGGTCACAGGAAGAAAGAAAGAAAGTAAGAAAGGCGTAGTGGAATACACGTCTATAGTTGTGGTCTGGTGGGTACTGGGTATGCGCCAATACTTTTCCGATTCTTTCTGCTCTCCAGCGATATGCGAACGATAGGAAGAAAGAGATGATGATAAGAGGACATTGTTCGAACAAGACAAGCAAGAGAAAGATTTACACTTTTCCATTTCCATTTCCATTCCTCCGACATAAAATCACAATGCAGATTTCGAATAAAAAAAAAGATAATGAAATGAAAGTAGAATAAAAGTGAAGTGAAGTCAGTAGTAGTAGGAGACAAAGTTGGCTATAAATCACATATATCTATCGTGGGAGCACGTGGACAGGCGTATGATGAAACATGGCATAGGTTGATGGTGAATGAGTAGTAGGTAGTTCGACATTAGACAGGCTTTGTAGACGGGGTATGTGCAGTGCAGCTGGTAAGTCATGTGCGTAGTATGGAGCGATGGGATAGGAGTTGGCCCACGCTGGCTTCGTTCGTTGGTTGTGCGTTCGTCTCCGTAGTCTCGATTCGGGTCATTATAGGATCACGCAGGGGCCCTTGCGCCGGTTCTGGCGCTTCTTATCCTTGCGTCGGTCCTGTCCTTTGCCGCCTTCCCGTTTGCGATCCGAGTCGGAGCTCTTCGAGTTGCCTTGCAGGTCCTTTCGGATGATCTGTCGGCAGAGATCAATGAAGACCTCGTTGACGTTCGCCCTTCGACGGGCCGAGGTTTCGTAGTAGGGAGCATTGCCCCAGCTCTGGGACAGGGCGAAGGCGCGAGCACGCTGCACGGCGCGGTCCTCTTCCAAGTCGGACTTGTTGCCCACAATGACGATGGGGACTTTTTCATCCTCCTTGATGCGGATGATCTGCTCGCGTAGCTCGGATAGTTCGTTCAGTGAGGACATGCTCGTAATCGAGAATACGAGCAGGAACCCTTGGCCTTGTTTCATGTACAACTCTCTGGAAAGTGATCCAACGTCAGCATGGGGTCGGAATGACAACGGTTGGAAACGTCCCCGTATGGTTGGGCGGGTGAGGGGAACCTGGATGGGCGCAGTTTTACCTCATGGCGGCTAGGAAAGTCAGTGTCAGTGAAATCTGATGCGATCGAGTCAACGGGCAGACTTACTGAACTGTTCTGTGCCTGCAGTGTCCAAACTGGATACAAGGTCAGTCAGCGATCATCATCAACCCCGGTCACGATTCGGAGTCTGGAGCCAAATGCGGCGCGCAGAACATACATTTCCAGAATGCATTGCCGGCCCTAGAACGTCAGCAACGACCTTCAGCCCAGGTTGAGATCCGACTTACATCCACCTCGATCTGCTTCCGATAGGAATCCTCAATTGTCGGGTCGTAGCTCTCGATCCAGACATTCTGCACAAATTGAGCTACCCCACGTCAGCAACGGTTATGGAGACCCCCGAGCCCATGGCGGAGGAACGCGAGCAGCAGCATACCGGTAAGACAGCTCTTTCCCACACCTCCTATTGCGCCGAGGACCCATCGTCAGTGGTGAAACTTTCCTGATCTCCATGGCGGAAGTATGTACCCACCAGCGCCTAAAACGACGATATGATATTCCCGCCTGCGATAGAAACCTAGTGGTTAGCGAACCGTTCCGTCGGAAATAGTGATAGAAGTCCGGAGCGGAACTTACTGGGGCCGCATTGCGATGGTAGCCGTGTATCCGGCGATTGAAACGGTATAATTCGAGGTAAAGGTGAAAGGTCGACTCCGATAAGCTTTCGGTGACTTCAGCGGCCAACAATTATATCGCTTGATCCTGAGGCGGAATCAGTGGTCAACTGAAACGTAGACTAGTCCAATCCGAATGCTGGGATAGATAAGGGTTATTCCTTGGACAGGATATCGGGGAGGACGATGGATTCGGACCCAATGCGCGCCGAGGGATCAATCTGAACGGGTAAGTTGGGATGGGGGTGGACTGGGCTCCCTTTGAGGGGGGGGGCGGGGAGGTGTGCTGGGAGAGCAAGGGCAGCAACACGCGATCCGTTACATCGGTCTCAATGCCAATCAATTCCCGACCAATTCCCCGGGAGCTGGCAGGATGGGAGCGCCAGTTGTAGGGAAGTGTGAAGCAAGGCCGCGGGCGAGGTGGACGGGGGGGGGGGTAGGGAGGGTAGCTGGAAGTCGACAGATCGGTCGGTGACTTTCGGGGGTAGACTAAGAGGAGGAGGATGAGTGAGTGAGCGCGCGAGAGGCCAGCCAGACAGGCTAAGTCAGCGAACGGACTGGTTCGGTTTGTGGGGAGCAAAGAAAGGATCGGTAAGTCCAAGAGAGAGAGAAAGAGCAGGAAGAGAGCGACAGAGAAGAGCGTCGAAAGGCTTACCGACGGGGTGAGGATATGATGCAATAACGGCCTAGTGGAAGGACGACCGAAAACTGCTTTTTCTTTTTTTTTTATTCTTCTTCTTCTTCTTCTGTCTGTCCCTTATCCCCGTTGCAGGCCTGCACGAGAGGAAAAGCAAAAAGGCACGGCAGGGTCTCCAATCGCGGCGGTGAGACTCGAATCCAACGGCGATTTGTTGTGCGGCCGCTCTAAAACCTTAAGCCCCTAGTGCAGTCGAGGTTAGCATCAAGCTGTTGGCTTCCTCTCGCGATGAGGTTCTTCGGGCTCCGATCATCCAAGACGGCCGCAGACGTATAGTAGGCGCTGCTATCACCCTTGGGGAGGGACCACAATGTCGCGGGCCCCAACTGGCCGGGGCGTCACTTTCCATGGGGGCAGAAGTCACATTCTCTCCTCCCTTGTCGAGTCTGAGATCAGATCCGATCAGGTCAGGTCAGGTCACCTCAGGTCAGCTCATCATCCCCTGCTCTCGCCCCATCGGATTCGATACGAGGCAGGAATCCGTAGAAGCGTAGCATCAGGCGGATGGGGGCAGAAAGCCCAGCGCATCCCCAAGAAGGGGGGGCGGCATGGCTTGGCCAATTATTGAATTTATTGATCTTGCTCGAGGTTGAGAATCATTCTTGCCCCCAGGATCTGCGGCCCTGACCAGCCCCGGAGAGCTGATGGAGGGGGGAAATGTGATGCTGGAGGGGAATTGGAGAGGAGGGAGTGAAGGAGAGATGGAGGGATGCGAGCAAAGAGGGAAATTATTCCCTTCGCCTTACCTCAAATCTTCAACACCACTGCAACTGCTTCACATGCGCCAACAAGAAGCAGGAAATCCCAGGGATCACTGCTGCAAGGAAGACCTTCGAGAAAGCGCCAGACCAGGTAAAGTCAATAGGCACTGACCGTGCCATGGCGAGCCCCGATCAATATATATTAACCGGCCCTCTAGCTATACACTAAACTCACTGCTATCTCACTTTACAAGACAAAAGTCCCAAATCAAACCCACCTCCGCCTTACCCCGAACAAATCCAACCCCCTTCGTCCTGCTATCTAGTACTATCCATCTATCTAATCATACTAAAAGAATCCCCGTCCCTCCGATGCAGGCTACTACGTTCCTTCAAACACATCCAATCCCCCAACCCCAAGTTACCTGTCATCAACACACCTCCACCTCCATGAATACCCCAAACCAAAAAAGAATCAAAAGAAATAAAAACCAAAAGAATAAAACAAAAGAACGATAACCGCACGCCCTTACCCGATTCCAGGAACCGGAAGCTGATTCCGGGCCAACTCATCAGCCAAGCTGCCAGGGACGGACGGATCACCTGTCTAGGATCTAAGCGGCAAGTACTCCGTACTTTACCAGCGGTCGTCTGAATCAGCACTAAGAGAAGATAAACCCACTCTCAAAAAAGTACGGAGCACCGCGCGGACATCCGTCTCTAGGTTCCGGGCCAAGTCTTAGGTTATATTGAATGGATACACGCTAGATACCTACCACGCGCATTGCGCGCTAGGGTCACACCACCTGACGGGAGGGAGGGTCTGTATCAGAGATGGAAAGGGATACCTGATGTGTCACATCTGGATCAGTCGGTTGTGATTCCCGGGGGAGTGCTGCAGAGGAGAGCAAACATTGGCTTGGGGGGGGGTGAAATTACATGACGGGGAGGAAGGGGAGGTCTATGCATCACATGTAGGTGAGGCGCCGGGGCCGGGACTTGAGCTGGGAGCACACACTGGCCACCTCCCTGCATATGGATCTGAAGAAAGTGCTGCGGCGTCGGTACATATGACGTATGTCACGGAATGGGTCATCAGCCCATCTAGGCAACAATGAGGAAGTTTGCCCTGAGGCACCCCGTTGTGTTGGTTCATGGTTGGTTATGTAGAGGCTATATTAGACCGTGGTATAGTGTGCTATACAGGAAACAATCAAAGCAAGACAAACATCTCATGGCAAACAAATCTACAGAGTAAGGCGAACAATGATCTTGTCTCGCATCGAGACGCGCTCATCAAGATCGTCATCTCGAAACACGCAAGCCACCCTCCTTAGCTATGTTAGCTACCTATGCCGGAACTCCTTGAGACGCACTCTAATCATGCATGTCGCAATCACCGCAGTCCCGGAAACCTCAAGCCGGTGCATGTCCTCTCACACCATTGACTTTGTCCATTAATGTCTCATCTTGAGTCCCGGAGCTGTACTGCTCTAGTGCATTGAAGACGTCACTGAACACCAATTGATCCACATCATGCGCCCACAGGAAATCGAGATGTTCGTACTGGGGGACTTTCTTCGCCACGGTCCCGCGCGGCAGCTCCGACAGCATCACATCGATGTCAACGAGACTATCGCTGCCGCCGTACAGTAGTACGATAGGCGTCTTGATATTCTTGGTCGGGTACTTGACCGGCTTGTAGAATCGCTCGCTTGCCACAATGCTAATTGGAGCATGAATCTCGTCATCGTAAAACTGGAAGTTCCGGTGTCGGATGATCTGAAACCAGTGAACGACCGACTTGGTGCTAGTAAAGGAAAAGAGATGCAGGTACCCTGCCAGCTTCTGCCAGCGGCTGATATTCTTGCACTTCCAATTGAACAGCCCCCGAAGTGACGTGTCAATGATCCAAACAAAGATCGGTGGATAGAGAATCGTCTGCCACATCGTCGTCGAGCTAAGAATACTGCGTCTGCCGAAGAGCAGAAACAGGAAGTTGGGGGAAGCCTTCATGAGCGAATCCACGAGGTGATTCGGAAGGCCTGTTGGGGCCATGGCCGGCGCGAGGGCCACAAAAACATCAATCTTCTGATTCAAGAGAGGGTGGATCGAAAGTGTCGCAAATGCCTGTGCCGTTCCTTGCGAGAATCCGACGTATGACAGGGAGGGCTGCCCTGTCACTTCGAGGATGTACTTGATACTGTCTGGGATATCATGGAACGAGAACTGATCGATCGAAAAGTCCCAGAATTCATTCGACAGGGGAGAATTTTTGACGGACTTCTTCGAGTACTTGTTCCCTCGATTATTTCCCAACCACACGTCATACCCCCTTTCTACCAATTGGAACGGGAGGCATCGCTGCTCCTCGGATAGACAGACCCAGACTTCACTGCACATCATGAGGCCATGGTGGAGATAGACCACCTTCTTCTTGATGCTCCCCTCACCCTGATTGACACGCTTGTCCTCCTCGCCTTTCCGATAGGGCAAGCGGTGCAACCCCAGCAGGTATCCATCCCCTGTCTGAACGATATGTTCCTCGGCCTGGTACCCGAACAGTGCACATATATCGGTGAAGTCGGACGCCTGCGCCACGGCTGCAGCAACCTGCTCTTCTTTACCGCGTTTGCCGGGCTGCTCCGGGGGGATCAAATGGTTGAAGACGGTCTTGGAGCGATCGTAACAGAACCTAATGATAGGTTCGGCTGCTCCAGTTAGCCCTCGTCCATCCTTACGTAGAACAGATCTCCATGACAACCACCAAGAGGGTCACTTACGCAGACAGAACGTTATGATATGTATGATCCATTCCAGCAGCACCAAGATCAACGAACCAAAGAGAGCCAAGTACTCGAACCAAAACAATCGACCAATAAACGGGACGCGGGCCATGATGATAAGACCAAGACTTGCAGCACAGCAGCTGAATCAAAGCAGACAATCGGATTAGCGATCACGGACAGGTATGGGGCATAGTGCGCAGAAGCAGTGCTTCAATGGACCCGGGCTGCATGGCTGTGTGGATAGGAGCAGGAGGACAAGCAGGTCAGGCCCCCCCAGACGTCATGGGGGCCTTCTCTTCATGTGATGCTTACTTAATCCGGGGCAAGCCGTTGAGTTTGCCGGCCTCCGTTTCTCCAGAGGTTCCGCCGCCGCAGTTTCAGCTGCTGTTGTCGTTGCCCTTGTCCGAGCAATCGGCCCTGCTGTTCCAAAATGCCGAGTTCCTGCCAAGAGATCAGTATGTCATACCTTTGATGCCATTGAGAAACTTGCCTTGGATGCCATTGGATCTTCATCCCGGTTTCCGAGACCGGGAATCCCTGGGGTCACACACCCAGTTGCTCTGCACGGTTGACATGGCTAACCAGACTTGCGTCGAATGAACAGGAAACGCTCTGGCGCAATGCCTTCAAGAGTCCGACTGCATTATGGTTCAACGGCGCTCGCCCCGGGAGTGCCTGAGTGAGCCATACGTCGACGAACTGCCCATGCGATGCCAGCAGCTGCGGAAAGGGTTCGGGGAGTGCAAGTGAGTCATCTGCTTGGCAACACGGCGGTCAGGCGCCTGCTAACATTTCTTCTTCTTCTCCCTGTCAGGCGCGGATTGATCGATATGCGGAAACGGTTCCGTGGAAACCAACCCCTCTCGGCAGGGAAGACGGAGAGCGCAAGCTCTGGCACATCCCAGCAATTATATGCAGGCAAGCCGGCGTTCGAGACGGTTAAGGAAATCAGTGGTGATGAGGTGCAGATGGATCCGGAGAAGACTCGTGGTCTGTGAGGGGCACACGGGTGGCTTCTGGAATGGAGGGTCTGCCGTTGGTGACACAGCCGATTTTCTTTCGCACTGTAACATCATTGTTTCTGCTTGTTTTCTTTCGCTGGCATGGCTTGGAGTTTGGACGATTGTGGGACCACCCTGAGATGATTGTCGGTTCATACTAGTCTGTACATATGCAATAGGTCTTCTGCGCTGACCGACCTACTAGAACTGACTTGGGCATCTACGATTGGGCTTTGTTAAGGCGTCATGAACGCAATGTGCAAGTTTTCATTTACTGATCTTTCAAATGATACATTACTGCGTCTTCTTGACCTTCGCCGAGGTGGGCTCCGAGTAGAGCCACACGAACACGAAGGCCAGGAAGCCGCCGATCACGGACCAGAGGCCGGCGATCCAGACCCATCCTCCACTGATCTTCCAGCTGCGGGGGTACTCGTTGTGAGCATAGTGACGGACCGTCACCTCGTGCTTTTCCTCAATGTTGGTGAGGAACGGGCGCTTGTAGTTGACCCGGAAGGAGAAGATACCGTGCTGGTCAGGAACGGTAAACTGCGCGCTATAGATCGTGCTGTTCTCGGTGCGGGAGGAAGGCTCCAGCTTCAGGCGGTGGAAGGGAGAGAGCATGGTGAACTCGAGCTGAAGGGCGTCATTGGCGGGCACCTCGAAGGGCACGTACTTGTCGTAGTTGTACTCGGAGATCTCAATGTTGAACACCTATAGGAGGACACGTCAGCAGGTGGGCCGCTACGTTGCAGACAATGGCCACTTACGGTCTCGTTCTTGATGCGGTAGATCGTGGGGTTCAGGTCCTCCGAGGTAAGATCCTCCTTAGCCAGGTGGTGCTCGATCTTGCCAACCTTCAGGACACCAGTCTCCTTGAACGTCCAAGCAGTCAACTGCTTGGCGAAGTCCTGGTTGGCCGTGGTGGTCTCCTTTCCGTCACCGGGCGCCTTCACAGTCGCGGAGAACCACTGGTCCTGAAGAGACTCCACGGAGCCGAGAAGAGTAAAGCGAGAAGAACTCCGGGTCTGCATGGCCGAGACAAGAGCCAGCTGGGAGCCAGTGGCCCAGACCTCCTCCACGGCACCCAAGTCCTCCTTGGGGTTGTAGCTGTAGGCAGTCGCAGGAGCGCGCAGGATCGGTGCAACGAGAGAGTTGTCACCCAGCGTGTGAGGAGCAGCCCTAGGCAGAGCGAGGACACCTTCTCCGTCGAAGTAAGTCTTGGTATCGGGCCTCAACTGGCCGGGGCGCTGGAGAAGCAGAACATCGTGCTTATCGGTAGCCGACAGGGTGTCATAGTTGAAGTGGTCGACAACAACGGACGAACGGTCGGTGGCCAGGTGGAGGTCGAGTTCCAGGAGCAACGAGCTGATGGCGCTGGGGGTGGTGGACTTGCCCGAGAGCGCGAGGAGGACATTACCGTCCTTGTTCAGGAAGTCGACGATGTTCTTGGGGCTCAAAGAAGGACCAAATCCTAAGTGACCGCGTCAATTGCTTGTCCATGTCCCGCTAACCACGGGTGCTTGCAGGTACTACTCACCCTTGGACCTGGGAGGGAGAAGAAGAAGGTGGTCGTAAGCTCTCTCGCCGAGATCGAAGAGGGAGAGCTTGTCACTCTTGGGAGACTGGAAGACCAGGTTATATCCTCGAGCTAATTGCAAATATCAGTACCAATCGCCCTGCAGAAGCCAAGACAAACCACCTACCTTCTAGATCACCCCAAAACGTGGAGTACAGGCTCTTCTCGGAGTCATCTTCCAAGACGACCAGCAGACGGTTTCCCGAACTACTGAGCGCATGTACAACAGCCAAGAAGCAGAACAGAAAGAAGGAAAGGGACCACCGCATGATGGATGGGTTTCCGCACAGCGGAGCAAACAAGCACTAAGGACGGAGAGAGAAACCAACAAGGACCGCTACAACTCCGCAGCGATGGTGTCGAGGAGAGATCGTTCGTTCCTGACGAGCAGCTACTTGCAACTGGAGCCGACAAACGGGCGACGTGTTTGGACCGCGTGCCAAGACCGGCTCGCCGCATCCACTCACTTCGGGCTTTCGTCACCTTCAATCAACCTCCATCCGTTCCCCCTCTCCGTCCGTCGCCCATCCATCCTCTGTCTGGCCCTCCCCCTGCCGCGCCCTCCGCATTGATTACTACTAGGCCCTAGACCTGTATCCGCAGCTTCAATTCCATCCCAATTGGTCTTCCTCCCGGTGTCATCCGCCCCTGGCGTCTCCGAACCCTCCGCAGAAAAACTTCTCTCCCATCTCCCGACCTCAACCTCCTCGGTTATCGCAATCATGTCTACCCCTCAGTTCTGGTCGACTCCTCTCCGCTACCTCCGCTGGGCCTCTCACGAACGTCCCGCCATCTTCTACTCCCTTATCATCGGTGCCATGGGTCCCGTCTCCCTCGTCGCTCTGCCCCCGATCAGACACGCCCTGGGCGATATTGACCCCGAGCCTATCCCCATGTCCTACCCCAGTAAGCTAAACCCTTCCCTTATACCAACCCGGTGGAACCGATCGTGCCCTACGCCTTCAAGCTTCCTATACTCCGCGAACTAACATCGTCCCCCGTCTATAGTTCCCCCCGGCCCCCGAACCATCCCCAAGGGCTTCGATGACGAGTAAACCCGCAATGCAAGCATTCTGATTTCACATTTGGTTTGATTGGTCTGCTCGGCTAGGAAAGATGCATTCATGATGGGTTAAGGATCGTGTCGTTGGGCGGTGCACTGCCATTTAGGGCTGGCTGATAGAAGGGACAACCGCCGGCCATCATCATCATCATCGCTCTCCGGACGAGCCTTATCTGAATCTATCTTTCTCGGCTCACACATCCCTTCTTCGTGGATGTCCCTATACCCTCGTGGCCTGCTAGAATGGGTTGTGTTGTGAGCATGACAGGTGTATTGTACATGAAAATGACTACAGAGCGGAGTTAATGTTATCCCATTACTTTTTTTTTATCCCTATTTCACGGCTTGGGGCCCTTTCCCCTTGGTGCATTATGTGGAGTAATCTTCAAGTTTTAAACATGTGGATTAAGACAGTAAACGATTATGTGATCGTGGAAGACGAGCCGGATTGCAAACGGGATATTGGACCGGATTCTGTAAGTTGAGTCCTCTGGGCCATCAAGGTCCCATTCATGCCATATGTGAGGCGTTCAACCTGGTTCTTTTATGAAGCAAAGAAATAAAGTAGAAATTACAAGAATGAAACAGACCAGAGGAAAGGGAACGGGCGGTGATCGACACGAGAGGAGAGGATAGGCATTACAAGACCTGCACATCAAAAGTGAGGTTGGAGTTAAGGCCCTGCTACTGCGGAGGGTATGTAGCAGCCTCGACATCTCCCGGTAAAAGGAAAAGAGTACTGCTGTCGTAGGTGTTGGACTGGCCAACTCCACGAATCTGGTTGTAGCAAATGACATCAGTGGTAACGTTGAAGGGAGTGAGGACTGGTTGTGATGGGAGAATTGGGAGAAAGTCCGGGTTCATATCCCAGCTCGTGTCGCAGCTCAGAAAACTATTTGTCGAGTCGTAGGTACTGTAACTGGCGATACTGGTGTCGGCCCAGAGCTGGCTGGGGCTTGAGCTAAGCAAAGGGTCATCGCAGGTCGGGACAGGGCCTCGGATGTCAATCGGAATGTCATCTCCTGTCACCGTCTCGAAGGTCGGCAATGGGTCGCACTCGGTCTGACCATAATCAGCGTCCTCTAAAGTATTCACCTTCCAGGGGAAGTCTTGGTTGTAGAGCTTGCAGCAGGTAAGGTAGGGGAGTTCGCCCCAAGCCTTAGGGTCATAACCACTTCGATTGACCAGCAATTCGGCAACCAGATGCTTCACACGGTCCTTCACCGTTGAAAGTCTTTCTTCGATGATCATCACCTCGTAATGGTCTATCGGGAATAGTAGGACAAGGCTGCTCTGATCTATCACCTCGAGGTAAGCACCGCCCCCAGCGCCAATGGCACGGTAGAAGGCAGCTCCTCCATCCAGGGCACGATGATTCCGACTGTCAGTGATGGTCTGGCAGAGCCACTGCCGGAAGAAGGCGATTGCCATCCACATGTAGACATCTCTGCATTTAGCATCGGCTGGGTTAGTGTGCGGCATGGCACCCGGCTGATGCTGTAAAATTTGCACCTCGACCATCTGCTTCAACATAACCACCTGGTCTTGCTTCCTCGAGCACAGCTCACGGGAAACTTCAGGCAGTGACTTGAAGCCGTCGTCTGTAAGACAATTCCATCTCCCCACCAGATGGATGATCGACTCCTGGAAGATTGTCACCGATTGAATTCTCAGCCCGAGTTTATTCCAGCGGATCGGGTCATGGGCGATGCAGTGGTAAAACTCCTGGCCATATCCGACGAGAGCCGTACTGATAGCGGGAAAGATGACATGGGTTGCTTCGATGTCTTCGGCCAGATCCACCAATTCCAGGCTATTCTGCAACAAATTGCTGGGCATCCCATTATCATGCAGCGTAGGGTTGATCTGGTAAAACATCTTGAAAATATTTGCCCAGCACTGGCGAGTCTTTGCTGGCCAGACGGGGAAGGAACCCAAATCAGTGAACCCCATTACTTCGTTGTTGAAATGCCGTGGTTCCTAGGCATGTACCCATTAGATTGCAGTCCATAGATATTTCAAGTCTTGACGACTTACCTGGACCTGAAAGGCACCGTATTTATGAGCGGCATCGCCGACTAGATTGATCTCCCGGATACCCAGGTGGTTCATCCCCTGAATATATGGCAATGGGCCGATTTCAGGCAATGGAGCAACCAGGTCTCCGAGGACCTTCGAGGCAGCCGCAAGCACCTGGGAGTGTAGTTTGTAGACATCTGGCTCGACGGTGAGTTTGACGTCGCCGTCAATGAAGTTTGGAAAAGAAGCCAGGTCCATCTTGAAGCAGGCGGCGCTGAACGGCCAGTCGCTCATCCAGTGAAGCAGGCCACGAGTTGAGCACAGCGAGAACTCTCGGCGTCAAGTCTCGGCGGCGCCAGATGCAGAAAGGTGATCGATGACATCGCCATCTTGCAAAATCCTCTCTAAGACACTCTGTCCAGACCCTTCTAAGCGAGTATGGAGATTGGTAGTGAATGGAGGTGGAAAGAGCCCCAAGGCTAACAGGAGTGTTACGGATACACTTGCCTGCCGCAGCCATCAGGAAACCTTCATGTACATGAGTGCACCCATTCACTAATACATCTGGTGCAGCATGAACAAACACCTCGTTCAGTATCTAGTGAATTGGGAAGATGGAAGCGGATGGTCCGATCAGAATGGAGTGAAGGCATCATTGGAAGGCAAGTCCCAGAAGATCTAAGCAGGTAATGTGTGATATTCTATGACCCTCAAAGTCAGCTAGCATGGTCACCGCAACGCCAAAGTCCAGCCAAATCCGACCTCCGGCTGGATAAGAATTTCCGACAAGGGCATGCAGGGGCCAAATACAACATAACACGATTTAGTGGACGGTAGATCGATTATTAAACCCTTGGGACCAATGCGATAGCCAAAGAACCAGCGAAGAACAAAGAATAACGCCGTATATGCTCATATCTACATATAGCTCGTGGACAGCATCACTGTATGTCATCGAAGCCCCTAGCTGGTATTTTCCAGAAATCAGTGGGTGCTCCATCGGACTCAACATATAGGAGATGGTCGAAAACACCGATCGAAGAAGAAAACTGTGGCACGAACGCATTCAGAATACCACGACCAGTACACCCCAAAGAAACCAGACAATGGAACCACAACCCAGCAAGGCAAGAAAGAGACAAAGCACAGCGACGGCTGGCATTACAACACACAAATCCAAAATGCCCCCTCGTAATCCATCACGTTTAAGCTTGGGTCCACCAAGCTTGACACCAAAAACTGCCGTCGGACCCCGCGCGACAGAGCGATATCCAGGCCCACTCAGGCGCGAGGCAACGTCTGCGGAGACGTTCAGCGGACTTCAAGAGTAAATCAGGGATAAGATGAATGGCGTCCAGGTGAAATGATATCCAGCGATCCTAGCATGTGGCTCCGGTAATTGCAAATTGTTTCCCATGAAAAGTTATGCACGCTTTTTCTTCCGGTCTCGTATTCCTATAGGGTAAAAAATGGAAGAATGGTCCATAAAAGGCTCTGGAGACAAGCAGAAATGTGGAGTACCTGCGAATCCCAGGGATGATGCGGCCTTTCAAGGACAGAAAATGGTTTGGAATATACGCCTAGGCCGGCAGGGAGAAAGTGGACATTGACTTTCTTTACCTTGTACGGCGCGGAGCTTCCCCGCCTCTGGCTGGTTGTGGCCTATTGCGGTCTGCCGGGGGGTATGTCGCCTCGGGAGTGTATCTGGGATCCATTCCTATCCGAGGGTCCGGGGCAGTGGTAGCAGGATAAGGGATTCCAGAAGTAACGGGAGAGTAGTCCGATTCGGGTTCATAGCCAGGCCCGGGATACCTAGGGGCATTGTTTCTTCCGTTTTCATAAGCATAGCCAGTGCCATATGTGTATGACGTGGGGTGCATCTCCGCAGTCACCGCAGGTTGGCTGGAAGTAGTGTATGGGATTTGTGGGGGAGGGTACGGGTTTGCGGCCGTTCCAAAGGGAGAGTGGTTTGGAGGGTAGGAGGATGCCGGGGGGTACGGGGGACTCTGAGTCGCCGCGTACGGAGGCTGGGCATATGGATCCACCACAAATTGCTGAGGAGCCGGGGGAGGTGCCGAGTAGGCAGGTGGAGGAGATGGGCCTCCCTGCTGACGCCCTTCGTGGACGGCAGACACTGGGTAGCTCGCTGATCCCATGTTAGGTGCCTGGGAGTAACTGTAGTCTTGATTGTAACTACCTCTGGGATAGCCCTGGTCAGCCCGGCGTAGGACGTCCGCCTCCCACCGAGCAGAGTCGGCTTTGAGGTCAGCAATCATTTCCTAAATTACCAGACATTGTTAGTTCAACAGGTCCATCCCACGGCCCGTAATAATCAGAGAAAATATACGTACCGAGGTGAGATTCCGGTAGGCACGGATGAAGTAACCCTGACGACCCTGTTTTCCATTCAGTCAGTTACTGCTTCAGCCAGAACAAATATCCCGCCAATATGACCGTGTTGTGTTTCGGCATTGAGAATCATCATAGGAGAGCATCGGGGCACAGACATTATGGTTTCCGGGTCTTACGAGCGCATCATTTCCAAGGTAACGGCATATGTCTGCTTGGATGACTTCCCGGCTGATACCATCGCCAGGAATGAAATATTCGTTTTGACGCTCCGGGCGCCCTTCAAATCCAAGACGGCCAGTCATTCTTTTTTTCGGTCCAGGGGATTGGTCTCCAGTATTAATGTATTATAGCAACGGGTCCAAGTGGCCAAAAAGTAGTCCAGGAAATCAGGAAGAGCCGACGGGTCCAGAGGAAGATGACGGTAGATGGGTCTCTTGGGTCGATTGGAAGAAGAAACAGCACCAAGTACAGTTCTATGAGACAGCGTCCGGGAAATCCAAGGCTGATAACTAAGGCTAATCCGACTTTTGGTTGACACAAGCACACATGCAGAACACGAAGGCGAGGTAAAGAGCTGGGATCCAAGGGTGGGTTATATGGCTCTTTGTCCAACAGAAGAAAAGAAACAAATCCCGGCGAGAGCGTTCTTGTCCACGGTAGTTGTTAAAGATGGATCACTTCCAGCATTAAGCAAGTCGCAAACGAAAGAGACAGGATTGTCCTTCAACAGGGCCGGCAGGCGAGGGAGAGATGAGAGCTCAAGGCGTGAGATTGAAATTGAACGATGAGGATCTCAGTGAAAGGTGAGAGAGATGGGGAGGGAGGAGGGAGATGTTGAGGATGGTGGTCCTTTTCTTCTCCTGCGTGGGATCTCCGCCTCTTTTGATTGTGGTGGTGGTGGACTCCTCAATTGGGTCACTCCCGGATAGACTCGATTACCTTTTGAGCTGGCGGGAAAATACCAGACTAGAAAGGAAAAAGAGAGAGAAAAGGGAAGAAAAGAGAGGAAGCAGGAGATCGGGAGACGGGGGGTGGAAGAAGGGGGAGGAAGGGAAGAGGGCGAGAGGGAAGAGGGGGGGGGTTGTTGAATCAGAATGGGGTGGATTCAGAAAAGGAAAAGGGAAAATTGAGAGGGCCGGGGAGATAAGAGAGAGCGAGCGAGAAACCTGCAGGGCGCGGCGGCGAGCGAGGGAGAGGAGGGGAGGGGGGCAGGCAGCCAGTGGGGGGCAGTGATTGGGCTGTTGGGCCGGCTTTGGGCTGCCCGGCCATGTCTGGTGCCACGACTGACTCCACCCGAGCGACGATTAGACCCTCTCCGGCAGCATGATGAGCGCGCGATGACTGCCACTAGAAACCCGCATCGACTAATGGGGCGTTGCCGCCGGGGTCATGGAAGGCGATGGTGCAGACGATTTTCCTGCCCCTACCCGTGCGGCTTGATTGTGAATCTCACGGAGGATGATGCGGTTGCTGACGACGGGCGAGCATAATGCGGATGGCGAACGAAGATCCCATTAGGGCGGCAAGCCTCTTTTTCGTTTGGGTTTTCTTTTCATTTATGAAGGATGATTAATCGTCATCATTATTACTCATTAGGGTCATTGGCAATGATGGTTCATCACCTCAAACGGGTAGCAATTTTTCGATATCATTCTTGATGATGTTTACTATTGTTGTCAATCTGGCCCATAGTTGGGTACTCTGGGTACATATCCCCGAGAATCACGAGCCACGGTCGAACCGCGGAGAAATACGGCCAGTTTGGGTGTCCGTCGATGGATCCATGGAAGGCCGTTCAACGGTAAGGATTCACCCTCCGATCCAGGGATCATGGGCAGCCATATACCGTTACTGGATAGCCTCATTATTGACCTAGCCATTCGGTAGTAAGGCAATAGTCTTGCGTACGCGAGTTCGATTGCTCCGTTCACCAACCAAATGCACGCGCGTAAAGCCTTGCCACAATAATATTATTATAATGCCACCGATTTCGTCTGACCAGCGTTGGATGACTCAGCCCCGAATTACGCAGAGATCCAACAGGTACGGAGTACGGAGTACCGGCGCCGAAACTATACATCCATGCTCAGATGCGGTGACAGTCATGGCAGCAGGTTGCAGTTGGGGCCACTTGCTGCTAGACATCAAGAATCTAACGGGAAGGATGTCTATCCGCACCTTTCACGTATCTGGTTGGCTGTGACATACTCTTCTCCGTACGGAGTAGAGGCTGACCCAAGGTTACCTCCCTTCATATTATCCACTGCAGATATTGAATATCTAGCTGCCCTATGGAACTAGCTTGTCAGTGCTGACTTGATGGGGCTGGTAAACCAAAGTACCGAGTAGGGGCTTGCCACGGAATTGCTCCTAGAACCCATCCACACGGGAGGATGGAAGTACCTACGGAGCACTTACGGAGTCCTCCGTACCTAGACGCGGCTGCTGGAACCGATCGTGTGTGGTACATGGAGAGTCGTATCTCTCTGTTTAGTGGTACTTTGTGTTCCGGCTCATCTGCAGCTAAAGAACCCATGGATCTGTCGCTGCCGAAACCCCCTGGTCATAGCCAGTCAGAGTGGCGTGCGGGGTGGGCACTGCAGTTGGGCAGGAATGCGTGGCGGCTTGGGCACTCATCCGCCCGTTGTGGTCCCTGCCACTAGTAATTATCCATCTCCACTCGCCGTCCGGAAAGGTTACTCTCCTCCTTCAGGATGATACTAGGATCATCCTCCATCCTCCATTCAAGGCAGCCCATGAAATATTCCAACCCGCCCGGTCCGCTGAATCGGGGTTCACTGACGCTCGGCTGTGTCCACGGTGGGAACGACGAAGTGGTGCTAACCAGACCTTGATGACTTTGACTCTAACTGACAGGGGTCTATATGAAAGGAGCGGAGAAAAGAGAAACCATTATGGAGCACATTCCGTGGGCGAAAAATGACATGACATGATAAATAAACGGTTTAGGAAACCCGAGGCGTTACTGTGCTCCGTATAGGAACCGTAAAAATCCTCCTACAGCTTCGTATCCCTCCCGGTACAGTAAGGACAGGAGTACGTCTTCATCCACAGCCTCCATGCAGCAATCTGGTAAGAGCACTTGACCACACTCGGCCAGCTGCATGATCGATCATCTCGGTTCCCTTACAGCAACTGGTCGGATGTTCCTTGATTCGCACATCCCAAAAAGCAGCCACCGACTGACCTAACCGGTCTTTGCGGTCTCGAAGCATGGTTCTGTAACACCACCAGGTTTCTCCTGTGCCTCCTTCGGGGTTTAACTTTGCTTCGCGCGGCTGTCACCCTCCTTCAACAAAAGCATCAGGCCAACAGTGTCCGACATGGAGTGTCACACACCTTCTACCCCCTTCCAGATACCGACAAGGCGTTTCCCGCCGCTGCCCGTTCCAATATCTGCATAGCGGTGAGACCATGTACCAGGATTTGGACCCATCCGTTGCCCGAATGACATCTGTCCAGGTGTCTTCTTTGCCGCATGGTCTCCATAGTGGCTGCATCAACCCTATCGAGTTCGCAGGTGAAGAAAGGGCCATGAACTGATTGTATTCATAACAGCAATTGTGCATATGCCGGTTGCTCGAATCAGATCACATTTACCTCGCAGCTGAGCATACATTCATTAGTCTGGAGGCAGGAAGGGCATGCAGATATTGCAGTCTCAGTCTGAGATTCAAACTGCGGTCTGCGGTCGGGAAGACTTAGGGCCACCAGATGATCTTGGGGCTACATCGACACCGACTCGATGCCTTTCATCGTTGGACATCTTGAGGAGGCAAAAATGGCTGCCCGATGCTCTGTTTGCGATGAAAATATCATGCGAACGACACCTGTGAGCATTGTGTAGCCACCGAACGTGGGATTTTTTTAGAGCTCGCGTGTAATGATATCATCGCTTCATCTGATCAGATGTTGGAAATGCACCTCATGACCAACATTCGTAGCTAGCACGAAAACAACCTCCAATCAGTGTTGGATGCACTCTTCGCAGGACCTAAATGATCCTTCATTTCATGGTCAGAGCACGCATACACCCGCTCCTGTAGGTAAACATCTGCTTCATCAGCTGATGGCCTATTTGAGTTCAAGTATTATATATAATGAAGTGGGACGATATTCTAGCAGGTTCGAATGTTGGCTTATAGCAATACCTGGTGCTAGTATTGGACTTGGGCTGATCAATATGTGCCCTAGCTAGATGAGAGATTAGTAAAGTACATCAGAGAGTAAAAAGCATCGTGAAGTGAGGAGAAGACGCATCAGAACACCCTCAGGGGTTGATTAGATTGACTCGATCTTGATGCACTGGAGGCGTTGGTGTTCGACGCCGCCCAAGAACCACTAACCCCTTTGGGCGAGAACCTCCCGAGTCAACGGATCCAACCCCGGACGATGGCTTCTCACTTTCTCAGCCCGACTTCTTCACAGAAGCAGGTGTTACATCCAGGATACGACATCCCATCTCCTAGTCAGTCCTCACTGGTCATGTTAAACTCCGCAATGACTATAGCACTCTCGTTATCAATATGCCATGCTCTTCCCCGGAACCCCTCCCGTCGACTTTTTCGTCCGGCAATTCCGTGAAGTCCGTGTCTCGCTACACCTACCGTCACCTACAGCTTCTCCGTCAGGTTTCCACTGCGACACCTCTTCGCGTGATTGCGCACATCGATCTTGATGCTTTCTATGCACAATGTGAGATGGTACGGCTGGGGACACCCCGCACAGTGCCTCTCGCTGTACAACAATGGGACTCACTCATTGCGATAAATTATCCTGCCCGATCCTTTGGAATAACGAGGATGATATCGGCCGGAGAGGCCAAGAAGCTCTGTCCTGAGATTGTTCTACAACACGTTGCAACGTTTCGAGAAGGGGAGGGTGGAGCGTGGGCATACAGAGACGATGCGTTCAAGAGAATGAATACCGACAAAGTGTGTCTGGATCCGTACAGGGCCGAATCGCGCAAGATCTTGAAGGTGATGAAGGAAGAATTATCGAGATGGCATAAGGTGTTAGCTGGTGATGGATTGGGAGCCAACTCTCAGTCTCCTATGCAGCAGGCTGGTCTTGAGAAAGCCAGCGTCGACGAAGTCTTCATTGATCTGTCACCTCTCGTGCACGGTATCCTTCTTCAGCGATACCCCGAACTGCGCACCGATCCCCAGGGCGATGACCGAGTCATACCACTGCCTACCCCACCTACAACTGCGTTGGAATGGAATACGGAAGACTGTCTGGTCGACCTAGATGCGAATGAGACAGAGGTCGACGATCCCGACTGGGACGACATCGCCATGCTGATAGGGTCCGAGATCGTCCGATCAGTCCGGACAGCTGTTTGGGACCAGCTCAGCTACACGTGCTCTGCGGGCGTTGCTAGAAACAAAATGATGGCAAAGCTGGGGAGCGCATGCAACAAGCCAAACAAGCAGACTATTGTACGGAATCGTGCGGTACAGAACTTTCTCGGTGGTTATAAGTTCACAAAGATTAGGATGCTTGGGGGTAAACTGGGAGATCAGGTCACCGCGATGTTTGGAACAGAGCAAGTGAGTGACCTTTTGAAGGTGTCCCTGGAGCAGTTTCGCGCCAAGTTGGACGACGATACTGCTGCCTGGCTTTATGGAATCATTCGAGGGGAGGACAAAAGTGAAGTGAACTCAAGGACGCAGATCAAGTCGATGCTTTCTGCAAAATCTTTCAGACCCAGTATCAACTCTGTTGATCAGGCAGATAAGTGGCTAAGAATCTTTGCGGCTGATATTTATGGCCGTCTGGTTGAGGATGGCGTCCTTGAGCACAAGCGTCGCCCAAAAACAGTTGCCTTGCATCATCGACAAGGAGCTCAGGTTCGCTCCCGTCAACTTCCCATTTCCGGTTCGTCACCAATCGATGAAGCGTTACTATTTGAACTGGGGAAGACGCTGTTCCGTCAAGTAATAACCGACGGACGTGCATGGCCCTGTGCCAATTTGTCTCTGAGCGTGGGCGGTTTCGAAGATGGCGTGTCGAAAAACCGGGCGATTGATGGCTTTCTACTTCGAGGAGAGCAGGCGAAGAACATGGGACAGTCCAAGAGGGATTGGACGGCTGAAGAGCCATTACAGGTTGAGCAACCTGATGAGAAACGCAGGAAATTCGAGGACAATGGCATTAAGCGGTTCTTCACCGGGCCTCCGAAGACTAACACTCAGCCTGAGTTGAACGATGTTAATGCAGAAGAAATGAGCGAGAACGTCGACGAATACTTGCACACAACGCCACAACCAGGTGAGCCCTCTCCCCAGCCAGCGGAACCGGTACACGGGCATTATACCTGCAGTCGCTGCGGGGGCGTGCTACCAGAGCACGAAAAGGCAGAACATGATGATTGGCACTTTGCCAAAGACCTGGCGGATGAAGAACGACAAGCAGCCAGTATGCGACAGGCTCAAGGACCTGCACATAACTCGGGGGCATCTAGCCCACGTAAGAAGGCCAATCGTAGCAATCGAGGCAAGCCGGAAAAGGGACAGACCCGTCTCAGTTTTGGATAGGCTCTTCAGCGAATCTTGAGATCTGGATAATACCAAGCGAGGCAGACTACGTAATAGAGTGATGGAAGCTTTGCCATGATTTCAGCTTTCGGCCAGTCGCAGAGAGCTTGACCAGTCGGAGCGACTTGAACCTCGTGAAGATCTCACATCTCGCACTCCTACAGCATCAAGAACTCTAGGTCATGTTATGTTGCTTGGTAAAGATCAGTGGATTGCTTCTTTTAGTACCAATATTCAAGAGTTGTACATCTACCTACTTGTCGCATCGATTTGAAAAATTCCATTAAAGTCATCGAGTTTCATCAGCCTCTCTCGACAATTCGACCTAAGCCCGCCTTCAAATATATAGTAGCCTGAGATACATTCACACTGCATGACCCAATTATAGTTGGAAGAAATATCCATCAACCATAATCCAATTGGACGACAATGCTCCCACTTCCCAACTCAACTGAGTCTTCTAAAACCGGGCCAAAATATATAGTATTAGAGCAGCCAAAAATATACATTTTCTAAGCCATGCCGTCACAGTACCATGGTTCCCAGCGATTACTGGACTTTCTCTCTAATGAATCAATTCCTACATAAATTCCGCAAAGTCAACAAAATCCTAGAAATAACCCCCCCAAGACTAAAGATAGATGGCTCGTAACCAGCGAAGCGAAAGCCTTGGGGAAAACTCGGGCAGAGGCTGGCTGCGCTGCAGCATGACATCAGCCGACTCAGCCGCGGGGTCGCTTCCAGCCTGCAGTGATCAGCCTCTGATGCCTCTGCCTAAGATTCCTGCAAATCGGTCCTTTCCGTCGTTGACGCAAGGCTCTGATTATTTCTAGGGGATTATTTTACGGTGATGATTCATGTTTATTGTTCTTGCTGATTTTTTGTGACTGCAGTTGGTTTGGTTTGGATACCCCGCTTCGGTGCTGCACGTATAGCAGCTGTGAAGGAACTCGCATGTCAGCTTTGACAGATATCAGCACGTCACGGTTTGAAGACTGCCCCTGTGGACTTATATACGTTTATTTTGGGCACTACGGTTTTAGCGACGCAATATGCCTCGACGTGGCCGGGCTCGCGAATACGATGAGGAAAATCTGTACGAAGCGGAACGTGAGGTGTATCCGCGACGGGGGAGGGATGAGCGATTCTTCGAGGAGGATATAAGATACAAGCGTCGAGGACCGGAGGTACCGCCTAGTGAGAAGCTCGAGCGTCTACATCTTCAGGCGCAAAGAGGACCTGAAATCCTACGCGAAGCTCCAGAATATCCCCGAGAACTGGCACCCCCGATTGCGAGGCGTGAACCCGAGAATCTCGAGCCACTTCCACGAGAGAGACTTCGCGTCTATGATCGGGATCGAGATGAACTTCCTAGCCGTCGCGGAAGACCCCGTTCGAGGGGGGTGGATGTAGAGGAAGAGGTCGTCATTCGCGAAGAGACGGACAGAAGGTATACTGATAGTGACTCGGACAGGGATATTGTTGTCGTCCCAAAGAAAGAGCGGCCGGTATATCGACGCAGATATGAGATCCCAAAGGAGCCCAAGCCGCGCAGTAGAAGTCTTCTGGAGGAAAAGATTGTGCGGGAATCGGACTATGATCCAGAGGGCTTGTTGCTTCCAGAGGATGTGGCGAAGGCACACCACAGCAGGCACCGAAGTGGCCCATTGTATGAAAAATCGTCACGATCACGACACAAGCACAGATCCCACCGGCACAGAAGTATCGATGAAGCGGACGATGAGCTCGATGAGGAAGTCGATGAAGAGAAGATCTTGATCCGGGAAGCTAGGAAAAGAGGACCAACCAGAAGTGTCGATGAAGAAACAATCTTTTTCGACAGCCGGGAAAGGTCATCTTCTCCTGAGGTTGTGATGCCCAGGGCGCCATCCCCAGTTCAGATACCACCGGTGCGTGAAAGACATGTCCACGAGAGTGAGTTGCGATAATTCTACTGTTCACTATTGCTGCACGCACTCACTCCTTGATAGGTCGTCGAAAAGTCTACCCACCCCGAGCCCCCAGCCCCGAAATTGTGTTGACAGAGGCAGAGATTCGCCAACGGTACGTCCAATCATGCTGTATCCCAAATGATGCACTGCTCATCCTTTGATAGTGAGAGAGGTCCGATGGGAAGGTCAGACAAAGAAGACATTCTTATTGTGCGGCGAGAGGACGAGGAAGTCCTTCCACCTTCTCGACGCCCTTCAGCAGATCCGTATCGACGAGAACAGCCTGTGCCCATTGACCCTCCCAAGCCAAGGTCATTGGAGCGCGAAAAAGAAAAGCTTACTATAATACGCCGCGATGGTAGCCGGGAGTCGCTGGTGGAAGAAGAATTTGTTGAGGAGGATTTCTATCGGCGCCGTGGCCACGGCCTTCCCCCACGGAAGGAAGTGAAGACCAGGGAAGAAGACCTGAAGATTGTTACGGCCCCGCCCAGAGACAAGTCGTCGACAAGGGCTGAAATAGTGACTCAAGAAATCAAGCCATCACGATATACCGATCGTGAGTCCACGCTGGTCATCAACGACGTGAAGGAGTCTGACGAAATCCCGGAGCGACAACTCGGGAGAATAGGACGTCGATATGTTGGCATCAAAGATCGTCGAGAGAGCCTGTGGACGGAGATTACGAAGGACCTGGTGGTGAAGGAAGCCCTGGAGCGGTCTGGCTACGAATATGAGGAGACCGGGTCTTATTATTACGTATTCTCCTACCTTGAACAGGTGTGTTTCACTCGTCTTCCGTGCGACCTGCGCGTATCCCCTACTGACGACCTGCATAGGAGGACGTGGATGCACTGATTGAGCTTTCGGAGGAGATTCGGCGTGCACGCCGTCGTCGGATCCAAGAGATCCACCGCGAGCGAGCGACGATGCCTCTGGGGCCTCCTCCGCTGATACCTGCAGCGGATAAAACCAGCCCCCTGCTTCTGGACCATCCAACAGGTCCTCCCCGCTTTGTTCGGGATGAGCGGAGAAAGAAAGAGCGGGAATTCGTCGAGCACCGCTGGCGGCCACCACGCTCGGAGCGATGGTGAAACGATGCATTGATACCATGACTGTTGACATGCTTGCATCTGTGCTGGAACGCAGCTATATAAAATTAGCTATGAAATATAATCTACAGTAAGTAGATAACATAATGATGAATGAATAAATGAATGAACAACTACAATCTTCTCCTTGTCGCTATATCTACCATCTACTCCCACCACCACCACCTAAACTATCCACCTATAGATTAGAACTACGGAGTAGAAGAAAGGGAACAGGAACACACAAGGCGAGCAAATACCCAAATCAGCCTCGCTCGCCCCCCGCGCGCCCCGTCCATGCAGCCCATGCATATACAGCACATACCTATCCTCCGGCGTAGGTAGGTACTAGGTAGAGACTTATGTTTCAGGTTTGCCGCTCTGGGCTGCGTTGGGTGGGGGATGGGAATGGGATGTGACTGGTCACGTACAGTATGTATGTATCCGGTGGATTTTCCCTAGGAAAGTAAGTGTACTATACTGAACTATGCTATGCTATGCTATGCTATATTATGGAATTGTGTGCTCGAGATGTAGTGAGTTGGGCTGGGTAAATGGTGCATGATTATTTGGGGTATGGGAGGTAGGATGGGTTAGTTTGGTAAGGTAGTCAGTCGTTAGCTGGGTGAGTGAGGGAGGAAGGGTGGGAGGAGGTCAGGTATTGGGTTGCTCATCTGACCTGTCAATGGGAGTGAGCTTGAGGGGCCGGGGATCCGAGGGTGCTGCTATTTCGGGATGTGCTGGGGAGGATGAGGATTGTGTACGGAGTATGATACTTGGCTATAGCTACATGGTTATAGTACATAAGTTGTGGTCCGTATACACCGGTAGGCTCAGTAGATTAGTAGTAAGTATGGAAGGAAATAAACATAAACAAACATCTATAAATAGTCCAATCATTGTTAAGCTATAAAATCATAAACATAACAACAATAATAACAGAGCAACAAGAATAGACACAACTAGATCCGACAATCTAGTAGATAGTAAGTGGATGATAATATCAAGTGACAGCTCTGCACCCACCCACAGCGAGAAATCGAGACGACAATATTCTGCCATCTGACTGATCCAACAGCGGGGCCTGCTATTGTTTACCGTTTACCAAAATTAGGACCCGACAGGAGGAAGAAGGAAATTGCCAGGACAGAAATACTGCTACGACGTAAATGAAAATTACGCCGCTAGAGTAAATTAACTGTCCCACCAGGGGGATGCAATTGCTGCTATTTTTGTGTGTGATGGATTTTCGTTGGTCGATTCGTGGTTATTGCTTACTTGGGTTGCTTTCTTTGTGAGTGTTGGTTTTGGGGGTGGTTTTGTTTGGTATAGAGGGAGGGGGATTGTTGGTTCTTTGTATGGAGTATCTAGCAGAGGTTGACCATGATGTTTTCCTTGCGACTCCGGAGTCCAAGATAGGAGAACTGGACAAGTGCGCGAGAGATGACTGATGTCTGACTGAAATGCTTACGAATCGCCCGCGATCGGCATGTGACTAATCGGCTGCTTCATTCCTGGGATTCCACTTTCATTCTTCCCTGGTCAAGCCACATTACACCTGAGGCGATGGAGAGATCATGATGAGGCCTCCACATGGAGTAGTCCAGATCAAATGCCGAGAATATGGATAGTGCGATAGTCATGTCCTGGCGAGACCCGGCATTTTGCTGGGATGATTCGCAAAGCCTAATCGCGCGGGATGCGCTGCACCAGCCACACTCGGTTTCCATGGTTCGCTTGCACACTATCATCCTATGGCCTGAGCATCGCGACAATCCCCCTTGCGGATGGTTTCATAGATAAGGCTAGCGATCTGGCAGTCTCGGTCGGCAGTGCCGTAGTTCCCGGGAGACCCCTTCATATCTCGGATGAGGCATTCTTTCCACTGCAATGTGCCAATGATGCGCCGGGGTCTGAGAAAGGGATAGTCGGGTATCCGATCCAAACCTGTGTACGGAGTACGGAGTGTTCCATACTGTATGGAGTACACTGTATAGCGATTAGCGAGGGGATTCGACAGTGCCGGACAACCCCGCCAAGCAGACCGAGTGACAGACAGTAAGTAGTCCGGCTGCAAACCATCTGACCCAGGTTGGACTCGGTCAACCATCCCAAGTCTTGGTATCCATCCTGGATAGCATGATATGGTGGTGGCAGCTGAAAGGCGGGGTTTCAGATATTTAAGTTACTGGCGTCATCCTCGCACGCGCTGGCCTGGGCAGATGGGCTTCGCGCGTCCCATTGGTCCAGAGGTAAGATGCTCGGAGCTTAGCACCTGGACGGCACAGTAGTATAGCGCATCTCCAGGGATGTTGATGCATGCACGGCGTAGCGCTCCATCGTGGACGATGCTTTGTGCCGTCCGCAGGATTCTATACTGCCAGTCTGCCAGCCCCCCGGTGCCAGGGCAACATGCGAGCGATGATAGCCTCGGGATAATGTTCCCAACGAGCAAAGAACTTTCAATCTCCCACTGGTCCGGTCCAGTCAGTTGGTTTGCATACTTGGCGATGGGGCTGGCTGACAGGGGCATACGGATGAGGTCCTTCATCCCGGGGCCGAAGATACAATGGAACTGGTAAATGTCGCAATGAGGGCCGATGAGGATCGGAAAGCTTGTGTGCGCTGATAACGAGAAGGATTGTCGATCCCCTCCTTCATTCTGGTCGATGGAAGAGCAACTCCATAGATATACTCGAGATGTCTTTGCGAGCAATGCGACCGCGCAAGAACCTGGCGATGACGCCGCAGGTTGCACCGCAGCAACCCCCCGTGCCACTTATCGGAGGAGATGGAAGATTTGATATTTGATAATGGTCCTGGAACACCTTACTGAAAAGTACCGACTGAACAGCGCACACCTTGCTGCCTAGAGTTGTTGGCCCCATGCACCAACATCGCACGGTTCTACCCATTCTGGTAGTCTGGGAGATTCCCACAGTATCACCCCACGCCCTTCGTCCGATGGATGTATGTAATCATGATGTCGGAGCCATGAGCATGGCAGCCCCCAAGCACCATGGTTTGGGATAGTGCAAAGCTTGTATTGTACGCGGTGCCTGAGCCCTGACACGAGGGGAGGCCAACCGTGGACGGGCGCAAACGATGCAGCGGCATGATTTGTCACTGCCTGCTTTCCACCGACGTCCGTGGATCCCTTGAGTGGACATCCTTGGGAAAGCAGACGGGATAGGCCGGCTGAAACCGTCGGTCCACCACTGTTATCTCCCAGTCCCAAGTTCCAAAATCTCGAGGAGACTGGGAAAGTGGGAAAGTTGCGAGCCATCCCATCCGATCCATCATCCTTACAGGCTTAGTACACAGTATTCCGACCCAGCCACGGCCAGAACCCAAGCCAAGCCAGAACCGCACCGGAATAATTTACATCATACGCGGGAATCGAGCCGCGCACCACCGATGCACCACCGATCCCTTCTAGACCACTCCTGCCTGCCGGGCTGCAACTCCACTGCTGCGGATTCTAAGACCAGGAGTTGTCCTGTGCGGTGGCGAGTGCCGTATGATCGTTACCTTACCTCGCGTCGTGGTGAGGGCGCAGTAGTCCTGCCTAGCCGGGGTTAGTCGTCCTTTAGTGGCCTCGGAGGAGTCTTAGTCTGTCTTCTCCTATGTGCGGTATTGTGGTGTACCGGGCACTCCCCACCGCAGTGATTCTGGTCAACAGGCAACCATCTTGGAATCTGTGCTTCGGAGGACTACTGGAATTTATGAACTTTATCATATCATTCAACCATCTAAGATCATTCATTCACCCTCTAGTCGATGCCTGTGACGGACTACGTATCAAGTACGACGACAGAGGCCTTGGCCACGCAGTGCTGACCCAGCCACAACCAATCACCGGGTCCAGATCTGCGTCCGTGGCCCTGTCTCAAACGCTGAATACCTGGCTCGGCTACCAAGTGGCTGAACCGGTAGATCCCTTTTCCTTGGGTAATATCCAGCATCGAATGCCCACTTGGTGCTCCAGACGGTCGGGGCGTCCAAGGACAGCCGTCCAGCAGCATCCTCCGAGTGCCCGTCCGCTGTGTCAGACAAAGTGACGCAGGCAATAAATAGGCAGCTAATCCACTCCGGGTTGGTTTGGTACCAACCCAATTCACCGGCAGAGGCAAGGAAAAGTCACCAAAGCAGACCGTCGCCGGGAGGGGAGGATCGGGCCCCATGCGAAGGATGGCTGTTTCAGGACCGGGATCTCGTTTGTCATGAGCTTAGAAGGTTACATGCCAGTGACCACAAAGATAGAGTTTGGTCGCTTTAATTGTTCCTTTGACCAGGTTTCCTTCAAATGTGCCCAGGGCCGCTGGATTCTATCATTCTTTGGTTTGTTTGTTGATTTCTCGCTCGCTTTCTCTCCGTCCCCTGATCCCAGTGGCAGTCCACTTTGCAAATATTTTTCTCGTCCTTTAACGTGGTGGCGCCATACCGTAAGCATACTGTAGGAGACTCCTAGCAGATCGGAATTTGTATTTGGTCCATGTACAAGCGTAGACCGATTCGTACCAAATACGTGACCTCCGGCACAGGAGCGTCAGCTTGCCCACTCGCGGGAGGACACCGACTGGGGGCGGGAGTGTATGAGGTGTTGCGACCGGGCTCCTCCTGGGAGAGGAAGGAGACACAGGCGGTGTCCTTCTTCCGGGCGCGAATTCCTCACGGTCACGATGCCTTTTGAAGGTGCTGGCAAACCCTCAACAGAGGCCTGTCTCCAGCCCCTCCAAATAGTACGCAGCCAGGTACCATTCACCATACATCTGCAGGTAACAGGTAACCGTAAAAGCGACGGGATTAATACTCCGTACGGCGACGCGTATGGACCCGACGGTTGGTCAGCCCGCTAGACCCGAAACAGGCAGCGGCCCACTGCAAAGCGGGTAAGCCGGATTTTTATTTTTATTCTTTTTCTCTCTTGTTTTCTTTTTCCCCATACTTCATACATAATTAGTACCGTACCTTCCTGGCCATTTCACCATGATAGACTCCTCTTCTTCCCTCTTGCTCTGCTGCTCGCACCCACGGACTACGTACTCCGACAAGTATACTTACCGGGCTCGATAATTTAAAATTTCAGGTCCCGGTTTCTAGAACGGTTACTGGCCGCACTGGTGGAACTGGAACATCGGGACTGGGCCAGCCAGGTTCCGTTTTGGTACTTACTTTACTCACTCTTCCTTACCACGACGGCTCCCACTCGCAGTCCCGTCGCCGTCGTCGTCGTCGTCGTAGTCGAACTCTCCTCATTCATTCCATCTTGAGGAGACCGACTGCCTTTCACCTTAATCCTCTCGTTCTTCCCCTCTACCTCCCACTTCCATCTCTCGTTCACCCGCATCTGCAACATCAACTCGCCCCTCGTTCTCGCCATTCGCTTGCTTCCCCTGGTCGGAGGGGACGATGCCGATTACCTTCTGATCCTACCGGCGCCGTGTTGATCCCGTACCTCCTCCAATGTCTGGTTCGGCTTTCCCTCGCAGTTGAAAACGCCCCTTTATTGAATCGATTCCTTTTTTTCGTCTCCCATTCGACAGCAAAATCTGTCCATCTAATCTTCTTTCTGGTACGTACCGATTCGGTGTCAAGTTGCGATGTGGTCGTTGGGGGTCCGTGGCTGATCGGCATCAGCTACCTTCGGTCTGAGTTCATCTGCGGGACGTCTACCCGAACTTCAGTCGTTATAGTACTCACCTTTTCTGGGCACGGGCCTGACGGATGATTCATTCGACTTGGGGGTTATAGCAGCTCTCGAGCTTCGTACTTGAAAACATTCGACAAGGTTGAATTGTCGGTGGGGTTCGACCACATTTACAGCACCTCTATCAAGTGGGAGCGTCATCATATCCGGCATCCACAACCATCGATCCGTATCTACAAGGCACGATCTCGGCTAACAGTCAACTGAGTTTGGAACGCCAGGAGCCAGTCCGATCAGTGCAGCGGGAATAGTCGCTATGCGGGCCGACTTTATTCTTCCACCGTTGCTGGGTGTGATTGCCTTGCTTGCTTGGCCTGTGTCGGTCGCATCCTCTCTCACCTACTGCTCGTCGACAAACACCGGGTCCTCTCAAAACGCGAGTACGTGATACCGGTGTGTGTTCTAAGTGCCGTCATTGACTCCATGCAGATGAAAGTACCTACCAATCGAACGGTCTGTGCGAAGACCATTGCAGCGACTATGCGTTTGGAATCCTTCAAGGATACGACTGCTGGTGCTCGAACATTGTTCCCAATTCAGCAACCAATGTGAATGTATCGGAGTGCAGCCAGGACTGCCCCGGCTATCCCGATGACAGCTGTGGAAGTACCACCAAGGGCCTTTATGGCTATGTCGAAATCGTCGGTCATCAGCCGTCCGGAACAGCGACCGTCTCATCGACATCAACATCGACCTCTTCCACCTCGGTCAGTGCCCTTTCCTATCAGTCAATTTCCTCGGTCGTGATTAGTGCACCGTCGATGTCTTGAGTTGCCCGCATGACGGCCGATGACGGCTAGACGTTGTTCGCCCGGACAGTTCTCTTGCACGGCGCCTGAGGGTATTGGCGGTGCTGCTATTACGGGCTGTGTCATAGCTGCTTCGACTTTTGAAGTGTGCATCGACCTGTCAAATTTTATATATGTACACGCTATCAGATCTGACTATCTTTAGACTTCCTCTTCCACATCCGAAACCACTGCCGCTACGACGACCGGACCGACGGTTGCAGTCACAACGGACTCCGGGGTGGTGAAGACGGTCACGGTTGGCAGCCCCAGCAAGGCAACTTCCACGTCTGCGGCCGACAATGTTTCGTCCGAAAAGAGCACAGGTAGCTCGGGGATGAGTTCGGGAACCATCGCCGGTGTTGTGGTAGGCTCCGTTGGTGGCGCCCTTGCCATCCTGGCTCTGATATTCGTGTTGTTCTTCGCGAAACGCAAGTCGCGTTCGAACAGCCCAGATCCAAGTGTACAGTCCATCCTGCTGGATGGAAGACAAAGCAAAGGCTCACAGATGAGTTTTATGAAGGGCATGTTTTCCGACAACCATAGTCATACCTTGTCAGCCGGGTCCGCCGCCAGCCGTATGCCGACATTTACGGACAACCGCATGAAAACCGACACCGTTCTGTATCAGAATGGCCGCCGAGATAGCGATGTGTCGCTTCAAGATAACGAGGATTATTCTCGGCCTGTCCTGCGGGTCAGTCCCCTGTGATCTCTGAAACTTGTGGTCAGACGCTAACACGTGACGCAGCTCACGAACCCCGATTAAGGGTCGCAAAAACCAATCTCTTCGCATTTTGCATTTGCATCTCCTATGTCTTCTCGATTTGCGTGTTTCGGCGAAAACAGCGGTGTTATGATACCCATTTGTCACATAATCCTTGACTTCATTTTCATTCGACTACAGGAGAGACGATGGCCTCGACAGCCCCACCCGCCCACCCCACCGTCGGTGTCTCGACCCCTGCGATGTCTACGCGTCATCATGGCTGCATGCTCACGAGGGGTATTGGGCTTGGACGGGGGAGGCTAAAAATGTTGAACGACTGCCATTCGCCCCTGAGCGGTGGAAAAATGCTGCCGCATCTACAACCAACTTCCCCCACCACGTCATCGGCTTGGGCGTGGCGATTCCATCGACCTTTCTGATTGTCGACCTTCGTGTATATCGAAGCACAGGGACCTGTGCTACAAGCTGAAGTACATACTCTAATGGATTTTCAGATCCTCCCCTCGCTCCTGTTTTCTACCCCATCTATTGTCATCTGGCCCCTGTTTTTTCTTCCTTGTCTGTGTTTCTATAAGTGCCAGGTTCCATGAGCGTCATTTGAAATTGCATGAATGCATTAAAAGATTGGTGGTCTGCTGCTGTTGCGGTTCAGCATGTAATTTTATAATGAGCGAGTGTTCTGATAGTTAGATGCATGGGCTGTTACTGCTGGGCTTAATACCGAGAATACTAGGCATCGATTTCTAGCCTGCTACCTGCATTCCATGGGATCTCTGGGTCGTCGATACACGTTTAGGGGGTCCCCACCCAATCAAGCAGCAACCTGTTCTTCAGGAATCGACCGGCCTGGCCCAAATGACACCTAATCTACGGAGCACGCACGGATAGCCGTTCCCCAGAGGACTCTAGTTTGCCACTTCCTCCAGATCCCAACCCACTGGAATGTTCGAAGCTGCGCCTGGAACACAGCCAGCCGGGTACCTGCATTATCCTGGTTGTGTTGCCACCTGGTTTAGGTTTCTGAACATTGCTCTTCATATGTGGAATGTGTCATGCTGTATGGAGTACTCTGGACCGTAGTGGGTTAGGTGTTTCTTAGGTTGGAAGGTGTGGAATTTGGTAGCTAGGGCGGTGTGTGGTGTATTCGTCTTTAGGTCTCCTGGAAATAGAGCAATAGGCGAATACATTGCCAACTAGTTGTTGGTGTTGTAGCTGTGATTAAGGGTTCGTTGTTTTCCGATGGATCTAGTAGTTGGCATGGTTAGCCATCCGGAAAAGTGTACAATTATCCATCAACTTCAATCATTGGAGTAAGATGTTGGCTTATCAGAAGCTGGCCTATAATCGATAACGTAGATTGTTATTTGTTTATTGTGTCTGAGACAGGTGTACGGATAGAAGGAAGTGGATAAGCTGTCTGAGGGTATGCACTGCTATCAGTTAATCGAGCAGCGGTCAACGCGGTCATCCGGCACATGACCGCGGGATAGTTTTGCCCTTCCGGGAAATCCAGTCGCACGCCGGTTCTTTTCCCCTTCAGTCCAGTCGGTCCCAGGATGTCGCCTGTCCTCGCCATGATCTGCTGGCTGCCGTGGGCCTATCTCTTTCCTGCCGTGAGCTCCTCCAACCCCTCACCTGGTGCAGGAGAATCCGCATCCTGGGGTGCTTGTATAACTAACGAGTGCAACAGCCTGATCGAGCGGTCGTACAATGAATAACTAGACCTAAGTCAAGCAGTCGTTCCTCGTTACATTGCAGCGGATGTACTCATCCTGTTAGGCTGGAGTGGGCCTCTGTGATCGAACGTCATCGACTCGACTCTGGTCGGGGAGAACAAAGCGATCAAAAGATGGTGGGACATGACTCTGCTATAGGCAGGCATGGACGAATCATTCCCCCCTCCCCCCCAGCATAAGGTTGTGCCGATCCGCCATGAGCCTGAGCCGGTAATCGCGTCCATTGACGGCTGTCCACGAGTGAAGCCCGGTTATCTCAGCCAGACTGGCCTTATCTATTATCTATCTGCATCGCCGCACCAAACAGAGTAAAAGCTGTCGAGGTATGCGACCTCTCCGAACCAAGACAAGACATTCGGTCTAGCACCTCGGATTTCCCGATTTCCATCACAGACGGAGCGTCCAGGATGGCCTGCCGCTATCCGCGATGATGGTCCTCTGCGTCGAGATCTATTAATATAACGTCCTCTCCCTGTCAGGTCCGGTATATTTGCCCCGGTTCTCCCTTTGCTGCTTATTTGGGCTCCTGCTACTACGACTGACGGTGCCGTCGCTTTGTCTGTTGTCTGTGTCTGTGTCTGTTGTCTGTTCGATGTGGTACCGCCAGTGATCAACATGAATGTATTGATTCACCAGGGTAACCTGTGGCTGGTCGGCCTGGCCATGGTCGCACTCGGTGGATTCTACCTCGCCACGGGGAAATTGCAAGGTAGCGCCATTTTACGCCGTCTTTGCAGCCACCGGGGGTCAAAAAGCGGGTGGCAATCATGGGTAGCAGACAAGAAGCCTGCCACTGGGCCTTCTACTCCAACCTATGTGGATATCCTCCCGCCGCAACGTCGCCATGTTCTTGCCTCGTTCCAGATCGGAGTTCCGTATGAAGAGATTGACGAGAAAGAGGTGGGGGAGTACAGTATTCCCATGACATCGAATTACCAGACATGCACGGATAAGAGATACACTCCCACAGGGTTCTCAGTGGCAGAAGTCAAAGCGTTAGGTGATTTTCCCGACTATGCAGAGCTTAGTGGAGTACCCTTGCCCGAGCCGTACCACGAGTTCGACATTGACAAGGCGCTGGCCCGACCCTATCGCCCTTTCCGATGGTCCTACCATCAGACGATGTGTATGTCTTCCTGTGCCCGCTGTTCGGCGGAAATTGACCTCGCAATAGCTCTTACGAAGTTGGAAACGGACTGGTGGATTGAACTCGAAAACACATACAAGGAGAGAATCGCCCAGCGCAAGGAGCTCTACGCGAAGCATGGCAGTTCGGTGCTGGGATACCTTCCTGGCTCGGAGCTGGCGTGCAAGGAACTCATGGAAATGGTGCTGCAATTTGTCTGTGCCCGTTATCCGCAGTACTTTTTCATTGAGAACAATCGCATCCTTCACAACAAGATCCTGGGCACGAAGCAGGATGTCAAATCGAAACATCCCCTCGAGATCCTCATCGATAATGTACCGGAAGATTTTGGGATCATGTTGCGGGATGAGAAGACGGGCTTCTACTTCCTCCGCGCAGGTGTCATCTGCTCGTCTCTGGGGTGGAACGTCGGGACCAAGATTGGTCTCCAGCTGCATCAGATTCACGAGACCATCCCCGACTATAAGGAGAAGATGCAATTCTCTATGGATCGGTAGGTGTCATATCCAACCTGAATTGATGTCGATGATCTTACAACTGTGTCTAGGTTCTTCACCAAAATGCCGGTCGACAAGCCCATTCAGCGAGGCTCCTGGGGCTTGGAGGTCGGACAGCCTCTGTACATGCCCAAAGGGGATCCTCACGAGACACTTCGCCTGTCTCAAGACCCTAATCTCCAACTGGAGGACTGCCACCTCCGAGTCGACTGGCAGACCCTCCGCCGTCTTCCACTCTCTGCCGCGGTTGTCTTCAACTTTAAGGCTCTGTTCACCCCGGTGACGGAATTCCGCGACGAACCGGGTGTACCGGCGCTGACGGCCAAGGTTCTCAAGGAGGGCAAGAAGAACCTGATGGACTACAAGGGTACATGGCACGTGGAGCACGTTGTGCTCCCGAATTTGGAGACGTGGGCCAAGGAACAGGAGGACAGCGGACTCGTTCCGAAGGATTGGCAGGTGGCTACATTGGATGAGAGCCCTTGGTACAAGGGTTGGCAGGAGAAATGGCATCGTCAGCAGGGATTTTGATCCTATAGATCGCCGGGCATGGATTGCATATGGGAGGCTGTATGAATCGACTGTTTCATTGCTGGCGTTGATATTGCAGATCTCGTCACCAGCACATATACCTGTTCGAGCGTGACTGAAGGGGGTATATATGGCGTGTCCGGCCGGAGATGTGTAGACGTAGTCGTCTTGTACCGTTTTCGCCTGGCTGTAAGCGGCGGTATGTGCCGGGATATGAGCTCAGCTCGATCCACTGGCTCGACTCCGTGTAGACCGGCAGGTACTGATGGCCGACCCGAGCAGAAAATAGCAGGGATTCAGCCCACTGTCCCAGTAGCCCAACCCAGATTCTTGAAAGATGTATAACCCGAGAAACCAAGCTCAATCATCGCCCTCCCTCCCCCCATCATCATCCTCATCATCCTCCCGATCACTCCTCTCCATCTCCTCCAACTCCTCCTGCAACGGACTCACCCTCACCTCCAACAAATCCAAATCCTCCAACTGCTGCCTAGCCGGCAACTTCCACAAACTAGTTCCACACACTCTCTCCTTGGTCAACAACTCATCCACAAACTGATCCATATACGTCAGGGTAAACGAATCCCGCACGCGTCGTTTCAGTTTCCGATAATCCAACAACAACGGTTCCAGCGTCTTATACACCTCCACCGGCTCAAACGTCAACCGGACATAAAACGCCGCCAGGGCGCGGAGGTATTTGAAGGATCCTTTCGTTTTGAGTACCCTTGCATCTGTATCCACCTCCCTATCCCCCTCATCATCTGAATCTGGTTCCTCGTCCGTAAAATTCAAATACTCCAACACCACCTCCCTCCCCGGGTTCAACTGCAATAACTTAAACGCAAGACACAAAAACGGCGATGGTTTCTCCGCGACCCCATACACGCCCCCGATGCAGGTGAGTTCGACCGCGCGATCGCAGAGGGTTGCCGCGTTGAGTCCGAAACATTGCTCTTTCCAGTAGTAGGAGTCGGTGATGCGGTCGCGAACGGGTTTTTCGAAGAGTGTGGCGGGGTTCACGCCCCGGATTAAAGGCCCGCTGTAGCCCCGGTTGTCGAGGAAGGTGCTCGCGTCGGCGCGGTGGGTTGTCATTTTTCTCTTTGGTGGGAGTGAGGTTTGAGGGGGAGGTTAAGGGTGGGTGGGTGGTTGGGGGTTTGGGGAAGATGGAGATAATGGAGCTATTGTTTTTCTGCCGGGAGTGGAAGAGGGCGGTGTGGGATGTTGTGCTGGGCGGTGTGGGTGGAAGTATACGCATTGCTTATGGATGTACCTATATCTGCAGCTATTACATTGTACTTAAGCCCTGTGCTTGAGCTCGTGTCTTAGATATATCCTGAATTCACACACTAGAACACCGTGAACTCTCACACCAATTAATCTAGAAACACCCCAACCACCCCCCCCCAGATCCTAACTAACAACCACCTAAACCAACCCAACCAACCACCCCCCCGCCCTCGGCACCATAAAATCCTCAAACAACGCCAACGGAAAAACCCCCTGACTGCGATGCATATCCGCCAATTCCCGGGCCAATCGCTCATCCGATAAGGGGAGGCTAGCCTTAAGACTGCCTTACGGAAACCCCTGTGCCACAGAGGTTAGCGGAGGCCAACCAACATGCTTTGAGCTTGACTTCAACGACCATTAATTGGAGCGTATGATACTGGGGAGAAATGCCCAAAAGCTCTGGACACCGGGCGGGTACCAATCGGATCGGTGGTCACTCAGTACAGCTGGCACGGGAAGCCTGTCAGTATAAGATGTGAGGAAAACACTCGTTAGGTAGTTCTCTTTTCTAATCAATGGCTGCAAGTGCTATCTATTTCATCATCTGGGGAAGAGCTCTTATACATAATATCTACCCTTTACAGGATGAACGTCCACATCCTCCGCCGAGGTGGCCAGCGCAATGCAGCCCACCTCAGCCCCCGGCTCAACATCTCCCAAGTATAAGGTTTTGTCTCGTGTATTCTTCGCCCACTCATCCGACGACCATGTAGAAGACCCGGGTACATCCGTGGTCCTATTATGCAGAAAAGCAACCGATATCGACCCCAAAACATCGGGCATGAGCGTGATGAAGCGCAGAACTGCGCCGACGATGGCACACATGAAGATCGTCACCGACGCGAGAATGAGCACGCCAAGCCAGGCACGGCTGCATTGGACCACGTCTTGTTGAATGGTGGCATTGGCACCTATTTTTAGGGTGCTCGCTGCCCACGGCGAAAGGGACGCATTGTAAGACCCGGTAAAGGCCGGCGCACCAATCCCAATGTAAAGAACTGGGTTGAGGAGCTGGGCCAGACGGATCTCAAACACCTCCCGGCCAACGGTGTATGTTGGCATGAGGGTGGTGCCTATCACGGCATGATATGGATCCGCGAGATAGGCGACTATGGGTTGGTACCCCCCAGAAAGTTGGGAGTAGGGAAATAGTCCCGTGAGAAGGGTCAGAACGGATTGAGCGGCTACGTTGTCAAAATCAAAAACGGTCCAGTTGTGATTATATTGAGGGGTCGGCGAGCGGCGGACCGAAGACAGGTTGCAAGTGCTTGCGGATGAACTCCCAGACGTACTTCCGGTGCATGATACATTTGCATCGACGTAGGTGGTGGTAAGATCGCACTCGGCTAGGGTCCACCCAGCATCCTCATTGTCCCCCGACGTATATTCCACCTGTGATTCCCATATGAGCTTTCGGGCCGGACGAGTCCCGGAAGCCATCGACGCGGAAACCCCCGAACAGGGCTTGGAAATGGCAATTTGATACTGCGTGCCACCTTTGCTGCTTGCCCAGGTGCAGTCGACGCCGTTGTTAGGAGTTGGGGCATCTGAACTCGTGTAATTGATGAATTTGGTCTCGTTTGATATGCCGAACTTCGAGCAGGAGACAGATAGGTATGAACCGGGAAGGGTGAAGGACGTGTTGCCTGAACTAGCCATATTATTCACTGGGGTGCCGACCAGCGAGGCGTACGACAGATTGTTCGTCTGGAGAATATCCATCCATTCGCTATTGGTATTCTTCTCAATCGCAGGGAAGCGGACGTTACCCCAGAGATCTTGGTTGCGGGTTCCCAAGAGCGATGCCGCCATGATGGAAGCAATGACTGGGTCCGCTACCGCCGTTACAGCTTCCGACCTCCCTTCTGCATAACCGTACCCGTACGCGGTGAAGGTATTCATCGTAGTCAGATTGATCGGACTACTCGGGTAGCTTGCCACGATGGAGATTACCCTCAGAGATGCCTGACTGCCTAATGGCGACAGACACCACAATACAATGGTCAAGACGGCAAAGACGTTCAGCATTCCTAACCTTATCTGGGTGAGCAAGGCACCCGAGATCGTCTGGCTTCCGAGACATTGCTCCAATAGTCCGACGGTCGCCCCTCGACGGGTCTGAATGCGCCACGAGGCGATGCTCTTCATGCTACCACCGGCGACGGCGGCGAAGAGGACTGGGAAGATGGTGGGCGCCTTTACACCAAGTGATGTGAGCCAGGCCGCGTGTGGTGTATGGTAGGGTCAGAAAGCTTACGTATTGCGAGACGTTGTACAGCTTCGAGCCTGTCGACCCCGGACCGGCAGGATGTCCATCGAGCCGATATACCCAGATACCAAATATGGTGAAAAGAAGAGCTATGGATCCAACGATGATGTCAAAGGCTAGACGTAGATGCCGGTACACTGAAGAAGTCTCGAGAGGCTGTGGCTGGAGCTTGTTTGGCTCTTTTTCCTCGACCGCAGGACTTTCGATTGTTGCAGGATGCAGCGGCGAGACTATCACTGGAGACGGATCTGGAAATTGTTCCTCGACTGGTACAGCATCGTACGAGGTCCGCTGGTACTCCCTCATCTCTTAATCTATGTCAGAGATTGGTGTGACAAGAGTACACTCCGAGGAGGCTAAACGTCGTGTTGATCAGCTCATAGTTCATGCAAGAAGTAGGGCAATTATATATCAAACTGGGAAGGGGAGATTGGGCCGCATCGCATTGACCGTGACAGAGATATCAGCACTAGGTGGGTTTTGGTGGAATCCCCGGGAGGGCTTGTGGCGCCGTGCATGGATACGAGGCTGGCTATGCACTAATGCTTGTGATCACGGCTCACCTTACCGTTCTGATACTTCTTCGGACGACGGAAAAGGCTCTGCATTGCTCGCGACGGAGAATGCATGTCAGGAAAGAGTTGATTGGAGATTTCTTCGTGGCGCCAGACAGAGCGCAGACCCTTGCGAACATCTTCTGTCTGGTGCAAAATAAGCACGAACTCGCAGCCTCGCTTATGGGGGCACAACCATCATAGTGACCCAGGGCAACCGCTAAGAGTAGTTGTCCGTAGCCTGTCAAAAGGATATTCTTATGTCAAATAGTGACATGCACGAAGGAGAGGGAACATATGTTTTGTGATGCTTTTGGCCTTGGGAATTCCACAGTGACTCGGATTTTATGTCCATGGCGCACGGGGCTCGACATCGATCCAGCCTCGCGGGTGGGTGGGGGACGGCGGACATGCCCGGCTTGGAGCATAAGCCGCACGGCGCAGAGTGGAATCGGCAATCTCGCCTAGACTGAGAGATAAGCCTCCTCCACTTACCAACACGCGAGTTATTTCTTGTCAGATCTACACCATGTAGACCGAAAGAGATCAACCCCGCCTGGTTCTTGGTGTAGAAGGTTGAGATGTCCCAACATTCTCCTGTCCTGCAGCATACTTGCTAATATGATACTAATAATACTCGTTGCTTGTAGTCTTCAGTATCAAGGCCCCAGTCATCAACGTAGACATGGTTGAAAGGATAGAACGTACTACTACCATTCTTGATACTACCATCCGCGTCTCACTGCCTCCATCCATAAACTCAATGTGTAAGCACCAGCCTCCACACCAGCAATAAAACACCTCAAGTCCACGGGATTTACACCTTATTGCCAGTTTCTAGACAGCCCAAAAAAGAGACATATCAGGTCATCATCATTAGGACAGATTACCCGGCTGAGGACATGTTCTTTTGATTGAGTAGCCGTAACAGGATATAACACGATTGCGTATAAGATCCAACGATAGTTCTACCATTACTATACTCAATGATACCAGCACGACTACGTCTATGTCTGGTCAGATATGCAATGTACTGAACGGCGATCGTTTTCTACAATATTGCTACCACTTATCCCAGTAAGCAACAATCTTAGTCGTATACTAATGCAAACCAAGCCAACAAGAAATTACAGATAACACAAGAGGACAAGGCTCAGACTAACAAGTATAACACGCCGGATTTTCACTGAACAACTTGCAGATTGAAAGGTTACAGACACCACCTTCCCCTATAATGTCATAGCTATGAACGGTCAATTGGATGTACTCCGATCAACTCAGTAATCCCGTATTTAGGAATCCTCTCCACACGACTGGCATCATACTGAGGTTAGTATGGATATAGATCGGGGCCTCCAATTCAGCCGATTCTGGCTTCTAATTGGTGCATAGATTGGGGCTTCTGATTGGTTCTTGCGGGAGCTCATGACGTAATTTGATTTCAGTATTGCCGGTGCTCACCGCTTCAGCCAGAACAGGTAGGGGCGCTGGGGAACAGAGGCTTAGGGTCATTCAGAATATAACTCAGACGATAGATCTGAGCCAGAACTTTATATAGATGCAAATTAAGGATGGCTGGATTAATCACAGCGTCTTGAGTGCTTGATGAGGCTCTTGAGAGGAGATGCAGCGGCGACGCCAAGACGGCTTATCGATAGTCGCGCCGACAACCGCCCTGACAGTCGCAGACTGAGACATTGGTCTTGGCGCATCCAGCCTGGTTGTTTACGGCGATCAGCTGGCTGGATTCATCTTGATACTTGCTATCATCTGTCATTCTGATGAGATTCATATCCGGTCAATTGAAAATTACTCGTATCTGTTGGTATAGCTGGGTCTATCTAGCAGTACTAGTGCATATCGAAACAGTGCTGCCTGCATTCCAGTCTCCACAGGCCTACGTACGACGGGTATAACCATACGCGGGCTAAGCATTGGGGCAGTATGGTGCTTCTTACCTCCTCGACCGTCTCCGTCATCATATCCACCGGTGTCATTTGTACCTTTACCTTTCTGCTCTTCCTATCGGGTTACGTCCTGCAGCAGCAGTCCGTCCGCAGCATCCAGCATGCCATTCGTCCGCCTCCACCCCCGGACCCCGTGGCAGGCCACAATTTGGTAGGATCGCCATACCAAGGCGACGGACAGGAGCTTCTGTCCGATAGGGTTGCCGATAAGCGCAAGAGGGATGCTAGTCCCCCACAAGCAACAAGGGGAAATTTTGCATACCTCCAGCTCCTCTCCACTCCCGACCCATCCAACATCTGCTCCGCTATCCTTTTCTTCAAGCATTTGGCGACCAATGGCACGGCGGTCCAGGACCGTCTTTTCATGTATCCGCGCGAGTGGGACTTGATGCCCACAAAGGAGCTCACGGAGCCTGTTTCCACGGCCCTTTCTCTTTTGCGAACGGCAAGTCTGGAATACGGCATCTGGCTTCTGCCCATCGACATGACGCTAGCTACTGCGGAAGGCTATACACCTACGGATACGAAGCTGCTGCGGCTGGGGCAGGTCCAGTTCATGCAGTACGATAGCGTTCTGTATGTCCAAACGCCGGGCTTGCTGCTCGACACTGGCAAGCTGGATGCCATGCTCTTCTCCCGACCGCTGCCGCTGCGACATGACAAAAACAGGCCCGAGTCGTTCAACAACGAGGCTTGGGTGCCTATGCCCTTGAGAGCAGAACGAGATGCAGCTCTGCCTCCTGTGTACCTAATCACGGTAAACAGTGTCGAAAATGGCCACATTGAAGCTCGTGGCCATATTCCAAACACCGGTCTCCCAGGTTTTGGAAGCCTGGTCACGGGACCTGAGACCGTACTATCACCAAAAGAAGACGGTTATAACCCTGACGAGCAGCCAGGATACGTATATTTTCAGCAGGACGATGATGGCCACGTTCAGTGGGCCCAGAATCCACTATTTGGGTCTTGGCGTATTGGCCAAAATGCGGTATGCGAGGGCGTCAACTTTGACGATGATGCAGTTCATGATGGATATGACTTGTGAATTTCTTTTATGTGATGATTTCTGGGGCGTTTGTCGGCTTTATATCGGGCACTTATATTGATGACTGGTGGACCGGTCTGGCAATTCTGAGTCCTGTTTGGATTTTTAAGTATGGGTAACGACTGTGGGTTCTTGTCAATATTTATCTCTTCATATCCTTTGGGGGGAAGTGATGTGTGCAACCATGTGTATATGAAACATGAGTTATGCGAATGAACTTCGTTATTTAAGAAGGTTGTCGTTTCATTAGTCACTGGCTTCTCTATTCGGCTTCATTGCCGTGAAGCTTTCATAGCAAACCCAGCCTCGTCATTGCCTTCAGATCCAAACATTTCCTATCAGCAATGCGAGTGAATTAATGAAATGAAAGATAGGAAGGTTGCTGGACTTTGACGCAAGTCGACGGTTATTCCGCCCGATGGCCGCTATGGCTGGCCCGGTCTGCAGCATTAAATGCCTGAGGCATAAGGTATTCAACGGCTAGCATTAGATTCATCGCGATCAATGCTCACTGGGGACCGGAAGAATAAGCCATGAAGGGAGGCGATAATCTAGGGTTGGCTATTTGGATGTTACTTGAATCCACAATCTGTAGTGGTGAAGAACCTAGTAACTGTTTCCTGTCATGGAAATGGCACCTTGAAGCATGGTACGTTCAACCTGAGTCCAGCATTGTGGTGATGGCTATACCATGTACAAGCGCAAACATGAATGCGTATTGAAAATATCAGGCAAAGCATTTGCATGACTAGCGGGGTATAAGATTCACCTTTGCAATGAAGCTGGAAACTGCCGATACCAAGCCCAGGAACCACGGTGAAAAACAAGGGCATATGAAACAAACACCGCTGCCACTCATTCCCATTGGCATAGGCTTTGATTGCCTGGATAACTGTGGCTGAATCCATTTCCACTGCCCAGCTATCCTGCAAACCGACTGGGTGCCCGATGTTACACTAGGTCATAAGCCATCTCTACACGGTGGTATCACAATCGCGGGATGCCGCTGGATGTCTCAGATGGCCACAGTCTATAGGCTGAGTGCTGCAAGAGCCAAGAGTGACAGCTCGCTGGGCGAGCACGAACGAGAAAGGAACGGATGGGATGAAGACGGGAATTGCCTGGAAGCTAGGGTGAATATCCTTATCACTGCTGTCCCCTAGGAGTGACCCTGCCCGAATTCTCAGTGAATCTTATTTAAGATCCTAAGATTTTGGCAACATCTCCTCCTTTCCCGCCTAGTTCCTTCCATATCCATTTTTCCCTAGGAGCCGTTGTCAAGTGTGCTTGCAGCACCTACTAGGCTGTGTTAATCTCTCTCTCCCTTTCTTCTGAAAAATTTTCATCGTTCTGCTCCTGCAATCACTACGCTGATATTTCCATTCTGAAGCCTTATTGACGCTGTATAATCCGCCGATATGGATCTAGAAGACGACTTTGACCCTTCGCTTCCCAGTTTGTCCTCCGTGCTAGGAAAGCTCAAGGTCGAGCCACTCTATTTTGCCAACACGGACGTCAAAAAGTACTTTGTTGAATCCAATTTTGAAAACTGTGAGGAATGGCTGAAGAAGCCAGAGGTACCATCATCCGAAGAGATCATGGGTATTTATGACTCTGCCGATGACGATGATTGCATCGCATTGGAAACAAACAGAGTCGATGGCCCCTGGCAGTCGAAAGACGCGTATCTTAGAGCTCACTACGAGCTTCTGAGAGAAGATGCCATTGGTCCTCTCAGGGACGCTGTGGCATACGTCAGGGAAGACCCGAAGATGATGGATTCCAAAGTTGTGTCTGTTTACGACAAGGTACGCTCTCTGATTTATTTTCTCCTCAGCTCACTAACAGCTCAACGTATTATTTTAGGTTTACTTCACCGGTATTACATTCGCACAAAGAGGTCTCGGCCTTCGGATCCAATTTTCTACCAGTCGAGCCGGAAAGAGTATCGCGTGGGAGTACACCAAGCGTCTCGTCACTGGCTCTATCGTCGCCCTGAGTCCGGCAGACGATGGGTTCCGCGAAAAATGCGTGGTTGCAACCGTTGCTGCCAGGCCTCTCGAGGGCGTCCGGCAGCATCCCTCAGAAATTGACATCTTTCTTGCTAGGCCAGAGGATATCGATCTTGACCCTCACAAAGAGTGGATTATGGTAGAAGCCAAGGACGGTTACTACGAATCTGTGAGACATACTTTGACAGCACTTCAGAAGCTGAAGCAGGAAAAGTGAGTAAAATTCCTGGGTTGTAATTCTCTTACAAGCCGGGGTCTGACTGACGTCGTAGATTCCCTCTTTCGGAGCATATTTGCTTGCTTGACCCCAGCATCAAAGCCCCAGATTACGTCAAGGAGGACCCAATGGTTGACATACAGTCCGCAGTCGATGGCTCTAGCGAGGGAGAGACACTCGACATTCTCAAAGACTGGCCTCTAGCACCAAGTCAAATCATGGACAGTACACAATGGAGAGCCTTGAAGAAGATGCTCACAAAACGGCTATCCGTTATCCAGGGACCTCCGGGCACTGGCAAGACGTATGTGTCAGTTATTGCCTTGAAAATTCTGCTCGCAAACATGAAAGACGGTGATCCGCCTATTATCGTTGCCTCCCAGACGAACCATGCATTGGACCAGCTTCTAAGGCACGTCGCCACCTTCGAGATGGACTATGTCCGAATTGGCTCGCGGAGCAGCGACCCAGACATAAAAAGGCGCACTCTCTATTTTATCAGACAAAACTCGCCTACGATAACAGTCCACGGGAGCATTTTAGGCGGAGCCAAGAAAGATCACAAGAGCTTGACCCAGGCTATTATCAACCTTCTGCAACCTCTCATGGCTGGGAACTCCGACAAAACCTTTCCTGCTTCGCTTTTTGCCGAGTATGGGTTGCTGACAGAGACGCAACTTGACTATTTAACGAAAGGAGCAAAAGGCTGGGTTCGCCCCGGTGACGTTGAAAGTACTGACCCTCTGGTAGCCTGGCTGGGAGATGAGGTGGCACCTTTCGAAGTCAAGTACATGACGGAGAACTTTGGGTTTGCAGAAGATGAGGTGGATCTAGAGTATGAACAGCTGAAAGAATTGGAGGCCGAACAAGGTCTCGAGGAGGATGACTATGAGACCCTGAAAGGACATTTCGCCGCTATTCGAGAGGGTTTCTGCAGCCACAACTTTTCCTGCTCCGAGGCGTCTGCATTGGCACATCTCAAACAACCGGACTTGTGGAAGATCAAAGCGGAAGCGCGCGGGGCCGTTTACGACGTTCTTCGGAAGCAGCTAAAGTTGAAGATAAGGGAGCAACTTCTTCCGCTGGTATCTTGCTATTCAAAGAACTGCGAGAATCTCCAGATAGGTAAATGGGAACGGGATTATCACATCCTCCAAACTGCCAAAGTAATTGGCATGACCGCCACAGGTTTGAGCAAGTATCGGGGACTGATCTCGAGTCTCAACCCGAAGATTGTTCTTATCGAAGAGGCAGCCGAGGTTATTGAAGCTCCAATATCCGCGGCTTGTTTTAACTCTCTTCAGCATATGATACTCGTGGGAGATCACCGGCAGCTCAAAGGGCGCTGCACTGTCCCAGAGCTTGAAGGTGAACCCTACAATCTCGGGGTTTCGATGTTTGAACGGCTGGTTAATAATGGAATCAAATATGTGACACTGAAGAGACAGAGAAGAATGGTTCCAGAGATCCGGCAGCTTCTGGAGCCTATATACGGCGAGCTGCAGGATCATGAGTCAGTATGCAAGCGCCCTGGGGTGATGGGCATGGGGGCTGTCCGCTCTTACTTTTTCACCCACAACTGGCCAGAGAGCAAGGACAGTCTCGCGTCCAAGTCCAACGCAATGGAGGCACAGATGGTCGCAGGGTTCTTCGTTTACTTGATGCAGAACGGGAACGCTCTAAAGGATATTACGATACTGACATTCTACAACGGTCAGAGGAAGAAGATACTCTCCTTGTTGAGGCAACATCCCTATCTCCAGGGTCAATACGTGAAGGTTGTGACCGTGGACTCGTACCAGGGCGAGGAAAATGAGATTGTCATCCTTTCACTGGTTCGGAGCGGCACAAAGAACATCGGATTTCTCTCCATTGAGAACAGAGTCTGTGTTGCACTGTCGCGTGCCAGGCGTGGATTTTATATGTTTGGAAATGCCATGTCCTTGTCAAATGACAGCGACCTCTGGCGAAGGGTTCTAACCATTATGATTAACAACAAACCGCAACCGCGCTTGGGAGCCCAGCTGCCAGTCACATGTGCGAAACATAGGAGAAAATTTCCTATCAAAGGTCTGGCGTTCTTCCAACATTTTTTTTTTCATGGAGCATTTTGCTGATACGAGCATCCTAGGCCCTTCAGACTGGAGCAAGTTGAACGGAGGATGTGATCTACCCTGCGACGAAATGTTGGACTGCGGTCATCCCTGTCCTATCAAATGCCATAGGTACGCGCGGTGCCAAGAATATCTAGTGATACATTAACTAACGCTAAACAGCTTTACGCACGGGCAAGTACGATGCAATAAGACTTGCGGTGCCCGGATGGCATGCAAGCATGTCTGCAATGTACCTTGCGCCAAAACCCATATCTGCTCGTGCACATGTGGGCTAGGCCCACACTTTGATTACGAGTCTCAATCATCCACTGCCCCATCGAAAAAGGTCAGGCCCCAACCCGAAGCGATCCAACGCTACCAAGAGTATGCAAATGGAGGCGCAAAGAAGCAAGACGCGCTGTTGCTTGAGAAGGCTACCCTGATGAACGTGCAAGTCCCGTGCACACCAGAAAAGCCCAAGTCGGGTGATCTGCTCCTCGACTTTCGGCCAGAAGAGAAGGGGGCGAGCTCCAGTCCTAAAGTAGACAGTATGGGAGCCCGTGTGCCGCAAGGGAATCTACTGGAGGTTTGATAGGTCACAATGGCTCAGTGGGACGAGGGTAGCGGAGGCGTGTTTCAGCAAGTTAGTTTTAGCACCAAAGTTCGGCCGATAGGGCTGCTAGTAATTAAGATAAAATTGCGATGATGTCAAGACTCTGGAATGCACAAGGACCCGTGCTGATTGGTCCGGAGGCCATGACAACGATACGTAGATAGCACGGCGTCCAGCCAGACTGTGGCTGATTTCCCCGCATTGCCAGTCATTTGATTCTTCGACCTTCTCGACCTTTCTCTACCCTTCGTTCCCGAGCAATCCAGATAGGCCCGGAGGGTTCCACCGACGGATGATAGGACTGGAACGCACACGCGACTCAGCGGGGTCAGCTGTGTAACTCGAATGTCGGAGACCGTCACTGCATGGAGCGGGACAAGAGGAAGACACCAGCTGGACTTTTATGTAATGTAGAATCCCTTGGACTTTGAAGAGGTAAGGATAAGCTCGGAGGTGGCCGGAACGTGGGGAGGGAGCCCTGGACAGTGGCCGTGGACGACCCGCTCAGGGATGGAGACCGCCAGCGAGCTGCGATGCTGGTGGCCTGCGAGGTCGCGGTGGATATTTCGCTTAAGACTGCGGAACCGCGAACCTTGGAAAGCCCCGGTGCTGGTGGCTGGTCCCACATCCCGCCAATCGCAGCCCGTGGCCTCATCCAGGCACTGCCCAGGCACCACCGCCGTGGGACGTTTCCTGCTCTCTTCCCTGACCCCGATGGAATCCCTCCGATCATTCACTTCCCTCCCCCCTCCTCCGTTCTTAAGGTCCCTTAACACTAGCGGCCGTTCATGATGCAACTTCCCCCCCTCGAGCAGCTGTCATACCACGACTGCAACTCGTATATCTTCTCCGCACGCGCCACTGACTGATTCCTTTGTTCATCCTCTGCTCCACCCTTATCGCTCAACCAGGCAGCATGGCGGAATTCCTTCGCTCGCAGATCCTGGGAACCACGTTCGAAACCACCAACAGGCAAGTCATGACGTCGATCGGGATTCGATCTCGTAGCTAAGTCTTGGTCAGATATGCCGATATTCAGCCTGTTGGGCTCGGTGCCTTTGGGCTTGTTTGGTACGAAGTCTTTCTTTCTAGTGGTGACTGACCGGGACATTTTGCTGACGGACTCCCCGGGGATACTAGCTCTGCCTATGACATGATCACCCGCCAGCCAGTTGCAATCAAGAAGATGATGAAGCCCTTCTCCAACTCTACTCTCGCCAAGCGCACGTATCGTGAAGTCAAGCTGTTGAAGCACCTACGTCATGAGAATGTCCGTATTTGCATGCTAACGATAGCGTTGCATTGCTAATGGTCACAGTTAATCGGACTGAGTGATATCTTCATTTCCCCACTAGAGGACGTGTATGTACGATCCGGATCGCTGATACCGTGGGATTGTCGCAGAGGACTAATACTGGCACTCAGATATATGGTTACGGATCTTCTGGGGACCGATTTGAATCGACTTCTCACAGCAACCCCTCTGGACGGTAAATTTGTTCAATATTTCACATACCAGCTACTGGTAAGCCCGTCAAAACCGATCTACTTTCTGACTCTAACGATCGCAGCGAGGCTTGAAATATATCCACTCCGCGGGCGTCATACACCGTGACCTCAAGCCGAGCAACATCCTGGTCAACGAAAACTGTGATCTTAAGATCTGTGATTTTGGTCTCGCGCGACTGCAGGAGCCCCAGATGACGGGATATGTCTCCACCAGATACTACCGAGCGCCGGAGATTATGCTGACCTGGCAAAAGTACGGCATGCAGGTGGACATCTGGAGTGCGGGCTGTATCGCTGCAGAGATGCTCCGTGGAAAGCCTTTGTTCCCTGGAAAAGACCACATTCATCAGTTCTTTTTGATTACTGAAGCCCTCGGCAATCCACCCGATGAAGTTGTTGAAAGGATCTGCACCAAGACTGTAAGCTTGAAGCTCCTATGATATGTCTTGACCTCATTTATTCTCTAGACTCTGGACATTGTCAAGTCACTGCCGAAGCACCAGCCACTTCCCTGGAAATCTCTATTTCCGGGCTCGGATAGCGATGGTAACTACCTTTGACAGATCAACACTATGATACATCGGATACTGATCGGTCTATCTTTACAGCCATTGACCTACTTGCAAAGATGCTCATTTTTGACCCGGAGAAGCGACTTTCTGCTGCACAAGCTCTAGAGCATCCATACCTGGGGGTGTATCACGACCCAACCGATGAACCAGTGGCGGAACACAAGTTCGATTGGTCATTCAGCGAAGAGGCGCATTCGATTGATGAGTGGAAAATCATGATGTAGGTGCCTCTATAGTCGTCGTCCTGAGCTCTCGACTGACTTTGATAGATACTCTGAAGTTGTGGATTTCCATGATCTTGGACCTGCTGGGGAACCCGTCGTTGCAGAATCCTTCTTGTCTCCTGACGCGAGCCTCAGTCCAGAGGTGTTTGGTCCGCTCAACGAACTGGAGACTCAAAGCATCGTCGCTAAATCCATGGAGAGCCTGGATCAGGATATTATGCAGTATCTTCAGATTTAGGTGCAGCCGAGCAGCAGAGCTTGCTGAATGAGTCACGAGTCCGATGAGATATTTTCACTTTATGACCCATGAGAATCGCGGGATCTGACATCATGGCACATGTATTTCGTCAGTTCCTTCATCAGATGAGAATCAGCCCGGTCAGTCGACAACCGGGGAACTCCCTTGCTTAAGGTTTGTCACAGGCACCACCTAAATAACGCAAGTTAGTAATTTATTTCCATCATGACTGAACCAGCTACCCAATCGCTCTTTCCTTAGCACTGCGGCTCTTCTATTCTTCACACCATTGCACCGGCCCAAAACCACGGATTCACTCACTCACGCTGAGACCAGCAGAAATACAGACATACAACTTCAGTTCCATCCATTCCCATTACCAACCCTCCAACAAAACCAACCCATCTTATCAGACCAACGTACATTCCAACATCCAATTCTACACCATGAAACTACCTGTCCTCCCCACCATACCAACCATCACCCTCCTCCTTCTCCTCCACCACCCAATCCCCACACACGCCCTCCCCAACCCCCAAAACCAACCCACCACCACCCCCCTCACCACGACCTGGCAAATCTCCCTGTACCAAAACCCCCAATGCACCGGCGAAACGACATCCTTCTCCGGCAACGGGTCTCTTCCCTGCCACGATACGATCCTCAACGGCGGTGCCTTGGGCTATATTGTCACGACGAGCGCGCAGTCGAATTGTTCCATTCGGGTGTTTGATGATACGGCTTGTCGGAGTCTGGTTGAGGTTGTGGATGGGGTGAGTTGGGGCGCTTGTCGGGTTCCGGATTTGCAGGAGGGGGAGATTCGGGGGGTGCTGGTTTTGTGTTGATTTATGAATAGGAGGGTGGGAGGTGGGAGGGAAGTGAGGGGGGGGGCGGGTTTTGTTGCTGTGTTTCGTTTGATTTCTTTGATTGAGTGGTGGTGATGACGGTTGTGATGATTGCTGTTGTTATTGGTATTGTTATTTTGCGGATGAAGGTGTATCACGCATGATTATGATTGCTTCTTACTTTCTATGCTTGAGTCTGTGATGAATGATGGGTAGTCATAGCATTGAGATATCGTTCTATCCCATTCATATCCATATCAATGAAAGTAATCTATACATCCAGCCATTTTACGTACTCCAACAGATAATCAAACAAAAAACCAACAAGCCACCATCAAGTCAAGTCGAACCACTATTATCCGCACACGAAAACACCCCATCAATCTCACCACTCCGATACGCATCCAAAATCTGAACAATCACACCATACGTCCCGCCCACCGTCAAAAACATTCCCAACACTATCAACCCCACATGCAACAAATACACCCCCCGCTTCACCACCCCTCCTCCCCAATAATCTCCATGACTATATACCCACAACCAACCGGGCAAACACAACGCCAACGGCGCGAACCCCAAACTCCCCACCAGCGCTAACACATACGTGAATATGGGGATCGCACAGGCCAGGATGAATGCTATCGCAGCCAACCCGATCGTACAGCTCAGCCAGGTACCCCAGTGGATGATCGTATTGGCTTGTAGATGGCGCGAGTGACGGAGGATTCGCACGAAGAGGTATTTCGCTGCGACGTGGACGTATAGGGATCCGCTGACGATCAGGCCGGGCAGGGCGATGCCGTAGGCAACCCGTTTGAGGGTTGGGCCGGCGCTGCCGAGGGCCGGGGAGGCGATCCATTGTCCGCACCAGCGGTAGATGACGAGGGCGAAGGCGAGGTAGGAGGCCGTTACGAAGGTCATGCACAGGTAGACGGCTTTGGGGTAGTCTTTGGGTTTGCGCATTTCGGAGATTACGGGCAGGAAGGCGGAGGTGGCGGCGCTGGAGACGAAGATTGTTGCTGAGGCCGTTATGCCTGCTGCGAAGGTTGGGTGGCCGATTACGCGGTAGCCGAGGTCGTAGGGGCCCGTTTGGGGGGCGATGGCGGGGCGGGTGCGGGTGGTTACGCCGATTCTGGGGGCGGTTAGTTTGGTGGTGGTGTGGGAGGGAGGAGGAGGTGGGGATGGGAGGGGGAGGTACACGACGATGAGGACGGCGGCGAGGATGCTGGCAAAGCCGACCCAGGTGAGCCAGCCAATGTGGGAGAATTTGCGCACGCTGGCAAAGCCGGCGATGATGATGGTCGAGATGAAGGCAAACCAGACTGTGCATAGGGAATGGAGGGAGAGGGCGTTGAATGCGGCGGAGACGCCGATGATCCCTGATGCGGCGGTGATCACGTATGTCACGATGAACATGAAGCCGACCAGCTCGCGGAGGATGGGCCCTCCGGTGAGCTGAGCCATGTCGGCCACGGAGTGACATTGTGGGTAGAGGGTGCGGAAGTTCCCTAGGATAATAGCCCCGTAGGCGTTGATAACGCACCATCCGACCAGGTTGACAGCGCCAGGGAAGGCACCCAGATCGTACATGACTGATGGGATGGAGAGGATTCCTGTTGCGAATAGCACTGGAGAGATTGGTTAGTAGTTTGTATATCTGAGGATGGGTGTGACTTACTCTTCAGGAAGATTGCGGAGGCACGGATCCAACTGACGGTGCGGAAGTCGACTTGGCCATCTCCTCGCTTGAAGACTTCATGACTTTCATCGCTTGATTTGAGCTCTGAAGAATTGGCGATTCCGATGTCCTCGCTGGGGTCCTGGACCGGGGTGACCTTGAGGCCTTTGGACTCGTCGAAGTACGACATGGTGGACGCGCTGATTGTGGGAGAATGGGACATCCTCCCGAGCGGGATCCCTTACATTTTTAAAATACGATCCTTGTGCAGAGAAATCCTGCAAGGAAGCAATATCACGGGCGATAAGATGTGCATCCGCACGGGATTCATCCCTGTCGTAGAGAATGGCCGATGAGGTTGAAGGGGCTGATAAGGACGCGGGGATAATTCTCCGATGGCGGGCCTTGTTGGAGTATATCAGTTGGAGTAGAGAGCATCATGCGTTATCAATCGTGCGATTAGACGTTTTTGGAGTAAGTGTATAATGTGATAAGCCCAGTGATTTAGAAAATCTTGTTAGTTATCAATGCCAATGCATGCGTTTGCATTGATGTGGAGTCGTCTAAGCCCGCGGCCAGTGATAAGCTTTGACCCTGCCGCCCAAGTTGGAGTCTTTCTGCTCGACTCCAACTGCTGCTGCTGATAAGGCTTGGCGTAGGCGATATGGTCGGCTTTTTCTTCGCAGAGGACAGTGGTTTTGTCCTTTGCCATGTTCTCCTGAGTTGGTGCTCGGTCGGACTGTTGGGATTCATCCAACGCCACAAGGTTGCTTGATCGTCATGTCGGTTTTGTTCACTTCCATCTCGCCGTACGTGCTATCTACCGTCCTCCGTTCCCCGCCTTTCCCGGGACTTGCAGCCTGACAAATCATTTACAGAGACAACCCGGTCACCAGGGAGGATGCGGGGTCTCTTCTGCAAAATCTAGGACTTTCCGTGGATCAGGAACACGAAGAAGACTACCATACCCTTCTCGCCGCCGTCCACGATTGCGCTGAAACCGTTGCGAACCTCCCCGATTACCAGCCGGTCCCGGATCTAGATCGATACCCCCGACAAGATGTCCGTCGTCCATCACCAGAAGAGCAGGTCTTTGGGCAAGCCTGGGCTCATAAATTTCTGATCAAGGGCAACCCGGAGGGAGGACTACTAGCAGGGAAGACAATTAGCGTGAAGGACTGCATTGCTGTCGCAGGGGTGCCACAGTTACTGGGAAGTGATATCATCCCCTCCTGGACTCCAATCACAGATGCGACGGTTATCACGCGGGTCCTCGATGCTGGTGCTGATATTCACGGTACCTCGACTTGCGAGAACTACTGCCATTCCACCGCGTCCTTCACAAGTGCGCAGGGTACGGTAGAGAACCCTTTTGCAGCCGGGTACTCGGCCGGCGGGAGCACCTCAGGAGGGGCAGCTTTGGTCGCAGCTGGTCTAGTTGACATTACGCTTGGTGGAGACCAGGGTGGGAGTATCCGGGTTCCCGCCGCATTATGTGGCTGTATGTGCATCTCCAACAGCTGCTCTGCAACATGGCTAATTGCTTTTACTCTTAGGTGTTGGGTTGAAACCGACTTATGGCTTGGTGCCGTTCACCGGTATCGCCAGCGGCGATGCCATTGACGACCACACGGGACCGCTTGCTCGCAGCGTTATTGACATTGCGTCCTGCCTGGACGCTATCGCCGGTTACGATGGGATAGACGATAGGTGCTTGGGCAGCCCCAAGCATGGATCTACCTCGTTTGCCAAATCGCTCCAAACGGATCCCTCAAGTCTCAATGGCTTCAGAGTAGGAGTACTCAAAGAAGGCTTCGAGCACGCCTCGGTTGACCCAGCAGTCAAAGACTCCGTCATGGCAGCTGCCCAGAAATTCGCCGATCTCGGTGCAACAGTCGAAGAGATATCTCTTCCCGACCATTACCACGGGCCCGCTATCTGGACCATCCAGTCGCGCGTCTCAGGTTCCTTAACACTGCTTGGCCAAGCCCATGGGAGACGAGGTCTCTACATGACCGAGATGGAGCGTGAGCGACTTCCATGGACGAAAGAAGGCTTCCAACGAGCCTTCCCCTCCACCAAAAACGTCATAATCAACGGCCTCTATCTCACCTCGCGCTTTCCCGACTTATACGGTAAAACCGTTAATATCGGTCGCAGGCTCCGGGACCAGTACGAGGAGATCTTCCAGAAATATGACGTTGTCGTTATGCCAACCACTCCGGTTGTTGCGCCCAAACACGGCGCGCGAGGCCTACCCCTAGAGTCTCTGAAGCCTAGCATGGGTCTTACGATCAACACAGCCATCTTTGATGTTACGGGCCATCCGGCAATGTCTATCCCGGTGGGCTTCGCGCCGGCCAAGGACAATGCTGATGTCACACTCCCCGTCGGTATGCAGATTGTCGGAGGATTGTGGCAGGAGTCGAAGATACTCCAAGCGGGATATGCATGGGAGACGAACTATGATTGGAAGAATGGAGCGGATCGCCGATAGAGCATATTCTAGAGATACATTCAATGTTATTGGTTGTAGAGCATGCTATTGTCTCTCTCTGTCAGGAGACTTTGGGAGGGCTTGGTCGTAATTATTCTATAGGCATTCCTTAGCCACGCCGTCCCATCGGACTCACTTGTCTTGGTAAACTGTGAGAGCGATAGGTTGGAGTTTTGGTTTCTTGTCATGATGATAATTATTATTTTCAGTGATCTAGTTGATAACATAGCCTCCATCTACAACAAGCGCATGGCCCTGTACAAACGATGCAAACGTCGAACACAGGAAAAGTATCGTGTCGGCCACCTCTTCCGGCTTCCCCATTCTCTTCATGGGAGCAATCTCGATCGCAGGTCGAAGACGCTCGCGGACTTCCTCGCTGTGCGTGGTCATTGGTGTCTCAATAACTCCCGGGCAGACACAGTTCACTCTGATGCCATCCGCCGAGTAGTCGATTGCGTCGGAGCGAGTCATTGCGATCACAGCAGCTTTGGAACCACAATACGCAGCTAAAAGCAGTTTCCAGTTAGCGCGATCACAAAAGGCTGATTTAAGAAATAGGTAGAGAGAAAACACAAACTTACGGGCTCTAGGCTGCCCGACGATTCCCAGCTGACTCGCAACATTGACAATAGCGCCTCGCTGCGGTGCACGATTCAGATCATGACTTGGTAGCGGATCTTGCTTCAGCATCTGTCTGAGCTCAGCTCTAGAGCAGAGCCAAGAACCCCGATAATTGATATTGTTGATATGATCGAACGTTGCCGTCGACGTCTCGGTGGTTCGCAGCTTATCCCCTAGGATTCCGGCACAGTTGACAGCATAATCCAGCCGTCCGAACGCATCAACCACTTCACTAATAAAGGCTTCGACGAAGCTCTCGTCGGATATATCGCCCGCCTTGACAACTAGGCGAGTGTGAGGGTAGGAAGCCAGGATTGACTCCCGAGTCTGATCTAAAGAGGAGGGGTTGAGGTCTGTAATGGCAATTCGCCCACATCCTGCCGAAGCAAACCCTTTGGCGGTTGCAGCACCGATGCCTAGAACACTGTCAGCTTTTGTTGCTTTTTTCTTCCCCTCGTGGTGGCCTACCTGTGCCCCCGGCACCGGTAACGACGGCAACTCCCGGAAAGGTATAATTGTGCGTCATATCCGCGGGGCAAGGATCAACGAGATTGGAACGAAGTTAATTGCGGATGAACAGGGGAACCACCATTGCGGGCGCAAGAGTATGTATCTTGCTGCTGGCATGCTATATATCGCGCGTGCTAATTAGCACGCCCACAAGCACGAGCATGTGCCCGATCGAGTTGGAGACAGTGACCTTATCGCCGGGTGGGGTCCTTCCCAAAGTGGCGTTGGGGCACACGGTTCGGCAACGACGGTTGGAGTCGCTCGTTTCCAAGTTCTCTTTCGTTGGCGGCCTTCTCGCCATCCTCCAAAAAAGCCCAATCACCACGACTAGGCCCCTCTGCTTTGCCTACCTTCTCCAATTGGAGTGATCGCGACATCATCTTATCACCCTACCCTCTTTTACTTTACCTCCAAATGTCTTGATGCTGCCACAGTCTTCCTCCCAGCCTGCCCGGGGCACTCGTCGCTCGAATGTTGGAGCAAAAACTCGGGTCTGCGTCCATTGCGGGCGCAGTTTCAGACGAACAGAACACTTGGAGCGCCATGTTCGCACCCGTAAGTTCACCATGTGTATCATTCTACATTCTTCTTGCTTCAGGACATGCTGGCTAAAGTCTCTGGCCCCTTAGACACAAAGGAGAAACCGTATATCTGCTTCTGTGGCTCGGCGTTCACCCGACGAGATCTACTGAAGCGACACACAACCATTGCACACCAGAGCAGTGGCTTAGTTTCGCCCAACTCCCAGCCAGATAACGAAGCCCTAGATCATGCCAATCGGCCCAGAGCCTCTGAACCCGCCACGGTCCCACCCCACTATAACAATCAACCGACGTCACGTCCCGACGTGTCGCTCTCGGTGCCGCCAAATGTGGATCAATGGACAGGGCCACAGCGAGGGCCTTACATAGAACAGGACCGAAATCCTGTTCTGGAGACAGGAAGTAGTAGTGCGGGTGGCTTGCCCCATACTAGTGCAGTTGGCCATGATGCGGAAATCTTGGAGGCTGCTCAGCTTCTTCTTCCGGGCAATTATCGGCACGCTCCAGCAACACCGGGTAAAGGGCTATTCATCCACCTCAGATGTGCCACAGCTAACCGATGGTTAGCCCAGCCAATGCCATACCTACACGAGGAGCTGAATCATTTTCAGGATTTCACCCATTTTCTCGACTCAATTGGTCTTCCATCGGAATGGGTTCCAGCCTTTGGGGATATCCCTCAGATGCACAATCCCGTCTCAAACGAGTCCCCTGAATATAGCAGAAATGCTGGAGAGCAGCATGAACCATCATCGCGCCCCCGTCAGCCAGACAGGTCACGAGCCGACTCACCCTTCCGGTCGTGGCTCCCGTCCGTGCCTCCTGGGGACCAGAGTTTTGCCTCTGTTTCCGATTACGGTACGCCTACATGCTGAAAGCTCACGGTCGGATAGTTGTTCTAACATAGTCACAGAGCCCCCGCAGATCGCCAAGAGCCAGTCGCCGCTGAAAGTCACAGAAGAGCAGAGGCAGCGTCTCGCGGCTTCCTTGGACGAGTTCCGTTATCTCATTCCGGATTTTGTCCTGCCTTCGCGACACACATTGACAAGATATTTAACGTCATACTTCTCCGGCTTTCACACACACCTCCCTTTCATACATGTGCCGACTTTGCGGATTAACGAGCGGGCCCCAGAACTTATTCTGGCCTTTATGACAATAGGCGCTCAGTACCGCTTCGAGCATCGCAATGCAGAGAGGCTCTTTTATGCAGCCAAGGCAATTGTATTATATAGGCTCTCTAAAGAGTCAAGCCCGCCGCCTTGCAATTCCATCATTCAAATACCATTGAACAACATCCGGGAATCACCACAACGCTCCGGTCAAGAGCCATCGCTTTCACCGTCGCAGTTCGCTGCCGGAATGGATGCATGGAGACGGATCGAGAACATTCGTACTCTACTAGTCTTGATGGGGTACTCTACATGGGAAAAGGCTGAGCTTGTTCAAGAAGCATTCGGGCTGCAGACATTGCTGGTGCGGTGTCTGCGAGAATTCGGACTATTGGAGAATATCACAGTTGCCCCGCGGCACTCTCCTCTACAGTGGCACGAGTGGGCTGAAGAGGAATCCATAAGGCGCACCCGATTCATCTCGTTTTGCTTTGTCCACGTTCATAGCATAGCATACAACATCTACCCGGTGCTTCGAAGCAGCGAAGTCCATCTACGCCTCCCATGCTCCACAAAGGAATGGAAAGCTGCCACGGCCCATGACTGGGAAATCGCTCAGAAGGAGGTAGATTCTCAGCAGCTGTTCTTCCAGGATGCCTTGGCACTATTGTTGCAACCCTCACGGACTCCAGTTCTTTTGGATCCAATTCCTGCGCCATTGGGGAACTATATCTTACTCCATGGCCTCCTCCAACGCATCCATCTGGTGAGCGAACTGTCCATACCGAATGGAGACCAATCATTTTCTCTCCCGACTGAGGAGTTGAATAAGCTAGAGTAAGTAGCTTTCTGGAGCGAAATTGTCGCCTCAACCCAACTAGCTCAAGCTCGGCATCAGCTGCTAACTCGCATTACTAGGAGGGCTCTCCGGTCCTGGACCTCGGTATGGCAACAAGCCCCAGAATCGAGTCTCGATCCGCATAATGAAAACGGTCCCATCCCATTCACATCCAGCTCGCTTTTAGGATTGGCCTATGTCCGCTTGTCGCTCAATCTTGGCCCGCATCGTCAGCTTGAAACGCGGGATCCATATCGCATTGCCACCGCGATGCACAGATCACCGCGGCCAGGAAGAAGTTATAGGTTGACCCCTGCCTTGATCTATTCAGCACACGCATTGAGCATTCCCGTGCGTTTGGGTATCGACCATGTTGCACGCAGTCAAGCATTTTTCTGGAGTGTCCGCCATTCCCTTGCCGGTCTAGAGTGTGCGGTTCTTCTTAGTAAATGGCTTATGTCTCTGGCAGAAACAGGAAGCAACCAAGCCTTGAGCGGTACGAACTATCCCCTTCCATAGTCCAATGTCAACCAGCAAGAATGGGACACCTGCTGACTTTGGTGGCTACCAGAAAATGAAAGTCGGATCCTGCATTGGACGCGTTGCATTGTGCAAGAGGCGTACGAATCGATGGATCTGGATGAAGGAGAAGCGTTCCCTAGTCAGGACCCCACCAGCCTCGGGCTCGCTGTCATCAAGCTTTGGGCCCGCCTCTTTCGAAAGAACACTCAGTGGCCGTTCATCAATGTAATGGGAGAAAGCTTAGAAAGGTACCTTGCCCTGATTCGGCCAGGCTAAACTGCAAAGCGTTCGTGAATCAATCGCAACCGTCCCTGGCCAGATTGAATATCCTCTGTTTCGTGGATCCAGAGAATACAATCGATGATGGAGACAACTCTACCGCATATTGCGGTCTGTCTCTTGACGTTCTGGTCTGCTTGAAGTCATCAGTGACCGGAAGCATCTCAGGATGTTCCCTCTCCTGGAACCGGAAAACCCGGAAGCATGAATGTCAATCACCCACCTGCCGGGCATAATCTTACGATACCCTATTAGACTCTTGGGCCCTGGAAGGACGACGTCATCAAGGCTCGGCAGTAGCAGCTACTCAGCGCCACCCTGCTGCTGTAGACTTTATTCTAGGGTATGGCCTAGCTTCCGAAGCTTCCGAGCGTATCGGAAGTGGAAGGCTGTTGGATGTCATAGTCCTACACCAGGTCATGAAATGTTACTTTGAGCTCTACACCTGGCGATATTCTGCACGGCTAAATTTTGTGCACGCTCACACATTACACGTTATTAGATTGTCAAATTACATTAATCCATAATTGGATATGAAGCGATTATTACAGAAACCATGTCAAGTACCGCCGTTCCCCCTCAACATGAGACCGGATGTCCACTCAGCAACATATTTCACCATTTGTCCACCAGAAGCTTGACCTCATTACCAGGTGTGCAAATGGCACAGTACTCAGCACGGCACAAAGCTTACCAGGCCCTCTTCGCCCAGCTCGGCGAAGGAGTGGCGGAGGCAGACAGAGCGGCAGAGCTTGAAGCAGCTGCACTGGCCGAGACGTTCGCACCAAGCGTGCCAGTAAGAGGTCCGATGAACAGGGTCTGGCCGCAAGGAGTCGAAGGAGCAGTAACGCAGCCTTGGAAGTACTGACCAAGGCGTCCCTGTCCAGTTCCATTGGACAGGACGTAGCCGGGGCTGTAGGCAGGAACCAACGAAGAGCTGTTCGAAGGGAAAAGGACAGACTGTTGGTGGCCAGCAATATAGTAGGCGTGTGCAGTATGCTCGGCAGCCAAGCGGGCCCAGAGGAAGGAGGCCTCGGGGGCCTGTGTGTAACCAGCCAAGGCGATGTACGCCCCGGCGACTGTGGATTCCAATTGGAGGGCGTTGCTCACAAAGGACTCGCCGTCAGTAGCACTTGGGAAGCTGAAGCTGCAGTTCTGAGGAGTCCAGCCCGACAGCTTTGCGCCGAGTTGTTGCACGGCACGCACACCCAGGCGATTTTGTCTCAGGATGCCCTGGAAATTGGTATAATATTGGGAGGTGGAGCTGTTCAAGGCATCGTTCAGGAACGTTTGGTTGACGGGAACCGACGCATAGAACCGGTCAAGGAAGTACGAGAGCGCATAGCCGTAGTCAACAACCTGGGAATCGGACGACTGAAGCGAACAGCTTGACGACGCGTTCTGGGCCAAAGCAGCTCCCGCAAGGAGCAGCCCGTTCAAGGCGGAGAAGATGCGCATGGTATCGAGTACTGTGGGAAGACGCAAAGCAACTGTGTGTGTGCTGCAAGATGTGCACGGATTGATTGCTGGTAGTTTCACGGATACTCGGCCTGACAAGACTTGCCGTGGGCTACTCTTATAGCCTCCCGCAAGTTCGGCACAGCCTTCCAGATCTGCTGGTGCAACGATATGATGAAATCCAGCCTTGTCGACGCGCGGCTTGTCAAATCTCACTGGTACGGAGCCTCGACTCCATCATTTGCATCATGACATGGCCGGATGGAGCCTAATTGAGAACTCTACCTCATATCAAAGGGGAAGGAAGAAAGAGTTTGCCTCTGGACAATGCGCCTTCTTTCATTCGATAGGTCGGTTCACCGTCGCGGAATTCCCATCCATTAACTTCGAACTCGGTGTTCGCTCGATCCATGGACCCTTATGCGTTAATCCCGGCCACGGTGATATCATGAAGTCTATATCTGCCGGATGACGATGATATCATCCTCGACTCGCATCGAGGACCGGAGATGAGCGGTAAGCCATCCTCGCAACTCCGGATGAGGGTTGCATGGAGCGCTGGAAATCTGGATCCAACAAGGCTAGCCACACCCGTTGCATTGTTCTCCGGTCCAGATGATCTGAAGATGAGATAAGTACCAAACTCGCAACTTTGAAGGATGAATGATCTGCGTCTGTTGTCATCCACTCGCGGATCTCGCCGGCAAATAAACTCGGCTGCGCTAGACCCGCTCCGGTTAGGTTATGCATGCCAAGACGGCGTGTCTGTTGATCAAAACGGCCAAGAGCTCTTACCCATCGGTTGCTCTGTCCCCGTGAGTTAATCGATTGTGTTCTTAGGCCTTTTATGAACTAAGAGTTGTTCATATGCTAGTTGTGCAGCGGGCTGTCCCTGTCGTTACCGAATCTGGAAAGTATCCCACTATCCTTTGTCGGTCGCGGGGCGTTCTTGCCACACGACAATCTCTTGAGGTTGGCCTTTGTGAACAGGGCATAAGATAAAGGAAGCGACGACTTTTGAACGAAGTATTGTATTCCTGTCTATAGTCGCATTCATAATCTTAGAACGCATGACACAATACAAAAAGAAGCCAACTAAGCCTGCACATTCATGCACAGCAAGTATAAAAAAAAAGGAAAAATGATAATAGCAAGACCCAAGCGCCAGCTTCACAATAGAAATAACAAGAATAATAATACTATGTAACAATGTCTTCAATATGTACGACTTTTGGAGCCCCCCCCCCCCCCTCCCCTCCAGAAAGAAAATGAGACAAATTCACAGAGACATGGGGAGGACGGGGGGGCGTAAAGACGGAAAGGAAGAAGAAAGGGACGGTCTATGAGTCATTACCACTATCTTTTTTATGATCCCAGGCTTTCTTGGCACCTTCCAGAAGACCGTCCATATTACCACTGTTCTCACACATGCTTCGGAAGAGGCCATCACCCTTGTTAATCAACGTCCAGGGGTGATCGAATTCGATGACGCGACCGTGGTCGAGGACCAGGACCTTGTCGTAGTCGATGATTGTCTGGAGGCGATGTGCGATGGTGATGATGGTGCTCTCGCGGAGTTCTCGGAGGGTTTCCTGGATCTTGGAATCGGTGTTGTAGTCAATGGAGGCGGTGGCTTCGTCCATCATTAAGACCTTGGGGTTCTTGAGAAGGGCACGAGCAAGACATAGGAGCTGTCGCTGGCCTTGGGACAGGTTGGAGCCGGATTCGGAGACCGCGGTGTCCAGGTTCAGGAAGATGTTCTTGTTATCGAGGATGCCGCTGCTGGTGACGCCGTTTGGTGTGGCGGAAGGCTCCGCAATTGTGCTGGTCGTCATGGGAGTCGCTGTGCCAGAGGTACCGGGGCCGATTAGGTGTACGCGTCGCAGAGCATTGAAGATCTGCTCGTCCGTGAAGATGTTGAAGGGGTCGAGGTTGCTGCGGAGGGTTCCCGTAAATAGAGTAGGGTCCTGGGGGACGATGGTGATCGACTCCCGCAAGTCACGAAGGCCAATGGCGCTAATATCCACGCCGTCGATGACGATGCGGCCCTTTTCAGCCTCAAGACCACGGAAAAGTGCGAGAGCAAGAGAACTCTTGCCAGCACCGGTACGGCCGACGATACCAACCTTCTCTCCGGGTTGCACGTTGAATGAGACATTCCGAAGAACAGGGTCAAGATCAGGTCGGTACCGAGTGGTATATCCGACGAAGTCAACTGCACCACCACTGGGCCACTTGGCTGGGGGTCTGGAGTCAGGAATGACGGCGTCTGCTTCTTGCTCAACTTCGAGGTACTCTCTCACACGTTCAACGGAGTTCATGTTCTGTTGAACCTCCGAATACAACCGCACGAGCCAGAGAACATTCTCTGTGAACGTGACTGCGTAGGTCAGGGAAAGTCCAGCAGCTCCGGCATCGATCTTTCCAATGTTCAGCAGGACGAAAACAGCCGTAAAGAACGAGACAAGAGCGCCTGTGACATCGACTCGAAGCGCAAGCCAACGATTGCTCGCCCAAAGGTAGATATGGGGCCGGTTGTAGGCATTGATCCGACGGTGATTGTCCACGATAAATCTCGGTCCATCACCATAGGCACGAATGGTAACAATACCGTTGAGCGTCTCGCCAAATTGCTGATACAGTGGACTCCGCTGCACAGACTCGAGCCTCTTGAGATCACGAGACGAGTTCAGGTAGATAGCGCCGAGGGCGACATACACCAACGTGATGAAGATACCGGCAATCAGGAAACCGGGAGTGATGATGGAAATCAAAATCACAATCATGACGACAGATGCCAGACTATGGAGCATGCCGATCGCCACGGGCGCAACTTCTTGGTCAACGGATTCCACATCCTTGGAGAACCGGTTCATCAATTGGCCGAGCGGGGTCGAATCAAAGAACTTGAATTTCGCATGCATCACTGCTTTCAAAAGGCGCTGGTGAATTGAGTGTGATGCCTGTAGGGAGCCCCAGAAAAGAACAGCTTCTCTGACCAGCGAAATGGCAACGAAAGCAACTCCTAGCAGAGCGTAGACTCCAAGATAGTACGGCACATCCACGTTACCATTGGCGGTAGCGGACCGCGTGCCAAACTGAGGTGCAGTGAAAGTGGAAGTCCGAGGGACACCACCGACATTGAACGATGGGATCTTCAAGCTCGCCATTGCTGCGTAGTCACCAGCATCATCCGCGCCAATATCCTCGGTCTGGTAAGCATTCGCCCACTGTCTGATCCAGATATTAGTCGACACAGACCCGAGCTGCTGCATGCAAAAGACTAGCACAGCCACAATCCAGTAACGCCAGGATCCCATTGATTGTAAGTACATCTTAACCGTAGACAATTTGATACTGCCAACAGCCTTGGACTCCTGCAACTTGGGTTCGGGACTCTTTCCCTCCTGGGCTTTTCCATTCGGGGCACTGGTAGCATGACCGTTCGTATGAGATTCTTCCTCCTGTTCCCCATGGTCCGAGGGTCTGCGGGAGGGTCGTGGAGTGGTGGTCCTGGAAGTCGGTCGGGATTTAAGGAGTTCATCGCCCAATGCACCTGACGCTGCGACCTCGTCCGGGGGACCCTGAGCAGTGATTTTACCATTGTCAAGAACAATAACATGTGCTGCTTCAAGGACGGTCAAGGCAACGTTGTGGGTCACAAGTACACAAGATCGGTTCATCATCAAGGGCCCGGTCAATGCCTGGCGGAAGATGTGCTTAGCGGTATGCGAGTCCACAGCGCTCAGGCAGTCATCCAGGAGCAAGTGTCGAGCTCTACTATACACGGCGCGCGCGAGAGAGATTCTTTGTTTCTGGCCTCCGGAGAGACTGATGCCCTTTTCTCCCACGAGGGTCTGGTCACCCGCATCGAGGATCGCCAAATCCCGCTCCAAGGCGCACGCTTTGATCACAGCATTATACCGACGTTCATCGTAGGGAGATGCAAACACAATGTTTTCCTTGACAGTGGCGTTCACGAGCCATGCTTCCTGCGCGCAGTACGCAACGCTTTCGATAAGCCCTGTCTGAGGATCAACCGGGAGTTCAGAGCGGTTAACGGTCCCACCGGGCAAATAAACTCTTCCTTGGACAAGCTTCATTTCTCCCAGAAGTGCCATGAGAAGCGACGTCTTTCCAGAGCCTGTCGGACCAGTGATGAGGTTGAGCTTTCCAACATGGAAGTCCACATTCATGTTGATGAGACGGAAACCATCGGTGCTATCTTCGGAAGGATCATCCTTGTATTTCCCTTGGGAGGATCCCCAGGTGAGTGTGGCGTTTTCCAACGCGATCTTAGGCGGCTGTCCGGTAGAATCATCCTTCTCGAGCTGACGGTACTTTTGAGTCTCCTCCTCGTTGAGATAGGTATCCACACGGTCAAGAGAGACCTTTGACTCTTGGACGTGCGCCACCATATCGGCCAACTGGTCTAGGGGAACGCGAAGCAAAGAGAACATCGACAAAGCCGGGAACGCGATCGAGGGCGTCAGTTTCTTCCCTTCCACGACCGTGTATAGGAAGAAAGAAGCGAATGTGATGAGGATGGGCGTGCCATACCAGACGGTTGCCGCCGTAGACCAAATGATGTAACGGAAGCGCAACGCTTTCAGCTCCGCCTTTCGTTTCTCGTTAACAATATCCTGGAACCGCTGCTCCCAGGCGAAATATTTAATAATCCTGATATTCTGGAGGATCTCATTCGTGCTGTGGATGCGAGCATCCGTGCCCTTCAGGATCTGATTTTGCACCTTCGTAAACTGTTTCGCAATGGTAAGATTGATAGGCAGCATAAAAACCATGATGACAATTCCAGCAAATGAGCTGAACCCCAGCAGTCGGTAGAGAAGTGTTACAGCGATGATAATCTGCACCGGGACACTGGCCCACAGAAAGTGCAGATAGGCACCGACTTCGCTAACCTTGAACGAGTCAATAGCCATCAGGTTGATGATGGTACCGATGTTAGCCATGTGTTCCTTGTCATCTTCTTGTGCGTCCTTCGCATTTTGAGGGTTTGTCTCAGGGTCAGTTGTTGTCTTCTTTTTCTTACGGCCAAAGGAGAAAAGACCACCCTTCTTCTGATCCTTGGCCGGCTCTTCCGGCTGCTTCTTGGTGGCTTCTACGGAGGCTCCAGCCTTTCGCCTGAGGGCCTTCGCGTAGATCTCACCGATGATGATAGCCCGAAGTTTCACTCCCAGCTTGCGTCCAATCCAAAGAGCTTGCCCGTCGGCGACACCTTGAATAGCTCCCGAGCAAAACAGCAAGATGGCATAAAGCCATGCGGCGTTCGATGTGGAAGACCTTGGATCCTCAACATATTGCAGGATTGCCCGGAGTAGGATCGTGGGCAAGTAGGTAAAAAGGTTCGAAAAGATGGTCCAGGCACCCTGTAGAAGAAGAGTACCATAGAAATACCGACCGAGTTTCCATACCAGTGAGCCTTGATAATGCCTGCGGCGGAAATCCTCTAGCACCGTGGCAGCTTTCTGAGAGGCTGTCAAATCCCAGACATCGTCAAGCTCCAACGGTTGTCGATAGCCTTTGAGGATGAGGGGGTCCAGCCAAGCGAAGGTAGCCAGCGAAAGCAAGCTAGCAACGGGGTGTCTTGCGGGCTCCAGACCCTCATCATGGGAAACCAAGACCATCTTGTTTCCTCGGCGGGTAGTCACTGCGATGAGCAACAGTAGACTGGACAAGGCAAACTCGATAGAGCTGAAGATCATGGCACGTTTCGACAACGGGTGGATAACTGCGGATCGGAAAATGAAGACCGTGAATACCCATTGCAGGCCGTATAGGAATGCGGTATGGTTCCAGAGTCTGGGGGACGAATGGAGGTCCAGAGTCGAAAGAAGCAAGCGGACCAACGCCAGGAACAGGATATAGCCCCATGATACCAGCTTGGCGATGGCGGGGAGGGTACCATGTCGACCCCAAGTGTCGGTAGAAAGGATAATCACGAAGATGGCTACCTCTCCCGCAAGCGCGAGAATTTCCAGCGCCAAAGTAGCTATTTCACCACGAGGACGATCAACTTCGAAGGTTGGCAATTCGGATTGCGCCGCTTTGTTCAGCATTGGATCGGTCTCCTCCCCTTCATCATCCAAAGTTGCAGCCTGCGAGTCTCCTTCAACTGCATTGTGGTCCAATAACTTGTAAGACGCTCTTTTTCGAGAAACAGCACACCCGTATGCGATGCGAAGGGCGATGAATAGCAGGGAGATTCCGCAAGCCGTGAGTGGAAATATAACTTGAAGATAGCTACAATTGGCAAACCGTTAGTTGAATATTGCAGGAGAAACATGGCAGCAGCGACATCTTGGACGTACTTGCGTTGGAAGCAACGGGAAATATCATCGACAGCCCAGATGGGCCCGTGACATTCGACCGCCATAGCTAACGGACGGAAAAGAAGAGGTGGATGAGCGAGAGCTATGGAAAACCATGCGCTCCGGGCTCAGGACCAGTCGAACGACTGGTAGAGTTGAAGCCGAATCGAAAACAAGCCCTGATTCAAGATCAGCTGCTCTGGTGGTAGCTTCCCGGCGTATAGATGCAGGACAAGGCCAGCATCGCCGAGATGATAGGCGGGAAAGAAAATGAAAACGAGGTCGAACCAAGGCCCGACGGGATGGGGCTGGCACGAACTTTAAAAATCCGGATGATGCCTGGAAGGAGAGGTTGGCAATCACCACGCACGGGCACCCGGGGGATCACACCGTATCGATGGAGGGTAAGGAAAGAAAAGAATGGAGAAGAGGGGAGAGGGGAGAGGGGCGCAGGGAATAAAGTAGATAGAAGAAGCAAAGCAGAAGCAGCAGCAGGAGCAGCAGCAGCAGAAGCAGAAGCAGAGGCGAACGATGACGAGTGGGTAGCGAGCGGAGGTTAGTCGGTGGAACTTGGTTTAGTCGGACTGGAAGGTCGCGTTTCGCATCCACCGCCCGCAGCCAGAAGGATTCCAGACCTCCCGGCGGCTCTCGACTGGTTCCCTCATCGGAATGGGGCCTGCTACTACGAGTTAGTCGCGAGCCACATTTGACTCTGGCGCTGTTTACGATGACTCGGCTTATCATCATTCTGAATCATCTTCATTATCCTATCCCGGGGACCACCTGCACTAACGGTCCCGGCTAATTTCTGACCCTTTTGCTCCTCCCTCCCCCATGACGCTCGATTGTGCAGCCTACGTGGAGGACAGACAGACATACCGGGATCTGCATCAGACTACCGAGAGGGAGTAGATTATCAGATGCTCGCAATGCCGACAACCCTTTGCCAGAGCGAGGGTGGTACCGTGCTACACCAAGCCCACGTTGCGGGGACCGGATCGGGATAGCTTCCCATATGCTCCTCGAGATGAAAAGTTGACATGACATGCCAGGGTATTTCTTCGCGACTGTCCAAATCCAATCAGCTCTGTACACCCGGCTGCAAGAAATGCCTTGCCCGCATGACTGGTCCAGTCCAGGTCGTCTACCATCCGTTCAATTCCTGTCAGTGACTCAATGAGGGAGGGAGGGGGGTTCAGAATAGACCCAAACAGACATCCTAGGGCGCCTTGGAGAGTCCGTGCCTCCTGCAAGCCCCTTGCCCGTCACACTGACTCGCCTGCAAGCAAATCAGCCCTTTGTTGCCATTTGAGGGACCGATTCGTCATCCTTCAGCCTATTATCATCCAGATTTGGATGAGTCATATGTCCACCTGTCGGGGAAAGAGGCGGTCGCAATCCTGATCACTTGACAGGCCCTAATTTTCGAATTAATTTGGAGTGAGTCAATTTTGAACTTACTCGGCCAGGGTGCGAATAACGTCCGCTATACTGAGTCTGGGCCGCCGCCGGTGATATGCGGGAATCCCCCGAGATAAGCACGCAAGGCGGCTAACCGCGTAGATACTACTGATAGAGCCTAGAGGGCGACCAAGGCAAGGAACTAAGGAAGGGCCATGGCCGGTGCGGGCGCCTCGACAGCCGGAGGAATCCTGGGTCAGAGGGGAAAAATTGATGCTGACCATGACCCTCTTGGTCCTATCGCGTGGACGGCATTATTATTATTACTACGGGAGCCGACCAACGCAAGACCTGAGGGTTCGATTATTGATCGATGGGGGGCCCCCCTCTTCTCAAGGGCACGAACTATTCCCGACTATCCATTATTAACCCAGGGGGTTTTCCCCACCGACTGGGTTCTTTCCTCCCCCACCGCCGCCGCCTCTCCCCTCTTTGCTTGAACGAACCGGTCAGCACCATTAATAATGGATGCGGCTGTCGACAACAATAGCACAAGAGGCTCCTTCACTGGATTCTGGTTCACCTGCCGGGCCTAATGCTTAACTCCCCGCGCGATGAAAGACAAGACAATAGCTCCATAGCGACAATAGCAAGTCTCCCGACCCCAACACCGAAAGAATCTGCTGCAAATGCGTTGTTTCGGAACGCCACCCCGGGCCCTTCCGCCGCGCGTGGATGCCATGGATTGCCACAGCGGGACTAGTGTGTGATCTTCAAGCACTTTTAAACCGTTAAAATGCATTCTGATCCAGTGTCTATCCAGCGCTGAACATCTCAGCCCCGACAAGAAGCAAACCTACCCACCTACGCCCGCTATCTCGACTGCCTAGCCAACTTCCAAGCCTAGGGATCCAGTCTTGCCACTATTGTCGCTTAACTCCGGCACGCGATCCTTCGCCTCTGTTAGACTGTCACCATGGCGGAACGCATCTTGATGAACGAATACAAGGCACTATCACAAGAGCCTTGGGTGAACATTGAGGTTCGTTTTCTTCCCGGATACTACTTTGACTCTGGTCATATGTCGAAGGCCGCATCATGTGTCCCTCGCAGACCACATTCACGTCGCACCGAGAATGCTAACCGGTATCCCTTCCAGGTCAACGAGCAGAACTTCTTGCACTGGACGGTCGGGCTAATCGTCCTTAACCCGGATTCCCTATACTATGGCGGCTACTTCAAGGCGATCATGAAATTCCCGAGCAACTACCCTTACTCTCCTCCAGGTGAGTTGGAGCACCCATGACCACCATCACACCACCCACCCCTTTTTTGCCCTCGAATGTGGCGGCATGGCTGACTCGAGATCTCAACCGACAGAATTTCGCTTCGTCCGCCCGCTCTTCCACCCGAACATTTACAAAGACGGCAAGCTTTGCATTTCCATCCTTCACGCCCCCGGCGAAGATGAAATGTCCGGCGAATTAGCATCAGAGCGGTGGTCTCCGGCCCAGCGAGTCGAATCCGTCCTTATCTCCATCCTCTCCTTACTCGACGACGCTGAGATTTCCTCCCCAGCCAACGTCGATGCCTCCGTCATGTTGCGCAAGGACCCCGATCAATACAAGTCCATCGTGCAACGGCACGTGGAGGAATCCAAGGATGATATCCCAGAGGGCTTCGTCATGCCCACCCACGAATCCACCTCCACATTCAAGCCTGTGGAGAAAGACGACTCGGACTTCTGGGCCGAGAGCGACGTAGACGACGACGTCTTCGGCGGCAGCGACTCCGACGAGGACCTCGACTTCGACGACGATGACGACCAAGACACGGGCAGTGAAGAAGACGAGCACATGTCAACCTGAGACCCAAACATCCATCCCCGGATGTTAATTTTGGCACTTGGAGTTCCACCATCCACCCCCATCCATCCATCCATCCATCCATCCATTCATTATACAGCATAGCGCAGGCGCTCCAAGAGAAGGTCACATACATACACTTACATGGGTACGAGGTCATTTGATTAGATTCAGCGTGGTGTTCTCTTTGCTTTTCTTTGGTATACCTTATCTATCTACTTACTGTCTATCCATCCATCCATCCGTCCACAAGAGGGACAGTTTACCTACCTGTTTGCCCTTGATCCACATCACAATATGTACGCAGTCCTATCATTCATATAAAGATAGCTCGGTTTCTGTTCCCATCACCCCATCTCAATCCAAGATTGAGTACTCCATACAGAGTCCCGTAGGCCTCCAACGAAACGACGTAATGATATGATGTCATCATCAGCTGACTATCGTCATAAGGTACCTACCTAGCACGGCACTTGAACGATGTACCCTACGCCCCCATCCTACACAGTATATGTGTGTAACCCAATAGCACGAGATGAGGGGATATACGGAGGGGATGGAGGAATGATAACTGGGATAGAAAATGGCGCGCTTACCCCTCTTTGCTGCTCATGTGCCCCGTCTTATCGTTGCCTACTACGGAGTATGGAGCAAGAGCGATTGCGGCACTACCAAGGCGCTAGATAACGGTCTTTGGCGCCACGGTTACTGTTACTCCGCACCCCATGATCCAGTGTGCGGTGTTACGTGAGATTGCGTCACGTTTGGGGATATCTGCCTACAAGGTGCCCCGTACTCCATACCTATCTACATAGTATTATCGCCGGAGCTCTCATCCTCACTAGGATGTCTATTTATCTAATATGGACTTCGGATCTCTTAGATAAATCAATGAGATTGCCAGTCTGTTATAGATCCAGAACATTCTAGGTGAAATCGCAAACCCTTCTTTGCAAAGACATGTATACTACCATAAAAATGAACCAATCAAACGAGCAAAGACTGTCGGGTTGATACAACTGATGCAGTCAATGCATCAGCGCCTTCAAGAAACCAAACACGATAAAAAAATACCTGCGCCAAATGTCCGAGCGACCATCCCATACCTCAAAAAAAGTCGTCCGATCTACGTCTGTGAAACACGAGTTCTCATCTATGCAACGACGGCATCCTGGATCTCGCTGTAGATGGCTCCGAGCTCCTCAGTGAGCAGCTCTTCAGCCTTATGAACCAGACCCTCGATGCGGTCCTCGATGCGGTTCTTAGCAGAGGAAACCTTGTAGCCACCGCTGGTGACAATGTCGGTGTAGTTCTCGGAACCACCACCGTTCCAGGCGAGGAGCTACAACCATCAGTTAGCCCATTCCTCTTTTGACAGTAATGACTGCGTGACTTACGTTGGGGGTGCGGGCAGGGATGTCGGTAAGGGCGCCCTCCGTGGCAATGGAGATGATATCCTTCTTCAGCTTGGCAGGGGTAAGCTCCTCAACAGCGAATGCAGAGTCCGCGGAGGGCTGCAGAGAGACAAAGTAGGCGAGCAGGCCAGCAATGTGAGGCGAAGCCATGGAAGTACCAGAGATGATGTTGGTAGCGTAGTTGCTGCCAATCCAGGTCGACAGAATGTTGAGACCAGGGGCAAAGATGTCTGTGCACTCTCCGTAGTTCGAGAAGTAGGCACGCTCATCAGCGAGAGTCGAGGCACCAACAGTGATGGCGTTCTCGGCAGCTGCGGGGGAGTAGTTGCACGCATCGGCGTTGTCATTACCCGCCGCAACAGCAAAGTGAAGACCAGCCTCAACACCAGCATTGACAGCATCCTCGAGGGTCTTGGACTTGCCACCACCGAGACTCATGTTGGCAACGCTGCCCTTGAAGCCCTTGATCTTACCGTTCTTAGCATCCTTGGCCTTCTTGATGTGAGACAGCACAGCGTACTCTACACCCTGAACGACGTCGGACATGGTACCAGAGCCGCTCGATCTCAGGACCTTAACGGCATAGAGATTGGCCTTCTTGGCAACACCATACTTCTTACCAGCGATGGTACCGGAGCAGTGCGTTCCGTGTCCATTGCCATCGATATCTTCATCATTGGTAGGGATGGTCTTGCCCCAGGTGGCACGACCCTCGAAGTCAACGTGGTCAACGTTGATACCAGTGTCAATGGTGTAGGCATCAACACCCTCGCCACCTTCGGAGGAGTACAGGTACTTGTTGAAGTTACCGAAAGTAAGGCTATCACGGTGGGAAATACGGGCCAAACCCCAAGGGGCGTTCTTCTCGGTGGCCTCCTCCATGGTGTGGACTTTCGAGTCCCGCTCGATGTATTCGACCTGTTATTGTTCAGTTAGAAGCTTATCCAAAGAGCAGGCAGATAACAAAGGAAGCTTGATAGGGGTACTCACGTCAGGGTGTCTGCGGACTTGTTCGATAACATCTTCGTGGAAGTGACCAGTGTAGCCGATCAGAGAACCAGCAATATCAAAAGTGTTCTTCAGGCCGAGGTAAGCCTCGTCACCAAGCCCGAAGAGCGACCGCTTCTTCAGTTCGGTCCGCTCGCTCTGAGAGTCATGGATGTCCTGCACCCAGGTGTGGTGAGCAGATGCCAGCTCGGAAGTGACGTGCTTCTTGAAAACAACGATGTAGGAGTCGGGAACCTCCTTCGCGTTGGAGGCAGACAGGATTGGGGCAGCTTCATTATGGATGGAATCAACGAAGACGGGTGACGCAGCCGTCAGCAACGGGAGGACGGTAAGGCCGAGGAAGCCCTTCATGATGGATAGCTACTATGGAACCCACAGCAGCCCGATGGAAAAAGAGGGTGAGGAGGGAGTGGACAGGAATGCGAGGGAAGGGGACGGTGGAAAGATAGAAATAGGCGAGATAAAGATGGAGGGAGGAGGAGAGAAGGAGAGGAGGTTGGAGCTGAAGAGGGAGAGGAGGACGGATGGATGGCGGACGGTATTCAGCAAGAGGCAAGGGCAGCAGGTGATGATGCAACCGGGATACGGTAATTTACGGCCGATGACCGGATGACACAGCAGAATCACTGGTTGTCGATCGTCCCCGATTAGCGCGGTCGGAGAAACTGGGACCTGGGGTAGGCCTGAGGGCTGTGGATGGCGGTATGAGCCCATATTCGGGTTGCTCCCCTTCGCCCCCCATCTTCCCATCAAGGTACGCCGTGCAGACTGCCAGACAGGCTTATCTCAGACGCCTAAGTGCCCCCGAAACCAAGGAGTGACCTCTCGGGGTACAGATACGGGGGCCACCGACAGACGCGATGGCCGACGTAAGCACGACACTCTACAAAGGTCCCCGCAAGGTGCCAACGATAAGGAGCAGGATCCTGTCTGCTCATAATGAGGCGACTGGGGCGCAGCCTGCATTTCCTACTGTCAAGGAAGTGGACTGGGCGTATGTACCTTGTAAAGCAGGTGATGGCGGTGACTCGAAGCTACCTAAGCAGGTAGGCCGTTTCCCGATGGAGAGAGTGCCTATGCTCCTACCAAGCTAGCTAGCCAGGCTATCTACCTATGTACATAGTGTCTACGCCATACCTACTCCGTCTTCCCGGGCGCGCGGCCGTCTCGGAACAAGAGCTTCCAGTTCCCGCACCTCCCAGGACTTGCATGGGAGAGCTCTGGTCATCGAATGACCCTGCATATATCCGTAACAGCTGCTCGTTGCTGACGGGCACTTCGGGACGCTGTACTGCAGGTACCTGGTATGTTCTCCCGCCACAGGCCAGCGTGTTCGGCTCCCAGGCAACCCCGAGTCGCGTGCTCAAGCCAACCATGGGTTTGCTCGGCTGACTCCTCCTGAACCAGGAAAGATCGGTTGCGTAGGGACGGTAACCAATACCACCCATTACCACCGTGACAGTACGTGACTGCGCCTGTCGAGGTCAGAGCTCCGTTAGATAAGGCGCCCCCTTATCAAGGCGAATCCCCAGCCAATCACATCCGTTCAGGCGATGATCGCCTTTGTCGCCTGGTGCTTACCGAGGTCAGGATAGATGCATCCATGGGTGTTATGATGGAGGACTGGTTAACCACCGATCTATATGAGTGATCGCACACGCCACTTAGTATGTACATATGTGCCACTGCTGGGTGTGTGCCGATCAGAAACTCTATAGCAACCGGCGGTGACAGGCCCAGGACGCTCAGCGGAGGGTCAGCCTCGGTTGACTTTCTCCCAATGTTGGATATAGCTCTTGCAAGAGTCGCAGTGCCTGGTAGATATGTGTTTGGACTGCGATCTCGGTCTTCGGTGAACTCTCTTCTGCTTCGATGAAATCACTCTCATACCGTATGAGAACTTAAACAAGGTATGTTCCGCCTTCCATAGTTCAGAGACCCAGCGGCATTCTTCGGCCCAAAAAGTCAATGACCTTGGCAGATGTCGGTCCTTTCCTGTTCACATGAAGGATCGGGATTTTCTCTACAAAAGTTCGGCACTGTAACTGATTACATATCACGTCTGCTACAGTACGACGAACCAGTGTATACAACCTCACGGATGACCTCGGCAGCAGGTACTGGGTTCCACGGCAAAAGCTTACTTATAGTGGCGATATCTTTCTGAGACTCTGCATGGCGAGTTACCAGTCTGGTGGCCAGATTTTATTTGGTAGAATGTTCCTGATATTCGGGATCAAGGACCTGTTGAAATCTCTCATCGAGGCATTCTCCCAAAAGTCAGTCATTTGGGTTGCCACAGTCTGTCATAGTTCTTTCATAGATGAATTAAACTATCTTCACGGTTAGTATATGTACGCCATAACCTATTGGTATAAGAACTTAACTTTAAACTGAAACTAGCACACATTGATTGGGGAGCATTCTATTCATAGATGCAATCTGTGTGGCCTTCGGGTATAAGGTTGTCAGGCAACGTTGGGATTACTGTACTATCATTGGGCCTTCACGGACCCTTGACTGGCAGGCATCTCACCTGATCAGCACTGACAGTTCAATCCTCGCTTCTGTGTCTCTCTAGTGGGAAAGAATTTGCATGTGATAGTTGGTCCAGGTCTTCCATAAAATACTGGGCGAACTCGTCTTCTATATCGCTGCCAAGCGCCGACAGTCCACCACAGAGTACAGCTTCTGGGCCCGTAAATGTTATATATATTTAGTAGTACTCGTATATAAGCCCGTAAAGCTGCACTGCTCCAAGATAGCATACTTCTCAACCTCACTCTAAATGCCTGAGCAATTGAGCAATAACTCATCTATTCTGTTTTCTTTCTAACTCGGCCAATTTCTGCCTGTGGCCAGAAAGACATCGTTTCGGTGACATTGATATATTGTTAGCATTATAAATCCATTTGCTTGTGTCGGACTTTTAACAAGTGCTATTCCTATAAACTACTAATGTTGAAGATTCATCATAGTTGATTCATGGTGCTAATCCATACCGGTAGGGCCAACGCTACCACTACTATATATTTCTCTCATCCACTCGGCAGGTGCTGGTTTCCTGTTCAACCCACTATTCTCAGGTCTCTTATCCTGTCCTAACACCGGTAACCTATATCATGTAGTTATAACCCAGTACTATATCAACAACAAGTGAATCTCTATAGAGCAGCCATTTTGTGAGTTGGTTGTCATTTCGACTTTACCGATATCCCAGTACATACTCTACAATTGCAAGAGGTCAGCCGGAATCTGCTGAGCGGCTATATTAAAAGCCGGAAAATCTTGATCAAAGGGTTCTACAGGAAAGGTTGTACTACACAAGTGGAATAGTTGGTTCATGAGGCTGATTTGACTCGTTGCGCAGGTCAGGCCCAGCACGCAAGGTTCTACATATAGTAGTACTAGATAGTAAAAGCAGCGTCTGCTTCTGATAATGAGTGGCCAATCAAGGCATCAGACTACCCGTTGGATGGAGAAGATAAGCCAATGGGCCGGCCCAGCCGAAACGCGACGGCCTAATCAGCCGCCGGCGTCCCGGTCGGGTTTGTGTTGACTAGAGGCGGCGAGTTTAGAGCGGCACTGCTTGGCTACCGAGGTCAGCAGGTCATTCCGTCACGTAGAATTTCGCCGGGCAGCAAGTACTACTACTCGAGGCTCCGAAACCAATCCCGTCCGTACCCTCCCCCGCCATGGTACTACCGCCGCGAGTGACGTTGGCGTAAGACCATCTATCGGACTCGAGACAGCCAGCCATTCCTCCAGGTGTGGAAAGTACTACGTGCGGCTTAGGTCTCCGAGCGCCTGGGAATTTTTTAGTCTCTATGGTGGATCTGACCGGGATTCTTACGCTTTGAAACCCTCGCGGACACACAATCGCTGATCTTCTAAACTGCGCCGTCCTTGCTTCCCTCCCTCCCACTCCGGCTGGTCCATGTCAGACAAGTGTGCGTGGATTGATTCGGTCCCTTAAGCTACAAACCACTACAACTACCAATGCAGACCGCCTCTATTATTACGCTAAGTGCAGGTTCATGGTGTCTGATGGTCGATAGCCGTCAGATAGGTAGCCGGGGATAAGATTCAGCGGCGCGATGAACCAGGCCACCTCCCTTCTCTCGCCATCCCCTTCCTCGTCAATCGAACGGCCGGCCGTCGAACTGACTCCCGTCATCGAGAAGCTGAAAATCATCTGCGGTGAAGATGACATCGATCCTCAATTAGCTGCCACAGCAACCGAATGCTTACTCCGGCTTCGTCACACATTCATCGACAATGACCAACCTCGAGAAGCGAAAGAGGACTTTCGACATCTGCATGGTTTCCAGACGCTGCTGGACCTGCTTCTGAAAGTCTCGGAATCATATACCCCTGATCGGTCGTCGAAGGACGAGAGGAAATGTCTTTTGACCCTTTTCAAGGATACATTGGCGGTTTTGGCAGAGGCGTTGAAGGAACACCATGGGAATAAGCGGTATTTTGCAAGTCGGGTCCCTCGGGGAGGGAAAGTGGCTCTAGAGGAAGCTCTTGCACTCCTGGCCCAAAAGGTGGACTGCGTACAGGGGGACATAGAACAGTTCTACGGCGGGATTCTGGCAGCAGCTCTCTGCCAGGAAGCCGTCACCAGTATATTTACAACATTGGACGCCAAATTCCGAAGGGTCCCGATGCCACTACCCAGTGACATCAAGGTGGACGTGGATCGATGCGTAGGAACCTCGGAGACGATCGAAGTACCCGATATCTTGGGCCCTTTCATTCGAGTGTGGTTGTCTCAAACATCGGCCTCCTCGTCGAACCACGGTATACTGAGGCTAGCTGTACCTGCATGCCTTTGTCAACTTGCTTCACATTCCCAGAGAAACATCACGATTCTGCATGCTACTGGTGTGTTATCGTGGATTCTTCCACTTCTTGTCAGTGACGAGCGTCCAGAGCCGGAAAAGCTGTTGTATCAAGAGCTTGCGCGGCTGCTCTGTGCGCAAGGAATAAGCAATCTGAAGGATGCAGTCTTCCTATATCAAAAAGCCCACAGCTGCCCCAAGGTGTCGCGCTTGCTGGTTGATGTTCTGAAGGCCTCCAAAGAACCCGCATCCATACAATTTGATCTCTCACTACATGGATACGGTTCATTAGAATTCTCCACACTCGGGCGCTCATTCCCTCCAGCAACTTCCTCAGGTTACACGCTCTCGGTTTGGGCACGCTTTGACCAGTTTGATCCAAACACGCACACGACAATATTCGGGGCCTTTGACCCCAGCCAGACATGCTTCTTGCTTGCATACCTTGAAAAGGACACCCGCAACTTCATATTGCAGACCTCGATAAGAGGACCGCGCCCCAGTGTTCGATTCAAATCCGTTGTCTTCGAACCTGGGCGATGGTACCACATTTGCGTTGTTCACAAGAAGCCTAGACCACCGTCTCATTCTCGCGCGTCTTTGTTTATAGATGGCGAGTTCGTCGAGCAACTTAGGATAGAGTATCCATGTATGCCCGCTGCAAGCGCCCCTAGCCGATCGGCTCGGGTTCAAGCGTTCTTTGGCACCCCCCAGGACTTGGCCATGAGACTGGGAAAGGGGGTCTCTACGTCTCGATGGTCTCTGGCAAGTGCAATTCTCTTCGAAGAAGCCCATAGCGACGATATGGTTGCTGTGTTCTATAACCTCGGTGCCCGATATTATGGCAACTTCCAAGACTGTCTGGGCTCTTTTCAGACGTACAAGGCTTCTGCCGCTCTGAACTTACGCAATGAGCATTTGCATCCGGGCAAAGAAGAGCAGTCGGATATTGTCGTTGCCATCCGGCAGAAAGCTAGTACCCTTATTCCTGAGGGGTCCATATTGCTAAACGTCTCGCCACTCTCAGTTCTAGACGATGATGACGATAATACCGTGGACGAGTCTCGACTGATCAAGTGCCTATCCAAACAGGCCGCCAAAAATCTGCATCAGCTAACGAAGTCGGGAGGAAATGCAGTAGCCGTCAATGGAGCCACACCTGCGATAAATGACGCACTCACTCAAGCCCATGGAATCGGTGTCTTGACCGGCGACCCCGTGGTCACCGTTCCACACTCTCTGGACGATGCGAGTTGGCGTATTGGGGGATGTGCGGCGGTGCATCTGAGCTTACTTCACGCGGCTGACACTGCGGAGTCGACACTGCTGGCAGTTGAGGCACTGTACGAAGCTGTGCAGGATAATTGGCGGAACAGCGAGGCAATGGAGAAAGAGAATGGCTATGGAATCCTTGCGGTTCTGCTGCGCGAAAAGCTTGGCTTGCTATCAGGAGCCTCTCCTACAGCATCAAGGACAGCCAGCGTCTGCTCCAGCTATGAGGAGAGATCTGCCTTGGCCCTAGAGCTTCTCGGCTTGACATTAAAATTTGTTGGGTACAACTTTGAACAGCCGAACCGCTCGATCATCACGAACCCACTAGCCTACCGGGTCTTGCTTGTCGATCTAGAGGTATGGAGGTATGGAGAGGCGGCTCTCCTCGAGTTGTACTACTCCCAATTTTGTATATTTGCCAGCGAAAGCCACCATCGCCGGTTCAATGCAAAGCGACTGGCTCGCATGCGTGGGTCTCCCGGAAGCATCCAATGGCTTACCTTACAAGTCGGTGTTACTGACGGTTATTAGGCGTTAATAAGAAGTTTCTCGAGGCCCTCAAGGTGGAGGATTTTACATCTGAAGCATTACGCCTTCATACTGCCGCCTTTGGATCGCTGATGGAAAGTTGTTTAACGGCGGACTTACTTCGCTCACTAGCGCTTTATATCACCTACGCCCTTCATAAGCCTAGGGAATCAAGTCGACTGCAGAAGAAGAAGAGCATGAGATTTAACACGGGTGTGCGACCGGCAACTCCCGCTGCGAAGGATAAATATGTGTCGAGCACCGTGATTGCCACAGAGATGCTTCGAATGTATTGCTCGTTGCTCTGCAATGCACACGATCTCGGTCCCATCAAGAAGTTTGCAAGGGCCGTGACGAACAAGGTCTGTTGCAATTTATTCTCTTGACGAGAAGTGATTATTGACTCCCATATAGTGGCTTCTGTACCTTTTGTGCGAAGACGAGCCGGAAATCATTATCCTAGCCGCTAAGATCATAGCCCGCCTGTTGGCTGTTCATGGCAGCATATATGATAAGAAGTTCACCGAGAAAACCGGGGGGTATATCATCATGCGGCATTGCCTGAAAAGGTGGTGGAGAATTCCCGCTGTATGGTCCATCTGCTTTGCTATTTTGTTTGGTCTGGACGTCGGTAAAATGATTGTCGACAGGCCCTTCAATCACAGTGGACTGTCAGATTCCTTCCTCTCCGGCACTCAGTTGCATATATCCTTCCCTGAAATCTTTCCAGTTATCGCTGAGATGATGCAGAGCGCCTTAAAGGGAACGGTCTTAAACAATTATAGTGCGCCCCCCGACATACAAGGAAATTCCAATTTTCAACCAACCGACCCAAGTCTTCTCTCTCATACGGCCGCGACTACAGTAGTCGAAGAGCATCTGCTCTTTAGTACTGTCATTGACTTCTTTGCCACTCTCCATGTGAAGTCTCTGAGCTTTCGCATATTTACAACACAACCTGAGTACATTCAGCATCTACTTTCGACGCTGTTCCCAGTCATTGTCGGCTGCGATGCAACAAACACGGATGCTGAATTGACCCCTCGTGCCGGTAGTCTCGACTTTGGTGATCAGAATCTGGTCCTTCGCCCGCGCTCAAGAGGGGCCGCTGAGTTGCGGACAACAACTGTGGAACAGCCCGGAGCTCGTGATGACCCTGCTGGATCACTCGGCCGTGGATCTTCTTTCATCCTTGTCTCATCTGATCGGGGAAAACCTTTGCCATCCTCTGCGCGAATTGTCCATGCATGCAATCCGAAGAAAGTCGAAAATGCAGGTAACGCAGATCATCCTTTCGTTATCAGCATACTCAGCTTGGTTCTCTCGGTCTTCTCGGAGCAGCTATTAGAACGGAAAGACTTCTCAGGTCTTGGTCTATATCTCAAAACACCACCGGGGTTGCTGGAACATCGGGCATACTTCAACTCGTGGGTGCTGAGAAACTTCCTGTCAACAGCGCAAGATGTCATATTGTCGAAGACTCATCTACTCGCAGAACCACGCGTGCTGACCAATTTGGGGCGGTTAACGACGCACCTTGGAGAAGCAGTGTTTGAAGGTTGGTTCGTTGATGGGGCAGCGGCAACTCTCGAATTTGCAGGGCCAATCTTGGAGTATCTTCAACGGCCCGATGTTTCTTGTCTCAAGAGTATCAGGTTGTGTAGCCAAGCCGTTTCAATCATCCGATCGACTGTATTTCGCGTCGTTCTGCTTCGGCTCTCAGAAGTCGAGGGCACTGAAGCTCTTTCGTTCCTGAACCGTTTATCATACTGGCAAGTGGTTCTCCTGTCTGGAGATGCCCAGTCCACCCACCTGCAGCTGCTGTGTTACCTCTTATATATTAAGTTAGACGACGGAAACGAAGATGTCCGCCTGGCTGCAGCGGGGCTCTTCAGGATTCTGCTAGTGCAGAAGCCTGCCGACATGGCTACCATTCTCAGCCACGCACCGGTATCCCTGCAGAAGCGGCTTTCTGCTGGCTTTGAAGCTTTGATGGGTATGGACGATGCCGCCTTTCTACAGTGGTTTAATGACCGAGAGGAGGACCTACACTCTCTATTCTTTGATGTCATATCAAAACACTGGGAGGATTTTGTTCACGAAGAGAACTCCAAGATTGAAGCTACATCACGAAGCCGAGTTTCCAAACGCCAGGAGAAGCTGAAGCAATGGAAGCAAATAGATACTTTCGGTGACGAAGTGACACGCAAGCATATGACCATGTTTCCTCGCTGGGCATCAAACATATCTGCGTCAGAGCTCCTGAAGCTTCAGAGGTCCCTCCAGGACCATCAGGATGATTCTGTGTTCATGTGGACTGCCTTTTCCCAGCTGACCGTGGACCTGCGGCGATATGGAGGTCTTCTTGCCGAAAATAAGGAGCGAAAATGGCGCCTCGACCAAACAGAAGGGCGCAGTCGTATGCGTCTTCGCATCGTCCCGGATGAGACTGGCGAGCGACAGAATTACCAGCCAAAACGGAAGGCATCCGAGCCCCCAGCGATCAAACTGGACACGGAGGTTCGGCCTTCGTCTAGTGGTGATGCTCTTGGTTTGACCCCTACAGCTACCGTCGCAAACAATGAGGCTGTGGAGGGTACCTCTCAAGGCATTGCGCCGGACAGTCGGAGTGTGCTTGAAGAAAGCTTCGAATTGATCGAAGATCCCAAAGCGGACCTTGACGACTATGAGGACAAGAATCGGAAAGTTATGCGGAGTCTTCACCGCGGCGATCAGGTAGAGGGCGTGTGCAACATGTCGCGTATCATTGGGTTAGAAGCATTTGAAGGACTCCTGATCCAAGGGAAGGATCACATATACATATTGGACAATTTCTTCCAGAGATCAGATGGCGAAATCGTGAATGTCTGGCAAGCCCCGGCAGACGAACGCGACCCTTACGTCCGCATGATCGCCGGCCGAGAATCAAGCGAACGTAAAGCGCAAGAGCATGAAACGAGAAGCTGGAAATGGTCCGATCTGATCAGCATCTCCAAGCGACGCTTCTTGTTTCGTGACGTGGCCTTGGAAGTCTTTTTCACAGATGGCAGCAGCTATCTGCTGACACTCATCTCATCACGAGCCCGAGACGGCCTTTGCAGTCAGCTCGCGGCCAAAGCCCCTCAAGTGACTGGAAGCGTTGGCCATGCACGCCCGGAGGATGTTTGGCGATTCGAGACCCTTCGAAGCCAGGAGGATGCACCGCAGTCTCTGGGATCCAAGTTCGCCAGCGTTTTCGGCCATTCGCCCGCCTATCCAGCTACGCGTAAATGGGTCAAGGGTGAAATCTCCAACTTCCACTACCTCATGCTGATCAATACACTCGCCGGGAGAACTTTCAATGATCTGACGCAGTATCCGGTCTTCCCGTGGGTGCTGGCGGATTATACTAGTGAGGAACTAGACTTGACTAATCCCCAAACATTCCGTGACTTGTCAAAGCCCATGGGCTGTCAAACCCCGGAGCGAGAGGCAGACTTCAGAGAACGGTACAAGGCCTTCGCCGAGATGGGCGACGACGACGCTCCACCATTCCACTACGGCACGCACTATTCCTCGGCCATGATCGTTAGCTCATATCTCATCCGTCTGCAGCCCTTTGTCAAATCCTACCTTCTCCTCCAGGGCGGTACATTCGACCATGCTGACCGTCTCTTCTACTCTGTCGGGAAGGCCTGGGAATCTGCGTCGCGTGGCAACATGTCGGACGTACGGGAGCTGATTCCCGAGTTCTTCTACCTCCCCGAGTTCCTGGTGAACTCGAACAAGTACGATTTCGGCTTCCTGCAGAACATGACGACGATAATCGACTCGGTGGAGCTACCGCCATGGGCCAAAGGGGACCCCAAGATCTTCATCGCAAAGCACCGCGAGGCCCTCGAGAGCCCCTACGTGACTCAGAACCTACATCATTGGATTGATTTGGTGTTCGGAAGCAAGCAAAAGGGAGAGGCCGCGGTCGAGGCCGTGAACGTCTTTCATCATCTGTCCTACCAAGGTGCCAAAGATGTGGACTCCATTGATGACCCGGTGGAACGACTGGCCACCATCGGCATCATTCACAACTTCGGACAGACTCCGCATCAGATATTCAACCGACCGCATTCACAACGAGAGGATCCCGGGCACAAGATGCCGCGACTGGATCGTCTTGCCGAGTCGCTTACTCAACAACCACTGGCACTCCTTGGTGAGTTATCCGCCCAAAATGATACTGATATCTTGACCAGTGCTAAGACGCGGATAGATATTGGCGAACGCGTAGCATCATTATCAATGAAGCAAGATCGTCTGCTATGTGCTGCTGCCCTTCGGGTCAATATCCCTCCGAGCTACGACAAGTACATGGAATGGGGCTTCTTCGACGGCAGTGTGAGATTCTATTCTGCGGACAGCCGAAAGGTAGCGAATGATCCTGATCGCTTCCTGTCAAAACGGACGCTAACAGAGGTTTAGCTACTGGGCCACTATGAGCACCTCCATATCGGCCAACTCTCCTGCGCGATCTTTGCGGACTCCCGAACGTTGGTAACTGCCGGTACCGATTGCACCGTGGCGATCTGGACTTATACCTCCTCAGCCAAGTCCGTTGACCTGCAGCCAGCAGGGTCGCTGTTTGGACACCGTTCGCCCGTGACGATGCTTGCGGTGTCTCGGTCATTCAGCACCCTTCTGTCTGCATCCACAGATGGTCAGATCATGCTTTGGGATCTCAACCGCCAGTGTTTCGTCCGGGAACTACCTGCCAACGGGCCGGTCGATGTAAGCATGATGGTACCAAGGAATCCGCCCAAGCTCTGTGAACTAATGCTGGTCTAGTGCGCGCGGATAAATGATGTGACGGGAGAAATCATGATCTGTCGACGAGACCGTGTCAGCCTCTACACCCTCAACGGGTCTCTGCTGCTGGAGCAGGTTCTGTGCGACTCGGTGGATGACTCAATTTTGACCTGCGTCTTCTACGAAGGGGTCAACAACGAATGGCAGGAACGCGAGCTGCTCTTCACCGGGCACCGACGAGGCGTGGTCAACGTAAGATCCCTAGGACAACGACCCGGAAGTATTCCGGTGCTAATGCTACTGGCTTTTAGATTTGGAGCAAAATCACCCAGCACGGACGGTTTGAGCTGGAGTTGATCCGGCAACTTCATCACGTGGACAGCCTCCGCGATAACGGCGCCAATATCTCAGCGGGAATCAGCTGCATCCTTCCCCAACCGCACGTTGTGTATACCGGCGACGAAGGGGGACGAGTGGTGAGTGTGGCCAATGTCTGAACTTTGGGTGACCGTATGCTGACAGAGGGTCTAGTATGAATGGAGTTGTGTGCAGCGCCGGTGAGCATCACCTTTGTCTAGCTATTACAGCGGAGAACACGACTCCGCGGAGTGCCCCGGATGGAAACTGCGGAGGTCTGGCCATCTTCGCCGCGTTCCTTTTTCCGCGCCGAGCTCCACGAACGAACGGCTCAATGCATGACGGTGCCACACAATTCTGTATCCCGGAGCACTCTCGTCCTGTATCAAGCCTGTCTGCTATTATTATTGTTCATTCTGCTTGTTCCTTCCCCGCGGGTGGACCAGCATGGATGCTATAGCAACCCGTCTGTTGTGGAGGGGCAGTGCGGAGGATCCGGGCTACTGTTACATAGTCGCTATAGTATGTACTTAGAGGGGGTGATGGGGGTGGCGGTTAGAATAGATCGAATGGGAAGCAGCATCGTAGACACGGTTCATTTGAAGAAAAGACGCAGCTGTATGGTGGGACTCCACCGGAGGGACTGGTGCCTCAGGGGAACACCCACGGAAGAGGGGGAAGCTCCGGTGAAGCAAAAAGGGCTCCCTGTGGGCGGTGATTAGCCGGTGGGGTGGACCACGCCGCTGGGGGGGGTCTGCCGGAGCACTCTGGGCCGACCACGCTTCGGACCACGAGGGGGACACGACGGGGCGGGAGAAGACGATGGAAACGAGGATGGGGAGAATCAGGGACCGGCAAGGATTTGCTGCCGGGATGGGTTGAGCGTGGTGGTGGGTGGTGCAGGAGTGAGGTATGGCGAAGAAGAGGGATGGAGATGGAGTTGTTGGGGGGGGGGAATAGCAGGAGCGGCGGCATAGCGTCATCGGCCGTCAAGCTGCCCCACCATTGGCACCCCTCCTCGTTCTGCTGCTGCTTTTGGCTCACGGCTCCGGCTTCGTCGTCTTCTCTCGCCTTCTTCTCCCCGCCACATCCTTCCCTTCTTATTTCCTCCGCCTTTTCTTCATCTTTTCATCTCTTTCTCATCTTCTCTTCTCTCCTCCATCTACCCATCCTTGATTCCATCCCATCTCCTTTCACCATTCCATCCTCAACCTCCACCATGGCTTCTTCTCTCGACCAGCTCAAGGCCTCCGGCACCGTAAGTTTCTGCGGCTCATCCCACCCGGCCATGATATCCTCAATGCTGATCATTCATATTCCATCTAGGTCGTCGTCTGCGACTCCGGTGACTTCGCCACCATTGGCAAGTACAAGCCTCAGGATGCCACCACCAACCCCTCCCTGATCCTGGCTGCCTCCAAGAAGCCCGAGTACGCCAGCCTCATCGATGCCGCCGTTGCCAAGGGTAAGACCGAGGGCAAGACCGTCGACGAGCAGGTCGATGCCACCCTCGACCGTCTCCTTGTCGAGTTCGGCAAGAAGATCCTCGAGATCATCCCCGGCAAGGTCTCCACCGAGGTCGATGCTCGTTTCTCCTTCGACACCCAGGCTTCCATTGACAAGGCCCTCCACATCATCAAGGTATGCAGCTTCTGCCTCTCAATCGCTCGCGTCCCGTGCCAATTGCTGATGCCATGATTTCATAGCTCTACGAGGAGAACGGCATCTCCAAGGACCGCATTCTGATCAAGATCGCCTCCACCTGGGAGGGTATCAAGGCCGCTGAGGTCCTTCAGTCCAAGTACGGCATCAACTGCAACCTGACCCTCATGTTCTCCACCGTCCAGGCCATCGCTGCCGCCGAGGCCGGTGCCTACCTCATCTCCCCCTTCGTCGGCCGTATTCTCGACTGGTACAAGGCCGCTCACAAGCGCGACTTCGCCCCCGAGGAGGACCCCGGTGTCAAGTCCGTCCAGAGCATCTTCAACTACTACAAGAAGCACGGCTACAACACCATTGTCATGGGTGCCTCTTTCCGTAATACCGGTGAGATCACCGAGCTCGCCGGCTGTGACTACCTGACCATCTCCGTAAGTGCTGCAAGGATTGTGCCCTACTCCGCATGAGAAACTAACAGCCGTCCAGCCCAACCTCCTTGAGGACCTCTTCAACTCCACCGCTGCCGTCCCCAAGAAGCTCGACTCCGCTAGCGCCGCTGGTCTCGACATCCCCAAGCGCAGCTACATCAAGGACGAGGCTCTGTTCCGCTTCGACTTCAACGAGGAGGCCATGGCCGTCGAGAAGCTGCGTGAGGGTATCTCCAAGTTCGCTGCCGATGCTGTCACCCTCAAGGACATCCTGAAGGCGAAGATCCAGGCATAAATTGCGAGATTGATATAGTGCATTTTGTGACGACCATTATTCCCATGTGTGTAAAATTGATGACCTGAAAATTCGTTTGGTAGATACGAATTATGATTTTTTATTCTCATAGATCACGTAGTGTGCAGTGCTTTCCAAGTTATGCATATATAATAGCACCAAGAATATGAAGTGTTTCACTTCCAAGTTTCAACCCAGTAACTGTGACCCCTTCGAACAGCTCCACAACCCACTCCACATGCAAGACAGCCCAATAGACAATGACAGCAGACCCAGCATACATGCATATATGCACGCATATGCACAAGCTCATCCCAACATCCATATTCCATCCCCATACATACACAGCATAAGTTCTATCCCCACCATCTTAGAACAGCCAATCGAACAACAAAAACACACCCCATCCATCCATCCAACCCATTCCTCCCATTCCTCCCATTCCATCTCCACCAGAGAGGCAACCGACCAACCACCCCCCCTCTTGGCATGTCCTCATTGAACAAGCCTTTCATCACCTGGGGGGTGGGGGCTGGAGGATGAATCTTTTCCATCTCTTGATTTGGAGCCCTAGAAGGGTAGAGAAGAATTGTTATTTTATTTGCTGGTTGTAATTGCGGGTTGGAGATGTAGTTTGAGTAAGTAATTGATTGGTTGATGGATGGTTGGGTGTAGAGGAAGGGATTAAGAGAGGGGGTATGGAAATTGATATTCGAGTTAGGATTCTTTTCATTGTTGGGACTTGGGGGAGGGTAAGGATAAGGGCGAGTTGTCATTTGGTTTGATTTGATTTGTTGGGTTGGGTTGGGTTGGGTTGGGTGGACTTGAACTAGGTTCTGAGTGGTGTGAGGAGGGGGTAGGAGGGTAGGGGGGAGGGGGGATATAATGTATCATATCGTGTGGTATAGATATTGATTTTTGATATGAGAGTGATATAAGAGGAATTGGGAAGGGGAAGGGGATGTGTATTGTGTAGTGAGGGTTTTTGTTTCGTTTCGTTTGGTTCAGATTGATTTGTAAGGAGAGTAATGTATGTATAGAAAGGGGTGTAATTCTTCAGCTGAGGATTGGGATGAGGTATGATATTAAAGATTAGATTGGATTGGACTTGATGGAACTCGTGGATGAGAATGACTTTGGATGAGTGGGCCATGTGATTGGGAATCGAGGAATAGGGTCCGTTTTATGTCCTCTTCTGGGTTTCAGTTGCCGATGCTTGGTTTGGTATCCTAGGATCAAATGGATCAACCCATAGGTGAGATCGTCACCCATGTTTTGCGGAGGAAATAGAACTACCGCTTGACTCTGTGCTCCTCCCTTGAGGATCACATTGTTCTGAACTCTGGACCCACAGGATGTTCCATGTGCTTGACACGAGTGTCCGTCACGGGGAACGATAGCGCTGTCTGTGCGTCCTAGAAGATACGGACGGCTCTGATCATGGTGAGGATGTTAGCGAACATCGCGACGGCAGGGCCCTGGATGGATGGGCGCCCTTCGTGCGCGCAGAGCTTCGTCGCGGATTCCCATGCAATGTCGGTCGGGGGTTGTATGCGATGTGCAGGCTGTAGCTGCTGTTGCATGCTTTGACGATGTTCTCGCAGAACGGCCATGGATCTTCTTCTGACGCAAGCATATCTGTTCGTAGGCTTCGGCTCGTGGGGTTGCAGTTGTGGCTCTGCCCTCAGAAGTTGATTCAGCATAGAGCTGAAGGTGTTGACTATATGTCATTTTGAGAGTAGAGCAAGCATGTTGAGCTGGATTAGAATGTAGGAGCATCTAGGCTCTCCCTTGCGTCTTGGTTTGGCTTTGCGTTTGTAGGGTGCCCATAGACCTGTCCAAAGTGCGTACTGGGGTTGTTGGGATGACGCTGAAATCGAGGTTTTCTCTGGATGTTGGGTACAGGATATTGTATGACTATTTGTATCGAGAACCGAGTATTGTATGGTGAGCTTTTAGGGCGATGGGTATGATTGATAATGTGGAATGTGTTGTAAAGGGCATTGAGTATGATCCGAATTTTTAGTAGTCCCTGACTTGGCTGCTCTTCTGTGTATCATTTTCGGAGCATTGTGTAGATTTGCGTCCTTTGTCAAACCATTGATCATGGATGACAGTTCGACTGTTATGAAGATATTTCTTGGCCCAGGGATGGTACATCCAAGTACCATGCTTGTTGTTCACGTTTCGACCACGATTGATTGCCAGAGGTATATCGGGAGGATTTGTGATGAGCCCCTCGCTGATAGAGATACCCCAAAGGATGACCAAGACAGCCCAGGTTGGCGGTATTGTATCAAAACCATAATGGGTATGTCTCTAATTACCACTGCTGTTTTGGAATCCAACAGGCCACCAGCGGACCAGCTGCTCAGCCAAATCCCACAGACGACCCCTTTTCTCCGGCCTGTGACGGTTCTAAAAGTGGGAAGTAGGCGGAAGTTATGTGCAGCTCTGACGGCATGCATTGCTTAATGACATCATAGTAGGATGTTATTATCAAGTTGTTCCGATTTTTGAGCAACGGAAGAAATATCAAACTTGTCCTTCAAATGCCGTTCGCCATTCGTTTGGCGATATTGGACCTTTAGCCGCTCATTTATTCAGTGTCTTTAATATGACGGGTGCAATCGAGGTCCTTTAGGCAGCATGACAATCATATTAGACAGACTCTCAATAGAGCCTGTGGTGTTCCATGGTAGTTATCCGCCAGAAGGGGGTGAAGCTGTCATCTGCCTCGAGAGCTGCTCACTTCTAAGAAAGAAATCCCCACCTTAAAAAAAGATAGAATAGAAAGGAACCTTCGTGCTTGAGCTCTTTTGTCTTTGAGAAGCCGGTTGGAAGGCTTTGCTTTCTCTCTCCTAAAGAAGGCAGTGCTGAAATGATGGATGTCAAATGGTACATGCTGTTTGGGCTCAAGTTTGACACTGTGGTCCCGGGTATGCTGTTCAGGATCGCATTCGATTATGGCCTATATGAGCAATGTGTGTGAAACATGCCATAAGACCCCGCCGGATATTGCATTTCCCGGCTCAGGCAATGCTCAACCAATCTTTGGGTCATTGGTTTCCCAGTAATCCCATACATGCTATAACCAGACAGGCAAACTCAACAGTCGTGTTGAAATCATGCCTCTGGAGGTGATGGAGTAGTTCTCATCAGTTGGATCTCGGACTTTGTCACGATACGTTTCTCGACTTTCTTTGACAGATAACATAATATATCGGCCTTTTAGGCCAGTCATGCCTGCTGGGTCCATAAAGGCTTTCCGAAAGTGACCACGTCTGTAATCATTAGGCGGCGTTGAAAGATCATTGTATGTCAGCTACGCCTGAGGTTGAGGTCGAGTAACCGCCCGTCGGGCGTTCTGCAGGGATAAAACCAAGCATACTTATGACAGCGGTCATTGCTGCCAGGTCCTAGAATTGCTTAGTGTCACCTGTGCGGACCCAACATAAGTTCCAGGAACCAGCAGAATAGTCTTGTATTGCTGCGGTGTGTTATGGCTGAGGTCGCATCTGTGCGCAGCAGTCGATAGACTTTCCCTTTTACCCAGGATTATCTCGGCTTGTAGTCCCGAAGATCTTATCGTAGAGTTGAGCTGACCGGAATGTAAATGTTGGTCTATCGTAGATTTATAGCATCTATTGTTCAGCTTCAACAGTCGTTCAAATGCTTCGGGAAACGCTTGGGTGTGTATAACGCCCTTTTGGTAGCACTCGCAGCGGCAAACAATAGAATTTCTTTCAGAGTCGGCGGATTTCCGGTGGAAAATTGGTGGTATAGTCAATCCACCCACGACATGTGACTGGCGGTCATAGGACTGCGTGCATCAAGCGATACGCGGTCGACTGCCTACAAACTGGGCCAGCCTTTAGAGCCGAGGTAGCTCTGTTAAAAATGTGACTCACTTCGAATTAAGAGCCAGGTGTTCGGGTTGGCGCATAATTGAACCCATGCATGAAAGGGCTATGCATGGGGCCCCGTCCGGCGTGTTGGAATACATCTGAGACATCCGACATGGTTTGGACAAGGTCTTACTTAGCTGTACCAGATGCCACAGGCCATTCTGCAGATTCTTCTTATTCTCCGAGTATACAGCCGGCAGATCACGGCTCAATGTTGACTCCATGATTTGAGGCAGAGTCTGCCACCTTCAAGGGGCGGACTTCTGCAACGTTTCGCCTAGGAAACAAAATGGTAGGGCATTCGCAAACGCCAGTACGCTTCGGCATCTTCTTTGTACTACCGTTTGAACCCGAGCTCAAGTTGTACAGACAGGCGTTATTGCCAAATTTTCTCGCATAAGAGTGCTTTGATCAATGGGAACCGCCAGACAAGTATGTTTGGCGTTTTCGAGCGATCTTTCAACCCCTGGTCCATCTTGCGCTTGTCCGCAAGATGTCGGGTTACAACATATCCCTGAAGCCGTTGGCCAAGACCGCGACAGTGCAGTGGATAAAGATAGATATTCTCCATAACCTTTGCAGTCATAAGCTAACAATGAGCCATACCTGACGCTCACAGGGTTCTGCGCAAAGACAGGCAGTGTGCCTTCGCATAGTCGGCGGATGCTTTGCGAACAGAATTCCATAGAAGAGTATTCGATTGCCTGAGAAAGCGGAAAAGGATATGAATCTGATGCAGTTGTTATGGTGGAAGAGCAGTATCCGCCATGATTTGCATGCTTTCCGTTCAGCGACGTAATCGGAAAACATTCCGAGTTAAAACGATGGATAAAGTATTAGAGTCAGTGCCGTATTCTTGTTCTTAGAAGTCCCTTGAGCTGTCGTGGTCTCCTCAAGTTATCGCTGAAAAGGGAACGTAGTTGACCATGGATTATACATGGTATCAGTGTGGGAGATGATACCATCGCCTCGTTATCACCCTGTTAACGGACAGTAAGAGAGAGAGAGAAGCAAGATGTAGGATGTAAGATAGGACATATTGAGCAGGAGGTTTTGGGACGGTAATTTCCCATCCAGTTCGATAAAGACGATCCTTCGAAAATGCTGCCAGTTTAACGGGCACGCGAGTGACAAGCGGATGATGAAAGTGTTCGTAGAGTTCAGTTGTAGTTCAATTGTTGCTACCACGGCGGCACCATGATCCATGAAAGAAACCCGAGACAAGACATGACTTCTTCTTGAAGTGTGCGATAAACTGGATGATCCATGTCGTGTGCGATGAAGTCAAATCTGAGGTAGGCTGCAGGATTATCTTGGGAATCGTACTCTGAAAGTTTCCGAGGCTGAGGGGTGCTTGCGATGCTTCAGAGTATATTTCTGGCAAGCTACTATATACTCGGGCGGTGTTGTAACACCAATGACGGTCGGGTCCTAGCTTGTTGCCGGATGTGAGGGCAAAGTGGTGGCTTGACGAGGCCTGCTGTGTGCCAGTTAGATGTCTTCTTGCTGTAGAATAATCACATTGCCTGGCTTGAAGGCTAATAGAAGAAACAACAGAGTAAAAAGTCCGCTCGATATTCTCAGCGCCCGCTAATGACCGGCTGGTAAAGACAGCACCCGCCGCTAGATTGAGATGACTTCCATTTATGTGTGCGAATTCAGCACCGAGGTTAAAGTCATGAGTTGATCAAGACAATGCTCGTTCACTTCTTGGTTGAAATTTCGGAGTCGGTGCTACAGTCATCGACATTTAACTAGGCGGATCAGGCGTAGATCATGTATATTAGTATAAAGGGTCGTCATTTAGGGTACCAGAGACGGATCAGTGAGATTTTGATCCATCTGCCGTGGATTCGTTGCGTTTCGGTGTTGACAGCATACCGAGGCTTTTTGGTGCAGTGGCATAGATACCTTGGAGCTGACGCATACGCGTTGACTCCACATCAAACCCGGCCCATGATGCAGACTCGTGGGTCATGTCACTGCCTGCCACACAAATGATATCCAGTGTGTGACAGTTCTGAGGCTGACCCTTCTCGACAAAGCCTTCTCCAGATTAAAGATATATGAAAAAAAGCTGGCTGTGTGATGGAATCCATACTGGGAAAGCCCACGATGGGAACAAAGTATATAAGGGATGGAAGTTTTTGGGAAAAATATGAGAGAAGGTATGAGCGCAGCCCTGTGAGGAAGATCCAGACTGTGGGCCGACAGTGTAAAGTCTACAGTACAGTATATATAGAAAAAAGATAGAAAGGCCTTTGAAAGGTAAAAGGACGTCTTTCTTGGGTGGTCAGATTTGAGAGCTACTGGAGAGAGAGAAGAAGAAGAGAAGAGGGTTGGATGGCGGGGGAAGAGGGGTATAAATACCCAACTACGATTCAATAGATCGGGCATTTACGATATGTGAAAGTTTACTATCACAATCTTTTCATAAGAAAGGGTAAATGAAGCGGATTGCATGGAGTGAACGGTGAGCAATGGAAGGGTTGGTAGGCCATCCTGACGCACTCCGTTGAATTTAGGGTTGAGATACTCGTGCACTGGAGATACATTCAACGAGAGCTCTAATTTTACCATGGTTGCCCAAGGATTAAAGAAGTGAACGTCACATAGGGACAGCGTAGCAAAGGGATAATGAGACTGAGATGAACGAGCTCGTCATGAGCGCAGGTGCTAGGAAGTAATAAACGCCATGCTGCTCCGGGTGCTGTGCAGTGGGACAATCAGGAGTTCTACAGATGACAAGTGCGTTCTGCACTTAACTTTTAGAAGAAACATACAGTCATTAGCAAATGTTGCGATGCCGTGATTTCTACCGTGATTTCTACCATAGCACAAAGGGATAGGTCTTCCGCAAGGTGAGTTCAACCTCATGCAAGGGCAAAGATTGTGAAGACACTGCAACAGATGACTGCCTTGCGGAAGTGTATTTGCTTACGGAATGAGGTATAATCGCCAGTCATCGAGTATGGACCTCGCATTAGACCTCTAGAGGCAATTGACATACCATTAGTGAACTGGAAAACTCCGGAATCTCCAGTTACATTCTCAGATGCGACATGCCCTTGATCACATCCACTCACGCTATTCTTTGGCTCTGCGAACAATTGGACAAGTAGCATCTATGACATCTGGTGATGCACCAGCACTCTAATCTCCAGAGAAATGGCCTCTGCCAAAGGATAGACTCAATGGATAATCCCAAGCTCTTAGGGAGTTGCGCCTCACCAGTCATGCCTCAATAGGAAACGTGCTGAGGCAATCCTGCTAGGACACAGCTCACTAAGGTATTGATTGCACTAATAGTTGAGCCCAAGCATTGGAAGAAGCCCTGGACCGCCCTGGACGCGGAAGGGCGGTTGCCATTATCTTCGATATCAGAAGCTGTCCATCGCGCAAAGGGAAGTGAGCAAGACAGAGTACGTTTAAGCTGCCATGGTACTGTCGTCGCTAGCAGACTATTTGTAACAGGCCCTGAGACTATAGCCGAGATCGCATTGTATCCTGGATTAGTAGACGAGCAAGACTGGGAAGCCACTCTTCTGTCTCAAAGCCGGGATGAAAAGTGATGGTGTTCAAGGCGCGCCGCATATTGATGCCACCTCGCAAGGGCAACGTAAGATTGTCATCGATTTCAATGGAGCCATAGCTTTCATTGTAGCATAAAGTGAGGTCCGCCCCGAATGAAAGAGATTTATTGGCTTGGCTAGTATTCATCTACAGATGTATCAGTGATCAGCAACGGCAACGATAACAACAGCAGAGACGAGCGAATAATGTGAGAGAACGATGGCGCCGATGAGGTGATGCCGATTGCGGTGGTAACGACAATACGAGCGGTACGGTTGAGGGAGGAGCAAGTGGGGGCCATCGATACGGATCGATACCGTTGCGGGTTTACCTTACCTTAGCTACCTGCACCTCCCGCTGCAGTTCGCGGCAGCTCCTCGACACTGACAGCATCAGGGTCTTTGCGGGAAGAACCTATGCTACTATGGACTACTACGGAGTGGTACCCTTCAGGGTATCTAGTCGCATCAATGGCTGGGGAGGTTTCCAGGGAATCCCACAATCCCACCAGCTAACCTGCAGTCTGGACCCGAGCTGCTTATGAATCGGGAAGGTGTGGAATACACCAGCAAAACGTCATTCCGACAACCCCGCCAGGTGGGGGTTGCAGCACCCAGGAGACCACCGACATTGGAAGCCCGTCGAATCCACTGGGGAGAAGGAGGAGCACCAAGTCCGAGGCACTGACGGGTGCTCTCTGACTCGCAGCCTGCTTTCGGCGACTCATTATTTACCCCTCGTTCGCTTCTTCCCTCCTTCTTCCCCCCATCCTCATCATCCTCAAATCTTGAATTTACCTCTAGATCCAAGGTAGTCACATATCACAAACCGCCAAAATGGTCAAGGCTGGTAGGTACCTGCGCTTTTCTTCAGTCCTCGTGGTCTTCTCCTCTTGCTATTGGTCTTTCGCCTCCACGGATCCACGATCGACCGTGGCCGGGGACCTTGAGTGAGCAGATTTGAGCACCTTGCGATCCCTCCATCTAAGCTTCCCGACCTATCACGGTCTGGGGACCCTGTTTGCTAGGCAGGCAAGCTTGGGGGAACTTGCTCCTCTCTGCAATCTCATTTGCTCCGGTCAGCTGGTGCTTTCCTGGTATTAATAGTACCACGACTAAAGTCCGGTTGGAGGCTGTTCATTGTTGCACGTCGTGTTCTGGAAGCTTTCCAAATGAAGTCATGGGCTGATCCGCCTCTCAGTTGCTGTCATCCGTGGAGACTCCAAGATCTCCGGCACTGTCACTTTCGAGCAGGCCGACGAGAACACCCCCACCACCATCTCGTGGAACATCACCGGCCACGACGCCAACGCTGAGCGTGGCTTCCACGTCCACCAGTTCGGTGACAACACCAACGGCTGCACCTCCGCTGGCCCTCACTTCAACCCCTTCGGCAAGACCCACGGTGCTCCCGAGGATGCTGAGCGTCACGTCGGTGACCTGGGCAACTTCAAGACCGATGCTGAGGGCAACGCCGTTGGCTCCAAGCAGGACAAGCTGGTGAAGCTCATCGGTGCTGAGAGCGTTCTGGGCGTACGTTATATACCCTCTTGTACGCTTGTTACGACGATGCTAAGCAATAACTACAGCGGACCCTGGTCGTTCACGCTGGTACCGATGACCTCGGCCGCGGTGGCAACGAGGAGTCCAAGAAGACCGGTAACGCTGGTCCTCGTCCCGCCTGCGGTAAGCTTTCCCCTACTGGATAGATCTTGGTCATGGCTCATATACTAATATTGTCTGCGCCACAGGTGTTATCGGCATTGCCGCTTAAGTGCCCAATTAATCTCCGAAGCCTTTAGTCTAGGATGGGGGAGGCCTAATCAGAATGAAGTAGTCTGCCAATATCCAGTCGCTGCCAGGAAGTAAAATGAATGCACGAATGACTTGATGCCAGCAATTATGATCTCCGGCGTTTCTGCCAGACTGTACCAGAACTAAATAGCTCTACTGTGGGTGACACGGAATGTAACTGTTGTGCTACGGAAGCAATGTCTTTTCCTTTTCGAACCAAGTCTCACATGCCACGGACGCAGGACGCCTTGTTTCGTAATGGATGGTCTCTCGAGGCTATGGACATTTCTAGCTACTGTAGCTACAGACAGGGGGTGGTAAATTTATCAGGTAATGAGCGTAACGACAGATGGGATCCCAAGGATGGATCGAGATCCGTAGTGCGAAGGATCGGAACATCACTGTGTGGAACATGATTGTGCTCACCGTCGAGGACAATGAAGGTCAGTCGCGCCAGTTGGTGAAGCATCAAGGGTGAAAAGGGAGCTTTCACTTTGGCGGTGGAGCTTAAGAAAGCTTCAATGCAAGACGCCTAGCCGCGATGGAATCATATTAAATACGAATAATGCACTGGATTAAAATTCACCACTTAATGTCACAGAGACTCTGAAGTAATTCCCCGACAATCCTCTCTGCCATTCAAATGTAACGAAAGTGCTGATCGCTGAAGGAGGAAAGCCGGCCAGACTCAGACTCCCCCACAAAGTCAGGTGTCCGCCCTCGCGCGATTGGCTGCACCGACTGCTGTAGGTACCTGGCCTCATGTTGTCCGACTGTCTTTCTTCTCCTCCTTCCCCTATCAATAGTTCTTGTTTAACAGCCCCGTCTTTCCTTACCCCCCTTTATAATCTTCATTTACATTCCTACCTCTCTAATTGATTCCTCTATAACTCTTCTTGTCCATCCTTGGTCTCGCCTGTCGCTTTCCAGCATGCCTCTGGAAGCCCGTGTGAAATCTGTCCTGTCCGGCGACACGGTGGTGCTGTCGCATATCACCAACCCAGGACAGGAACGCATCCTTAGTCTTGCATATGTCTCAGCCCCAAGGCTGCGCAGAGAGGGCGATGAGGTGAGTCTCTTTCTTCGAAATTCACTGGTGATTTCAATGCGCGGGACAATCTTCCTTCTGCCTGGATAGGTGGCCTCTACATCGGGGGCCGGTTGATTGCATTCCAGCCGGAATTTCACATTCCTGACTCAATTGATCCCTTCTTGATGTGTATATCAGCTATCGCATTCAAATAAACTGCGGGAATTTTGCTAACTGCTTGTTTACTTCTTGCAGCCGTACGGATTCCATTCCCGTGAATTCCTCCGTGAGCTACTCGTCGGAAAAGTAGTACAATTCCAAGTCCTGTACACTATCCCTACTGGTGCCAAGCGCGATTATGGTACCATTAAGCTCCCGAGCTTCGACGTTTCGCTGCCCGACATCAGCGTTCAGGAAGGATGGACCCGCGTCCGCGAAGAAGCCGGCAAGCGCAACGACGAGTCCGAAGAAACTGTGGCGTACCTGGAACGGCTCCGTGCATTGGAGGAACACGCCCAGACGGAGGGCAAGGGAACATGGGCTGGAACGGAGAAGGGTCGCACAGAGACCACCTACGAGTTGTCTGACCCCAAGAGCCTGGTCGACGAATGGAAGGACAAACACCTTGAGGGTATCGTTGAGAGGGTCTTGAACGGTGATCGATTGATCGTTCGTCTGCTCCTCTCTCCAGAGGAACACTTGCAGGTTGTCGCTGCCATGGCGGGTGTCCGTGCACCATCAGCCAAGCGGGTGACTGCTGATGGAAAGGAGCAGCCTGCCGAGCCCTATGGTGACGAGGCGTTCCAGTTCGTCGAGTCTAGAATTCTGCAGCGCAAGGTCCAGGTATCTCTCCTGGGCGTCACCCCGCAGGGTCAATTGATCGCTAGTGTTCTCCACCCCAACGGTAACGTTGCCAAGTTCCTGCTGGAAGCCGGTCTTGCTCGCTGCCATGATCACCACTCGGCCCTCCTTGGTGCGGAGATGGCAGCCTTCCGCCGTGCCGAAAAAGTGGCCAAGGACGCCAGAGTTGGCCTCTTTACTGGTCTGGTTGCTTCCAAGGGTCCTGCAGGCGGGGCCGAGGACTACATTGTCAGCCGCGTGCTGAATGCAGACACCCTTTTCATTCGCAACAAGGCCGGCCAGGAGAAGAAGATCAGCCTCAGCAGTGTCAGACAGCCCAAGCCGTCGGACCCTAAGCAAGCACCCTTTGCTGCTGATGCGAAGGAGTTTGTGCGCAAGAAGCTCATCGGCAAGCACGTCAAGGTTACCGTTAACGGCAAGAAGCCGGCTACGGAGGGATACGAGGAGAGGGATGTGGCCACGGTCGTCCAAGGAAACACCAACATTGCTTTGGCCCTTGTTGAGGCGGGTTTCGCTTCCGTCATCCGCCACCGCCAGGATGATGATGACCGGTCCCCTGAGTACGACAACCTGATGCTCGCTGAAGCCGAGGCCCAGGCAGAGGGCAAGGGCATGTGGGCCGCTAAGCCCCCCAAGCCCAAGCAGTACCAGGATTACTCTGAAAGCGTTCAGAAGGCCAAGATGGAAGTCTCCATCCTCCAACGCCAGAAGCGGGTACCCGCCATTGTGGACTTCGTCAAGTCTGGATCTCGCTTCACTGTTCTGGTTCCTCGTGAGAATGCTAAGCTGACCCTGGTCTTGTCGGGTATCCGGGCTCCCCGGTCCGCCCGCAACCCGGGTGAAGCATCCGAGCCCTTCGGTCAGGAGGCTCACGACCTGGCCAACAAGCGTTGTATGCAGCGTGACGTCGAGATCGACGTCGAGACCATTGATAAGGTTGGTGGATTTATCGGCACCCTGTATGTGAACAAGGAGAACTTCACCAAGGTCCTCCTTGAGGAGGGTTTCGCTACTGTTCACCCCTATTCCGCCGAACAGTCCGGCCACGCGACAGAGTACTTTGCTGCGGAGCAGAGGGCTAAGGAGGCCCGGAAGGGACTCTGGCACGATTGGGACCCTAGCAAGGATGTTGTGGAGGAAGAGGAGGCGCCCGTCGACAGCAGCAACGGCGCTGAAACCGAGGCTTCCCAGCGCCGCAAGGACTACCGTGATGTGATTGTCACCTACGTCGACCCTACCAATGCACGCGTCAAGGTCCAGCAGATTGGCACAGGCACGTCTGCGCTGACGGAGCTGATGAGTGCGTTCCGTTCTTTCCACCTCAACAAGGCCAATGACACCCCGTTGCCGGGACCTCCCAAGGCTGGTGACTTTGTGGCGGCCAAGTTCAGTGAAGATAATGACTGGTACCGTGCCAAGGTGCGTCGCAATGACCGTGAGAACCAGCAGGCCGAGGTTGTGTACATCGACTTTGGTAACTCGGAAGTCCTGCCCTGGTCCCGTCTGAGACCCCTGAGCCAGCCGCAGTTCTCTGTTCAGAAGCTTCGCGCTCAGGCGGCCGATGCGGTCCTCTCCTTCGTCCAGTTCCCTGGCTCCGAAGATTACCTGCAGGATGCCGTCGCCTTTGTTGAGGAGCAAGTTTACAACCGCGAACTTGTTGCGAACGTTGACTACGTTTCCCCGGAGGGAACTCTGCACGTCACCTTGTTGGACCCTGCCGAGTCTAAGAACCTGGACCACAGTATCAATGCCGACATTGTGCGTGAAGGTCTGGCCATGGTTCCCCGCAAGCTCAAGGGCTGGGAACGGGCCGCCACGGAGACGCTGTCGCACCTACGGTCCGTGGAGGAGGAAGCGAAGCAGGAACGTCGGGGTATGTGGGAGTACGGCGACCTGACCGAGGATTAAAGAAGCCAGGGTGGTCCTCTGGTTGAGTCGCGGAGGGAGATGACTGTACTATTATCCACACACGGTGCTTTATGTTGATTCCCATGGGCGACGAAATCTATGGCTTTGAGGGGGTTTATACTTTGGCAGCTCGCGATCGACCTGCTAGATTTAGTCTAGGATATTTGAAATACTTCTGAATAAGGATACCAAAAGTTGAGCCATCGTTGGGCCCTTTTGTGCTCGGCATAACCGCCTGCATAGATGACGTAAGCCATCGCTGTGCTCTTCCCAGTCTTACGGCGACTGTCTTTTCCGACTGCGCAGTTGACAGCGCCCGTTTCTCATCCTTTGTTCCAATTCCCCGCCACCGTTCTCGTGTTTGCGGTTTCGCTCGTTGTTGAACATTTGGGATTGCCATCCGACGCTGCCGGCGCCTTCTCAACCTGAAACGAGCTCCCGACGAACTACAGCCGTCTTCCGCCGACTCCGAGCTCAGCTCGTAATTGACCCGCCCAATTTTCGGTGCTTCACGCCTGCGCGTTTGCTCCTTCTAAACACCACCAGTACCTATCATCCGCGCAATGCCTTTCTGGGGATCAAAGGCCTCCCAGCCGCCGGCGGAGAGCGACGCCAGCTCGACGCATGAGGCATCCGATCCTAAGAACGATCCCGTTGCGTCGGCCTCGCAGGCGGCGGGCACGGCTTGGCTCGCGGGCCACCTGCACCATTTGACCGATGAGCAGGAAAAGAAGCTAGAGGATTTCAAGAAGCTGTGTGAGGAAAAAGGCTACTACAAGCCCGAGCGGGAGGGAGAGAAGGCCACCCATGATGATGCGACGATGCTGTATGTTCCATCCTCTAGCGGTTTGCCTCATCACAACCCGCATTGCTTCGTTGAATCCTATTGACGGGAAGCTGACTTGCTCTCTCTATAGGCGCTTCCTTCGTGCACGCAAGTTTGACATTGACGGCGCTTGGGGCCAGTTCAAGGATACGGAGGATTGGCGTCGGGACAATGCCATTGAATCGCTGTACGAGAACATCGAAGTGGACTCGTACGATGCTGCTAGGCGGATGGTTCGTGAACCGATGATAATCATATGGTGGCAGCGACCTAACATGGCTCTCTTTAGTATCCCCAATGGACCGGTCGTCGAGACCGCCGCGGTATTCCCGTCTATGTTTTCGAAATCAAGCACTTGAACAGCAAGAACATGGCCGCATACAACTCGACCATGTCCTCTTCCGCCTCGACTTCCGAGACGCACCAGTCCTCTACGGTCCCGCAGCGTCTACTGCGCCTTTTCGCTCTCTACGAGAACCTCCTCAACTTCGTCATGCCTTTGTGTTCGCAACTCTCTCGCCCCAACCCGGAAACGCCGATTGTCACATCAACCAACATTGTCGACGTTAGCGGGGTTGGACTCAAGCAGTTCTGGAACCTGAAGGGACACATGCAAGATGCCAGTGTACTGGCCACTGCTCATTACCCGGAGACGTTGGACCGGATTTTCGTACGTCTGCTCCCTTAGCGCAATAAGGATGCCTGCTAAATGGATACATCTAGATCATCGGTGCTCCCTCCTTCTTCCCTACCGTTTGGGGCTGGATCAAGCGCTGGTTCGACCCTGTCACCACCTCGAAGATCTTCATCCTCTCCGCCGCCGAAGTCAAGCCCACTCTGGCTGCCTTTATGGACCCATCCAGCATCCCTAAGCAATACGGTGGTGAATTGGACTGGCAGTGGGGCGACATGCCCTACCTTGACGAAGAAGCCCGCAAGCTCGTGGGGGTTTTGGAAACCCCTCCTGCCGAGGGCGAAACCAAGCCTAGTTTCATCAAGGGCCCAGTTTTGTTCAAGGGCGACCACGTCGAGGTTCTCGGGAAGGTGAACGGCGAGAGCCGGAAATCGGATGTCCCTGTTGGTGCCTCTCCAGCGGAGTCGAGCAACGGCGCTGCTCCTGTCCCGGCTGAGAAGCCCACCGAACCGGAGCAAGAGCTGTCCGAACCCGTCAGTGAGAACGAGAAAGTCCTCCTGCAAGAGCCGGCTTCGGCCAACGAGGAGAATGCCCCCGCGCAAACAGCCGCCGCTTAATTCATCTTTCCCTTTCAATCTTATATATCACCTTCTGCAGATTTCATTCTTCCCATTCACCATCACAGATACTAATCAAGACCAGCGATCACCCGATTCCTTTTTCTTTTGACCCACCTAGATAATCTACCACTCATACAATGCATCACACAGCATCTATAATTACTTCCTGGACCGGGCTATCACCTTTTCGTACTTATTCACCTCACTTTACTTCACTTCAGTTCCACCCTGTCTTTCTTCAACGAGTATCTCATCATTTGTTACATACACGCATACCCATATTTCCTGTTCAGGGTCTAGAATATCATCCTTTCAAGGCAACAAGATAATAGAACGAGACATTATTCTATTTCGGGTTACTGTGTTTTTGATTCATCTGTTCGAATTGCATACTCATCATTCATCAATTCATACCATATCTTTCTCCCTTATGATCGTGTTAATCCTCAATATTCACATGTAATTGTTGACAACTCACTAAGATCTAACATCAGATGGAGTTGGAGTTGGTCTTGCATTTGTGATGTATCTAGTTCGGTTCTCTGGTTTGTAGTGACTTAGTTACTATCTGTCTCAGTTCCGTTATTACGTTTAGTATCTATCTATTATCTCTTCTTCTTACTCTGTTTGAGTCAGTGGCTCTACTTATTTGCGAACGTTGATAACATTGATATCTTACTTGTCTGCTTTGTCCTGGGTTAGCTCTGCATGAAGATGAGATAGATGATGTACTGTACTTTTTTCAATAGGTACGCGTATGCAGTGCGGTTTTTTGGGGAGGATGTTTGTACTATCAATTGTATTATGTCTTTACATCGTATAAAATCTGAGTAGCTAGCTAGCTGGCTTGTTGCTGCGTCTACTCTCCCCAATGGTTCGTTTACTATAATAATAATAATAATAATACACACTGCTGAACTCATGAAGACGCTTTCCAGATGGCGTTGATTTGTTTTCTCCGGACCTGTGGGACAGAGGATTGGTTAGTTGGTTGTGGGTTGATAGAGGGATGCCAGGTTGTGTGGAGGAGTGGATGATAGAGGGGGAGGGACATACCATTGGCGCTAGGATGATAACACCCGCTGTCAATGCCACGATGGTCATGACTAGCTGCAACTTGGAGAACCCCTTGCCCAGGACATCGAAGGCCTGGCTGGGAGTCACTCTCGTGGAGAAAATGTCTCCGCCAAAGGCGAAGATCAGGCTGGTACTTTCTAGGAGAGTAGGGGTGGAAAGGACCGTCTTGATTCCGGCGACATCGCGCGAGTGCGAGTGGTACCATTTGCCCTCGAATTCGAGGAAGGGGTTGTACTTGAAGAGGCCTTCCTCGGCCTCGGTGGTGGTCGGGTCCCGGCCGATGGGACGGCGCGGGTCAAGGACGGGGCGCGGGATGCCGATGATAGAGTTGGAGGAGGGTAGGGTGCAGAGGAGTTGGCGGACCGTGATGCCCTGGCGGGTTTGAGTGACGGCCATGTGAGAGATGGGCTCCGGAATCATGAAGGCCTGCGAGATCACGTGGGGGAGAGGGAGGTTGGTGATACTGGAGTAATTAGATGCGGAGTCCAGAGGGCCGCGGTCGTTGGGGATAGGGGACTCGTAGAGCTCAGAGATCACTAGCTGGTAGCCCTTGGCAGAGGAGGAGTCGACTGCGTCGGCCCAGAAGGAGTAGGCAAACCAGTTTTCGGAGATGGCAGAGGAGATGGGCTGGGTGGGGTCGACCCCTTGGTGGGTACTAGTATGGAGGATTCTTCCGGAAATTGCATCAAGGAGATAGAAGGTGGCTGAGCTCTCGCCCACGGCAGTGATCAGGGCGAGGTTGGGGTTCAGGTACTTGTAGAGGACAGACCGGTTGCCCAGGACTTTACCAATCGAAGCAACAGGGTCGTGGGAGGGTCGCGCGGTGGCATGAATGATCTTCTCGCCCGGAGGAGGCAAGAATTGCCAGGCAGGAGTCTGGTTGTCTCTGGCAGCCCATCCGAGAACACGGCCATCATCGCTGAGCGTCACAAAGAATCCCTGGCCATCGACAGACTTCAGGGGCGCACCGTCCTCCTTGATACCGACAGTCACAGGAGCGGTGTCACCGTAGGCGACGGCAACAGAGCGAATCTTCGTGGTACCAGGGGTGCGTTCCAGGATCTCACCAGAGGAGACATCCAGAGTGACGGAGCTGCCATCATCGGCATGAATAGTAGCAGAGCCAGGCTGAGTGAGAATCGCTTTCACATTCCACGACTCCGTGTCAGCGGCCTTGACCTTCCAGGACACGGCGCCGTGCTTGCCAGCATCAAGGGCGTAGACTCTTCCGTTCTCTGTGGCCACAATAACAGGCCTAACGATCCCAAAGCCATCAAGGTTGGACACCTCATCGGTCAAGATACTGGTGAAAATACGCTTAGGGAGCCCCTTCAGCCACTCGGGGAGATGCTGGAGGTCTCTGGCGTGGCGCTTGACACGGTGCATGTAGGCTCCGTAGAGACTCTCGTGACCTTCAACTTCTAGCTGATGTGCCAGATCCTCCTGGGCGTCTTCCTCGACCCAGGCAGCGGCCAATGCACCCGCGAGCGCTTCGTATCTGGTCCATTCCGTCTGGCCGTTGCGAATCAATTCCCAATCACCGGACGCCAACGCAGCGGCCGATCGGACAGCAACAGTGTCACCCTTGGCAACAACTTCCGACACGGAGTGCAGAGCTTGTTCCATAGGAGGTGCCTGGTGGGGCCATCTGCCCAGGACGCCATGGGAGGCCGAAGAAACAACGGTCGTCTCGGACTGGGTGATGCGGGTGAAGTAGACATTGGCATCCTTGCTGCTTGTCGAGAAGACAGACCACCCCTGCAAGCGAGGGAGCTCGTAGGCTTTGGATACCAAGGCGGATGTCAAGTCGACGTGGTAGACCTCAGCCCAGGTGGTGGACTCGGTCTCGTAATGCACAAGGAAATGCGGCAGCGATTCGAGCTTCTTGGGAGCATGAACAGTGATGGAGCTGATGCTCTCGCCACTTGAGTTGTCGGTATCGAACGCGTGTACCTGCTTCGTTCCGATGACGTTGACCTTGAGCGTCTTGTGTGATTGATCCGCCCAGACAATGATCGGGGAGGCGGTGTTTGCGCCCACGAAGAGAACGGAATCAGCGCTGAACACGTCACCTTCCGAGCTCAGGATCTGCTGCTGGGTTTGTCGACCGGTCAGGGGATCCAATGTCACAACCTTGATTCTGTATCCTTTCCGCGCGGATGGCTGCAGAGAAACGTAGAAGACCTCGGTGGCCGAGGACGACAACTGGATGGGAATGTCACCACTACTCGAGCACTGTCAGCGAGGGAAGCTCCTATAGAAAACGCGAGGGATTGGATTCGCACCTTTCGTCCAAATACTCCCATTTCGTCTTACCCGAATCTCCATCCAATCTTCTGACGACGCCAGCCTTCCCGCCAAAAAGCGCCACAGTGTCTTTGGTCGCCGGAGCCGCACTGACATCCTCCAGCTCCAGGAGCTCGAGATCAGCCACCGCTTCACCCTCAAACCAGTTCTCCCAAATCAATTTGCCATCCAACGCACTCCATGATGACACATAGTCGCCAAGAGCGCTCACCAGAGCGTTTGTGCCCTCGGAGGCCCGGAGGAGACCGTGTGCACTGGGGTGGGCCACGGGCAGGGCAGATCGCGAGAGGTTCTGTCTCCAGACCAGCGAGCCATCTTTGGGGTTCACGGCACCGAGAAGCGACTTTTCGGAGAGGGTGTAGAGTAAGGAGGCATTGGAGGCCGCGGACGGTTTGAGGAAGAAGGTGGACTGGGAAGCGGGCAGGCCGAGCAGGGCGTGATGGTAATCGATGTGGTTGACCTCGTCGCGGTAGATGGCCAGCGACGAGGGAACGCACGAGGCGAGCAGGAGCAGCGTCGCCTGGAGCCACATGGTTATGCCCGATATTCTGGGTCGGTCATTGAAGCAGCAGCTGGAATGGCCGGAGACGATAAGCTGCGCTATGGCGCTATCAAGGTGCGGGCGGTGATGCAGGAGCTCGGGCAGAATCCACCCTTTACCCCGTACTTAGTGCTGCACATATAGGAGAAATCTTCTAATGGACCATCTGGCTGGGCATTACATATCAACTTCACATGGCCCCATCGAGCCAGAAGATTGACATTTAACAAAGGTCCCACAGAATGAGAAGACATACCAAGCAAGGAGAGAAACCCCCAGCCCGCCATCATAAGCCCAAAAGTCTGGCCAACGATTACAGAATAGCAAACGCGAGCAGAAAAGGCAAAGCGACCCCATGACAAGGGGAAGGAGTGATCTTAGTATGACCGCTGTTTGAGCTATGACTGTATCTTGGAGATAGGAACAATGGAGTTGGGGAATAGCTAACTAGGAGAACCAGGCACTATAGGGAACCGGAAACTATTGACAACGGAAGGGGGTTTACGCCAAAAGATAGTTCCTCAACTGCCTCTAAAATCTGAACACTAAATCTGTCTTCAAAGGATTTGGTATGATTGGATATAGAACGATGAATGCAATTTTACTTTCCGTACCGTACAAATACAATGCCTCGATTGCCCGTGCCATATGCGATAAAAAAATCAAGCTTGACCGAAGCATGCCTTGTTGGCAGCTTCGACAACCGCTTTTTCGCCCTCACTCATATCGGCGGTAATCTCCCAGGGCTGGTTACCCATGCCCATGGCACGCAGACCGTCCGCATCGATCGAGTTCCAGTCCAAGGCTCCTTGGAATCCGATCTCCCCAGGACCGCCGGCACCGGGGAAATCCCAGGGCGGGGAGTAAGCAAGCGCAGCCTGTCGCTGCTTGAGCAGGTACTCCACATTCATATCGCACATCGGCGTGGCAGGAATGTAAAGAACACTGGAGTCACCCTTGCCGCGATGTTCCTTGTCGACCGAGTGCAGTGAATCGCAATGCCAGGCGACGTAGTCACCCGGTTCCACCTCGGGGACGGACACCATGGTGGCTTCGAGTTCCAGGTGAGGGTGAGTGATCGGGTTGTACTCTTGGCAGGCACCGGGTACGGAGCCCGGGAAAGTGTTGTCCAGTGCAGGTTGCAGGGTTTCGGGGTCGAAGAAGGGTCGCAGGATGGTGTATGCTGTGCTGTGGGTGATCATGGGGCAAACATGCAATGAGCCTTCTCCGGGAGCTGTGTTGGACATGGATAGCCATCCCTGGAAGAACCGCAACATCGAGCAAGCACCGGCTCCGTTGTACAAGTCCATTTTGGCTGATACACGGTGCTTGGCGTCCCATGGATCATAATCTTCCCAGTTACCCTCCAGGATCTTCGTGTAGACCTTGGAGTACTCGGGATCCTCCCACCGCTCGAGTGAGCCACCGTCGACATGAGGGCCAAGGGTGAACTTGGCGTCGCCGGGTTGTCGAATGCGCAGTCGGTCTGCGTAGGTCAAGACGTTTCTGGTGGAGATGGGCGTCCTGGGATCAGACGAATGCCACAGACGTTGTAGGAAGCGCTGTGTATCGAGCATATTCGGATGTGCTCGCGCCTCTGCCTGTGATGGAGTCCAGTACAGCTCATAGACAGCCGGGGATTCCGGGGGGAAGGCTTTCACGCGCTCTTCGTTGGCAGCAGCGTAGTCCTTGATTCTTTCCTTCCATTCCAGGGCCTTCTCGCGAGGCAACACGTTCCTGATCACTACAGATCCCCGGTGGCGGATCTCCGCAAGGAGATGGTTTGGCACCGTGCCATTTACCACGTCGGAGTATTTCACTGAAGGGATGATCTATAGCTATCAGTACCACTCTCCCGCGTAATAGAGTGCTCTGGGGATTTACATCGCTGCCCTTGGACTTGATCTTGTGTACCTCCTCCTCCAGGCTGGGAAGGAGTCTCTTCCAGCTCTGCTTCAATGCTTCTTCATTCTCCTGAAAGTATCGTAGCTTCAGATCTTTGAACCGCGACGGCAGTGGTTCCGGCTTATAATCCGGTCTCAGACTCGGAAAGACACTGGAGATATCGCCTGCGGCCTTGGTCATCTGCGAGGCTGAACTCGAGGTGGACGCGGCCCGGGCGGCCGTTTTTGAGAGTAACTTAGACATCGACATGATCTCTGACTCTTCCAAGATACGTGAAGTGTGAGCATCTCCTGTGTTCCCAGGCAGGGTCTTGCCTGTCTATTATAGCTGGAAGTACCTGTCGGGAGTACTGATTGGGTAACCGGCCCGACTGCCTAGAATGGTAGACACCCGCCTTCCCCGCAAATGCGGGATTCGGGATATCACGGGGCCCTCAAGATGGCGATGTTTAATCACCACAATATGCACGCAACGGGGTGCGATGATGCAAAGAGATGATATGAGAAGTTTTCTAGCTAGATTTGGAAATTTTACCGAATCCAGGGAGTGAGGGCGGGTGTACGGAGTATGGAGTATATCGAAACGGCCCAATAGGCAATTGACGCGACAGAAACCCAGACGGGCAGATCGGCACCTTCACCGAGGCGGGCATCGCGGCAGCTGATTCCGCAGCAATAGGCCGATAGAGTTGAGACACCAACCATGCTCTTTTATGGGCTGGGATATACCTGGCAAGTACTAGCATCAAAAGATGTTGACTGGCTCAAATATATATACTAATGAGTAGAACTAGTAGATGCATGGAGACGTCAGTATCGGAGATACCAGTCAACTTACAGGATGCTCTATCCTCGGCCTTCTTCCGCGCCTTATTCTCGGCCTAACGATACTGCGATATCCTCCTGCAGACGGACAGGAAGCCGGCCCCGAGGTCGCGCATCAACCCCCTCCCGACGAGCTATAAGTAACGCAGGTCATCCTGTGACTTCCAGCAACCACCACCCCGAATCACGACCATCAATCCCACGTCATTATGTCATTTTCCGTACAAGGACGATCTGCTATTGTGACAGGCGCAGGATCCGGTGTGTAAAAGTATTAAAGTCAGCCAACAGACACTAATAGCAAATGTAGGCATTAACCTGTCCTTTGCCAAACTCCTCCTCGAGCGAGGATGCAACGTCCTGATTGCCGATCTCGCTCTGCGTCCAGAGGCACAGGCCATCGTGGATCAGTACTCGATCCAGACGAAGACTCCACGAGCCGTCTTCCAAAAGACCGATGTCACCGACTGGAGACAACTCGAGCGCATGTTCGAGGTGGCTGAGCAAGAATTCGGAGAAATTGACATCGTGTGTCCCGGCGCTGGTATTTTTGAGCCGGTACAGTTTTTCCACCCACGCATGCCCCGTCGAGTATCGCACAAGGGATGGTATAGCTCACAACTATCATACAGCACTGGACGAACTTCTGGCGTCCTCCCGGCACGCCCGAGAGCAGAGACCCACGATATGGAGGTCGATTTGCCCTGCTGGACATCAACCTCACCCATCCGATCCGTACAACCCAGCTAGCAATTGCTCACTTCCTTCGCCATGGGAGCAACCAACGACGCAAACACATCGTCCATATCTCCAGCATCGCCGGCCAAAACTCAAACCTTTGCGCTCCGATATACGTCGCCACCAAGCATGGCATCAATGGCTTGGTGCGATCGCTGGCGAGCCTTGATCGCAGATGCGGGATCCGCGTCACGGCTGTTGCGCCAGGAGTCATCAAGACGCCTCTATGGACGGATCATCCGGAAAAGCTGAAGATAGTGGACGAGAGGGCGGATGAATGGGTGACACCCGACGAAGTGGCTCAGGTCATGCTCGCGCTTATTCAACAGGACAAGGTTAGTGGGATCATTGGGGATCAGGAGGGTCGGCATGGTCCTCAATTCCCAGTAAGTGGCGGAACCATCCTGGAGGTGTCCAAGACGGTGCGTTCGGTGGAGGCCTTCAATGACCCGGGGCCTGGGAAGCGACCGGGAAATACCGCATCTGATAATGATGCGTTGGTCGAGGAGACTTTTGGCCTGCTGTCACAGAGCGGATGGGGAATACCGAAGTTGTAGATGAATTGCAGCGACTATAATCGGACCGTCATATACTTTCTTGCGAAGTTTGTCTGTCTCTCAGAGAAAACCCTTTACCGTCTGTAGGATTCCGAACAACATGGCATGGAATACTTAAATAGAAGTAGACATCCCTCCGCTTTTTGCGTATTTCTCTTTGCAAGAGGCGGATGACTCTTATAAGGAAGGAAACGAGGAAGACACGGAGGAAAAGTAATAGAAAAAGGCAGACGTGGGCAATGTCAAGAACAAGGCCACACAGAGAGGACAGGGGTTGATGATGCAAGGTGGCAGTCTACAGAATCTAGACGAGGCCTAGGAATATGAGTCTCATGAAGCTACTATATACTTGGCTATACACGTAGTTGACAGAGGATTCTAGGAACAAGATATTGGGTTGGCCTTTGATTGCAACAGACACTGCTTTGTGGATCTTATGGTTCTGTTCACAAACATGTATTCATGAGAAAACCTCTTCAAGATCCTATAGTGACATTGTGAGTAATCTCCGTGAAACTCAATTAAGATCGCAGCGGAGGATCTTGGAACAACAACATCATTCCGAGAGCACCAACTCAATCCTCCTTCTACTTTGGCGAAAGTGAAGGCTCGGAAGAGAAGAGGAATATATTTACCTGAATGGAGAGAGGGGAATAGGATAGGATTGCTTAAATCTTAAGTTTGTCGAGACAGTCTGGTGCTGTTAAATGCAACTTGCGCAGTATATCTTGTCCATTCAAATGCGGATACGAGAAAACACTCCACCAGTGCTTGAGACTATCTGCTGAACTATGTATACTCCTCCTCCTCTTCTTCGTCTTCTTCCTCCTCCTCCTCCTCCTCCTCTTCGTCTTCTTCCTCCTCCTCCACTTCCATCTCGCTATCCCAGTCGGAGTCCTCTCCATACACCCCAAACGCAGTAAGACGCCCAAGAGGATCATCTGGGTCGAGGAAAAGTTCTTTGTCGGTCGCGTAGGCGGCACCACTGAGGGCAAGTACCCGATGTAGGACCCACTGCATGTTCAGTAGCTCCATGGATGGAAGGGGGTGACCCTCCGGGTCACCGGTCTTGAAGGTGAGAATGTCCCCAGAGCACAGTCTCGTGTCCGTGACAAAATTAACCAGCCCCTTTTATATTGACTGTTCGTGCTGGGGAGATTGGGAGGAAAAGGACAGGGGGCTGTACTGACTCGCATTGCCCCGCGGTATTTATTCATCGGCAGCCAATAAAATTGGACTTCAAGTTGCCTTTTATCCTCACTCAGGGACAGAGGTTTCAGGGCAAAACCCGCCTTTTCCCATAGCTTATGGGCCATATTGTTCATACACATTAGATTGGAACAGGTCTCTGTTCCATCTGGGTCAAAGGTCTGTTCCTCCCAGGCCTTGACTTGTTGTGGGCTCCAATAAGTCCCCAAAACCTCCCAGAAGTTCTCGAATCTCCCTTCACCCCTCTTGCCGAGGCCTTTTGGGAATATATGTGTAACTTCAACTGGTAAAGAGCAACCGGTGAGAATACACGTGTCATTATCTCGCTCCTTGCACTTGGTCGGATCAGTAAAACATTGACTCCATTGTGTATGATGTTTGTTCAGCTTACCAGCTTTTTTGCATGATAAGCCGACTCACTTAGTGATAGAGAAGTGGCTTCATTTGTAGGGCCTGCCGTCACGGTAGAGGATGCCCCTAAGGGCCGCTCAGATGTTTGTTTTCCGGTCCATGTAGGAATCTTAGAAGTCTGTCGCGGATCCGAAGCAAGCCGGCGCTTCTTAGCTGGAGTCTCGTCTGTCTGTGTTCCTTCGTCTTCAGAAGGCTCTCCCAGGTCTTCATTGGACAGTGCAGTACTTCTAGCCCGAGCTGCCTCTGGTGCTGTATTAGCTTAATCTTGTTTATGTGGCCAACCGATCTACTTACAAGCTGCGATAGCTTGTGTTGTCGGGTCATTTTTTGACAAAGATATCTTTAAAGCATAGGATATGCTCCGCGGATCCTGCTCAAAGGCTTTGATGATCTCCTCAATCGAAGAGAGATCTGCAAACCACAAGCAAGCCCATCCGATCGAATCAGTTCTGAAGTCTCCCCTAATGCGAGACAGCCGTGTGATCAGGTCGCGTCGCTGTGGATCGAGGAGCTCGTCTGCAGGGCCCATCGTCGCCGGTTGGACTTGGTCGGACTGGTCTGCAGGGCCCATGGTAGCCGAGTAGGCTTGGATGGAGGTACGAGAGATAGATGGTGGGGTGGGAGTGGATGTCGACATCACGATAAAATTGGCACCAGCTTACGCCGTGTGTCAACGGGGTGAAAGATTGAGGAAATAGTGATACCAGCTTACGTTGTGTGCCACGGGGGAGTCTTAACGAAGATTAAACTGATAGAGGACGAAGTTATGATTGAGGGCAACGCAGTAAAGCGGCAGAAGTTGGAACTGAAGGGTGGGGGTGAGAAGAGAAGTGAGGATGAGTAGTAGAAGTCAAGAATGAGGGATGGTGCGAATTTAAGAGGAACCTTGTAGGAAAAAGGCAGTCAGGATGATGTGATGATAGAGTGATAGTTGCTTGAGAAAGAAGTAGGTAATGTACCTACCAAGGTAAGTAATGATTCATAAATAGTGACGTCGCGAAGCCAGGTTCGAGGCGTTTCCACAGACGTTGGTTTCTACCTGGTTTGGATTGTGTGTCTAAACGACATCTTGAAGAAGTGGTTGATCATATTGACGAATTGCAGCGCCAGTTCCTTTCTTCTAGTCCTCTAGTCCTCTAGTGGAGAAGTAGTTAGACCCTGAAAAGCATGAGGAGCCACCCGCAGCAAGATTTTTGGATTACAGAGAAACTGTGCGACAGATCTCATGAGTGAAGAATTCGATCAATGACTGTCTGTCAAAGTCCAACGCTTATAGAAGGACACGGCAGCCTATCTAGGAAATTCTACTTCATTAAATGAGCCACACCCGCGAAGCAACTTTGAGAAGCAGAGTGCATGTCAGATACCTCGTATAATTTCTATGTCATATGAGAGCCCAAATAGTGCACCGTCAGCTTGTCCGATCCGTTACAGTCCCTACCAATCGCCCCTTTGCTTGGGGCATTTGATTACGGTGATAGGATTGCGGCCGAGATCACAACCCTCTCTGTTTAGTGTCAGGCATCGCTCCGATCCTGTCCTTGGGTCGCTATTGGCTTGCAGGGCCATTATGGCAAGCATCCCGCCAGTCTGTCTCACTGTCGTTCGAGGGGCGCATATCCTGTTGACGGACACCTCCACCGAAGGGCTTCTGATGGCGACCTCGGAGGCATTCAGGAGCTCGCCTTGCTGTGGTGGCTCCTTCCGTACTAGCCGGTCAACCACGGGCTGAAGTTCCCACCCCAGCAATTCTATATTTCCCAGGCTACAGCATCGGCCTGGAGAAATGGCCTGGTGGATCGAATATAGATCTCTTCTTCGGATGACCCGCAGCGGTAAAAGGGGAATGACATCCGAGGGACCAATTGGCGACGGCGGAAAAACTAAAAATACCAGCATGACTAAAGGCCTCCACCGCCTCCCGCCTCGCCTGGCCGGTCGGTCGGGTTCGCTGGTCATCCATCATCCACTCTTTCATTCATTCTTCTTATCTCCGCATGTCTCTCGGTCCCAACCCCTCTCTTTAATTCTCCTTGCTCTGCTCCTAGCTGATATCCGATTTCCGTTCCTTACCCGACTGCCGGCTCCCTGACCGCTGCACCCCGGCACCGCTAGTTCGAGGGACCCCCAACCGACTATGGTTGATTGATCACCGCAATCTTGTGTCGTGTGGCCACCTTCAATCCTTATCTACTACTGCTTCCTCCCCCCCCCCCAAGAATTTCATCATCTCGAGACCACTTCCCTTACCTCGCACCCTCACGATGATGGACGATGAGGCTTCGGTCGGAATTGGCTCCCCCCGAGCCGGATCTCGAAGGTGAGCGCCCTCCAGCCTTGCCGGTCTCTCTTCTCTCCTGCTTCTTATCGCTCACGGTGATCGCCATCCGTCGCAGACACGGCGGCAAAGGGAAACGAAGCTCCGGTCATCATGGGGAAGCCAGCTGGGTCAGCTGTGTGATCAACCTGGTCAATACAAGTAAGTCGAGTCGGCAACCTCCTTGCGATCAGTGCTAACTGCGGATTCCTTCGGCTCTGTTAGTTATCGGTGCGGGTGTCATGGCCATGCCTCTCGCAATCTCCCACATGGGAATCGTCCTCGGCGTCTTCGTGATATTGTGGTCGGGAATGATGGCAGGCTTCGGTCTCTATCTCCAGTCCCGGTGTGCCCAGTATTTGGAAAGAGGCACCGCATCCTTTTTTGCCTTATCACAAATCACCTATCCTAATGCAGCCGTCGTGTTCGATGCCGCCATCGCGATCAAATGTTTCGGAGTCGGAATCAGCTACCTGATCATCATTGGTGATTTGATGCCGGGAGTGGTCCAAGGGTTTGTTGGCGGTGCTCCGGACTATGATTTCTTGGTGGACCGGCATTTTTGGGTCACGGCGTTCATGTATGCTCCCTCCGCATTGAATACGACTGCAGGACTCTGCTAACAGGCTGGTCTCAGGTTGATCGTGATTCCGCTCTCGTACCTCCGCCGGTTGGACTCGCTCAAGTATACCAGTATCGCCGCTTTGGTCTCCATGGCCTACCTGGTCGTTTTGGTCGTATACCATTTCGTCAAGGGGGACACGATGACGGATCGGGGCCCGATTCGCGTCATTCACTGGGCCGGCCCGGTTCCCACGCTCAGCAGTCTACCGGTGATTGTTTTTGCGTTTACATGCCACCAGAACGTAGGCCTCCAAATCACTCTATCTTGCTTCTAGGTGCATGGGTCTGACCGGTCTCGCAGATGTTCTCGATCTTGAACGAAATCGGCAATAACAGCCATTTCCGAACCACCGGTGTGGTCCTCACCAGTATCGGCAGCGCCGCGGCCACCTATATCCTTGTGGCTATTACTGGGTACCTCTCTTTTGGAAACAGTGTTGGTGGAAACATCGTGAGCATGTACCCGCCAGGACTCTGGGCCACGATTGGCCGCGCCGCCATTGTCATGCTGGTCATGTTCTCGTATCCACTGCAGTGCCATCCGTGTCGGGCTTCCGTGGACGCCGTGATGCGTTGGAGGCCCAAATCCTCGTCTGCTAGCGACACCTCGCCTCATCGACACCCTCTCCTGGGCCAGAGGAGCAACCGAACCCCCGAGCCGATGAGTGACCTCCGATTTTCTGTCATTACTACCACCATTCTCGTCTTGAGCTACATTGTCGCCATGACTGTCTCGTCCCTTGAAGCGGTGCTTGCCTACGTTGGCAGTACGGGCAGCACCAGTATCAGTTTCATCCTCCCCGGGCTGTTCTACTACAAGATCTCCTCCCCCGATTCGCCCCACCATCAGCGTTTGATGAAAGAGGACGACGAGGCCGCCGAGGGCATGCTGTCTGATGATAGCCAGGATGATCCCGATGGCGACGAGAGCGCGCCAGCGCGTCCACTGACGGAGAGTGGCATTCTCCGCCGGGGGACGCGCCAGTGGCGCCGATCGCTACTCCGAAAATTGAGTTTGGCGCTCGTCGTATACGGGGTGGTGGTCATGGTTGTATGCCTGATCACCAACTCTCTTTTCATTGCTTCCCACTAGACCGGTGGGTGGGGGTCCATCTCCACAAGGTTTGACCTCGTGTCTAGAATTAAACTTTCCACCACGCTCCTTTGATTTCCTTGTCTTCCACGGTTCGACCGGTTCTCGATCTAGATCTGAGGTCCTTCATGATTACAGTGTCGGTTCACTATACCATTGCAATGGCGTTGGGGTATGATTTGGTCTAGATATATGCTTCATTAAAGTTGAACTTTGGAATAAACTTGATCTGATCCATCCGTCCTCTCCTCGGTAACGCGTTGCAGTAAATTCCTCTGAATGTCAGGACTTTACCAACTGTACGGAGTAATCTAACTGCATTTCTCTTCCAGTGCTGCCAACACCAGCCAATCAAGTACAACTAGAAAGTAATAATAATAATCAAATAATCATCATCACTACATGCCTTCCCCGATAGCTTGCTCTCATTAAAGCCCCAGCTCCGCTACAGCGAACGGTACGCACAGATACGAGTACATACTCTGAATAATATGATCTGATCGAAAAGGAATAAGTGATTCCACCCCCGATTCATGACACCATCTACGAACCGTACTAATTCCTCACGTCTCTTCTCTTCTTCTCTCTTCTCTTCTCAGTTCTCCCTATTCCAAGCAACTCTCAATATCCAGTCAGTCATAGTATCAGTTGATTCAGTTCAAGTTCTCATACTATCCTTCTACAATATACATACCATGAATACCGTTCAATCTCATGCCTAATTCAATTCAATCCACTTCTCCTCCCAATCCTAGCTTTCCATCAATACTCCTATATATATATATATATATAGTAATCAATCTAGACAAACTGAACCGATGCGACATTCGTCGGAAGTTACATTACATCCTAGGAATACTCCAAATGAGGGGCTCAGGTAGACGGTACCTACTCGACTGCTAGATAACAGGGATAGAGGGGTGAAGTTACTATCGAAGATAATTAATCTTCTGTATTTTGATCTTGGGGGTGGGATCTATTGGTGGGTTGGGTTTTTGTATACTTACTTCATTGGGAAGGAACGGATCTGCGTAGATAGGTAGATAGGTAGGTAGATAGGAGTGAGTGAGCGTGGCTCTGAGGTAAGCTATGCATACTTGGCTAGGAGGGGGTTCTGATTGAATGCAGGCTAGAGGTGCTGTACTTGTTTCAGATTAACTGGAAGGATTGAATTGATTCTAAATTCTAATTGGGCTTGAGGATGGGATGACTTGTTGGTTAGCTCACTGAGAATTCTATTGCAGTGTGTAAGATTTTAAAGGATCTTCTTGTGGGTTATTGCTACTCGGTAAGGGAGATGAGTGGCATGTAGTTATGTACGTGATTTACTATAGGATTGGGGCTTGGATTAAGCATAGATGATATACTGTTTATTGATGAATGTAAGAACAAAGCTGAGTGGATCTGAAGTTCTGAGGTTAAAAGGAAAAGATGAGCAGAATAAACAAGAGCTAAGCTAAACTACCTAACCTAATGAACAATCGATATCATTACGCATACAAGCAAGCAGTCAAGATATTCATCGTACCGAATGTCATCTCGACCCCCCTCATCAACTTACCAGACACAATTTGGCCACGTCACCACTGCTATCACTAGTTGTTGCTCTGGTTATTCAAGATGCGCAGAATAGCCAAGAACAGATTCAGAATGTCCAGGTACAGGGAGATCGAGGCCGCGATCTCCTCCTCGACATGGTAATGTCTCATCACCAGCTGCGTATCGACCAGAATGTAGCCCGAGAAGATCAACGCCGCCAGACCACTGTAGATGAGCTCGACGGTGCTGTTGGCCGGGAAGAACACGGCAACGAATCCAAAGAGGATCAGGAACCACAGGCTCCCGAAGAGATAGGGCATCCAGCTGGTGAAGTCGTACTTGGTCTGGCAGGCGAAGAGAGTGAGGGCGACGAACAGACCCAGGGTCAGGATGAGGGCTTGGATCACGATGCGCGCGCTGTAGAAGGAGGTGACGACGCTGATGGAGTAGGCTTCCAGAAGGGTGAATCCTGAGAGGAAGAGGAGATTGGCCGGGTAGGATTTGCGCTTCCAGTACGTGACGAGCATGAAGCCGAGGGCGCCAAAGACGGAGACGAACATGAGCCAGGAGTTGGTCTGGATCCAGGCGCGGTAGTTGGGGCTGAAGAAGGAGATGGAGCTCATTATAGTCGTGAGGAGGAGTTGGGCGGTTCTAGTAGCGTTAGTTGCGATCTGCGATGCTGCGATTTGCGATGCTGCGATATAGATGTTGGGAGAGGGGCTTACAGGATCGCATAGACCTTGCGGATGAACTGCATCCGGATGGGCAGGGTGCCCTCTGCGACAGTACCACCGAACTGTCTCTCGTTAGCTGAATGATTCCCCTCACGGTGGCAGCGTACCTTGAAGTCATCCGGGACATTGTCGTCCTCACTGCGTGGCGCTTGTGGGTACTCGGCCGTTGCCTGATAAGACGGCGGGGGCTGGGTGTAGGCACGCTCTTCGAAGGAGTCGCGCTGCGGAGCAGGCTCATATCTGGCGTTGGCAGCCATTTCGTATGTATAGTCTCTGCGATGTTAGCAAAGTGAGGTGGATAAGAGAGATGATGTTGACGCTTGACAGGGGCTTTGACAGTGGGGAGAGGAGGCGGAGAGGCGGAGAGGCGGTGCGGTCGAGACGCGCCGCGGCTCAACTGCCTGGCAGGTGACGTCGGCCGCCATCACCTGATCCACCGTCCGTGCCCTAGGCAGCCAGGGTCTATGCCCCCATGGATACATTCTACTATGTACAGTATGTCGCACAGTCCTGCAAGATCGGAGATGCGCACGACGATCGTACCACTCATCCCCATGGTGCCAGACCTTAGCTCAACGTCGCGGTTACTGGATGAAACGTGCTATATCCGCATTAACCCGATAGAAAAAGGAACAGATCTTGCTCATCATTTGATAGCATCATGCCTCTATTATTTTAGTATGTATCATATCTATCATAATATATGCCATATAAAAAGCCATCATGCAAGCCAGCCACTGACCCTCCTCTAATCCCGCTCGTGGTAGGGAAGTTCCTCCACGATCACATCATCCTCATCCATGAACACTCTCGCGTCATTGTCCTCATCGTCCGTCGAGTCATCCGGAGTATCCATCGAGCCATCGACGGTGCGGGGTCCCTGATCCGGGTCCGGCCGCTTCTTACGCTGAAAGTCTTGTGCATGCGCCGAAGCCAACATGGACCCGACACGAGAGAGACCGCGAGTGCGGACAGACATGCCGGGCGTCGACGGGGTCCCATGTTCCACATCGCCGAGCGTAGGAACCGGCTGCGGCTGCTGATCTTGCAGCGGCATGCCATCCGCTTGCTGGTCCCCGGGTGGATGCGGTGCAGCCACCTGGTAGGGCAGGGGCACATCCCTTGACGCCCGGAACAACAGGACGTTCGTGCAGTGCTCATTCTCGACACGAAAGATCGTCCAGACCCCTCTTCGACAGACTTCAGACAGCGCAACGAAGAAGCTGAGCACTGCCGAGTGCTGTATATCCTTGGTGAAAATGGCATAAAAGATCCAGTTAAACCGGACCACAATGTCGATGACCATCGCGACGTAGTATACCCATGCTTGGCGAAATGCCAGCACCTCCCGCAGCAACGGGCGCTTGGCATAGACATTCCCTAAACTCCAGTCCATGGCTAGATCCCACACCGAGCAATACACGGCATTGAGCAGCGCAAAGGTGATGAACGGGGCCTGGAAGCGTTCCACTTTGTCGATGCGGTACATGCTCAGAGTGACATAGTAAAGAACGGTGAACATATACTTTCCGAAGTTGAGCAGGTGCGGGAAGACGTTTCTAGTGTCGGCGTAACGTCGCAGACACTGCAGAGCTCTCCAGACACCGGGTAGGCAGGAAAAGAACCCCAGCAGCCGCGAGTGCGAAGAATTGCACTGGGGCGGATTATTCCAATGGTGTGCATAGAGGCAAAAGAATAATTCGATGTTCTACAACATTAGCCGGATTATTTCCTCCAGGGTGGGGATGACTCACGCCCATAGCGTACGTCTGGGAGCAATACATATCTCCGAGGAAGAAATCGCGAAACTCGACAGGATAGAAGCCTGCGAGTAACAGACGCCACTGTTCTTGTCAGGGATCATGCCAAACACCGAACGGGGGTATGGGGCACTGACGTTGGAATAGGCCCACCATTTGCGGCTGCGGTGATATAAGATCCTCACAGGCAAGAAGAGAATAACCACTGTCAGCCCCACAAGGACAACAGGCCAGTAGATATACATGGCGTTGATCGTCATAAAATTGAGCCACATGAAGAGTCCTAATAGAAAAAGAAAAAAAGATGGCAGCTACCGACGTCAGACAGGATCGACATTGAGATTCAAGATCCTTACCTCAGTCAGCTGGCGCCAGTCCAACGCATGCCTTGTATCGTACTCGAACACAAAGACATAGTTGATCTTAGCCCGGGTCCAAACCATGCAATCCAGGCAAAACAGCAAAAAGTGGAGGACAACGAGAAAATACCCTCCATATATCTGCTGGAGTTAGCGGCCGACCAGTTCACATACGGTCACATCACTAACCTGAAGCAAGTAGCTTGTGTTGGTCCGGATGTCACCGTCATGATCGCGGAGGTGCTGGACGGCGTATACTAATGCCTGGGCCGCAAACAGGACACCAGCCATCAACAGGAGGCCGGCGCGGAACGTACTCGGCGAATAATCTCCCGCCTTGTTGATCGTGTGGCGCAGCTTCGAAGCGGCAATCTTGCGGTTGCCACGCTCAAAGTAACGGGCGTACAAGTCCTCCGCTGCGGCCAGCAGGTTCTCGGTTACCTCACTCTGGACGAACCACGACTTGTTGACCTTCTCGGACATGTAGCGCATGGTAGGACGCCCACCGATAGCCTTGTCGTACTTTTTATTGATCTTGCGAAAAGCGGTTCGGTTGAGGTAGGCGTAAGCCTTGAGCAGCTCGACACCCCGGTAGTACTCCTGGAGCGCATGCTTGAGCTTTCTTTTCGCAGAGCGATAAGAGACATCGATGTTTGGCGGGTCCTCCGGTCGACGTGTAAAGTCCCGACGAGTCACCGTCCGGTTGGGATCCTGTCCTTGCATAGCCGCTGACGGGGTGCCCAACTCCGCCAGGGCTTTGGAATTCTTCCCAAAGTGACGTCCCGCGAGAGCGTCCCGTATACCGAAACCGGTGAACCCACCAAATCCCCCGAACGGGTGGGACTTTTGCGTCCCCTCCTTCTCAGGCCGGGCTTTCTTGGCTCCTAGTACCTCCTGGGTGCGTTGATCGCGCATAATATGGAGCTGGTGTCGGAGCACCTTGAGGCGTTCGGCAGCCTCCTCTTCCTTCATCTGGTAAAACGTCTCGATTTTGGACAGCTCCTCATCAAGGAAGGTGAAGAACTCGTCTTGCCGCTTTTCCAACTCGGAGGCGCCGTCCAAGTTGCCACGCTTCTCTGGAGAATCCCAGTCCGGATAGGAGAGGACCCGCTGGAGCAGCGAGCCTCTCCTGGGTGTCGGGCCGGAGATGGTATTTCGTTTGGGCTCCCGATTCACGCTTAATTGGGGCGTCGAAGGGCTCCGTCGGGCCATGCCCTTGGGCGCTGTCCGTGTGCTCGCATGGCGTGACATCACCGGAGACGGGCTCTCCGGCACACTGCTCCGCTCCGCATCCCGCTCGGACGAGTACTCCTGTTCCTTGGGGTCAATTGCGGGATCGGGCAGTTGGAGAGAGGCGACATCCGACGAGGCCGCGTTCAGCGGTGGAGAGGCGACAATACTTCCGTAGCTTCCCACGATGCCCGAGAATCGAGACCCCGGGACACGCAACGGCTGGCGTTCGCTCCGACTGGAACCCGAGCGCGGCGAGCGTGGGGTCGGACCATTGCTTCTAATCGGCGTGGACGGGTTGTGGGACGGATCATGAACCTCGAGCCTGCTACTGGTGCGTTGGAACGGAGACGGACGATCAGAGCCGGCGGGTCGCTCGAGCTGATCACCGTGGACGGAAGCATGTCGCTGAAGGGAGGGATGACTAGGACTGCGGGGTGCTTTTTGGAGGGCGCGATTAATCGTTTTCACTTTCTTCTTGCCGGTCTACGCCACGAGACGCCGTTAGTCTGGGGACTGCAGCCAGAAAAGCAAGCATGGCGACGGACATACGAACCTTGTAGTCCAAATATTTAGCCCGCCATTCTGGAACGAGTTGCTGTTCCAGCTCCCTGTTCACATGTACCCATTGGTTATTCTGTGCCTGTGGATTCAGCAGAGGTGGTGATAGATAGCACTAACTTGGCGAATTTCATCGTGAGCAGACGGAGATGTGGCCGGGCATGATACTACAGCAGAGCCAGCAAGCGACGGGACCGGGTTATATGCAGGACGAGCGATCATCAACAGTAAGGACCGGTGAGCGACAGAAAGTGTCAATGCATGTGCTGGAAACGGAGACCCGGATTTTGGCTGGCTGGAGGCGTGGAGGGCCCCGAAAATCTCGCTGTTGGGTATCAGGTGGTCCAATAGTCTGGGACCGGGACGGTCATTCTCGAGATACGAAGCGCACCAACCAGGACAGGCACCAGGGGGGAAAGCGAGGGAAAAGACGACCCAAAAAAACCTTGAAGTTCGATAGATCTCGTCATAGTGCGAGAGCTGATTCATGCCATCTGCGCCATCAGCCCAATCGCCGGTCGAGGCGCCTGAGAGCGCGGCCACCTGATAGGCCCGGAGTTTGCACGTGCAGCACGCGATGAGCTCATTTGCACACAGGGCTGCTACTTTGGCATGAGGGACGCCCCTCGCGGATTGGCTCGTCGTCAGGCCGGACTAATTATCCTGATTGGGTTGGGGGACGGGGAGGCGGCCAACCCGCCGGCCAGACCGCCTCGGCCGGAGGGACATCCCGGGAAGCTTTCTGGCACGCCCATGGATGCATGGGCCGGGTGAGGCAACTGCCCCTGTTGAGGGGGTCGGTTTGCTGGGACGCCGATGCTGATGAAGTCGACCACGCGCTGCCAGTCTGTACACTCCCTGGCCAAGCCCCCGAGCAGATGCGGGTTATTCGGGCATCTCGCGTCGAGTACGCAGTACGTACACCCTTGCCTACCGTCAGCGCAGGATAATCCGCGAGCCTTCCTGAACGGGTGGAATCCTGCATATCCGTTCCCGGGGCAAGGCCGCGCGGTGTCGGTATCCATCTCAGATCCACGAGTCTACTGTTTGTTTGTTTGAAGTACTTCAAAGTTGGTGTTTATCGGTATTCTTGGTATTCATTTGGATATCAGTTTCGCTTTATTAGAATACATGCAGGACATGCCATGTTTCAGCACTGCCATCCCATGGTTATTCATTTCATTCCAACACAATCATCACATCCCCGTCGATGGCTCCAACCAGTGGTCCATCGCACAGGTTTAGTGCCAGCCACGGCCACCGGGACCGAAGCGGTCATGAGGAGGGAAACGGCCGGGGTCGAACTCGGGGGCCTCGTGGCGCTGCTCGTAGTGCTGCTCGTACATCTCCTGAGCGTTCTGCTTGGCGTGGTGGTGAGCCTTGATCTTGTCGACCTCGTCCAGACCCTTGGTCTCAGCGAGCTTCTCGATCTCAGCACCGACGAGGCCGGCAATGGCCTCCTTGGCGAAGGAGTGGCTGACAGTCTTGCCTATAGGTCATGGGTTAGGTGGGGTTCGTCGTGGTGGATGCGTGGAGCATGCATACCCTGCTTGCGCTGGTGGTCCTCGAAGAGCTTCATGGCCTCGAAGGAAGCGGCACCGGCGATCAACTGGTGGGAGACGTGACCCTCGTGCTTCTTCTCGCCGTACACCTCACGGTGAGCGTCGTCGGATTGTTCTATTGGAGCGAGGTCAGTCGCAAGCCTCGATGCTGCACGATACGAGTCAAAGACAGGGGTGCCTGGTCAGGCCAGATGGAAATGAACGTGCAGGAGGACTTACCCCAGCCCCAGGCCATGGTGATTGATGGATTGTAGAGAAAGGTGAGAGAGGTAGAAAGTAGTGGTGGATGATGAGAAGAAAAGGACTCGACAGGAGGGGACAGAGGCTCTTATATACGTGGTGCCTAGACAACCGACCCAGCCCTCAACCCTCAGCTCTGGCTGCCCCTCCATCGCCATCACCCGTGCCCCACTGCCTCATTCGCACGGAAATGGCTCAAAGGTTGGGGCATGGCTCCAGGGGGTGGATCGAGGGCAGATCTCATCCAGTGAGTGGACTGGGGGCCACGCTGGCCGAAACCTCCAAGGGGAAGCGCTTGGGGCGAGGGGTCACCGGGATGGGATGTGATTGGAATCAGCCATCGCTTAGACTCTCCCGAGGCCGAAAATCGAGGCGCCAGACTCGAAGATTGGCTACATCCAGCCACAGCCTCGTGGAGCGATGTGATGGGCTCGGAATTCCACTGGGGGAGGGGTAGCTACTAGCGAGCTGAACCGCGGGTTCACAGGTCAACCCGTAAGACGGATGGCGTGTCTCCGGCAGGAGATGAGCATCTACCCCTCTTCTTTATCTTGGTGGCAGTGCTTTATCTCGCGGAGGATGGACCATACTATGTACGGTAATCCCTACGCAGCCTTTGCTGCAAGCATTCAGGCGGACGGTGAGACCCGGACTCGATCACCGGGATCATCGCTGGGACTGCGTACGTACGCGTCCCAGGGTGCGAGCAGATGGCTGCTGGGCCACTGGGTCAGGATGGGGATCTCTCAGCCTTAAGTCTGGGCGAATCCATCTTGGCTGGTTTAGCGCCTCAGCCACAGCTTGCCCAGCCTTGGCGGAAGTGAAATGAGCCGGAAGCCGTGTGATCTTGGTGAGCTTGTTTGATGTATCACTCTCCAGGATGGTGGTCTATTGATGTTATCAAACTAGACGAACGTCAGAGGAATATCGGCAGCTAAACCGTTCCCGGGCTGACAGCCTCCAGGAGTTCAATCGACTTTAATCTGAAGGCCACTGTTCATTGGGTTCTATTTTGGTTCGGTTGGCCTCGATGCGACCCCACTTGTGCCCGATCACCGACCCGAGAAATCCGGCGTCTCAATAGTTTGCCCCTCTGTGGCGTGGTGGCGGTGCTTACGTATGGCTAGTGTGCTGTGTGCTGCGTGCTGCAATATGCAGGCTGCAGTGTGCAGTGCTGCTGCAGTGGATGTCAGGGATAGATGGGTGTGCTTGATCCGCTAGCTAGGATTGATGATAGTGGTACTTGGATTGTTTCATCTGGCGCTGGCTGTAAACGTGCATTCTGCCAGTTTAGCTGTAGACACTGAACGCAGGATGACAGTCATGACAGTCACTTGATCATGATTCTTCAGGTGATACGTACATAGTATGTGCAGAGATACGGAGTACTGCTGAGTGCATTTCACTGCACCGGCACACTAATCCCAAACAGGCAACCACCTCATGAGCTCAAATCTTCACCACCACCAGATTCCTAGGATACCTCAAGGACGTTCTACTATACTTCTTATTCAACCAGACATACAATACACCCTCTCATACTACTACTAGCTCTGCAATTACCCACATACAATCATACGAATGACCACCACTACAACAACAATCACCAAACCGCAATAACCTCACCTCACATCACCACACCACACCACCCAACCCCTCCAACAACCATCCCAAACTTCACCACCACCACCACCACCACCACTACCACCACACCAACCCCAAAACAAAATGCCCACCCCCCCAACCCTCTCCTCCTTCCCCCCGCACCTAACCCTAACCATCACCCCTCCCTCCCCTCAAACCCATACCCCCTCCTCCCAAAACCCATCCCCCAACATCCTCCTCCTCCTCCACTCAACCGGCGACACATCGCACAACCTAACCCCCCTGGCCCGCGCCCTCAACCTCCCCGAAACCACCACCATCACGCTCCAAGCCCCCACCCCGCTCCCCTTCGACCTGGGCGGTTTCCACTGGGGCGACGACATCACCTTCACCCCCGACGGAAACTTGGACATGGACGCGGGATTCACCCGCTCGGTGAGGGTTATTCTCCAGGAGGTTATAATGGGGGTGTTGGTGGGGAAGTGTGGGTATCGGGTTAGGGATGTGCTGGTTTGGGGATTGGGACAGGGGGGGATGGTGGGGTTGGAGGTTGCGAGGGCGTTGGAGGTGGGTTTGTATGGGGTGGATGGGGTGGATGGGGTGGATGGGGAGAGGTGTCTTGGGGGGGTGGTGTCGATTGGGGCGCCGGTTGGGTTGGAGGGGGGGAAGGGGTTAGGTGGAGGAGGAAGGAGTGGGAATGGGAAGAGTAAGACGCCGGTGTTGATTGCGGCGGGCAAGGAAGGGGATGGGACGGTGGTGACGGCCGCGGGGGTGAAAAGGACGCAGGAGTGGTTTGAGTTTGTCGAGGTCGTGCGGTATAAAAGACGTGGGGATGGGATGCCGAAGAATCGCGAGGAGATGACCCCCATTATGGCGTTTTTGGCGAGGAGGTTGAGGAGTTATAAGGGTGTGCCGGAGGGGAGTGTGGAGATTAGTTAGGGTGTGGAGGAATGAATGGATGGTGGTATTGTATTGTACATGATGCTAGCTATCAGGCTGCTGCTACTGCTACTGCTACAGCTCCTTCAGAGCTTGTCGTGCCCGCTCGATCGTCTCTCTGGCTGTCTTGTCTGCTGGCACTTCTTCGATGTGGCCTCCTTGTTGTACCGTCTCGCGCAGCTGGGTCTCCGTCTCGAGCAGCGCGGTCCGGCCCTCTTCGCGCACCTCGTTCTCGAACCAGTGTCGCGCCGACTCCCACTTGCGCTGCTGACGGCGCAGGGAGTAGATCAAGCCGACGGCGGCCATGGTGCAGGTCTCGTAGACGCTGGTGGTTGGGAGTGAGATGTATGTCAGCGCGGACAGCGCGGAGGTGAGCGTCGTGGTCGAGATGCTGAACATCACCAGCCGCTGCGCCAATGCCTGCAGGGACGGCACCGTCGTCTCCAGGAGCCGAGTCCGACTCGTCGGGATCTGTGCCGGCCAGTTCGTCTCGTCTTGGGTCTCGGTCAGTCCGGCCTGCTGGTACCGGCCGGCAGTCCAGATCACCTCCCTCTCGGCCTGGCGAAGGTACTTCCGGTCCAGGATCTCCGACGTGATCATGCCCACATCGTCCACATGCCAGAAGAGCTTCCACCACGCCAGTCCGCGCCACGGCTTGCTGGCGAAGCCCTCCTCGAGCGAGCCGCGGAGCTCCGTGTGTGCTCGCTCCGCCCACGCAGACACAGACCGGTCGAGAACATCGCGAGTCTCCCAGCTCACAGCACCAGCTTCCTGCTCCTGGTGCTTCTTCTGCTCCGCCGCCGTGGCACCCGCATCCGCCGCATCCAGGAGAGACGTGATCAAGGTCCGCAACGACGGATCCAGTGTGCCTTCTTCCGCCCGCAGCGACGCCAACCAATCCACCACCGGCTGCACACCGCTACTGTTCCAGCCCCGTTCATAGAGCGACGCATTCTGCACCGACTCACGAAACTTGGCCAGCGCGTCATCCGCCTTGTCAATATCCACAAACGCAACCCGTCCATTATACTTCTGCGGCTGCGTGACCGCCAGCTCAATCGCCCCGTAGACCGACGCCGCCTCCTTCTTCAAGTCCGACCGCGCCATCAATCCACTGTACGCGAGAAACCCATCCACTCCACTCCCACACACGATACTCCGATGCACCGGATACCGCACCATATTATGCCGACCCGAATGCGACGTGCGAATCGTAACTGTCGGCACGAGGAAAGTATCTGCGGTAAACCGAGCATTCGAAACATCTGCCTCAGCACCGAGCGTCGTCACCAGGATCTCCAAATTACCCTTTTTGAGTATCGGCGAGGGCACCGAGATCGTCGGAAGTAGGTCATTCGGAATAGTATCTGAGACTTCGCCGTACCTGCATCTAGTCAGTCCGACCCCATCCCCCAAACATATAGAAAATAGTAAACACCCAAACCTACCGAATCAACAACCCCCGTTCCGTATCCTCCCCATACGCCTCCAACGCATCCTCCCAAATCTCCCTCTGATTCAACGGATCCGCCAACAACAACCTCACGAGTCTCCTCGCCGCCGCCGCATCATTCAATCCCAGAACTACAATCATACCCATTAGCACACACACACACACACAAAAACACCCACTAACACATCCCCCTAACCAAACACATAAGGAGTGAAACCCACCAGCAACCCTCACCAACGGCGTCTCCGTCTCCAACCCCCTCAAGGCAAGCTGCAACCGACTAAGATTCACCTGTTCCGTCGCAATATCCTTCACCTGGCCCAACGCCTCATGCAGCTCCTTCAATCGCGGAGGAATCGTTCTCGTGTGCACGACCGGGGCGGTAGCGATGGTGCGGCGTGAGCTAGCTGTGATGGTGGTAGGCAAAGGAAGTCGGCGACGCGTGGAGAAGGAACGCCGCCAGAGGGAACAAGACGGGCAGTAGAAGACGGATGTTGGGTCTTGGATGGGTGACAGGCTCTTGGGGAGCGAGCCGCCGAGTTTGGGAGGCATTGGCGGGTTAAGTTGGTTGCGATGGGGGAGGGGGTGAGTGGTGGTGGAGGCTTGCGCAGGGCCGGAGTTAGTTGATGATGGATTGGTTGTGTCGGGCGGCGGGCTTGGCGGCGGAGGTTAGTTGGGTTAGTTACAACTATGGAGTATTACGGAGTATGTGTGGAAGCAGTACGGGAGGGCTAGATGGTTATACTAGTGTTTAGCGTGTAAATGAATTTTGCATTAATGGTCAATTGCAAGGGTTGTTTGGTGCAGTTCTGCTGAAGTCTCATTATGGGACGACTAGATGGAATATCACCATGGCAGAGTTACTCTGATTTGAATTAACCTCAATCTGCAGATTCATGGTGTATCGATTCATCAACTCATGGTCCAACGTCACGGACGTCGATGCTGTGCAGGAATTACATGAAAGCCCTCCTGTCTCCATTATGCATACAGTATCTTCCCGACAGGTATAGGCGTAGTCACGGCCGGCCACCGAGCCGCACCTCGCTCTATACGCGGAGCATGCACCCCGAACGCAGACCCCGAACGCAACCCCTGCAATGCCGTTCGAAGAATGCTGGCAATAGAGCTCCTTCCTCCACATGCTCATGCTTCGCGAGAGTCCCGAGCACCATCCCTTTGTCGTCGGGTCTTGCCCGATCCCGCCGACCTGACTAGTTAGCATGCTTCCGATAGATCGTCTGGCAACACTTACATGCTGATCCGTCGAGCGACGGTGGCCAAACCAGCATCGTTCTCCGCCTCATGATGAGCACGCTCCAGGGCAATACGGCGATCCTCCTCACTCCGCCGGAAGACCTCCTCCTGCGACGGGGGCAGACGCTCGTTCTGCAAGTCGACCTTACGGGCATCTTCGAAGTTGGTGATGGCCTGCTTGATACCCTCCGCTCCCAGCATCAGAGTACCCGCCGGGAGACGACCTCCAGCAGCGGTCTTGAGCTCGGTGACCCGCTCGGACTCTTCACGCAACACCTGGAACACACGTGACAGACGTCCAATAGCAAGAATCTTGTTCTTGATCGCCCGGCGCTTGAACTCGCTGCTCTCGACATCCATTTGCGCCGGAGGAGATGGAGGCGCAGTAGGTGACACGGACGTGGGGGTATCGTCTTCAAGCTCCTCCTTGGAGCAGGTGTTGAGAATGGCAATGAGCATGTCCGTGATCTTCTCACCCACGAAGGGGAGGGACCAGGTGAACACGTCCATAAAGTTCGGGAGCCAGTACGGGTGTGGCGTGCAGTTGAACTGTCGGATGTTCATGACGTTGTTCTCGTATTTCAGCACGGCGGCCTTGTTGTTGTAGACATCCAAGTAGTTGGGGGCACTGAAGATGGTCATCACACTCGGGAAGCCGGTCGTACGAGTCTTGCGGTACATGCGGTAACCAGCGTCCTGGGCTTCGTGCGCCCGAATGATGGAGAGGAGGTTGTTCTTTTCAAGGAACGCGCACGCCGCGGGGTATGAGAAGAAATACGAGCATCCGCGGACGCTGTTGTGAATGAAGTAATCGCCCGTCTTCTCCTGCCCAAACTCCTCCAGGGGATCGGCCCAGAGGATGTCGCACATCAGGCCGTGAGTGGGGGGCTCCCTAAAGCGATCAATCTGTCGCACATCAGCACTGCATCAGCACGCACCAACATAGGCAAACCGATAACCTACCGCCTTGATGTCTTCCAGAGTGTGCAGCTCCGGGCTGAGACCGCCGTGGATACAGAGGAACTGCTTGTTCATGACCGCCGCCAGCGGCAACGAGCAAAACGACTCGATGCACGCCTCGTAGATGCGCTCGCTGTACTTGTGCTTGCACTCCAGCTTGAAAGTGAAGTAATCCGTCAAGTGTCTACACTCGTGATTACCCCGCAGCAGCCAGAGCGTATTCGGATACCAGATCTTCAGAGCCCAGAGATACAGGACACACTGTTTCCGTCAGTGGCAATCATCAGGCAGATTCGACCAACCCACCTCAATACTGAAATAACCTCTGTCCACATAGTCACCAAGGAACAGATAGCGAGTCTCGGAGGGGTCTCCACCGACTTCGAAGAGCTTCATTAGATCGTAATATTGTCCGTGAACATCACCGCACACAGTGATGGGCGCATCCATCTCCAGCAGGTTGGGCTCGGCCCGGAGCAGCTGCGTGCCGGCCTGTATGATCCATAGCGCCTGATCTTCGGTAAGGCGGCCTTCGCGGTAGAAGTGCTGCTTAAGGAACTGGAGGTTGGGCTTGGAAGGGTCTTCACGAGACCAGAACAAATCGTCCGGCGGGGTGTTCAACGCCGGCGCTTGCACCTCTGGAGGATGCCGGCGATTAGAATGGAGCTACCAAACGGTAGAAAGTGAAGGGGGGATCGCCGCATTACCTTTGATTACTCGCTCCTGGGTGGACACCTGAGTGCCATCTTCCATAACATGTAACGTAAAGTCGATCTCCGGGACCGGCTTTTTGTCCGTCACCGCACGCGCGATAGTGCGATCCATGGTGACTAGAGATGTAGAGAGGACACCGATCTTGGATCTGGGGAAATCGCAAGAACTTTGTGCCCCGGGGGGTGGAGAGGAGGCGAGAAAAGGGGAAGAGCTGCAACGCGGAGCCCAGTTGTTGGTGGGGGTTAAGCGGCGGCGGGATGGATTTCACACGCGAGACGAGGCGGAGGTCTAGTGGCGTCAGGAACGAGCTGGACGTCACCGAGGCCTGGGAGGGACAAGATGGGAGACAGAGAGAGGCCAGGCGATCAGGGGAAGCGAGGAGGTAAAAATTGAGGGGAAGAGAGACACGAGGAGAAGGCCGAGAAGGGCGATGGAGAGCGCCGGGCAGTGCAACCCGAATAGGAGATGGTCACTTCAGCTACTCCGTACTATCTCCTGAGTTCTGAAGCCTTGGGAGGCTGAAAGATGGGCGGCGCGTGAGCTGACACGGGTTCTGCAGAGGGCAGACTGCCGCTACGGAGACTCGGGAGCTAATCAGCAATACTTCCTGCTCATTCAGTCCGTCAGGCGTCTATCAATGATGGCTTCATTGATTCGTGTGTTGCTCGACGTCAGACCAACCGTAATTACCGTAATTCTCAGCCGGCCCATCATTACCGGATAGTTACCATCGGTTACAGTCCCTGTATTCTATTACGCGGGGACCTTCCGTCACTCTCCTCCTCCTCTCTATCTCCGTCTCCTTCTCTCTCATGTGTATCTCCAGCTACTCTCTTTCTTAATCTGCCATGTACGAATCCTACCGTAAGTCACTCCTTCTCTTTGGCTGTCCCCACTGACACCATCAGGCCCCCATCCCCTGCTGGCCCAGGTCGCTCTGACCGTCTCCCCCTTTATCAACCTCCCCACTTCCGTCACTCTCCCCTACACCTACAAATCCGTCCCCTCGACCCTCCCCCCTTCTGTAACCGTCGACCCCAGTAACCCCGACGCCAAACCTCGCTACATTGTCTCGCCCAGTGGGGAGCATGCCGCCTCCCCGGAGGAGATCCTCGCCGCCTGCAACTCCCTTGAGCAGCACCTGAACAAGACCCGCAGCGACGCCGAGAAGGCGATCCGGGACTGGGAGGACTCGATCACCCAGCGAGACCTAGCAGAGAAGAGGCGTGTGGCTCCAGGATGGTTGGACAGAGATGAGAAAATACTCCAACCCCTTCAGCCAAGTAATGCGACGTCGGCCCATCGAGCACATGGTCAACCCCAACCGAGTCTCCTCGACAGCTCATTCTCCGACCCCAGCGCTGCCGCATTGCCCTCGATGGTACCGCGAGACGAGGGCGAGGAGCTGGATCGAGCATTTGGCGGTCTGGATGTGAAATGAGTGGCTACATAACTGGAATATAACACCATCGGGATGCTATGGGAGCACCTGGAATTGATCCATACACGGGACACCGCAGATGCCATGACCCCTTACCTGGGGTAGCACACCCTCTCGGGCTCTCCAGGCTGCGGCAATTCTAAGCTTGCGCACCGCATCCTGCAAGAGATCGCAGGGGCAGCTTTGCATCCGGACCAGCTGGGCGGCAGACCGCAGTAGTCCACCGCGCCAGGCGAGGGATAGCCATGTTTGGTACCACCTGAACGAGCAGACCAGGATACCCAATTGAACCTAGAAGTCTAGACATCAATCAAGTAACACTGCCTTTCATATTCCATGCACGCGCATAAAGTTTCCGCAGGGTACGGAGTACCCAATCGACACCGGATAGTAGGCACCCGCCCGCGGCGGATATCAATCAGCACCAGCTATCGATTAGCTCTGCTCCGCCGAAGCTTCTTCCTCCACCACTCCACCAACTTCTCACCATCCACCCAACATCACCACCACAACCACACACCCCCAGTTCTTCAAAATGGAGACCCTCACCACACCCCCCGACACCACCTCCTTCATCCCTCTCGCCGAACACCAATCCCGCACCCCAAGTTCCTTCCACTCCGGCCCAGCAGTCCTGTACTCCCACCACCAAAACTGCAAATTGGTTATCCTGGAGCGCGATGTCCTCGCCATCCCAGCCCTGAGCGCTCTGCGCGGATCCCCCTCCACCGCAAACGGCACATCCAGTACCACCGACGAAGACAAGGAAATCGTCATCGAGGGTGTGAACGTCTGGGTTACATCTGAGTGAGTCCTACCTCCACCTCCACCCTACCTCCACCCTACCTCCAATCCAAAATCCAACCGCAACCACCTACCCAAACCAACCCAATACCCACGATACTAACAATGAACCACCAACCAGGAAATTCCTCCTCCACAACCCAACCACCACCAGCGGCCTGTCAATCCCCTACCCCACCATCCACCTACACGCGATCCAGCGTCTCCGTCTCCCCACCTCCCCGGAAGAAGAAGAACAAGTCCAGGGATTATACATGCAACTCGCGCACCCCTCCCCGGCACCATACACCTCCGCCGACGACGAAGAAGAACCCCTAATTATCACGATCGTTCCTGGGCCTGCGATCACCCAACAACAACAAGAAGACGAGGTTGAGGAAGAGGAGAAAGAAGAAACGCCCACGCAAACCCTCTACGCTGCCGTATTGGCGTGCTCGAATCTGCATCCGGATCCGGTGGAGGATGGGGACGAGGATGAGGGTGAAGAGGAGGGTGGATTGTTGCAGGCTGGGTTGGTTTCTATGGGGAGTACGGAGGGGGGATTGCCCCCGCCGGTGGAGGGGAGCTCGGGGTGGATTACGGCGGAGAATATGCATGAGTTTTTTGATGAGGAGGGGAATTGGATTGCGGGGGGGGAGGAGCCGAGTTTGTCGTTGGGGCCTGGGGCGGGGACCGTGAGGCAGAGGGAGGATGGCGAGGGGGGTGAGGAGGAGGGGGTGAATGGGGAGGGCGAGAGTGAGGAGACGAAGTGGAGGAGGACGGACTAGGTTGGTTTGGATACGTAACGATAGAATGATATCCAACGCGAAAAGTTACATGCATGGACGGTCACCCGAGCCAAGATTACATTATTTTGAATTACCCTAACTACGCTTATCTTTACAGTGAATAGTAGACACGCCCGCATGCTAACCAAGCAAAGGAGACAGACAAGAAACGAATCTCCGGACCCTCCGGAGCAACAGCACCTACTCCTTCAGAAACCCGTCACCGTCATACAAGCTCGCCGGGGTCGCGGCGCCGATCCCCAATCCCACCGGCTTTTTCGTCGGGGTGCGAAACCCTTGTCGGGCAGCGTAGTTGGGTTTGCCCGGCGATTTGTCCGCGGGCCCGTGGCTCTTTTGCCGTTCCGCTCGTGGTGCCTTGCCGTAGTTGCCAGAGGGCTCACTGGGCGCGACTGACGACTGCCGGGGCCCTTTGCGTTCGGACGCCTTGTCTTCCCAGATAGGGACAATTATTCCGCCGTTCGCGAGGAGTGGCTTGGACATGCCAGACGATGACTGTCGGTGGTGCTGCGGCGGCGGCCCCTGTCTGATCGACGGGGCATCATTCCGGCTGGAGTGCCCCGGGGGGGCCTGACTCCGTGGGCCTATCAGTTGTCTAGTGTCCCTTGATGTATCAGCTGCGCTTCGTCCCTGCTCCTTTCTCTGGTTTGGAGGGCGTTGACGCGCGGGGGGGCTTAATGGAGCCCTGACATTATCCTCAAGCGTGTTCAAGGAGCGATAGCTGTTGCGTGCTGCCGACTTCGGCGGAGGGTGCCGCGGTCCCTTGACGGCGGAGCGACGGGGACTGCCGGGGTTGGAAGAGTTCTCGAACCCCGTCGGCGAGCTGTTGTAGTTCGGGATCATCCAGACCGGACTATTCTTTTCCGGAGACGGTGTACTCGACAAACTGGTATCAATCTTGGGGGGCGGGAGAGTCGTGACGATCTCGGGCAATGACTTTTCAAGGTCCATAATGCGGAGAGTGCTATCCGTGGCATCGGTGGGCGGATTCACCCTTCGCTTCGGCGGTCCCTGGGGTCCCTGGGAGTTGCGCGGCGGCTCATCGGGCAACTCTGTGATTCGCGGGTGTTCCTTATGCTGATCCTGGTAGCTGTTTCTGTCCACGGAAAAGCTAGAGACACTGGAGCGAAGTGATATATGAGGTGTGGATAGGCTGGATACCTGGGCCCCGCTCTCGAGCTCAGGCTCCTCGGCCATTGGAGAGAAAACAGAGCCCCCGAATGTGATGGGTGGATGGATTGAGATGCGGACACAGTTCTGCCGGCGGTGCCCCTTGCGCGTACCATTGCCACCTTTGAGTGCAGACGGCAGCGGCGGTTTTAGATGACCAGCTGGGCCCTGTAGGGGAACTTCCTGCATTCCAGCACTGACTGGCCTCTGCCGTGAGGCGGGGTCATTGATCGTGTCGGGATTGCCTGTCCCATTGTAGAAGGGATCCAACTCTCGTCGTTGATCCCCATGCATGGTATGCCGCTGCATTTGGCTGAAGTGCGGCAACAAGCCTCCACTGGATCCGGACGGGTTGAGCGAAGGGGGACGACTCAGGTCTAGAGGCTTCACCCACAAGGACGAGTCCCGCCTAGACTTGCTTTCAGACAGAGACTCGCTGCGGCGTGGCGGTGGGCTGATGCGTTCCATCGAATGGGTCGGGCTTCGCGTGGTCAAGCTGCGACGAGGAGAGGTGCGGTCTGGTTCAAGCCTCTGGCCCTCCCACATCGCGCTAGCCGATGCAGGGAAAACGAATGGAGATGGCACGACTGGGCCGGGTGTGGTACGCCCTCTGCGATCATATTCCATTCGCCCGACATCGTTGGCATCAAACGGGGCGAACGTGGGGCAAGGGGGTAACGCTGGCGAGGTAAAAGTACTGTCCAGATTGGTCGATGTACGCCGGCTATCTTCCAGAATGGAGCTGTCGGCGGTCTCGAGACTCAGCGATGAGAGCCCGGTAGTATCATTCTTGGAGAGACGAAAGCGATTCGGGGGGTAAGCACACGGCGGCGGAGGGACCGGCTGCTCGGGGGCAGCTCCGGCCGTCTGGGACGTGATGCTTCCCCCTCGGAGCCCGCTACTACTGTAGGGCGGCCCATCTGGCTTATCCTCCATGAGCGGATACAGGTTACCAGACCGTTCCCTTTGGTGCATCAATGGCCACGCTCCGGAGACTGGTCGGATGGTCATGTTCGCTCTGATCTGCTCCTCTTCCCGGTCGGGCGTGTGTCTCGGGGTGGTCTCCGTTGCCAGTTCGAATGCTCCCTCGACCGCGGAGTTGGTCACACCTTCATCAATACCGGACACTGTCGGCGAAGCAGACTGGCGCTTCTCCGATCGCTCTGTCAGCGGGGACAGCGAACTCAGGCGCTGGGACCCGAGAAGGTGTCTGGACAATCGTGCTGATCGGCTCGACAGGGATCGGGTGAGGGAACGGCGCATCTCACGGGCTTTTTCCTCCAAGGGAGACGACGTGTCGGACTCGATTGGGGACTGGATGAGACTCTCCCGAGATGAGAGTACTCCCCATTCGGACGGCTTTCCGTATGGAAGCTGTCCATACTGTCGTAACGCGGTGCCCTCTTCCCTCGATAGTTCCGTCAGCGTCTCGCCGTGGTATTGCTGCAGGGCATATCCATCATGTTTCGCGTTTGCCACAGCCAGCGACAAGCGATCCTGACGGACCCTTATCCAAATGACCGTGCCAACTATGGCCGAAACGATGAAGATGACGGAACAGCTGACGGCAATCGCGATCACCGTAGTCAAAGGCGGCATTGTCGTTTCTTCCTGCTATCGGTGCAAGCTCGCCACCTGTTTTCTTGACGTAGGACGTGTTAACCCATGCACTCGAGTCGCTGCCTATTCTGCTTCTGGAAGTCGATGCCAGGTTGAGGATATCCGGGCGACATTCACAAGGGCTGAAGACCAGGCAAGAGTAGCAACCGCAAGCCACGGAAACGCCAGCACAAGAGGAAGCAAAAGACAAGCAGATCCATGATGGATGGAGGAGGCGCGCTCGTGAGGGGAGCATTGCGTTTGTTATGGCAGCCGGCCGGAGCACGGGAATGCGGTAGCATTATTGTCGGGTACGCGAGGAATGCTGGCAGGACAGCTTCTCTTTCACCCTACATAGTGGGAGATATTAGCTCACGAGGGAGGATCCTCATCAAACCAAATCCAGGTCTCAGGATTCCTGAGATGTTTGGAGCCAATGGATGCCTCGGAAGACGACAGCCGCCAAGGTGTGGTAGATCTACAACCGCGTCCATCGGACTGATAACTGGAAGAATGTCAGCAACACGGAAGAAATTGAGCAGCCTGTTCTCGGACGTTGTGGAGCGTGTCGAATTCCAATGTTGTTTTCCATGGAGGATAAACACGAAGCATATTGTGCGATTCGCCATGGGCCACTACTAGTAAGCTCCCGGCCTGTCATTTGAGGGTGATGCGGGGAATTCAGCAATCTTAGCATGCCATCACACCGCGTGCATGCTGTAGCTTCGAACCCGAACCAGCCTCGAGAGCACTGACAGGAGACACTTGCATTGCATGTAAACTCTGTCTCTTGTCGGGGTGAAGTGAGGTCAGAGTGGAGAGGACGGGAAGTAGAAGAGGAGATGAGGAGAAGCGGAGAAGAAGCGGAGGCGGAGACTTTCCTGATTTGGCAAACAGCGGTCACGGGCTGGGAGACGGAGACTTTCCCAATTTGGCGGCCTGTCCCAGCCGGTTCCGCCGGGCTGCTCGCTGTTACACCTCCTCCTCAGGAGAGAGTAGATGCTTTCTATTGACCTGGGTGGATCTAGCGGGGCAGCATGAGTCCTAGAATTATCCTACCCAGCACATGCTGGCCCGCGGCATCGACTAAGCAACATCTCCAATCCATCCAAGCTATGGCGAATCGTCTAGACAAGGAGACATCCAATGATGGGGATTCGGGCGATAAGGAAGGAAACCGAATACTGCAGAAGCAGAGTATGGCGCCGATGTCAACCCACGCCGACTCCCAATCCCTATGGACAGGCTTCTAGACTGCCATCCCGCTGGCGACTGGCGCTTAGTGTCATTGGAACCCACCGGCGAGAAGCAGCTGCAGTTCGGCCAGTCGGAGCAGCTATTCAACCCGGGATAACGCGAGTCCAGCGCAACTGCAAATCCGAAGAGAAGACAATGGCTCAGGGCCCCTCCTAGTGGGGTAGCACGTTGACCGTCGTGTGTATATTAAGCTCTGTCTGGCGGCATATAAAGACTGCCTGCCAGCTGGTCGATTCGTCTTCATCCCACTCTCTTCTACGCCTCTTTACTCGCCTTAAAACTTCCCGTTACTCTACAATTCAACATGGCTGCCAACCCTGTACAGAATGGACTCTTCGTCCATGAGAACACTGCCCCTCCTGCCCACCCCAGCTTGCTGAGCATGTTCTCCCTGAAGGGCAAGACGGCCATCGTCACAGGCGCCGGTGCAGGCATCGGTCTGGCCGTGGCCCATGGCCTTGCTGAAGCCGGTGCCAACGTGGCCCTGTGGTGGGGTTCTAATAGCAGTTGCAACGAGCGGGCAGCCGAGATCGCCTCCAAGTATGGCGTTCAGAGTCAGTGGCCTCGGCCCTCCACCTGCAGCAAACGTATTTTACTAACTTCGACCAGCCAAGGCTTACCAGGTCGATGTTACCAACGCGGATGCCGTGAAGGCGGCCGTCGACCAGGTCGTGCAGGACTTTAACGGTCGACTGGATGTTTTCATCGCCAATGCCGGTATTCCCTGGACCAAGGGGCCCATGGTCGACGGGCCGCTGGACCACTACACGAGTGTGGTTGATATCGATTTGAACGGCACCTTTTACTGCGCCAGGGCGGCGGCGGCGCACTGGCGGAGACAGAAGGAGGAGGGCACCGACATTAACGGGAACAAGCTGGACAACTTTACTTATGGTAGCTTTGTGGCTACTGCTTCCATGAGCGGTCACATTGTCAACTTTCCTCAGATGCAGGCGGCATACAACGCCTCCAAAGCGGCAGTCATCCATCTCTGTAAGTGATTTGTTACAGTTTTGCTGCATTCTATGTACTAATCCAACACCAGGCAAGTCGCTGGCCGTCGAATGGGTCAAGTTCGCGCGCGCCAACACCATCTCCCCGGGATACATCGCGACTGAGATCTCCAATTTCATTCCGGCGGAGACCAAGAGCATCTGGAAAGACAAGATCCCGATGGGCCGTGAGGGACAACCGGAGGAGCTAAAGGGAGCATACCTGTACCTGGCGTCGGATGCCTCCAGCTATACGACCGGAGCGGACTTGGTGGTAGATGGCGGCTACTGCGCTCCGTAATTCAATTATAATAGATAGCTGTCATTGATAAATACACATAGACCATGAACTGTCCACCCTACCACTAACAGCCCCTCCTAAGCTTCAGCAACAACCGAACCAACCACCATACCGTGGCGCCTCTAGCCCAAGCCACCAGCTCAAAATAACGCTGCCACGAACCGTACGTCGTGGCTTGCAGCTAGCCAAATAACTACCCAAGCTCCCGACCGGACATGAATTCCTCGGGATCGGCAATTCAACCATCGCGTGACAGCCCTCCACTAAGTTTGGAGTACGGAATACTAATAAATTATAAATGTGACCCGTCCATCCTCATATTCATCCATCTCATCTATCTCTACTTCCTTCCTTCTTTCTTCTTTTACCCCTCCGAGCATACAATCTCAGATTCACAGTGAGTTAAATGGACTGAAATTGGGATTAAAATGTGTTATTGGTCGTTCTGAACATAATCCACGATCTTTTTCACTATCGAATCGACTATTCTGTCTATCCAGTCTGAGTCCAAGTTGTTGTTTGCATTCGTATTTGAAGATTCGTGGGTTGAAAGTAATGGGGAGGGCGGCTCTAAAACATCCGCGTAGAGGAGGGAGGTTTGGGGGTCGAAGTATTTCGTAAGGGGGGTTGCAGGTATCCTATAGATATTTGTTGGTTAGTTAAATAGATAACATGTAGATAAGTAAGTAGAGTGTGGGGGTAGTGATGATGACGTGGGGGTTGTATATACTGCTGAGAGGGACATTCAGGTTCCTGCGTCGGTAGACGGGTATATGTCTCCGGTGATGGTCTCGGACGTGAGAATGCAGAGAAGATTGACTTGCGATGCAAAATAAGGACGAAGAGAAGGGAGAGGAGCAGACTGATCGCGGGGATGAGGGGGAGCATTGCTTTATTCCGTATTCCTGTTGATAGGGTGTGAAGTGAGGTGTGTATTTAGTAGGTAGCTCTACTAGAATTTGAAGTAGACATCACTGGATGGTCTACATTGAAGAACATCGATCAAACCAAACATGCAATGCGAACAAACATCTGTTGCTGTGTTACCAGCATCACTCCCAGTCTTTCTCTCCCTTCCTTCTCTACATAGTACAACTAGGACTCATGCCGTCCATCTACTAACTAGTAGTCCTCCATCCACCCAAAATACACAGCCTCCCACCTGACCATCCCATCACACTGACTACGAGCAGCATCACTTGACTCCCTCCAACCCAAACCCAACCCCACCACCCTGACCCAAGTCCATCACAGCCCATCATTCCTACTTATAGTAAACTCAGACCCTCTTATCTCATGCCCAGTGATCTCATCCAACTACTGACCCCATCACACTTCCTGATCCATCATGTGCCAACCGCAGCGATGTATACTGCGCAACTAGATTTCTACCATTATTCCTTATCCTTCTGTACTCTTACTTAGTACTCTAGGGGAAGAAGGTTAGGATGAGAATGTATATATATCCTCTGCTCTTGGTTTACTTTGGTTCAGTTTCTACTGGAAATAAATAATGTGGTACCCCAGATACCCTCCCCTCCCATATCTATAAATATATGTATATACTCCGTATATATATCCCCAAGCAAGATGCCTCACGCCACCACCACCACCACTCCACCTCTCTCCGAGGAAGAGGAACTAGTACGCACCCCCCCATACCACCCATTAATTCCACCAAGCTAACACGGAAGATAATAGCACCTCTCCACCCAAGAAGCCCTAACCTGCACCACCTGCGCCATCACCCACATTCCCAAGACCATCTTCCACCGGGACCAGACCACCGGCATCTACAATACATCCCGGAGTCCACCGTTCCAAGTTACCAGCGGGACTTGGATTCCTAGAGAGGAGGAACATCTAGCGCCGGAAGAAATGCCCACATCCTCATTATCCTCAGTCAACTACGACCACCAAGACAATGATAACAATCATGATAATGACGATACTACACCCCCCCACCCCCCTCACGACCCTACCCACGACCGTCACCCCTCCGACCCCTTCACTCGCTACCAACTAGCCTACCACATCCACATCCACTACCTCCTCCGCCGAGGGGTATTATCCCTCTGCCGAGATGTGAAAGACGTATACGAGCTGAAAGCATGGAGGGGCAAGATACACGAGATGGATATGAGACAGCCCCGGGAGGAGAAAGAGGGGGTAGGATGGCAGACGCGGTCGAGAATGGGATGGGTGAATGATGGGAATCTGTTGATGGTGTATCAGATGGCGTTGTGGAGGAAACGCGGGGCGGGGAGGTTGAAGAGGGTGGAGGAGAGTAGGGCCAGATGGGCGGGGATTGTGGAGGAGAGGAGGAGACAGCGGCAGAAGCAGAGGGGTAGTGTGCGGGTGAGGGTGTATTGTTCGCAGGCGGGGGATCGGTGTTTGCTTAGGGAGGTGGAGATGGATGAGGTGGGAGAGAAGATTCGATGAGTTGTGGTGGTGTAGGTTCGAGGGACGCATCACGGGCTACGAGCATGTTGTCTATACATTGCTCGGATAGAGCTGGAGGTATGGGAGGGGAGGAATGAAGGGCACATGTCGCGTCTATTGCCGTGTCCTACCGCCTGCCTTGCTTTTGTACCATGTACATGCACCAACTGGTGATTCAATCATATCATTTCATCACATACAGCGCTCGGTGATATCCAATGTCGCTGCTATCAACTATTCCACAGACATGCAGTCATCCGGGTCATAATATCCCCCAGATGGCCGCATCCCAAACAACATCGCTTCAATCGCCTCATGCCCTTCATACTCGTCCTCTCCATCCAACGTCTCTTCCTCGCCCAGAGCGTCCCGGGCGGTAAGCCGCGACACCATCTTCTGGTTGACACGATAGCAAGAGAGCATTTCAGTCGTCACAGTCCGGGCCGGCAGCGTGCTCGTCTTGATTTGACAGAGTATTTCTCCAAAGGCGTGCATCACAAAGCTGGAACGGGGATGCATAAAGTATGTGTACGACGCGAGAACCCGGAGCCATTCGTCTCGACTGTGTTGCCACACCTGGACCAACGGATGATTGCCAGACGGAGGAGGAATGGCTCTGGCTTCATCAGCAGCCTCCAGGGTGAGAGGTGAGAATGAGTTCTGACCCCCTTGTAGAGAATTTCTCCATCGTTCGAAGAAGCCACTGATTTTCTTCAATTGCTGGGCGGCGCGGTATAGTTCCCCGCCTCCTTGCCGGTCTAACTGAACCTGTTCTTCCAGCGTCTGCCATGGCCGTATGAGATCCTCATCTTTGCTGCATGCCTCCTCTTCGGGGTATGCTTTCTCGAGCTTCGTCAGCATTTTGCGCTGCTCGTCGCGGGCTACCTCGAATCGGAGATAATCGATGATATTGGATTTCTTATACCGCCGCGTGGGATTCTTATAGGCGGGCAGTTCGCGCACCCTCGGACTGATCTTCTTGCGATACTTTTGCCAAGATCGTTCCGGGAGGTGTACGCCACCTTTGCGGCCGTCAACCAAGTGGCTGAGGAGACAGGCCAGCTCCTTCGCCTTGGCTGAGTCAATTGACTCTTCGTAGGCGATCTTCTCATGCTCCACGGTACAGCGCCCGAGATTGGATAGAGTCAGGTTGAACGTGAATGCGCTCTGGAGAAACTCATCCATGGACTGGATGTCTCGCATCGGTACAGAATGTTTCGTAAGGCCAAAGTGCTCCGGGGGAAACTCGACACTCGGCAGATCCGTGTTGTCGAAGTTGCGCACGATATTCTGATCCCAGCAGATCCACGGCGTATCTCCGTCATAGTCCCCACCAGACAGCATGTGCGCCAAAGGAATATCCCCTTTGCTGGGAAAGACAATCACATCCTTGAAGTGTCGGAGCTCTTGTTTCCACACCGCTCGTCGGCGTTGGATATCGGAAGGGAGATGAGCGGGAAGACGGCCGACGAGAACGTCGACCCCGTCGAGCAGGTTGTCTTCAAATTGGCCATTGCCGTCGCGCCAGTTGTTGGAAAAGCCAAAGTGGACTTCATCTGGCTCCAACACTCCGTATGGGTCCGCAATACAGAAGGCATATGTCGAAAGGGGCACCTCGATATGGAGCTCATCCACATATCGATTGAGCAGCTCTCGAAGGCACTTGCCAAGTCGCTTACGAAGGGGATAGAAGCTCCGCGGACCAAAACCAGCTTCGGTGAGCCGGATGATGAATTCCGCATCGTTGCTCATCCACTGTTCATAACGCAAGGCCTTCTGTGAGATCAGCCCCACGCCATCATCTCCCGACGGCCGGATCTTCTGGACCAGACTCCGACAGAGCACCGGGCTATCGGACTTGAGAACCTCCGCAAAATCTTGATAAACCGACTGAATCCCTAACCGGGTCAGGTCAGCAATGTGTTCCTTCACATGCCCACCATGTTCCAAGATGGCCAAGAGCTGCGTGTTCAGATCCACGGGGTGCAACGGTTTCGACCAATTGACCACCTCGAACGTCAGCTGCTCATCGTCGACAGGCCCTTGCCACCCATGTGGATGGGGTTTAATCTTCAACTGCGAGTCGGAGATTTGAATCCAGATGTCATCTCCGCCCGCGGAGATCTCGGACTGGTGCCGGTCGACCATCCATAACCCCTTGGCGCCGGCAATTCTCCCTTGAAACGCGCTCGGAGTAATCCCCGTCAGGCCCAACGAGTCACAGATCTGATTGGCTAGGCCCCGGGACATTAAAGCGCAGCCATCATTCATCACCGGGCGGTTGGGCGCGTCGGATAACGGCAAGACCTGTTGTGGCTTCAGCACCACTGTAGCGAACGTCTTCGAGAGACCCAAGGAGAAGCGCTGAAACAACTTGCAGTTGGACTGGCTGCGATTTGCTTCTCGAGGCATGTGCCAGTCAATGAGGGCATCCAGACTCATGGGAGTATGCCGACTACTGTCCTGGTTAGGAGGAGCAACAGAGGGGACCGGGCGTAACCCATGGTCAAAATCAATGCCATCAATAGCAAAGAAGTCAACCCGGAATTTAGGCTCGGACTTGATCTTCCGCTTGGTCTTGACCTCTTCCACAAAGAACGGTTTCCACGTCCTTCCCAAGCACCGGTGGACATTCTGTGTCAGCCATAAAGCCAAGGTTTCCCGCAAGAGGGTAGGCTGTGAGGGCAGTCGGAGATGCGATGGTGGCCGCGCCGGAGCTGGTATAGTGAGACTGAGAAACCTATCGGATCCAAATCGACGATGAAAGCGGCAGGTCCGTTCAGTTTTCAAGGGATTCAGCTTCATTTTGAGGATCCCTTTCTCGGATTCATCACACCATTCCAGGTCTCCCGTGAGAACAGTCACTTCAGAATGTTTGTCAGTCCGGAAACTTCCAGTAGCAGCCTCCCAAGCCTTGCGAGAAGGCTTCTCTGGAAGCCGTCTCCCATTACGCTGGTTGTGACCCGCGATCCACCCCCAAAAATCATCCAAAGTCTTGAAAGAGATACTGGAGCCAACCAGCATCTGATCCAACTGTATCCCCCACGCTCTAGCCACCCGCTCTAGTTCATATCGATACCGAAGGGGAACGGAGCTCGGGTATTGATAATCGAGGGAGAACGGTCCGAAGTGGATGAGCTCGCCCATGAAACCTCCTTCCACTGAGTACCGGGGCTCCTGGGGGAAGGCAGCTGAGGGTTGCGGTTCCTCGAAACTTGTCTCTTGGCTTAGCAAATGCCCTACCACAGAGTCCTCGTACATGGATTCGGAGTCCGGAATTCGCTCAGTGACATCAGTGACAGTCGACGTAAACGAGGTATCATAACGACCATTATTGGAATAAAGAAACGCGGAAGACGCCTCAGTCGTGGAGAAACTGAAGTTGGCACTGTTGTCCACCGTGGGAATTGCCTCATATCGCTGGTAATTGTCAGCAGCTGTCAGACGTTCCACGAACTTAGACGGTTTCTTCGTCATGTCTGTGGTCTTGGGGCTCTTAAAGATATGGACTGGCACTGTGGTAGTGGTGGGCTGTAATTCTAGGGCTCTATTGACACCTCCGAGGTCAAGATTGCAGACATCTTCCCTATCCATAGGAGTATCCGCTCGGTCTGCATCTTTGACCGGAGAGTTTGGAGCAGTATGGAATTCCTCCTCGATCGAAAGCCTCCTTTTCAGTGACTTGCCTGTAGCTGGTGGCTCTGCTGGAAGCCCGCCATCTCCCTTGAGTGCTGAAAAGGACCCTTTGTTGAGCAGATAGAGCTCGTCCTCTATTAGCCCTCCCAGGTATGTTAGGCGCTCATGTCTCTCATACTGTGAGATTCTCATGCATCCATTGCCAGTTAAGGTATCTCTCCCGGAGAAGCTTAAGAATGAACCCGGCATATGCCCCAAACGACTGGCTCTGTGAAGGTCTGTCGTTGATTGGGAAACGACCCATTCCTCGAAATTGTTCAGGATTTGATTCAGATCTACGCTCCGATCAAAATAGAGCCGTTTGAGTCGGCGGTAGATGCTCCACGAGAGGGAGCTATCAGTTCGCCCAATAGAGGGCGAGTAGATCCGTGGATTGGGGATGTCCAAATCAAACTGCTCATTGATCGAATCGACCAGCTGGCTCAGCTCCGGCCCGCTTCTGACCGGCGTCTGGGGAAAGACCATGGCCCCGGCGTGGGTGGCAACCGACGGCGCTCTCTTTAGTTTCTAGTCCAGACCTGCCAGTTCCTCGGTTGTTGCGGCGCAATTGCGTGGTGCGTCCCCGGAGGTCGATCAAGCGCTGGGCTCCCCACCTAAAAATCAAGCAGCGTAAACAAACGGGAGGCTCAAGTTCGACCGCGGTTTATCTCCCCATCACACACGGGTCTGCGGAGGGCCCAGACGGTCAAAGAAGAAGTATTGGAGGCAGCCAGGAGCGGAGGGAGGGGCATGAGCAGGGTGATGGAGGTGCAGACGTGAGTGAACTCCTGTTAGGACACTAACAGCTCCATGACAGCTGCCCCCGCCTCAGCGAATCATGGGTGAATCTTGACGCCGGTACCAGTACCCCCTGTACCTGCCTACATCCATCTACGAGGCTGCAAACTCGATCCCAATGGTCCAAGAACTATGATCTCTCAACTGCATTTTCATCATTGTGGTGACTGGCGGTGTCTCCTGGGACCGCTCACCCTTGCTGCTGCTCTGGTAGTGTGCTTTTTGGTTGCTGTGTAAACATCCTGAATCGTGCAGCCCCCACTTTTCACGGATCACAAAATAAACAACAGAAAAAGACGAGCAACACCAAATATTCAGTGAATTGCATGGGGGTGAAAGATTGATATGTAACAATACGTAAAGAGCTCACGACAACTCAGGAACCTGTCAGGTTGCTGACTGATCAGTTGTCGAGAACCGGCTGAGACCGTTTGACCAGCAGTGACATCACAGCAACCACCGCTCATGCTCAGCTCCCTGGGACTTGCTCGGGCTCGGCTTGTCGGGTTATAGGGGTGTCCAAAGGAGTGCAGTCCGCGCCATGCGGCGCAGAGATGGGAGTTAAGGATCCCATATCAACATCCTGCGGGTGTACGCGCTTGCTTGTGGTGCCGATCTTATACCCAGCAACCAGGGTGATGTAGAGTGGGATGCCTATAAAGGAGGTGACAAACGCTATGCGGTCTACTCCTTTGGGGTAGTATTGGTGGTCGACAAAGTCGAATCCTCGTACGATGGTGACCAGGACACATGCTACCAGTGCAACCCATGAACCAAACAACCCAAGCGGCGCCCGGAAGGCAAGGACCTCATCGGTGATCTTTTGGGCTTTTCGGGCTCGGATGAACGAGAAATGTATCACAAGGATGGAGACCCAGGTGAGGATACTGAACATCGAGACCAAGTTGACCGAGTATTCGAATAGCCTTTTGGAGCCGCTCGAAATATTCAAGTACGCCAAACAGGCCACGGCAGAGCACAAACCCAACGCGTAGATGGGGATTCCCCTCCTGGTTCGGCACAGAAACGAAGGAGCGTTTTTATCCAGAGAGAGTCCGTACAGTGTCATGCTTGCCATCTGGAGAGCTTGGTTTGCAGCCGATAGCACAAAGAGGAGAAGACAGGCGTTCAGAAGGTGCGGGATCACCGTCGGACCAGCAGACTGAGCAACCGCTACGAAAGCCGAGGCCGTACGCGGCTGGGAGGCTTTTTGGGCGAATGCTATGATGTGGGTGTCGTGGGGAACTAGCATCCCTAATAGCGTGATATTGACGATGTTGAAAACCAAGATGCGGTAGAAGGTTACCTTGATGGCCCGACCCGCGGCTTTGCGGGGGTTCTGAGTGCGCAAAATCGTCATGCCCATCAGTTCGCTTCCAAGATAGGCCAGCGTAGCGGAGGGGACTGTCCTGCAGATCGCGCGTATCGTGCCTGCCACGGCACCTCCTGTACCATTAGCAAAGGCTCCCGGGTCCCTCCAGTAGCGGAATCCCTTCATATCACGATCTGGTCCCCCTCCGAGGGCAAGGACGACAGACAGAGCCATAAGCCCCGACATCACCAGAACCTTGAAGAACGACAGGATGACCTCGTACTTTCCCATATATCGACTGCACAGGGAGTTGGCGGCTATTATTACGCCCAAAAAGGCCGTGATCCAGAACACGGAGTACTTGGCTTCGTTTTCTTGCCAATATGCGATCAACAACTCTCCCGCCGCTAACTGGTTGGGAATGACAACCATGAATTTGAACCAGTATCTGTTCTTAGATGGTCAGTCCTTGTTAATTGCAACATGTCTTCAGACAGGGTGGCCTACATCCAGCCCAATGTGAACCCAAGTGCTGGATCACAGAGTCGAGCAGCATGATCCGTCATGGATGGCTCAGGGGACCACGAGGCTACCTCTCCTAGGGCGCAGAGTACCAGGTAAACAATTATTCCAACACCAGTATAAGAGATCAAAATCGATGCAGGCTAACGGCATTAACACGGGCGGATCGACCTCGATTGGAACACTTACCCCGGCCCTGCTCAAAGTCAGTCGTGGCTTCTAAGATCATGACAATGCTCTTACTTGGACAGTGCATTCCCCGCGCAGATAGTTAATCCCGTGTTGATTGCTCCGCCGATGGCTTCAGGAATCAGTTGGAGGGTCACATTGCATTCAATGGAGAGACCAACCGACCATGGTGATTTGGCGTGGCTTTAAGACTCCGTAGGAAGCCACCGATTTTCCATCCTGGCTAGGAGGTTGAGTTGAACGAGCGTAATAGTCGTTAGTAGGAATGATGTCAGACCGCGGCGTTCCTTGGCCTTCTTGCAGAGGCATTTTGATTGTCATAAGACGATTCTATTAAGGAGAGGTGAATCAATATGCTTGCAAGTTGCTGTGTCCGCATGTTCAGTGCGTGAAGCATGCGAGATTCCAGCTAAAGTGGACAGGTGAATGGGGAAGGAGCATGGGTGCTGGGGTCCCGCAAGGCACCTGCCCTTCCGAGTACATTCACTACTCAAGGTACCGAGACTAACATAGAACCAACTAGGTCTGATTCGGAATCGCATGGGTATAGATACTAAGTAGTTTCGGGCTTGGCTGGACACAGTCTCAGATGATAGGCCGGAAGCCTCTCGAATACATTGGTATATCAATCAAAACAATGAGCGGTAAGCGTCTCCCACTCAGGCAACCATAAGCCATCATAAATACATAACGCCGGTCTAGAACCCCAGGGAATAGAAAGAAGAAGCAAGTGTTCCAAAATGAAGAGGGCAGAAAGAGAAGAGCCATCATCATATGATGTGGCTTTCACAGAATGGTGTCATATACACATCGCGCCGGGTCGGGAGGCACGTCTAGCGTCGCCTCAACCTTGTTTTTTCTTGGTAAATCAACAAGTACCTGTCGAAGATTACCTAGACATGTAAAGAGAGTCGCTCGACTCGGTTCTCGGGAATATCCGAGTGTAGAGAGAATCGCTCGATTCACTCCGGGGGAACATCCGTTGGTGTGCCTTGGAGATCACACGGTCGGTGTAGACGCCCTTGGCTGTGCCTCGGACAACCGTTTCAAGGTATTCCTTAAAGTCGTGAGGGGCGAAGTCGGGATACAGGTCCTTGGAGGTCAAGTAACCCAGGTACTTGGCGTATTCAGGGTTGTTGTCGCCACGGACGCCCCATGACAATTGGTTCTCGGCCAAGTAGCGGGGAATAAATTTGACGGGATCGAAGGGATAAGTCTCGCTGGACTGTCGAGCTGCAAGCACTCTGGTGTAGATGGTTTCTTCGGGAATCTGCGGCGAGATATCATAAGTGGATGTCCAACGGTCAAGCAGGTCACACTACTTACGTAGTTCCTTTGGATCTTCTCCTCACTGATTTGCTCCAGAAGGTCGTAAATTTGGTTCTGCGTCAACACCGTGTTGTACGCAAAGACCATCTTGTTGAGTGTCCTGTCGTCGACAATGATCTTGGCGACGTAGCGGCCAATATCTCTCAGATCCGTCAAAGCGAGGGGAGTATTTCCATCACCGACAATCTCGTTGTTCGCCGTGGTCATGGCATAGTCGGTCCTTCCGGACCCCAGGCGGGGGTAGGAGAGTTGGTACCACCAGCCGACGTCAATGATGGTGTAGGGAAGTCGGAGTTGTTTGACATGGTTGTAGACCGTTTCTTTCTGGAGCGGGGGTCAGCTGATGAGCGGCGGAAGACATGGCGTGCCCAGCGTCAGTAACGTACCTCGTCTCTCAACCACATGATTCCTCCCGGAGGTGCCACAGTGATGAAGCCACAGGGGACAAATCGCTGGACTCCAGCACTCTTGGCCGCTTTGGCAAGGGGAATCTGATCCTGCTGTTCCGCAGGCCCAACGCAGCTGACGACCACATCGATCCCAGTCAAGACGTCGACAAGGGACTCCTCAGGCCCCTTGAGATCACCTTTGCGGATTTGGACACCTCGCTCTTGCAGAGCAACGATGGCAGGTTTCTGGACCGACCGGGGACGCACGAGCGCATGAACCTCCTACGATACCAAGAAGGATGCGAAGTTAGTAAGGCTCAACGGGGAAAGGATAAGAAAGGAGGGGGGTGTCTCTTACGAAGTTGGGGTTTTCGAGCAGTCCGCTCGCAATGGAGCCGCCCGTCTCGCCTGCAGCTCCGACCAGCAGAACTCTAGTTCGCGACATGATGATTGTGGAAAGTGGCAATGATTCGTGGGAGAGATATTGTTCGTTCGATCGAAATAATGCAAGTCGGTTGGTTGGGGGCTGTTGGGGGGTAGGGATTTATCAGGAAGGGGAAGAATTCAGGTTTCCTCTCCCTGCTGTTTCCAAAGTATGTATTTTTGACGTTGACGTTTCCAGGCCAGGCGGAGGGTCATTCGAGGTTATAAAGGTCAGCGTCCCACTGGAGGATGGCCACTACCCACTTTTCTCTTATCCAGAAGTGGCCAGCGGTGGGTCGATTGTGGATGTTAAGCTCCTAAGAAACGCGCCCCCTTAAAGGTGTGAATCGGCTGGAGAAGGAAGGGCGGCTGTACTCCGTACGCAGGCAGTCCTCCGGGAGCCCATCCTGCGTCATCATATCCTGATTGCTACGAGAGGGTCTTCTAGACCACCACGATGAGGGAGGGTGGCAGCCTCCAGATCCTTTTCGCATTCTTTAGTTTTTTCATTTTTACTAACGTGTTTTATTTTTTTTTATTACATACATATTATGTTTTCCCCTCCCCCATCTCATTACTACTGCACCCTGCACCCGGACGACTAGTACTAGCGGCAGTACTAGTCGGAAAGTCGGCCCCCAGAAGGCGTTACTCTCTGCTGCGGCCCGGTGGCTCGGGAGTCAAACCCAAAGGGAAATTACGTCACTTGCCATTCCCCTGCCCGGGAAGCCGTAAGGCCAGTGACGATACTGGGGTTCCATGATCACTGACAGTGTCTCAGACCACACGAACAAGCAGCATCATCATCATCCTGCCCCCCTTATGACCCAGTGCTACCATCATCGTCCCACGGCAGTGGGTGTCGGGCAGGTACCTATCCTTTGTGTGTCCCACCGTCCCATCTCAATCCAAAGTGTTGGTTTATTGGAAATCCGGTCCCCTCCACTCCATCCTCTTTCGACTCCTCTGTGCATAATGCGGGGAGCAGAGGGTCACTTCCCCTCAAAATCTCAGCTTTAATAAGGATGCATATTACGGAGTACAGCGTCTGGTGCTTTACCATACCCCCCCACGTCAGGGATCTTCGGATCTGCGTGGCGGGCTTCATATTCATGACCTTTTGCAACCCTGGGAGCATGACGACATGTGGCATGGCTCCTTTGGAACGATCATTACCATTGGCGGAATAGGTACTCGTCCCATGGTTACAGTCAGCGGTTCTCCAGAATTCTGCGAAGAGAACTGTCGCCCAGTGCGCTGGAATCCATTGTGGCGGCTACCAGAAAAGCAGATTTGCAATTTGAACTAGCCTTGAAGCTTTCGCGACACGGTCGGATAGTAATAGCAAGGCAACAATAGCGGTTTCATGCCATTGACCCAGGTTTGGGTTTGTTCTGGCGGATGACCTGGTGTTGATTGTTGATGCACCTTCACGGCCCTATCTACCCACAAGGCCAACTTCGTAGGCAGCTCATACCAGTGATGCAGAGTCTGGCAATTATCCTGCTGCAGTTGAGACCTCTCGGGGGCCCCATCCGCAAACCCGTAATATCCGTTCATCCATTTAAGATTGATATGATGGGCTGCGGCGATTCATGATCCTTGGTGGCCAGGAATCTGGATCTCGAGACGTAGATAAGCGTTCTCTCCTGTTCCTGGCATCGGGTCGGATAGCCACTTAGACTTTGAATTGTAGATATTGGCCTGGTCTCCTACTAACTTTACTGACAGCTACGAGGCCAATGATCTCTTGATTCTTGGAGGCTTGTCTCGGAATCCAAACACCACTGGATGATCGTTACTCTGAACGATGGACATCTCTTACAGACCAGGCTCTGGATCGAACCAACGTCCCACGCAGTGAAACCAAACGGTTAGGATCGATCTCCACGGTACCCCATACCCGCTGCAGTTTAGGCGAAAGGCAGGTTCTCCGAAGTCCCCAAGAGCGATACAATAAGATACAATCGGAAACCGCAACCTGGTCGTTTAGTAGGCAGACGATGCCTATCTAGCAGTCGCACTACTGCAGTCATTCAACGGCAATGGGCCAATGACTTGAAACGAGGCGAGGTGGATCAACCGCTACAGAACAAACTGCGCTGGACTAGCCGCGATCAAGCACGGCGAAGGATCGTGACTATTTAATGCCGAGTGATTTCTGGGGGAATTCCAGGCGGTTGTTGGGGCATGTGAGAAATTCCCACCCTCGTCTTTGCTCGATCTGCAGGTCCGTCACGGGCTCACGGCCCTTTCCGCCAATGGCAACCAGGGTCATCTGCACACTTGATGTATCTCCTAGGCTGCGACCGAGAGCCGTCGAGATGGTGTTATTCGACCTGGGGAGTCGGTGTGGGAGGAGAGTCCAGTCAGCAGTGTCCACTGGGTGCTCTCGTCGGGTATTGGAGGGCGCGGGCAGGAGAGCTCCGAGCCTGGCATGCAGCTAGACGCGAAAGGGCTTAGGGCCCCCCCTCCCCTTCAATAATGGCCCAGATAGTGTCCCTTTCTCCAAACGGTGGGGAATGGAAATTGCGGGCAGAAGGAGGGGGTGGGAAATGGGAATGCGGATGGAGCAATCAATGTAACATCAACCACCAGGTTCCTTTGCATTTTGCAACTCGTCCGATGTTTGGGGGCGGCACATCGGTTTGCCCCAATGCGGCCACATGCCTCGCATTCAACTCTTGCGAGTCCCCATTATTGGTCCCTATCGATAGCCAGCCGGCAGAATGGCACGGGCGCAAAATGGCGCCACTATCGTTCGATCCTCCGCACACGGGGTACAAAATACCAACATCATGACCGCCATTTGATGATTTGGACCCGGTCGACCACCCGACTGATTGACAGTTTGACACCTCCATCCATCAGACCCAGTAGAGGAAGCCGCCCAGCTGATGACCAAGTGAGAGATCAGTCAATCATCGAGCTCACCTGGAAGCATGTGATTGGCAACGATGAGTCTGTTCGCACCACCATTTCATGGGCCTATTCGATTGATGTTGATTCTTCCCTGTCTATACTAGTCCCTTAGCGCCATCAGTCAACGAATTGCATACCACTCCACCTGCAAAGGGACCAGGCTCGTCGGCGCTGAAACCGCCGTCTTATTGCACGATCGCTTGGCGGCCATTCGTCCATTCGTCCATTATTATCGATAACGAAAGGCCAAGCAGATTGGCAGCGTCCCCGACCGCGCTGTTCTCGGAAAATTGCCTGTTACTGCACAATGCTTCAGCCACCATGTACGGCTGGCGCTCAAGTAATTCTGCATCAATTGTCTGGGAATAATATGTTTAGGTAGCCTTGGAACAATCCTTTTCACCCAGTTGAGAAACCAAGCCAACGACCCGATTGAAACAAGCATCGGTTGGTATTTACCCGGAGGCCCCAACGTTGAGCCAGTACCTGGATGTCTAGCACATCTTCTCACGCACCCCTTAACAGGGCTACAAATCCACACGACAGGGGTTCTAGATAGCCTGGCCTAGGCTTCATTTCGGCCGTATGCTCATATAGCCGTAGCTTACAAGGAATGACTTGTGCCATGTGTCCTTGTCAATTCCCAATCATCACTCAGGCTTGCTTGCGGAACACATGTTCTATGTATAGCTCAGAGCTGGATTGCTCGCGTCCCTGTTTGGAGAAGTCGTCTGTACCAGCAGGACATCTCCGTCTTCAATTTGGGTGTCTACATGCATAATTGCTTGTTACTGTCAGTCTAATGATATACAGCACCTATCACCTATCGAAGAAGAGACCGCCTGTGTTTCTGACCATACCCAAACAATGAGTCTGGAATCGAAAACAGCACACCATCCAATTTTGATAGTGTATAGTCGAGAACGGGAGGACCTATCTGATGTTTGTTAAGTGCATCTTAACATCTTGGTCAACTCCTCCGAGGCATTTTCACACTGCTTTACATTTGTGGTGTTCTGGAAACATCACTCCAATGCAATTACAAGCAATTTGACATTGTTCAAACACCGAGTCTGGCATCATTAATCGTCTACTTCCAGCACATAGACCAGTACGACGAATATGCTCTCCAGCAGCACACTGCCACTATGATTTCCTCGCTTCTCCATCAGTCACCATAGGCAAGGACCTAGCAATTCACGGTATTTTACCATTGATACGGCTGCCGTCTACTTGATCTCCTAAGATCGTATTGCCTTTAAAGATTCAGAAGGCTTAGATTACTCCTTGGACAAAAGATATCTAATTCGGGATAGCCATCTTGATAGTTGAGCCCAGACACCATGAGCTTCCTGTTAAATGTCTGACACATCTATTCACATTGTTATGATCAGCGACAACTATGGTTTCCAAAGAGTTGGAAGATAGATTTATGAAGACCTTATGCTTGAGTTGTCCTCACCCCCACACCAGTGATGATATGGTGCAGATTGTCGAGTAGCTGCCTGATGCAACGGCCTAGGCCGGAGACAAGAAGACGGAGGCTTAGCTTATCGATCCTTCTGCGATATAGTAAGAGATTAATGAATCAGATCTTGGTTCCGAAGCTTGAGAATGAACCTTGCCTAGTATCCGGTACTCATTGGCTAGACAAACTCGCCGTGTGTCTGGGTGTCTGGCCATTCGTCAGTAGGGGACTATTCGATTTATTTCACCGCATTTCTTTTTGCCATGACCCTCCGTATTCCTGTTTGGGGTATTGAATAGACGCGATGTAGTCGCTGGTTCAGATCATCATCTCAATCCCATAATAGGCTTATTTTCTGAAACCCGGGTGTCCTACTACTCAGGGATTCTTTTGGGATACAGAAGCATCGGGTAAAGGCTCTCCTTCGATCGACCAGCTCAAGGGCTGTATCGACCTGTTGAAGCATAGGTTCCTGATTGGGTCTAGCGCCTGCCTCTTGAGAAGCTCTCGCTTTCGCCGACATGATTCCATCCTTCAGACCGTGCCATAACCTGACCATGTCATGGACATCCCATAGTGATGTCTCTGGCGATACTGCCCCTTCTATGACTACGGCATAATGAACCGGTCTTTCCCCAACCGATAGTACTTTCTTCAATGAGGTAAGCTGGCTGATACGATAACTCAATGTACGGAGCACTGCATGATGTTTGCTAGCGCCATGTACATGACGCTAGCAGGCGGATGTCAGCTGAGCAGCATCAGAATCCACAGTCCGCGTCGGACTCAGCATGAAACGGACAGATGCTAGTCTTTATACTTTGATGCCTGATGGTACTAGTCGAGATGCGGAGGAGCTGGCAGCTGGGGATACCCCGGATCGTCACCCCCACGCGGGGTCAACTCCACTTCTCCGCTTCCTTCGCACTTCTAAGACCACCGAGCTGGTCGACGACATCATGTCACAGGAAACCTTCAGTTATTCCACCTACCAGATCCAGATCCGCAAACAAAGCCAGAGTCAGATTCCAGCCATCCCTGTCTCGATCGGCTTTTCTCCGAGCCTCTGCCTCGTATGATCCAATCAAGCGGACGAGATACCAGCGATGCCCCGGGAAACCAATGATTGCAAACAAGATGCGGCTATCTCCGCTGTGATATATGCCGTGTTGGTCGGCAATGAGCCTAGAGGTGAGGTGAAGAACGTCTTGCACAGGCCTGAGACCCCCACGTCTCCATGATGGCATCCAATCATTGGTAGATCCGCGCCCCGGATTGGGGGCTTTCAAGTCTGGGGAGGTTCACAGAAGGACAAAGCTTGTGCCAGCGATGGACATGATGACCAGGCTTCTTGCTATAACAGTCCTACATTGACCAGTCTTCCTTTGACCAGGCTGGACTGTTGACTTCGACGTGTCAACAACGCATTCATACAGCGATAGCTTCCCTGCTAGAGGCAACACTTATACATCTGTTAGCTGTCTCCAACCTTCGCTCACAACAAACAGACCTTGGGTCCTCCAAGATGACGGGAATATCCGATCCCAAGCCGCATTCTGACCATCAGGAAAATGTAGCCGACCTATCTATAGCCACGGGAACTGAAACCAACCATGTCGAGTCCGAGTGGAACGAGAAGCGGCCACCCGATGGCGACACGGCAATGGCACTCTTTAACGATCCAGATGCGCTTCATGAGGCTATTGAGCCGGCAGAAGCAAGAAAGCTACTCCGCAAGGTTGACTTGATGATTTTACCATATCTTGCTGTCTGCTATGCGTTCTTCTACATTGACAAGGTAGATACCCCGATAAGCATACCTTTTTGTGCAATGGCTGACAGTTTACCAGACAACTCTGAGCTATGCGGCAATCTTTGGGATAGAGGAAGATCTTGAACTCCATGGCACGCAGTATAGCTGGCTGTCGAGTATCTTCTACTTTGGGTTTCTTGTTTGGGCATTCGTGAGTCTGGAACATTTTGAATGAGCTGCCGATGCTGATACCTACAGCCTACTAACTTTCTGCTTCAACGCTTACCAATTGGTAAGAGTATCTTTTTCTTTACATGAATGCGGTCTAATTGGCTTACAGGAAAGTATCTCGGAGCCAACATCTTCATGTGGTACGTTAGAAACCGATGGTCTTGAACTTCTTGCTAAGTATTCAAGGGGAGTGTTCCTCATCATCCAGGCAGCATGTCATAACTTTACCACGCTTGCTGTCCTACGAGCCCTAGGTGGCGCTGCAGAGGCGTGCTCAGACCCTGCCTTCATGCGCATCACTAGTATGTGGTACACGCGACGTGAACAGCCAGTCCGTATAGGCTTATGGTATACTGCCAATGGCTTTGGGATCGCGCTTGGCGGCCTTCTCGGCTATGGAATTGGTCATATCCGAGGGTCTCTTCCTTCGTGGAAGTACGAATTTATTGTCATGTAAGGCTGGGTCACTATTCAATAACTGATACTGATGGTTTGCAGTGGCTGTCTTTGTGCTGCATGGGGCATAGTCATGTTCATTCTGCTGCCTGATTCTCCGGTCACGGCACCTCTTCTCAGCAAGAGGGAGCGTCGAATCGCAGTTGAGAGAGTGAGAGAGAATCAAACAGGTATTGAGAATAAGCACATCAAACCTCACCAGATTCTTGAGGCTTTCTCGGACTACAAGCTCTACTTTTTCTTTTTCCTAGGCTTAGTTTGTGAGGCATTCTGCCGTATTCAGTAAGACCACGCTAATATGTCGCCAGGTAATGTTCCCAATGGTGGGATTTCGAACTTTGGAACGATCATCATTCAAGGCTTTGGTTTCTCAACGCTGGTGACAACCTTGATGCAGGTATGTGACGAGTCAACAGATTATGCACTAGGCTGACAGTGCAGATTCCCTACGGTGTTATAATTGCACTCTCGATTCTGCTTTGCGTGTATCTCAACGACCGATTCGAGAACAAGCGTTGCATATTCGTCTTGATTTTCCTCCTTCCGAACATCGCTGGGGCGTTTGGGCTACGGTTTGTGCACCAGGACCATAAAGTCGGTCGATTGATCTGCTATTACTTGACTGGGCCGTACAATGCCGCTTTCGTGCTGATTCTCAGTATGCAAATTGCCAACACTGCCGGTGCGTTGCCTCATCTCAACCCTGGGATACGACGCTGATGATTACAGGTCACACCAAGAAGGTTGTCACCAATGCAGTCCTCTTCCTAGGATACTGCACGGGTAACATTGCAGGCCCTTTCTTCTACAAGGAGAGCCAAAAGTAAGCTGCCTTGCCTTAAAGATGATCTGGCAGAACAGAGCACTAATGGTATTGAATCACAGACCCACGTACGAACTGGGAATCTGGTCTATGATCGTGTGTCATCTACTGGAAGCCGTGCTCATATCCACGCTTGGTCTTTTGCTCCGGTGGGAGAACCAACGACGTGATAGGATCCAGTCTCAGACTGCAGGTGGTCTTGAGGGGAGAGATCTGGACTCTACCGCGTTCCTGGATTTGACTGATCGGGAGAATCTCAAGTAGGTGCCTTTCTCAGATCACTGGTGTCTGACTGCTAACCTGGTTACAGCTTCCGGTATATTTATTAGCTTCGCATACTCTGACGGCATTGCGCGGACTTGGAGTGGTATCCTTCCATAGCAACCCACATCAACCTTTTATCTAGACTCCACCACGGATTAAAATCTGCTATCAACCCTACTACGTATAGCGTATTTCCATCCGTAGTCAGTTCTCCACCATAAGCACTAATATTCTCCCATAAGGACACTTAAATGTATCTACTCAATCTGCATCAGAAACACTGTACTCGCCCACCCCTCCGCACAAACATGCCTTCCCCGAACAATGACAACCAGTATTTGTCTTCCTATAATAGGATCCTTGGGATTTGAAGAGGGGAAGGTCGAGAGGGTCGTGGGGGTTAATGTACATCTGCGGTGTTTCTTAATTCTTCAGTTGAGTTGGGTTGATCTGAGTCGGATGGGCGAGGGTGTGGTTGGAGTAAGCATAGTAGGGTTGAGGTGTGTACGCTGCAATCGGTTGGCCCCCAGACAAGGGTATAACTACTCTCATTCAGTACCCAAAAACAACCCAAACAATCAAATATACATGCTAGTAATAATACATTCACCCAAGACCATCGCCGAGATGCAAAATCTACCGTCTCTTCGCCGCCCCGCCCGCCTTCTTGCCGGCAATCGATCTCTTCTGGCGGAGGTAGTTGGCCACGAGGTTCTCGACGCTGCCCATGTCGTGCTTGGGCTTTCTGTAGTTCAAAAGAAGACATAGTTAGCACGATTCCCAAAATCCCAACTAAGTCCCACATCACGATCAAATCCCAAGTCAGTAAATACGCACCTCATATAATACAACCGAGCCCTCCTCTTCCTCTTCTCCGTCCTCTGCACAATCTCCACGCTCTCCACATTCGGACTAAACACCTTAACCGCCATCTCGACCCCCACCCGCGTCAACTGATTCCGCAACAAAAACGACGTATCGATGCCCCGGAGCCGAATACTCAAACACACCCCGGAGAACGGGTCCCCGTTCTTGAACGTCACCCGGAGAATATCGCCCACCTTGACACTGCGCGGGTTCCGTCGGTAATCGAACAAAGCCATCCGCTCGCCGGTGGGATCCAATTGCGCCAATTGGGCTTCTTGTACGGCGCCGATGGGGTCCTTGCATTGGGGGGCTGGTGGCGGGGGAGGGATTTTGCGGGCTTTGCGTTCTGGATATCATACATCATTACGATTAGCTACCAATCAATCAATCAGATAGAAGGGGTATATCAGTACCCAAATCCGGCCTCATCCGCAACGGCAATTGTCGCAGAAATTGCTCCGGCAAATTGGCCGGCAGAGGCTGCGGCTCAGGCTTCGCGGAATAGACGGTGCTGAGGGCGCGACGACCGAGGTGGTTGCTGTGCTGCGTTAGGGGCTGGGGTCTGAGGAGCGACCGGAAGCAGCCCAGCTGCTGCAGAATAGGGGAGGAGGTCGCCATGGTGGGAGTGACCTGCGTGGTGTGCAACAGGAGCAGCGTTGGGTATGATGAACAATCGGATCTCGAGAATTCGGACCGGCAGAATTTCCGCCAAGCCGCGAGTTGCCTGTTTGGGTAGTCGGCCAGATTCGACGCTCGGGAACTTTTCTGCCGCCAGACAGCAAGCAAGTCTTCACTCTCGGTGGGTGTTCGCCATTGCTTCTCGTTGGATTGAGGGGATTAATTCTTGTTGGTTTTATTTCTCGCAGACCAAGATACTGGGTTGATCAGCATGGCGCAAAACGCCGTGGGAAGGCTCTTCCGTAGCCAGAATTCCTCGTCGCTTCGTCAGTCCATTGGGTCGATTACACAGACGCGCGGTATCTCGAGACATGGTATGTATTCAATCCCAGATTCCCAGATGACTACAGAAGTACTGATTCAGTGGCATTATCAGCCGTCCCAACCTTCACCCCCACGACGTCCCCCGAACTGGACCAAGCCCTCAACCGCTTCCGCGAAGAGCTGTTCATACCCTTCAGCCTGGGCCAACAACAACGGCGTCTAATGTTCCGCCAGAAATACGCCGACCGATTGGAACAAGAGCCCGTGACGGCCAACCTGGGCGAGGAGGAGTTCCTCCTGCGGCCGATGGACCCGCAATCCCGGCCGACCAAGAACGAAGCCATCGAAGTGATCTCGTTGATGAAGAACACCACAGACTGGAAGAACCTGGTGCCGTTGCTGTCCGGGCTGCGACTGTCGAATCGCGTGCTCAAGTCGAGTCGGATGGAGTGGATTGTGCGGAAGGCGGCGGAGGCGAATGCGCTGGGGGTGATGTTGGAGTGTGCGAAGCAGGTGGAGCGGACGGGGGTGCAACTGAATGAGGTGGGATTTGTGCAGAGATTGTTCTTTGAGTTGCATCGGAAGGCGCAGCGGGCGGAGTTTCAGGGCCCCGAGGTGACGAAGGCGTGGTCGATTGCGACGCAACTGGTCGGGTTGATGGAGCGGCCGGGTCATGTGCAGCATGATGTGGCTAAGGATCCGAAGCGGAGGCCATTTTTGATTGGGATACTGTTGGAGTTGAGTGCCGCGCGGGCGTTGAGTGAGTTTGGGGGTAAGGATCAGGATGGGATGGTGCGGCTGTATAGTCAGCGGTTGTTGGGGAGCTGGCCGCTGGGGAACTTTAACGGCGAGACAACGGAGTGGGTGGCCGTGGATCAGATGCTGCAGGAGAATATCCCCATCTATAATGGTATGAAGCTGGCGCTGCAGGTGCAGGGCGTGCCTCATGAGCGGTCGGTGGCTCCGGCCTTGAAGAACCGTCTCAATGAGCTGAACCAGTTGATCGCGAAGCAGCTCAAGAATGCGCCGGAGAAGGTCCAGCAGAAGCCCACGGTGGGTCTGGTGCAGGCTCAGCTGTTGTACCAGGGCTAGACGAGGTCGGGGGTGATCGGATTATGAATTGTATATTACCATTTGGATCGTTCGGAGCTCTATCTGTATTTGAAATAGATGCCATTTTCATTGTCCTGATATGAAACTAAACTATGTGCTATCTCCAACATGATGCAATGATGAGAATTTTGATCGAGGTGGCAATGAGGAAAGGAAAGAATCCCGGAATAAACGCTCAAACGCGCATGTGCTGGACAAGTGATTACAGGAGCTGGAACGTGTTGTCATCGCGGATGCGAGCTCTTCCTGCCAGCGCGGTCTTACCAGAGATGACAGAAGGACCGGAGACAGTGATCTGCGATGGTTAGCGGATGAATTAAGTCTGGGGCAATCGACTAACCTGTCCCTCCTCGATTGTGGCATCTTTCGGCACCTCAGTCAACACAACTTCCACACTGCTCAGAGGCGCGCCAAAGTGGCTCGCGCCTTTGAAGCGACGGTAGTCAAAGACGTTGGTCTGGAACACGGCTCCCGCAACTCCGGGACCACTCAAGGCGTACACGACACGTGCTCCAGTGAGGATGCGGAGGTCGGCAAGTTGCTCATAGTCCAACTGAACCTCGGGATCGGCATCGACGCGGTGAGAGACGCACAACAGACGCAGCTTGTCCAGGGAGAGTTCGGCGGTGGGCCCGACGTTAGCCACCTGGTTCAGCACGCCATGCGATGGCATGTACCCGGAATCCAAGCTTCGCACCTGGATCCAACGAGAGAACCGGGAGATAAAGCCGGAGTGCGGCTTCATGAATTTGCTGTGGTAATCAGACATGGTGCGAGAAGAGGCAACAATGACAGTCGGAGACACTCCAACAGTGGCGAGAGCAAAATCGACACTCTCGCCAGCAACCGAGTTGAGAGCAACGGACGCATTGGAGTACAATGCAGTCATGATCTGGCACAGAGGGTACGAGCGCGAAAGTGAGTCAATCGAGAGAACGAGATCGCTGGGGCTGATCCGCTGGGGACGAGGGATAGAGTACATGAGGCCAGCAATACCCGAAACCAGGTTCTGTTCTTATTAGCTCAAGACCTTGTTGTGGTAAATAAAGAACCTACCTCGGGCTGATACTCGACGAACTCGCCTGCGGACGACTTGGACGGCCAGACGGTGGTCACCGAAGGCGTAGGAGAGCTTGGGTCCCAGGTAGGAACCTCAAGTCCAGCCAAATCCTTCTTCGCCTCAACCAGTTCGTGCCAGACACCCACCTCCAGAGTACCCTTGACATCCTCGGGAACATCGTTCCAATCCATATGCCTGCTCCCAAGTTTCGCGACCCAGATAACCTGCGAGAGCTGATCATTTCCCTTGGCGACGAGAGACAGGTCGAGAGCGCCGGCCTCGGCAATAAGAGCTTCCGCTTGAGACTCCTTCAGAAGAGTCGAGAGCGATTCTGCGTCCAGGTTGTGGGGGATGATGATCGTCTTGAGTCCGTAGAAAGCGCCCGCTAGAGAATCGTTAGCACTGCAGTCACAGACCAAACCAAGGGTACGAACCGAAGATAGCAGCCAGCAGCTCAACCGAGTCCGTCAGACAGATGGCAACCGTGTTCACCTTGGAGGATTGCAGGCGACTGCCAATGACGTTCATTTCTTGAGTAACTTGCTCCAACGAATGCTCGATCGCTTTTCTCCCAAGAACGGTATAGATCTTGCCTTGTTTACCGGTGACTCGACCATCCTCTTCCACTGTGCCCCGCACCGCAGCCTTCCAGATATCACGTAGGTCACCCTTTCTGCCACTTGTCCATCTCGGAGCTCCAGGGTCCTTGACGTTGAGTCCGGATCGGAGAGGGAAACCATGCGGAGTCTCGAGACTGCGGTATTGGGCCGTTTCACCAGGCTGTCGGACGGGGAAAGCAGTCGACTGACGAGCGAGAAGAAACGGATGGATATCAGTATCTTTGGACGTGACGAAGGAGAAGACGAGGAAGGCGACAATGCCGCCCGCGATCAATGTGGTGTAAATGTTCCAGTCAGCCAGCAGCTCGGCCACGAGGGCATCAAGCTTGGCCACAATGGACGTATTGGAGTCCATGATGAGGGAGTCGTATCTATCGAAGTGCGTCGGACATCCACCACAATGGATTGGAGAAGTTGTCCTCTTCTTCTCAGCCGGGGTGAGATGGCGAGTGACGTGAGGGGGCTGAGCTGGGCTGAGGCTATGATGGCAGATGTGGGGAGCCGCGGCGCCTAATCGCACTAGTGCCGCCGCCAGCTCCTGATTCGGGTTGGCTGAAAACTTCGCGCCAAAGGCGCTTGCGTTGCCAGTGAGTGACCCTGCGCCGCACTTATCATCAAAACAATCAGTCGCTGTCTCCATCACAACTGCCCGAACCAAGTCTCCTGTCCCCCTCGCAACGACACAGTATGATCCTATCGGGCCCTCGATCGTAATCCGTCACCCGCAAACAACTCAATGTGGTAACCTCCTGCATCCCTCTGCAACTAATCCACTACAGGTAAGTCAACGGCAATTTTCCTATTTCAGGTAAGTTATCACGCCCCTGGCACCGTTGCAACAAGATGCGGTACTGATCCCGCTTAGTTTTGATCTTCAATCAGCGTTCCTTTTCCCACTGGCACAATTCAATGGCGTCCCCAGCCCCTCCCTCCACCCCCAAAGCTGCGTCCGCGGCCGCAGCGACGCCCGATGATTCCCAAACACCAGGGAAGTGGCGTCATCCGCATCTGAATGAGGTGGTCCGTCGACAGAATGCTGGCACATTCGGGGATCGCAATGTCAAACGGCTGGTGTGGAACGCCATCGCTTTGCTTGCAACCTGGACCTTTGGAAATAGCTTCAAGTCATAGTGAGTGGCGGCCGGATGCACCAGTGTTGCTCCTCCTAACCAGCGTGCAACAGCTCTCTTCTACTCCAGAATATCATCCAGCTCCCCACGTACCCTGATCTGTCGTTGCTTGTTCTCCGACTCATCTTTGCGCTGAACATGCTGGTTGCGTTGTATCCCCTCTTCCGACCGAAGGACAACTTCTCCGACATTCCTTTGACCCCTACACAGCGTGCGCTGCTCGGACTGGATCCCGCTACACAGTCATTGACTCCGGGCTCGACGTACGTTACCCCGCCCAGGTACCGGGTCTCTGCGTCTCGGAACGCGAGCCCCGCTAGCAGATCTGGCTCTCCATTGTCCGCGAGTGCCAGCGCGTCCGGGCGCAGGCTGTCCTCCGGGGCCTCCTTTTCGCCTTCTCCGAGTCCGTTGATGCAGAAGTTCGTTGCGACCGGGGGCAAAGAAAGCGGGCGGAGACCGAGCTTTGGTTCGTCCACGCTGGGTCGGAGTTCATCCTTTTCGCCTTTTAAAGAATCTACGTCCACGTTTCGTGATTCTACATCCACATTCAGAGACTCCACCTCCTCATTCAGAGAATCGGCCTTCAAAGAGTCCACCATGTCTACCATCTCCACCTTGTCGACCATGTCCAGCCTCGCGCCTCCGACTCCTTCGCCGGTCGGTGGCAAGCGGGTGAACCTGGGCTTGAGCAACAAGTGGTTGTACGAGAGAAGCCGGCGTCTGTCCGCCAGCAATGGTAGTCTTTAGTGGAGGAGTGGCGGGCGGGTCCAGGAGCATAGGGACGATTCATGTAAACTCGTGTTTTCTAGCGGGGTGCTTCGGAAATACCTTTAGGCCGTATATGTATTAGATATCGCATGAAGTACTTTTGTCATTAGAGAGAATCCCCCAGGCGCAAGCAGCGTCGTGGGTGCTCCGTGCTTCGTAGCTGAGTTCCCCAGTCGATCTCCGGGTCTCCACGGGCCTAGTTCCCGCTTCCAAGGCATTGACCCCAAGACCGCCAACATGCCACAAGCTAAGTTCACGTTCATAATTCACACGCGGCCTCTCTCGATTGGGCTTACGTCCCAGCAAATCACCCTCGGGGATCCCCCTCGCACCGGACATTCCGACCGAGATCTGCTATTACTCAACTGCATGAGGTCAATAATTTCGTGATCTCGCTGGCGGCTTCACCATGGGAGCTTCGGAGTCCAAGCTCGTCTTCAAACAGGGCATCTTCCGTCTATCAGAGGAAAAGGATATTCCTGCGGATGATCCCTACTGGGCCAGAGTAGGTGTTTTGGCTGTTCGCGATTTGATGCCCGTGGGGAGGTTACTGACTGGTCCTCGTAGTTCTGGGAGCTCCCAGAGTCCACGGAGGACGTCTTCAGCTTATTCACACCCGCCGATATACGACGGACTCGCGATCATGCCTTATCCAACTTTGAAACGCTGTTACTCTCGGTGACGTCGCGTCTCACGATCCTGAAAAATCATCCTTCGTTTCCCGATCCCGAACTCGCCCCCGACCGCGATGCGCTCAACTGTATCCGCATCCTGACTCGCCTCCTGCCCTTTATCTACGAGGCGGAACATCTGGAGGATTGGGAGGAGAAATTCTTCTGGGGCCGTCGCAAGAAGAAAACAAGAGAGTCGCAGGTGGCTGCAGAGGTGCTGTTCGATGAAGCGCAGACGGAGGATCGAGAGGCCGCCCCGCGACCAGATTATGAGGATGCGAAGCCTTTGGCGGAGGAGTTGATGGACAATCTGCTGGAGCTGTTGTTCTACACTGGTTTCACAATTCCACAGTTGCCCACTGCGAAGAGCAAGGTTTCATATTCGATCTGGCAGAGTGGGGTGGGTTGTAACACGTCCATGGGCTCCTCTAAAGAGCTGGAGAACAACCGCTGCGAAATCCTACGGTTGTTGCTTACATTGACCGGAAAGGCCATGTATATGCCGTCTAGTGAGTATGGTCTTTGATTTTGAGGGCGCTGCTAACAGTTTCAGGCCTACTCCCTGTGCAAGGTGTCAAGGCTATCTCTTATATCACGACTTGCTCTGACAAGCAGGTGGTACTGACTCTACTCTGCTCGCTACTGAATACCGTACGTCCTGGATAGATCTGCGCTTGAAATATATGCTAATGGGTTAAAGGCGGTTAAATACAATCCAGCTTCATGGAGGGTGCCATACGATCATGTCGTTTGGAAGGACCCCAAGCAGATTCTGGTCATTTACTGCTTGCAATTCCTCCTCGTCCTCCTTCTATACCCAGTGCCAGAAGACGGTCGTGGAGCTCCGCCGAAGAACTATTATCGGCACTACTTTGGAAGATTGCATCGGCCGCAAGATTTTCAGTTCCTTACTGACGGCATGACCCGAATCTTGAATCAGCCGGTCAGTTACTTGCTCGCTAGTTGAAGTCTGACTAACTATTTGTATAGATGCAAGCGACCAACTCCTATCTTCCCGGCAGCCAAAGGTCGGTCAAATGGGCTCCCGAGATGCTGGTCCTATTTTGGGAGGCTCTGCAGTGCAACAAGCGATTCAGATCATTCATCATCGACTCCAACCGCTCGCATGACTTTGTCATTCTCTGTATATTCTATGCTATCGTGTACAAATCCGACCCTTCCAAGCAAGGTGTGGTCAGGATGTGCATCTTCATCATGCAAACGATGAGCGTTGAGCCCAATTTCGGCCAGAGTTTGAACACCAAGTTCGAGGCGCAGGAGACTCTTCCGCAAAGCATCCGTATTCCTGGATTCAGGGGAACGTATGCCGACTTTCTGATCATGGTCCGTCATTTGTCACTCCGTCTTGCACATGAACTGACATGTTCTAGTCCGTCCATACCTTGATCACTGCCAGCAAAGGCAAACTGAACACCGTGTATCCTGCTCTTCTAGCTATCATCAACAATATTGCCCCGCATGTCGAGCATCTTTCGCCCAGCTCATGCTCCAAGTTGCTGCAGCTCTTCTCATCCATGTCAGCTCCCAGTTTTCTCCTAGCCAACGAGACCAACCATATCCTTCTTGCAGCAGTGCTGGAGTCTATCAATTCGATCCTGGAGCATCAATTTACCAGTACGTCATTTGCCACGCCTCATGGATCTCACTAACTGGTGCAGAAAATCCTTTCCTGGTGTATGCGATTCTAAAGTATAGAAAGCGCTTCGAGGCCGTGCGAGAATTCACCCTGGAGAGCGGACAACAAGAAATAGAACGCCAGAACGAGAGAAGAAAGTCCTCGAGCGGGTCGCACGAATTCGCCTGTAGCCCTGTCCTTTCGCCCTCTGATGAAGATGCCCAGGTCTCTTCTGGCACCCGGTCGCCCTTGGGTCGCATTCCCGAAGAGAACAGCCCATTTGCGATCGGTGGAGACGAGGATTCCGACGATGAAAGAGAGGGGCAGACCACGCCGGCGCAGGATTCGCCGTCCGTGCAAACGTCTCGCCGGCCTTCGATTTCCTCTGTTGTAGAAGAGAGCGTTCCCCTTCAGCTGCGCGGCATGTCTGAAAAGGCCCGGGGCAAGATGCCGGCTGGACAGCCGTCCTTCTCGCGGCAAAACAGCATGACTAGCCAGAGCAGCCTTTCGGCAGCCTTTCTCACATCTTCTAGCGGCTTCACGCCGACTACCGCATGGGTAAGTCGATGTTCTTGTATAGCATCACGCCTTACTGACGAAATGTTAGCTGGAATCCTGGTTAGCCGAGCTGCCACTTCACACCATACTTACAATCATCTCGGCCATCGCGCCCCATGTTCCCGAGTCGGCCTTCCGATCCGCTTCAAGCGCGGAAGCTCGCACGCTGATCACCAGCCTCCCGTCGTTTTTGGAAGATCCCGCGATCCAGACCATTGTTTCGGAGCCCTCGCCGGTCCGGGTGCATTCGTTCGAGTGGTCCGCTCTTTCGATGGGCTGGTATGAATCCTTGCTCTGGGGCTTCATCTTCTCGAGCGAGATGGTGGTTGGCTCCGCCTCGGGTGCGACACCGGGGACCGTTGGTGTCTGGAACGGAACTGGCATCAAGCTGTTTAAGGTGCAGGAGGCTGCCGCGCAAGGACCTACGTTGCTTGCGCCCAAGGGGGCTGTCGATGCCGTGGGAAGCAACCTGGTGCAACGCATTGGCAACTTGAGCTTCCGACGGAGCAGCACACAGGAGTCTCAGACCAGCTCCCGGCCACCGTCGGTTCGGGAGGTCTAGTTGTGCTGCTGGGTTCTGCTTCTGGCTTGTGAAGGATGAACGTGTCATTTATATATTAGCTTGTTAATGATTCCTATGTTGAATGATACCTCCCGGCGTCTGCGTGGGCTGGTTGTGTTCAGTTAGTTTTAGACGTTAGCGTCAGGTTGTTGTTTTTCTTGTCGCTTTTGTTTTCGTAGCTTTAAGCATGTATATGTCCTGTGCAGATAGTATCGTAGTAGTTGTTGCCTCGGGCTCGGAAGGCCACCACGTGAGGCCGCGATTGGCTGGAGACCTCCTTTCATTGTGCTTGCCCTCCCGTGAACAGAAAGGCTCGACCTCCATCATTTCACCCAATCTTTTATTCGGACAATCGCTATAGTTACATTTATTCATTAGTCTTAGAACGTCAAAACCGTACCAAAATGGTCCTCCTCCGATCACTGGTCGCGCCATCTGCGGTCCTTCTCGGGGTCCCGAGCCTGGCCGCCGCGGGAGCCACGGAGCTGCAAAGCGTATTAAGGAACACGCATGGGAGCAATGATTATGGCTACCCGACGGACTTTACCAGGGGAATTATGCCGGTGAGTTCAACCATTGCATAGGTTGTGCCGTTGGTCAGTGACTGAGATTATTATCTACGGTTCAGATTCCAGTTCATTCACACAAGTAAGTTGTTGGGATACCTTCTATATGCGCAGCTACTAAGTGCATTGACAGTGACTATTGGAGAGACATACCTTTCTATACTGGTATTATACCACTCAGTTGTAGTGTTTGATACTATACTAATAATTAGATTAGCCCTTTCAAAAGGATGTATCTCTACTGAAGCGGATGTATGGCTGTACAATAGCACTCTTTATGTTCGTCCTCCCCTATCCCATCTATCTAGCCATGCCACACCACTTACAACCCGAACAGGTTGGACACGACGAATCCTCCTTGACTGAGGATCGAACGTTAGAAGCCTTGTACATCAACCCCATTTTAGACGTCCTGAAACGCCAGAACCCCACGAGTCGATTCGTGACATCCCCTACGAACAAGTAAGTCCTCCCCAGTCTACTGCAATTTTCACATCTACTCAAATAGACTAATTGATGGGTAGTGGCGTCTTTGATACCGCCACCTCCCAAACACTCTACTTCTTCATCGACGTCAAAACCTCCGGCCCAGAAACCTTCCAAGCCGTGATTGAGGCCCTCCAACCCCTCCGCGAAAAAGGCTACCTCACCACCCTAAGGAACAACGATACCGTTATCCCCGCACCCATCACCGTCATCGGAACCGGTAATACGCCTCTGGATATGGTAGGCCCCGTGGCAGACAGGGACTACTTCTGGGATGCGCCGCTCCATGCCCTCCAGGAGAGTAAGTATGCCGATATCGATGGATTGATTTCGCCTATTGCGTCGACGAACTTCGAGGCAGTGGTAGGGCCGCTTCGAGGGGAGATGAGTGAGGACCAGCGAGGGTTCCTGAGGGAGCAGATTCAGGTGGCTGGGGAGAGGGGCATTGGGGCGAGGTACTGGGGGACGCCGTACTGGCCGATTCGGGTCCGGGATTCGGTGTGGCGGGTGTTGGTGGAGGAGGAGGTGTTGTTGTTGAATGCGGATGATTTGGATGCGGTGGGGAGGGTCTTCTGAAAGCGTTTATGCAGCTGAGTGTCGGACTGTCCAGGATTATTGATACTTTCTACGGAAGGAAAGTTTGGAGTTTTTTTTCTAAGGCCGGTCGTCGCTTCGGGTCACTAATGACCGCAATTGCACTGATCAGTTCTTGATAATAAAATGCCGAGACCAAGCAGTCTATAGATACATCCTTGGCGCATTGTGCATCTTGTAGTAGTAGTAGTACTGGTAGTAATACTAGCATCCTGATCCTAGTTACATTCCTGTTGCATCCAGGGAAGCACACACGACCAGTGAACTACCGTAGTAATTTATAGACAATGCACCAAGATATCCCAATACTTTAGACCATACATACACGATCCATTTGACACCGCTATACGATACTTAGTATTCAAGTCCAGTACTAATTGCCCACCCAAGTATAAGCGACAGACCCACCGCATAAGGCTTTTCAACGTATCTCCCAAAGAGTCGTCATTCACTTCCCTATTCTCAGCCAGTCTCCTACTTCTCAGAGCAGGGTAAATTGCGCAATGAACATCTAAGTTCTCACTCTTTTTTCCTTCGGGAAAGGGTCATCTCTGGTGATTATTAACTTGTAGGACTGTCATTTTGAATACCGGTGAGCTTTTCTCTGGATTTGATGGTCATGTACAACAGGAACTTCATAGTGAAGTGGAAATCGATTATTTGCTGGGTAGATCGTATGTTCTGCGGTCTCGCTCTAGCCTTTGCTTCGGATTGACATTGCCAGAGAAGGTAAATGTATCTCCCAGCTGTGGGAGTCACGATGACGCCACGGTAGTCTAGACTATCCCCTCTCGTCTACCATCATGTATCGAACGCATCTCACAGACACTCCTATCCTCCGACACAACTCAGCAAGCAAGCGAGACCTCATCCACCATGAATCCCGATCCAGAATCCGCAGTGTACGTTCACTCATAGCCCATCACACGATCATCAATAGCCATCTCTAACTATGTCCTACCCAGCTCCAATCCACTAGAACTCCCCACCGCAGAGATCGAAGCCCAGCATCTAATCCAAACACCTCCATCCGACGAGAACCCCGAACCGAAATCTCGACCCTCCATCAGGGCATCAACGCTGCTATCAGTGACTATCATCGTCGTCATAGCGGTAGCCCTTACGCTCTTCTTTCTCCTCTATACCCCCCACCACCACCACCCCCCCTCCCCAGGATACAACAACTGCGGAACCACCCCCGAGGAAGCCCGACAACGAGGCTGTACCTTCGACATACTCTCATTCGCCTGGGTGCTCGAGCCATGTCACGATGCCGAGCTCACGGCGGAGTTCCTGTCGTTAGACGAATGGCAATGGTTCACTGAATTCAACGGAACGGAGACAGTCCCCCGGGATGTGGTTGCAGCAGGGAAGTTGGATGTATGAGTGAGTTGGAGGTATCATACCGTTCATTGCACGTATATGTGGCGGAAGATGCATCGGGCGTTGTTATGGGGAAGGCCGGTTGATAGTCATCTATGGGAGTATAATCATACGGTGCATTGTGGGCAGGTGCTGCTGGATGAGTGTGTGCTGGATTTGGTGGTCACTAGGGCGGTGGTGCGGTATCCGCGGTGTGGGTAGGGTAGGCTGGGGGTTGTTGTTTGGTGGATGGGATTGTGTTCGATGGGGAAGACTGTTCTCGTCATGTTATGCATTGGATAGCGCAGAAGTGGAGGATTAGAGGTCAGAGCGTAGCTAGATTCTGTTTCTAGTGATGGCGAACGATATCTTCCATGATGGAGCAAGGATGTGTTCCTTCGCCAGGAGTTCCGGCGGAGCAAGTATTGGTCTTGTATAGTTGTATGGTAGGCTGTTGGATTGTATACCTGTACCACCTACTCCTTATCTCGCTAGGATGCTTCTGATCGGCAAAGCTTCTCTGGTCTTGGCCTCCATCCCATCTTACTAGCTGATGCTTTTCGCGGCCGGAAAATATCTCCTGATCGTGTGGTCAATACGGAGTGCAGGTGGCTGCCTTCTGACCCCTGCAGCATCAATATACGTTAGCGGCGCATGGACACTTTGATCCCCTCGATGGTCGAGGCACCAGTAATACTTACTATGCTTAGCATCACGTCTTCGCCTGTTATATTCCAAATGCTTATCTCCTCCCCTGTCCAGCACCTTCTACCTTGTTCGTCGTGCGGGGTACGAGGACATAAATTGATGTCTCGGACTGTTTATCGCCTGCTCTAACCACCCGGTCAACGATTGGAAGTCTAGCATGGCCACCGTTCAGCCCCTGCTCCAGGTCCCTCTCGCCGAGGAAATCCTCCCCACCATGCAGCGAATCGTTACTCAATACGATGCCGTTCGCAACGAGATTCTCCGCACCGTGACTCCTGCGGCGGCCACGTATGATTCGGTCGTTCGGCCCTGCGCAGAACTCGATAACGCCATCGATGCCGATGTGCATGTGCTTTACATGTTACAATACGGCGCCCCGGACAAAGCCACCCAGGATGCTTTCGTCCAAGCACGTCGCATCCTAGTTGACGCGGAGACCGGATGGACGGCGCGCGCGGAACTTTTTCGCCTTGCTAGAGGCTGTGAAGGAAAAGTCTGAAATGGTTGATTCCGAGTCCAGGCTTTGGCTGGAGCGTGAACTTCGGGACTATAGGTTAGCGGGGCACGGGTCGCTCACACCGGCCCAGCGAGAGGAATACCGCGTGGAAAAGGCGGCAATTTCTGACCTAGAACGTCTGTGTCATCGCAATCTAGCCCATGAGAAAGGAGGAGTGTGGTTCACGGTGGATGCCCTGAATGGGCTGCCGGAGAAAGAGCTGGTGAAGTCGGTGGAAGGGACAGAGCCGGCTAATCGGGGCAAGAAATTCGTCCCCTTTGCAAATGGGGGGTATACGGCTGTCATGACTTATGCCCGTTCCGCCGAGACCCGGGCACAAATGTACCGAGCCAACGAAGTGAGAGTCCGGGAGAATGGCCTTATCTTGGACGACATTGTGAGGCGACGGGACGCGCAGGCACGGCGGCTGGGATACTCCAACCATGCCGCCGTTCAATTAGAGCGACGGATAGTCAAGCAGATCGAGTGGGTGGACGGGTTTCTGGCGGAGGTACGAGAGAAACTTGTCCCCCGGGGTCGTGAAGAGTTGGAGCAGCTGAAGCGCATTTGGAGAAGAGATCTACAGAGTCAGGGGAAGCCAACAGATGGTGGTGGTTTCCCTCCGTGGGATCAATTGTACTATCAGCGGTTGATCGAACAGGAGTTTGATATCGATCAGGGCAGGATTGCGGAGTATTTTCCCCTTGAAAGGACTGCAGCTGCGATGCTTCATATCTTTGCATCCGTGCTGGATCTGCGGTTCGATTCCATTGAAGGACTCGCTTTCCCTTTTATTTGGCATGAGAGCGTGCGGGTGTTTTCCGCATGGGACGGGAGAGATCCCAGTGCGCCGTTCCTGGGATATCTCTATTTCGACCTGCAGTGGAGAGAAAATAAGTACCGAGGCAACCAGAGTGTCGTTTTGCAATGTGTGAGTCGTTCTGTCCCATTGGGGGTTTATACTCATCGCTTAGGGCTCTTCCAAGCCAAATGGGGAGCAGGCAGCATCCTTCTGTGGTGCTGATGTGCGCTTTTCCAACAACCTCCGGCACTCATTTGCTTCGTCATCGGGAGATGATTTCATTGTTCCACGGTCAGTATCATCCTTCATCTGGAAGGAGTCAATTCTAACGGTGCACAGAAATGGGCCACACCATCCACAACCTCCTATCCCAGACGCGATATGCTCGCTTCCATGGTTCTCAAGGACCGCGTGATTTTGGCGAGATCCCCAGCACGATGCTGGAGAACTGGTGCTGGAGGAAAGACGTCCTGAAGCAATTGAGCTGCCACCATACACAAACAAGCGAGGAAGAGCTGTCTCAGTGGCGCACCCAGCATCCCGGAGAGGCGGATCCCCCGGCCCAGATTCCAGACCAGCTCGTGGACGATCTGATTCGAGGTCGGTACATGGGGAAAGGCCTGTGGTATTGTCGTTTGCTGTATATCACCTCCCTTTCCCATAATCATATCTCTGATATAGACCCAGGACGATATCACTCTATGACCTGAAGATCCACCGTCTCGAGCCAAACCAAGAAATAGATCTCCAGAAGCTCTGGTATGACGGACTCGAGAAGATCACAGGGATGGATTATACCGCTTGCGGAGACGGATATGAGTTTGCGACGATCGGTCATCTCACGGCTGGATACGACGCGGGTTACTACTCGTATTTGTGGTTAGTCACATCAAGATGAATTGACTGTGAAAGACTGATGGGTATAGTTGCGCCGCTCTGGCTCAGGATCTGTATCTGACTCGAATTGCCAATGACGCTTGGGACAAGAAGACATGGAGAGAATTCCGGCAGACGGTGCTGAGGCCCGGGTCAAGTGAGGAGAATCTGCTAGGCTTGTTGGAAAGATTTCTGGGGCGTGCATCTAATCCAGATGCGCTGGTGCAGGAATGGCTCTAGCCAGTGCTCCCTGAGGTCCTGGGAAAGGAGAAGATACTCGGTAGATAGTGAAGGCTTCCAGTTCCATACAAGACGATACGATGCCGGGCTCCGGGGGCCTTCCCGATTAGGACATCTTCAGAAAGGGAGCCCAGAGGCTGGTTCGCCAGAAAATTTTTAAGATTCCATTACTCTCAATCCAAATCCATTCACTAAGCTCACCATTTAATTGTCACTGGATTCAAATGGCCAACATGCTGTCAGCGGCTGTGGCTCAGGAGTCAGCCGGCACGTGATCCTCCGTGAAATGGAACGCGCGTGAGGGGAAAAAGACCAGGGCGAAAAAGCGCAGATAAAACGCCACGGGCGTCTCGAGCCATTTCCACTGGCCTCTCGATGCGAGAGCCACCATCCGCGATGTCTCAGGTGGACGTTGACCTGGGCGAGCTGTTGGCCGAGGGGCTGCCCGGCCACGTCGCGCTCAGCATTCGCCATGTCTCGTCGACCCCGACGCCCTCCACGGCCCTCTTCGCAGCGCCACCGGGTGAAACCCCCGAATCTACCTTTTGCACAAACCACTTCCTCACCGCAGCCATTCCCCTAGACCAGTCCGATGGCGCCGAGGTCATCGTGTTTGGCATGGAGGTGTTGGTCTACAGCACCGCCCACTTGACCACCGTATTCGTGTCCAAGGCCGACTCCACCGGCTACCTCCATCGACTGCCCACGGCCCCAAAGGTCTCGCTGCTCCGCCGCATCTCTCAGACCTTTCTTTCCGTTCTGGTCCAGACCCATCAACGACCGGGTGTCCGACTGCTAGTGTCTTTGTTTGCCCGGGCGCAAAGCCAGTACCTGTTCCCGGGCAGTATCGACAATCCCCAGAAGCATGTCTTAGATGACCGGGGCTTGATCAAGTGGTGGTGTCGCGTCGTCGATCCCATTCTACGCGAATACGAGCCAGAGTCGGGCTCGCACCAAAAGGGATTACAGGACCATCAGGCCGAGTCCGCCAACAGTTCCGCAACCGCTTTTTTGATAGTCCCCGGGTGTGACCGGTTTGAAACCAGGGGCTTCTTTCCTGCCACGGCCAAATCGGACGACAAGGACCGGCCGCGGTGGCTGAATAGTTACCCCGTTCACCAATTGTGTGACAATCCCAACGCGCCTCCGCGGTGCTTGATTCCCCAGTTTCCGGATGACCCTAAAACTCGCTTCGTGGGTGACCTGGATGACGAGCTCCCAAAGGACGCAGATGTCTCTGGCGAACATGCAGGGCAGTGGCGAAGCGTTAGGTCTTTGGAGCAGTTTTGGGAGATGATGTCTTTCCGACAAGAATGCTCGGCGGGACGGTTGGTGGGCTTTTTGTGGCTCGTGATTAATCCTCCGGGACTGGTGAACTCGGTGCAGATGACCAGTTCTCGGTCTGTTCTTGATCTCAAGGCCCAGTCGATTGGCGATAGCGCTACCGTGAAGCCGTCCGGTGATGCTACATCCATTTCGGATCAGGCATCTACCAGCCTTGATGCACAATCGCCGGGCGAGGACAATACTTCTTCAGCACAGCCGGCTACGGCCGAGTCTGATTACAAGCCTCCAACTGTCGCTGCTGATGCCGATGCGTTTTTCTGGCCAGAGGCTGGGCGAGGACATGCGGTGCTGAGCGAAGCGGACTACAAAACGGCCATCGACTTCCTCCTCGTTCAAGACTTTGACACCGAGCAGGTTGCTATTGCCAGCACCAAGGCCTGGGGCGAGAAGGTTGCCTCGCTGGCGGACCAGCTTTATGTCGGGCAGCGGGTCGTGGGAAGAAACACCAAGGATGAAACCTTCCAGAATACCGTGGAGGTGAACACGCTCATGACCAGCGGACTCGTTCGGAAGCGCAAGAAGGTCGACACCGAAGTCGAACAGACTGTCAGCAAGACGAGCGAGGTGAATAACACTGGAGCAACTACGGTGATTGCTCAGGCATCTGGTCAAACCTCGGGTGTCAACGTCCTCCAAGCCAGCTTGATCAGGAAGAAGAAAAAGACATAGACCAGGTGCTCATCAGTCTTTGGTCACGACAGCTGAGTTTATTGCATATGCGGAGTCGAACGGACTTGGGTGGGCATTGGCGAACATCGGATTTCGCACTTGTACAATAGGATGAATTGGGATATTAGCATATTTACTACCACTGCATAATTGAGTTGGTTACTCGTTGAGGGAGTCCATGGAACGTGGAATCGTATAGATGGATGTGACCTGGCTTCCATGCTGCCTAACCAATGGCAGCGCGGGCGGCTCCATCGGACCGCGACAACAATTTCCAGTTGGCAATTTCCCTCGCCGATGAAACCCACTGGGCCCAATCGCCCAATCCACCAGGCACCAACCATCCGCTGGATCCGACCGAAGCACTACTAGTTGTCGGCTCGACGGTTGATTGCTTGTCTGCACGGTGCAGCTCACGGTTGGCGTGGCCGTCGCATGAGTAAAAAGCAAACGAATCGTTGCCCACCGCAATCCCTCCACTTACTTCTTTACGCCTCCTAGAATGTCCTCGTCTGATTCTACTTCTTGTTCCTGCTTCTGCCACATCGCCTCTCGTCGTGTCCGCCTATGTTAGAGCTTCAGTCGCGTTCGAATTCCCCCGAGGTTGGACCGGCCATTGGCCATGGCGGATTCCAGTGGTCTGTTGCGGCCGGTTGGGTGGGATTGATCTGGTATACTACTGTGGTGGCCGTCTGCATGCTGGGATACTTTCAACTGTACTCCATCCTCGGCTCTTAGATTCCTAGGATTGGTCGTGGATTCTACTAACACGATTTTCATTAGATGGAGACATTATTTGCGGATTCCCCGGAAATCCTCGTCCGCAACCGCCTCGAACGCCCCCCACGTCACCGCGATCCGACCGGTCAAAGGACTCGAACCGCATCTTTATGAATGTCTGGCCTCGACATTTCGACAGGATTATCCCGCCGACAAGTTGACCGTTTCGTTTTGCGTCTCCTCTCGCAGTGACCCGGCCTATCCCATCCTACAAAAGTTGGTGTCGGATTTTCCGCATGCCGATGTGCGACTCTACGTCGAGGACGATGACCCGTTACTCCAGCCGGGTCATTCCCCTGCGTATGACTTGGGTCCGAATCCCAAGATCCGGAACATGAGTCGAGCCTACCGTGAAGCCAAGGGGGATATTGTCTGGATCATTGATTGCAACGCGTGGGTGGGAAGAGGCGTTTGTGGGCGCATGGTGGACCGGTTGTGCGGAACGGGCGAGTCGGAAAAGAGGTACAAATTCGTGCATCACTTGCCGGTTGCTGTGGACATGTCGGGAACTGCTAGTCTGCGGGAGGAGCAGGAAGCGCTGCTGAAGTCCTACACAAACCGAAATGCCATCCGTGAGAGCAGCGAAGCAGCGGTCATGGAGCATGAGACGGGTCTGCTTGCGACAGGCGGTGGCCGTTTGGAAGAACTGTTTCTGTCCTCCTCGCATGCAAAGATGTACACCGCCATCAACACCGTGTTGATCGCACCTTGCATCGTGGGCAAGTCGAACATGTTCCGCCGCTCGCATCTCGACTACCTGACTGCGCCGTCTCCGACGGATTCCCGTCGCCGTAACGCGGGCATCGACTACTTCTCTGACAACATCTGTGAAGACCATCTGATTGGGGATCTACTCTGGAAGAAGCCGGTGCGCGAGGAAAAGGAACTTGGTGAGCACTGGGGCAAACACGCGCTGGTGTTCGGAGACTTTGCCTTTCAGCCGGTAGCCAACATGAGCGTGCAGGCGTATGTGGCACGTCGAGTGCGGTGGCTGCGCGTTCGCAAGTTCACCGTGGTCCTTGCCACACTCGTCGAGCCGGGCACGGAGTCCATCCTGTGTTCGTGCTACGGGGCATGGGGCGTCACGACCGTTCTGGCGCAGTATCTCAGCGACCAAGGGTATGCATTTGCCGCGAGTCTGTCCACCTGGACGGCGTTCTGGGGCTGCTTCGGCCTGAGCATGTTGGCGTGGATCCTAGTGGACTGGACGGTCTACATCATGCTGCACAGCGGCAAGACGGTGGAATTCGACGAGGACACGCCATCATTCGCGCGGCCCCCACGAGGCATCACGCGGCGAAGCTTCCGACAATGGTTTGCGGCCTGGCTGGGACGGGAGATGCTGGCGTTTCCGATCTGGCTGTGGGCTGTGTACGGCGGCGTGACGGTGACCTGGCGAGACCGACAGTTCCGCGTCGGGCTGGACATGAAGGTGCGGGAGATTGAGGGCAGTGCAGTGCCGAGGACTTCCTCATCACGCTCCAGCTCCTCCTCCACGGCAGACCGCACCAAAGCCCGACGCGACTAGCCTTCCCCTCCACCAAAACCATCACTATAGACATGTAACAACCACGAAAGAGCGCAATGAACTTTTATGTATATGAAATGCAATTCTATACCACCACCCATCCACCATCCATCCATCCAAAAATATAAAAACCAAGTCTACTCCTTCCCCTCACCAACCCCACTCTCCAACTCCCCCCCCTTCTCCGAACTCAACAACCACTCCACCACCTGTCTCCCCCTCGTCATCTCCCCAGCCCCTTCAGCCCCCTCCTCTGCATCCCCCCCAATCTCCACCTCCACCTCCTCATCCCCTTCCCCATCCTTATCCCCTTCTCCTTCAGCACGCGTATTCCAATCCGCCCTCTCCGCCAAAAACACCGCATCCAGCCCCGCATCATTCTTAATCGCCACGTCCGCGCCCGCCTCCACCAACGCCTTCACGCACTCCAGATGCGTGTTCAACGCCGCCCAGTGCAAGGGTGTATTTCCGGAGTAGTTCCGGTGGTTGAGGATTTTGGTTGCCGTGGGGGCGGGGAGTTGGGTGAGGTGGGTTAGGAGGTAGGAAAGGATTTCTATATTTCTTGGTTAGTATTTGGGTTGTGGTGGTGTAGGCCGTACAGTTTAGGATAGTGGTTTAGGATGGATTGGGGTAAGGGGTAAGGGTAAGGGAAAGGGGAGGTAGGTACCAATATTCCCATTAGCAGCCGGATAATGCAACAAACTCGACCCACTGCCGCCTTCTTCGGCGGGGAGGGAATCGATCGCGGAGGCGATGATGAGCGCGGGAGTGGAGGAGGTCTGCGTGCTGAGGGTCGTGAGGTCGGATTCGAGAGTGGGGAGGTCGCCGGCGCGGGCGGAGTAGATGAGGTCGTCGATTGTGTCGGGGGTGAGGGTTAAAGACATTTTGTGATTTCTTGGGGAGTTTGGGGGGGTTGTGGTTTTGGGGGGGGTTGGTGGGAGGTGTGTTGGGTTTGGGATAGGTCACGAGCGGTGGTGGTTTGTGGTGGTGGGTATCTGTATCTGTATCTGTATCTGTATCTGAGGGAGGGTTAGTTTGGGTTGAGATTGGGGTGGTTCGACTGTGTATTGAAAGGGGGTAGGAAACAATGTAACGTAGAGCAATGGATGTTAGGTTGGGAGCTGGAGGGGTTGGAGGGGTTGATATTCTTGATATCATGTACCACCACCACCACAGCAAAACAATATAACCCCCCAAAAAGATAGTCAGACATGCAATTCAAGCTGCGAATAAGGCGATCATGACCTCATTTGCTATCCCTCATATATTCTCTCCGTTGCCATCCCCGGTGTAAATCTTTGATACTTTTTTGCTTCCCCTCATTCTGAAATACCCCGCACAGCTCAAAACCAGAACTCAATGCAAACAGACCAAAACATAAGATTGGGGATCTCACCTATTCTAGAGCGAAACGTGAATCATGAATGGGTTTGATTTGGATTCCTGGTCGCAGTGTCGTAGTGTCCAAGTACAAGATGGGAGAACTTTGATGCCCGGTCAGGTGACGAGCGGGTCTCGACCAATCTTCGCTCCATACTATCTATTCTGATCACATACTAGTATGCACGGAGTACTCCGTAGTACTATGTACTATGTACGAGTAGGAATATCATATCATACAGCTCTATCTGCACCTACATACAACGCCATCTCAGTAGCACTAAGCATACAGAAAACTGAATAGGTATCTCAAGCGGCAACAACAAAACAAAATGCGCCCATCCATCCATGCGGAAACAATCAATCCCTCAGCCATGCCCGTCTCTTCTCTTCCTTCTTCTCTCTCCGCTTCTCTTTAAACATCTTCAGCTCCTTCTTACTCAGTTTCTTGGCACTCCGCTCCGCCCGCAAACTCCGTCCATCATGACTATTTGCCGCCGCATCCACATCAAAGAACGCATACATCTGCCGCCGCGACTTGTTCTCATCATTGTGATATTCCGCATTCTGCGACGCCGCTTGCCACCGGCCCGTAAACCGATTGAACGCACCCACCGCATCATACCCCCCCGCCATACCCGCAGCCCCTGGCCCGACCCCTGGCACGGCCCCGGCTTCGGGTATCTGTTGTTGCTGCTCGTACTGCTGCGCATATGGCGCCGTGGGATCGTAATCGCCGTGAATAGCAGGGTTATAGCCTCCCACGGTGGCGGCCGGCGGGGGAACATCGGCGGCGTCGGGTTCCTCGACGACAGCGTTCTTGTCCTCCGCTGTCGTAGTGGTGGCGCTGGCGTCCGGTACCCGGGGATTCTCCCACTGAGAGGTCCCCGTATACCGATTGTAGAAGTAATAGGCTTGTGCGGTACCGTCCCAGACGGGTTCCCAACCATCGTCTTCCCCACTTCTTTCTCCTCCTCCTGCAGCTGCTGGTGCACCGGGTGTGGGTTCGTTGGGAAGCGGTGGGGGAATTTCATCTGGTAATGGGGGGGCGGAATCTTCTTGCTCGTCTTCACTTTCTTCTTCTTGTTCTTGTTCTTGTTCTTGTTCTTGTTCTTCTTTCTCTTTTAGGTTTCCTTCCTCTTCTCCTTCTGAGAGTATCTCTTCTGCCTTTTCCGTTCCTTGTTGCTGTGCTTCCTGATCCCCTTCCACAGCTTCAATCCGAGCTTCGGTCTGATCTCCGTCCTGGGGCGGAGCACCCGCGTCGGGAGGAGCAGTCGCGGACATTCTGCGATTAGCTCTTCCGTTAAGCTAGATGTGGAGAGTGGTAATTGCTGGATTGAGATGCGCGGAGGTCAACGGTCACGGTCAAGTCACTCCACGGAATGCTGGGTCATTGGGGCCGGTTTATCGGGTTGGAGTGATGATGTTGAATGCGGATCGATGGCTGGATTTGTCGGCTTGACTAAGCATGGCGTGGAGATGGGCTAGCCGGGTTAGGTTAACGGTTGAGCCACGGACGCCACGGACGCCACGATGTCATGTGATCGATAGATTAGATTCACTGTATTGGTCAGGCGTGGTGCAGAGGTATCGATTAGATGGGAAGTATTTGTCTAATGGTGATTAAATGTATGTCTGAGCAGATAATGAGTGAGTATGAAAGGATGTCGGTGTGCTGTGTTGAGGTGGACTGTTGCATGGTGGCAGAAGTAAATATATAATACTATGTAGATGGAGTACCAGCTACTTCAAGTGAAGGACAGGAAAAAGCAGATTTATCTATGGAAGTCTCCTAATACAAGAGTAGGATACTACAGAAGTGTATATAATGTCATATAATAATATGATAGTCTATCAATAAGCCATAGGACATCTCCTTAACTCGATATATCAAGCGGAGGGCTACTATATTTCCTATAACACCAGGATGATGATCAAGTACGGAGTACGAAATTAGTCTATCACTAATGACTAAATTTCACATGTGGTACTATCGCTTCTAGACCTCCTCTCTATGTAATCTAGTCAACTGTATAACACCCTCAATTAATCTATCCAACTACACACTCCGAGAGACCTCTCTCATTGACCCTAAATGCATAAAACAACAACAACAACTCCTCCGCACGGTGTATACACAACAACACCCCAGCAACACCAAATTCCTCCGCTCCAGCCCATTCCCATTCTTTCACTCCCCACCACTGCAATCAGAAACCTACCACCCAACCTCAAACCAAGGAACAACCGTACTAAACAAACCAGGAACCACCCCATCTCCACATCCAAACCCAAACCCGTCTAGAATTCTTCAGGCCACTCACTACTCTTTACTAAATAGGTAAAGTACTATCGGGGAGATCCGAAGCGAAGATCATCTCCATTCTGGGAATCAAGGGATGAGGATGTAAGGCCGGGAGGATAATATAGTGTAACTTTAAGAGTCATCATCTGATATTTTGGTGGCATTATAGTTTAGAAGAAGGTTGAGTTTACTCCATAGTGGAATTTGGTTCGTTGGGGCCGAGTTTACGACAAGGATTGAAGAAGGTTTGTTTGTATGTATGTAGTATGGCTGGGATGCGATGCAGGATGGCGTGGCATGGACGATCTTGCAGGGATATGTACGATCGTACTGTAGAGATGCAGGTGTTGAGAGGCTGTTACTGTTGCTGCATTGGGGCTGTGTATAGTGTATACTTTGTACTAGAGGTAGATTGGGATAGAATGCCACGTAGGGTGGTTCGTTGTTCCGTTGCTTGGTCAAAACTTAATGAAGGACATGTTCTACGACAATGGCTTTGTGGTATTGTTCAGAAGTGAGTTTATATCTGCAATAGGGGTGAACATGAAGTATCTCTGTTTAGTTAGAGACCAATGAACGGCATATTGAATGGTCAAACAGTAGGATAGATCCACATCCATAGTATTGTATCGTGACACTCAGATCTGATTCTCGATCTGCACATGGACGTGGATCAACTGGCCAGTCGGGCCAGGCACCAAGGCTGCCACGTGCTGCCGCCTGCAGCGCATCTTCCCAGTTCCACCTCACAGTCCAAGATCGACAACCAACAACCGGCTGGAAACAGCACACCATCCGGAATGGATACGATGAAAACATGCTCCTCACCGTCTAATCTCCGCCGCCCTCGTCATCTGTTTCAGACCCATCGAATTAACATCCTCTCGGGCAATAGTGCAATGGAATCAGCAGCCAAGGCACGGTCCAGCTATTCGGGACCGCGGCGAGGAACAATGCGATTCGGAGATTAGAAGGGATTCATTGAATGCCCCTTGCTCGTTTTCACCTTGGAAGAGGAAATGTCCGGCCCACGTATATCCTCAAGCTGGGGTTGCTCAAGGGACCATCCTTCTGTCATGGGCCCCTTGCAGTGGGACATGCCATTGCATATGCTCTGCGAGCTTACTGAGTGCTTGCACGTCACTTGCATGCCGCACGAGTGCCCGAGTGGCACGAGGCTGGCTTGATCAGGTGGCGAGGAGGACGACAAAATAGCAAAGTGAGTAAGTGGCTGAGTGGCTTCGGCAATCTACCTATCAAGAAATAGAGGTTTAATCTTGGGAACTAATACGCAGTGGCAATGAAAACAGAAAGCTACGTACCTGCAGTGAACTTGCCGCAGGCGCAGGATCTGCAGAAAGTGAGGAGGAATGAGACCCTGCCTGCAATGCACCCCAGTCATAGCCCGAATCGCTGTGGATGGCATGCGAAAACAGCATGATCCCGGGCACTTACGGCAACCACCATAGGCCGATCCATGCCAACTGCTTCAACGACGGGTTCTGGAGCCAGGGTGACAGCTACAGAGGCATGAAAACTGTGAACGAAGAAGGAATTCCTTGCGTGACGCATTCCACAGGGATCAAGGCCGAGTGTACGCGGATGGGATGGCTCCGCAGGAACAGGTTCTGACCTTGCAGTCCGGAGTATTCTGGCCAAGGCGCTCAAGACCTCCCCCAAATTCTATATAAGGGCCTTCGAAGTCGCCGTTCCCTCGATTCTCTCCATCATCACAAACATTCGTTGATTACCACTCTCGTTCTCACAGTCCAGTCTTTCCAAGCACTCCCCGAGTTCCAACTCTCGTTCAATTCCAAAACCACCGTCACAATGAAGTTCTCCATCACCGCTGCTGTCCTTGCCTTCGCTGCCACCGTTGTGGCCCTCCCCGGCTCTCCCTCCGCTGGTGATGGCAACGGCCCTGGCTTTGCCAACGGCAACGGCAACAAGGGCAACAGCGACGTTCGCTTCCCTGTCCCCGATGACATCACCGTCGAGCAGGCCGAGGCCAAGTGTGGTGACCAGGCTCAGCTCTCTTGCTGCAACAAGGCCACCTACGCTGGTGACACCACCGACGTTGACAGCGGTATCCTCGCCGGTACCCTTAGCAACCTGATCGGCTCTGGCTCTGGCGCCGAGGGTCTTGGTCTCTTCGACGGCTGCTCCAAGCTCGGGGTCCAAGGTAATTTCCTCCCAGTATCATTCACATCCAGTGCTAACCGCCACAGTCCCCATCATCGGTATTCCTATCCAGGATCTCGTCAACCAGCAGTGCAAGCAGAACATTGCTTGCTGCCAGTCGTCTCCTTCCAGCGCCGTAAGCTCCCCTCTATCATATTCGACAGCACCAGCTAACAAGCTTAGGATGGCAACCTCATCGGAATCGGCCTTCCCTGCATTGCCCTCGGCTCCATCATCTAAGCGGCTTATCAGCACGCTTTTGGTCGGACTTGGTCAAGCTGTATCACGGCATGGACCGGGGCTGGAAAAGGGATTTACCCGGCTGCAAAGCCCGGTGTACTTCCCTCCGGACTAATCGTGTACGAGTACCCTGGTGTCGCGTGGCACCTCGGAGAAAGACTGTTCTGTTTGCGTTTACTCTTGCTTTTCATCATGCATTTGCTGCGCCTTATAGGCGCCAGCCTCGTTGCATAGAAATTTAATTGCATTAGACCATTTGCTACTTTTCTCTGTAGCATTCGTAACCACATCACCATCCATCCTTAGTAGACTGACATCCTTGTCTACCTCTCCACCTTCACATCTAAACCATGTTGTTCTTCCTTCGCCACTCTTGACTTATCCCAACAACACCTTATAAGATCCTAATCCGCCACAAAATACCACTCCCTACAACCACAATCTCAACATCCTTTCTTTGACACACCCAAGGCTCACCTTAGCTAGCTGAATCACCTAAGTCCCTACACATCTATCCCCCTCCTCCTCCTCCTCCATCCCTCCCTTTCCTACCCCACAGCCTCCCCGGGGAATTTCCCCAGCATCTTCACGTAATCGATTCCATTCCATCCCAGCTCACAATACGGACTGATCAAATGACTGACTAACTTGTGTAACTGGCTATCTCTCTCTCTCACCATTCAATTTTTTTGTCCATTGCTGCTCGTCTTGTTGATCCTACTATATGGGTTATGGCATGTGGGGGTTGGATAGAGTGTCTTGGTTATATGTGTTTTGTGTTAAGTGTGGATTATTTAGTTACTCTTCTCGGTTTGTAGTATGTATGTATGTATGTAGGTATGTGTATGTGGATGTTTGATAAAAAATTATGGTATTATGCTCTGCATGTATGTAGGTATGTAAGTGTGTATGTATGTATGTACGATGAAGGTACCATAACCACCACCACTGCCATCTCCTCTTTCTCCAGCAGGAATTAACAAAAGAAAGATCCTCGGATATCATACACCTCCACTGCAGGACTCAATCCCATTCCAACATGGCCAATAGAAGCTTGAATGTGAAAAAGACAAAAGAAAAATGATGGTAGTTAAGAAAAGAAGAGAATAGAAAGGAGAAAAGTAAACAATAAAAGAAAGAAGAATCAAGAATCAAGAAAGTAAGAGAAAGCATTAAACCATCCCAACCCTCGATATGGACCAAACACACCCACGAAATACAACCCCGGCGGTGGGCACCCAAACTCCGTCGCTAGTGAAAAAGGGTCTGGTTGCTGGTGTTGATGCGGGTAATGTCTTCATGACTGTCGGGCCATTGGCTGGGAAGAGGAAACACGGCGGTGCCCATACGACGTTGTTTCTTGGTGGGACTGGAGCTGGGGGTTGTCAGGGTTGTGGTGGGGGGTGCGGAGCTGGAGAAGTGCTCGACTGAGGCGAGAGTGGGAGATTTGGGCGGGGGAGTGGGTGGACGGGGGGATGAACAGGATGTCGCGTCGGAAGAGGAGGGCTCGGGTGCTGGAGAAGGACGTAGAGATCTTGGCAGCCGGATGTTGGATCGTTTGGGGGCTGAGGCCACGGCCGCGGCGGTCGATTGGAGGAGGTTGAAGATCTCGATCATGGACTTGCGTTGGCTTAGACGCCAGGCGGAGGAACGTTTGGCGGGCTTTTCCTGCTCGTCCTCGGCTGCAGCGGTGTTTGCGTCTTGCTTGTCCTCTTCTTCGACATCCTCGGGGATATCTTCGATGATCCGGCTCTTGATCTCCGGCAGCTTGGCGACGGCACTCGGAGGCACGTCCATGCTGGCGGGACGGGGCTTCTTGTCCGGGCTCCGGGGAATGCGCCGGCTGGACAGCTCGAGGTCGATGTCGTCTTTGCTTTTGGGCAAGACGGGGGTTTCACTCTGAGGCCCGACAGTCATGTTAATCACCCTCTGTGGTAATTTAGGGCTACATTCGACGTCGGTTTCCTCGTCAGAGAGAGTGTTGGTCTGCTTCGCAGAAAAGTCCTGGCCCTGGGGTTGGTCATCAGGGTCCAGGGTTGAGCACTCAGAGTCTTCGGGGCTGACGATGCGAATGGAGGAGGTGGTCTGTATGGGCTGGGTGGCGGCTTCTTGGGGCTGATCTGGGAGGGCCGAGATCTCCGTTGACTGCGCTGCGTACTTGTAGTGGTACTTCTTCTCGTGTTCGTATGCATCAGGCTCCGAGGTCTGCGCGAGATCCGCGATGCCAGCACACGTCCATGAGGCATGGTAGTCCTGTCGTCGCTGACGACGGAGTTTCCGCGCCTGCAAGCAGGGAAAAAGTGAGGAGAGGCTCTTCATTTTGGCTGTGCGGCGCATGAAGCTTGACTTTGTGTTGAGGTTAGAGTTCGTCATGGTGGTGGTGTCAATTTATAGTGACGTGAACCGGGGGGATGTTGTGCTTGTCGGCAGGGCGATGGAGCAGCTGCGACGATGGTTGATGCGGCGATGTTATCGAACCATGAGATTAACGACGCGGGGGTGAAGCACTGGCACTGCAATTGTCTGTAGGGTTTGTGGATCGTGATGGATGGGGTACAGGAAGTGAGCTGGCCGTGCGGGATGCTGAAGCTGGCAGCTAATTAATTAGAGGATGGAGTGCGGAGTGATGAAGAACCCAAGATGGACCTCACCATCACGAAGCACTCTTCTTCATTTGGCTCAACGACTCAGTCACACATTCCTGCAAGGAGTGACCAGAGGAAGGTCTGGAAGCAAGGACAGTCGTCTCCATCTGTATGGAGAGACAAATCTGGAAGTCTCTTGTGAACGTCCTTCTTTCGCCAGTGGCCTGGAAGACCTGTTGTAACAGCTAAGATTGCCACTGAAATATGGATGCATGCTGCGGATCACAATAGTAGGCCTGAAGGTGCGGTAAGGAAATGCGGCCGAGTGAGGCTGCAGCTGGATATGCGTCCATCAGTTTCCCGCAACATTCTCTGGAGCTTGTGACCATGTGTAACCGCCACATGTGCTATATTGCTTTTCTTCTGCCCAGGAAGATACTGCTCATCGTGCAGACCCGCGTGCATCTTGTCCGGGGAGGTTCCTCTCCCTCGTTCATCCCTTGATGGTGGGCTCTCCGGCAAGGGATGATCATCATGCATTGACGGGTCGCTACGCTCGTTGCCTTGAAAATATCATCATGTATGCTCTATTCCTTGCCTAGTCGGTAATACAAATCTCGAGTAACGCTCCAATCAGTTACCAGGTATCAAGCCATCTACAACTTGCTCGGAATGGTTGCCGTGTGCAACGACCTGGAGCGGTCCAGCGCCTCAACAGCTTCCTTCTCGATTCGCTCAAGCAGCTGAGCGCACGTCGGGATGTCGTGGATCAACCCAATGACCTGACCAGCGGTCCAGACCTGTCCTCGTTAGCAAACTCCCAACCCGAGACCCAGTCCATGGGAGAACTTACTCCAAAGTCAACGTCGCCGTTCAGGAACACCTGCCGTCCGCGTTTGCCACTCACAAAAGGAGCGATCTCGCTGAAATCACCTGTCTTGCTCTCCTTCTCCACCTTCAGAGCCTCCTGGGTCACCTTGTTCCCGAACAGCCGGGTGGTGTTCTTCCACCGTCTCAGTACCAGGGCCGTGTCCGTTTCGTCGGCCTTGACAATGGCCTCCTTGACATTATGGTGGATGGGTGCCTCGATTGTGCACATGAACCGAGTGCCCATGTTGATGCCCTCCGCTCCCAGCGCCAAGGCAGCAGCAAGCCCCTGACCGTCGGCAAATCCACCGGACGCAATGAACGGCACCTTCAGCTCCTGTCGCGCACGGCTGAGGAGAATAAAGTTGGTAATGTCGGTTTCACCAACGTGCCCCGCGCATTCGAACCCGTCGATTGACAGGAAGTCCACTCCCAGCTTCACCGCAGACTTGGCATGCCGCACGGTCGTGCACTTGTGGAGGATGATGGTGTTAGCCTTCTTGAGCTGCTCGATTACCGGGCCTGGGTTATTTCCCGCCGTCTCCACGATCTTGATGCCTTCATCGATGATCACCTGGGCATAGGCGGCGTAGTCTGGGGGAACAAGTGCGGGAAGGAGGGTCAGGTTGACGGCGAAGGGCTTCTTGGTCATAGATCGACACTTGCGGATCTCTTTGCGAAGGTCTTCAGGGCTTGGTTGTGTGAGGGCCGTAAGCTGAGCGGTCAGTATTCGACCTTGTTCTCAGGTTATCCGCTGGGGTACGTACAATACCAAGTCCACCAGCATTGCTGACGGCCGAAGCAAGCTCCGCATATCCCACCCATTGCATGCCTCCCTGCACAACAGGGACTGCAGGCTATCAGCGATTACCCAAGAGCAAGATAGGGGTTGTATTACCCGAAATGCCCAGCGCCCTCGTCAGAGCCGTGTTGAATGGCATGATGTCGTTGTCGTCGTCTATTATCTGGAAAGGAAGATGGCTTCGGTAGTCGATAGGTCACGCAACTGGGAAATTGTTAAATTGAGTTTGGAAGTCCGGATGCCAGGAGATGCTCCCCGCTCAAGTTAAAGGGCGATATAGTTGGAGACCAAGTACGGGGAAGGGCGCGCGGCGAATGCTAGTAATCAACGCTTTGCCGCGGATGCTGTGGGGGGACCGGACTTGCCGAGGTCCAGGCACGGTTGCTGGCCGCTGCACAATCTGGAGAAGCGCTCACAGGAGACACCAAGGAAAGAACTGCAAATTGCTAGCTGGTGGAGATGCAGAAAACGCCTCAGGCCTTGTCAAGAGGGTGACGACAACTGCATTTCCCCTATGCCGGCGACTTGTTCTTTGTAGCCATTGCTGACCGGCTGATGCATGTGATCACGGGGAGATTCTCGGTCAGACACATCATCTGAGAGCCTGAGGGGCAAGGCTATGGAGACCTCTTGCCCGTGAGAACCCACCCCTTGTTGTCGGTTGGCATCTTCCTGGAGCCGAATAGAAAAAAACAGACAGCGCTGGGTGACTGTACATAGCAGAGTAGCAGGATCTACCCCATACTCCGTAAGATGCTCCGTCGCTCTGCCGGCATCCACGCCGGCCGTTGACCGTTACTTCACCGTCCAATCAGAAGCGCGGACCGACTGCAAGCTTGAGACCACGTGCCGGCAGCCCTAAGCCCTATGTTTGTCCGTGATAGGACTAGAGCGGCAGATGTTCTGCATTGGAAAGAGGAAAGTGAAAGTGACGCCGCATCGAAGCTGCAATTCGAAGCTTCACGTTCGCATTCTAAAGGCATCCGGTCTCGTGTCACTCCAGGAGAGAAACAACATCATGCCGTCGCCATTTTTAACCCCCGGCTCCCACTCGAGCCTCGACCAGCTCGCCCTCCTCCACCTCCGTCGCGACCACGCCATCCCGACTGTCCTCCGCCTCCACGACGATGAAGATGCAGGCTACAAGGAGGGCAAGGTAGAGACCACCCGCTTCGGCTCTTTCCCCCACACCACTCTCACCGGCCAGCTATGGGGCTCGCAGATTGGCGCCTCCAAGGTCGACACTGGATCGCGCCGCGGCCGAGGACCTCAGAAGAAGAACCAGAAGCTCAAGCGGAAAGTTGACGAGATCGATTCGGCCACCCCGGGCGAGTCTCCCAAGGCCGCCGTCGCCGCATCCAGCGGTTTCCTTCACCTTGTCTACCCGACTCCTGAACTCTGGACGACTTCTCTCCCCCACCGCACGCAGGTCGTCTACACCCCGGACTACAGCTACATTCTCCACCGTCTGCGCGTTCGCCCCGGATGCACCGTTATAGAAGCCGGAGCGGGTAGCGGATCGTTCACTCACGCGGCTGTCCGGGCAGCCTTCAACGGATACCCCACCGACGATGCGCCCACGACGAAGAAGAGAAGACTCGGCAAAGTATGCAGTTTCGAGTACCACGAGCAGCGCGCGGGCAAGGTGCGCCAGGAGATACACGAGCACGGTCTGGATGGACTCGTCGAAGTGACGCATCGCGACGTCTACAAGGATGGTTTCCTGCTCAAGGACCCCAAGACGGGCACTTCTCCCAAGGCCAATGCCATCTTCCTGGATCTGCCTGCGCCCTGGCTGGCTCTCAAGCACCTCGTCCGCCACCCGTCCGATGGCGGGGAATCCCCACTTGATCCTACTTCCCCGGTATACCTGTGCACGTTCTCGCCCTGCCTGGAGCAAGTCCAACGAACTATCAGCACTCTCCGTCAGCTCTCCTGGCTCTCGATATCCATGGTGGAGGTGAACCATCATCGCATCGAAGTGAAACGGGAAAAGACGGGTCTAGAGTACGAGCGCGTCCGCGGCGCAGTAGTGTTTCCGAAGGATGTCGACGAGGCGGTCGCCAAAATGCGTCACGTCGAGGAACATTCACGGAAGTATCGCGAGATGATGCATCAGCTAGACGACGAAGAAAGCACACCCATGCCCGCCTCCACGAAACCAGAACCCGAGAAAGAAGAAGTCCCCGAGACTGACGCATCTACTCCTCAAACCTCGAATATCCCACCCTACAAGCAAGGCCGCCTGGTCCACCGCTCCGAGCAGGATCTGAAAACGCATACCTCCTACCTCGTTTTCGCTGTTCTTCCCCGCGACTGGACCGAAGAAGACGAGCAGAGATGCCGCGAGAAGTGGCCTCCGCACCAAGTCGACCTGACCCAGCCCGAAAAGCCCAAGGGAAGAAAGCAGCTCAAGCGGGAACGCAAAGAGCGTCTAGAGGAGGAGCAAAAGAAACAGCAACAGGAAGACCAGCAACCACAACAACAGGAAGAGCCAACACCAGCGCAAGAGCAAGCAAATGCTGCCGAACAAGCTTAATAGATGATACACGGCTTGTTAGATAAAAAAAAAGGAGTCTCATTATGCACGTTCAGGATGTATTATGTACAGCACAATAACCACTATTCTTGATCCCTGGTGTAGCACTGAGTCATCTAATCAAGACACGAAATCAGCCGCATCCAGCTCCGCTAGCCCTCCTGTATTTGTCTAAGTACTTTCTATCGTAGACATTATATCATATTCTAGAGTATCCGTTGTCTCGAATCAATCAGCAAACTGGACAATCAAAACCCTCATAATCACTAGTTACTACACTATCGTTAATGTAATGGATTTACAGCATCCCAAATATCCTCTCTCTAAGGAACTGACCAGCATCAACCGAATATCTTCCTCATCAGTCATAGATGTGAACTCGAGTGGGTAGGTAGGTAGGTAGGTATAGGTCTATTTATGTACAATTGTATGTGCTCATGCGTGTCAATGGAAGCGAGTAGGTATGACAGCAGGGAAAAGAAGTCACCGGCTAAGGCTATTTATGATATCAGTTCAGGTGAAGATGCAGGGTGAGATCAATGGAGAATGAAGCAGATATCAGATATGGAATATCAAATAGGATATGATAGGATAGGATAGGATAGCAGGAGATGAGGGATAAGTGGATAGATGAGAAGAAAGGATTGGGGTTGGGAAATGAGATATTTGCAGCTAGAGGTTGTTCTCTTTCTTGAATTTGTCCCATGCTTCGTTCAAGGCACCGAAGACGGCGCCCGCGATCATGCGTTGCTCGGTGGTGGCGTTGGTGGGAATCTAATGAGTGGTGGGTTAGAAAGGATAATAGGTGGGATGTGATTGATGACAGGGACGTACCTTGTCTGGATGCACTTTGGCAATTCCCTTCATGTATTGGATTTTCACCTTGTTGGGCATGATCAATTCGGACATGTTGACCTTCTTCCATCCTGCTTCGGGCCAGAGAACGGTATCCAGGCTGCCCAGGAGCGCTCGCAGGTTGTCTTGTTTGCCGTTCTTCCACGCTGCCACGCGAGCATCAACGCTTTCGGAGAGGGCGAACTTTTCTTCGTCAGCACGTTCCGCTGCTTGGTTGGCTGCTCGTAGGCGAGTCACGGCCTCGAAGGAAGCGCCAGATGAAGCCGAGCGGCCCTGTACATCATCCAGAGCTGAGACCTTCTTGGGTGCTGGCGCTGGGGGACGTCTTGCGGGTGCCGCGGGTTTCGACACGGGCTTGCTGATACCAGCTGCTTTCTCGCATCGGGTGCGGCCTTGAATACTGGTGCTACCACCATGACCATTCTCAACGGCCAGCTTCCACGTTTGAGCGGCATCTGCCCATCGTTCCAGTTGTTCCAGGGCTTCGGCCTTGCGCATCAACGCCTTTCCGAAGAAATCCTTCATTGGCTTACTGGGTTCTCCGTTCAGGAGATCGATACTCTCGCCTTCTCCCTTGGAAGGACCGATAATTTCCACGATGATGTCCGCATCGCTGATCGCTTCCTTAGGCTCGCCGACCTTCAAAGCAGTCATGGCGCGATTGCTGCGGATAATGATCGTAATAGGGTGCTTGTTAGGCAGCGGTGTGAGTGCCGCCGTGAAGGCCTCATGTGCAGCAGCGTAGTCGCCCCGCTTATAGGCTTCTGCTGCTATTCCACGCTGTCGGTGTGTAGTGGAAAGGGCGTCCTGAGATACTGGCGGTACAGCTCGAGGCGGAGCCTTGGGCCGTGCAGGTAGAGTAGTAGATGGCGTAGATGTCCGTAATGATTGCGCTGGTGCGGGTGATGGCTTTGGCCTCTGAGCCGGTGCAGGCGCAGAACTCTCGAACAAGTCGACCGTTGGTTCCGGGGCAGGCGATGGGGCAACAGGGCGCTTCCTCCGTGCAGGACTGACATAGGCTTGCGCCGACTGCTCCTCCAGGGCTGATTTCGTCAACCGGGACCTCGGATCCTTCGTTTCTGCTCGTATCTGCTGCTGCATAAAAGCAGGCTGTTGCATACGCCTTTCGGTAGCCGGAGACGGTTGATGCCTAGCACCATTGCTGCTCGAACGAGATGCCAGTCCATCCTCGGATCGCAGAGCGTTGCGTGATGGACGGCGAGGCAGTGCATCGTCAGATCGCATGGCATTGCGCGACGGACGGGGGGGGCCGCCAGACTCTAGCAAAAGTGCCTCATCGGTCATCATTTCGGGCCGGGCTTGGGGCTGGTTAGCCACCCGGGGACGGTCACTAGACGGAGACTCATCATGCGAAGAAGCATCTCTCAGCCACCGAGGCTGGCTTGGATCATGATCCGCATTGAGGTCCTGGACCACTTGCTGTACTTTCTTGCTGCCAGATTTCCAAAGAGAGTTTGCTGTCTTCAGCAAATTATTTCCAAAAGCCGCCGCAATCTGCGACGGATCCTTTTCTGCTGGCGAAGATGTTCGGTTGTTGCTACGGGACCGCTCCTGCTGCATCCATGAAGGCACATCACGCCCAGGTCTTTCGCTGCGCTCTCGGCTTCTACTGGGCTGTTCGGTATACCGTTCGTCCGGGGTCGGCCGACTCTTGGACTTTTGGCGGGCTTCTTCGTGCGCCTGCGTGAGAAGCAGGCCCACTGCAGCCTGGACATCGGTACCAGATGACGTCATTCGCAAGGCCTGGCTGGCTTTGTCGGCAGGAAATCCCATGTCCACAAGTTCTGCGACTGCCCGATCCACTCCATTCAACGGCTTGGGAGACGGAGCATGGTATTCGCTTTCAACGGGTGTGGGTGCTTTTGCAGGAGGCTCTGGTCGAGGAATTTCAGACACAGGCTTGCCCAGCAAGCCAAGAAAGTCGTCATCGTCATCGGCCTGTGCAGGTTGTGGAGGTTGCGCGGACTTGGGCTTCAGTTGATTGAGGCCGAAGGGATCATCGTCATCAGGAAAGGACATGGTGAAGGTCTGCCGCGAAGTGTCTACCTTGCTGGGAACAGCCGGGGAGGAGATCGGATGTTGCGTTGATGGGCTAGGGTCAGGTACTGGGAAGTTCGTCGATGCATCTACAGGTGCAGACGCGTTGAAAGCGGCAAGGAGATCATCTTCTTCGGGCGACGGGGCGCTCTGCTGAGCCGGAGTGCCAGACGTAGGAAACCCGTTACCCCGGCCCTTTTCCAAGCTGTCCCAGAAGTGAGAGTTCTGCCCTCCATACTGCGTTTCGAACCGAGATCTGTTCTCTGCCTCCTTTCTAGCTCGCTCCTCTTCCAGCCTCTTCTGCTGCTCGAGAAGTGAAAGGTTCTTATTCGCATTGCCCGAGCCAAAGGAGACAAGGTTGGCGAAGCTGTCCTTGTCCGGTGTCGCAGACTTCGACGGAACGTTCGATGGGCCAGAGGAGGCAGAGAGGGGCGTAGATCGGCCAGAGGTGTCATTCCGCCTGACGCTCGGAAACAAAAGGCCAGTATTCATCGGTGGTGGCTTGCGGGCATCATTGGACGAGCTGGGAGTCCAGCTCAGGCCGTTCAGGTCATCCATTATTGTTGTTGGGTGTGAGGTATCGGTGGGGAAGTGTCTGGAGGGGTCGTAATTAGGACTGAGATTGTATGTGAGGAAGCCATGATCTAGATTATCTCACCATCAACGATCACTGGGCAGCGGAGTGGATCCAGTCGGGGGATTGAGGATTGAGTTCACAACGGAGGCGGGGGAGTCGCGGTATGATCAGGAGCCCGTCAGAGCATCATTGTGGCCTTGCGAGCAGGTTGACGGACAGTTTGATGGGCCCGCCAACTGTTGTCTCGATATCCCCTGGAGATGGAGGGCCGCGACCGTCACAGTGGCTGAGGCGGGCCGATGGGGCTGACGGGGCACCCTCAGTGTGGCGGTGCGCTTCAGCACGTGAGGGGCTCAGCGTGGGAAGGCACGTGCCTCCCGCTCGGCCGTTTCGCTTCCTTACCATCCCTGTCTGCCTAACAAAGCCAGGAACCTCCTTGGGCCGGGATCCTATATCCACCGCACAGTGGACCCCGATTCTAGACTGTTGACCGATGTGATTAATATTATCTCAGACTTTGGTGGCCGGACGGGAACTCTGCAGGTTTTGGCAATGGTAGAATAACGGCACCAGCTTGGGGCCAAAGCCAGTATAATTGATGTCTCACCCAAGCAAATGTGGTCTTACAAAGAACTATTATCGCAACCGCGGCATACCCCGTATCTACATAGTAGCAACTAGCAACAGACTCGCGGCCATCCTGATGCGCTACTCAGCTCCCCTTCTCGCTTCTCTTTTCGCCCCGTATAAGATGGCAGATCAGCAGCGGCAGGCTCCAGTGGGCACCAATGCCCGTCAGCCTGCACTCGGGTCCGTTCTGGATACGCGGCAATTTGCTCTGGAGAAGTGGAAACCATGGCAAGTAACCGCTAACCAGTAACCACACAATAAGTTTAGCCTTCCGAAGTTTGCCCATGGTAAGGACTGGACCGGGCGCCTGGATGAATGGGGCCCGGTGGCTCTCGGGGATCCAAGGAGGAATTAATGGCCAGCTGTGAGAAATAAGCCGTAAGCGAGAGGACGGTACGATGAATCGAGGGGGAGGCCCGCAGGATGATGAACCTGACAATTTCACGAGTAGTTTCACGATGATTACGTCCGGGAAGGGGACAGACTCAACCAGGTCAGCCATGAGCCAACGACCCCGCACAGGAAGCAGGCCCTTGACGGAGCCATTATTAACTTGCAAAGGTGCCGCGAGTGATACATCTGGAAAGGGTTCCTACAGTAGTGGGATCAGGGCAGCCAAGGTATTCACCAATTGGAGAACCACTTTGCGCCAGCCGGCCATGTCAGCACTCAAGAGTCTCGAGGAATCGCCAACGGTTGAAACCCGTTGCCACCGCCAATCATGGCGGCTGACAGTGGTGCCTGACAGGGATGCGCGATAGGGAATTATTCCAATACCGACTAAGCGGGGATTTAGTACGGAACAGGCGATCATCATGGCTGACAGGACGGGGGAGACAGGTGGTCTTATTTCCAGAATCCAGAAGCCCTCGGGTATCGCACGATCCCACCGGGAATCTGTTCCTGCCCTGGGCTCTCGATACCGCTAGTAGAGGGTCATAGCGAAGGTTGCAATTTATCGAGGTCGCACCGACGGCATCAACCACAATGGCCATGATCCTGGAACCGATAATTCAAGAACCAGACGGCCTGGCGGAACTTCGGAGGAAATGAATGGCACGGTTCTGGTAGGGCGGGTGGGCAAGATGACCAAGATTCGTCGCACTAAAGAGTCATGTCAGTCACTGAACTAGCATCGGGTCTCTTCCAGTAGCCGCCGTTGCGGCGTTGAAATTACGGGCCATCCCAAGTCCCTGCTCGAACTCTGGCTAGGTGACCTGTCGGCCTAACTCAGGTCCTCCTGAGGTCGATCTGGGCGGACTTCGACGAGGACGACTAGATAGATAGCAGTGGAAAATAGATCCTGTTCGATGATAAATACGAACACCCCATCGGCGTTGCAGCATTCCTCGCAAACCAAACGTCAGACGGGAAACCCGCACGACCCAGCAGAGTGGCCAGGGCGGTGTTTCCGCGTTAGTGGGTGCGCCAGTGCATTGACATTTCGAGGGGGCGAGAGGAGGGGCTTGCAGCACAGTGCATCGACTGCACCCTCAAAAAGCACCTACCGCAGGGATGTACACGGAGCCATTCGGATATAATCTTCCACACACATGCTCTTCCGATCTAGCTCGGTCAGGATCGTATGATAGAGTCTAAGGTGCCTCTGACTAGTGAACGCACCATGCCTATGTAGGAGGACCTGGACATTGATTACAGTGGATCAAATTGGTCGACAGATCCAGGTCGCAGTACTCCGTACAAAGTACACATTACTTACACAGCAGATACCACTCTGCCCTGCAGTGGGTCCACCCAGACCATAGAATCCATTAGCAATGGCAATGGCAGTCAGAATCACAATGGCCTCGAGGGGGCAGTCATAACATCAGGTAATATACCTCCGAACTTTCGACCACTCTGGGGTTCGCCTCGCTGCAGAGTTCACCAACTAACGAACTCAACCATACTACAGTCTGGATGTGCCTGTTGCCTTCATGGATGACTCCTGTTCTGGAAATCTGGAAATGGTAACAGTACCAGGTATTTACGAAACCGACCCTACGGTATATATACCTTACCTGTATCAGACACCATTGCGAAGGAAGCAGACACGGTCGCTCTCCAAACAACTTCATCTCGCACAAGGCCACAGATGCGCGACGTCGGCGAGCGGAGATTCTTGGAGGGGTAAGGAGCCAAACTTTATGTCGAAGAGGATTCTGCCGGCCGAACTCAAAATTGCGATATGAGCCATATCTCCGCTTGGCTGCCATGGCTAAATAGCCTGTGATAAGATCAATTCATGGCATAACCTGGTATCTAGGCACTCTAAGAAGATAGCACAGTGCCTAATATCTTGATATTTAGCTTCCAACCCCCCCCCCCGGCACCGATACAGATTTGATGAGCCAGCACACGGTTGTACAGGGTGCTAAAAGTGCTGCCAACCTAAGCACGGTTAAAGGAGAATTGTGCAATCTTGACATGGCTCTCATGTAGAATCTAGCTAGGCCCGGTCCGTATGCTCCCACAAGGACGGTTAACCTTTTTCTATTGGCATGATGAGGTACGTGCTCCAGAATTGGTGCTCATGTCGCTGATGGCCTTTGCTTCCCGTTCTTCTGTGGAGATCCTGCTGAGTGCTAAGGTGTCGAAGCTCAGTCTGTCCTGGCCCCAAGGCTATCCGCGATCGCCATTGCACTTTTTGTTTTCAACATGGTTACTATTGAAAAGTGGGTTCAACACGAGCCAGGGCTCGAAAACATTATCCCGTCCCAGAGCACCTACTCCATACTGCTGGCCAAGATAAATAAGCAAGAACGGCATACCTGGCTATAAAAGGACAAGTTATAGACAGGGTGCCACTGAGGTCCCGAAGTGCAAGCCATGTGAAGGCGACGAGTGACTGGCAGCCGATCTGGGATTAAAGTTGACGGCGAGCATATTGAAGGTTACGGGTACTTCCTGACCACGTTCGTCTGAAGGACTTCTCCAGTCATGCTCTTGTATGCTCGTTTGCTTCCTACTAATAGTATTAGTCCCAATTTTCTTGAATGGACGATCCTGCCTGATTGAGATCGACACCGCCAAAGTTATGTGCCGAGTACGATTCAACCAAGGTCCACTTGGACCATAAATGCGCGTATCGGCAAGTTCCCTTCGGAAGTCGCATAGGGACTTGATGGAAATAGAGTTGCCGATCTACCATTAGAAGGGCCAATTCTTCGCATACCGCTGGTTGGGGTTTCTTCGTACACGATTGCTAAACGTGGAGGTTGTGGTTGGTAGTAGTTAGAGTCGAGACGAGGTCATGTCATCCGCAATGCGATTGGCGCTATTTACTCCGTGCTTGAAGCGATCAGCCTTCAGTTCATGTTGGGATATTCAACCTTCCAATTGTGTACCATCACGTCACCCACAGCCAACTATGCTCTATTGATATGAATATCCACAAGTAGTGAGTCACGCGAGGCGGTTATCTGACATGAACAGTTCTGTGCCATTGTTGGTCCACCGTAGTGGCGCAGCAACGTACGGCAAAGGTTGCCATTACCTTACTCAGTATACGTGGCATTAAATGACCTACCAAATATAGTCACGGGGAATTCTGGATGCTAACGCTATCTATATCCAGTTCTCAATCGCCTCTTTACAAATTTGCCACTTGCAGTGGATCGAGATTGCGTTAGCATAGCAGAAACACCCCCTTAGCTTATATGGAGACATAGCTGCAGGGAGGCTAAATCCTGCGGAACTGAAACATAAGCAGGATGTACGTCCTTGGGATAGACTATGCTGTGGCTATGGTCGCAAGTAGAGGATAGTAGGCAGATAGACGCGGTATAGATGGAAACAAACACAAATCGTACATTCGATAGATCGGAGGAATTCCCCTGATGGGCGAAAATGGGGTACGATGAACAGTCAGCATGGCACCTCAACAGTGACTAGATATAGGCCCTGCCTACTCGGTACCGAGTAATCCGTAGTATCAGTGCGCCCCGATAGAAGATAGCTACCTGCTAGCTAGGTAGTCGCCATGCTCCATATGGATACTTCAGGGAGATGCGACATCGAAGGTGGAGAGCTCGAGCGACCCCCGCCGCTGATGTTGCCACGGGAGACTCAATGAAATTAGGCAAACGAACTCATCTATCATGAGACCCAGCCTCTTGAGCATTTGTTGGAGTCATCTGGGCTCATCCATTGGGTTCTTCCCCCCCCCCCTCCTGTCTCTGAAAAGCCGTGGGTTCAATAGAATGGGGGACTGACAAACCCGACTAGCAGCCAGCCAGATCCGCCGTGCCGGGGCGAGGGGAAGCGAATGAACCCGGTATAGCCTTGTGCGCAAGCATGTCTGTGCTCCTGGTGGTCCTCTTTTTTTGGTCCTCGCTAACTTAACCTACTTTCCATTGGTTCCATCGATCTGGACATTGCACCCCTTGTCGGCCGTAGCAGTAGTCGAGCACTGTCGAGGACTAGCAGAGAGCGACTAGCCGGCCAGGACCCGTTGGAACTGCTCCATCCTGGGAAATTGGCACGTTACCACTTGCGGGACGGTATGGTCCAGTACCGTCCAGTATGGTAACGGCTGTGTATTGGGGAGGGGGGGGGGTTATCATGCATGCACCATCATGCACCTACATACTTAGGGCACATCAGACATCGCTAGATGCATATTCTTCCAACTGGTCTGATATCTGACCTCATCACTGGCGTCGGGGCGGTTCGACGGACGGACTGGAGACTCCGCGGTAGTCCTGGTCCCTTTCCCCTCAGTTATGGGCAGACTGTCCTTCGTATGTATCTAATCAGATACTATGTACTACGGTACTACTGAGGGGGCCTCCCTCAGGTTCAGTTCCCCTGGGAGAAACCAACCAACCAACCAACCAACCAATCCCCCTGACCACTGACCACGGACCAGTACTAACCAACCACATTACTTACATACTTCCAAACTTACAGTTACGCCTGTGTGAACGGACAACACCCGGGCAAATCTGTCCATATCAGAACGCTAAATCGGCCAACCCGCCATGCACCCTTTTAACATCGAACTGGATCCTTTTCGACAAGACTACTGCCCCCCTCAAGCTCTCCACCTCCCGACTCCGAAGGCTCGACTAGTTCGCTCGTTTTATGCTCCGTGTAGGTACAGTGGCTACTAACCACTCCTTTTCGCTCCAATGATGTCTGGCTAGTTGGGCTGCTAACTTTCCTAACCTTTCCTAACTCCCCCTAAGCTCAGTCGCGCCCCGCTCCGTATTATTCTGGTTATTATTCTTGTCCTTTCTTCTTATTATTAGTATTATTGTCCCTCCATGCTGTAAAGAAAAAAATAAAAAAACAAAAATTAGGCCCAGAGGGCAGAAAAGGGAAACCCAGAGAAAAAAAAAAAATAAGAGTCAGACTGAGAGGCAAAACCGACGCACCCTTCAGGGCCTTCCTTTTCTTCTTCGAGTCTCCCGCCGACTGCTGCAGATCACCATCCTTTTATGTACTTTTCCCTCCTCGGGTGCCCATTTTTACGGTCTGCCTTTTTGCTCGCACCAGAGCCTCCCTCTCTAGCCCTCTCTCTTCTCCTGGGGAGTCTTACCGCACCGTCCATCCCCTGGCACGAACAAGTGTTCTCTCCTCCGTGAGCGCTAGGGAGCGTTTGCTGTGTTTCACCCACCGACCCTGAACACCAACCCTTTTCACCATGGGTCTCTTCAAGCGCAAGGACTCGAAGAACTCGATCCAGAGCGAAAAGGAGGATTTCGACTCCTCCGTAACTATCAACAGTGCTCGTACCTCGAATGCGTCGTTGAAATCCCCCGGTTATAAAGGAAGCGGGTTGCCTGCCTCCATCCCAGAACTGCCGATTGCCAAACCACCTGATCCGGCATTGGATCCCGCAGCCTATCTCCGGAGTATCCATGCGGTCCGCGAGAGGTGCAGGCTGGTTTTGAACCAGGCCAAGAGGAACCGGCTCAACCACTTCGATGTTGACATGGGCAAGTTCATGGCTACTGCATCCTACATTGTCTCCATTATCAAGGTATGTCATCTGTCCCTTCCCCCTCCTTCCTCTGTCTATCCCTCTTCAGTGTGATTGACTGGAACTTTCGCCTGCAGAGAGACTACGCCCCAGACTACGACTCCATTCCCCCTCATGGCCGCTGGCAACACTTCGACGTCGGTGGACGACCCCGCGTCAATCAATTGCTCCAGTCTTGGCCCAGCACCATCGATGCTCAGGAACGTACTCGGCGGCTGATCGACCTTTTTGTTGTGTCGGTCCTTCTCGATGCCGGTGCAGGTACCAGATGGTCGTATAAGTCGAAGGAATCGGGCAAGATCTACTCGCGGAGCGAAGGATTGGCCGTGGCTACGCTGGAGATGTTCAAGAGCGGATTGTTCAGTAGCGACCCTACGGAGCCTTGCCAAGTGGATGGAGCAGGCTTGAAGAAGATCACGGTCGATGTTCTGGCGAAGGGCATGCAACACTCCGAGAGCAACCCTCTGGCGGGAATTGAAGGCCGAGCCGGGCTCCTGATCAGACTTTCCGAGGCCCTGAACAACCAAGATTTCTTCGGGGTGGATGCCAGACCTGGAAACATGCTTGGTAAGGCGATATCGGATGGGAAGTCACTCAACCCCGCACTAACATGAATCATTAGACTACCTTCTTTCCCACCCCTCGACACTTGCGTCGTCTGTTCCAATCGTCCCTATCACCACACTATGGAGCGTTCTCATGGACGGCTTGTCTCCGATCTGGCCCCCTTCCCGAACTCAGATCGATGGACTTTCTATTGGAGACGCCTGGCCATGCTCCGATCTTCCCAGGTCTCCTCCTGCCAAACCTTGGGAGAACATCGTCCCATTCCACAAGCTTACGCAGTGGCTGTGCTATTCTATCATGGTTCCGATGTCGAAGTTGATGAAGATCCATTTCGCTGGCAGTGAATTGCTAACGGGTCTGCCTGAGTATCGGAACGGTGGTCTGCTCATCGACATGGGACTGTTGAGTCTGAAGGAGAAGGAACTTGAACGGGGAGTTGCGGCGTTCAAGGAGAATGCGCAGATCAAGGGCCAGCCTAACATGGAGGTCGTTCCTCTCTTCGACACGGCTGACGATGTAGTCGTTGAATGGCGCGCTGTTACCGTTGGTTTCTTGGACGAGCTGCTGGATGAGGTGAACGGCCAGCTTGGATTGACGGGAGAGGACCAGTTGACTCTTTCACAGATGCTGGAGGCTGGATCTTGGAAGGTATGTCATCTCTTCCCAGGTTGCCGTCTTAGGTGCAGAACACTCGCTAATGCATGGCTTCAGGGTGGTCGTGAGATTGCGGAAGTCTCGAGGCCGAATACGAAAGAACCTCCGATCATGATCCGCTCGGATGGCACTGTTTTCTAATGATCGCATACTTTGTTGATATTTTGGATACCTGACACCGCCAGTCGGCGCCTGTTCCACGGCTGGTGGTAGTGCTTACGACTTTGATGACCGGATGTTTATGCGTCTTTCTTCCTATCCCCCGTGGCCTTTCTTCCCAGCTTTGTACAAAGCCCTTTGCTGCGCCACTTGGCCGACTTTATACCTAATCTCTTCTGTTGTAGAATTGTCTCGATGAGATGTTCGTCTATCCTTCCTGTACACAGTTCCTTGGGTCCTTTACCTTCTTGCCTATATTTGGACGGAAATGTGATAAAAAAAAGTTTTGATGGCATGGATGCTTCGTTCCTACGGCCTTTGTTTTTGGTTGACAGCTGAGTCCCTGGTGTCGTGGAGTTTTCTGCGGCCCCTGAATGAAGAGACACTTTCCAATTTCCCTTGATAATGCACTGGTGCACATTAATCCACTCCGACTAAATGGCGCCCACTGATTGGCAATGCTCCCCCGTGCAGAAAGTCTAACAACAATGGAAGGGAGATTGTCAGGCACAGCCCGTGAATGCAACGGAACGCCACCTACGTGCTCGATTTCCAAGGCCGGGCGTGGGACGGGGTGCGGGATGAAACATGCTTCCATTCCAGGCTCGCCCCGGTGACCCGTGCACCCCCACGTGACTGCCCCGGAATATCGTTGACCCCGGCGAAGCTCATGCAATGACGCCGGAAGGCTGGTCATCCGGCTGCTGCTCACTGTCCAACCACCTCGCCCATTGCCTGTGGAGATCGTTGCCTCCCTCGTCTTGCAGGGTCGAAATCCCATGGGCTGGAGGTATATATGCGGATGCTGAATTCCACACCTCTCCACGCCTGCCATTCCCCTGAACGATCACCACCCGTCAGTGCGGGGTACGGTTAACGGATAGCTCGGGGCCCTGCCAGTATGGACATGCGCAAGAAGAAAAGAAAGGTCCTCTTGATGGGCAAGAGCGGCTCGGGGAAATCGTCCATGCGGTCCATCATCTTCAGCAATTACGTTGCGAAGGATGTCCGGCGACTGGGCGCTACCATTGATGTCGAGCATAGTCATGTCAAGTTCATGGGGAACCTCACGCTCAACCTCTGGGATTGCGGAGGGTAAGTGGTATCTTGAGCATTCTCGAAACATTCCAGGGTCTAATCTCAGGTGCTCTTTCCCGTAAACAGACAGGATGCATTCATGGAAACATACCTGGCCTCTCAACGAGGGAACATCTTCTCCGACGTCGCCGTCCTTATCTACGTCTTCGATATTGAATCACGAGAAGTCGAGCGCGACCTTGACACCTACAACGCCATCATCAACGCCCTTAAAGAATATAGCCCCAATGCCTATGTCTTCTGCCTCGTACACAAACTGGACCTCATTCAGGCCGAGCATCGCCAACGGATCTACGAGGAACGATCGGCCCTGATCCGCAGCCGCTCGGAGCATTTCGCTATCGATACATTTGGCAGCAGTATCTGGGACCAATCGCTCTACAAGGCCTGGGCCGGGATTGTTCACAAGCTCATCCCCAACTTGACCGTCATCGAGCGCTTCCTGCAAGCCTTTGCGAAGAGGATCGATGCCGAGGAAGTCATCCTATTTGAACGGTCGACCTTCCTCACTGTCACTTCGGTCTCCTCTGAAGTTGGCGACTTGAACCCGATCTACGATCGCCACGAACGACTCTCCAATATCATGAAAGCTTTCAAACACTGTGCCGCCCGGAACACCCACACCACTCCCGCATCAGCCGGATTCGTCGTCATGCACACCAAAACCCCGCAGTTCAACGTCTTCCTCGGCCGCTTCACGGACAACACATACATCTTCCTCGTCGTACCGCCAGGCGAGGCAGCCTACAACTGCGCCGTGCTAAACACCATGCTGGCTCGAGAGGGATTCTCCAAAGCCGCCGCGACCGGCCACGGGGACGGATTTCCCCTCCCTGCAGCATCCCCAGAGAACAGCAACGGGATACATTGATGTAGATGCTCGATACGCCATATTCAAACGAACCCAACTTGACAAAGTAAAAAGGGCCCCCAGGGCCCATGGCAACGACACAAAACACAAGGGTGATAGAAAGAACCAACCCATCTCACCCTGGACATCAATGACCATTCTGCGGTGCGATGCACGGTGTTCTAATCCACCCTAAGGAGTGAGTACGTAATGCGACCTGTTTCATTAAGACAAAGATACCCTACTTAGCATGCATGGCATTCTGTATGTATGTATTCTATTCTCTCCAGCAGATCGATCCATCTTTCCTTCCTTCCTTCCTTCCCTTTCCGTTTCCTATCCAAATCCTTCCTTGTAACATGCTGATTAATGTATGTGCATCTCCCTGTCCGGTTGGTAAAAGTTTGACAAAAAATCTCCTTATCTTATGACTTACTTCCTATCCTTACGACTCCGCCTCTGATCTTCTATCTTCTATCTTCTATCTTTCTGATTCTGCATGACTGTTCCGATACGCTATCATCAACGGGGAGTTTGCTTTTATCCTTTCTACAAAGCAGCTAGTATCCAGTCACGCCGCATATTACTATGTATTGGATGTTTGATTGGTTGGTGGAATCAAAATTGGATTGTGGGAGTGGGGCTTATACGTATACTTGACATGCAAAACAAGAAATTGAGAGAAGAATGAATGAGATACTGGACTTGTGATGTGGTACCTTAGATCGATGATCTTGTCAAGTTGTAGTTGCATGGATAGAAGTATAATGTAGTGGGTGGTTGCTTGGTTGGTTGATACCTTGCCCTAACCCGAAACAATAATACATGCTGGTAGTCTCCATTGGGGAGGGTATGTTACTGCCTGGGGCTTACTGTATTACATTTTGTGACTATTTACGATGACTAGATAGAGAACTCTGCCCCCCCCCCAAGCTCAGCAGACCATTGATGCTACTCTCTACTCCGTACGAGGAGTACACTCCATCACCATGCAGAAGATAGATATCTATTGAACTAAAAGAAAACGCTTTACATCATTGTACATCTGGCATGCGGACAGCAATGTCGCCTGATTGTGTTATATATCGGACCCATGGGAGGGAGGGGTATTGTAGCTGCAGTAGGTCATTAGCATTGTCCTCGTGTGGTGTAGCTGGTATGATGGGTCATGAGGTTCAGGATACAACATACCTTAGGTTCCGTGATCTTCAAGTACCGGACTTGGATACCGCTGGTGGTGAAGTAAGGGATTTCGAATTTGACGTTGATCGGCCGCTTCGCCTTGCCCTGTCCGGTACCGCCCATGCTACCTCCAAATCCACCGGTCATGCCACCGCCGTGCTCGTCGTCTCCCTTCACGGATGGAAGGCCCAGCTCCGCGCGCATGAGGAACTCCTTGCCACCGCCGAACTGCTTGATCTTCCACACGATTGCGGATTTCTCCGGTGCGTAGTGGACGGTTCCGATGTTGGTGCGGAAACGGGGGGAGTCTGCGTCTTCGGGGACGGGGACCAGGATTTCGACGTTGTTGGCGGTACTGCGGCGCTTGAATTGGGCCTTGGCCTGTTTGAGAGGATTATGTTAGCTTGAGGTCTTGCTTGCGGGGTAACATGCGGGGAGTGGTCGTACCTTCAACATGTACTCCATGCGAGAACCAGAGTGCGATTCCACCAGACACTCTACCCAGATCAGAGGCTTGACTTGTGTGTTCAAACGGTAGCTCATCAGCTCGAACTCTCCATCCGGGGGGATGAAACTGATCGTTCGGTCATTCTCGAACCGAGACAGTCGGACACACTGGTGGAACTTGACGTCTTCCATCTCCACGGCCTTGCCTCTCGTCGCGCGACCGGTCGTCTCAAACATGACCTTGTCGTTCAACCCCAGACGAAGCTCCGGCATTCCACTCAGGTAGCACTTCATCTTGATCGCTCCCAGAATCTCCGACCGTAGCACGTTACCAGACGCGGATACGAGGAGGTTCAGGGACTCGACAACATCAAGGAAGACTTCGTTCTTGCGGTACCGGATACCCTCACTTCGCCATGACACGGCATTGGTGACGGCGATGGGCGGTCGGGCCTGGATCTCGAGCTTGTGTGATTCTTGGGTGATATATCTGCCATAGACTCATCAGCTGCGCCCCTATATCGCAGTCCGAGAAGATGGTCCATCTTACTCCTGCAATATCTTGCTCTCTGTCGTCTGCGGGTAGCCAAAGTCCATCATCTCATCGAGCAATTCGTAGATGATGACAAAGTTATCGCGGATACTCTCCTCCTCCAGTACCTTGAAGTACTCCGTGAACACCTCCACGATCTTGTGTAGGAAAAGGAGGATCTCGGTGGCATTGGTGTTCTTCTTGGTCAGGGCGAGGATGTAAAGGTTGCTGTGACGAATGTAGAGGTACTATACAGTGTGTAATTTTCAGCAATTGACATCATGCTTCTATGGTTTTTCGAACATGCGCGCAGGGCTGGGGTGGGAGAGGCAGACACAGCGGGTTGCGGGGAACGGCGGGGGGAGAGGTGCAGGTGCGCCGCAGCCCGAGTCGGAGACACGACACAAATACGTACGTTGATTCCTTCGTGGGAGAAGCACGGGGCCACGGCGGAGCTCTCTTCTTCGGCGTCACTGAGGAGAATGGGGAATTTCTCGACGGCGGACATGGGGATGTCTCCGCGGTAGTTTCGGGCTAGAAGGGTCTACTAAACGGTCAGGTTCCAGGGGATCACGGCGGAATTGGCAGGACAGCGCAATGCCCACGGATCGCCATACCTTGCCCTTGAGGTCGAGGAAGAAGATGGCCGACGCCATCGCGAAGAAGGAGATCGAGGTGAGGTCGTGGGTGGGAGAAGCAAGGTGGCCGTCAACCGCGCGAGGATCGGGGAGGGTCAGGTCAGTCGGGCAGGTAACTTTAGTCGTAAGTAGAGGAATGAATGGGCGGGAGGCTCCTGGCGAGATTCAACGGGAGAGGCCAGCGAAACCACTAGTCCACATGCTGGACGGCCGGGGATTAAGCTGCGGATGGTGCATTAGAGAGGGCCAAACGGGGGGCATAGCCAACGGGGACCATGTAGGATTGCAGCCGAAGTACTCACAGAAAGCTGCAGCAGAAGACGTCTTGGCCGACGTGCGATGAAGTGTGGAATGGACTGAATGGAAGACTGATGATGCGGCCATCGGGGATGCTCTGCCTCCCGCGCCGTATCGTCCCGTACGCCATCCACCACCATGGCGAGCCCTCGTGGCCGGGTAATTTACCCCATCGGGGTCATGACCCTGTATCAGTGCCTCAGGGGACAGGGCCAGCACGCTAGACCGGTTGAGGACGGAGGCCCAGTCCAGACCTCCGCTAGCCCCGATGGAGCGTAGCGCGGGTCACGCGCGCAGGATTTATTTCGCTCGCGGCGCTCGCTTCTCTTCCTCTTCTTTTTCTTTTCTTTCTTTGTACCATACGCCCTTCCTAGACAGTGCAAGGCAGTGCAAATTGCTTTTTGTGATTTCCGAGTTCTCCGTGACATTCTGTCGTGTGGCTCTCGGTTTCTCATTGCTGACTTGCGATACCAAGGTGCGAAGACTATGCATCGTATTTTCGAGGGTTCCATAAGAGCTGGCCGGGTATTTTGCTTACTGTTACTCGGGCGGTGTCAGAGGAACCGCACATTCCCTTTTGTGATATCTGTGATATGTTAGATTTATTTTACTGTAGCATGCTACAAGAAATGAGACCCAAGTGTGTGAGAGAAGACAACTTCCAGTGGTATTTGCAGTCACTATAAGACAAGTCGTAGATAAAAATACATAATATACGGTGGTTGTAGAGAGCCCCCAACACATACAGAGAACATCCAGGGAAAAAGGTAATGGAAAAAAGAAAGGAAATAACGCCTTGAAAATGCACCTGCGGCCATTTCCCCGTAAATCAACCCCCCGACTCAAGCCGTGATATTGAATCCCAGAGGTGCTAATATCCGCTCCCGAGCCACCTGGTTGGCAACCTTGTTGCCCTTCTCCAGGGAGATGGCACCGATCACCGCGTACATAGTGTGGGCAAGGACGAGGTCGATTCCGGAGCTTTCGAGGTTGTTGGGCTAGGCGGAAACACACGGCTGTTAGCAAGGGCTCATGGCCGGCTCGGATATCATATCAAATCACAGCAGAAGGGCAGAGCGTCGTCCCCAAAGCAATGCATATTACACTCACCTTCCGAGGGCACCACCGCACAACTCTCTGCATATCATACTTATAAGCAAGTTCCGCCAGCTTTAACTTGCTCGTAGAAAAGCTCTTCGTATCGTAGTCGAGGTTGTCCAAGCCATTCAATGCCGGGTGGGTGAAAGGCTCCCGTCCAAACGCATCACGAGCGGCAGCATTCGCTGCGTTGCTAGGGCTCTGGACAAGGGCCAACGAGGCCTGGAGCTGAACAATGCATTTGCCTGCATACAGACATCCGGGTTAGCAACCCCCTGCCACCATACGACGAAAACATCCCTCAACATACCTAGGAAAGCCAAACGATCGTTGAATCCTCTCCGGCCCTGGTCAAAACTCTTGTGCGTCACTGCAAGCCACTTGGTCTCCTCCGAGAGCATCTTGTCGCCATCGTTTCCGAGCATGAGGATGTAGAATCGGTCCAGAACCTTGGGATCGGAGTTGACGGGGAAATCAGGGCGCTTGGAATTGAGTCTCAAGGAGAAGGGGGCTTTGGCGCGAGGCGGCGTGTACGACCACCGCGGCTTGTTTGTATAATCGACTGCTGGCTCTTCGGTGGCTGTCGACAATCCTCGCCGCGGAAGGAGAGCGGCCTGGAGCGAGCTGGGACGAGCGAGGGAGCGGCATGCGGAGCAGGAGACGGTCCTGACCGCGCGAGTTGAGAGTACGGAAGCCATTGGGTCGGGGGAAGGCCGGAATCCGGAGTGGTGGAAGAGAGGGAGAAGGTCGCCAGGCCGGGTCTTTTTCCACGATCGATGGGCGGCCATCAACAATAATTCCTTTGATGGAGGAAGAATTCGGAGACGTGGCACTAGTCCCGATCGGGATAGCCCTCCCAGTCGCCGGCTCGCCGTCCAACCAGTTGATCCCAAACCCTTGCGACCGCCCGGATTTCGATTCCTCGGATGGCAAAGAATCTGCTTGGACGGTCATCTGGGGATCCAGGCGTACCCATTTCATCTGTAACTATCTACGGGTTGCGTGTGTCGTTTCCGTCCCAAGGTCCCCCGAATGGTGCTCGAGCCATCAACGCCTAGCAGCTTTCCGAATCTCGCACCAGAAGATCTGTAGTACAAAAGCTGGGGGACTGTCGGGGAAGCAGCAGGCTTCATCGTGCTACGGCTAGTTTATGCCACTGTATCGCCTTTCGTTTGAGATCATCCACTTGTGTCCGGTGAACAGTGTCGCTGGGAGAACCGGAAGAGTACATGCCACAAACTGCCCAAGGGACAGGCAAGGATGCGCTCTATCAAATGAGCAAGGCTGTTGGCGGAGAAGCGGTGCCTCACGGGAAATGCGTCAACTGAAAGCCCATTTGCCGTCTGGGCTCCCGGTTGTACAGCTCGCGGGAACGAGTCAGATAGCGTCAGCGACTAGCAGCCTCTAGAATGCTTCTACCCAGGGAGAAACAACCGAGATATAGGTACCCCGTACTTATGTAGTTCAGGACCCGCGGCACGGAAGCCTACACCGCAACGTTCAGCAGCAACAAGTTTACCTTCCTACCCCTGTCAGCGTGTGTGACATGCAAGCACCAGAGAAGTGGACAACGTACTTATTTGCAGTTGCAGTAACACTCGTGTCCCCCATTCCCTGTAATTTATGTGCCCCGCTGCTTGAGCCCATGATATGCCCGAGCGCAACAAGACGTTTTATGAATCACCTGCTATTGTCCATTGGACAATGTCACCGCGCCGTATCGGGGCAACTGTCCAGGCAGCGTCGGCATGATCAGAACTAGCGGAATGCTTCACGCATGCCTTCGGTCACTCTGCGTGTGAATTGCGGGGTGGCATGATTGACACCTGAAATAGTCGTTAGTAGTATCACCGGCCGGTCATTTACCCTCCGTTGGAGGCTCCTGTCATTGATATGGTGGTGTCGGACTAGGGCGGGGAACAGGACAAAGGAAAGCAGATGCCCTCATACAGGAAGGCACCTGGGACCATTTGGCTGTCCTTCCCTTGGAAGATCAACCAGACCGTGATGTTGACCCTTCCGCTTGTACCTGACCTGCTGCTGCAAGGCGAAACAAGATCCCGACTGTGCCTACAGTGGCGCTGTACAAGGATGATACGTGTAAATCGCCGCGAGAAACAATCTGCAAGAGGGGCATGCTCTGCCTGAATTCTTCGCTTGGCGGTCATTGGCAGGGCTCCAATCATCGAGAATCCGATTCGACACAGCGCCGTGGGGTAACGGTCTCATGCAGCCTCTGCAAGTAACAGAAGCACTACGCTTGCTGGCAGATGACATCCGGAAGTCTTCCCGCTTCCTTGAACCTTCATCCTTCTTTAGTGGCACCACATCCCAGAATTAATCCACGTGTTCACATGCAGTGGACCTTGTTTTCCGCAGATAGAACTCATACTTTCCGTCTGCAGCTGCAATATCGTTTGTAGACCGCTCCTAGAGAATCATGAGCGTCCAAGCCCTAACGCGATCTGGAAGCGCTTGGCGAGAGACATCCAGAAAGGTAGATAGAAGGGGAATAAACAAAAGTACGAACAAACAGAAAGGGCCGGAGAGATGCCATCGATATCACTGACAATGAGTTGAACTTGTTGATAAAGGATTGGTATATGTCTAGTCATGCCGCGAGAGTATGGTTGAGATTGTTTGAGCAGGTGATTTTAAATTTGACCGTTTGTACCAAGCTAGAATTGCAGGGTTCTATGGTTGCAGATGGATTTATTCGAACCCCACAGTCATAGTATCAAACGTTTACTCGAGATTTCCGATGGACTTGGGGCAAGAGGGGCGATTAATAGCCTGAAGGGGGTTTGGACTAATGAGAAAAAGTACCTTTCCTACCGAGAGCCGACGGGTAACAGCTCCTGTTGAACATTTGGTCGGGGAAAGTGGATCATGAAGATCCAGAAACGGAAATCAAGCACCGTTGGCCGGCTTGTGGTGGACCGGAGAGCTTTGGACTACCATATGTTCTGTTGCTGGGTTGCAGCTCGCAGTTCCTAGCCGTCGGGTAACCAGAAAGGGCCAAGGTAAAAGAAAAACGGCATCTCTATTCTGAGGGCATGCAGATGCACCGAGCGCTTTGCAGTTCCGTGCTCCAAGAGGCTATCTCCTGGCGATTGGCCTAGACAAACGGCTGCACGCACTGTTCAACGTTTTATACCACCAATCATCCGTCGGGCCCTTGCAGAAATGGCGGTAATTCGATCACGATCCGGCGACAGCCACAAAGGTCACCGTCAGATCATCGGGAGGGTCATATCCACGCGGTTTCTCGCCGTTGATCGGACGTTGAACGGTATGGCGGTGTACGACTCAACAGCATCCTTCGGGCCCAGGACCGGGCTCTAGGATGGGGTATTTAATGCGGATGGTAGCCGGCTCGCCAGAAGTGAAAGCGCATATCACTTGCTTCAAGATCGTTCTTATCAGCAGCACAATCCTATCAAATCTCTCCTCTATCACGCTCACCTTCCCCTTCTCTACCGACCAATCCAAAGAAACATGGCCGGTATTCTGTCAGACCATACCCGGCTGCTGATCCAGAACAGCTGGAAGAACGTCATATTCGGCAACTTTTCCGTGCATGATCCACCTTCACCTCGGCCATTTCCTCCCAACCCACCACCCAGCCCCGCCTGAGTATTATGCCCGAACAACTGCTTGTCCAAGCCAGAACGAGCTAGTCGATGAGTAAGTAGCAGGACATGAATCTACTCCGAGCCAGCAGGCGAGCCCTGACAGACCCGCAGCCGAACACGACGGAAGGGAAACCGAGCGAGATTGAAGGGAAACGTACATTCTTGCGTGGTGACGATTGTTGCTAGGTCGAAACGAGACCCCGGGAAGCGCAAATATAGAGGCGTGTTGGATTTCTTTTGAGGAGTTAGCGGAGCAAATAGAGTGCACTTTAGACAATGACACGGCCATTTTTGTATGACGAATACCAAACCCCTTGGCTCCGTAGCTTTGTAGGTCTCCAACGCTGTAGCTTTCAGTTGCACCTATCAATATGTAAAAGTTCCACGATATTGGATCGGATCCTCTAGCCATTTCTTCATGCCCAGTTGCTTAGGCTTGCAACTGTGACACTTGACATCCGTTTTGAGGGGTCTCCTACATGCTGGCGTATTCACAGCCCGTACTGTAAAACGTAGTCCAAATCTGGGATAAGATTGAAGAGTTCATCCAAAAACAGTCATCATTCGACTGAAAAAAAAAAATATATTGCACGAAAACGTTTTAAAACAGAACAAGGATCAGAGGTATGTCACAATATCACAGGAAAGCAAGAAGAAGAGCGCTAATGGTACTCAGACCCACCACAGTCCAGCCGGACTTGATGACCTGGGCATTGGTAAGACCGGCACCGGTATCCCAGATCAGGTGGCGCACTCCGTTCATGCAGTGGTAGGTGAAGGGCATCGCCATGGTAGCCTTCAGGGCAACCTTGGCGAGAACAGGGAGGGCAGCGAAAGCGGCGACAGCGGAGGCAGAGCCCAGATCCCAACCGAGCAGGGGAGAGGCGAGGTAGGCACTGGCATAGACGTACAGACCTCCGGACAACATCAGGCCGGTGATACGGTGAATACTACTGCCGATCCATGTGATCTGGGGACGATAGATGGTAAGGTGGGGAGAGACCGGGCGGACAAGGCGCTGCTGAGCGAGAATCTTGGAAGGGTCGGAGGAGTTCGAGGAGGTAGCAGCTTGTCTGGATGTCCATGTTAGCAATGCGATGTCGTTGCTTCCCTTCCCACTTGGAGACAGTCGCTTCATGACATTGGGTTCAGGATCACGAGCCCCTCCCTCCCCCCAGGCCGAAGGTGTCGCAACAATGGAACGGGATCTCGCGTAGCGGCTCACCTGGTCTGAATGTTCCTTCCGAGAGCAACAGCGGCGGGGGAGGCCGAGTTCATCAAAGACCAGCGCAGAGCGTAGGGCTGCTGGACGGCAACTGCAACATTGACGTTAGAGGCGCGCAATTCGGGAGAGAGGATCAGACAAGCACGTACGCCGCCGCAGCGATTGCTGAGCAACCTTTTGAGAGATCATGTTGGTAATTGGTAACCACGAGAACGGGGAGAAGGCTGGATCCGAGCAGGAAGGTGACGGTTGTCGTTTCGTCCGTAAAGAAAGCACGAACTGCCGACCTTCTCGCAACGCTTCGGAATCACGGGACGGACAACCTCGGGTTCACCTCCTAGTCACGGGACCAGTCCCGATGCCCCGATGAGAACCAATCACCAGCCGTGCATTACCACTCGGAAGATTCATCTTCCATCTCCTGACCGCCCGCCGGTTCCGGGATTTCTCTTTTGTGTGTTTTCTTCGTCGCTTCCTCTTCTTCTCTTCTTTTTTCTCCTCAAGGGTCTCCGCCCACGTTGTCTACCATCCATGATGTCGACGTGCCTAGCAGGGCCTCACTGGTCCGGCATTCTGTCGTGACCGCCGAGGTCAATGAGATACCTGAGAAGGACTCGTCCCGTCGTTAATCGCCCATTCTTTTCTGTTCCATGAGATGAAAGGGTTTCATATCAGGGTTACATAATCTTAATATCCCGTAAAGCGTTTCCCCAAGCGTGAGCCGCGCACCTGGGTATCATTGTGTAGAGCAGATGTCGAACTCGGTCAGTGATGCTGAACCGGGTCGCTTAGACTTGGCACCGGCGATTGATTCAGTAGCTCGATCAAGGGGTCAAGTCAAGATGTGCTTTCAGTGCTTCCATCATATCGAGCCCTCGGATGTGGCTGAGCTTCGAGATGGCAAGCAGAAGGATCACACATGCATCGTCTCTTGACCCTCGGTTGGCTTTCAATGGCCGGCGTCCTTCTCACACTTGACTTCGACGTGGGGTTAATGCAAGATAAGATGCGGGCCCAACGAGCAATATCATACTATATTCGGTGCTGTCAAGCGTGACAACTGATCTGATAAACAATGGAGGGGGTACAATTCCGCATCATTGACTCGACATGGTTTCCTTACAGCGCTGTTTCATGTGCCCCCCGTTACATCTACCATTAAAACGAGGAGGCATAAGCTATCAGGGGGTCGTATCCCCATACGAGGTGCGGTCCCAGCCCGGGACAGTTCCTGATATGATGTTCTGCCGGATTCAAGACAGAGACTGAATAGACGGTGTCTCTCGCTGACCAGCGTCATAGGAAGAATCTCGATACGAGAGCTTTTAAGATCCCGGGTTAGCCATTCGATAATGTCTATAACATCTACCATATATCAAGACAGCAGGGCCTGTACTATGCCTACTGTACCTGGAAGGCAGCTATTTCACGGAGAACAATCGACGGGTGACTGGGCAGTGCGGGAGCGTCCCGCAGCTACACATCCTTGACCCGCTCATCCCCGCACTTGTACATGTCTCGAGATACAATCTCGACATTGACTACTTAGTATAGCATGATTGGTTATTCATGCTTCTCCTTCAAGACTCAGTGTGCTGATTGACACTCTATCCTTGAGCGTATCCAGCGTGGGGATGGTCATGATGAAGCCTACCAATATTCTTTGTACATATCGGCATTCTCTCCCACTGGACATCATCCAAGCTGTTCGGACTCGGCCCGACTAACGAGTACGAGGCATACATATCCGTTTAGGCTAAAGGCTGATGGATGAGGGGACCTCCAATGCTCCGTCCTGACTGGCGGTAGACAGCTCGTATCGGCTTCTTCCTTCCTCTCCTCCACATCCTCTAATCCATCCATCCTACATTTCCTTCTCCCCTCGATTCCCAATTTCATTCAGTATCACCATCCAGAGCATCTGCCCATTGCTATTAACCACCGACAATGACTATCCAAACCGGACTCGACTACCTTCGCTCCCGCGGCTCCATCGTCGACTGCGACACCATGGACGAGGAAGGCACGTATCCCAGCGTCCTGATACATAGCCATTCTCTAGCGTCATACTAACAAACAGCAGTGGCCGAAGTCCTCGGTCCCTTCCAAGACTGCACCTCCAACCAGGTACGTCCAAACATCTAATCCATCATGCCCTCACCCATCTAACAACAACGCCAGGCGATCGCCTACAACGAGCTCAGGAAATCCAAACATGCCGAGCTCCTCATGTCCGCTCTCACGAAGGCCCACTCCCTGATCTCTGAATACCCCGACTTAACCGTTATAGAACTTGCCATCGAGATAGCGGTCCGTACTCCCCCCCTTCCCTCTCCCCAACACCCACTAATACCACGACGATACAACAATAGATGGTTGCGCTCTCCCTAAGAATGGTCCCTCATATCACCGGACGCATCCACATCCAAACAAACCCCTACTACTCCTACTCCACCGGAAAGACCATCGCCAACGCTATACGTACGTTCCACCCGTCCCCTCACGTATATTCTAATCCCTAACCCAGCACTCCAAAAACACAGGCCTAGTCAAGCTAGCCAGCATCCTCTGCCCCTCCCACCCCCAATCCCGCATCTCTATTAAAATTCCCAGCACCTGGGAAGGTCTCATGGCCTGCCAGTACCTCGAAAAAGCGGGGATACGAACCCTCGCCACGACGCTCTTCACCCTCCCCCAAGCAATGCTTGCAGCAGAAGTAGGCTGCACCTATGTCGCACCGTACGTGAACCAGCTGAGAGTGCACTTCGAAGAAGAGTATGTTATTCCCATTTCCTACTTTTACCTACAGTCTACGAAGCAGCCAACACACCCACACCCAGAACCACATAGAAAGAGAAATAGAGGGAAAACTAACAAAAACCCCAGCTTCAAAGACCCCTCCCCCGCCCTACCCCTCGTACCCCTCATCCAAGAGTACTACACCCGCGAAAGTATCAAGACCCAAGTCCTCCCCGCGAGCCTCACCTCCACCGAAGAGATCTTCTTTCTGGCAGGTGCACACCACATCACCATCCCCCCCAAACTACTCGACGAACTCTCGAAGCCACTTGAGGATGGATTCTCCGCTGCATCATTATTCAAGTCGCCGGGGTTTGACGACTTTGCAGGGACAAGGAAACCAACGTCATTCGTGAATGATGAATCTGGGTACCGGCTTGCAGTAGCGAGGGATGCAAAGGGGAAGAGTGAGGAGAAACTTGCGCAGGTGAGTCGTTATTACTTTTACAAGTGACTATGTTTATATATGCTGATGGGGTATGTTTGCTGGTTTGTAGGCCGTGAATATTTTCTGCGACATGCAGGACAAGCTGGTTTCGCTTTTCCAGCAGTCCAAATAGTTCATTAATAGAAGGAGGAAGGGGGTTATCCAATACGTAGGAAAGTATATAAATCTGGTATTCGAAGAGATACAGAAATATGGTATGAAACTATCTGCCTGATAAATAACAAGTTCGACTGCTCTACTACTCTACATCGAAGCGAACAAGTCTATCCTAATATCCATTGTTCTCTTCTACCTAGTACCTACCAACCAACCAACCAACCAGGCACCCACCTTACCAAACCATGCCAAACTATCTAATCTAGCCCCATCAATCATACCACCATGAAGCAAAGAGCATACAGGCAAACGGGAAGTCGGAAACGCCTGCTCATGCAATAGAATGCCATGCCAAGCTATATACCTTTTTTAATCCTTATTCCGGGAAGAAAAAATGACCGAGAGACAGCCGCATATAACGAACAAACAGACAGAATAGATAAGACGGACAGAGAGACAAGAGGAGGGGATGTCGGCGACAGAGCTTCAGTATGTATGTGGAGGTGGGAATGTAAATGGTCACATGGGAACATCAGTCATCAAACCAAACCGTGGGGGAATCTAGGACTGAAACAAATGATCGGGTGGGTAAAAACAAAGAAAATGATAAGATGAGATGATAGAAATGACCACAACATCAAGCGCTCAATCGTTGGATAAAGGACTGCAGGACGTTAGTATTCCGTATTGAAGCAAAAGGCAGCGAGGACATACCGGGAAGAACTGCCGGAATCCCTTCAAGTCCAGCCGGCTCAACGCCCCCACAAACTCCTCCACCAGATCCGCTCCCATGCCCATTCCTGGCAACTCGCGCTCCCGCAGGTACTGGATGTACTCCATGCCCGTCTTGGCGTATATCGTCCGCTGCAGGACTCCCGCTTCGGCGAGGACCTGTTTGGCCTGTGCGTCCTTCGAATTGAAAGACGGCGTCGCGGGCAGCGCCCAGCACAGAGGGGACAGCCGAGTGATCATGAACTGGCCGAATCCGGGGAGTGCTGGCTGCTGGGGTGCCGTGCCGTTCGCACCCTCCGGCGCAATGTCTGGTCCGCCCCAGGAGCTGCCCATCTTCGACAGAACCGAGAACGCCATCTTGGCGGTGGTGAAGTCCTCGATATCCTTGGCGAAATGCTCGATCGTAGTGATGACCGTGTCGAACATCGGTTGGTTCCCTGCGATTGTTAGTTTGAGACCCTACTGTCGGAAGATCGTGACTTACGTTCGCTAATGATAACGGCACCAAGCTCGTTGTTCAACACTGCCAGCAGGAAGTTGAGGTACTCCCGTTTGAGCTCCGCCAGCTGAACCTCGTCGTCCGTGCCAGTGGGAGGGTCTGCGATACCAGAGAATACCCGCTGCAGGAAAGGGGTCAAGAGAGCATCAAGAATAGTATAGATTTCCGACTTGAAACCGAAGATGACCTGATCCAATAACCGCAGGAAGAGTGCCATCTCGTCCCGAGAAGATGTCTGTGTGACCAGACCGTCGATCCACCGCGGGAGCTGCGGTAGGATGCGCGATCCCAACACACCAATGAGGCGCGAAAATGCAAACCGCGCGGCCGTTCTGACATTGAACGAAGTCTTGAGCGACTCCAGCGCTACCAGCGTAGCCTCGGATACCTGCATAAACGCCTCTGACACTTCAGGAGCGGGCAGCGAAGCGGGCGAGCTAGTTCCCGGCATCCAATCGGAGAAGCCTCTGGCCAGCGTGCCTAGAGCCATGATATCATGGTGGATCTGCAGTAAAGCCCGCTCGTCGTTGGCCTTGGCCGCGGCCAAATTCTTCTCCATATCCATGAAGACTGGGTTCAAGACGGACTGTGCGTAAAGGACCTGCTTGTCGGCAGGAACAGTCGGTGTCGAGCAGATAATGCCCACAGCCTCGAACAGGTACAGCTGGCTGTTGAAGACGGCATCGGCCGACCCCTCATGGTCCTCCGAGGACATTTCATCACCCTCCGATCCCTCGGACGGGAGTTCTGCGGTGATCACAAGCAGGTCGCCCAATGCCTCAACCACGGTCTGTGCCACATTGCCGATGTGGGTTCTGAGCTGCTTAACTAAACGTTGGAAAAGGTACCACGACCGCGTCTTCACCTTTTTAATCGGGTGGTGAACCAGTTGAAGGAAGCTTTCCAGCACACTCGGGATCAGGTGGGTGTGATATTGAAAGAACGAGCTGTAGCGAACACAGATCTCCATGTACTGCAACTGTGTAGCGGGGTGCGTGAATGACCGAATGTCTGACTCAACCATCTTCAGCATCATCTCGACCAGCCTCTCTGCGGCTTGATTGTTGGGGCTGCCTTTGTTGTATAGACTGCCTGCCCTAACAGCAACGTCGCCGAAGAGGAACATCTCGTGCAATGCTAGGTCCAGGTCCCGCCAGTCGAGCTGGGCTCCTGACTGACGCAGGTTCTCGAATGTCGTCCCCACAACTTCAGAAACAGCCTCCATGCAGAGCTGCTCGTTGACAGTTGCGACGATCTGCTGTAGCACGCCCAGGCGTTTCCGCAGTTCCTGGAACTCCGCTTCGTCCGTCTGGTCGTCCTCGTCACCCCAGGACGAGGTCTCGTCGTACCGCATCTTGGCGATGATGGCCTTTAGAATGGGAAGCAGAATTGACGAGTGCTGTTCGGCCAGGGCGGGGTTGATCTTGGCAAGTTTCCTGAGGTACGAGAGGAGATCGCTCACACAGGGGATCACGGTCGAGCAGACCTCATCGTATTCATCCGAGAAAAATCTCAGGATGTGCGGCAGGAAGACCTGCAGCAGCCCAGTGGCCTTCTCCTTGCAGTCGGCCATAACGGTGTCCTGCTCCAGAGCCCGTACAATATCAATGACGGTAATATTGACTAACTTGGCCACCGTTTCCGCCAGGTCAGTATCGTACTTGAAGGTAAACCTATTATCATGAAGAGGGGGGCTATTAGAGAGCTGCGTGACAATAGTGTCGAGATTCAAGAAAATAATCATGTCCATCTTATCCTCTGGCTTCATCTTCTTGCCGATAATCTCAGTGAAGACATCAACCGCCGCATCGCGCACCTTCTCTTCCCCTGATCTGAGCTCCGCCTTCTGCGCCCGGCCGAGCTGCTGGAACAGTAGGTCCAGCATGGTCTGGTTCACCACCAGACCGATGTCAATCCAGCTGACCCAGCTGCCGACCGCTTTCAGGGACATCTCAACGATCAGATCGTTCCCGTCCCGCCAATCCGACAAGATCTCCTGCCATGAGCTGGCGATCTTCTGCATATCGCGTGAGCGGATCAGATCCTTGAGCAGGTTGGCCTTGTCCTGCTCCGTGCGGGACCGTGACACGAGCACATCACCGATCTCCTCGTGGATGGAATTGACGACACGTAGGTAAAAGATGATCCCGAGCGGGTTGTCGCGGCTTGTGCTGGCCGAACTCTTGTATGTAAGGCTGAAAAGATCATCGAAGAAAGTCTCCCAGCCATTGCCGTAGAGGGCAGAGAAGAGGAAGGTGATGGTCTGGGCGATCTTGTTCTGAATGTTGGGCGGGTCAGGGGTGACGTTCTCCTGGCCATACACCTGGCGGAGATAGGCCATCAGGCCGTCACGGACATAGATCAGGGCCTGAGGGTCAATAAGACCCGCCTGAGCCGCACTGTTGACCACTTCCAACGCCACATGCCGTATAATTTCGGAGTATTGCGGGGTCTTGGTGAAGAGAGCGAGGCAGACCTGCCATCCGGAGGGGTCGGCGCGGAGTTGGTTCAGGTAGTCGAAAGCCTGACCTTTAAGTGTCTGGTCGGAGGAGGGGTTCCCGGCGATTTCAATGGCATTTGCTACCTGTACGGGGTCAACTTGAGTCAACGAGGGGAAATGAAATGAGGGGAATAAGAAGGGGGGTACGGCAGGGGAGGGGGGCAGGATGGAGGGGAAAAGATCGGTGGTGGGGTGGGCTTAACAGAAAAAGAAAAAAAAAGAAAAGGAAAGGAACAAAGCCCAAAAGGGCCAATGTGCAAGATAAGGGAAGCAGCTTACCTGCTCTTCCATCTTCGACCAGCCGGGCTGCCTTCGGAGTCGGAGGACTCGAAAGCAATGAGGGTGAGGGGGAGGATCAAGGAGCGATAGAGGTGGTTGTTCGGTCAAAATGCAGACAGCGGCGGAGAGTCATAGCAGAACAGAACTAGTCGCAGAGGCCAGTCTATCGAGCCATGACTAGTGCGCTGGAGCCCAGTTAGTTCCCCTACCAGGTGGATTCTCGGAGTCAGACCCGTCACTTGGGGAAGCGAGAGGTCGCAAAATCTGCTTACCGGACAAATCGAGGGTCAAGGTTAGCTGTCAGCAAGGCTGGGGTTCTGCCCTGGAGATGTTTGGGAGTTCAAATGCTCTCGTGCCGATGACGTGCCGCCTGAAGGGAACAAAAGAAAGACGAAGAAATAATTCGTGCCTGAGTTTGTGTGGCCGCCGGTCTTCCGCCCAAAAAGGGCAACGGGCGGCGTGCCGTGGCGGCCTGGGTTTTCAGGCCCCGGTTTCAGTATATACTTGCGTAACATTGGGATCTCTCGGGTCACTGCTCACTCTAGCATCATATTATAAATCGGATGTCTACCCTTATATGTTTAACGGAACCTGACGACAGCTATATTTACCATTACGCCACCCGCTTCCCCTCCTGCTGCAGCACCTCCAACTCCATCTTCTCAAACCCTTCCACGGCCTGGCCGTACCGCTCAAACACCCCCTGCTGGTAGCCATCCGCAATCTTTTCAATGAATTCCTCCTCGTGCCACCGTTTTCCAATGAGATCTTCGAAGGTCTGTCCGTCAGCACGCTCCATTGCCCAAACCGCCTTGTACGCTGCACCCAGCGCACAGGCGTTATCACCAATCTCCAGCTTATACACCCCCTCGCTACCTCCCAGGATTTCCCCGGCCACTTTAGCAATTGCCTTGTTCTTCGACCCACCTCCGACCAGGTACACCCGGCGGGGTTGCGCAGGAATGCCCTCTCCAGGGCTCTGGGTAAGTCCGCGGGATCGCAGGCGCAGCGACAGCATCTGGCTCTCGACAATGGCCCGGGCTTCGTCCAGGGGCTTGTTCCATCCCCCATTGGACTGGTGCAGACTGCCGTCCTTCGGGTGGTAGTCGAAACGCCATTGTCCCGCACGCAGGTTGGGCACGATCTCCGGGCGAGGAAAGAATAGACCCATCTTCATCGGGTCGGAGTCAGACTTCTGACCCAGGGGTGGGGTCTCCAGGGTGACTCTATCAAAGTTCACCCATGACGAAGACGGTTTCTCGCCGAGTTTCTCGTTGACCGCATCGCGGATCTTCTCGCGGGCGAGACCACCGTTCTTGTAGCACAGCATGAACATGTAGAGACCTGGGGTAGTCGGATGGTTGAAGAAATGGGTCGCCGGGTCAGGCTTGTAGCTGGGCGTAGACATGAGGAAGGTGGTCGAGGTGCCCAGCGAAACCATGGCATCGGAGGCTCTGAGTGGCAATGCCAGGATGGTGGCGGGGTTGTCGCCCGTTGCAGGAATGATCGTGCAGTCGGGGCTGAAGCCGTAGCGCTCAACGAAGTACCGATCAATGGTGCCGAGATGGATGCCTCCATCCTCTGGGACATCACCCAGCTTGCGTCGCAGGTCATCCACACCGGATGGACCGGCACAGAGCTGTAGAAGCTTCTCATCGTAGGCGCCCTTCTTGATGTTCCAGAGGTTCATGCCGCAAACATCGGAGATGTCCATCGATGCAATATGTCCCAAGAACAGAGAGGCAAGGAACGAAGATACCAGCGAGATCCGCAGCGTCTTCTTGTACACATCAGGATACTTTTTCTGAAAGCGTAGGATCTGAGGGCCTGTAAATCTCTACATACTATTAGCAATTGCCTCCGACTGCTTGGGGTGTCACCAGATACTCACATGGTGCGCCTTACTTCCGGTCGCCAGGGCCAGCTCGCTCTCCCCACCCAGGAAGGCATCGAATTCGTCACACTCCTTCTGAGTGCTGGAGTCCTGCCAGTTCGGGCTGAATGGGTGTGAGAATGCCCCATGTAATTGCTCCTCGAGCGTCTTGTTTGCATCCAAGCCCTTCAGCAACGTCTCCGCATTCTCTCCCCAGTATACACTTCCGTGTTGCTGTCCAGCACCACTGATACCCTTGACCTGGTTGAACTCCAGGCCCTGCTTACGCAGGCCTTCTAGGACCCCGTCCAGGGCCTGCAGCCACATAGCGACGGGTGCATAGACCTCATGTTCGGCCTCGTTGGTAATCACACCCTTCTTGATGGGAAAGCCGCGGGAGTCGGCGTCGAAGTCAAATTTGGAGACATAGACAACCTTGAGGTCCGAATTGACGACAAGGCCCTTGAGTTGTTGGGTGGAAAGATCGAAGCCGATGTATAGAGGACCTTGCATGGCGAGTGCGGCCCGGAGCGATGACGTATGTAAGGGCGGGAACAGCTGGGCACGAAAGCGAAGGAGGGAAAGAGATTGTAGAGCGGAGAGTGATCAATTGAGAGAGGCGAGTCTAAAAAAATAATTCTATGGTGGTAGGAAGACAATACTTGAAAGTGAAGATCAGGGAGAGGGGGGAGAAAGAGAGAAGAGAGAAGAGGACAGCGCAAAAGCGATGAAGTCAACACACCGAGGAATGATTTATCCCTTGGAGCTCCCGCCAGCTGGGCTGCTGCTCGGCAAAATCCGACCAACAGAAGGGCCATGAGCACGTAGACCCCATGACTTGTCATCCCCCGACCTCTCTTTTTACCGATGGCTGCTTAGTGCCTTCATTATTATTCTTCTGGCTTTCGCCTGGTTGACGATAAGATGATATCAATTAACCTGGAACCCCACCGCCGCCGGGAATTTACCCGGTTAATTCACTAGAGCCCCTCAGAAGTCACAAACACTCTCTAGCAGGCCACCATCGCTGGGTCTAGATCCCAAGTAAAATACCGAGAGACCCTTCTGCAGACTTTGCTGGGATCCCCTACAGGGAAAATTAGGCTAGTGCTTGACTACGACAAACTGGCCTAAGGCCTGCGGCTAAAGTGAAGATCCCGCGGATCGCCTCAGCTGGAAGGAGCTCAGTGCGTTCTTAACTTCTTGACTTCTTGTACATTCGATCATCCAGGTCCCATACATACAACACCCGAATAGAATCCTTCCTTTGTATTTTCCCATTTCTCCCGATTTCCAACTGTTATCATCTGTCGGTCTTCTATTCTATCCAACTGGCTTGTACCTGGCAGCAGTTCACGGGATGGAGTATCTCCCCCTACTATCCATCCTGGGGTATCATCGGACTGGGGGTCAGAGCGCTAGTGAAACAATAGCAACATGAGATTGACCTTGTCGACCCATGCACACAACAATGAGAGATATAAATCTATCCTTCAGCGCGTTTTGCGGGGCTCATGTTCGTGTTTGTGCTCGTGGTCATGGTCGTGGTCATGATCATGCTCATCCTCGTCCTCTGGCTCAGCACGGGCGCGGGACGTGACATCCGCGGGGATGAACTCCTCCGTAAAGGTCAACTCCTCGTGTTCCAAGGGAATAAATCGAACCTTGAGACGCTTGACCCCACGCACGCCTTCCCCGACCGCAGTACGGATCGACTCCTCGATTCCGCGGGTTCGGCTGATAGACCATGCGCCCGGCACAGCGATCTCGATATCCATCAGATAGTTCTGCCCGGACTTCATGCCCTGCACATCACGGACCTTGATTGCATCACCGCCTTCCAGCTTGGCCAGCATCTTGGCCGCGGCTTTCTGTACCGATTCCTTAATGTCGTCGTCGACGGTGGTATCAGCCAGCTCCAGCAGCGATGTTTTCGTATTTCCCCACCCGGCCTTGATGACCATCAGCGAAATCAACAGTCCACCCACGGGATCTAGCCAGGAGGCGTCTTGGAAGAGGTAGGTCCCTCCGATTGTAAAGAGGGCGACAATGCTAGTGAGGGAATCGATGCGGTGGTGGATGGCATTGGAGGCTAACACGGACGATTTGCGTTCCGTAGCGACTTTCATCGCTGTCAAACAAAAAGCAGTCAGCTATCGTTATTGATATCGGGGCGATAGTTCCTCAAGGTACTCACTAGCATGATAGAGCCACTCCTTCACCACGATGGACCCCGCAGCTAACCATGCTGCGTGGATGCTCGGGCCCAATGCCTCGACACCATGACTATGCGAGTGACCGTGTCCTAGGGCGCCCACATGTGCGATCGCTTCTGCGGCCTCCGGGTAGAACTGATCCAGGAGAACTTGACCGGAATTGAGACCCATAAACACACCTCCGCAGAGCAACAACCCGCTAACCCCTAACGCTCCAATACTCTCGATCTTGCCGTAACCATTAGGAAATCGCTCGCTCGGTGGTTTGAGGGACCATGCGACCGTGCCTAATGTCAGAAAATCGGACACCAGGTCGGTAAGGGCGTGGTAGGCGTCGGCAATGAGGGCCTGGGAATGGAACACGTAGCCGCCGATGAACTTCCCGATAGCCATGGCGAGGTTGGCAACCAGACCAAGCCGCGTTATCCGCACGCCAGCATCATGCTTATCGGTGGAAGTGAGATAGACATTGTCGTGGTGGTGGTGGTGATGGTGGTGGCCATGGTGGCCACCGTGGTCTCTGGATTGGGTAGTCATTGGAGGCAGGATGACGGAGGTAGCGGTAGTAGCAGCGGAAGGGATTAGGGTCGGACGAGAAGCGGGGCGGAGGATAGCATTGAAGGAGACGACAGAAGGAGATGAGGAGGCAGCGGAGGAGACACTAGGGTTCTTAAGGCGCAGAGGCGAAGAGGAGGACGAGGACGAGACACGCAGCTGAAGAGGCCGAGGGAGAAGAACAATGCCGGATCGTCTCCAAAAGGCACAGACCGGGCGTGATGGCGGAGGATGGGCCCTGCACCGCAAGGGCTGCGTCAGCATCCTCGTGGTGGCTTGTCTTATTGACCAGGTTCGGCGGCAATTTATATTAATGTTGGAGGGGAAAACACAGGGGGGTGTCTGCACTGAAACCGCAGCTCCATGATGGGTGCAGTGGATTGTCTGAAGAGGGACCGGAGCCTGATCGCAATTGCGAGGCCTCCGTCATGGCTGTCGGTCGAAACCCCCCGGCTGAGGCGATGCCGACATGCGCTGACGATTTCGGCCCCGGAATTGATCCACCGATCGCTCGCTCGATAACAATCTTCCCCAATTCCGCCCGATGTGATTAGCAGACCCTGCCATCTCGCTGACCGACGAACTGCGCTCACGAGACCAATAATGACCTGGGTAATGCAATTCTCTCCCGCTGGCATCTCGTCCTGATCCAGAACGCCCCGTCCCTCCGTGACCCTTTTGCTCTCTTGTCGATCCTTTCCCTCCTGCCAGAGAAGCAACGCGTTTCTTGCTTGGCAGCTCCTCCAGCTGCGTCACCAGATGCTTGTCATGGTCCAGGGACCCTCCGGGAGCCGGAGATGAACCATTCTGTTTGATACATCCTCTGTTTGTCGGTTGGTGGAATTCTAGCGCCAACCGAAGGAGGGGCGGCGGCTTGGCGGGGATCAATCTTTACCAGGAGCTCCGCGTCGGATGCAGCATTCCCATTCATAGATGTGGTTAAGCTTGTAGTCCGCTGGCTTGATACAAAGGGACCTAGATATATATACGGAGAGTGGACTCAAGGTAATGGCCGATTTCTGGTCGAGCCCTCCAATGGTCAGAGTGACGGACGCCAGACCACTAGGACACCAGCGTTATGCTGAGCCCTAAATATCTCTCAGGCAGGACAACTGCCATTCGTACTACCTGCGGGTTATGGAATCAGCACTCCTTGACTGCATACGATATCGCGAACCTTACTGTCACAGCCCTCCGGAGCACCAGTCATCATGTAGCTATGCTCAGCCTTGCTGGAACCGGATCAGTCAGACGACGAGGCTGCCAGCAGAGCAACCATATAAGAACGCAATGAATGCAACCCATGCCCTAGTATGGGTATCCCCATGAAAGGGATCTTATAGGATCTACTATAACTCTCATCAGCGTAATGGCGCATCACCGCCGCCACTTCTTTGCATATCTGCACCGCTCCTCTAAGCAACCAGTGGCCCAGGACATACTCCCTGCAGGCTTATTCAACACCTTAGTCTCTGATTCAGGTGGCACTCAGTCCGCTCAAGAAAGGAGAACGGATCTCCCCACAGCCGGCGAATGCGCCGTTCATCTCGAACTCCTTGAAGTATTTCATGCTCTACGTACCCGGATCATCCAGTCTAAGGAACTAGACCGTGTATTCGGTCTCCATTCCAGTCGCCTACGAAACCCGCGGCGTAGTAGGGAATCGCAAGGAACCGAAAAATGGCACCGCTTTGTGTCTCTTGCCGTCGAGAGATTCCAGCATTGGATTCGCGCTGCAGAGAAACTGCTTGAGCAAGATGATAACGACCAAACACATATACTTCCACCCGTCGGTGAGTGTCTACCGTTTTTTTTCCCCAGGACCTCAACCTAATGAGATATCAGATATACTCATGGTCTGGCACGCATTCCTGCTCAACCCTCTTGACTACAAGAACTTCGGTACAAGCCATCAGTTCCATCGTACCCTGGAAGTTCCGTTTCCGTGGGGCACCATAGTGAGTCCATATCCGCACCGAGAATATACCTCAGCATACTAAATAACCAGCACAACTCCATCAACCCAACCACCTGGTCGTATACTCTCACCAGCCAAAACAAACAGTGGCTCGAATCCTCAGCAAACATACCAACCGACCTTTTCCTCAGCCTTACCAACACAACCCAATCTACACCACCCCAACCAAACCGAACCCCAATGACGTCAACCCCTACGGAAAACGACTCTCTACTGCACAACGTCCTCCGCCAAACAATCTTCATCGACCACATGCACACCCTCATGTGGATTCGCAGCCCCGACATCGAAGTCATCATCGACGATGCCCGAGAAAGCTACGACAACTTTGTTGAGTTATTCCGTCTTCATCCGGGCGTTGTTCTGGTCCCGACTCTTGCTATCGATCTGGTCTGGCATACGCATCTGTGCAGTGCGGCGCGGTATACGACCTGTATGATGGAGCGCATAGGACGGTTTATTAATCATGATGATAAGCTAGGTAAGGGGACGTTGGATGATGGGTTTGAGAGGACGAAGGCATTGTTCGAGAAGGAGTTTGGAGGTCGAGAAGGGTCAATATGAAGGGGGGATATTGGGCATAGGTCGGGTGTTAGAGCGAGAGTGAACACTAGCTACTACTATTCGTAGTATGTGAGTTAATTATATCGAAAAAACAAGACGATAAACCAAACATGGCGGTAGGACAACGAAAATGTTGTACATTCCAACAATACCGGACTAGGCACGCTATTAATGTTAAATAAAGCCACTATTCTTCGACAACGCCCTCGTGGTGCAATGGTAGCATATCAGACTTCTAATCTGAGGGTTGCGGGTTCGAGCCCCGCCGGGGGTTGCTCACTTTGGGAAGTTGACCTTTCGAGGCACCGATTTCCTTCTCTTTTTTTCAGTTATTTTTGGTCTGCAATTTCACTTAGCGTTCTGCGAGACTGCCTAGAATTTCTTTGTATGAAAAGTTTCCTACCATGTTTGGAGTTGGAGACGGCTCTGCTGACGCCAGTTTCATCCATAACATAGCGCCGTTCTCGTAGCGTAAATTGGTGTGACCCCTCGTCATACACATGTCTGTCCCTACTGAATCATGATTAAATTCCTGTCACATGTCCATCTGTGGGTCAGGACGAAGCAACCTCGAAATATACTACATCTTCTCAGCGGTCGATCTAATCACAGAACCCTTTCTAGATATCGTCAGTGGAGCTGTTGTAATCAACCATATGCCGCGGTGAATGGCGATATGGCATAAGGGCCTTACGGGCCAAAGGACCAGAGCTTAGGCAACATCAAGAAGCTGTGTCACGGCACAGCAGAGTGGAAGATGGGACGGTCCAACAGGGGCCAGCATGCGATTGAATTGTGGGATCATGCTCGTGGGTAGCTTATTGATGTGCACTCGAGCTTCAAGGTTCACTTGACTATCATATTCTTTAGCTGATATAAACTTCACATATTCCTCATTAAGACATTAATATTTTGGGCCAATGACGCTCTGTATTGCGTCGATAAGTAGGGAGCAGATGAAGGGGGGGCGTGGGATGGTGGTTGGATGTTGAAAAGATATGAAAGATTCACTGGTCTCTGATGTGAGTTATGTGAATTCATTGATCAGTCATTTACAACTTAGATGCTCATCAGAGCCTTTTCACATATAAGTGTGATTACGGTAGTATAAATCTCCTCACTCACAAGTTCAAAGTATCATTGTCAAGGCTTCTTGATACCCCCCAGCTAACAATCGTTTCTATATGAAGCCAGGTTCTTTTCCCTTCCTCGAGAGTCGATCCAACCATCCAACAACATCCGTGACCAGGGTTTTGATTCCGCTAATCATCAGAACATCTGAGAGATTCGCAGCAATGGATGAAAACACAACAGTCATCGACCCCGATGGAGAAGTTACCATTATCCTAAAGAATCCCAATGCGCCCTTTGCTGTTTGGGACGAAGATCCGGAAGTCGAGCCGAGCACCCCCAAGAATGGAGAGGAGGAGACCAACGAAGAACATGAACAATCGGGTTTGGCTACTGAAAATCATCCCCGAGTGGAGAGCTAACCGCTATCTACAGAACCATCTAGCGCAGGCACGCCTGTTCCAAAAGGAGATATTGAGCCAAACGGGGCTACACCAGGCGACAACAAAAAAAGCGACGGAGAAAAGGTCATCCGCGTACAAGTCTCGGCGAAGCACCTCATGTTACCTTCTCCTGGTCTGAGACGACTCATCACAGGTGGGAAAGAAGGCCGATCCCCCAAGAAGATAAGGCCCAAGGAGATCGTTACCGACAGATGGAATACAAAGGCATTTCTGCTCTTGCTGAACATCCTCCATTGTCGACATAGCGAAGTGCCCCGGAAGTTGAGCCTCGACATTCTAGCCAGACTTGCCGAGATAGTAGATCACTATGATTGCACCGAGGCCCTGGGGTGCTATCCGGAGATGTGGATGAATTTATTGGAGGCGGTCCGTCCCACGGAATACTCTCGGGACCTGATACTGTGGATATGGGTGTCCTGGGTCTTTCACTTGCCCCGGCAACTTGCAGAAGCAACGTTGATTGCCATATGGGAGAGTAATGGTCCAGTTGCGGACCTTGGGCTACCAATTCCAACTGAGCTCATTGGTAATTCATATCTCATGGGAACACTCCGCCTCGAAGGCATAGCTAACTACTTTACTAGATCACATCAACAAGCAGAGACAGGCGGCTATCTCTGGCCTGGTATCCTCACTCAATGCGCTGAGACATGGGCTGCTTTGCGATAGCAAGGGATGCTCTTTCGACTGCAGATTTATGGCAATTGGCATTCTCACCAAATCGATGCACCAGAATTCTCTCTCTGTGGATGCTAGGATTGTTGCTGGTCAATGGAGCTTCCATGACTTGAAGTTTATGGTGTCCTCGTTCAGTCGGCAGTTAGAGGAACACAGCCGTTGTCAGTGCCAATACACCAGCTGGATCAAGGAGGTGATAGGTAGCGCGGAAAATAGCGTCACCAAGGAACTTCCTGCGGATCTTTGGGGTTGATCTTCGTGATTTCATTGCTCTTTCATGGATTTCAGGGTTATGTGGTTGCATCGAGGAAAGCAAATTTTTGGGAGGTACAATCTTTCAAGATGGAGTTGGGTTACCCCTCATCAAGCGATAGCTATATCTTTTGCGATTAGAATCAAGCGTGAATTGCCAGTGATAGCCCGCCAAAATTCCAACGGCGTGAAAGAACGCGGGCATGAGAGGCGGGGTGGAAGATCAGCCGGCCAATGCCCACCCCCCTTTGTAGCGCCGGCCGTGCGAGTGTCGAGTCTCCTGCATCTTCCCCTCTCCACTCCAATCAACCTGATCAATTTGCCCGGCACACCCAGCACGGCGGTAACCATCTTGATTGCAGTTCCTGTCACTTTAGCTTTCCCGCACCCTCTGTTCGCAATGCACTTCTCATGCAATCTCTTCACGTTGGGCGTTTACCGACCCGGCCGAGACCAACCCATGCCTTATACTAACCGCTGAATGTTTCCAGCACGACACGCTCGACACTCAGCACACTTGATCGGTTGGGAACAATGCAGCCCCGTGATCTAATTGGTCGAGAGAAGGCACTCATGTTCATGGTGTGTTCAGATACCCATGGCGTTGGAATCCATCTCCAAAGGTTATTATGGACCGACATGAGCTATAAATATGCAGGTTGTGGACAACCTTTGGGGGCCATCTTTCGTCTCTACTTCTCATCAAGTTCTTCCTTGCTACAATTTTTTCTCCTATAGTATCTCATCCGTGCTTCTCACCAAGTCGTTACGATGATTGATCTTTTGGAAGTCAAAAGACGGTACGAAGCCGTGGTGGCAGTCGAAGATAGCAGGGATAAAATCCTCCAGGTCCGTCTGCCATGCGACAAAAGTATGCTCTTATTGACTTTTATGTACAGAACCTGTTCGCTCAAATTGAAAGCCTACAAAAAGCTCTTCGAAACACTTTGGGGGATACCGAATTCCAGGAATTGAAGAGATGCAAGACAGAGTATGACGACTTGCGGCATGACCAGGTAATTTATCTTTGTACCATCTTCTTCCACAAGCTTACAATTGGTACAGGCCAAACTAAGCTATGTATCTGTGCTAGTCGACGGCGACTGCATGAATGTAAGTCGGACGTCCGCCCATTTCTCATCTACCGACTGACAACTTAGTTCAACAATGCCCTCATCCGAGAAGGCTACAATGGCGGCCGTAAGGCTGCCCTTCTTCTCCGAAAGTCCGTCGAACGCCATATCCGTGACATCGATCCTCAGGCCAGCCCGACCATCCAGTACCGAATTCGCGTATACGCCAACGTGCCGGGCCTGATGAAGGTGTATCGGGAAGCGAACATTCTGCGTTCGAACGAAGCGCTGGATCCGTTCATTCGAGGATTCAACATGGAGAACTGTCTGTGTGACTTTATCGACGCAGGCAATGGCAAGGAGTGCTCAGATGTCAAGTTACGGGGTACGTTTATCCTTGTCCCCCTAAGAAGCAAGCAGATATGGCGGCGATACTAACAGCCACACAGCAACATTCGAGCAAGACATCCTAGACGTCCACTGTCGTCACATCATCTTCTGTGGCTCAACCGACAATGGCTACGCACGTCTCCTCGGCCCCCACCAAGGCTCCAACCGTATCTCCCTCGTCCAGGGAGCCCCCTTTGCATGGGAGATGGAGCAACTAGCGAACGAATTCCAAACCACCTCCTTCCCCGAGGTCTTCCGATCCACAAAACTCCCTTCACGAGCATCATCCTTCAGCGCACGCAGTACCGCCTCAGCCAACAGCTCCCCCTGCAGCTCACCCACCAAAACCAATACCAACACCGGCCTCATCACACCCCCAACCACACCCACACGCAACTACGCCACCATCGCCAAGTCCAACCTCCAGACCACATCGCCCAAGAGCTCCAAGAAATCCAAAATCTCCGTCATCACATTCGACATCTCCCCTTCATACGACACCCACTCCCAATTCAGCAGCGTCCAACTCAACAGCAAAAGCCAACGCGTCGACCCGCCCCTCCGCCCCAGCAGCTACAAGAATATGATCCGACTCCGAAACTCGAAGTACTGCAACCGGTATCATATCTTGGGGCAATGCGTTCCTGACAATGAGTGCAGTCATAAGCATGGACGCAGGCTTGGTGTCAAGGATGCTCATGACCTCAGATGTGTTTCGCGGATGAACGTCTGTCCAAATGATATCTATTGTGTTGACGAGAAGTGTATCTCGGGACATCAGTGTCCGTGGGAACATCAGAATGGACATCGCATGGAGGACTGCAAGTTCCCGAAGGAAATGCATGGGGTTGATCGGACGGTGGCGATTATACTATAGCTTAGATGACAGTTCTACGAGACTCAACACAATGTACATAATATTTATGTTGACCTCATGTTATCTCATTCAATATATGCATATATGTTTCCCCCAGTCCAACAATCTATATCAGTGCTCTGACCTGCCGATCGCTTCACACAATCAGAACCGACCCACGAACCCTGAACATTCTTTTCATACAAGACTTCACAGACAGACATAGACAATCAAGTCCACGCCAGAAGACCAAACAAAGACCCAAGAGAAAGGAAAAGAAAAGAAAAGAGAGAAACCCACTAAGCAAACAAGAACCTAGCCGCATGTTCGACATGATCATCCGAGAACGTCGCCATCGTAAAATAACTGTGATCGTAATCGGGCTGGTACCGAACCGTCACGCCCTCCACGCCCGCCTCCTTGGCTGCCTTTTCGAAGTTCTCGGGAAGAAGTTGGCCTTGTTTGTAGAAGTTGTCGCCGGTGCCCTGCATTCTATTATCAGTATCATCCTTCCGATATACATACCCCTTATCGTGATAAGAGCACAGAGATGGAAAGAGGGAGGAGGGATGGGAACGAGAAGAACATACCACATCAATTAAAACATCCAACCTGCCCTTCCACTTCTTCACCAACTCCGTAGCATCATGCTCCTTCCACTTCTCCGTCTGGCCCTCTCCAAAGTACCCAGAGAAAGCCTTCTGACCCCACGGACAATTAATCGGGTTCGAGATAGGCGCGAACGCAGAGACGGATTTATATTTGCCAGGGTTCCGAAGGAACTATACATTCATCATAACCTTATTAGTACATCCTAATATTCCCCAAACGGAAGGAAAGGAAGACATACCAAAGTCAAAGCTCCATGTCCACCCATACTATGACCCGTAATACTAACCCGGGAGGAATCCAACTGCGGGAAAGCAGCGAATACCGTCTGGGGCAGTTCCTCCGTCACGTACGTGTACATGTTATAGCCGTTGTTGTAGGGTGGGTTGGTCGCATCGACGTAGAAGCCGGCGCCGGTGCCGAAGTCCCAGGCGTCGGCTTCGCCGGGGATGTTGAGGCCGCCTGTATACCGTCTTTTGTTAGCATTCATGTTCACGTTGATTATTGTCAACTAGGTTGATTGATGTTCTTGATAGCGATGCTTCATTTTTCCACTTCTTTTTGTCATTGATATTGGGAAAAGGTATAGTACATACGCGGACTGGTATCCGGGTACAGCACAGCAATGCCCTTCTTGCTGGCCCCGTGTTGGAAGAAGCCCTTCTCAGAGCAATTGTCGGCCGTGCAGGTCAACCCGGACAGGTAGATCAGGACGGGGATCTTCTGGGACGGATTCTGGAAGGCCTGAGGGGGCAGGTAGAGGTTGAAGGACATCTCGCATTTGGTGGAGGTGGCGGCATGGCTGAGCTTGAGGAGCTTGCCGCCGAAGGAGGCGATGGTGGCTTTGGTGGTGACGGACATGGTGGATGGGGATGGAGCGGGTGGAAGCGAGGTGGATGGGAAGAGAAAGAGAATGAGAGGGGCATATAAACATGACAGACGATGAGGGGAATGCTGGATGAGGGGAAATGAGGGGCGGTGGGCCTGCGCCGGGAAATTTTGCCGTTTGGGGTTATCGCGTCTCAGAGCTCTGAAGTCAAGAATATGCGCTTATCGCATGATGATTAGAAAATACCAACTAACTAGATAGCTCGCGATGCTATGCCACAGGTAACCCTTATCCAGAACGCCAATGCTATTACCCAATATCCCAAATCATTACGCCAAAAACACCGCGGGAATCCCGTAGATCACCGGCGCGGCCCCGTTCAAGTACTTCAACACACAGGCTTGTCGCGACTGGCCAACCGCATCATCCAAAGCCACGGCCCCCTCCAAGCTCCCAACAAGACCCCATTTCTCAAGTGTGCTCTTGGCAAACCGGTCAATGTCCTTGTCCGTCACATCCCACAGCGTCGCCACCAACGCGGGGCTCCCGGCATGCAGGTAGTTCATCGGGGTTCCGTACGGCTCGTACTCGCCGGCTTCCGTCAGGGCACCGCTGCTGCAACCCATCAGAAACGTGATGGCACACCGGTCCAGACGCTTGATCGTCCGAGCCCGGCAGTATTGCGCGCCACTACCATGTCCGAAGTAAAGAAACAGGTCTTTCGACTCTAAGCCGGTCTTGAACTCCTCTTCCGTCGGTTCCCGGTTGACCACCCCACTCCACTTCAACCTCACAAGGTCCTTTTCAAACGTGCTCTGAGTGGTTTGCAGATCACCTGTGGGGTTGAGAATATAGGTGCCGTTCTTGCGGGCAACGCTAAAGCCGACCCCGTTATCCGCACCTTCATCGCGGAATCGCAGGATGCGGTCCCGAAGACATTCCAAGGAGGGCACCCGACAAACGGGGAATCCCTGGAGGCACGGCAGAGACTCCCACGGGAACATATGCAAGGACTTGTCGAGGACCAGGACAGTGTGGTTCGGCGATGGCTTGCCCTGCTCTTTTCGGACTTGCTCGTGATGCCCTCTCAGAGCATCAAGGGTTTCGACGACCATCATGTCAAAGTCGATCTCATCGTACGCGTTGCGCTCCCCTTGGAATTGGAGAATATCCACCACGAAGTATAGAAGGTCCATCAACGGCTCCTCCGGATCGTCTTGATCGTCCAGGTCTTTGACACCGATGAACAATTCCAGCACATTCGGATGGAGGGTCAACCGCGAGCTTCCTGCCCGACTGCCCTTGCGACGCGAGGGAAGATGCTTGTCGAGAATGTTGTGGAACGAGTCGGCAAACCGCGCAAGGGAGCGAGTCTCATGAGGCACGGGAGAGAAGATCCCGCGGAATCCACCAAACCAGACATTCTCGATATGTTGCAGCAGGGCCTCCATCCGACGGTCCAGTGCTTCCCGGTTCTTCCACCAATCCTTCTTCATCTGCCGATCGGTTTGGTGTTTTGCTGCATGCGCACTTTCGTTAGCCAGCCGGATGAGCTCTTGCATGTCACCCTTGCCATCCTCGAACGTGTATTGCTCGTCTTCGTCCTCCGAGTTGCCCCGCTTGAGAGGAAGACGCAAAAGAAACGGCGAGCGACCTTTTTGCAACCGTGAGACCACAAACTCGGTCCGGTCAGCACTCAAGGAAAGAGAAAGAACGTTCCAGTTCTCCGGTAAGATTTCGACATATTCTTCGGTGAAGCGCGAACACAGGTCATCTTCGGGGACCGCTGCAGTTTCGGCAGTTGGCCAAAGTAGAGGGTCGCAGTAATCCGCTAATTGCTTATCAAGGGTGATGGCAGCATGCTCCCGCGTGAAAGCACCAATGCGACCAATCTCATTCACGTTTGCTGGAGACTCAGACAGAGAAGCCGGGCAGTCGAGCGCCGTCACATGGGTTAGCATGGAGATTCGACTCATCAAGCGAGAGGCAGCATGGCTGTCAAGAGTAGATCCGAGGGTGGTAGCGAGCGGGAAAACAGTATTCAGGCTTTCGCTCGCTTTTGCCAACATGACAGAAAAGTCCTCGGTCGGCTTGGGCGTTTTTGAGCGCGTGCTTCTGGCCGGTGCTTTTGCCGGTGCCCGTGTCCTTCGTGTCGAAGCTGTTTTGCTAGAGCTCACTTGGCCCGCTGTCTTGTTCGGTGACTGTAGGGAGGGAAGAGAAATAGTCGATTCAGGAAGAACACAGTACACTGCATGACTGGCAAAGTTCCGAATGGCATCAGCCAGTAGATGCTCACTCTCTCCAATATGCAGGGAAATCTGACTATCTCTAGAAGTCGCGAACCTGCGTGCATCATTCAACAAACACGATGCCTGTTCAAAGTCTCGCAGTGAGCGCAGGCAGGCCGCTTGTTGTCGTAGGATGTCACTTCTCAGATGAAGAAGCGACGTTGAGCCGGCTTCTGTCGATTCGGAGCTCTCGCCCGACACCTTGGGAGCGCTTGTTGTAGTTGCGGCGCGAGTTCTGCGGGTGGTCGTGGGGGCCCGCTGCCTCGTTTTCCTAGCAGTACCTTGGACTTGCAGCTTCTTCAGCTTCTCATTAAGGTCTGCAACCCCCGAGAGGATATCCGATGTCTCAGAAGCGGCACACTCCGTCATTATTTTTTCAGCTTCGAGGAGAGCCCGCTGCTCGTCGCGGTAACGGCCCTGTGCTCGATGTAAAGAAGCAAGGCCAATCTGGAGCGAAACAAGCTCAATGCTGTTGTCAAGTTGCTTTGATAGTGACTCGGCTGCTGTAAGGAGCTCCTGGCCTTCCGTGATATGCCCGCCAAATATCCAATGCGAGCCAAGCTGTGCTTGTGACGCGATCAAACGTACATTCGCGTTCAATGTCTTGTTGATCTTCAGTGCCTGCTCTCCGTAGTAAATGGCATCCTGGAACAGACCATGGTGTGCAGAAAGGCTAGCAAGGTTCAGCAGTGCCATATGATGGGACCCAATGTGAGGCCAAAAGGGAGCTCCTTGGGAATACACGGCAATGGTTGCATTTGCTTGCGAGACCTCGAGTTTTGCCATTCCTTCAACAACGGTTTCAAGTTCAGAATTCTCTCCCGACTGTGTGATCTTGTCCTGCTTTCTCTGCGCGAGCTTTTCGATTTTCGCCCAAATCCTGCAATTCAGTCTGACCGACAATTTACCAAAAAACAATGCGTCCTTGATTGAGCCCTGGGCGAAAGAGAGCCGCGAGTTCATGAATGCCGCGTCAGCGATCAGTCTCTCCCACATGAGCTTTGACAGAACCGAGCAAGCATTCAAGTCTTCCTTCTTCTGGTTCTTCTCATACAAAGCTTGTGCTGCTGCGAGAGTGCTCGCTGCTTTCTGAACATCCCCAGTCTCCAGAAAATATCCAACTCGCGCTAGCTTATGGGACAGTATCGCCAAGCAGGAGATGTCGGCATGGCTGAGGTATTGGTCCGCTCGGCTCAAAAGATCGCCCGCCTTCGTACAATATCCAAGCCGGCTGTATTGGACTGCCAGACGTGAGAGAACAATTATCGTTTCAGAAAAGTCGCTGGATCCTCGAAGCTCCGTGGCCCGTAAGACCAACTCGAGCGTAGAAAGCTGGAGTTTCCAGAGTCCATGGATTTCGGTATAATCGACAATCGCCTTCATTTGAAGTAAAAAGTGGTCGACGTCTCCTACACTCGCAACAATTGTCTCCCAGTCATTGCACTCTCGCATCATCAGACTCCACCAGGTTAGCACGTTTTCCAAATCTTTTGGCTGGAGACTGCCTTCGTGAAGTCCCAGTGTAAGTCTGACCGAGTTCTGCAAATGGCCAGCAAGAGGGGAAAGTTCGGAATCGTGACCAAGCTCATCAGCATCAACATTGTCCAAGCCTGCCTCAATCACACCTTGTAGCAGGGCCGGGTCAACGGAGTTCGGATATTCGAGTGAAAAGCGCAATGTCGTGAGCACTACCCGCAAGCGCCGGATCGGGAAGGCTTGTGGAGAGTACAGATCGAGAAGCTTCGCCAAAAGAAGACCAAAAGTAGACCGAAATGAGTTATCGATCGAGGCCTGGGACGCCAATTCCGTCATAATCCCAAGCTGCCATTCGAGTAAATGGCCACGCTGTAGAGGAGCTAGGTTGTCGTCATCGTAGACACCTGTCTTGATCGATTTGATCCTCAAATTCATTTTTAGAAAAGCGTAGAGGACACGGCCAAGCATGAAGTCACTGCTCTTCGGATCCTGACACATGCGATGAGGGAAGCAGCAGGCTGTAGAGGACAGGACTTGGTCGAGAGTGCCTGTCAGCAAATGCTCTTTAATCGATTGCTGAAAGGCCTGCTCAGCCTCACGGGCCAGGTTGGCCTCTAGGTAAAGGTGTGCAAGCTTCTCATACTTAAGAGGCGTAAATCCTGCGATTTTCTGGGAGGGCGAGCAATTTGAGAGGAGAATGGCGGCCTGCTTCAGCAAGGGCACAAGCTCACGATAGCCTTTGCCACACTCCCTCTCTTTAATATACCGGGACCAAAAGAGATTTGACAACTTGACGAAGCCTATGCCAATGCTCTCGGAAGTCGGCGAGTCGGGAAATTCTTCAGCAGATTCCATTGTCACGAGAAGGCGTTGGCTGTCAATCAATGTGGATTGCATTTCCTCCCATGGGGGCCTCTGCGACAAGATGGATAGTCTTGCAATAGCATTGACAGAATCAACGGCTGCAAGCGCAATATTCCGGGTGGCCACAACCCGCTTTTGGAACGACTCTAAGTCCTTCCCATCATCTTCGGCTGGTCTGCGTCCAACATATCGTCGCAAAAATCGTACGAAGCCGTTCAAATATCCGTAGATTCGGTGCGGGATATCGTCGTCCTCCGTCTTCAGGCTCTTCTCCTTTGATACCATATCCCCGAATAACACCATCGCGAGTTTCTTCAGTTTAGCGGCTTCAACCAATAATTCGTCGAGGTCATTTGCGCTACCTTTAAGTGGCATACATAGGACATTGGTGGCTTCTTTCATGGCATTGCCTAGTCCAGAAGAGTACTTTTTAGCCTGCTTCAAGGCCTGAAGATGGAGGGATGCTATTTTGCAACGAACGGTGGCCAGGGCAAGGCACTGTGCGTTAGAAAGCGGGCCCAGAGATTCCGTGAATAATTGCAAAGCCTCATCGAAGCATCCTGCGTCTTGAGCGAGCTGGCCCAAGATGGTCGCAATCCTTGCAACAGAGACATTATCTTTCGTCGTGGTCGAGGAGCGTTTTTGCACGCCGATGAAAGCCGATTGCAATCGAACTATGGTCTTGTAGGTAGAGGCGAACTCGGATTTTGTAATTCCTTTGCTCTGATGAGCATAGCTGGCAACGTACCGCGCCAAAGGATCCCACATCTCTTTAGCATCATCACAGATATGTCCAGAAATCTTCCAGGACATGCAGCGGATTTCGAGTGAGAGTAGTTGAAGGGAGAGTGACGTAGCCGGCTTGATCTTGTTCGTCGTGGACTGTTGAGAACTGGAGGACAAGGAGAGCATTGTGTTGGATAATAATTGGAGCTGAATTGCGGCCTTGTCCTTGGTGAGGGCTCCTGATTCGAGTGCAGCTAGAGTCACATTTGCCGGGCTACTTGGGTCCGACAATTGTAAGGAAGGGGCCACATTGTGCACAGTCGCAGCCTTCTTTTCGGAGGATATGAGACGAAGAGCATTCGACTGGTAGGATACAAGGAGCCCATGTAGAGGTCGCGCTTCGCTAATGTTAGAGAACGTGAGGAGGTCAGACATCCGTTCCTTTGTGGTTTCGCCATCCTGTTCAACTGGGGTCCCTTTTCGACTTGGGGCCCTTTTCCCGCCTGCCGCCTGGCTGTCAAGGTATTGCTGAATTCTTTTTCTCAATGCTCTGAGTTCCTTATAAGCCATATCACTAAGGCCTAGCGAGAGAAATCTCCCTGCCAATATACATGCACCCTGTTCCAGTTGCATATTAGGTGCTCCATTCTCCTGATCCCCTTTCAATGTCCGCAAGCATGACAGAGACATCGCCGCACACTCTGCCACAGCTAGTATTCCATCATCCGTTGTTGTTGTGCTCTGTAGGGACATCTTCGATTTCCGGGGGGATTTCGCGACACGGCTGGGCGAAGGCGATTCCCGAGGGGTACTAGCCGGGGTGGTTCGAGCATCGTCGCGTTTGGCCGAGTGTAGCTTCAAAGCTTCCGAGAGCGTTTTCAATGTCGAGTTGAAGACTTCCGTGGCGAGGACGAGCTTTTCTTGATTTGATAGACGCGCAGCATCCTGTTCGATCACTGTGTTCAAGGTCGCCTCTGCCGCAGATACCGTAGCCCCCCTTCCCCTAGTTGTCCTTGTTCCCCTAGTCGCGGTTGAAGAAGCTTTTGTCGTCCTGCCTACCCGTTTCACTGTTGCGCTTTCGCTGTCCAGCGGCGATTTCGATGGACCGCGGAAGAGTGTTTCGAGGGACAACACCGTGCCGTTAGAACATGTTGAGGTTGATCGGACGGCCTGCTTCACCGATTCCATAGGGGAACCGGGGAGTAGCGTTGAGACCGTCATGGTTGGCGGAGGGGGTATAAAGACAGCGCTGCAGTCACTGACGATTGATGATGGTGGAGGGTCGAGCCATGCCTTCGATGTGATCATGACAGCCGGGCGGCAGCCAAGCAAAGCGCGTTGTCGCAGCAACCACCCCGGACTAAGCCCGATATATACTAGTGGCTTTTGACCCCGATCCTCCGATTGCCTCAGGCCGAACTCCGGCAGATTGTGTGCTACAGCAAGTGTACAGACCCGACACTGGGCGGCTTTGGAATAACCTCGACGTCGCGTTTCGACGCAATGCCCGCGATGAACTCATTAACCATGAATACCACTCGACTCTCCCTACGATATCTGACTCCGGCGCTTCCTACCCTCCGACCTGTCGGCCCTTTTCAGCTCCCAACAGCACACTTACAAAACCGTCTACAATCCACCTCCAGAACACTACCGAAATTGGCTCAGACGTCAGTATGGACATCATTAATTCCCAAGTTCATCCGAAACCGCGGCTCCAAAGAAACCAAACCCTATAAGCCGAAGTCCAAGGAATGGAACCCCGCCAGTTTCTATATCATCATCTTCATCCTGATCGGATCCCAGGCCATCCGGATGATCGCATTGAAGAATGACTATGCGGCATACACGCGATCAACGGACGCCAAGATCAGGCTTCTTCGGGAAGTGATAGAGAGGGTCAACAATGGGGAGAAGGTAGATGTGGAGAAGTTGCTGGGCACGGGAGACGAAGCGAAGGAGAGAGAATGGGAGGAAGGTCTGTGCTTGTCTTCTTTCGTCGTCTGGCCCTTTACTCATTCGCTGACCTTCTATATCCGATGTAGTTCTGCGTGAGATCGAAGCGGAAGATTCATTATGGCATCGCAAGGCCGCCGCATCGGAGTCCCAGCAAGAGCAACAGCAGGTCAAAGAGCCGGAACAGCCAACCCCGAAGGATCCTGTTGTGCCGGCTGAGGGGCCTGCAGACAAGTCCTTGCCCGCCGATAGCAAGTCAAAGAAGAAACTCAACTTCTTCTGAGCAAGTGTGTGTCTGTTGATGATCGATACTGCCAGAACGGGGGTAAACGCAAGGATACCGCTAGGTACGGTGCATTGAATGTTGAGACCGCGGTGCGCATCCGCACCGAGACCTTAGGCCTCATAATTCGCCAATACCGATGATTTAGAAGTCGCCCTGATCTCAAGGTCCTTGGTTATTGAGGGTCGGCCATCCTCGATCCGGAAACAGCGTAGAGGGAACAGCCTCTAATAGCATACTGACTATATCTAGTCTTTGTTGACTCAAGCATACCCATCATTTGGTTCGGCTCTGTCGAAACATGCTCGACTCATTTCTTATTTTCAATTGCATCTCCAAATGATACCCACATGGCATTTCATAAGAACTCCGAAGGTATATATACTCTGATTGGAGTCGTGTATGGGTTATATGCTCTGTAAAATAGAATCTACTTCATGACCTATAAAAGCCACAATCTTGAGAGTTATCGGCATGAGAAAATAAGATAAAGAGAACACATGATGCGGGAGACTGAACGGCCATCTATGTGGGAAATATAGAGACAATGCATGCATATTGAACATCAAGCTGGAATGACGCTGGATAGTGATTGCATGGGGAACATCAAATACTTGTACACCAGCATGTAGCATGTAGCTCTCACAATCTTGGATATGTGAAGTGATAACTGCGAGTCTCAGACCAAACCAGGGGTGCAAGGTCCGGCAGAATTAGCACGGATCGCACTGGATAACAACGCACATCACAGCCGATGAGGATCATGCCCAAACTTCTATCTGCTTTTGTTACATGTGCAAATGCAATTCGGTTCCGCCAAGGACATAGGAATAGAGGTCACAAAGTAGTCTTTGCCCCAAGCCAAAAATCTAGAAAACAAGGAAAACAGATCGGGGTGGTATGACAAAAATATTTCCATTCAAACAAAGAAACACAAGGATACAGGAACCGATTCGTCGCTATGAAAACAAGAAGATGCTTATCTATTGCTTGGACTGCTGAAGAAACTTGGGCCAACGCTCAGCAGAGGGAATGGGAACGCGGCCAATGTTCTGATCCAGATCAAGGATCAGCTTGAGAGCGTTCCTTGATCTGAGATATGGCAGAGGAGCCTTGGCTGTTGGCAGGCCGACGCCGGGTTCGACGTGTCCGGTCGGGGTGACATCGGTTTCAGACCCGGGCATGGGAAGCATCTTCTGCAGGATTTCGTATGCTGCCAGTGTGAAACCGAACTGTGGGGACGAACGAACGATACGCGCAGGCCCTCCCTTGAAGAAAGCCTTGAATCCTTCCTCTCTCCAAACAGTGGCCGCGCAGTGACGCAGTCCGGTGTACTTGGTATCTCCCTTACGGGCTTCAACCTGCAGACGGGTCTTGATCACGTCGCACGGAGTAGTGAGGTAAGCCGCGGGCATACCGGCAATAGCACCTGCGGTGAGCAATTGCACGACGCCGAGCTTGTTGGTGGGCGACTCGCCGAAGAAGTCGGACTTGAGATGAGCGTATGTGGGGAAATAGATGGCCGAGAACGGCACTGTGAAATTGAGTCAGATAAAGCTAAATGGAAAGGGGCTAAAATTGCTCACCATCACGTAGCAAGCAGGCACTTGCTCCCTTGTACAAACCCACCAAGCCCAGGTTCTTGACAATCCAGAGGGCAGAGCGGCGAGGGGCGCCCTCAACGGACTTTGCGATCTCGCCCTGGACTTGGAGACGGATCTTGACAATCTCCAAGGGGTTGGTGAAAATCTAGGAAAGCTTGCAGTTAGCTTATGAAAGTTCTGAACGAAATGCGACTCCGCGTCATGATGACTTACCACTTGACAGGCTCCTGCAGTACCACCAGCCAGGATCTCATGGCCAGTCCAGATCTTCCCGTTCTCCTTGTTGGTGAAATGACCACGGACCAGGTCATTCACAGTAAGCTTGATAGCTTTCTCGGGCGCGACACCAATCAGTTGGGGGATGACTCCAGAGTACAACCCCAGGAATCCCTCGTTCCGGATCACCTTCCTTGCACAGTCAAGCGAGTTGTTGTACAGTCTCTCTCCGACGCGGTTTGATCGCTGGTTCTGCATGCGGGTCTTGACAAGATCAATGGGGTACACCATGAATGCGCCGAATGCTCCCGCAAGACTTCCCAAGGCAAAGTGGTGCACGGATTCGAGGACGCTATACAGCACAGACTTGGACTTCTCAGCCACCTTGTGCGCCGAATCCGATGCAACCTGTCCCGCAACTGCGATGGGCATACGCCACGATGCGTCAATGACCTTGGCAAAGTCTCTCTGCGAAAGTCTTCCCGAAGGTGCATCCAATCCAGCGAAGTGGAATAGAATGTCAGCCTCCATAGGAGTGAAGAGCGAGAATCGAGTGACGCGAGCAGCAGCATTCAGGAAATCCGCACGTGTGATTTTACCGTCGTCGCTGTTATGAGTCGCCTCACGTACAATGACATCGATGATATCCATCTCGCGCATGATGTTCTGGAAAGCACGGACGGTGGCATAGGAGATCTTAGTACCCGCGGAGATGTTGCACAAGCTGGGGAGGTTCTCCAGGACATAGTCGGACAGCTTGTGCTTCGAGGTTTCGAGAATGATGCGCTGGAATTCTTCGGGCTCGATGTAACCATCACCATCCTTGTCGAAAACGTGGAAGGCTTGTCTGATGCGTTCTCCTTGCAGGCCTCGAAGCATCTGAGAGAACTGAGGGTATGTCATGTCGTGGCGATGCTTGGTCTTTCCAGTGTACAGGGAAGCCCATTCTGAGTTCCAGTCGAAGGGAATACTATCACTGCTCTTGTTCAGGTCGCACACATTCTTGAAAGTGTCCCATTTCACGGCGCCCGTTCCTTCCGCATCGAAGAGTCGGAAAGCAATCTCGTATTCGGCGTCGGGTTTGGCCAGGAGGTTCTCGAAGGTTGTCCAGTCGGCAAGGCTGACTTTGCCTGTCCTGCGCCTGTCGGCGACCATGAACAGAACTCCATAATGCTCACGCTTTATTTTGTGCTGTTGTGGGAAACAACATCGCCATGCATTAGCCACGCACAGGTTCCTTGCGAATCATATGACACATGCAGCACAATCCGGGGGTAGAAAGGCAAGGATCAGGGAAGCTCACATAGTCTTCATGCTTGGGAGCAACCGCATTAACGAAGTCCTCCTGGGACATGTAGAGTTCGCCAGTCTCCTCATCTTTGCGTGCATGGCGCAGGAAATTGCTTTTAATCTGTTGCGATGGCTGTGGCTCCTGGGAGCTGCCCACCAGGGACACCTTGACCGCGTCCTTCACACTAGCCATTGTGACCTGCAGCAATCTGAGAGGATTGATGCAATTCCAAGAAGACCCAACCGCGCAACAAAGGAACCGAAAGGAAAGAAGGCAATTAAGCCAAGCGAGGGAGGACTGGGAATAAGAAGGGGTTGGGATAAGAAGAGAGCGGGTGGAGAAGGGGGATCAAGACAAAATAACGGGGAGGGAAAAGCGCAAAGCACCAGGCGTTAAATCGATCGATCAATAATAATAATAATCCCGGGGTGGGCAGTGAATCATAAACTGACAGCTGTGAGCTGTTCAGAAAAAACTGGGGCTAAAATCCGTAGGGCGCTGCTGTTACAGGATTCTTATTTTTTACGTCTTTCCCCAATTTCCTTTTTTTTCTTTTTTTGGGCCCTTGCCATACAAAGCTGTCTCCCTTGAAGGACAATCGGATAAAAAGCCTCTCTCTGCTGACTTTTTTTCTTTGCCTTAGTACTGACCAACTGCAGCCGGGGACGAATCAGCCAACCCATCGGGCGGCCTCACCGCCCCTGGCATGCATGTGTTATCTAATTAACCGGCCCGGTGAGGCCTTTTCCTTGGCTGATGCTTTCGGACTTGACCCCGATCCCTGGTCAGCCGCCGCGCTGCCTCTTGTTATTTAACTCCGCAGTTTGACCACTGCCTTCCGCCATCAAGGGAGGCGATCTACACAGTACTCGGCATCATGGCTGGCGATTGCCAGAATAATCTTCAACTCGAATCAGACTTTTTTTAAGGAATTTCGTCCTGCCCGAAAGCTAGTCCGCTTGAAACATTGGAAAGCCGCGCCGACCCAAGGGACTTACGACCTGATCCACGCCCCCTCACGGATTTCGCCATGGACAACCACTTCTCTCGGCGTGCCACGGTAACTCCGGAACCCTGGCCACCTGCGATATGATAACCACTGGCCCCCTAGGCCAAACGACCAGTGATCTGAAGAAAGTCCTAGCTTCCAAGACAAACGAACCGTTATCTACGGAGTAGGTTGGTCGCGATGCATCCCATTTCTTCAGCAGAGTAGCGAGTCCATGCCAATCTATATGTTCGACCCTCATCGGGGCATCTGCAGACAGACGCGGCCTGCAACCCGATCTCGGAGAACGCGATCAATGTACAGGATGATTTCGGATTTGAGTTTCCAGCTGAACGCTTGCCGCACATCAGACGAGCGATAGTAATGCAATGTACAGAGTACCCGACCTTCACATGACATCTCTGTCTGACACACAGAATGGGAATCCTACCCCCATCTCGGGCCGATGAACCTGGCGCGCCCGTGAATAAGACGGGCTTGTCCACGACGAAGTGTCTCCGGTTCGGTGGGGGGGCCCGGGACAAGCAGGAGACTAAGACTTGATAGTCTGTTCGTCTTACCTAAGGATTTGACCTTCCCCATACTCACGGGCGTGATTCTCCCCGACTAAAAGAGTCCGAACCTGGAGACCCCGGGAGGCTTGTTCCCACTGTGGCTCGGCAGAGGTTCAAGACGGACAGAAAAACGCAGGTCCTGACGCCTGGGAGGTACAGTATAGTATACGGAGTAGCCATTAGACACATACAACAAGGGAAAGTCATACCCAAGCCACCGAACGGAACGCCTGTCAGCCTGAGGCAGCAAGGGGCAATAGTTGCAGAGCGGGCACGGAACCGCACTTTCTCCGGGTGCAGCGGCGCCACTCCGCTTGGGATTGCGAGAGTCTCGACCTCGGCCCTGCTCCGACCTCCTGCAGTTCTCCTCCGAATGCTGGCCTCACGCGAGCAGGGAACAGATTCCACAAGCGCCTCACTCCCGCTCGCGCCCCTCCGGCCCCTCATGAGGGTGAACTCAATCAGGTAGGTACATCTCTCTCATCTCTCACCGGAGGCTGGTCCATCACCGCGCATCTATCCCACTACTCCGTACAGAGTACCGAGTACTTTAACTAGTTCCCTATCCAATATATTGAACACATGCTGGGCTCTGTCAGTCCCATGACATCTGCGTAGATTCGGCATGCTTTTTCCCAGTGCACAAAAAATCTAATCAACCCAGAGACACAGAATTATATCACAAACATCCATGTCATAAATCAGCATAATATGTGGAGTTATAGTATTTAGTCTCGGACATTCTAGTCCGCAGATCCTCAGCTACTTACTCACCACTTCAAGCAACCATAGGCTACTAGTATCGTTCACCGCAAGCCTATCCAACCACCTTCCAACATAATAAGACAACAAGTTGATAGATATATTATCTTCCGTCCCCCGCGGGCCATCTTCCAATGCACATGCCCTTATCGATCCTGTATGCTACGGGAAGTTTCTACACCACTTTTTATTCTTGACTTACGTGTGCTGAATGAAAGGTGATTCACCCATTTGCTAGACGGTTCTCTCCAGTGAAAAGACACATTTTCCAATTTAAAGAGCAGCCCGTGCTGTCGTGGCGGATGCGTGATCGTTATAATGCTATCGGGGCTTGTCTGGAGTTCTCAAGTGGCTTTGATGCGTCTTCTGCAGGTGCATTTGAGCATCCGTCTTCGGGTAGCTTTGCTTCAGTTTGACTGGGCTGTACGATACATATTATACGGAGGCCACGGGATCGATCCAAGCATAGCTTCATTCTCAGGTAATGATTGTGTACTTTCCTAAAGCATAGGAGGCAAAGGTCCAGGAGTAATATGGATAATTTCCCTCTGGCTCTCGTGTTAAGGGAGGGTTGTGCACAACCGCTCTTATATACCGGTGTTCTAGGGACCTCTAATCGGCTAGGGTTTCTCTAAGCGCAGCAGCCTGAACAGTGCCCTCTCCACGGGAAGAAGATACAACATGATATAGTTGAATCTGAACGCCGTGAGGGTCACACACGCCCCAACAACCGCATCCAAGATGAAATGGTTGGCTGTCGCAACGATAGTAAGTCCCATCAGCATTGGCCACAGGGGTGCGACAGCTCGAAGGTACCAGTGGGGGCTGAACTTGATTAAGCAGAGCGCAATGAGCATCGAGTTTCCAAAATGGAGCGAAGGCATCGCTGCAATTGTAAGTTGGAACTTGTTCTGCGTCCAGGCTGAACCGCCTGTATTGCTGTGCAGGACATCGACGAAACCATACTCCTCTGGCAGCAGACGAGGGGGCATACACCTCCATAAGGTAAGGATTGTGAACGCAATGACGTTCTCAAATGCCAGAGTGCGTCGGATTGCTTGATACTTGTCCCGTTGCATGAAAGTATAGCAATAGACGACAAATACCACCCCAAGAACAATGTGCGAGTAATATACCCTTGCCAGCAATGCCATTAGCCAAGGCTTCTGGCCAAGGATATACTTCTGCACAGACAGCTCAATATCCAGGTGGAGGAGGTGCTCAAAAAAGAGGATGGAAAGGGCGTGATGCTCAGCGGTGTCGAAAATAGCTTCATGCCCACTAATCATTCTAGCAGAAAACGCCCGTAAACCTTGGTAGACCTAGTCACATAGTTAGTGACATATAAGGTTACGCAGCTAATGCACTGGACATTTCAAGACATGTCTCACCCAATATGTGAGCAGCCAATACCATATTTCTAGCAAGAAGGGAAACTTGGCGAGAATCCGCGATTGTATGGTTCGACGATTACGGATCATGCGCTCGTCTGCGACCCCATCGCTTGGCTTCAGATCTGGAGGCGCCTCCAGCAATGGCGACTCGACATCTGGTATACCTAGGGGCTTAGCGGTCTTGCGCCGATTGATGAGTGTTCCTGCGGTGAAGGCGGTAACAATGGCTACAGGAAGAATAGCATTGAGTAAGTGACCTTTCGGACGATGCGGGTTTGGGATTGAAGATGACGATGACTTACCAGCTGGTTCTAAGATATTCTTCAGCCCACCCATTTGGGTATATACTGACACAAACCCCCAAATATGTACACCGTCCTCTGGTTGCCGCGTTGTTGAAGGTCACTGTAGGCGGATGCTTCGCATACGCTAGTTGACGTCACCGGACTTAGCAAACAGCCCAACAGGAGGAATCGATGTTCCCTCTCAACCCCGACGTTAGAGGTTATACCGTGCTTGAATTCGTGTAACAATACCTCGGATAGTTAACTAGGGGGCATGAAAAAGAGACCAGGGTGACAACGAAGGCTGGAGCTGCGAAGCAAACGTCGATCCGTGGCTGCCGTACACGCCGGTCGACACCTGACGGCTGATGGGTTTTGGCTTGTTTGCAAGGCTGAGCTGCACAGCTGCAGGGCAAACAGGGCAGTACATAGTAGGCAGGTGGGATCGGCCAGTTCAGACAATTTCGTCACCTTGTCTAGATAGCAAGTACCAACAATTCCTGAACAGGTGTGGATGACACCGGTGAAGGTCAGGCGTGGTAGTAACCGGATTTACCTCCTACGAGAGCCACTCTGGGCCCTAATTTAGTGTGGGTTCATCCCGAAGAAACCGACAGGCGGATATGACTGCCACCATCGAATTAAATCTTGATTTTCCCAGCCACCAGGCGGAAGAAGTGGGAATCAGAAGTTCCAACAAAATAGATGGAGGAGCATTCAGCAGCCAGTGTACTAGGCCTGCTGTATATAGGGATTTAGGGACTTGCTTATCCTATTGTCTTGAACATGAGCTTCATACAGGGCTGAGATCTGGGCATGTCAACGACCATGCCATTTCGCCAGAAACCATAGCTGGTTCAGGCGATTACATCTACTATTTCAGACTAGAGATTAGAGCAGAGAGCTCTGTAATCTGTATTTACTGTTTCCCGCAACTACCATGACAACTGAGGCATTGGATCCATACTAGCTAAGATACGGGCAGTTCGCACCCAGGAAAACAGCAAGAACTTAGCAAATTGCCAGAAATGTGAGCCCTCTATGTCTAGCGTGTCGCCCTACAATGCGTGCACGTGAGACCACTCAGCTATCTAGTGAAAGATTAGAATTATGAGTCACTAGGCACAGAACATGTGGCAGCCTACGGAGAACGTGCATGTAAAGTATGATGATCATTTCAAGGAGCCTTGGTGTCATTGTAAAGATGGGATCCTAGCAAATAAGGACAGGAGGATACCGCCGCGGTATGTAGGCCTCAGGCTGTCAAACAGAGGTAATAGGGAAACATTACAGAGCACGCATCACTTATAAATTCACTTAGATGGGAACTCACATTGACTTCATCTCATCACCCTACACTATCCACAGTGTATATTCCACGACGATGGATGGACACAGTCGAAACGAAACACCATTTGAATTGAATCTCTCAGAGCCCATCACTCTAGAACCACATCAAAGCCAAAGTGCTCGATCTATTCTCACCGGATTTATCAACTGCTACCCTCACGGATGTGCTTCGAAAGGCGGATACCGGCCTGCTATACTTATTCAGGCTACATTCGATCATGTCACGTCCAAAGATGCGTTCCTGGTGTTGATCCTCTCTTTCATGTACAGAGCACTGTGTCCACTAGGAAATGATGCTACTGGTCCTGAAATACCCCAGTATCTGGCATACTTTGAGGGTTTCGCTTTCTGGGATTCGAACAGGTCGATCGAAGTCAAGGACGCAGTTGACGGATTCGCTGAGTATATCATCGAGAACTTGCTACTTCCACGTAAAGTATTTACGCGATTTACTGGAGACCATTAATTGACCAGTTTAATCAGTCAGGGTCTTATCAGTGAGGACACCACAACCTACTCCCAGGTCGGTATCTCCGTCACACACAACTACATCGCCCAGTACAACATCATGCTTATCTATTCTCCAACGGAGCTGCCTGGTGCGTGACCACCATCGATGTGTGGTGTCTCTAAAATTCGACCTGGATGAGGCAGAAAGGCGGTATAAAAAGTACGGAGACAGTTGTGAAGATGATGACAAAAAACTTCTTCGAAGTGAATCGAGTGATCAATTCCAATTCTTGGAAGTAGCTCACATATTACCTCACTCTCTGACAACAGCCATAACCGGGGACTCGGAGTTGGTATGCACGGTACAGCCCCGAATATCTAATCAGGACTCTAACTGAATAGATAGAGCGACTCAAAAAAGACTTGTCTCGAATTGTTAGACATGTTTAGTCCTGGCATTGTTCATCTCATAGGATATCCTAAGATTGACAACCCCATGAACGCTCTCACCTTGACTCATCACTATCGTCGTCTATTTAGCGAGTTTCAGATTTGCTTTGAGCCAACCGATATTTCCAACCAATATAGAATTGAATCGACAGAACGGTGTCGATTTCTGCGTGATCCATTATTCCCTGTTACACGCACACTGTCGCCGAGTTCAAATTGTACCATCGAGCCACCCTCTCCCCAGCTTCTTGGGGTCCACCGTGCAATCGCACGTATAATGCATCTCAGCGGCGTGGGTGGATATATAGAGGCTATCATTCGAGACTTGGAAAAAAGAGAAATGGAAGCAGATGGGTCCACGAAGTTGGGCTATTTGTTGAATTTGAGACTTGGCGGCTGGATGCAATGACTGTCTGTTAGCCCTATCTGGATCTCGAGCTTCTCCTCGCATCGACTTGTTATCTATGAAGGAGACTCTAAATCCGGTGAATTTTGTAAGGAAGAAATGATACTAGTACTGGAAACCTGGAACTCTCTCTCAACCGATAACTGATACCCATGTGGATAGACAGAGATGTCTGAAGATTCGAAATGCTGAATTTGCTATACGTGACTTATTGTAAGTCTTGATGATGGCGGATTGACTCCATTAGAGAGTCATTGCTATCAAGGGACAGCAGTGCCATACTTGGTAGAACTTTGTAGGAATTGAACCTCAGCAGGAACCCCAGGGCGCGAGGGGAAAGCAGGGATGGCCGGGTGGGGCAGACGGCGGCTAAAAATACGTACACCAAGCCTTACCACGATTCCAAGATTCGTCAGTTCTCCCTCGCCAAGTTTCGGCCATCGCGAGTTTTCTGTGTTACTCTCGCCTGTCACACCTCAACAACTCAACGAAAGGACGATCCGGTTCCCGCTGTCTGAACCCTTTGCAGAGCCCTTTCCAACCGTACTGTGTGATCATGCAATCTACCTGGATATGCCGACACTCAGGGAACTGTCGATCTTGCCTACACCTGGATAGCATCTGGGGCTGTCACGGTGATCAGTTTGGATGACGACCCACCACCACTGATGATGATGGACTGATTGGGCTTTGGTACACCGAGGTGCTTGACTGCTGACGGCAGACGAGGGGATTGACCAGTGACTCAGGGCCTCCATCCCGCGTCGAAACAGGACTAGAAGTCCAGGCCAGATTCACTAATGTCGTGGACCGTAAGGCGATTTCTGGACTCGCCATCCATGATCCATCCCGTCCACCATCCACCGCGAAAGCCCCCTCCCCAGTGGGCACTCCACCCGGAACACGTACCAATGAGGCCCGGTGCAATAGATTAATCCCAAACGGGCCAAGGCGCCCACTTCGACGCTGTCTATTTTTCTAAAGTGGTTTTGGCGCCGGGGCTCACCTCCCAAGCACCACGACCCGGTTCGTTTCTTATCTCATTCCTCGTCGACTTCACCTCCGCCGTCCCGGATCCTCGCGCAACACGCCCGCCTCTCCGTGGAAGAGGACCCTGGATCCCTCTCTTTTGAGCCACACAGTATCGAACAAGTCCCATCCGCTCGAATATCGGTCGAACGACAACCTGAAATGACCTGTTTGCGGTTCGCCCATCCCCGACCTTTTCACTCCTGAACGGTCTCCAGCCATGTCGGATCGCGGTTGAATGCGGTGACTGGTTTTCCATGCCAGCCATTTCTTCGGTTATCAACGCTAGGTTCTCCACGGACGCGAAGGACAATGACCGAGCTTACCCTCAATGTTCCTCGACACCGGTCTTCAGGATGGCTTCCGCGTACCTTGCGTCGACAGTACTTGGTCCCGCTGGCCTGCCTCATGTTCTTCATGCTGCTTTTGACGGAGTATCTTCGTCAATTGGGCAACGACCAGGGCAGCCTCAGCCTCTTTACCTCGACTGACCAGATAACCGATACGCGAAGGTTCGCCTACACCTATGTTCCGACCATTCTGAGTATGATCATCGCCATCCTGTGGTCCCTTGTTGAATACGATGCCCTTCGGCTCGAACCGTACTTTCAACTGTCCAAACCACAGGGCGCTTCGGCCGATGTGCTCCTACTCAACTATGAGTTCGGCCATTATACTACCGCCCCGTTTTTCGCTATGAGGAACCGCCACTGGATTGCAGTCTGCATCTCGATCTTGAGTATCCTGCTGCAACTCGTGTTCCCTTCGTTGCAGAGCAGCTTGTTTAAGATGGATGATGCTACAGTTTATAACAACCAGCACCTTGAAACATGGCCGAATCTGGTGAACCTAGCAGAGCAGGGAGCTTTGGCGGACAACGACAATCTGAACATGACTGGAACTGGAATCAGAGACCATCGAGACCTTGCTTATAATCAACCACAATCGAGCAAGTACGCCATGGCGCCGGTAGCTATACCATTGGATGTTCAGTACGATACGAAGCTGTGGGAACTTACCCAGTCTATCTATTGGGCGGAACTATCCTGTGCTGCGGTGGAAGTGAACGATGCTACAACCCTTGAAGTGTCCTCCAATACCTCATCATTTGGTATCGGATCGCTCAATACGCAGCCCCCGATCTGGAATATCTACGAAGTGCCATCAACAGGACAGAACTGCTCCTTGGAACTTAGTGAAGAGATCACCATCTCGCCTACAAACTCATCTTTGCAGATCTCACACTGGCAGCCGAGCGCATCCGGAGTCAGTGTGACAGAGCAATGTGCTTCTTTCGACATAATCGGTGTCACGGTGGATATCAGCCTCAACAAGTCCAGCGAACATGTTGATCGCCAGAAATCTGACTTCTCAAGCTCTGATTATACTCATCAGGTCAGTGGATTTGGCTGCAAGATTGTATATCAGACCTCCCAGGCTGGCATCTCGGTGCAAGTAAACGGTTCACTCTCTATTGCTGATGTGCATCCGAACTCGACTACGGAGGTGTCTGAAGCCGCTCTTAACACCACTCATTTCAAAGGCATCATCTTGCAAGAGGTGGCTTCGACCAACGGCACTTCATTTTCGAATAAGAAGCCAGTGAGGCCATCAACACTCCATCGCGATTTGACGTCGAAGATTGAATCCAGCGTCCAGGGTGCCTTCGTACCTTTGATGAACAGGATATTCGACGTCAGTGGTCAATCACACTACGTAAAGGCTTCTCATGTGACACATCAGATGGCCATTATAGTTGGCCCAGTACAGTCGTTTGTGTCTGAGGCGATCCTTCTTTTCGGGGTGGCAGTTGTTTCGTATTTGGCCTACATCTATCCGCGCCGCCCGAACATGCTTCGAAGTGACCCAGCCTCCATTGCATCTATGTGCGGTATCATGGCTGATGTCATTGATGCTTCTTGTCTCTCACATTTGAACCTTGACGAGTTATCAACCAGGCAGCTCAGGACCATCCTTCGGAATTATACTTGCCGCTGGCAACGAGCTACCGAGCCCCCCCGCATCTGTATTGAGCCATCTGCTGGTGAGTTTTCCCCGACGCTATCCCCAAGTGATATTGGCGCGGAGCCGTATAGCGGAATTATATTGACAGTGTACAGTCCCCCGCTCTCAAAGACAGATCTTCCAAGGCAAATCCGATCCAAGGCCACATTTTCTCTTGATCCCGATATTTGCCCTTGAGATTTTCCTTTTCATTGCAGCATTTGCCGGGATTGTGACGATATTCGTGCTGTGTGCCAGGGATGGGGCCTTCCATTCCCTGACATATCTCAATTCAGACAGCCTAGCGGCACTGTTTCAACTCATTCCCTCCGCAATTGCCTCCATCATAAGGGCAATCTGCCTCTCGATATACCGATATTTGAGCGTTCTGGAACCATGGTCTGTTCTTCAGGCAGGAGGTGCATCCGCCGCGTCTTCATTATTGTTGGAATATGGGTCACTGAACCCTCTCGCTTCCCTCTTCAGGTGGTTCAGTTATCGCCACATCCTACTGGGACTCGTAGGAGTGGCGTGTATGTTCAACACAGCGATGAACATATTGGCCAGTGGACTCTTCCAGCATGAGCTTGGACCGACCAGGGCTGATACAGAGATGAAATCTAATTACAGCTATGAGTCGTTTGCCATCAGGCAACCTTCGTCGATAGTCCCTGAACTTGACACCATCAAGAGTAGCATCTACAGTGGCACATCGCTACTTTCTTGGACCACATCCAGCTTCTCCTTCCTCCCTGCGTGGACAGATACCTCATCCGAATGGCTTGTTGGAGGCACTATAAGGGGTGTTGGGGCCGATATAGTATGCAAGGAGCTTTCGATCACCGATAGCTTTTCAGAGGATTCCGGGTCAAATGTGGCTCATTGGCAGTACTCACCCTTCAATGAATCAGACACGGTGTGCCAACTGGACACACTTCAAACTAGCGAAACTCGCCAGTCAGAAAGCTTGACGGTCCACTTCTTCGCCTCGCCAATATCTGAAAATTCCAATGGGTGCCAGAAGCCGGCGGTCCTCGTGGTAGCCTACCCAAGCGGAAGTGGCTATTTACAGACCACATCCGAGAATGCAGTCGCTCTATACTGCGAATCTCAACTCATCATGCAAAATTTCTCGGTTGGTTTCAACTCGGACGGGTACATACAGTACTATGCTCCTCTGAATGGCACCTCCGCGGTCGATGACTCTATCCTGCAAAATGGGACGACAAACCTTGCGAACTACAATCTTAGGCTATCGAGCCCGCTCAGCGTTACCTACAATGGCTCACATCAAGAAACGAACAATGCAAGCGACTCTGACTGGTTTGGCACGCTTACGGCGAATCTATACCGCATTCTGGACACGAACACAACAGTCGTTGCTGCAGACGTTTTGGAGGTCGCCTCCCGCAATGTATACCGGACTATCTTCGCCACCGATCTCACTCTTGAACGAGATGCTTATTTCCAATACCAAGATCCCCCCGCCAAGATCAACGACGGCATCATCTATAACATGTCTTGGGCTGTGGTCCCATCGTTGGCATCATTTATATACGTCTTACTCATAGTGCTCTTTGATGGATGTGTTGTAGCCTCGGTCTTCTTCACCCGAAGAGGTCGGTTCAGGTTCCCTCGCATCCCGCGGTCGATCGGCTCCATTATGCCTTGGGTCATCCATGGCCGGGTTCTGAATGATTTCAAAGGCACGTACGCCTGGAGTGGAGGTGAGCGAGAGAAACACTTTGCCGACCTCGACAAACGGTACAAACTCGACAAACATGAGATGCCTGATGGGAAATGGAAGTATGTCTTGGAAGAAGACATTTCTCGTCGCGACGAGGAACCCACTACAGACGAGATAGCGCAGCCCACCTCTACGTCAAAGAATCGGTTTAAAACTCTTGCGAAGGGTGACATCTGAATTTGACAAGAAAGAGCAAAATGGGTGATGTATGTTGAGAGTATAATTGCTTCAATATTCATCATCCACTTCTTAGAGTGGTCCGGGTATGAGGGCACCCTACTGCTTTGCCCCGGCTCCTATCACAGGATTCTGCCATGTCCTCCACCGAATGCAGGAACGGAAAATTGCACTTGTGTAGGGTCTTGCTCAGGCCTTGAGTGCCGTCCTCAAGCCACGGGCTTCCTATAGGTTGATCAGCAGCATCGTCAACGAAATCACACGCTGGACTCGCCCTCTTTATCTGGGAACAGAATGGGATAGTACCAAGATACGAGCGACGAGAACCAATGGTCCGGTCGCGGGATGGGAAGTCGGTGTGTCTCTATGCATGTGCCGTCCATGTTCCACACGCTAGCCCATGCTTACGCCCGAAGTCAAAGGCAACCCGCCATCTCATTCGGCATTTGGGTCTCTGCAGAATTGCTGAGAGTTTCCATGGTGAGGGGAACTTGAGATCGTCGCCTGCGAGAACTCGCAAATATGCCCGGGCGGCGGACGAGGGGGTGTGGCAACGGGCAGCCAATGGCCGCCGTTCATCACACCCTAAGCGCCGAGCAGCTGCACAACCAGGCACAAGTCACCCCTTCATCACACTTAGTCTCGAGGTCCCTGCTGGGCGACGACGAATTATCGACCTTCAATGGGTGCAAAGCGTCAAGTTTCCTAAAATAGGTCACTCGCTATCGCCTGGTCAACCCCTCGCCTTCCCCCTCTCCACCCCCAGGGCTTCCTCCCCCTGCGACAGAGGTCGAACAGCTATATAGCTGCCCAGCTAGCCCAGGGCTTGAGGACCCTTTCTCTTTTCTTGACACACCATTTGTTTTGGGTTTGCTGGGTTTTTCTGTTTCCATTCTATTTTCATCCTTGAGTAGTTCGTTTGGCTGGTCCAGGCGACTATCTGTTTTGAGCTTCTTGTTTGGGTCGTCATCGAGTAATAATAGTATCATTTACACGCCTGCCTCCTGGGAAGCGCTCTGTTGATCAGACTCGCTCCTTGATAATCCGTGCTACTCCTCGCGCCTACTGTCCATCAATTGCATCCACCCCTTCCCCAAGGACAGGACATTTTTGCATTCAGTTACCTCTCCTCCAGCTACCATTGTCAACATGTACGCTCGCACCGCAAGACCTAAGCTCTCTTTGAGCATCTCTGCTGCACAGAACGCTTCCCGCCAGCCTTTGCCCCTCAAGTCTCCAAGCACGGTCCCGCGCACTCCAATTTCCCCTGCCAGCCCGGGTGCAAAGCGGTTCTCGTCCTTCCAAGTGCCTAGCTACTCCTATAACAACGTCTGCTCATCCAAGGGGATCCTCAAGAAACATTCAGGGGGTGCCGCAAGCCACGCAGAGAAACGGATTCAATTCAAAGGCACTCCAACCGTCCACTGTGTGACCCCAATTGAGAATCCCGAGGAGTATTACGGCACCTATACCAAATTGTCGCGCGAAGAGCGCCGTTGGATCGTGCGAGAATGAAGGCGTGGCTGATAGCGCTATTCCCTATCAGCAAATCAATACAGCGACCAAAGGCAGATCGGCAGGTGCTCTGGGCCGGGTACCCGAGCGTATCAATCAGGGTCTTCACGATGCCGTGATCTCCGCGTGCCTCCGGCTTCGACTCGGCCGTGACAAGTCAATCATGCGCCTGCAGCGGAATGACGATATCTTGGGCTAGGACTGGCTGCGTAGAGGGTTGAATGTCCCCGGCAGCTATGGCGGCTACTGGAATGAGTGTATTTGATGGAACGAGAGTAGTCTCTCAACGTGTATATGAAACCTGTTATGCTGACGACGTGATGATATGATCTGGCGTTTTGTACCTAGTATAGGAGCCTATCTTGGTGTGACTCAATTACAATCGCTATGGCTCCATTTGTCTTCCATTTGGCTCCACGAGAGTTAATAGACTGTAGAGTTGTAAAACAGCGATCTATAAGTGGCAACCGGGGTTGGATGGCCCGTGCGAGAGCCCCGACTCTTTTTCCCGCCGACGAGCCATGCGCTGGAAAGCTTGCCTCAGCATTCTTGGTTCTTCTCTCACACTTCCCAATGTTAAGCAAAATTTCCACCTCCGCATTGCGCAAAAGCTTGTGTAGTGCTTCGAGGTGGAATCTTCGACCCCGGAGCCGTGGGCTACTCACTCTTGCCATTGAAACGTCTTGGTGAGTCTAATCCACCCGAAAGTCCCGCTGGCGCGAAAGATAGATAGCTAATGATCGGGTTCTACCCAGTGACGACACATCCGTCGCAATCGTCGAGAAGGAGGCCAATGCGGTACAGATTCATTTTCTCGACAAGGTAACATGCGATACCACCGCATACCAGGGTATCCACCCGGTCGTGGCCCTCGAATCCCATCAAGAGAACATCGCAAGCCTCGTCAATAAAGCACTCGCCCATCTGCCCGTCGCATGCGAGACGAAACACGCAAGACATCAAACGATAAATATAGCGAATAGCTCAGAGCTGCGCAGAAAGCCAGACCTTGTATGCGCCACCAGAGGCCCAGGGTTTCGGTCCAATCTTTTTGTTGGGCTAGATACGGGAAAGGCACTGTCGGTCGGATGGCAGGTCCCGTTTGTTGGAGTCCATCATATGCAGGCTCATCTCTTGACTCCTCGTCTTGTATCCTGCTTAAATCGGGGTCAGAATAGCAACCCCGATGTCGCTCTATCGCAGCCTGTCACCCCCGAATTTCCCTTCCTTTCCATCCTTATCTCCGGCGGCCATTCGATGTTGGTCAAGTCTTCTTCGATCACCGAGCATGAAATCATGGCTTCCACTGCGGACAGAGCTCTTGGTGAGGCCCTCGACAAGGCCGCCCGCGACATCATCCCGGACTCCCTTCTTCAGACGTCAAAGAGCACTATGTATGGTAAATTGCTGGAACAGTTTGCCTTCCCGAATGGTAGCGCAGATTATGCCGACTACAAAGCCCCGAAGAGCCGGGGCGAGGAGCTCCTTCCACGAGAGAACCCATGGGGCTGGAATTTCACCGAGCCATGGTCCCACAGCCGTCAATTGCAGTTCAGCTTCTGCTTCATTGGTGCCACGCTGGCAAGGTTATTCGCCGCGAGAGAGGCCTCTGGTCAAGTGATTAGCCACGACGAGCGTATAGCCCTAGCACGTGAAGCGATGCGCTCGAGCTTCGAGCATCTGGCATCGCGCACCATCATGGCGCTCGAAAGCTTGGTTAAGAAAGGAACCGACAAAGAGGTCAAGACGCTGGTTGTCAGCGGGGGCGTTGCGGCAAATCAGTACCTCATGACAGTGCTCCGCTCGTTCCTGGATGCCCGCGGGTTCGGGCATGTTAGTCTTGTGGCACCCCCACCCTACTTGTGTACGGATAATGCTGCGATGATTGGATGGGCCGGTATTGAGATGTTTGAGGCAGGCTGGCACACTAACCTCACCTCTCGCGCGTTGAAGAAATGGACCCTCGATCCGCGAGAGGAAGATGGTGGTGTGTTGGGGCCTTTTGGATGGGAACGAGTAGACAAATGAGGATGTGTTGGTGCCCTTGTATGATAGATAGACTTAGCGCTGTTACCACTTCACTCTTCGAGTGGACTTCTAATTGTATATATATTTATGTATCACCACTATGACTGGGCCAGATCGCAGCTGTACAGAATCCACGCAATCATTTACATCTCATTCCGTGTCGTTACTATTCGAGGTCAAGCTGAAGGTGCTACCCTACATAGACGTGATGCCCCCCGGTTTCTCAGGACCGCACCAATCGTCAGTGACGAGTATCTGCGCCAGACCTTGTTCCAATCCGGTATCCAAACGTGACAGCTTATCAGCATGCCACCAGAGGGAAAACCCATCTCCTCACCCCAGCTGCGACAGGCATGTCGGACTCTTGAGACACCGTCAAACCTCGCCGGAGACGCCACCGCCCGGGCTCAGTTCCAGGATCGACTGACTTTGTACAGAGTACCAGAATGATCAAGTCAACCACCTGGAACCGCACCCCCCTGTTGCAGGGCCGTCACTTGTTTCCGAAGCTCGAGGAAGAAATCCTTCCCGTTCGCCATCTGATTGGCTGTAGTTTCCGAGTTAGGCACTGATCGCATCTACCGTGGTGTCGCCCGCATAGTGGATGTGTAACGTACGTTTTGCGCCCCAGGGTCCGCTAGTGCGACTATTCACGTCCTTCACCTGAGGTTTGTAGTAATACGGTCTGGGTTCTGGAGAGGAAACGGTTAGCGATCTTCGACGAGTGATCGATCATGAGATTCCTCCGATTGGGCAATCGTACCTCCGGGTCCTAGATTCAGCGCACGCTACTAGTTAGCCAACGTCAATGCCTCGTGTAGGTGAGCTTCTGCGTACCTTTCTTGAGAGCTCCCTTGGACTCCGCGGCATTAAAGCCTCGCACGGGGACATGTTGCTCCTGCTGCGGCCCGGAAGCGAACTGGTCACGCGAATCTCCCCAGTTATTCTGTCCTCCCCGAGATCCACCGTGCGCGCTCATGGTGCGGGAGTTGGAGTGTCTCTGCGTCGAGTGGCGGTTCTGGTCGTATGGCCGACCTCCGCGCCATCTAAACGCCCCAGACAGTAGTTAGTCCAGAGAGCTCGGACAGGCATTCAGTGTGGGGGATGTGAGTTTCGAGACAAGAGCTAACTTACCGCTCCTCGCCGGGACCACTCATTCTAGGCCAACCCGTAGATGGTAAGCAGAATGACGAGGGGTAGCTGAGATTTGGGGAGGGACTGAAGCTGGGCGGGTGCAACGCGAGTGTGGAGAGCGGCTCTCTCCGCCTTTGGGCCCGACAGCCGCCAACCAGCCAGCGGGTTGCTTACAAGGAACGTCCGGCGATGATAAGCCAGCACAGGACAACTCCCGCCCTCTCGCGGCCTGCGCGTTCTTCCCCCTCTCTGCTGTCGCCCACGTTCTCTCTTGATTTCAGTCCCTTCAGTCCCTTCTGACCTTGGAGGCTTGGATGAGTCATGCTCTATTTCTTTCGATCGTTTGACCTCGTTTCATTTGGCTTCACGGCGCGACTTGGTTCGTTGGATCCCATAACCTGCGGCTGAGCGGTACGCTCGCCGACCTTCTATCAACAGATCTTGTCCAGCTGGCTTCCTATTCGCGCGGATTCCTACCTCACTTGAAATTATGGCGCCCGTCTCAGCGGCAAAACCACGTTCATCACCAAACAAACCGTCCCGAACCCAGCCCAAGGTGACCTTGAAGCCGCCTCGGAGCTCGGAGTCGACCACCAACGAAGGCCCTCCACTCAAGAAGCGCAAGTATGTTCCTGGCGGTCCGGGTGGTGGGGGAAGATACATCGAACTCGACGTGAAAGAACCGCCAAAGCCCAAGCCCAGTCCAGCAGCCAGACGGAATTCGTCCAGCTCCCGGAATCGCACTGCCCCGGTTCCAGTTCCAGACCCTCAACCTCAGCCTGTTCAACTTCCTCCTCCGCCGCCACCCCCAGTTCCAACGACACCTCCTTCTGCCCGCCTGAGACGAGAAAAGAGCCAGAACCGCGGCCGTTTCGGTTCGTCGACAGCGGCTGCCCTGGCTCTGCAACAAGGAGACGGTTATAAACCGCGAGAGGAGCGAGGATGGGAAGAGTTTCACCCGGACTTAGATATTGAGGCGAAGTTTGCGGTCTTTGGCTCGGAGGATGTGGATCGGCCACCTCCGTCTTCGTCAATCGCTCATATTCTCTCGCCAAATGGTCTCGATAGTACCAATGAAAAAGACCCCATAGCAGAGTTGATCCGCGCGCACGCCAATGGATCGTCACCGTCTCCGATCAAGCGACGGCCAGGCCGTCCCCCTCGTCGACCGGAAGCCATCTTGAATGCCCTGGGGATCACACAGCAGCCGAAGAATGTCCCGCCACCGGGCCCGAATCCTCGGGAGAGGCTCACGCTACCGAAGCCCTCGTTCCGCATACGGGATCCATTTACCTTCTACGATCAACCCGGAGTGGGTCAGCAGAACTATGTCGATCGCACTATGGCGAGTGTTGGGTACCAGGAAAGCGACCTGTTCCTTCGCCATGACCGCCGATTGATTCGGATGACGGACGGTGCGCAAGAAGACGATCTGGATGCGGCGAATCCCGTCACTTCGGAAGGAGAGGTCAATGCGGCCGTTGGCCGAGTGGAGTACGACATGGATGAGCAAGATGAGAAGTGGTTGGAGGACTACAACGCGAAGCGAAGAGAAGATCAACTAGAGCCGATCAAGCCTGCGGTCTTTGAAATTACTATGACCAAGATTGAAAAGGAGTGGCACGTTCTAGAGAAACGTATCCCGAAACCTAATCCCAAACCTCCGCAAACACAACGCCCTCGTTCGAGCTCTGCCGCGGCTGTAAATGGCGAAACTGGGCCGGGAGAAGAGCAAGATAGCAAATGTGCTATCTGTGATGACGGTGATTGTGAAAACTCCAATGCAATTGTTTTCTGCGATGGCTGCGACTTGGCGGTCCATCAAGAATGCTACGGCGTGCCTTTCATTCCCGAGGGACAATGGCTTTGTCGCAAGTGCCAGCTGATTGGAAGAGGATCTGTCAACTGCATCTTCTGTCCCAACACCGAGGGCGCCTTCAAGCAGACTACTTCCTCGAAGTGGTCTCATCTTTTGTGCGCCATATGGATTCCCGAAGTGTCTATCGGCAATCCGTCACTCATGGAACCGATTACTGACGTGGAGAAAGTGCCTCGCAGCCGCTGGAAGCTTCACTGTTACATCTGCCGGCAGAGGATGGGTGCTTCCATCCAATGCAGCAACAAGAACTGCTTTGTCGCATTCCACGTAACCTGCGCACGGAGGGCTCAGCTCTATCTGAAGATGAAGTCTGGCCATGGAACCCCGGCCGTTATGGATTCGCATCTGCTGAAAGCCTTTTGTGACAAGCACGTCCCACCTGAATGGCGCAGAGAACACGGGACGGACGTCGCTACAGCCGAGGCGATTGAGTATTACCGCAACACCATGCAAGGCCGCCGCTGGGGAGATAGCCAGGCCGCAGCACTTTCCTTGGAGCCCGCACATCCTCTTGGTTGCGATCATGGGGACGATGATGGGCAGCGTACACATACACCACGCATTACCCTCACTGTTGGCGGAAACAAGCGCAAGCGACCGGCGGTACCCAAGATGATCTGGAAGTTACCGTCTGGGGCTCCTGTGATCCCTCAGGTCGTGCTGAACTCCGTTGTGGCATCACTCCAGCGCTTCGGTGTTCGCCAACGGAAGCAATATGCCGAAGATGCCTGCAAGTACTGGACCCTCAAACGAGAGGCAAGGCGAGGAGCTGCGCTTCTGAAACGCCTACAATTGCAGCTAGAGACTTTCTCGTCCATGGAAATGACGAGGAGAGACTACGTTGCCATGGGGGTTACTGGGCACAAGCGGCTACAACGGCGTATTGAGTTTGGCGAGAGGCTTTACCATGACCTGGATAGGTTAAGATCGCTGTGTGATGAGGTGAAGAAGCGAGAGAGAGAGAAGCTGAAGGACGCGGAGACACTTCGTGGTATTGTCGACACTGTATACTTTCCCATATTTCCGCTGCTTTGGCCAATATTCGACAAAGCTCAAGGGTAAGCATGTCTCTTATTTCCTACTCTATTGGTTCTAACATCACAGTAGGCTTGACAGCAAGGCTATTTTCAAACAAGGACTGTTATCTATCCGAACAAAGCTACAAGAACGCTTTTACCCATCGGTTGCTACCTTCTCCGCCGACCTGGCTCATGTGTTCACCACTGAGATTGGGGTTCAACCAGCCGGAGATACTGCTGAGCTGCAGATGCAGATCAGTGGTCGCGCCCCGGAACTGAGCCTCGAGCAACGCGAGAAAAGGAAGCTTGCCAAGCGGATAATCAAGGCCATACAACCTGCATTAGAAGATGCGATCAGGAAGGAGAGCGAGCTGAACCGCAAGCCATTCGAACAAGAGCTGAAGGAGCTTGATCTCATGCTGGAAAACAGTGTCATGTCCAGAAGAGGTTCGGAGGTCGCCCTAGCGGAGCAAGCTGGGGATGAGAATGTGGAAATGTCGGAAGCCCCGAATGGCACAGAACATAAGGGTGAGGAATCCGATATCACTGCCAAATCTGAACCGGAGGATAGCGCTGGGATTGCCGACTTGCCTGAAAAGACAGACCCGACAGCTGAGCCTGATGGGGTTGAGCCGCAACCTGCAGAGACCTCCACGGAGCCTCAATCCCAGGAAGATCTGGATATGGATGATGCCCCAGCGGTTCTGGAGGAGACGGAGCCTCAAAACGCCGATGTGGCACCCATGACTGTACAGCCTACCATTGAGGACCAACCAGCCATCAATGGAGACAATGGAAAGATGAAAGTAGACGATATGCAAGCGTCAAAGCAACCGGTGGAGACTGAGAAGGAGCCTTTGACCCCTCCACCTAGCTTCAAAGGCGACCAACAATATCCATTGGCGCAAGGAGGCATACAGTGGTATATGCAACCATTCGACCCCATTGGCACCACCATCCATGAAGAGCGGTGGACCGGGCGAGATGTGATGCGAGGGATGAGCGAGGAGTTAAGTGAGCTCGACGAGGAGGAATTGAAGGACCTCGTGGAGGATGACGAGCTGATGGACGGATCGAATGAAGCAGCGAATGGTGGCGTGGCACCGACACAACAGAGTGTCAAGGTCCATCGAACCCGAAGACGCTGGCGCGGATTCAAATAGTTACATTTGCACGTACAGGCAGTGGAGATATGATGAGTTTTCAGCGATCATTCCCTTCATTTTTATACTCCCTTCTTTCACTACATTTCTCCGATTTCCCCTTTTGATGCATGTTTGCTTTTTTTTTTCTTTTCTTCCGTGCTGAGAGGCAACAACCGGCTGGCCAGGCGTTGGGTTGGTAGAGCTGGATTTAGGTGGGTAGCTAGGTAGCCACACCACATGTAATGAATTTCCACAGAATGTATTCATGGACCCATTCACCGGATGAGTAATTGAACAATTGAATTGTTGAATCATTGAATCATGGGGGGATTGGGGAATGGGAGGAAATGGGAATGATGCCTTGGCGACCGCAGAGCCGCGGGCGGTCCAGAATGGCTTATGGAAGACTCGCCGCGCTCGACTTCTTTCCCGGTTTCTCCCCCTTCTTTCATCATTACCACCGGATTTCCATCCTCTCTCCATCCAACCTCTTTTCCCTCCTCCCTTTTCTCCCTCCTCCGCCATTCTTTCCGAATTGCTCGGAGGCTAGGACCACTCTTCTCTTCTGGTTTTCTGGTATCCGCGTCGGATTTCTATCGGATTCGCCTGTCGAATTTTTCTCAACCTCACAGCACTTTGCCCGGTCCTCGTGTCGCGCGCGCTACCTCACCCCTTCTCTCACACTTAGCTTGTTATTCGCTACTATCCTTCAATTTTCTTCAAGATGTCTGCTGAATATGACAATGAGAACGGTCGCTACGACGGTACGTCGAGCTGTTCTAGCCCAGCTAGTTCGCCGGGTTACACCATCACAACAATACTGACCTGTTGCTTTTTCTGCCTTCGCAGACGAGCCCCGTTTCGCCCGTGACCGCAGCGCATCTCCTCGCGATGAGCCTCGAGCTGATCGCACCCGTAGCCGTTCTCCCAACGGTCGCGTGGATGACCGGTATGTCGACGTGAATTGCTAGCTTGGCCGCTCTGACGTTCAGCCGACTGACTAGAGCTTCTTTTGCTAGTGCCCCCATCGATCCCCGTAAATCCTTGGACGATGAAGAGGGTGCTCTCAACACCGGCTCGAACCTGTTCGTGACTGGTATCCACCCGCGTTTGACCGAGTCGGATATCTCGCGTCTCTTCGAGAAGTACGGTGACGTCGAGAACTGTTCAATTATGGTCGATCCTCATACCAAGGAGTCTCGTGGATTCGGCTTCGTCAAGATGGTCACTGCTGAGCAGGCCGACGCCGCCAAGGAGGGTCTCCAGGGCGAGGTCATCGAGGGCCGCACCCTGAGCATCGAGAAGGCCCGTCGTAGCCGTCCCAGGACCCCGACTCCTGGCAAATACTTCGGTCCCCCTAAGCGTGGTGAGTTTTCTTCGCCCCCTCAATTCAGACCATTTAGGCTCACTGGTTTCATTCTTAGACTTCCGTGGAGGTCACCGTGGCGGCCGTGGTGATCGCTATGACGACCGTCGTGCTCCTTACGGCGGTAGCTGGCGCCGCGGTGACGATTACCGCTATGGCCGCTACGATTCCTACAGCGACCGTCGCGACTACGGCCGTGACTACCGTGACTATGGTGGTCGCCGTGACTACGGTCGTGACGACTACGGCTACCGTGGTGGTGGTAGCAGCGGTGGCATTGACCGCTATGCCTCTGGTGGTCGTGAGGACCGTTACAGCCGCGACGAGCGTCGTGATGACCGTCGCGAAGAACGCCGTGGAGGTAGCGGTGGCGGATACTACGACCGTGACGCCAATCCCCCTAGCTACGGCTCTGCTCCTCCGGCGCGGGATGCCTATGCCGGCAGCGGTGGCGGCGGCGGCGGCAGCGGCGGCCGCTCTTATGACCCCCGCGATGACCGTTATAGCGCCAGGTAGGTGAAGTCGTCTGATCTATTTGGAGAGATCGGGCCAGGGCGCGTAGCCTCTCCCAGTAATGGGTCTTTGTAGGCTCCGCGCTTCTTTCCTTTTACCCCTACGTCTTTGCTTCTATGACATTCCCTTTGACTTTCTCCTGGAATGGCTTTTTAATCTTCAGTACCCCCATTCGAATGGAATCGCACGGGGCGTCATATGTGTTGTCTTGTCGCAAAAGGAGGGAAGAAAAAAGTCCTCATCGCAATTCTCATGTCAGCCAGCAAAGTCGACATGCCACCGTTTTTTGCGACCAGTCGACTTAAAATCTAGAAAAACCAAAAAAAGGAGAAGAATCCTGTGGTGTCGTCCGTCTCCGATCACACGCTGATGTTTTCTTTTGTTAAATTCGCTCGCAACACCGGAAAATTGGCGGCAGGGAAGAAATGAGCTTGACATTAACGTTGTAATTCCTCGGATTGTCAGATGGGTCACGGCACTTTTACACCTTCCGGAACTTGGTCGTTATCTCGCTAGTCAGCTGTTCGCCTTTGTTTGCGTCTTTGCGTCTTATACAACTCTCTTAACGTAACGACTTTCGATTGTATTCGGCCTGAAGTTTTAAATCTGCTCAGCCTGCAGAGGCTATTTCACGCCTGGATTCCGCTCTGCACCGGTGGGATCGACCAGTGTCGCAATACCATCGCCATAGCGTTTGCGTTGTAGTATCGGTATCGCCAGGTATCGTCAGGTGCCGCCAGGTATCGTCAGGAGTATCGCCAGGGCCTTCGCAATAGATCGACGGTGACAGGGTCCTGTAATACCAGCAGTTCACTTGATACGGTAGGTTTGATCTGTCGAACTGATTGATGCTTGACCTGATTGATGCTCTGGTTGGTTGGTCAGGATTTGGTCATTGAATTACTAACAGCAGGGATGCATGAGAATGAGATTTTACAGGTATGTCCGTTTGTTGCATGATTAATCTCGGGGGGTTGCACTCAGAGGGTAGTTGCATACATCTGTTTGCTTCACTGGAGTTAGACTGCAGATCAGACTACAGATCGTAGAATTGCATAGGCAACTGACAGTTTGTCATGTACACAACGATACCCAGCAACTATCACTCCTTGTCAAGAGAATGCGCAGATAAGCTGTATCATAGACAGTATACCCAATCCCCAACTCCTCACCATCAAGCGGACAAGTCATCATCCATGACAATCCAACCATGACCTCGTAAGGCATGACCATGCAAACCACCAGCCGGGGTAAACAGCCCGACCAGAACACGGTCCTAACCTCAGACCCTCGACGCCGACGCCGACGTCAAAGATCCGCCGCCTCAGCACGAACGGCCATATCACTACCGCACAGCTGATCCTCTGCCTTTCAGGCACCCAGGATCATCAAGATCATACGCACACAGCAGACATCAATCCACCATATCGTACGCGCCACACGGCGCAGCAAACCATCTCATGACGCCATCGCGCCAACACCTAAGCAAAAACCTCAACACCATAAGAGTAACACCTTACTCCGGCGTCTTCGTAGCCCCCTGTTCCACCTCCATACTTTTCTGAATCAAGAATTCGCCGAGAACACGGAGGGGGTTTGCCGGCCTATTCATCCATTACCGTTAGCATCAATCCCAATAAACCCCCTCCCCTCCCCAATCTCGAATCCAACCAAACAAGTAGACCACATAGATACAATCAAGAACATAGATATAAGTACAGGTATAGGTATACGTACTGCTCCTTCGTAACACTCTTCATCCCCTCCAACAAATACGGCACAATCTTCTCATTCATGTATACTCGTGCCGGGGCACCTCCGGGCCGGACCTGCGTGTTGGTGATGGGGGTTGCGGCGGCGGAGTCACCGCCGGGGGTGTTTGCCGCGGAGTCCTGGGCCATTGGTTTTTCTTTCTCTTTCTCTTTTTCTTTTTCGGGGTTGGGGTTGGGGTTAGGGACGGAGGGGGTCGGTGGTGGTGGTTGTTGGGGGGAGGGTTGGCGAGGGAGGATGGTTGGAGGTTGTGGTTGCGGTGGAAGGAGGGTTGTCTGTTTGATCGATAGAATTAGGTTTAGGTTTTGGGTAGAGTTGTTCACGTGGTAAATTGTAGAACAAGGGTTTGTTGGAATTGAACTGAAATCAGGGAAGGAATGATTGAATGGTGGAATTGGAATCGGAATTGGAAATGAAATGAATTGAAAGTGAAAGCGGAGCAGCTCCGCCTGTGGGGATTGCGATGGAGTGAGACGCTGTGGTTCCTGATGGCACTAGGAGGGGGGTTCTTACTGGGATTTCATCGGCCATGGTTATAGAGTTTGTTAGGGGTTGAGTCTGTGTGATGAAGAAGAAGAGTTTGAAAGGTATAAGGTCATATTCGATGGATCTGGACAGGCATGGCCTTGAGCTCTTCTTGCTGATTGCTGCGGTGCTTACAGTCCAGGCGCTGCGATGACGGTGCAAACAGTGCAAAGCGGAATGGAAGTGGGCCGAGTCTGAATCGGGTTATATGGGTCAGGTGATCTCGTGTCGATTCGCGTCACGTCCGGGTTTTATCGTAGTTTGGACCGAGGGTATTGTTGCGGCGTGCTGCTGCTGTGGTGTTGTGCAGCATGTCTCTGTTGGATTACTGGGATACGAAACGTCCGTCTGCGAAGCGACGGAGAATTATCGAGGATAGTGAGCCTGTGGATGGAGGCGATAAAGACAGTCCTGACTCGTCGGATAGTCCGTTGATAGAGGGGCCGGATACACCGTTGCCTGATCGACGAGATTACTATCGTCCTCTGGATGATCCTGGGCTTGAGGCTGATAATGATGCTGAAATCCCGTCAAACAGTCAAACAGAACTCGAGTCATCCCTCCCTGCCGTCCAAACTGATAATCGCGCAATCGAGGAATATGAATCTTCCCGTGCAGTGGACGAGCCGAGTCTCGAGCAGAGGCTAAGAGATGGCACATGGCGGAAGGGCAGGAGTTCTATTTACGTGGATGCGTTCAATCTTGCGCTGGAAACGGTGCTGGATGAGGAGGCGCATTTGTTCGATGCGGCGGAGATGGAAGTCTTCAAGCAGTGGCGGGAATTGGATTACGAAGCCCAATATCTGTGTGTTCTTATACCTTTTTGCAGTGAGATATCCAGGGTATGGCTAACTTGTCAGATATGTGCGTCTCTTCCTCCGCAAAACCTCGGCCTGGCACCGCATCAATCGACTAGGATACTACTCGGATATCGCAGACATGCCCCGGGTAGTGACCGAATTGCGCCGCACTCGCAAGCTTCCATCTGCGGATGGAAATTCCACCGACATCGACACCGTCCCTGTTGACACTGGCTTTGTCCTGGGCGAGGATGGCGAATTCAAATTCGCCGAAGAGGTGGACCAGATCACCACACTAGAAGAAGCGTCGTCCATACTTCTTCTCGACGAACTGAAAACGCTCGCTAAAGAAGCCAAAGTACAAGGAAAGAGTAAAAAAGAGCTCATCACAGCCCTACAACGATCCAGTCAGAAACAAACCGGCCTCGACTGGGGCACATCCCCCAACAGCAACAACCGAGACAACCAGTTCATACAAAAAATCCTCGACCACACAGGCGACTGCATCCGACTCGCCTCCGGCCCTCGCGCCCTCTTCGAACGAGTCCATCTCGTCTTCTACCGATCCACCGAATGGACCGAGAAATCCCTCACCACCATCATCCTCGCCAAAATCTCCCGCCGCAACTTTCCCGACTACGTCGTCTGTCGAACCAATTCCATCTTCCCATCCCGCGCCACCCTCCTCGAATTCGAATCCGCCCTCCGCACCCAATATCAAATCGACTCCATCCTCGAATTCAACGGCACCCCCACCCCGGACCTCCTCACCCACATCAAAGACCTCGCCTACAAAGTCTACCCCCGCTGGAAAACCCTCCTCTACCAAGAACAACAAAAAGAAGACACCATCTACGACTGCGGCGAGGGGGCCTACCTCCGCCGCTTCTCCCCCGCATGGGTCTACACCCGCATCATCCACAAAGGCCTCCACCCACTAGCCCGCTTCAAAGAACACCTCGAAGAACACCGACTCCTCTTCGAACTCCTCTCCCAGCGCCTCTTCCACCCCGCTCGCCGCGGCGCCTGGTACCAACGTAAAGCCCTCCTCGAAGAACACTACCTCTGGGCCCTCACCCCCTCCGACACCCGCACCGAAGAAGCCCAGCGCAAACACTGGCGTCGCATCGCCTTACAAACCTGCGAAACGGGCCTCCAGGACCCCGACTGCCATCTCATCTACCACTACGATCTCCAAAAACGCATCACGAAGTTGGAAAAAGCCCTCAAGGTGGTCAAACGTGAACAACACGACTTCGGACACGTCATGCTCGCCAAACCAATCACCCATACCATCGAGGGCATCCAAATCGAGCGTGATGATCCCGACCTCGGCTCTAAACGCGGCCGTCCGACCATCTGGCTCGATGAACGCGATGGCGGCGAATGTCGAGTCGAGAGTATGTGTCTGAGCTGGTATCGAGATCGTGGTTGGAAGGGGTACCACTCCGAAGGTGGGATTATTCGAACATTAGTACGTCTCCCCCTCCTCCCTCTTTACCTTATCCTTTCCCCCAAATCCAGAAAACTAACGAAACAAAACAAAAAAAAAAAACAGTTCACCTACCTCCTCTACGACATCCTCTTCCACCCCTACCCCAACATCTTCCAAACCCCCTACCAAACCAGCCCCCTCGATCTCCACACCGACACATTCTACCCCACCCGTCTATCCGCCATAAACCACCGACTCGTCGAAATCACCAACGGGGCCGCCGAATCACTCATTCGAGCAGTTCATGCACGGGAATCACCCCGCCAGACGTGCGCGATTGGTCTCGATTGGTCGTTTCCGGTCGAGGATTTGGTGGAGATTGTGCGGTGTTTGGGGGGCGAGGGGTTGGCGGGGGTTTGTCGAGTTTTGGCGCAGGAGTATGCGGTTAGGGGGGGTGGGGTGCCGGATTTGGTGCTTTGGAGAGTGTTTAGTGGAGGTGGGGATGGGGGTAGGGATGATGGGGGTGGGAAAGGGAAGGATGGAGGGGATGAGGGATACGGAGAGGTCATGTTTGTAGAGGTCAAGTCGGCGAATGATCGACTGAGTGATGCGCAGCGGTTATGGATTCATGTGCTTTCGTCGGCGGGAGTGAGGGTTGAGGTCTGTAATGTTGTTGCGAGGGAGGTGAGGCGGGTTGCTTAGTATATCATATCTCATGTCATCTTATATCATGGTATATAGATCGTGCAATGTATAAATACTGATAGAGCAGAGATATTGATACGAGCTTACAAGGTAAGAAGGTATGGAATACATCTACGGGTATGGAAGAAGTGGGTCGTAATTTTTATTAACTATCGATAACCCATCCAGGCAACGACAGCCAAACCACCAAACAGTCCACGAAAGAGATTCGCAACCGTTTAAGCAACCAGAGTGGAAGCGGTGGCGCTCTCGTAACGCCAGGTGGGGGGAAGGACACCGACAGACTTGTAGTAGCGAGACAGACGGTGGATACGAGACTCGATGAGAATCAGACGGAACTTGCTGTCCTTGTCCTTGCGGTTACGCTCGAGGTGCTTGCGGACGGCGACGGCCTATTGCTTATTAGATACATGTCGTCGACACGGTAAACTAGGAGGGATACATACCTTCTTGATCAGGTGGTACAGGTCCTCGGGAAGCTCGGGGGCAAGGCCTGTTAATCACTCTGTCAGCCTGTGGTTTGACCAAGCAGAGGCATACGGGAAACCGAATTCCAGTGCATTTCTGCAGTGGAAGTTGGCACCCTCCAGTTTATGTGGATGTGTAGGTTTGAGGCGGATGCTGCGATATGAACGTAGGCAAATTGGTGATCTTTCGAATCGAATCGGTGTCGATGAGTGACGATTCCGGGTATGTTTCAACCTTCGTCTTTCCGTTTCAGGTATATCATCATTGTTCCCGTTCGATTCGAAGTCACGCCTGGTTGCGATATCGCCGGATATTCCAATCCGATCCTGCCTCGTGCGAAATCCCCACACATTCCTCATAGAACTGGTGCGACTGGTGAAAGGGTGATTGGTGGTGATGGTAATGTCGTACCGTTGGACTTCAAGATACGGAGGATCTTGTTACCTATTTCCAATATTAGCACATCACCATTTTATAAGTAGAATCAAGGATAATCGTACCAGTAACAGTCTTGACCTGAGCAACACCGTGAGAGTCACGGAGGACAACACCAATCTGGGAAGGAGTAGCACCCTTCTTGGCGAGCTTGCAGATCTGCTCAACAACCTGCTCGGTGGAAGCCTTGAACCAAGCCGGGGGAGTGCGAGAGTAGGGGAGAGCGGAGGACGAAATGCCCTTTCCCTTGGAGTGAAGACGACCCATTGTGATTGTTTGGTGGGGGGTTTGTCGGACGGTGGGATTGATTGTCGCGCGGTTGTCGAGAAGTTCAAAGGGAATTTTTTGAGGTTGTCTGGATGGGATTTTGCGTGGGTCGTGGGTCACGTGGGTGGTTCGTGGGTTGTGGGTGCGGTCAGGTGATGGTCGGGGGTTCGCTTATTTTTTTTCCGGTGACGCCTTTTTAAGCGGGAATTTTTCGCGTGGTTTTCTTTTCTTGTGATGGCAAGCTCTGCTGCAATGAGTTTATGTGCTCGATGGTGCAGCTCTGAGATAGGGGTATCTGGCTAACTGCTATTATTGCGAGCAGGTTTGGATCTCAGGTTAGTTTTCATTCCCTACTCCCCATTTTTCCTCGCTTTACAGGATGAAACACACCTTATTTTATTTTTTCTGGTACCTCTTATGTCAGAGGTAGGCTTCGGTCTATCTCGATGATCTAAATGGACTTCTGATATCATCTCATTCCTACTATTGTTGTCATGGGAGTTGTGGCTCAGTGCTGACTCGCATTTTGATAGGTTCACGGTTGAGAAGATCGAGATGGTTTGGATTGATGGGTTCTATAGTGATCATAATGGATATGTTACTGTTCATCTTCTTTCAATTGTAATCTTCTGCTTTGAACGCTGTAGTCTACGACTGGGTCATATGACTGTTATACTGTCATCTAGATGGGTTACCGTGCCTGTGTACGGACTGGAACCATGCCGTTGCTCATCCATGACAGTCACCCGTCATGAAAGGCTTATGAGGCCTGTTGTGACAGCAGGTATGCATCGGCAATAACATCCTCTAGATGAGCCATTTCCAGGGATATTGGATGCCTGGTGGACTCCAAGGCCTCGTGGTATCAACAAGTCACTACGCATGTCAGCTGCACATGGCGATGAATCGATCGAAGATGCTGCCTGGCAATGCAGGAAGCATCACACCGCAACAAGCATCGTTGACAGCATCCGACACTCATACAGCTGCATGTCGCAAATCTGCCCCACGTGCTGTTATAGGCATGAGGTTTCGCGCAACCACGATGAACCTCCATCACTTCTCTATCCTCAGATTCCAAATCCAGGTCGCATAAACCTGCATCGCAGGATGAAACACGCAGAGATGCTTGCAGCGGTGATGTTGACGCGAACAACCTATAGTGATCCGCTGCGTCTGCCTCGTGGTGCAGCAACAGCATATCCAGTTGTAACGACAATAGTCCCGCGTAAGCCCCAGACAGTACTCCGTACACAGTCTGTATTCTCTGTTCGGCTCGCGATTGGCAGACATGATGTGGGTTGCGATGTGTCATATCCAGCACTTGTGGGCTGTGGCATCAATCGTGGTGGCAGGCCAGCCTGATGTGACCGCCACTTGTGGATCGAGTGGGTATAAGCCTGTTGTAACGAAACGAGGAGAATGCGACAGAACCTCGTACTTTGTACAAGTAGGCAGCTGTTTTGCATCCCTCCGTAAGTATATGGCCGATTCTAGACCAGACAGAGGCAACATCATGTGCCGTCATTAGACGACACAAGCGAGTCTCGCTTCATGATTTGACGCCGGAGTCACGTCTGATCTCAGCGATCGCCAAATCAGACCGGCACAGAGGGACGGCGGAAGAGGGGCAGCTGAACCCGTATCGATCAGAGCCCAGATCAATGAAAGATCCGATAGCCAGATCGTGGGTAACGCGAGTCCCACGCATGGTGACCGGTCAGTAGGCGACGAGCCTATGATCACCGCCGCTGGCCTTGCCGCAGCTCCCGTTGCGCCCCATCACTCTCAACCCGTTCTGACGGCCACTGATTGGGCCGGGATGGCATGGAGGCAAACGCAGGATGAAGCTGGCGGCGAGTTGATTGCTTGTTACGGGCGAATCCAAGTCCCGATGTACCATATCGCACGATGTGTTGAGGGTTGGGAAGTGCCGGTCGGACGTCCCTGCAAGCTGATCCCCGCTATGAAACCGAGACGCTTGGACGGGACGCCGTCAGGAGTAAGTAGGCCTCGAGCGAGCAGTGATATCTCCCCTCATTTGACCTCCTCAACAGGGCTGAGTCGACGGCGTAAGCTTAGTCCAAGCAGTCAGAAGCAATCATGAATTTGCGTGCGACGGAGGATATTCTGGCATGCATCGTGTTGCTTTGTTTCCCGTCTTACCCGAGTCAACATCGTTATCAGTGTTCCTGGCATCAGAGTTTTCGCTGTGATTTGTGCGACTAGCCAGGAAATTGCTTCTTCTCCCTCTGTAGATCCATTCATCCCGCGTATGGCTGCCGTGTCTGCATGCGCTGCACCCAGTTTCGAGTTGCGAAGCGAGGACTGAAGTGAAGAGACGGCAAAGAGCAAATGCCAAAAGGGGAATGCTCAGGAGGCGAACACGAGAATACCTTCGATGGAAAGTTCTACGACGGGCGAAATCTATACCATTACCCCATACAGAGGATCCACGAACAGTTAATGATGGGATTAACCAAGGGCTGGACTAGACTTAAACTTAAAATCCGGCAGCTGGAATGCTGAAGAGCCAGACACGAACCGACGCAAGAGGGCCCATAATTAATATTCGGGGATGGTAAACTTTCCAAGCGAAGAGATAACATCATCCCGTATTTATAGAAGTTCTCCACGTGTGTACGTCTGTCATTCGCGTGCTGCATACCATGGTAGAATTCATCAGCTATCACGCAGTAGCAGTATCAGAGATGCATCAAACAATGCGATTGTGGGAGCAAAATTGCAAGTCAGCCCGGCCGTGACTGAATTATGGTGCTCGCTATAGAGTCCATACCCGATGAGGAAAACAAGCATCTCCCTACTGGTACATCGCAAAGCTTGGTCAAAGGCTCCTTTCCACGGTCGTAACCATCCGTGTGATCATCCAGATCACACTGTTGAGGCCGATCAGTCGGGTTTGCAATCCACTTTCGCAGCCAGAAGCGTGCTCGAAGGCGACAATCCATACTGCATCACGCAAGAGCTCTAGGCAGCTAGCACAACACTAAGGACCAGGCCGGTGCCGGAGCGGGAGCCCTAAATTTAGCCGGACGATGACCGTCGTGGCTTCAAGTACCGTGGATGCCTGACGACAGTGTGTCGATCGTCCACGGCACATTCCCGGTCAACGGGTACCGGTAGTTGTTGCTACTAGGGCACCGGCGTGCGGCTATACAAGATGGAAGATACAGGTCGTGGGGAAACAGTGCATCTGTGAGGGGCCGCAGAGGACGCGGCAGTCGGCACTGTTGTAATCGATGGTCCATGCGCGGTTTACTGGGGCATCATCTTGTAGACAGGCGATGGATTTTTGAATCATGGCCATGGCGATGACGACGGAGTATGAGGTGTCGTCAAGTAGTACGGAGTACTACGTTGGCGATTGTGTAACACCCATTGGAGTCAACGAGCACAGATGGCGATCAGCTGTTAAGACACCCAGCATCGGTCTCAGATGGCTGATGATTGAATTGGCCAAATCAACCAGCCATCCTTCTTATGTAACCGACCGTAGGGACGTGGAGCAAACTCCCATGGAACCATGAGTCAGAGCCGAGCAACCGCAGAGAGTTCTGGCAGGTCGACCCTCGAAGCGTCCAAGCACAGGCACCAGGGGCAAAGAAGTTCGACGCGACACTCGTGCGAAGCCGGTCAAACTCAAAAGCGACCAGGATGGGCTTAGTGGAGGTTGATCGCGGTGCTGCAGCGCCGATAACCCTGGCTCGCATACGAGGCCGGCTGTAAGGTACCCTGCTCATCCCTTCCGAGGATGAGAGATTTATGACACGGTCAGATTCCATTATTTTCATTGAGAAAAGCCAGTGTGCTCCAGCTTCAGATATGGAGTACACAGCATTTAGAGTGAATGATCCTGGAAATGTGGGCGCGGTGAACCCCCCGAGATTAGGATAATGCCATTGTTGAATGGTGAAGACAGATGGTCGCTAATGTTTTGGATCCTCCCAATTCTGGGCTGTAAGTTTCAGTAATGGCCATGACACCCACGACCGATCCATGGAAGGGCCGGTGGATCCTCCCTCGTCTCTCCCAGCCTACTCACTTCCACAATACACAGTAAACTACGCCGCTAAAGCTCCATCGTACTCCAATCAGCAGTGAAAAAGACTCCGATCCATGCAGATGGCTGCATCGCGGTTGACCCAAAGGCGTTAGTCTCAGCAACGGCCGGCCATGGCATCGAGTCCCCCGCTCGCCGTGCCCTACCACAGCCTACTACTGTCCGTTCGTCTCTCCTGATTCCGTCTGAATTCCCGATACTACTCGCTAGGAGGAAGTAGTCTGCCACTCGATTGGAACCCCGACGGAGCTTGGAACTTTCTTCGGTGCCCAGAACGGCGTCGTCGCACGAGGCCAGTCGGTGGGTTGCAGTGACTACTCCACCCTTCCATCTGCCCCTGGTGCCAACCTTAGTCTCGCCGTTCATGTCCACCGAGAGGATTCTCCCAGTTTCGCCTCAGAATCCAATCAGCGACGATGCTTCTGTGTGTGAACGGGCCTCCTATCAGTCCATGGTCCTTCCCCAACCAATCCCGGGTAGGATCCAGTCAGTACCATGATTAGGGTCGATGGCACATCATCCATTGCCGTCGTATGGACTCCGTCGTAGTAGTCGTATATCTGATCAGCTCCCCCCCATGTCCGTCGGCGCCCACCTGCTCTTCGCTTCCTCTTGTTTTGCATGCGATAACGCAAGGCTGTTCGTTCGTTCGATTCCAGTCGTTCCACGGCCGTGAGCCTCTTGCGCGGGGTAACCACGCCCTGGCACAGTCCAGCTTGTTGATAACCCCTGCCAGTCGTTACTCCGGAGGATATGACCTTTCCGTATCTCTATCGCAGCACCCGTGCCTTGACGAAGATTCCAGACGGCCATTGAGGCTCACACCATGGCCAACCATACCTTGAACGGCTATTGTCCGACTCCATTCCTCCAGGAGTCTCTTTTCCCATCCACTGGTGGATGTATGTTCCATTGCTGTCTCCTGAGGCTGCTTTTTTGTGACCGAACTGATCGTGTGCTTCAGTCGTTGATGGACGATTCTGCGAGGAACTTACTACCGAACATGGCAAGGTCTCGTGTTGTCTTCCCTGCCCAATGGCTGAATGGACGTACGGTGATGGTATGTGTTTGCCCCAATGGCAGAGAGCCTGGCTAATGGTTGATGTCGCCTCCAGATTTGACCTCCCAGACCAAGGTCGCCAGCTGGCTTGGCGTAGCAATCCTGCCACTTTGTGTCTTCCTCCTCGTGTCGTTTGCCGTGCTTCCCGCGAAATGGACTCATCGTCACTACCTGAGTATCTGCTTCACGCTGGGGATCTGCTGCATGGAGGTGAGTGAATGCAATACACAGGTCAATCGGCTGGTTATCTAATTCGGGCAGCTCGCCTTCATCATCCCGCTGGGAGTCAACCCGGACCAATGCCATAACCAGATCACGCCCAATGACATGCACAGCGACCTGTCGTGTGCCTTTACCGGGTCCTTGCTCCTGTTCGGTGGTTGGGTCTCGGTGGTATTCAGTAGGTTGCGCAGCTTCTTCAGAACGGACATTTGCTAATAGGGCAGGTTTCATTCGCACCTTGGCCTTTCACCTCCAGGTCTGCTGGGAAATCGTCCTGGGGACCAAGTTCATGTGGGGAGCGCTCATCCTGGGATGGAGCATTCCCATTGTTGGCCTGACGGAGATGTTGATCCTGACGGGCGTGTCGTACCGCTTTGGCATCGTGTGCCACATCAACGTCCGCAACAGCAACCGGGATTACTGGGCCCCGGTGTTGGCCTTTGCGACCGCCGCGTTGATCCTGCAGTTCGTCACGATGCTGTACTGCGTCTACGTCTACGTCAAATCCATCTACGACCAGGAGACGTCGACCAACAGCTCCGGTCTCCCGTCGTATTCCACCAGCGTGCGCACCCTGACAGCCCGGCAGGCCTACCGGCGCATCCGTCGCGTCTTCGCGCTGCAATGGCGAGGCATCGCCTTGGTCCTGGTGATCATCGGGAACGTCATCTTCTTCTCCGTGGTCTTCATGCGCATGGACAACCACCTCACCCGGACCGCCGCCAACCTCGAACGCGGCGCCCCCTGGCTCGCCTGTCTGATTCTGACCCAGGGCGACAAACGCCAGTGTTTCGACGAAGCGAGCGACTTCCTCCCCAACAAAGCCACCCTCCTCGCCGTGCTCATCCTCTTAGCCACGGTCGGGTTCTGGAACTTTGTCCTCTACGCGCGCCCCTCCATCTTCCTGGGATGGGCCGAATTGTTCAAATCCCAAGTCACCCGCCAGCCGCACGAATTCGTCTCCGCCGATGCCCGACACACCCCGGACCCCCGCACCTACGAAATGATCAGTGGCTCCAGTCTGCCCCCCTACAAGACGCCCGAACCGGTGGTCCGATCCCCCAGTCCCGCCCGGATGATGGGGTCCAAGAGCCCGGAGAGGGGACATTATGGCCGCGAGGCTCGCTACACCCGGCCGTCCATGAGTTTCTCCTCCCCGCGAGCCCCGAGCCCCTTGCGGGATTGGGAACCGGAGACGACTTTTGCGCCGAGTCATTCACAGAAAGGATCGATCTGACGGATTGTTGGGATGGCGTTGTGGATTATATACCCCTGTGTTTACGATGTACTTCATATACCCTAGAATTTGATACAAAAACTTTCAAACAAACAACGCTGCACCCCAGCCTTGCTTAATGCTTACGGTAGTACGGTAGTATCATCTCGACCCCAAACCTTAAACTCAACGTGACCGGCCAGGTTCGATCCGGCAACATCCCCGCAGAATCGGGCTTGGCTTGCTGACAGCTGAGGTGGCAGGGGCAGTGCATGGCACCCTGGTCTGGACTCTAGTCTTCGGGAGCATTCAAGGGATACAGCCAGTTACTCATGACACACCAAATCATCTTGTCCTTTGTAATTTAACATAGCCTTCGGTTCTTTATGTTGTATGACTGACATATGATGATGCACTGAACTCTGTTCTTTATCTGTAACTCAAATGTATAGACTTTCTTTCATTTTGTCCCTCGTTTGCTTAACTCCTTGCATACAGACACAGACCCAACCAGATGTAGTAGATACTTAAACCGAGGCACATTGAACCTACCTACTTACTTACTCCGTACCTAGTATCTACCGCCAGAATAATCACGAACATGACCTAGCTTCAACCAATTCATTTCTACAGTACCAGTTAATCTAGGCCAATGGATCTCCTAGCCAGAAGCGGTAATTAGCCCCGTTTCAGTCCTTCATTCCTTCGTTCCGTACCTCCAGTAATCTCATCTCCGATAATTCTCCATCTTTCTGATAGTAACAAACAACCCTTCCCCCTCCTCCTCCTCCTCCT